TTTCAAATTCTTTTGTACAAGTGTTGATAGCAATAGTCCTTAGTCGTTTATCTATATTTATCGGTAGACGCGGTACTTACTTCGTACACAAGTAGTTAGTCAATTTATGAAGTTGACTTAGTACTAGAACGCTAGGTACTTTTGATAGAAGGTATTACAGAACCTGTCGTTTTGAAATCTGACTGTAAGGCCAAAAGTACCTCCCAGCCCCAGTCCTACTTCTGATCGTACTTTTGCCATTTCTCTATATCACATACTTCGGCAATTCATCGTGTGATCAGCTCTAAGTAGGACAGCTGTGACAGTCGATCTTCTTCTCGAACTGTGGGCCAATCAAGGATTACCTGCCTGCATACAAAACCACAATGGAGCTAAATGTGGATGTTGCACTGTTTTGTCCTTTTTAGTCCTTGGATTTCATGTCACCAAGATCGATACAACCGATCCGTTTACCCTGGTAATAGCTGCAGTGTATTTATCCACTGTTCCATTGAAACCTAGATCATTAGAGTCTTGACTACAGTGGAAAATGCACATCGTGTTGCTCTAAGATTACGGATCTCCAGGGCTGCAAACACCTGCATATGTACCTACACGAAGTATTGAAAGGTTTTACGTTATGTCTATTTTATTGATCTAAACAATTACGTTATTAAACGCATCATACATACCTTAGTAAGCTTGATAATTGCCAACTTGGGCACAGGGAGGCAGTGGTGAGGCTACCAGACAAGCGAGTAGATAAATGAAGAAAAGTAAAGATAATAACAGCTAATGCTCGTTCGACCATGCCATACGTTTAGATCAGACCAACCAAAAATCCACGAAGCCCCTGTTATAAAATTAAGGCACGCCAGGGTAATCCTTGTTTCCCGGCATCCAGTCCAGGAGACGTTCTCATCGTGCTGATGCCCAGGCGAGCAAGGGTTTAGATCCCAGCTACCACCATGTCAACGGTTCCCGGTCAGTCCGGAGCTAGTAATTAATATAAACTACGACAACTAAAGATTATGCGAATCCGAAAAACAGTTTCAATGGCAAAAGTACAAAATGCACCGCCCAATCGGGTTTAATGTATGGCAAAAAATACAATTTGCTTTGGAGCTTGGACTAATCTGCAATGTGCCGGCCATCAACTTAAATCATTACAAACATGAGGTACGATCACGATCTAGAAGAATTTATTCCAAAATTTCCGTATAAAATTATATTTAATCGAAAATACAACCTGGAACAGTGCCGGGTGCCGAAAGTCTCCCACATCAGCTTTGAATCCATGTACAAACTGGGTCAGTTGCATCATGTACGTCAACGATCGAGAAAATCGACAACCTTGGGAGATAAAGTCTAGTGGTTAGTCTGGTGATGATGTGAGTGGAACCGTGACTAATGGAGCCATCGATAACCTGCTTAGCCAGCCTTGCTGCGTCCATGCAGTTACGGAAGACGCCTGTCATATATTTGCCCGATGAAGACAACAAATCCATGTGAGCATGTTCCGAGGTTGATGGCAGGTAGTGGCGATATGCAAGAAGATAATGTGCTGGCTTCTGCTAGCTTGTATTCTAAGTATTTCTGGAGATGTGCCTGTGGTATGATGCTGCATGTACTCCGTACTATTGTAGGGCTTGATTTGGAGGGTTGATGTCCAGGTGATGATACTACAAGGCTAGTACAAATTTCCAATAATCAGGCTGTATCAGGCGGCAATTGAGCTACGTCCTCTTCTTGGACCGACTGTTCTGACAAATAACTACCTAGGAGATATGCATGGCTCATCTTTTAGCCTCGAGTCGATACTCATGCCTGCAGTACGAGATTGATACAAGACGCTAGCTCACGAGGTTTTGACTCAAAGGCACGTATTTACCCGCTTATTCTATTGGAACACCATTGAAGTCGGTGTGAGCACGTGAAGTGCTGGCTGAAGCCTTTGCATTTGTGCATTGTACTGAGACCAAACACCGGACAGGACTCGTATGTATAATTAGTGGCGGTGAAATAGAGGACGAATTGGCATCCAATGACCAGCATCCGCTTTAATTCATGGCTAAAAATTTCCTGTTTCTAAGGGTTTACCCACCTCCAGAGCTAAGTATATTGACAGCTGATAGTAAGCACTTATGGTGTACGATGTGTTACTTGGAACACCTTAGACTACCTAGGATAGTCCAAGCAAAACTTGGAAAAGGAAAACTCTAACGGGGTTTGGTACCATTTGTCATAAGGTATAATTAATGAGCTGAACACTCTATCTGAGCCGTTCAGCTTCTCTTCTCCCTTCCAATGTTTCTTACAGAGTAAAGACGACTGACTCAGGATCCATGGATGCAGGACGAATGCATGAATTGTCTTGATAGGTCATACATAGTCATCATATGAGTCACACCCTTTAGCAATGACCTCGTCATATATCGCTATAATAATATTTGAAATACCGGAATTGGTGGGTCTACGGCCAAAAAGACGGCATTTAATTCCCGATGTCCTTCTCAGTCAGCTTTTGTCTGTGTGTCTTTAGGGCTTTCATCTGGTCAACATAATAGTCGGAGTAGAAGCACTTGACACGATCTCCATAACTCCCATTATCGAAATTGGCCATCGATGATGTACATCAAGTAAACTACCCAGCTTCATAGAACTCATGATTGTCTTCAGGGAATAGACATCTTGATGGCATGGAGCACTCCGCTTTAGTATCCTCAGTTCTACTGGAGATTTTATTTGTAGGACGACTAGTACGATACTTTCATAGGCAAAGGCCAAATTGAGCGTGGAAAAAAGTAACGAACTCTATCTTAAACATTTGGATTTCATTAGAGATCGAAGGACAAGTCAATCGCGAGCTTGGAGCCTACCGTCGAAGGATAACAGACCTTCCACGCCTAAGAGGTGAGAACAGAAGATTCGTTCTCGAGGTCCCCACCTCCACATTCAATATAAGATTCAAGGTCCGAGTCAAGATTTTCAATGATGGGGTGTCCCATATCATTTAAATTCAATGATAATACTCACGATTCTTTTACAACCAGAAGGCGGAATCTGATGAGATTATCGATCGTCAAATGGACTACCTAAGAACCCTTCAGTAACCTCTCTCGTGCTGCCGCCCGCATAGCTAGGTTCGACGAACGACTAGTATATAATAAATAGCCCTGGGGGAAAAAACCCCCTTAAATAGATCTGGGAGTCTGAAAAACGGGTCTGAATCAGTCGTTTCAATAATTTCAAATCTGATGGATTTTCACCTTGATCTTTATCTAATATTCCAAGTTATCCCATCAGGTAACCCTATCCTATTCTACAAACTGTTATGTATGCTCTGCCTACCTCATAACCTTAGAATATTTACCAACAGTAAATGTTCCAAAATTTCATTCAGAAATGGATTTGGCTTCGAGAAGTGAAGCTTACAATCCATATTAAAGTGGGAAGCACATGAGACATCTTACCCAGTTAAATGAATGTTTCCATTTATCATTTTTGAGATATTATTTTGAGAAGAGATTAGATCGCAGAGATTTCTCTCTCTTCAGCAGCCTTGGAACCGAAGTTCTCTGAATTGACATCTTAACTTTTGAGCAAATCGATCCCTTCAGCATGGGCTCGGGAATTGCAAGTCCGAGTATTCTTCACTATTCAATCTGTCATTCTCTCGACTGGCAAAAACGACAGGGTCAGTTTCAAAATTCATGCTTTCATCTTTGCCTGCTTCCGAATTTAATTGATCGTTGATATTCAAGGGTTAGCTAATATCAAAATATCTACACCTCCTAGGATTTAACTACAAACACGCCCACTATATTAATAGTTTAACAATTATCTTGTGGAGATGGCCGCCCTGCCCGCAATGTGGTAGATCCATGTAAGTCCACGCGGAAATTCAAACCTTTAAAAGAATATCGCGTCAAGATTTGGGCAGATTACTTTCAGGGTTTCAATCGGTATTTCCGGACGTTTCCAACTTAAGGGCCAGCAGTCTCAGGGTAAACATCAAGTTGGGTTGAGTTTAGAGAAGAACGTCTGAGGGAGCGATGTGGAGAGAAGAAGCTAAGCACCCTGAAGATTTGTACTCGATGGTGCCAAACTACCTGGTTGGGTAATGGATTGGTTTGATGGATTGAAACCTTGGAATGGTTAGAATATTATTAACTCTAGGGTGGAGCTAGGTTGCTATTGACGATTTTAGGGACGTCTCGAAATAGACTCGGTATACAGTTCACTCAAAGATAGGAGTAGACAAGGTAATAAACGTGGGGAACTAACCCAGACCCACCAACCTCAATGCTATTTCAAGATCCCGGAACTTCATGACTACGCATGCATTGAGTGCAATAATGGATAGTAGATGCTAATAGGAGCGATTTCAGTGTCGAATGTAAAGCTAGTGTCAACCATTTTTATAAATACAAAAATGGCAACTTCTCCAAATTGACCTGTTGAGGAAATAGATTGGTGGACCATGTTGATTGTCTGGTTTTCCTAACAGCCGGGGATAATGTTTGGGTCAACCTGGTTCATTTAGTAACTATGCTTCATTCTGCCAGGTGACACCGCTTTGAATACTAGAACCGATCTTAGTCACCGCCGATAAATAAATATGGATTATTTAGTTAGCGGTTACCTTATCATGTCAGGGGACAATTGTTGTCATACCCACGACGCTGTGAGAAACCTCCATTAAGTGCCTAGAGTGGGTCATACAAACATATCAAACACAGCCCTGAGCTGACATTATTATAGTACTATTCAATCATTTAATTGAGAACAAATATTCTATACAGAAGCTATAGGGCTGATATAAATCAAGGAATAAATTACAAAATAGAGAGGCATGTTTATTGCGGGGATATATGTTCGGCATGGCTGCTTACAACAAATAATAGCCTCCTAAGCATCACACCACTTCACTGTCCTTCGAAAATGGAATTCGCTCACATCTAGAGTCTTGTCATAAAAGTACCAAGTTTGTGAAGTTGTGGCTATATTCATCGCCCCCTATGAATCTTTCCTTGGCCATCAGTCACACGCTCTCTGTCATCGCCACACCCGCTTCTGACGACCCAATTTTACAATGCAACGACCAGCTCCTCGACCTCCTTTTCAATGAAACTGATGAAGCCCTAGAGCTAGCAGATGCAAAGCTACATGTTTTTCCTTTCAAGGATGTCAAGATCTGCTGGCGTCGACTGTACACTGACGCGTCTATCATCAAGGCGTGTTTTGTCATCATCAAAAACCGCGAATTAAGCCAACAAACTCGCAAGTCTGGTGCTAAAATTGACATTCCCCTACTTATACAAGAGGTAAAATGTCTGAAAGAATCAAGAATCAACCACCGGGCCACTTGGGTGTCCGAGGTTGTACATATCCTGGACAAGGCTTTGATTATGACGGGCGCACCGACACGGGAGAAGCTCATCGAGTCATTGCTATCCACATTGCAGAATGCTACAGAGGAGACAGAAGATGATGATATGCATAAGTATTCCGATCCACCGCAGAAGCGAAGGAAGCTATCATCACCTCTCTTCCCGCCACAATCTCTCCCTGAACCACGTCTAGAGCATCCAATCCCGCGCGTATCATCGCCATCCTTCGAATCCATTCAGAATCATATCCAAGATGTCCGCACTCCGCTCATCATAACCGATGATGTGAAACACTGGCCTGCCATGTCAACGCGAACCTGGAGCTCTCGCGATTACTGGTGGGCTCGTACGTTCAACGGTAGTAGGCTCGTCCCGGTCGAAGTGGGCAGATCGTATACAGACGAGGAATGGGGCCAGAAGATCATGGAGTTCAGAGAATTTGCCGAACGGTATCTCTGGCACGGTCAGGCACATAATGATACTGACGCTTCCACGGGTGATGGGGAGACTGGATACTTGGCCCAGCATGACCTTCTTGCCCAGATACCAGCTCTGCGGAATGATATCAGCATTCCAGATTACTGCTATATTGATCCCCCAGGGCCAGAGCCGGGTACGCCGGTATTCCTTAGCAAGCAGCGCGACCGCGAAGCGGCATTAGCCAAGCAGTCTGACCAGGATCTGCCAGCCACGGGCTGTGAAGATGAAGATGAATCAGCTACAGGCTCGGTCTTGGGTCTTCCTAGTAACCCCATTATCAATACATGGATCGGTCCAGCATGGACTATTTCACCGCTTCATCATGATCCTTACCACAACATCCTTGTCCAGGTGGTGGGGACCAAGTACATCCGATTATACTCGCCGCACACGCCCGCAGAGCAGATTCATCCCCGGTGCAAGGAATTGGTTACTTCAAGCGAGAAGGAGACGCACGGCATGGGACCTGGGTCTGAATCCGCATCAACGAATGAAGAGTCTGACGGTCAGAAATTGATCGACATGTCGAATACATCCAAAGTCGACGTGGCTGCGATTGAGCTGTCCCCTGCTGAAGCTGAACAGTGGGAGGAGCTGTGGCCTGGGTTTATGGAGGCGAAGTATGTTGAGACTGTTCTCCATGCGGGTGAGAGTTTGTACATCCCCGTTGGATGGTGGCATTATGTGCGTGGCTTGCGTGCTGGGATTAGTGTCAGTTTTTGGTGGGAATAATCCTACAAGGGCATACATTAGGACTTATTTTAGCCAAATAGTTTCATTTTCTATCTAGGTTTGTCCGATTATTGGCTTAGTACACCTGGCAATACGATACAATACAACAGTAACGTCTAGTTCCAACCTTCTACTAACTTATACAGAGTATTCTCTCCCTCAACATTACCTGGTAATACAACAAAAGGAACCACTCGACGCCAGGAAGTTGGCTCGTCGCACCGCCACAATGGCACACCAGGCACGGCTTGACCTATAACGAGCACGCTTGATATTCAAGCCTTTCGTAGCAGCATCTGAGGAAGTAATAACTCCTTATTAAAGTAAGCACTCCAGGAGAAAGAGCAATTATCCCCCAAAAAACATACCTTCGCAATAATACCGCGGCCGCACTTCAATGCGCTGCAAAACACCTACCAGCGCCTTTGCTATAGCCGAGCCAATATTAAAAGAAGACAGTTCGTCCGAGCCTGTTATCGGCTTCCGACTGTTCATAGCAAGGATATCCTTTCAAGCCAGGAGATTAGATTCCGCTTCTTGAACAATACTAGTAACAGCGCGCGCGGCAGTCTCAGGTGAAGCGATGAACTCTTCGGCCTCCATTTCAATGACAGCCAATTGACCCGAAGCGCCGAGACAGTCTCTAAGCACTTTGAGCTGGGCTGTAGTCTTAAGCACGTAGGGTCCTGCAAGTATCAGCCCGCCCGTCTAGCGGGGAGATGGGAGCTGCAGTTCTTCTACAGAAATGGGTGCTTTGGAGCGGATTCCGAGTCGGGTAGAGACGAAGGCTTCGCCTGCGCGGTAGAGGGAGTATTTCCTCTTAGGCTCGGCTGTAAGTTAATGAGCTTATTACCTCTAGATTGATATATGTGATTTATATAAGGGGACCAATTCCTACCTAAGAGCAAGGCGGCAACGAAAACATGCATATCCGATTCTGCGGCGGCATTTACAATGATCACGCCACTAGTAGGTGAAACGAGTAGCTTCTCGCAGACAGCATCCGGGCCACCGTGACGGATATTGTCCATAGTTACAAAATACACCTGGAAGAGGAATGAGAGCCTTATATAGCCAGTGAGGGGAGCAAGTTGGACATCGGAGAATGCCGATATACAATGGCAAAATTGCTATAGATACGAACCACTAAACATTTCGCATGTTAAATCATCCAAGATTAATTGAAGCAAGTTCTTCATAAAAGAGTCCAATTGATGATACTGAGATTCATTGGAGATAGATGGCTACAATCCTGATTATATGACACAATAAAAAACACCAAAAACACCAGGGCCCGTGCAGAGTTAAGATGCAAGATTGAGGATGAACGTGAGAATGCAAATAGATCTTGAAGCTCGCAAGAGTTAAAAATGCAACGCATAGGTCGTTGATCGTGTAGCCCTCATCGCTTACCCCCTGAGTGTCCTGTTCCCCTTCGTTACCATCATTAATATATCCGGATGTCCCCCCTCCCATGCCTCGAAACGCGTTTAAAAGAGTAAATGAGGTCGTAGACTGCGTAAATAAGTGGGTTTCACCAAGGATGCTTCTTAGCCCACCACTTCGCGGAGACTCAAAGTCTCCAGAAAGTTGCCGAGATCGTCCTTCCGTACTTCGACCACGCAGTGCTCGAAGCTGTCAATGCGGACGCGGGCTTTGGTATCATGGACCACTTCTTGGAAGGCAATACCAAATCGATTACGCAACAAGTGTCTCTTCCCACTCTGGTCTTCTTCATCTTCTGACTCGGATTCGGATGAAGACTCAGACTCATCAGAATCCTCTTCCTCATCCTCTTCGTCACGCTGTGCACGTTCGGCTGCTCGCTTGGCTCTTCGTTCAGCACGCTCTTTTTGTTTCTTTTCTCTGGCCGCCTTCTTCTTGACACGCTCCTCTTTGCGTCTTAACAAAGCAGCATGATCAACCACACCCCCACCACCACCAGTGCCCACAACCACATAAAGGTCGCGTTCCTCATCAAATCCAGCAAGCACGAGAGGAGTGCCGGCAGCTCGCTTTCGGCCCATCTTGTAGGTGTCTTTTTCACGTTCCTGGACTCTAATAGCTTCCGCAAGCCACAAAGCCAACTTGGTCAAAGCTCCCGCATTCGAAAAAAGCTTTACATCGGGTCCATCCTTGACGACAGCAATACGGAACGTCTTGAGATGGCGGATTTGATGCTTCGAAAGTAGAGAGGAGCCAGTTCGAAGGATAGCACGGTGGAGATGCTGGGCTAGTGGCAATGCTTCCATCAGAAGAGTAGGCGACTCAGATGTCAGCGAGAGGGCATCATATGCACTCCAGAATCGAGGTAAAAGACTAGTCATATCAGATTCCGCAGACCCTACTTCGTTCGCGGTCTCTGTTCGAGGGGCACGCCTGGCATCCCACGGTACAGATGCTTTGTGTGGACCAACTTCGAGTATGGCACCCAGAAGAACACCTACGTCGGTGGCAGAAAGACACGCCTTCCAACCCCAGCATCGAACGAAACCCCAACCTTCACGAGAACTGGCAGAACCTGCGGAAGCCTCGTTAGGAACGAGGCCGTCCAGACCATACATAGGCGCGTATTGGAGAAGCCGCCCTCGTAGCCCCCGTTTGAGTTCCATATCCATGTGCGTATAAAATTGATGACATTGAGTCAGGCTGATGCCCATCTTTGCGAGAAATTTGTGTAATCGTTTACGACCATATTCTGTCCAGACGTGCAGCTTCGGGGCAAGGAAAGGGCTATGAAGCATGCTCTCGTATAGTGACCAGTGCCGTACAAGCAAGAATCGCGGCTCAGGAGAAATTCGAATAGATGTGTCGGTAGGGGATCTAGCAGTCGTCGGAATGATACCGTTGATTTCACCCCTGATATCTCGATCGCGCTCCAATGGGTCTGGAGGGTTCAGTCTGTGTACTTCATCTCTAAGAATCTGACGAATATGTTCTCCCCGTTGTCCACCCCAACCCGCAGATCCTCCCGATTCTGATGTGTTGGAAATTCCTACACCAGTCATTGTTCGGCCGCTGAGCTCCAAGCTAGCGACACCGACAATCCCAAGCCAGAGAAGGTCATTGTCTTCACGGCCAAGTTCTGAGGCCAATGAGTATATTAGGGAAGAGATCGGCTCCGCATATGAGGTTCCGTTAGAGTAATAAGAGTGCAAAACGCCTTCTTGGTCCCTCTTGATCCCAATGAGGCGCCGTTTTAAAGCTCGTGCCGATGGCTGTTTTGGTGTCGGGGAGCCAGATGATTTTCTTGATCGCGTTGGAGATGAAACCAATGAAGAGCCCTGTAAAGCGCGTAAGTACCTAAGAGTAGTGGGGCGTACATGAGCTTCCTTACCGAATTACTTCGTACCCGTTGATGGGGAGGCTCATCGTCTTCATCTGAGCCGTCCTCATCTTCACGGCCAGACCATGATTTACGTTTCTTTCCAGGCTGCGGATCGTCGTCATCCATACCATCTTCACTCGCGTAATCGTCGTCGTCATCCACCTCGGGCATCTCCAATAATGCGTAATAGGCCTCTCGTTCCTTGCCCAATTCCTCTTCAATATCTCCATCGTCAAACACGATGATACCACCATGTTTCGACGTGTAGGCAGGAGTGATGCACCCGTTGTCTACTCCACGTCCGCGTCGACGTGCATTACCATCCATCTCAGCCATAGCAGAGTCCACACTGGGCTGTCCGCCAAAGATGTTCGCTAGGTTCCATGGCCGGCGCGAGTCGAACACCCAGATCTCCACACCACCAAAATCATCCCCTCCCTCCTCCGTATTATGCAAGGACAGAGTCTCTGCGAGATCGACTAGACCACCTACTCCAAGGCAGATCACCACACCTCCAGTGCCACCATTTGTAGTCTGCATCGGCCGAACCAGCTCCTCCCCTGCGCGCGACAAGTCGCCATATCCGGCGACAGGCTGGATCTTGTGGGGGATGTAGTCGCGTTTTAGTAAAGCTGTAAGGATCCGACAGGCGCACAGAGCATCAGGCTCAAGAGCCACAAGAAGAAGTACTGGTGGAGAGAGTGGGTGATGAGATCGGAGAAGTTGCAGGTATAAGTGAGAGATGAGCTGCCGTGGAAGATACATGGCCAACTAAGGAGGAGTTGAGATGCATGCGAGCATGAATAAAATAATAAGAATAATATAATAACAAACAAGAGGGAAGTAGAAGTTGTTTGGGGCCGACTTTAACATGAAGACGCGCGACGGAAGACGCGTTGGAAATTAGTGGTCTGTGCGGAAATTCTTTGGTCGCCTCGACACCGAATTATTCCAATCTCCCCTACTTCGTACTTCGCACTTTGCACTTTCGTGTCAGATCTATTATCTTAATTATTGTTTATTTGAATTCAAGTGCTCCAGTATTTATGACATCATGCATTTCCATACAAATAAACATATTCAATTTGTTTATTTATAGGTACATCTTAGATAGGCCTAGACAGACCCCTCTGTACTTCATTCGATGATTATACAGACTTCTGAAAAATAAGTCACTATTCAGTGAAAGGCATGTATGTTCTAGGAGTACTCATGATGAACGCCGAGCACCGATCATATGCTATTTAAATCAAGACAAGACCGCCAGAACGATAAGAGATTCAATCAGAACTGTTAGGCAGTTGAGCGACCTAGGATCGACCCGGCTACCCAGACTGCGGTACATACGCCCACAACAGATAACCCGACCAGTCGCTTGCCCCAACTACTATCATCGGTCATTCGGGTAGGCCCGATGGTCTTCTTGGGAGTCAATGGTATAGCTGAAGGGTTGGCATCGGGTTGTTGAGACGAGTTACTAAGAATGGACGCATACTCCTCGTCGCGCTTCTGCCACTTCTCAACTAGACGCGCGATCTCGGCCAGGTCTTCTTTGAGGGAACCTGGATCCGTCGCATTGGCGTTCTCGACTTCGACATTTTGGACATTGCCGAAGAAATCTACCACAGTACGCAGGCGGCCTTCTTGCTCGCCTCCGGGGAAAAGATCCCATCTGACACCAGGTTGTGAATGAATCTTCGACTCGTCGTACGAGTCAAACAGATCACCAAGATTCAACTTTGAGTTGGCGCTGGTCACTTGTGTTTCAAGGAACTCGAGCACGTAGTAGGTCCAGCGGTCGATCACGGCGACCCCGACGTCGTTGTCTGCGTGGTGGGAGTAGGACGATTGATCGAGTTCACTGGAACCTGTAGCCACAATGTTCGGTGAATAGAAATGTGTGTACATGGTGTTTGCCTGGCAGGTATCAATCATAAAAAGGAGCTCATGGTAACGTTTTTTCTCCCACATCTGTCCGAATGCGTCGGCCAAGTCCCATGCGCCAATCTCCTCCGCATCCTGGAACTTGAGAAACTGGTCACCACCGTGACCTGTCATGTATACTAGCACATTGCTTCCAGCATCCGAACCGAGACGCTTGCTACGTGGGACGTCTTCGTCCAGACGGTCTGTCAATAGTCGAATAAAGTTCTCCACTGTTACTTCGTAGCCCCTGTAGTCCACCTCGATGTTGTCGCCGTACAGATCTACTGCACGATCTGCATTGCTGTATACAGTTCCTGGGAAAGCATTGCGAGGGTTGCAGGCCATGTCATCGGGAAGCATCAGAATGATCTGGGAGTCGGGAATGCCAAGTCGCTTGACGGTTCGGTACAGCGAAAGGACATTGGCGAGATGGCGATAGTTAAACCAGAACCGAGAGGTGGAAACCAACACCGCCCAGTTGGAAGTGTGTTCAGCGGTTGCTGCACCAAGGAGCAGCAGTGCCAAAAATGCCTGCAAAAAGCGGAAGAAAAGGGTCATAGTGAAAGGAAAGGTCTAGATCATAGTCCAGAAAGGAGAGATAGCTTCAACTGGAGTAATTGGTTGAGAAGGTATGAGACACAAAGTAAAACAAGTAGGTAGCGAGCGAATTTCTCTGGCTGGATATCCAGACAGCACTCATGCCATCCCTGATGAGAGAATTAAGAGGTATGATATATTGACCTAAAGATGAAGCTGCAGCGCCCGTGATGACAAACGATACTCGAATTGGCGCCTGATATACCAGGTGTTAGCTCCCCGCGAATAGAGTTCTGGCAGAAAATACATACTAACCCTTTAGGACAGGCGGTATCAAAGGCGGTGTATTCTGGACAATAATACCGGAATAATTATCTCGTCAGATCGACCAAAGTACATCCACATTTTCCGCTTGCAAGGTTGTCCTTGACTATCCATCGGATTTTGTACAGGATCTTGCCAAAAGCTGTTGTACACTATTTGATCTAATTATTTTACCAACATGGCAGGAAAGAAAGGTGCCGAGAATTCCAAGAAGGCCGCTGGCAACGCCAGAGTATGTTATTGACCCCGCCCCCACCAACGACGTTATCAATTAACACTAGACAGAAAGCCGATGCTGCTGCCTCGAAGAAAGCTGGCGAGGATGCCAAGCGTGCTGCTGAAGAAGACAAGCAATGGTCTAAGGGATCAAAGAGCGGCGCGAAGAAGTATGTGTTTAGTTTTTTTTTTTTTTTTTTCTCTCTCTTTCTTTGGCAAGGTTACAAAAGCTAATATGACCTTCGTTTTTGCGCAACAGGGAAGATGCTGAAGCTAAGAAAGCCGAAGCTGCCCGCAAGAAGGCTGAGCGCGATGCCATGCTAGCCGCCGAAGAAGCCTCACAACCTGCCAAGGCCAAAGGTGCCAATGCGAAGACCGCACAAAAGAAGACTCGCGGCCTCGACCTATCGCAGTTGGATGACGCACCCTCAGGAAAGTCCTCTGCACTCAACGCCAGTGGTATTGACAATGCTCTGGACGCCCTCTCTCTCACAAACAAGGATACCTCCAAGGTCGAGCGACACCCTGAGCGGAGATTCAAGGCCGCCTATGCTGCGTTCGAGGCACGACGCCTTCCAGAGATCGAGGAGGAGAACCCAGGCTTGCGTAGACAGCAGCGTGTTGATCTTTGCCGTAAGGAGTTTGAAAAGAGCGAGGAGAATCCCTTCAACCAGGTGCACGTGGCGTCCAACGCTACTAAGGAGGAGATTGCTCAGGTCCGGGACCAGGAGCGACAAAAGACCGAATCCCGACTGAAATAGACTATTTCTATCCCACTGGACTTAACACTCAGAGTCTAAGACGAACCTGATGTACACTTTACACGACTTAGTTTTGAGGTCATTGTTTTGTACAATCAACAGCCATAGCCATGGCCGTTTAGCACTGCAAGGAAGATTACATTCAGTTGCATTTGTGAAGAATCTGAGTGGAATCTGAAGCTTTACATTAGCTTAGATGCATAGACATGGAAAATTAACGAATTGCAATGAATAAAAATGGGTATCGCCAAGTCAATCGACCTCGAGGAGCTAGGATTACAAGACAAGAAAAACGTTCATCCCATAACACCTCGCACATCCCAAACCTTAACAGACTCGTCATATCCGACACTGGCGCACCAACCCTCATTACCAAATAGACACCAGTCAACGCCGGTTACAAACTCAGTATGTCTGTCCATAACTCCTAGTTGCGTTCCAACCACTGGACCAGAGCGCATTGGATCTGAATCACCTACGTTTGATGCATCATTCCATACACGACAAGTCATATCGTAACTTGCACTCAAGAGAGTGTCTGGTAGATGCGGCGACCAGGCTACCTTCTTAACAGCAAAGGCATGACCTACCATACGAGATAGTGGTCCCTGTTGCGGAGCGCGGATATCAAATGTACGAATACAGCGGTCAACGCCTCCTGTGGCCACTACAGTAGGTCTATATTTATTCCAATCGTGAGTCAGAGCTTCGGATGGGGCATTAGTGTACGCCGGCTCCCCATTTGGATAGTTGGGAATAGCCTGCGCAATCGGGGAAGCGTGAATATGCATTTGGAGGACGAGGTGGTTGCTGGCCGATGCTGGAGTGCGAAGATCAAAAAGGCGTAAAGAAGAGTCAGTGGTGACGCATGAGAGCAGGTCGGGGTTGTGTGGGCTAAAGGCAGCTGAGTAGGTACAGCTGTGGGTTGGGAGGGTAAAAAGAGACTGCTGGCGATGTGGCGACCATATACGTATAGTGCCATCCCAGCTACTCGAGCAAAATGTGTCTTTCTTGACCATATTCCAGTTGACGCTGAACACTTCCCGGTTGTGTTCTCTCCAATTCATAATGGGGAAGTCATCGGCGGTGCAGTCGAACAGCTTAATGCTGCCATCACCTGATGCTGTCAGGACTTGGTTTTCGTGAAGCTCTGACCAGGCCAGGTCATAAAGAGAGTCTTGAGTGGTAAACCTATATAGAAGAGGTTCCAAGGTTAGATAAAATATTGAGAGTATTCCAGGAAATCCTACCATTTCACTGGAACAATTCCATTAGGTGTAAGCTCTAAAATGTAGACACGGCCATTTCCAACCAGGGCATAATTTGCCGAGGATGCAACAGCGAGTCGGTTATCAAAGAAGGGAGAGTATTTGACTGCGCAACCCTGGAAGCCCTCTGTGCGGAAGTCAAGCATAACGAATAAGTGATCGGGATGTGAATAGGCCAATCACTTGAACCTTAATCAACTTTCAACAGTGTTGTCTGACAACAGATGAAAGAAAGTATTCCGGTTGACATGGAAGAAAAGAAGTTTGTGACATTCCCGGTGGGTTTAATGAAAAACAGAGCGGGACTGCGGGGAGAATCAGTCAAATGCGAGCCGAGGCTCGTACCCGTAGAATATTGGTGATGATTTTCATTTATCATTTTGTAGGTTGACATAATTATTTTCTAATTTGATAATAATATTTACTTTGATAATGATTCTGCTGTCTTCATCATAGAACACCACTTGTGCTATGTCAACTCAAGGCTCTAGAGCGGTGATATAAGCAGTATTATAGGGCAGAACGTACTACAAGAGGTATAAGCACCAAATTTGGCCCTTCGAAGAAATAGTCAGATGGGCAAATACAGAGAAGATGAGCATAGCCCCTGCACTAAGGATGATACGCTCAATCAAAAAGAAGTCACCAATTTTTTTTAATTCAAAGGCCTTAATTAGGGTGTTATGAGGTTATTCCCGTTTTATTTAAAATACGAGGTTACGCGTTCGAAACCGACTGCACGCTTTTCTTTTCTTTTCTTTTTTTGTACTCAGACTAATAATTTAATGGGCATCTCGTATGGACCGTGATGAATATGAATCAGAATGATGGATACAACTATTGGCCGGTTTTGATTAAGGCTATCGAGGAGAATTTTCCAGATACTCGGTTTGATAATGACCCGTACCTCTCACTACCCGTCTTAAATGAGTTATATGGGGCTGGTGATCACTGTGGCATATACCAGGGTTGGACAATGCGCATTGGTGGAGTTACTCGAGGCTTTTGATGAGTTGAGATAGGTCAAATATTGGCGGAAAATCTTCGCCAAGGACGGGTCTAGAACAGGACAAATGGGGCATAAAGTTCCCCAGGTGGCAGAGATAAAGTGCGAAAATGACAAACAAACACATACATCAGACGATATTTGGAACAACTATAATTTCCGAATGTAGAATCGGAATTTTAGTCCATAATCTCAGGATTTGCAAGGATTGTTTTTAGTAGCAGGATCGTAGTTTTCCAACCTCCAGGGCTTGGAATACTTCTCTGCTCAATCACTAGCAGTTGATTTGTCCTGACAACCCGTTCCAAATACTGTGCAAGCCGCCAGATCTACGCGTATACCCCAAACTAATAATTTTGGCCTTCACCCTTTGGGCCACTTGCCCCGTATGTCGCAGTGCGGGTTGGATTGATAAGAGGTATGCCGCAAGACCGGCAACAGTTGGTGCAGAGAATGAGGTACCTTCCTTGCGTACAATGTCTGAATTGTCGGTGGAAGATGCACACTGAATTCCAAACCCTTGAGAGCTTGATCCTGCAGCGGAGCTGACAGTTCCTGGAGCTGAAATTTTAACCAAAGAACCACCTTGTGTAAACTTCGATGGAAGACCATCAATATCGACCGACCCAACCACAATGATATCAGGAAACTCTAGAGCAAAAAGGGCCGGGTAACGGTTCACGGAAGTTTTCCCATGCTGTCCACTATTCCCTGCAGCAATGACGATAACAGCATCTAACTCAACTAGCTGTTTAATCCGCTTTCGGTAGCCGTCTAGCTCTTTTTGACCCATGTTTGCTGAGTATTGGTAACTGAGGTTCACAACTGCCTGATAGTCTTTATCGTTTTTTCTTCCTGCTTTGATATCCTTGATGATAATTTCCAGGCCGGCTTCCATCCAACCAGAGTCACTTATATCAACAAAAGGAACCATCTTGAGATTAGCCCCCTTAGCAATACCAAAGGCTTGACCCACAATTTTGTCCGCAACACATGTACCGTGTCCTATTGGATCTGATATCGGTTTAGGTCGCTTCTTCAAGAGTCCAAGTGTTGGATACAGCCATGAGACAGTCCCTTTTGTCACACCAGGAGGCGCATCCCATGTGAACTCATCGTGATCAATGTTGATACCGGAATCGTGTACATATACAGTCACTCCTGAGCCCGCACCAGCCTGGAATGCGTAGTCTTCCATATGCCATGCCTGATAACCTTCAGGGGTTGAGACGAACTTCATCTCAGGACTGGCCCCGTTCTGGTAAAGTATGTCAGTGACGGCTCGCTTGGCATAGACGCTCGACGCATCATCCGTCACGTTCGTAGAATGTAGTGCTTCATCTTGGGCCTCAGAGTTGTCCAAGCCACGCTCGAATATTGCCAATGCCTCTCCAAAGGATTGAAGCTGGAAACACCCGGCAAGTAGAATGGCCGTATACGATATCAACATCTGTGAAATAACGCGAAAATTAGCCCCCAATTCTTCCAAGGTACTCAAGAAAAAGTCGTACCCTAAATGTCAAAAAATGTTAGGTATGATACCTAAGCAGCCCTGGAGGTACAGTCTTGGTAGAACCTTGGGAAAATTTGACTTGGATAGGTAGCTAGGTACATGTTCTTAGATAAGTAGCGAAATAGCCTTCAGGATGCTTCAAGGGGATCTATGTGGTATGCTACTCTGCTTATTACAAAAAAGAGGCCCAAGGATCAGTAAATGATATGGAAGCCCCATAATCCAAGGGATGTGTCCATTTATAGAAATGAGATGTTGAGCTTGATAGAGAGTTATGTTATTGATTAATATTCTGCCAACTCACTGCTCCTTCCGTTGTCTGCTATTTTTCTGCCATATCTCTACAAAACCTTTTCCTAATATACTCCCTACCAAAGCGTTTTTAGCAAAGAAAAAAAAGAATTAAATTAAGGGGATGTTATAAAACGATGTTTTCTACTGCGGTGGGTCTAGCGGAGCCTTATGGTTGTTGGCCCCCTTCACTGACCGCTTCTAGGGCATTGGCGCTTACATACTACCGCCTAGCTTTAGTGTAGAATGATTCAACACGGCTGAACGACCTTGGGAAACTTGGATTTGGATGAGTCTGAGCAGTGAACATCTGATTAACTAGTATGATGAAAAATATCAAAGCTGTCAGGAAAACCTACGTAAGTGTGTTTGGTATACTCCATAGTAGAAATCAATTGGATTATTTTTGATGTTTCCAACGTTTCTGCCCGGTAGTAAAACAAATACTAAGTAAATATTTATTTAGTATTTACTCTATGAGATCTGACTACGGATACAGCCCTGGAGAGTATATTTAAAGCTAAACCTGATTAGTTGAAGACGTCCCCGAATTAGGCTAGGGTAGTTGTCACAAGTAATCGGGAGGCCTGTTTCACCTCTATTAATAATCGTTTTATTTAATCATTAGTTACTAACTATCTTATGATAATGCTATTTGCGAGGCATAGTTGAACATCTGCCTGATTTTAGGCGCGGTGCACTAATGAGAGGCGCAAATTACCATACTTGTAGATGATTCTATCTGGTTCATTCGTGTTCCTCGATATGGCATTTCATCATTTCTTGTCAAATACTTCATTCGTAATGAATTTGTCACTCTTAAGTTTCTCAAAACGACCAAAGTGCCCGTGCCTCAAGGTTTCGGTTACAATATTGCTAGCGATAAGAATAGAAAAGTCGGCGTGAGCTACATAGTCATACAACAAATTCCAGGAGAGGTTTAGTATGGGAAAGGCCCAAACGAAAAACACGATGTCGACGAAAAAGATAAAGAGAAAAGAGAATATTCAGTACCCTAGCAGATATTCTGATTGAGTTCCATCGCAATCCCTTTCTAAAGGTTGGATCTCTTCACCTTGGACCTTTACCTTCAGAGCCACTTGTATCTGCTCTTCCTAGCGAACGATTTTTTGTCCAGAGCATGTGCGGGCGTTTAAATACAGCCAGCAACTATTACAGCTCATTCATAGAGCAGGATATGGCCCTTATTGCTGATGGCCAGTTATTTCCATTTTTTCTCGTGAATGCATATCTATTGTTTTCTTTCGTGAAATCCTACATCGGGGATTTAACAGCACATTCGAAACCAAACCCGACAGAAGATACAGAGTAGTTCTTTATCAAACATGTGGACTTTTCTTGGGATGAAACTCTTCTTTTAATTCATGGCACATGGGCAGCCTTTGGGCATGGAATGAAATTGGTGCAAACACCTTATGAACCTTCTCCAGACCTCGAGATTTATCAACAATATCTCCCAATCGTTCATCACAAAATATGCTTCTCCAGAATGCTCACCTTCTAGGAACTTCTTCTTTATTTTTGTAATTAAACTTCCAAGTCAGAAAATAGAAGACGGAAATATTGGGGAAAGTAACATCTACAGAGATGGGCACATAATATATGCGAAACCTGCGCCCTTAATAATAGCCCCCTCAGCGAGCATGAAGTGGCAACACAAGAGGGCCCGCAGATATGAAGCAAATCTGGCATGTTCAAACGCAATATCGAATTTCCCATTTATAGATGTTTATTAAAGATCGAATATCTGAATTCCTGTGGGTCCGGCAGGTGGCAAATTTCAGCGCCCGATCCTCTGAAACTAAGTAGTATTCTCCATGCATCTTGTCTATTCCATTTATATTTCTAAAAACTCCGTATGGATACCGGATAACTCTTGCGTGTCTTTCACCACTATCGTAGATCTAATTTGACATCTAAGTCGGTTTTACTGTGTTCTGGATATATTTCCTAACGTAAGCCACTTAGGTCTTGGGGGCAGTTCGAGATTACCAGCCCCGAGGATGCCTATGTGATCACCGATATTCTAATGTAGTAGGTTAGGAGATCGATTCAAATTCATGTACCTCATTCAGGTTTACAGCTCCAGTTGCATACCTACGTACCTAACTAGTCTTTAAATACTTACCTATATCTGTGAATTGAGATCTTTCGGAACGACATATACTAAATTTCCAGTTACGGCAGGTATTCTTAGTAAGCGACTAAGCGACTAAGCGACTAAGCGACCCACAAGGTTGGCTCCACAATCGGGAACTAGTTTACGTAGATCGTCGATAATTTCGATCTCCGTCACTTAACTAGTCAAGGCTTGCTTTTTACAATATGATGATAAAGTTGATATTAGATTAATTACAGTTGGAAGTGCATTCTCTTATTAATCACGATATTGGGGATCCAGATCCTACTGGGCTGAAGCAGACGTAATCTTAGCCTTGGCTTACTACCCCTTTGATCGCCCCGAAGGAACCTTCTATATCATGGTATCAGTGATAGAGTCTGCAGCACTTTACTAAGAAAGGAAACTGCTAGTTTATTCAGTGTCATATTAATCGCCATCTGAGAGGAAGAAAGTGGACTATACCACATGGGGGCCGGGCCAGCGGCGGCCATTGAACAATGAGCCTCATAGCCCCCACGTCAGCACTACATGATTCTGTGGATAGAGTAATTGCATGCCCATACCTGCACGAAAGGGCTTCTATTCCTGAAGGATGTCACTTGATACATGTACTCCACTGTAGCCTTCTCTCACCTCATAGCGTCCTTCCTAAATTTAGCCCCAGAAAAGTTTAGTCTTGTATAAAATATGATATTCCAGATATCGTGCACTGGTAGCTGGTTTGTACTCTGTAGTAAAATTCTGCATCGTCAATCTCAATGCTCTCCAAAGGGGCCTTTTTGATGCTGCTCCCCCTCTTGCAGGGGGTTAGCGCAGATTGGACTACGACCATTAATGCTACTGTCGCCGTGTCGAATGGCTTGGAGCCAGTTATAGACTTCACCACTACGGCGTCAGGTGTTACACATCACTTACCGACCACTGCATTGGGAACATTTAACCACAAGCATAGTCACAAGGAGGTTTTCACCACTGTCGTTACAGTTCCTGATGGCAAGGTTCCTGTCGTTCACTATATCACTAAGACCGATCATGAGAAACACTCCAGCCAATCTTCTGGAGGTGCGTTGTCCCACTCTAAAAAACATCCCAACCCAAAATATACCCACACCAAATATATCTCCCCAGGAAAAACCCATACCAAGTCTTCCAATCCAAAACATACTACCCCAAGAAAGACCCATACCAAGTCTACCAATCCAAAACATACTGCCCCAAGAAAGACCCTTACCAAATCTTCCAACCCAGAACATACCACTCCAAAAAAGACCCATACCAAATCTTCCAACCCAGAACATACAACCCCAACAAAAACCCATACCAAATCTTCCATCCCAGAACATACCACCCACACAAGGTCTGAAGACCTGAAGTCTACAGGCATGAAGACTGAGAGCCAGAAGTCGTCAAGCCCGAAGTCTAAAGGTGCCGCAACTGAAGGCTCGAAGTCCAATAGTCTAAAGTCGTCAAGCCCGCAGTCAACAGGTGGAACTACTGAAAGCTCGAAGTCATCAAGCTTGGAGACTCCAGGTCCGAGATCAATAATCCCAGAGTCTTCAACCACCGATACTTCCATTACCAAATCTTCAAGCACCACTCCTCAACTCTTGCCTGGAAGCTCATCAGCCCGGTCTTCTATAGTTATAGCCGCGGATCCGACAACCTCGACAAAGGCCGTCAACACACCGGCCGCAACTAGTACTCAAAAGATGAGCACCGCCAGTGAGTCGGCACCTACTGTTCGCGCTTCTAGTGCGCCAGCAGATACTTTGGATGACACTACGACTACTGCTTCAACTGCTCCCAAAAGCCAATCCAAGGTTGCAAGCACGGCATCGGGCTCTGTTTTTGGTGGTGTTGGCGTTGGAGGCTTGGGTTCAACGTCTCAAACAGACTCTGCCCTGCCTATAGCCGCCTCATCGGCCAACACCGGTAACGGATCCCAAGGAAAGACAGCCACAGCCTCTGGAGCAGCCACAGCATCTGGAGCAGCCACAGCATCTGGAGCAGCCACAGCATCTGGAGCAGCCACAGCCTCTGGAGCAGCCACAGCCTCTGGAGCAGCCACAGCTTCTGGAGCAGCTACAGCCTCTGGCACAGCCACAGCATCTGGAACTGATACGTCTGGAACTGGTACTACGACTGGAGCAAGTACCACAGCTGCATCAGGCCTTGCAAATGCGCCTGAGATCACCTCACAAACCGGTGATCTCGCTGCGTATGCACCTACCGGTACTCCAGTTCCCGAGGCATGGCCCGCCGCCGCGATTATCTCGTCTTCTGGTCTCGACACAGCAGCAGAGGTTGCTGGTGGTGCAGCCCTTGGAGCTCTTGCCGGCTCGCTTTTCAACAATATTGGTACTCTTTCTTCAGACCCTGTAAAGTATGCGAGTGAAGTCGGGACTCTTGGAAGCCAAGCTTCGAATTTTCTCTCTGGCATCAATTACTCAGGTTCTTCCCCTTGCTCTGGCACCTTGAAGAAGAGAGGTCTATTCAGTGCTATCAGTGGCATTGCCAAAGCTGCGACTAGTATTGGTACGGGTGCTGTAGGTGACGCTTTAAGCGTTGCAGGTGATGCAGCTAGCTGCCTCGAGTCACTTGCCGGTAGCGCAAAGAGCATCATCCCCGATACGGCGGAAGCTGTCACCCCAGATATTGAGGCCGAGGTCAAGAAAGCCGCTGAATATATGGACACAATGGGTAGCGTTGTGGAAGATATGACGAACAAGGCCAATGAAGAAGAGCAAAAGTCTCAGAGTGAGGAATCGCAGACCAAGACTACGCAAAGCAAGACTACGCAAACTCAGACAACTGAAACTACAACATCTGAAACTTCTTCCTCTTCTTCTTCTTCCTCTTCTTCGTCTTCGTCTTCGTCTTCGTCTTCGTCTTCGTCTTCTTCGTCGTCTCCAACCCCGACTTCGACTACAACCTCAGAATCCTCATCATCGTCGTCTTCATCATCGTCGTCTTCATCATCGTCGTCTTCATCATCGTCATCTTCATCTTCGTCGTCTTCATCTTCGTCTTCTTCATCTTCGTCGTCTTCATCTTCGTCGTCTTCATCTTCGTCGTCTTCATCTTCGTCGTCTTCTTCCACGCCTTGTTCATCAAGCACAACTTTCTCTGACTGCACAACATCCACTATCTTGATTCCCACTTACATTTCCTGGGGAAGTTTCACTTCTCCGTCGACCTCCACAAGTACCACAGTTACTTGCAGTACCGGCACTGCCTGCAGTGCCACCCCTACCTCGACGACCGTTACTACGACCAAGGCTCGAAGACTCTCGAGTAGGGTTAGTTCGACCTCGAGCAAGGTCAAGTCTTGCAGGCTAAAATCAGTCACTGCGAAACCATCAAGTGTTTCGGCATTCCCACTCACGTCTTCTCCTTTGTATTCTACTTCTACTGCACCGGCTACCAGATCGTCTGGTATATCCTCAAAGGTCCGCTCGTGCTCCGCCAAGTTCAAGACCCTTAGCGGCTCGTCGATCCCCTACTCGACATCGCCTCCGTCCTCTATACCAATGTCCTACGCGTCAGGCTCAAAGATTCGCTCATGCTCCGCCAAGTTCAAGACCCTTAGTGGCTCGTCGATTCCCTACTCGAGACTGCCTCCATCCTCGACACCAATTCCCTACGCGTCGGGCTCAAAGATCCGCTCATGCTCCGCCAAGTTCAAGACCCTTAGTGGCTCGTCGATTCCCTACTCGACATCGCCTCCGTCCTCGACACCAATGCCCTACGCGTCGGGCTCAAAGATTCGCTCATGCTCCGCCAAGTTCAAGACCCTTAGTGGCTCGTCGATTCCCTACTCGAGACTGCCTCCATCCTCGACTCCAATGCCCTACGCGTCGGGCTCAAAGGTCCGCTCATGCTCCGCCAAGTTCAAGACATTGAGTGGCTCGTCGATCCCCTACTCTCCGTCCTCGACACCAATGCCCTACGCGTCGGGCTCAAAGGTTCGCTCATGCTCCGCCAAGTTCAAGACGTTGAGTGGCTCGTCGATCCCCTACTTGCCGTCCTCGACACCAACTGCCTACGCGTCGGGCTCAAAGATTCGCTCATGTTCCGCCAAGTTCAAGACCCTGAGTGCCTCATCAACCTCGAGATCACTACACTCTTATGGAATTACTTCCTCGCCAACTGCAAGCTCGACAGCGATGACGACATCTACAGCAACCCTTCCCACTACCATCCCTATGTGTGTGATTCATTCAGGCCCCGATGTTCCCACAGCTTACTGCACATGTTCAACCACAACTGAGGGGCAGACCTTCTATGCCTCGACCAGCCTATACACCAACGGCCAGTGCTACGAGTACACCAGCTTCCCTACAGCGGTTACTCCGACAACAAGTACACCTGCACCTACAGAAACTACCCTGGATACGCCTTTGATTTACTCTACCGCTACGGATGGTCTCATTGTTTCTTGGGCAGAGGAAATCGTAGAACCTAGTACAACGGTTGGGTATGGCACTGCTGCGACGTTGCAAGTGGCCATGCCATCAGTGACCTCCCACAACAACAAGGGCGCGTACAGCTGCAAGAGTATTGGCAGTACCTGCAAGAATGCCGTTAAGCAATATATCAACGACGGAAATGACGCCAGAGTTTTCAACCAGTACACGTCTTTCGTCTCGGACGCTAGCAGTGGAATCATTGTGGCAGCAACTTTCGGCAAGGCCGGTTGTACAGCCCACTTCAAGTGCAATAACGACGACTATGGCTTTGGCATGACTGGAAGGCAGATCTATGAAGGGTGAGTCCAATGACCTTATATGTGTTTAAACGTTTCTAACCATTCTTCACTTTAGTGCTGAGTTCTTGTGGGACGAAGGCAGTGTTAAAAGCTGTGGAAGTGTATACTGGGACAACGGCTGTGGTCTCACAATGAACTACTGCACCAGCTGCAAAGAGAGTAACCAGTATTCTTAGGCAGGCACCTTTTAAAGCTATATAGCACGTCCAATTTTTGGATATGGCCTATTCACAGCTTTTGAATAAGCCTTATTTTAGGTGCTTTTCTTCAAATATTTCATTTCATTTTTCAAAATCATTTTTCTCTTTTTTTTAGATCGTTAAATACTAGGGCTTATTCTTCAAAATTCAAATTAACAGAACATGGCGCATTGATGTAAGCCCTGGAGCAATCAGGACATACCGGATAATTAGCATCTGATTGGCCACTATTTAGATTGTTAAAATTTAGAAGAGGGTGGGACAAAACCTCATAGGAAACAATGAATGAAAATGCATGCGTGGGTAACTAATGTAAAGTATTTCACCACTGAACGGGTCACACTACTGAACGGGTCACCCCACCAATTTTACGCGTCAGTCTGGTGTTTCCATTTTCAACTACCCACCATGCCCCCCTAAATGCTCTATATGTCCAAGACAAACAGGATCAGGAGAATAGGGTCTTATTAGCTTACCAAGCTTACAAGAATGGCGATATATCATCAATGCGTAAAGCTGCAGCTATGTTTAATATACCATTTTCAACCCTCCAACGCCGCCATTCTGGTGTCCAATTTCGTCTTGAAACACACCCACCGCAGTCTAAACTGACTGAATCTGAAGAGGATTCATTACTTCAATGGGTCGTCTCTCTAGATGATCGCGGCTGTGCTCCTAGAACTAAAGATGTTGGTAGAATGGCTAATATCCTACTCGCCGACCGCGGAACCAACCCTCCTCTTACGATCGGTAAAAACTGGGTTACTAGGTTTGCGACGCGTTTACCTGAACTTAAGACGACCTATTCAACACCGCGCGATTTTACACGTGCGCGTCAAGAGGACTATAATGTGATCAATAATTGGTTCAAACTGGTTGAAAACACGATCGCAAAATATGGTATCACCACCGACGATATCTATAATTTTGACGAGACTGGGTTTGCGATGGGACGATGTGCGACCGCGAGAGTGGTTACTAGAGCTGGTTATTATGGTAAACGCGCAAAAAAACAGCCTGGTAACCGGGAATGGGTTACTGTGATAGAGTGTTTAGGCGCGTCTGGTTACGCACCTCCACCCTGTATTATCTTTAAGGGTAAGGTGATGATGCAGAGCTGGTTTGCTCCTGATCTAGGTTTACCACCTAATTGGCGTCTTGAGATTAGTCCTAATGGCTGGACATCAAATCAAATAGGGCTCCGTTGGCTTGAAAAGCTCTTTATACCTGCTACTGCTCGTACTAAAGGACGGTATCGCCTTCTGATCTTAGATGGCCATGGTAGCCATTTAACACCTGATTTCGACAAAATCTGCCAGGAGCATGATATTATACCATTATGTATGCCTGCGCATGCGTCTCATCTTCTTCAACCTCTTGATGTTGGGTGTTTTGCGGTGTTAAAACGCTCTTATTCTCGGCTGGTTGAGTCTAGAGTAGAGCTTGGTTTTTCCCACATTAGTAAAGGAGATTTCCTAGAGATATATCCTACTGCGCGTATTGAAGCATTTGCATCTGCTTCTAATGCGTTTGCTGCAACTGGAATCGTGCCACTTGACCCTACTAGGGTGTTAAAAAAGCTTACTATGCGCGTCGATACACCACCACCACCACCCTCTATAGGAAGCGATTCAAGTCGAAATTGGACACCTAAGACGCCTAGGACGCAGAAAGATTTACGACGTCAACACCAAGCTATATTACGCACTGTATCTCGAACGCCACCAACACCATCTAAGAGAGCATTAGACCAGATAGTAAAGGGTGCAAATTACCTATATCAAGAGAATGCTCTCTTACGCCTGGAAAACAGAGATTTACGCGCCGCCCATGAGAAAAAGAAAAAACAAAAAGAACGTCCGAATCGTCAATTAACAGTAGTAGGGGGTCTTACAATTCAGGAGGGATTAGACCTGGTTGACGCGTCGAATGGTGGCCCTAAACTTAATGATGCCAATTTACAAGAGGGCCAGGCGCCTGTAAGGGCGCCTGTAACCCAACGCCGGTGTGGGATATGTAAGACACCTGGACATAGGAGGGAAACCTGTCCTAGTAGGCCCATTCAGTAGTTTTTTTTTACTATATTACATAGTAAATAATGGAGTTATTGGGATTCATAAAAATAAGTGGGTCAAACTGACCCGTTCAGTAGTGTGACCCGTTCAGTGGTGAAATACTTTAGTGGAATGCTGAGTAAATAACTAACTAACCAATTAAATAACAGATCAATCAGGTGATGATAAGGTCTTATCGGATACAACTTCTTTCTAAGGTAACCATTCAGTCATACTCAAGGATGGAGTTCAGCATCCATGGATGCATTTCTTGGAAGGAAAAGGCCACGGCTATCTTATACAGCTGAGAGTACAGTGGCTGATGCCACCGTAAACCATGAGAACACGAACCAAGATGGGGACGACTCTACAGACATAAAGCTGGCTATGCTAATGTCACTCCATCCACAAGTCAAGCAAGATGATATTCTAGATATTCTCGTCTCATGTGACGGATCTGTCAATGCTGCTTCGTCAATTCTGTCATCCCAGGGAACCTGGACCAATAAATCGGCCAAGAAACGCGCCACCCCAGGCTCCGCTATTGGCGTACAGACCTCTTTATCAGCTCATATTCTGAAAAAAGCCGATGATGGATCTCTTACCTCGATGCTGGAAACCCCTGGAAACAGAAAAATTATTTCCCCTAGGAAAGGACAGACCCTGCATTTGTTCTCTCCTGAGGATATCGCAGCCTACACACCCTGCACGATTATCCATAACTTTCTCTCGCCAGAAGAAGCGAATGCGCTCCTCACAGAACTCCTGGATGAATCAAAACACTTCTCCAGATATGAGTTTCAACTTTTCAATCGTACCGTACAAAGTCCCCATAGCGCAAGCGTATATGTCTCAACGCCTGAGGAATATCAACAGCAAACTTCTGAGTACACCTACGGCGGTACATCGCGATCGAATGTGCGCCAGGCCACAACAAACCTTCTCTCTGTATCGCCAAAAGTGCAGCAGACAGTAAACGAAGAAATCCAAAAACGCATTCGCGATGTGTATTCCGACGGAAAGAAACTAAGATACCAATCACCACATGAGTGGCGACCCAATGCAGCATTTGTCAACTGCTATGACGGACCTACCGAGAGCGTAGGATACCATGCAGATGAGCTAACCTATCTTGGTCCACACCCGGTGATCGGCAGTCTGAGTCTGGGCGTGGAACGAGAATTTCGAGTGCGCCGAGTCATCCCCGATGATGAACACGACAGCGAAAGTAAAAACAATGAAAGTATTGCTTTGCTCAAGGAAATCAAACCGAAGAAACTATCAGCGCCCACATCGGCTGTGCGCGCTGATGCCCAGGGGCAGATCTCCATCCACCTTCCCCACAACTCACTCCTCGTCATGCATGCAGAGATGCAGGAGGAATGGAAACACGCAATAAGCCCTGCCCAAACGATCTCCCCGCACCCGATAGCAGGAAATCGCCGCATTAATATCACGTATCGTTGGTACAGGGATACATTGCATCCTCGATATACGCCCCATTGCCGCTGTGGGAAACATGCCATTCTCCGGTGTGCGCGGCGTAAACAGGAGACGCGAGGGAGATACATGTGGATGTGCTACGCCGGGTATGATCCGGGTCAACATGGTTGTTCTTTCTTCCAATGGGCCGAATTTGACGATGATGGAGATCCGATCTGGGCCAAGGGACAAAAGAATAGTGATGATGCTGCTCCAGTGTTAACAAATTTTTCGACCTGAAAATAGCAACCAGAGAAATATCTCATTTTTTGTGGGTTAAGCAAAAACTGCAAGCTTCAGAAAAGGTCAATGCTTAAAATCACTTTTTTTGGATCCATCACTTCTAGACTGTGGAATATTATGCAATCTTTTCTCTGGTGACTGGGTAAGTATCGGACATGAAACTTGAAAATGAAAACTGATGGTAAATTGGAGTGATAGCAAAACTTAGCGTCGCTACTGATAAGAACCGGATCTATTTGCGTGCATACTAGGAAGCACTACGCGCAGAGTGCGGAGAGGGCCATAGTAGTTCATTTTCTTCTGTTCCAGTGAAATTCATTGATCAATACATTATACCTATATACATTTGGCTAGAATTGTATGTTAAATTAACTTCTGATTTAAACTTACCATAGCGGATGCGTCCGTCCCAACAAGTGCCTTTGATACGAGCATTCTTCGCATTTTAGTGATCGATAAAAATTCAGCAACCAAATGGAAACAATTATTTTGGAAGGGATACTTGTAAAGCATTCTGGACTAGATTATGACAATTAGAACGCCCTCTGTCCCTACTAGCTTCTTATATTATAGCTTCGGGCGTTTCCCCTTGTATCTTCTAATATCCCTTTTGAAATGCTGGCAATTACCCCCAGCCGCTTGAACGCTTGAACAATCCCACAATGTGCGGTCACTCGTCCATATTAGTCCCATAAGCAAGCTCCATCTCTGGCGTCGGTACAAAACACGCGTCAGCTATGGTCACAGCATCCCCCATCGAGAATTGCCCTCCATATCTGACCAGTAGCCTTTTCATACGCCATCAAGTTAGCGAGGAAAAACCTCCGTCACAAAAGTGATATGGTCCTTCGCTTCACCTCAAATATCACATACTCTTTTGGCAATCCTTAATTAGTGATAGTTGAATATCATTGCTGATTATATTCACCATCTCTCGTATCCGGGCACGCTGTACTAGATCCGCAGCTCGAGACATCAGTGGTGTCGAAGTGGGGAGGATTTCTTCTAAATACCCCAAGATAGCGACTGACTGGGTGAGAATTGTCTCAATTCCATCGCTTTCCCTGATTACGAGAATCAACGCCTGGAACGCAGTGCTTTCGTGCTCAGCAAAAACACCCTTAAGATGCATGGCAATCATCACAAGACTCGAGCATTTCGAACAAAAATGTGAAACAAGACGATATCTTTTTTCTCGTGGGTCTCCATTTTAGGATTTATTTGATTTGGTGGAGGGTTTTTGGTGTGTGATGAGTAGGTGTCAGAATGGCAGAGATATCAGGAGTTCCGAGACCATAAATTGCTGCTGACGACATCTGAATTAAAAATGCACAAATAAGATAGTATATGTTCTTCTCGTCTTCATTTTCATCTCTGAAACCCAACAGCTTGCGCTTGAATTCATTGTCCGTCGGTACTCCGATGAGAACAAGGATACCTGGAGCTGAGAGTTCTTTATACGCTGGTACTCCGTTTTTGGGTCCAAGTGCATCGGGCTTAGTTCTTTTTCCCTCTCCAATTTCACTTTTACGATATTTAATAGAAAACTAATCGTATCATTTAACTAGAGAAATGTAGATTATGCTGGACATGAGTTATTTAAGTCGTCGGCAACTTCAAATTTGACAATCTGTCGATAGGTGATCATGATCAAGAGCTTGGTTTCTATTGAAAGGATACTTATCGCTCACAAAAATCTCAGTCTGTATCGAATTCTTTAAGATCGCTTTCGAAAAGAAATCATCAAGTCCCCAAAGCCAATCGTGAAGGCATCCTTAGCGTCGTTCTCGAATCTCTGACCATTCTCGCCAGGCGCGAACGATAAATCGAAGGTAGTTATCAGTCTGGCAATAGTTGTTCGAATATTAAGTAGAGCTAAGGGTCTACCTATGCAACCGTAAGGGCCTATAGCGAAAAGGAGTCAGCACCTGTTATAAACTCATAGGAAAGGGAACCAGCACCTACCAGTGGAAAATGGCGCAAATGCGCTTTTCTCTATGATCAAGTCTGGGCGGGTCGACCAGCGCTCGGGGATGAATTCGCTTGGATTCTTGTAAACGTCTTTACCTAATATTATTATTAGCATACTCTGTAAACATAGCATTGATCTATTCACTTGAATACTCACTTCTTCCTAGCACATATTGTGGGCATATGACTGTGGTGTCCCCTGGAATAAATACATCACCGATGGTGATACCCTCTGGTGGAGTCTTTCGCTGTATTGTGGTTGGAACAACAGGGTGTAAGCGAAGTGCCTCGTTTATCACTCCATTCAGATGTTCCAACTTGGCAATATTTTCGTTTAATACTTCACCCGATGGCTCCACGTGCGACGCAAGTTCTTGTCTCAGTAATTCAATATGTCTGGGGTTTCGTGCGAGCTCGTAAATGATGGTCGATAGAGTGGTTGCAGTAGTGTCACTGCGCAGTTTCTATTAATATACGTAATTCAATATTGTAACTCGAATATTCCCAGTCTCACCTGCCGGCGACCACAATTAGCTGAGAATCACCACGTAGTAGGTCCCATTCTTTGCGCGTAGGTTCTTTTCCATTCAAAGGTGCGGATAGAGCTGACGTTATATCGGGAGTGGCTACAGGATTCTAGCCATAGGTCAATCGAATGATCAGAAGAAGAGGCAGTACTTTTTAAACGGGAACTTACTTCAAGTCGCTGCTGTATCTGATGAGCGCAGAAATCAATGAACTTCCACCAGTCCCGAGTCAATCCTGGAACTGCGGTTAAGAGCCTGAGAAACCACGCAGGAAAGCCAAAGCTTAGGGCATGAAAAGCATTCTTGAACAAGTCAATTGCTCCGTAGTCCTGATTTTCCAACAAGTCAAATGATTTCCCAAATGCCAAATCGCCCATAAAGTCAAAACTATACATGTTAAACCACTTTATGACGTTGATAGGTTGACCGTTAAACAGTATGATATGGTCTATTAACTTTTGTTGGTATTTCTGCAGTCGTTGCTCGTAGCCACGGAGAGCTTTGTCGCTGAATGCAGTACTCCACAGCCGACGTCTCTCGTCGTGCAATGATTTAACCCGAAGGGTATGTAACGAGACCATTGGCTGAGTCAGGTCATATAAAGCAGCTTTGGTACACTTTGATCCAGCGCCATGAACAAGACTGACAGCTTCTGGATGCGCGATAGAGAGGTAATTTGGACCGAGGCGAACAAATGGTCCATGCTTAGAGTGCAGTCTCTCAAATTGCCGAAAAGCATCGCCAGCTCGTAGAGTGAATGGAAGCCAAAAGTCGGAAATCTTGGCACCGAAAGAGCCAGGGAAGCGATTCAGTGGGCTCAAGAACAGGCGGTAAGATATTATACTAGAATAAATGCCAGAAAGGAAGCATGCTCCGAGCTTTAGGGCTTCAATCAAGGATGGTAAGAAGTCTTCTCCGCCAGAATTCAGAATAAAGGCAGCAAAGCCAATTGCGATAAAGAAGAATCCAGTATATGAAACAACATGCAGATGATGTTCTCCCCGTTGGAAGTAAGCGGGATGAGACAACAATCCAGCCAAGAAGGGGCCCGTGTATCTCCAATGGGCTATCATTCTCAATATTGGCCAGGTGGCTCTACACTTGGGACAACGATGGATGCTTGGGAGAGAGTTCACGCTCGTGGGGATGTCTTCAAAGCAGCTTAAAGGATTTCAGAATCTTGGAATTACTACCACCGCTTCCAATGAAAGACACTTGCATATAATTTGCCTCTTTTCCCTGTGCGGGGTATTACCCCAGGGGGTGACCTTGCATTGATTTGGTAATGGAATGTTTGCTTTTCAAATCGGAGATCTGTTCTTAAGTATTTACGTCATCGTACGCACCAGAACCTTAGAAACAGGCGAGGCAGATCTATCAAACGATATTTAATAGAGTACAATAAGCCAGAAAATGACAGCAAACGCGAATTTCTACCATGTGAAAGGCTAAATGAAGTCTACTAGACTTTTCATACTAATCATATAACCATTCAACGGCCCTTTGATAAGCTAATGATTATTCCTAAAGGGGGGGGGGCTTAGTTTTGACAACAAAAATAAGTACCGTTTGTAAGAGGGTACTGGTGCATGTTTTACGATGGATGCAGGTATCGATGAATATCACTGCTTGCAGAGGGAAGCTCTAGGTGGGGCTGGAGGTCTATCTAAGTAGGTCCCCTCACCGCTTCCTCCCAACTGGGGATTTACTGCAGTGAATCTTCGAGAACCCTCACCCCTTCCTTCTCTCTTCCTCCAAACACTACGGGTACAACCCGCTACCAACGTTCGGCATATAGAGTCTTGTATTAATATTATCGAATAATGACAATGCCCTCTGTGCTTAGTCAAATATGAGGGAAGTATAGAGTCAAAAAGTAAATTCCATTTCATGGTTGATGCAGAACGCCTTTAGATGTATAAAACTTGGCTTCAAAAATATGGATTCCCTCAGAAATAGTACGATATCTCTACGTACACACATCATACAGAGTGAAAACAGCGTATCTAGCTGCTACCATAGACTGGCTGCAACTTTGTAAGGTGTGAGCTTGTATCTACCGTTAGATAAACAAAAAATAGAAAATGAAAGCAGAGAATTTTGACGATTCAGCGTGGTATAAACGTAGCTAGCTAAGGCTTCAAGATAGAAAGTTGGGTTATTCCTGAAACACCGAAAAACCGAAAACACTCAACTCAATGCCGCTAGCCGTATATAGTCCATCAATTGCCGGTAAAACAAGTCTCTTCTCCATGATATATTCAGGCAGTTTGATTCGCGGCAGTCTGATTCGCGGTAATTTCTGTCCCAAATCTACTGCAGTAGGAAGAGGTACATTCACAGTAAGATCTTGTAAATATGTCCCCCAAACTTGACGGCAACCATGTTTCACTAATTACTTGGGTTTCCGCAGTCGTGTTCGTAAAATATACATCACATAGAGAACTCAAAGCACCGCCATATGAGCTCGCTGTGAGGACGGGGAGATTATATAAGCAGGTAGGAAGCGTAGTAGAATAATCTTCCAAGATAGATATCGACTGACAGGGCGCTATAGTAGGCATTTGTCGAATTTTGACATTCGTAAGAGTTGTTGTATAGATCTTCCAGGGCCACTTTGTATGTGTTGGTCAATAACGTCAAAGAATCATTGCTGATTTGAGTTGAAAATGATCCGGCCTCAAGAAAGTCACCTATATCCCATCCAGAAGTTGGATACTCGAGAGTATAGCAGAAGCCATCGATCACGGTACCACTGACCTTGTCAGAGCATTCGCTCGTTATGTAAGCGCCCTTAAGGATATAGTAGTTTACAAAATCAAGAGCCACGCCAGTCAGGGTCTGCAGGTATCGCTTGCTCATTATCTCTTCGATCTTACTCAACTGTGCGCTACTTATTGAGTAAATGAAACGTCCGTTAAAGAAGTTGGAAAGATCATTTTTGAAGTCACTCTCAATGAGATCGCTAGAGAATTTTGTCAAATTACCAGTTACAAACACATCTTCCAGTAAAGTTGACCGAGCAGCATAGAATTTTGTGAGAATTTTGGAAGCTATGGCACCAAGTTCTGAGGAGGTTTCGTCGTCGGCATCAACAAGATCGCTACTGACTTCAGAGGAAAGGCCCCCTAAGACACCAATAATACTAGATGCAACTCCGTATCCCTCCGCAGCACCAATCCAGGAGCTTGTTATACTTAACATTAAGCCGAAGTTGCCCAACAAAGTCGCCCAACTAAGGGGTTGGACAGTCTACGCTGGAAAGTCTTCTAATAATACGTTGACTAAGTTGGTAATGTTCAGGCTAGCTATTTAGAACGAGTCGGAAAGTTCTATGACGTATCGATGGAACATGGCAGAGACATGCTGCGTCCAGTAAACAGAAGGGTATAGTTAAGTCTTGGCATGGGTATGGGCGCACTTTTTTAATCGGGCAACTGTAGGAACCTTAGTTTCTAAAATAACCATCAAAACCTCTATAGAAAGTAGACTAATTAAGGCTCAAAAGCCCCTTTCTAATTATAAATTTATGTTTTTTATCTATTCTTTTACTCTCTTTAAAACAACTGTTTATTCACGCAAAAATACAACTCCTTTAAAATGCGTGTGATTTCGCTCTTCACTACTTTGTTTGTGGCTCTGGCTACTGCTGCCGATAGCACAACTGTCATTTCCTACTTCGCCGCGTCCTTTGAGAACTATTCCCGTCTAGGTGCATACACCAGCACTATAGCCCGAGTCATCGGCATTGACAAGTACGCTACTACCTACGAGGTAGGATGTGTGAAGAGTGCTGCAGAGTGTGGATTCCCGCATTCTTTGACGATGATTCAGGCCCAAACACTTTTGCCCATTGGGGTGTGGAATCAGTAACTACTGATGGTGCCACTGAGCTTCAGACATTCTTCGAAACATGCAAATTCACCCATTACACCGAGTCTATTGTTTGTGGATACAGTAATACAATCACTGTATTTGATTCAGTTGTGAGTTCATTCTCTCTCTCTCTAGTTCTGGCATCAATGTTCCGGCTAGTTTGGTCTCTTATAGGACTGTCACTGTTACCAATGGTCTTTAAGCTTTCACTGCTGCTGCTACTGCTTCAACTTCTGCTGTCACAATCACTGCTACTTCTTCAGCCTCTCCTATTCAGATTCCTTCTACGGGTGCGGCTTCTCAGGTGAACCCTATTATCACTGCCGCGCCATTTGGTGCAGCAGCAGCAGCTATTGCCGTGGCTATCTTTTAATCAACATGAAGCTTGATTAGACATAGACATTAGTACGGATGTGCTCAATAGTTACCATAAGTAATTAATGAGCTTGACCCTGGCCTTATGGGGGAATATATGGGCCAGACCCGTCAAAACTCCTGATTGAGTAGTCTTCGTTTTCTGCACCACAGTACAACCCTATATCATGGAATCATATAAAGATTTCAAGTTATTTAGAGTTTTTGGCACACATAGGTACATCCTTCTTAGTGAACTAAGATTGTATCTTTACCCTGGTCCGTAAGTTCCAACTGTGCACGGTAATAGGGTAGGTGGCAGCAGGCCATCATTCCGCGTACGAATGAAAGAAGCTTTTTTGATGCCAATAATCACGTCCGCCTCAAGCGAGTCATATCCAATAGAAAACCGTCTATATAAAAGCCACTTCAGCCGCAGATGTGTAAGTCGCTTTCAACAGCCGAAGTGTCTAACAGGAAGCTAAACTGAGGTAACCAATTATTAAACTTCAAAACCCAGATAACATAGAGACTAGATTTGTGTTGGCCAATGGGATATGGGACATTAGTCCGTAAATTATTGATCCTGCAAAGCCCCATAGACCAAAACTCCGCTGACAGAAAGAAGGCTAAGCTTTGGCTCTAAATAATTTTTAGTGGTAAATTAATTAACGTTCCACGGTTATCCGTGTCTTATCAGCACACTAAACACGTGTTTCCCGTGTTTAGTGTGCTGATAAGACACAGATACTTTGTAATTTTTTCTTGAGAACCATCCCCTATCACGGAGTATGTCGCTAGCAAGTGCATTAGCGATTTTTTTTTCTGGCTGTGTAGTCACCCTCCGAGGTTGGGTGTGAGATAGACACCTGCTCCAAGTTGCTGGCCACCTCTTGGCTGTGACCAGACGAGTGTTTTGGCTTTGGTGTAGATTGCAGCTTGAGCCTAGCACTCACTTGGTCAATGAGATGCCCTACGTGAATGGCGGCTAGAAGTTCAATGAAAGTTCTTACCTTGCTTACGGTTCGGTAACTGATTCTGTGTTGGTGTAGCCGCTGAAAGACCAACAAGAACTGCTAGAAGCAGTGGTTTCCATGTGGCCATCATACTTCCTAGCAAAGGAAGAGAGACATATGGACACCTAGGTGCAGTTTTTCCAAGGTAAATATGAAGTAAAGAGTACCGGAAAGAATTCATTACGCTCAAGTTTTTTCCAGGCCTTATAACGTTCAGCTGGGCTATCTTCGGCGCTAACTTGGTCTGTAGTACTACGACAGTCTGTACTAGAAGTCATATTAGACTATTACTTCTTCTCCTTGCTGCAATCCACTTCCTGATATGGATTAGCATATTACGACACTATTATCTCAAGCAAGATTTGACCCCCATGCTCACATTCCTAGCAATATAACATGACTTCTAGGACATACCGTCGTAGATAACCCATGATCTGACGTTCATGAGGTGAAATTAGTCATGGTTCAGAGTCTATCTGTCATGGTGCTAGCCTGGTATCTGTCGGAACATGGATATTGCAATCGTGCAATACCATAAACCCGGAACGGAACAAACAGACCCCCGAGTCACGGGGGAACAACTATATTAGGAACTCAAGTAGCTACATGAATCGAACACATTTCACACCACTTTGCACAACGTATATACTAAGAATCCAGGACGAACCATACCCTTTTCCAGTGTATATAGTGCAACGTGTGAACCCTGTCCTTTCAACGTAGTTGATCGACAGTATCAGTGATTTAGCGACCCACACACGTCCCTTTGTGGCGATATCCATTGAACTCCAAGGCTGTTGTTTTCCAGGTGTGCTGAATTTTGACCCCACAAGGATATATACATGGAATTACAGATCATACACTTCTTCGATTCACTAAAGTTATTATCAGGTGACGGGTCAGACTCATGAGTAATTAATTTGGGGTTTCTCGCAAAAAAGGCTTAAATAAAGTCAAGTAGCCAATTCGATGAAGACGATATCGATAAATATCACGTGACAGGCCAGAAGGTCATGTGGTCAGGGTCATAGATATCAGTGACTTTGCGACCCACTCACAGATAAGGCGTTATGACGCCTCGTGACCTCTACCTCCAACATCCTCGGCCCCTTCTGTTGTCTATTGTACAACCTCAGGACTCAGTAGAGATAATACGAATATGTCTATCCTTCGCCTCTCTACTGTACTCACATACATCGGTGCGGCCGCCGCGGCCACTGCCGGCCAAATCCCTCTCTACGCTCAACCGGCCACCGATAATACAGCTAGTCTCGGAAAGAAGGACCTAGTTTCCACTTCTGGACTGCAGGGAAACATTGACATCGATAATTTGCTATCACGCGCGAAGGAACTTTCCAAGATTGCTGATCTTGGCTACGACGAATACAACCATCCAACCCGAGTGATTGGCAGCAAAGGTATCTAAGCAAGCTACTTCGTGACAACTGTGAGCCATGTTTACTAATGGAAAATACTAGGTCATCTTGCCACCATTGACTACATTTATTCGACGATTAAAGAATTGGGCGACTACTACACTCTGTCGAACCAGTCGTTCGACGCGGTGACAGGCAATGTCTTCGAGTCACGTCTCGTCATTGGTCAAGATGTCCCGAAGTCAGCCACCGCAATGAGTCTTACACCGCCAACTGCCCACAAGGAGCCAGTCTACGGACCTTTAGTATTGGTTGCAAATGACGGCTGCTCGCCAAGTGACTATCCTTCCAATGTCGCCGGAGCCATCGCCTTTATTCGTCGTGGTAATTGCCCGTTCGGAGACAAATCAAGTGGCGCTGGAAAGGCTGGAGCTGTCGCTGCCGTCATATACAACAATGAGGAGGGTAGTGTTTCTGGAACTTTGGGCGAGCCAACGCCCGACCACGTAGCAACTTTCGGTCTATCCTCAGAAGAGGCTGTGCCTTATCTGGAAGCCCTGAAAAATGGAACCAAGGTTGACTCGATCGCTTATATTGATGCCATTGTCGAGAAAATCGAGACTGTCAATGTCATCGCCCAGACCAAAGGCGGAGATTCTGAAAACTGCGTCATGCTTGGTGGCCACAGCGACAGCGTGGCTGAAGGTCCTGGCATTAATGATGACGGCTCCGGCTCCATTTCAATACTAGAGGTGGCAGTTCAACTGGCACAATATGAAGTGAATAACTGTGTCCGCTTCGCATGGTGGGCTGGAGAGGAGGAAGGCCTACTGGGCTCTAACTACTACGCCAACCATCTTTCCCCCGAAGAGAACCACAAGATTCGTCTCTTCATGGACTACGATATGATGGCTTCGCCAAACTATGCCTACCAGATCTACAATGCCAACAACGCCGAGAACCCCGTTGGTTCTGAGGAGCTGCGCGTGTTGTACGAGGAGTTCTACGAATCCCACGGCCTCAACTTCACATATATTCCATTTGACGGACGTAGTGACTATGTCGGCTTCATTGACAACGACATTCCTGGTGGTGGTATTGCCACAGGTGCAGAGGGTGTCAAGACGAAAGAAGAGGCTAGCATGTTTGGTGGCTACGCAGGCAAGTGGTTTGACCCTTGCTACCACCAAATTTGCGATACAGTGGAAAATCTGAACCTGACGGCATGGGAGGTCAACACAAAGGTTAGTAAAACTCGAAAAACAGTTCATCTTTTGTTTTCATCTAACAGTAATATAGCTGATCGCCCACTCTGTTGCAACATATGCGAAGTCATTCGAGGGTTTCCCTAAGCGTAAGAGTACCGCCTCTGTCAAGACAACCAAGCCCCGCAAGTACCTCGGCCACCTTCTTGCCATGTAAGTTGATGGGGTCTAGCAGACAGTGTGGTTTATATACACTATGCAACTTGGCTACATAGCTGTAGTCTGCACGCATTTTTTTTGTAGAGGGAAAATGGGTGAAGAGAATATAGAATGTCTAAAGGAGTCCAGCTTAGACCTCAGTGTGATCTAGAAACTAATCCATGGAATTTCGGAATTACAATTTTTTTGGGTCAATGGTATATGAAGTCTCTAACTGCTAAATTACTGTCATATTTTCCTAGAGTGACTGGTCTTTGACTATATTTTGCCTGGGCAAATGGCTGCATCTCCGACTTTGTTCTGCCGCTCTCTCATAGCGGCATATTCAAGTCTCGTGTATAACTTGACTGCTATTTTGAATGGCGTCTCCTGTAAGAGTTCAGTAGATGAGGCGCTCTCTTCCTCTGCCCATGCTGCATATTTGTTTAAACCCATATAAGACGAAAAACGAAAGATATTAATTGATTAGTGGATACCCACTGAAGATTCAAGAATTGCCAAATCAAACTCTTCGCAATTTAAAGCAGAAGTTAACCTACAGGGTTTGCAGAAAGATACCACCTAATAGTGCTTTCTTTAACCTCATGTCCATTCTTTTCCAACCACTAAAGTATTTCCACTCATTCCATGGTCTCTTTAGGATTAGAAATTGAAGCCTGATAAATCAAACGAGGGTATTCTGAAGGCCTCCTAGAGAGACCGATTGATTTGATGACGTTCCCTTCGTGAAGGGAATTCGCTTATTTATAAAGGATAAAAGTAGGAATTTCGGAATGTACGACAGAATGAAGAGAAATTATGCGGCTTGGAGCCTTTAGAGAAAATTTCGAATGCGCAGCCATGTAAATACCTAGTCTGTTGATTCCTATTTCACCCCGAAGTTCTTATAAAATCTCTATTAAGAGAATTTGAAGACTTTTGGCATAGCATCTTCCGAAACTAAGGACAAGCAGACAGTATACTCTCGGTTAAAGAATTAAAACTTTTCAAGGTTAACATTCCAAAAACAGAGGATTTGAATGCAGCTTCTTATTCCTCGCTTCTAAGATCGTCATTGAGGTATTTCTGGAGACGAGGAAGAAAGAGAAGACGGGGCCATTTCCAGATTTCGGGCAGAGTATGCCACTCAAACGCTTCACGCCAACGGATTCAGTTCAGTCCGCTTCTAGGATATTTTAGCGAACTCCCGTGTAGCTGAAATCTAAAGTTATGTGATCTTATGGTATGCTAGTTTCTAAATATAGGCAACAAACAGACAATTCACCGCAAGGGTCCATAGTGGTTCCCGATCGTTAGCGGCTCTAAGAGTCTTTTCGTTCCTTACAATCAACGTCTCTGGCTATGATAGTGATCTCCGGCTATGATAGTGAATTGAGAATAAATTATCGATCAGTTCTCGGAAATATTTGCCAGTGGAGAAAAAGTGTGTCCAGGTATTTGGGGCTTCAATGTGTAGGAGGTAATCGGCCCCTTTCATAAATTACTAATTTATTACGGACCCGATCTCTTTCATATATCTGCCAAATGCCAGATGAATCCTTTAGCTCTGAGAGTATTTCTCGAAGATATTGTCTAGACTGCAAAGGTTGAGGTAGCACTGAGGTCTTCAAGAGCGATATAACATGTTTGGTGTTTTTGGCCCCTTTGTTCCTGGAGGAGCCGCCTCTCTGCCGCCTCGCACTAGAAATTCTGGTATATTCGATATTCTTTGTTCATACTACAATACTCAGTCAGAAGCCATGGATTCAGGATTCGCCTCTATCCATGGTATGATATATTTGGCCCTTGTCTCACATGGATGGATCTCTCTCTCTCTCTGCTCCTGAAAAGTCTAGCGCCAAAGAATAAATAACCTGAAAACTATGTATAAATATTCAGCGTACTTCCTGATTGTGCTTGATCCGTACTCGACAACAGTCATTCTATTTTGCCAACATGCTCTTCAAAGGAACTTTCTTGATGCTGCTTCCCCTCTTAGGGATCAGCGCTGCGCTAGATATGCCGACAATGACCAGTTGGAACCCTAAGGGCTCTTCAATGTGCAAGCACATGGGAGATCACTGTGAAAAGGCTGCCACAAATTACTCGTATCATAACAGCACGGTCTTTAAAGAGTACACGTCATTTTACGATGCTGCTACTAGTATCTCGTTATTTACTGGCAGCCATGATGACTATGGATGTGCAGCCATGTTCAAGTGCAAAGATGGCAAATATGACGATGGTATGACTGGAGAACAGATCTATAACGCGTGAGTTGAATATTGTTATGACTACTGGAATACATCTGTTAATTTTATTAGTTTTAAACAATTGAGTGCCTTGGGTGTCAACCAATGCGGATCGATCTATTTCGACAACGACTGTCACCTCACATTGAACTACTGTTCAAAATGCTCATCAGCAAATAACAACCCATAGACCGAACTACAGGAGAAATTCCAATAATTGATTTTTGGATGTATTATGAGGGGTGACATCAACAAAGGGCAGCTGAAGTCACAAACTTATGCTTTGGGCCTTGTTGGTGAAGTAGGCCTGAGATTTTTATTGCGGCAGGATGAAGTCATGTTTTTAAGCCAGATCTAAGAAGCGTTTGAGCGCTAGATAATTTGAATATTATAGAATTTGAGTGGATATCTAGGAATTCTTGAACTGCCTATGGAGGTATAAGTGTCGCTGCGACAACAAGGGCTACATGATTACTGAACACGAGCTGGATCACCACGCGGCTACCTTATCGTTGTCTGCCGCTTCCGTAGTATCTGGTTGAAGTTCTTTTTGCGGTTGAACTCGAGTCTGAAGTTCAGTCGCAGCTCTCTACAGACCAGTAGGCCATACAAGTCTGTCAGGGCTAGCGAGTTCCTCCTCCTACCTCCTGTTACCTTCTTGTCCCGCGCTATATCCTAGGCTCTTCTTTTCTGGGTTTGTTTTGACTGGCCTCCACAAGACCCCACTACACCTCCAGTGACCCCAGCCCAGATCCCTTCGCAGATAAGAAACTCTTCGACGACGATCCCGTTATGGACTCCGGAATGATGCGCGGTGGTTGTATATTAAGGAGGCTGGGGAGCAGAGCGTCTGGATGGCCACAACATCTGGATGATAAGAACATCTAGATGGTAAGAAAGTCTACGATAATAGACAATGAACACGATTTCTGATATTTCTGGAACTGGTCATCATGATTCAAAAACTGGTACATAGTTCCGTGCAAATTGTCGGTTTATCCCGCTGGTCCATATGCGTCTTAGTGTCTTGGCATGGCTACTCTCGAGGGCATAAACAGGAGAAAATAAAATTGGAATGACAGGTGAGCGTGCGATTTACCGTATCGCGTGGCTTTACGCTTAAGTACTAGTGTGGGGTTTCGACCTTTACACCCACACCCCCTTCAAAGTGGATCAAATTGAAGATGATAATTCGATGAAGAACTATGTACTTTGTAAGTCATTCGCTAATACAGTCAAAGGACTAACCGACGAAGGTAGTTTCAACTCAATAAGCGGTACATCCCAGGCCCTGGAGTGGCAACTAGACATCTGTGACACTACAGCACAGCACGATACTATTTTTGGTGCCAGCAGGATATATTCATCTTACCAGTCAAGAAGGAAACAAGCTTTGGCGTATCCATGTCAGGAAATGAATAATGGTGACACTTTATTTCAAGCTTGACCCCGCAGCCCTCAAAGTACTTGTTGTAGCGCAGCTCTGGCTTTCAGCTGTTCCCAATGGCAACATTGATATCTGAATTGATGAATGAATGAGAGGTGAGCTTATTTCCGATTTCCACGGAATCCTTGTAAGGCTCTAGTATCACTAAATGAACTCCCAGAATTCCTGAGAATTGCTGATGCTGTGACTGGCTAGTTTTCCTCACTAATCCCCTTACTGATGTCGCCGCCAGAAGTATATCCAATACTATTATTACTATAATTATTTGAAGTCACATCCCTGTCATTTTATACTTATCCCGAGGCCTTTTGTAATGTGAGGGGTCTCGATGACACTTGGCTCACTGCATTTGGTATCTGCGGACTGAGAGTTACTCAGTGAGCCTAAGCGCTAGTATATGTAGAGTAAAATCGCCCATGCATACTCAATCCCCTTTTCTGAGAAGTTCTTGCATATATTTGTTTTTCAAAGATCATCATGGCTGAAATCAAAAGTGAATATGATTATATCATCTGCGGGTAAGTAATAACCGGACTTTAAACTCTGTAGCTAACAAGCATTAACAAACGTAAATAGAGGCGGCACAGCTGGCTGCGTGATTGCCGCTCGCCTGGCCGAAAACCCCCAGGTCAAGATCCTTCTTCTTGAAGCTGGGCAGCACAATAAAGATCTTGAAAATGTTCACATGGCTGGCGGGTAAGTTGATAGCGACTGTTCCCAGCTGTTAGCCGGTCGCTAACGGACCAGGTGGTCGATGAACTTTGATACGGACTCGGACTGGAATATCATCACGCCACCTATGCCTGGGGTGGAGAACCGACAGGTGAAATTGAGTCGTGGCCGGTTCTTGGGAGGGTCTAGTGGCTGTAACGGGACTCTATGCCTTCGCGGTTCCAAGCAGGACTACGATGACTGGGGGATGGAAGGTTGGAGTGGAGAAGATCTTTTCAAGTACATGCGAAAGGTGAGAAACGGGTATCAGATCATGTTATGTCAGTAGCTAGTGAAGCTGATTATGGAAAAGGCAGAGACTTTCCACTCGAAACCTTGGTTTCAAGCGGATGAGAAAAGCCATGGCTCTTCAGGCCCTCTCCATATCGAGCCGCATGATCTTGCGCCGATCTCGAACTTGATAATGGACTCATTTGTCTCTCAGGGCTTGCCGCTGAATCATGATATGTTCAGCACGGGCGACGTTCCTCATGGATGTGGCCACGTGCCTCGAACTGTGTACAAGGGCCTGCGAACGACCGCCGCAGATTTCGTGACAAACCAGAATCATCGTGAGAATATCACGATCAAAACAGACACGACTGTTGACAAGATCACGTTTACCGAGGAGCGCGGTCAGCTCCGTGCTTCTGGCGTTGTCACAAAGACATCGGATGGTGTTTCGAGTGTTTTCTTTGCTCGTATGGAGATTATTATCTCTGGTGGCACATATTGCAGTCCTACTATCCTGCTTCGTTCTGGAATTGGACCCAAGTCCGAGCTGGAGAATCATTCAATTCCATGCATTGTTGATTTACCTGGCGTTGGAAAAAACCTCATGGATCATCTGGTATGTACCCCCTTTTCTTCAATCAACAAACCCGGCGCTGACAATAGTCTAGATTGTTTTCATGTTCTATGAAACCGAGAAATCCGGTCTCACAAATGACCTTCACGTCTACCACGACAGCAACTTCGAAAAGACATATCAGTTGTACAAGGAGAAGAAGACGGGCTTCTTGTCCTCAATGCCATTCGGTGTATTTGCCTTTGCCAGGCTAGACGAGCGTCTCAAAGATGACCCACTCTGGCAAAACGCACCGCGCTTGCAAGGCCGTGACCCGATGGGCCTGACTCCGAAGCAGCCTAATATCGAGTTCTTCACTACAGAATGCTACGGTGGCCCAAAGCAGTATGATCAAGTCCCAAAAAGCAACCAGCATGCTTTCGCTATGATTGCAGAGCTTTTTGCACCAAGGTCGCGTGGCTCGGTGACTTTGAGATCGAAGGATCCTATGGAGAACCCCATTGTGGACTGTAACTACCTGGATGATCCTTTGGACCTGTTGGTATTGAGCGAAGCATGTCGGTTTGGAAATGAGATTGTGATGAATGGATCTGGGACTAAGGATATTGTCAAGGGGTCTTGGCCCTCGGGCTTGAATTATCATACTTATAAAACACGGAAAGAGTGGATTCCTTATGTGAAAGAGCATGCTACGACTTGTTACCATGCTGCAGGTACTTGCGTTATGGGAAAGAATGGTGATAAAAATGCTGTACTTGACGAGAAGCTGCGAGTGAGAGGTGTTTCTGGGCTGCGAGTGGCAGATTGTAGTGTCATGCCCACATTGAATAGTGGCCACACGCAGATGCCGGCGTATGGAATTGGTGAAAAATGTGCGGATCTTATCAAGGAAACCTGGCAGGAGGAGAGGATTTTGTATTCCCGCCTTTGATGAATTACTGGTCCAGTTTGATTGGCAGAGACTAGGGTGGACGAGGGAGGACGTGGATTCATTTTCATAAATTTTCATTTGACAGGATGGATGGTTTAAAAGGTTGAATGAGACATGGATAATCCAACTCCAATCAGACTCCACCCTTTCAAATCAAAAACTACCATCCTATCAGGGAAGCAAAAGCAGGATTAATAATAATAATGAATAAACTGACGTAGTTGGTTGTGACCGTGGAGCACAGCCAAAGATTTGAGATGTACTCAAAAATCAAACTGTCGCCGGATAATGGTAAACGAGTTTTCGATGTGAACTGTGCTAGACGTTGGTAGAAGTGAATGCTTGTATTCAACACATGCAGTAAAGATTGGTTGAATCATTTCTTCAGGAGAGTCATCCATCAACAGGTAATCGATTTCAGTAATCAATTCTTGGATGATTGGATGGTTTGATTGTTCAGCCTGGTAATATGTATGCCGAAATGTAGCTGGTACATGAAGCTGAATCGGGACGGTCCAGGTTTCTCCAGGGCGAAGTGAGATGAGTCCAAAGTTCTCAATTGCTGACGTGATCTCACATCCCTCGTTGGGATGGATAAAAAGTTTCACGTCACAAATAGACCCTGGATGTATCCCAGTGCGAAGCTGACGAAAAATTTGAGAGGCCACTTGTACAAGAGGGATTTCTTTAGAGCCAGCACATGTGCCGACGTTGTTAGGGATATGGCACCCAAGGTTCAAAACTTCCTGTCCCACAGGGAAAAGAGAATGAGGAGTAACAGTGTGGATACCAATGGCTGGGTTGATTGAGGGAACGGACAAATGCTCTGGAGGTGTCGCAGAGACAAAAAATATATGACAAAATGACTGCCGCGGACAAAATGAGAATAAAGAAGAGATTTGTCGAATGACACTTCCAACATCGGAATAAAGACTTCCGCTCTTCAAGATCTGGTGTTGTGAAAATGTGTTCAGAGCGGTGCGGATAGTATCGATGGTATGGAATCCCAATAAGAGTAGCGGTTCATAGCCACAGCCTGCATTGGCATCCACATATGCTAGGGCAATCTTGTCGTGATTTTGAGTCAGGTTTGAAATTAAAACAGATGATGCTGATGTCAATTGTGCAAGAAGAGACAGAGATGGCTGGGGTCTGGAAAACAAATCAGTTTCACATATTGTTTGGAGAGGACAGAATAACCAATACAATTTGTCAAGGAGAATAATGATATCTAGTGGTGGATTGATTGAATTCGCTGAAAGTGGAGGAGAGCTGATATCCACAGAAACATGCACTTGAGTCCATAGAGATGTGGCAGACATGCCAATTTGGGTCCTCTCGGCTACTGATTGCACATTGGCACATGCAATGGGCAAGTTCATTATAGCAAGGGAACTGAAAGGCTTGGGTTTTGAGTGCCCATGCTTGTGCTTTTTCAACAATTGTCCATAGGCTGGTGCTGGAGATAGTAAATCGGCAGAGGAAACGGCAGAAATTGAAGACAGCAGCGGTCCATTCATGTTCCATGAACCGGAGCTCCAACGCATAATCAACCTTGGAGAAAACCAGTGTCCATGGTTGCTCTTTATCTCGGACTGAGATGGCTTGTTAGAATTCTGCGTTATCTATAACGGTCAGTAAAAAACGGGACTTCAAGGACAGAGATGAATTGAAATCACCTCGTCAACAAATTCCTCATCAAATGAGCCAAGACGCACTGTGTCTTGGGGGGCCTTGATTGCAGGTTTTCTGATCTTCTGGACATGGAGCTGATACATTGTGTCATCAAGAGATGGAGTTCTAGTTGATGTTGCTGGTCCGCTCCATCCGCTGCTCAGACTTGCACAGAGCGACGATTTGCGGCGAGGTATGAAAGGGAATGATCCCGAAGAGCTCATACTTTGGCTTCGCGAAACCTTCCGAATTGTAAGCGGCTCCGGAAATTCGGCCATCCTGACAATTGCTTTACACGTGCTTTCTTTCGAGGATCGACAGGCTCTGCTCACTCCAGTGCTGCTGCGGGGGTTTCTGTTCCTTCAGAGGCAGTGGAGCTCTCGATATCGGAGCGAGATACCTTCTTCCGCTGTCGACGTTGTCGGCGGCAGCAATGAAAAAGCCACACTTTATGAGATCGGGTGCTCCAGAATTCAGAACAAGCAAGGGCCACGGCAACAGCGCAAACAAGAATGACGATGGGAATCAGAATCAATGAGATAAGTAATGCAGCGCTTTTAAAATGCACGGATAAGGTATTGGTCATTTTGCTAGAATATGTAACATGTCATTTTGGGTGTCCTCAGTGGAAGTTCTTTTAGTTCTCGATTTCCACGTCCGGCAGGAGCGACGACACCCGCAGATCGTTGGGTATATTGGGCTAAGCACAGGCCATTATTTTTTTTGTTATGTACTATCATGAACTTACACTAAGTTCGCCATGTTCTCTTTCACCGAGCTCACCGTTGTGTCATCCAGCTGTGAGAAACGTATCTAATGCTTGTTAGCGCCTGTACAATCTGACATATGCAGTGGTCTTACCAATTCATCCCCACCCCCCGACCAGCGTTTCCAAAGAGAATTGGCTCAGAATGACTGACGGCTATTTCGTCCTGTACCCGTCTTACCCAAATGCCATCCCAGTGCCAGTCCCCAGGAAGTCGAGTCTGCGGGCTATCTCGTCTTAGCGTGCTTGGGGCGATACCATCCCGTCTATGAGCCCTCCACGCATGCCATGCTCCGGGGTTTGCTGCAGCCTCCACCGGCAACGAGTCCAGGACAGCCTCGTCGTCAAAAGTTGATCGAATATAATCCAATAGCTCTGCGACAGGGACCACAGTTCTCAGTTCGTCAAAATGATTCATGGAAGGCATACTTGAAATACGGGTTTCTGTGTTTTCTTCGCCTTCTTGGATATCTTGATCATCGATAGTATCACTCGGAATATCTAGTGTGGTAGTGACTTCGGGCTCTTCGTCCGGTGCCATAGGATCCTTTGCAGTTGTTTCTCCCTCATTCACGACAGTATTTGTCCCACTGACCTTCCGCGAAGAAGCTGCCGATGCCAGGTCGTTCCGCTTGGCCCGACCAAACCAGTGAGGGAATCCATGACGAAGACTGAAGCCACCGGGTGGTAGGCGCTCATCGTCTGTGGCACTGACTGGGTTATCGCTTGCTGAATTGGTGCTGAATGTATAAGTGGTGAGGGGCACGATCAATGGATGGAAAATATCTGTATTGAAGGTAACCGAAGGGGGTAGATCGGGGTAGACATCTGGGAAGCGGACTTGGAAGCGGAGAATAGCGGAGGCATAAGGGCCTACCATGGCGGTCAGTGACATGTCAAGGTTTAACAATTGACAATCATCATCTTCATTCACTCACCGGAGCGAACAAAAATCACTCCAGTCCACAGAGTTGGGTCGCCCGGGGCAAGGCTTACATAGACCCCTGGTGGTGCTGCATGTCGCAAGCTTATGCTACACAGAAGAGTCAATTCTCATTCCCTCTGATGTGGTAGATGATCTCACAATTCTAAATGGAGCTGCTGCTTTCTGACAGACGGAATGCAGGGTAATGTAGTAGTAGACATTGCAAATGAATTGAGGTCAAGCTTGCTCAATGTTGGGCGGAGAACTGCAGAGGCTCGGACAACATTCAACGCGGCTTATCGGGTCTTATCGCTAATCTATGTTCTTGGAACACAACCTCACGTCCAACCTTTACATCCTTTATAACAAATACCAACAGCTTCTTATTTCTAAGTTGCTTAAATCTCAATAATCGATTTCTCTTAAGCTCTTAGGTCGGACGATCAATCGTAAACAAATGCCGAGGTCAGATGAGAATGCGAGGCGAAGCATCACTTATCCGCAGTCCACACCCCGCTATACATAGGTACGATTCAATTCTATAGATCATAATCATTCTAATTCTGTTCTATCTGTACCAATCTATCAAGCTCTATTCCTGGTTGTAGCAGCCCCAAATACATCATTCCCTCGCCAACACCTTCATAAATCCCTCCTGCTATACCTTCAATCCACCAAGCGGCTAGACTTCCCACAACAGTAGCAACCCTGCCCTCATTGAATTTGCAAATTGCCGCTCCAACATTCACACTGTTCTTGCCCAACCCATCTGCAGCACGTAATATACTCGTCATAATTCGCTGAGTGACGTGATGCGATCGCTCGTATTCATAGATTTGGCGCAAAATAGACCTGAGATACGGTAAAAGAAACTGCACGATAATAAAGATTTGAATGATGACGGTGGCCAGAAACCTGTGCAGATAAGACTTGGAGCGTGGCAGCTGGTTTGTTTTCATTCCCTCTTCGAAGCCTATCATGTTGTGATGTGGGGATGCGGTCATCGATTCCTTGATAGTGGCTGGTAGGCGATATTGAAGCATTAATGCTTCCTCTTGAGTTAGGTCTTGAGGTAAAGCATCTAGCAGATACATTAGAGCGTTGATATAAAGTGATCGAGCAAGACGGCTGTCAGCCTGTGGTTGCTGTCCTTCATATCCAGCGTTTCGAAGGAGATTCAATGCTATGAACCTTTGTCAGCGGAGCGGGGTCATTGGACGCTGCATCAGCAGTGTTCTCACCTGGCAAGATTCTATTCCATCGTAAGCCAGAACCCTTTTCGTATTTTGCGGGAAACTCGCCCCTTTCGACTCCATCTGATCCAGAGCCAGAACTAAATGTCTGTGGATCGACGATGGTAGCTGAAGGTCGCTCGGCTTCAGCATCGACGGCATCAGGTAACCGGTCAAGACATGGAAGGTGTGGCTCGGATGAAGATATGAAACCACGATGTAGAGCCACAGATTCAACTCTATGAGATGCGTATGGCTTCGTATAGCCATATCTTGATAAACGACGTCGAATAGACGCAGGAATGAAAAATATGGGAAGCTTTGAGTACTCCATTGAGCCTTGGAAAGAGGGAGAAGAGGGTGCGACTAAGTAGAGGTCAAGGCGGGGAAATGAGGGACACATGAGATGATTTAGATATTTAAGATGTAGATTCTGACTGATAAGAGGCAAGTCATGCTGATATTCCCTTGAATCTCAGCCTCCAAGATTTATTCTCTTTCTTTTATTCTTGCCCATAGCTTCCCTTAATTCCTTGTTCACTTGTCTCAGAACGCTGGGTTCCTTCTACCTTGAGGTTTTACTCACGCTCCACTTGTACTCTGCAAGATTGATAATTCTCCGACTGCGCAGCGTTTCACATGAAAAATGTCATATCTTGATTTGCTCAAGTGGACATGTGACATAAACGAAACAGTAGTCCATTTGACCTTCTGAGTCTGCGATACCGCTGGCTTTGACCTCGCTTTGAGCCCACCCTCCGGCTTCCAATTGGGATAGCTATCTGGGACTGCACCTAGAAAATATTTGAGAAATTAAAAATTTAATCAAGTCAGGGGTACTTTCCTACCCAGGTGAGAACTGCATGACCATTCATAGAAAGTCTTTCACACATGTGCAAGCTCCAATACCTACTCTGTTGTCAAGATTTCGGAAACGATTGGCTGTCAAGCCAATATCCATGAAGACGACAGCTTCATCGAAGAGAAGATCTTTCTTGAGACCGCTGTGCCAACCATACTTAATCAATGAGGGATATGAATCTCGTATCAACAAGAGGGGATATAGAAGAGAAAAGCACTGACATTAGGAGAAAAAATAGGCATGTATTCATAGCCTGGCATGAATTTCAACAAATGTCAAAATTTCGTTGTAAAGATGACCTCGGGATATTCCTGACGTAATTCCTGAAGATTCCATTGAAAGTGAATGACAAAGATGACCTGAGGGTTCATATATTCGCCGTTCAGCTGATGTACCATTCATTCAACCCCTGAAAAATCAGGCCTCAGCCATCAATTACTAGAAGCCCACTCTCTTTGTTTCTTCCAGTCTCTTCCTCTTCAATCTTCAATGACTTGATCCATTTCCAATGAGTATTGTGAATGGAATTATAATATAATCCGACACTTCTAGGCATCTGGATTAGTGCCTAGGTGTTGTCTGTTGAGTTGCTAGGACTTGATATCACGTATAAAAGCTGAATATAATATTATACTCAAGACAAGATTAAAGTAGTTCGGATTTTATTCCGAATTATGCACAGAATTGAGATATGAGTGGAATATAAGCCAATGAAACCCAAGGAGGGAAAAAATAATGAATAAAGTGGATTAGTTCGGTAAGATTCAGGGGGCGGATATGCCATAAAACAAACTTTGTAGCCGAAGATGGAGTTTTTGTGCCGTTACCCGGTTTGGATCTTACCGCCGTATATGAATCATATCTTGATGGATTTGAAATTCAGAACCACTTCTCTCACGGAAACATCAAATGGCGGATGTAGAGAAGCATATTGACCCTTCTGATAATGAGGTCGATACTAATCTTGTCGATTGGGATGGTCCTGATGATAAAAACAACCCTTTTAACTGGCCTACATGGAAAAAAGGACGTCAACTGTTTTTGATGTCCTTTAATACATTCATAACGTGAGTTTGAAATTTCAGTCAATGTTTGGTGTGAATGGCGGTACTAACTATTATAGTCCCTTGGCCTCATCCATGTTCACTCCAGCAGTTCAAGATGTCATGAAGGAATTTAATATCAGTAATAGTATGCTGGGTTCCTTCGTCGTCTCTGTCTACATTTTGGGCTATTGCTTCGGTCCCTTTCTGATTGCGCCGCTCTCTGAGATTTACGGTCGCGTCAAACTGTATCACACATGTAACTTGCTATTCCTCATCTTTACCATTGCCTGCGCTTTAGCACGCTCCATGCCACAGTTGATTGTCTTCCGTCTTCTGGCTGGTATGACGGGTGTCTGTCCATTGACTATCGGCGCCGGTACCATTGCCGACATAATCCCCAAAGAAAGACGGGCTGGAATCATGGCTATCTGGGCCTTGGGTCCTACTTTAGGCCCGGCTGTGGGCCCAGTTGCAGGGGGCTTTTTAGCCGAAGCAGAGGGCTGGCGCTGGGTATTCTGGGTAATATCCATAGTGGTAAATATTTCATCCTCTTTGTTCTCATTTGCTTTGGGATGAATGTTATTAACAGTTTGATCTAGACTGGTGCGATGCTAATCCTGACATTCATCTGGTATCGGGAATCATATGCGCCTGTACTGCTCGATCGAAAGGCTGCTCGCCTACGCAAAGAGACTGGTAACCCCAAACTCCAATCAGTTCACCATGCGGGAAAACTCAGCGTTCGTGTTTTCTTAAGAGCACTGGCTCGCCCATTGAAATTGCTTTTCGGCTCACCAATTGTCTTCTTAATGGCTCTGTTCTCTGCCACAGCGTACGGCTATCTCTACCTGATGTTCACCACTATGACCTCTATCTTTGAGGACGAATATGGTTTCTCTCCTGGCGTTGCCGGCCTGGCATACTTGGGCTTCGGCGTCGGGTGCATAATAGGCCTGCTCACTACCGGCTTCGTCGCTAATAACATCGCCCGGGTTCATATCAAGCGAGGCTGCTTTAGACCCGAGTCCCGTTTACTGCCTATGATGGTCGGCTGCTGGTTCATGCCCGTAGGCCTGTTTTGGTACGGTTGGTCAGCCGAAGCACACACCCACTGGATTGTGCCCATTTTAGGTACCGGTGTCTTTGCCATGGGGTTGATGATCTTGTTTTCGTGTGTCAGTACCTATTTGGTCGACTCATATCTACGATACGCGGCATCTGCTACAGCGGCTAACACTGCTCTCCGATCACTGATTGGAGCTGTGCTGCCGCTAGCCGGTCCTTCGATGTATGCGACGCTTGGTCTGGGATGGGGTAATTCAGTGCTGGCATTTATTGCGCTGGTGTTGTGCTCCGTGCCGTTTATCTTCTGGAGATACGGCGAGATGATCCGAACACGTTTTCAGGTGAAGCTGTGATACCCACTAAGTAGTTTTAAAATAATGTTTTGATATTCTTTCTGCCATTGCATTTTTTAGACCAAATTCTACGTGCATTCGAAAAGGGTGGTGTTCGGCCATGAATTTTAATTGATCACAGATACAAGTGTTAGGCTAAGAAACATCTTGAATAGGCTTCCAAAGCTTAGAGTATAAGGATTGGTCTTGGGATAAGTGGAAGAGAGTTATTTGGAGTGATGAATGTTCGGTTGAATTAGGAAAACGGAAGTGTGACTGGTAGGTCTTTCGTCTAAACCGGCTTCACGAAAAATAGGGCCTTGAAAATCTAACATATTGCACCTTACGTAAAGAGTAAATGTGCCACTATAATATTTGGGGGGCTTTTTTTGTGGGTGGCCGACCGAAATGTGTAGCGATGGATCGAGATGGGGTCGAAAAATGGGGGTTATACGCAAAACTCTTAAATTGCTGTTGGATGATATTACGTTATATAAATCCTGAATGGTTTTTCTACAATAACGCTCAAAATTAAACAACGAAGAAATACAGAAGTGGTTTGATTAAAGTGATCGGCTGGCCGCTCTATACATCCATGGATGTCTAGAAAATTCTGGAAAAAGTTTATTTATGAGCTTGATCTTCGTATTGAAAAATGTACTTATCGTCTGAGGAATTCAAGGATCGATTTGAAGCGCTCACTATAAAGGAGTCGGAGAAGATACTGAGGAGAAGTTAGACAACCAACTTCATGAAGTCGATGGATTCAAGGATCAACGCTGTTATCAAGGCTAAGGGGTTATACACTAGCTAATCAAATTCATAAAATAACATGACTATTTTTTGAGCCATTTTTATTTATAACACTAGATTTTCATATCATATAATCAATGCATGGTTGTGTGGTAGTATATAACAAGCGGTGTATACATACGCGGGTGGTGTATACATACATACTAAGCATTACTTGGGGGCGGGTAAACGCTAACTTTTGCGGTATAACTATACGGATATGTAAGAGGATTCTGGCTACAAAATAATGATACGTTCGCCTAGATCTGACTAGTATGTGGGTCTTGTACTCCAAGTGTATCGATGGGGCGATTGATCAATTGAAAGCCCATTCAGCATCGGGATGGTGAGGTCTTGGTCGCAAATAGGTTATAACTTCGGGCCAATATTTTAGTATAAGGTTCCTCTTCAGGCCGCTCTTTAGTCCTCCAATAATTATCATTACCTTTCCTTTTTGTATTTTTCGTTCCGTGTGGTCAATTTCCGATCTGTGTTCCAAGTACAAAAAAGCATGCTTTTCTTTCCTACTGCTCTCGTTTTCTCTCTTTCCTTGGGAATAGTTGCCGCACATCCAAGAGCGGAGCATAAAAAACACCAAGAAGAGCAGCCTGTCATCGAAAGTCGTGCTTATAAAAAAGTTTTGTCATGGAAAGATGCTTTGGCAAAGGGGAAGGAACTAGACTGTGCAATGATCAATACAGCTACAGCGGCAGCAAGCTGTTTTAGCGGCAAAACAGTCCAGATAACAAGTGACTTTACTGAGTATAGTGACTTATCAACTTGGGGGTGGGAATCTGAGGATGCGGACCTTGATGATGCTTCTGGGGCCGAAAGCTCTGAGCCTTCCTTCTACGAGTCGCTTATCTCAGAAAAGACTTCGAAATTCATCAAATGGACCCAGAAAAATACCGTCACAGTGGATGGTGTTGTCTATGATGTAAGTGCCTCAAGTCACACTTCCATCAAGACTCTTTCATCCTAACATTTGAATAATATTTTGCAGTACACAATGGGGGAATATAACAATATCTATGATGTTGAGACCGGAACTATTGTTGCGGATAATACCAACAGTCCTGAATATGCTGCTTCTATCTGCCCTGTCGACAATCTTGTCAAGCTTCGAAAGTGGTCTGATGTAACATATCTAGAGTGGCAGAATTTATGCAACAAAGCAGGAACTTCGGTTGACAGCCTGAAATATTTGATTCGGAGTCTCATTCAAAACCAACTCACGGCTAGTATTATCGCACAAGCACTCGGAGAGGAATCAGACTTTGACGAGTGGAAGAATTATGAGGATGGTGTTACTTTTGAGCACGGTTCTGAGAAGTTTAATGCATTGCTTGGAACTCCAAATGGCTCGGGTTCTGCTTGGATTCTTATCCAGCATAAATCTCAGCTTGGGCTGAAGAGAATCTCGAAGATCAAAGTTTACGGTCAGCAAATTGGTGCTTCAATATGGGAACCTGGAATGTGGATGGAAGTTGAGGATGTAAAAGGAGATAGCCAGTCTTGAGAAGAGGGGCCCCTTTTACGATAACAGATAATCCTGGGCAGCCCGTTCAAGGATTGTATTGATATGTACTTTTATTCCCCTTCAGCTCTGAAGACCTTCAGATAGAAGCAGACTTTGAATGATCTCTGTTTCGACACTTCTGATATGGCTGGCTCCATAGTTGATTACTTCCTCTCGTCATCAAAGATCACTGCAGACCAATTTTGGCCTTTGATAGTATCTGTGTGGATTATTGGCAAATAGCATGATTGAATATGTACTGATCACCATCTGCTCTTATCTCCAATTCACTAATTATGAACGTTGAACCACTGAGCATGTGAGGCTATTATGGAGATCGCTAGCGCGTTATGTGCGCGCTGATACGTTTATTTCCTGAATAAGAGTCATGATTTCTTTCCTTTCCGCTTCTTTAGCAGCAGGGTCGTAACGCTCATTCTAATCAGACCAGAGAAATAAATAGCCGCTTCAATGCTTAGATTTGATAAACAAACCTCCCACTTTGGGCATATATGATACTTTGGTCCTAAATGTTTGGCACAGAGATAGAGATCACAAATAGTGCAGTCCCCATTTGCACAAACAGAAGGTCTGTCACAACCATTGATATCACAATACCAAATCGTCGTCCTTACGGAATAAAATGGCACAATCAAATGATACGTCTTAACTTTATCAATTATGGTCCTAAAATACCCTCCTATGTTATAGATGAACGTAATAAGCGGGCTGGGTCTAGTTGACATATGTCCTTTACTGACATATCGATCATAACGCACATACCTGTAAGACTTAGCACCTCGTTTAATTTTTCTAGCACTTTCAGCCACGGTTCCTGGCTTATAGATTTTATGGTAATATCCCCTTGTTTGTATTGGGATAAATCATAGAGGGGGTGAGGTTTATTTATATTTTTAGTAGTGTAATGATATAGACATCAATTACATCGTCTAGTTTTTCGTTATTTAGAAATACATCTCATATTTAGAAAGGATGTTCAAATACAGAATAACCATATAAGGCTTAGCATCTCATGTGATTAAGGTTTGAATGAGATTCTTAATGTTGTTTAACATGGAAGGCGATATCGGTCGCTACTGTACATTAACAATCGTTACTATAAAGCAATCAGCGCTCTTTCAGCCACCCCTGTGGCGCTGCTCATGATATTTGTGGTCTTTTGTGACTCGTCAAGCAATCAGAATTAATCAGTTGATTTAGACCTCTGCTTCCCAGTCTTCGTTGATTTCGTTGACTTCCCCTGGCTCGTCATATACCTACATATTTCTTCTGATGGATGTACGACGTTAGCTTCATACTGTGCACTGGATATTTGGAGGCGCGATAACCTTATGCGAGTTATGGCATAATAAATACGGTAAGATTGCAAATTCGTCTGTATGCGCAGCAAGGCTTCTTGGAAGAGAGACTGCTCAAAAAATAGCAATTTTCCAAGAGCTATGGAAAGATGGGATTCTTCGCCTCTTTTCTTCAGGCGAGCTTGAGCAACTCAGTTCCACTTTCGATTGGTATAGGTTCAAGCAGCCATGGATGCTAAGCATCGAAACAGTTTCCCTTTTTGGGTAAGTGGAGCAGTGGGTCCATCGTATCCACTAGGCTAATCAACACTCTCAACCCAATTAAACATCAAAGCTTGAAATCTATTCTCAGAGACCATTATTTCTTTTAGGACTTCCTTTCGACCTAAAATGATGAATCATTGTAGTAGGCTTGAACCAGACAAATTAAGGACATGGAAAGTGGGCCTGTAGAGCGAAGCTTACTTTCGAATGCGCCAACATCTTCCGTTTCAGGAATGCCGTGGGCATATTCCCATCATGGAACTCAGAGCTTTGCATATTTCTTTTATAGTTGCCCATAAGTGTTTCCTATCAAAATAGATTTTACTGTCTTCCTCAGGTATAAAGACGTTCCAATTTCCTCTCGAAGTCCGTATAATTCGTAACGAACTTAATTCCCTACAGATTCGGAACCGTATAGATCGAGTCCTATTTTCTTACTTTGATCCTTGCATTTATCAAATTGTTGAATTTACCACAATGGCAGTTATTACTACGGAGCACATCGCTATTGCAGAGCTGGTCATATACATTCCAGTAGCCATTCTCACGATATTCGTGGTCTTTCGTCACGGCTTTCACAAGCAACTAGGATGGATTTACCTCGCTATATTCAGTGGCATTCGGATTGGTGGCGCTGTCATGGAGATTTTAAGTCATAAAAATCCAGGCAATGCTAACGACAAGGAGTGGGCCCTCATTCTTCAATCTGTCGGCCTTTCTCCACTACTTCTGTCCACCTTGGGTCTCTTGAAAAGAATGTGTGTTTAGTGCTCAAATGATCTCGATTCATCTGAATTTTCTTAGCGCTGACCATTTTCATAGATTTGATGAAACATCCACTCATCTTCCTTCTGATTCAACCTCCACCAAAAACGTTATCCTGCAGATATTTGGTGCCATGCTTGGAATATTTGGTAAAATGTGAGTAATATCACGATTAAGAACTCTAAGGGTAATAAAGGATTGTCCATTAATCTTTTCTCGTTTACAGTCTATCAATATACAAAAAAAGAGCGACCGCTGCATCCCGCCGAAGCAAACTCGTCCAGCTACTTCACATCCCTGCTCTCATTGCTCTCATCCTAGCTATCAGCGGTGGTACAGATCAAGCGTCTTCAGACGCCTCTGATCAAGCCAGTGGGAAGACGGAGACTCAAGCTGCCATTATCATATACCTTATTGTCTACATTGTGACCTGCTTTTTATGGGTCATCTCAGTGAAGAATCTACAAGACATGCAATCAAGCCAAAAACGCATGTTTTTCTGTGTTTTTATCGCCTTGCCACTCATTGCCTGTCGTTTGATATACAGCCTTATCAGCGACTTTGGCCACAACTCCCAATTTTCTTTGGTTGACGGCGACCCGAGGATTCAACTCGCTATGGCTACGATTGAGGAGTTGATTGTCGTTTTCATTTATACTATTCTGGGACTCGTCACTCCCCGTTCCACTATCTCTCAGGCTGTTGGGGGTGGAAAGGTGCCAGCGGAAGCTCGGGCTTATACTGCTGCCCCTGTATACGACAACTCCTCTTATCTGCAAAATTCCCACTCACAGGCTCAGCAGATGTACCCCCAACAGTATGCGGAGCATCAATATAGATATCCTCAATCATACTCAAGAGAGGGATGATGATTTATTTTTGGAAAAAAGCGACTGTTTAGATTTCGTGGGATTTGTCAGGCTGCAGCGACTTGATCCGATTTAACTATAGTGTTTATTCTTATTGATCTTCTTACATCTATTCTAAAGCACATCGATTCCTATGCTCTAAGTAATATTCCAAAGTTACTTCCTCCGTATTAAAAGGACTCAGTGTGACTCGCGAGGTCAGCTATCAGGCCCTGGGGAAGGTTTTAAAAGGTCCCAATGAATTTACTAAGTTTTCACACGGGGCATGATTATGCATTGGTAATTAGGCAGTAAATACTGGAGACTTGTTCTCCGGCGATAACCAAGCTCTTGAATTCATTCCTCTTCGTAGTATATGCGCCATAGCCAGCGCCTGGTTGATACCCATGGAATGCCCAATTTTATCAAGACAGTCCGTAATCCATTTACGAAGTTCATACGATGCGAACCCTGTATTGGCGGCAATGAGCAGTGACCAGATCAGCGTAACACCTCCTGCGCCAGAGACTTCAAATGGACTAGAAGTATAATCCATGAAAACGGATCCCGATCTTGGACTTGTCGTACTTGCCGGGAAGAAATGAGGTGTTGAATTGCTGCTAGATGAGGATATTCCTTCCATAGATAGATGTTGAGGCATGTTTTGCCATGGTGATGGAAATGCTGAAATATTTCCAAAGAATGGATTCCAAAAAGAGGAGGAATCGGGTTGATCTCCATGTTCTAGAGTTGAAGTTTGAAATTCGGCACCTTCTTCTATACCTGCGCCAAGATGAAATGGAACGCTGGCGCATATATCTTCAACTAACTGGTGCAGAACCTGCAGGCTCTGATTGGACAAGTTCCTTTGTTGTTGCTGAGCAGTTTCATCGTATCCAGTAACATCTAGACCCTTCACAGTTTCAAGAATCAACTCTTGAATGAGGATTCGGGCGGCTCGGTAATTGTTCCATGCTTTGCTGGCAGCAAGATCATGGTAGACATGGTATTTATCGCCCCAAACAGCTTTTGTGATAGGCACACCGTCAAACATCGGCACTTTGACAACTCTGTAGCTCCATCGAGGAGGGACATTGATAAATATTGACATGAGCTCGGCATCAAGTGTCATTGCGGTGCGCAGTATCTCCCTAGGCTCTGTGATCTCCATGTTCTTCAATGCCGCATAGAAATCACTAAGCTTATACACCACAAGACCAAGGTGATCAACAATTTGGTCATCGAAACTCTGGCGATATTGCTTTGCGGTCTCTGTAAGCTTAGTAATCATTGGAGAGCTGGCCTTCTCGTAGTAAAGATTGCTAACGTTCTGAAGAAATTAAAATATTTAGAAATATTGTAACAGGCTATGCCGCTTCCTTCGCACGAGGTATCAGTGACTTACAATCTGCGCACGTAGCTGTGTGAACAATTCCAACCCCTCTGGTCGGGTCAATTGCTCTTCGCCCCGATACTCTATAAGCCTTGCGGCACCTTCCATGTGTTTCATCCAACGATCAATGAACGATTCATCGCTGCAGGTCATGACCTTCATTTAATTAAAAGTCAGCCAGTGTGGTAAAATTGACCACGGTGGATCTACTCACTTCAAACATGCCAAGTAAAACAACCGATCCCAAGATATCATCTCTCTTGGCCATGACTGGATCTCTCAAAGCGCTATTGGTCTGTGACAAAGCTGTGGTGTATTCTCGCCGTGCCTTTAACATCATCTGTGGAGATAGGCGGATATTGGATAAGGCTGCCATTCCAACGGCATTCAGAGCAGCATTGATCGCTGAGTTTCGCGTGTCACTGACCAGAGGCAGTAAATATGACATATGGCCACCACGAGGACCTGCTGTTAAGTAGTGGCTAAAGATATAAGACTTCGCCAGCTCCTGTGCTGGGTATGTAGGCATACGCAGTGGAGACAGAGACATGTCTCCACCTTCATCAATCGGTAGTGAAGAATTGCTTGCAACATGATTTTCAACATGGCTTGCAACAGTGGCTGTGGTAGTACTTGCAGTAGTGCTGTCAACAGTGCTTGCCTCAGCACTGGCTTCGGCACTGGCTTCAGTGCTAGCAATGACTGTTGTTCGCTTTTTACGTGACAGGCGTTGCGACCTGCGAATTACTTCATCATTCTGGTCACGAAATCCTAATTCGAAAAGATCTCGATACCCTGGACAATCAACCCCGGCTCGCATACACTGGGTGCACGCTGGAGACCCTTGATCGCACTGTCCAAATTATCAGCCTCATTCCTTAATCTGGCTCACCCCGCTTTTCAGCCAAGCATACCTTCAAACGACGACCACGACAGCGTTCACAGGCGCCGCTTGGCTTACCACGATACACCATCTAGGACCCTGTGGAGTAACGTTTAGAAAGAGTGTTGAACCACGCTAATTGCTGAAAGAAGCAGGGGATGCGGTTTATTCCGGAGAAGGACGTCGACTCTAGGAACACTTTATAAATTGATCAACTTTGGGAAATCACTTCGATGCGGTACAGCAGCCTAAAGTTCCCCATTTAGCCCAGCTGTTAAATCCCTGGAAGGCGGCTGGTGAGATCCGGGGGTTTGGTTTTTTCATTTCAATAGCACTTTCCACTTAAGGTAAGTGTTTCGACGCGGATCGGGATGTGATGATTGGTGAGATCTTACCGCTGACCACTTCTCTATTTAAGCTCAACTAAAAGGACAATTCTCCATAAACAGATTAATTTTCTCTGGGTAGTTTTTCAATTCTTTAATTTTCCATGGAGATAGGTTATGCTACAGGCGAATGAATATCTGCGTGTGGTTTTGTACCACTTTATCTTCGCAAGATGCGGGATACTTCATACCTGTCGATTGTGGCGCACTTCCGAAAATAAAACCTTGTTAGTACCGGTTGATAATGTTTGAGCTAATAAACCATGACTCAATAATATATAATAAGCCTTTGGAATGCCACACAAAGGGAAAATTAGGGCTTACGTAGGATAATTGTTCAATCCAAAATGGAGGGATTATAATCTACAAAGATTAAGCTTTTTTAGACTATACCTATCTTAAATGTTACATCACTATCTATTACTAGCACTATATAATAATGTCAGTTGGGCGAATCATGCTATTACTATAATGTTTCTGTTTTCTTTTCTTTTTTTTTTTCTTTTTTTGAGGAGGTAATTTCTATAGCCCTTGAATTCAAGTTCGAGGCGCTCCTTGACCGCGGCCTGAGTTTGAAGAACCCAAGGCTGATCGATAATGGCGAAACCTCAGCCAGAGCACGAACTGATTTCTTGTAGCGATCAACATTCGTTCCTGACCACTTCATGAACTGCGAGCAAAATGGCTTCCGGTACGAGTACAAAAGATATGATAGAAAGGAAATGGAATGCCGCTCAGCACACAACACAATAATGTTATATCGCAATAATATCAACCACCCTTCAGTGATGTTATGTTATGTGTCACCTGAGGTACCCATACAGTACAGCTATCCTAATAGGTACAGCTATATTGATGCATTACAGCTATATTCGAAAACAGATTCCCCTGGAACAGATACGCGTTGTTTTTCGGCCCGTACCCGAAACCATTCTAATCCGTATCTAGCTAGGTTGTAAATTATTATTTTCTGTCAAACGAGAACTGAATAGTGGATTCGTGCGAGCAAATAGGGACAGAGTAGTCAAAATATGTGTGTGTGTATTCGCTGCAGTAAAATTTGCTGCAGTAAAGAACGTATGAGAGCTGACTAATAATGCACTAAACTAAACTTGGAATCGGTCCTTTGACATTTTCTAAAAATCTGTCACTTTATTTCTAGTACGGCTACATGACGAATAGTACTATATTTTACACGAAACTTGATTACCCCCCACAGTAGAGATTTCATAATTCTGCTGCATATCACCGCCTATTGATTGATTGGCGTTAGCAGGGTTATTGGAATACGAACTTTAGATACGTGATATCACATTCGATAAACCAATGATTGTAGTTCTCCAAGTGCTGAAATGCTCCATGAATCACAAGGCGCATCGCCGCCAGGGTAAGCCCAAATAATTTCAGTCAGGTGACCGACCCCTCTTTTCTCTCGATCAACTGTTAGTCGTGGCTAGCGCACTTGGATATAAAGGCTTTCCTCCTGATTGATGTCAGTCTTATTATCTCACCTGGGCAGACCATGCACTGATATGATGAACTCGACAGCAAAATTTTCCGGCAATAATGCTGGAGTACAAGTTGGCCAAAATGACGGTCAAATAACCTGCAATTACTTCAACCAACCAGCTGATTCAAAGGTCAGCAATCAGCATCATCAGTAAATCCAAATATTATATTCTTGTGTGACGCTCATATTCATTGCGTATAGGTTATTAATCCTGAGCTTGATAAAATGCGAATTGAAGAAGAGAAAGGCGGCCTGCTTCGAGACTCATACCGCTGGGTGCTCAACCATGATGATTTCAAAAAATGGAAGAACACTACAGATGGCCAGCTGCTGTGGATCAAAGGTCAAGCTGGCAAGGGCAAGACTATGCTGATTTGCGGCATCATCGATGAGCTTTCAAGCACAGCTGTCCAAGATAATGTCAACATTGCCTACTTTTTTTGCCAAGCCACGAATAATCGTATTAACAGTGCTACAGCGGTTCTGCGAGGACTGATCTATATGCTTGGGAAGCAACAGCCTCTTCTCCAGGCCCATGTTCCTGCAAGTTTCCCTAACAACGAAAACGAATGGTTCATGCTATGTGGCGTCTTTCGGGAGATACTTCGAGACTCTGCCATGAAAACCACTCACTTTTTGATCGATGCGCTTGATGAGTGTACTATTGATCAAGAGAGACTTCTCAAATTCCTTGAAGAGCACTCAACTGGCTATTCACGTGTGAAGTGGATCGTTTCCAGTCGCAATTTGCTACGTATTGAGGAATATTTAGACAATACAGCAGGAATTCGGCTTCAGCTGGAGCTTAACGAGCACAATTTATCTGCTGCTGTTAGTTCCTTCATCGATTACAAAGTGGAAAAATTAAGATACACCCCTGAAAATAAAAAAACTGTCCATGATCATTTGACAAAAAATGCACAGGGAACATTTCTCTGGGTAGCCTTGGTTTGCAAGCAATTGAAAGATGTCCGGCCAAGACATCTACAGAAAAGGCTCAAGGATTTCCCTCCTGGGCTTGATGAATTCTACGGTCGAATGTTAAGCTTCATTCAGAACAAGGATGATGACACCGAGCTATGTCTGTCGTTGCTCGGAATCGTTACAACTGTTTATCGTCCTATCACATTGGATGAGCTATCGTTGTATCTTGATTCCCAAGATGAACTCACCAGCGATGATCTCCAAGAGATTGTAAAGCTCTGTGGATCTTTTCTTACTCTACAAACTTGCACAATCACCTTGATTCATCAGTCCGCACAAGATTTCCTCTCGAAGCATTTATTTAAAACTACTCCTCCTAATGGGATACAAGAGATACACTATTCTATCTTTTCAAAGTCTTTAGAAAGTGTGCATGCAAATTTGAAGCGGGATATATACAACCTTGGGAATGATACGGTTTCTATTAGTGAAGTCAAGCAGCCAGAGCCGGATCCACTAGCCACAATGCGGTATGCATGTCTCTTCTGGGTAGATCATCTCAATGACTACTTTCGCAACAATGAGACAAGTGAACAGATTCAGGATACTATGCTTCTTGATACTTTTCTTCGCCAGGACCTACTCCATTGGCTTGAAGCTCTTAGCTTGATTAGAAACTTGCCAGAAGGAGCTAAATCTATGCTAACGCTTGAAGGATTATTAAAGGTATATTCCCATAAGTGCAGATAATGTTTTGATCTAACTGGATTTTAGGCAAGAGCAAGAGATACAGAATTGATCCCTAGAGTCCAAGATGCGTACCGGTTTATTATATACCACAAGGCGATGTTAGAGGATTATCCATTTCAAGTCTATACTTCTGCAACATTTTTCACCCCGCTGGCAAGCATGACAAGGACTCAATTTGAGCCTAAGGACCTATCATGGATAAGTGGGAAACATATTGTGGAAGAAAGCTGGAGTGCGTGCCTACAGACGCTGCGGGGCCACGAAGATTGGGTCAATTCGGTCGTCTTCTCGCCCGACTCCACGCAGGTCGCCTCCGCTTCCGACGACGAGACCGTCAAGCTGTGGGACACCAGCAGCGGCGAATGCCTACAGACGCTGCGGGGCCACGAAGGTTGGGTCAATTCGGTCGTCTTCTCGCCCGACTCCACGCAGGTCGCCTCCGCTTCCGACGACGAGACCGTCAAGCTGTGGGACACCAGCAGCGGCGAATGCCTGCAGACCTTAAATGATTATGGTGACTCAATAATAATATTTGACACCATAAACTCATGTCTTCAAACTAATCGAGGTATTTTTACCTTACCTTTCCCCACAAACCTGGGATCTTCTCAAAAAGGTTTGGAAGAACCATACTCAGAAGGATTTGGACTGAGTTCTGATAGAACCTGGATCACATGGAAATCGGTGAATCTATTGAAGTTGCCATTGGTACACAACGTTTCAGCCGTTACTTTTGCTCGATCAACTATTTGCATTGGTTTCCAATCAGGACGATTCTTGATACTAAAGTCTGATTGATTATCACTAACTAGCCTTTTCTTCCTCGCAATGCAGTAGTAATATATGGACTTACAATATTTTCTTGTAGGTACTCCCTTCTATCTTTTAATCTGTTTTCAAAAAGGGGATATCTATACAAGACCTTTCGCCGCCTTGGTCACACTAAGATTCTATCAGCTTCCAGCCCCAAATTATCCGATTATGACTTGACTAATAAATATTTCATCTAATTAGATTACATTTGACTTCATGTTCATCTGTCAAATTAACACTAGTCTCGCATTTTACCACTCGAAACTTAGGATGAAACTATGCTGCAGAGTAGAATTTGAACGGCTCTGATATCTCTAGGAGAACAAAACTTCTATCCCGAACAAAAAGATATCTTAAAAATCAAGGCACAACAACCTAACCTGATTCCCCAACCTATTCCAGCTGAAATTCGGATTCAACTCCACAATATACCTCGAGCCAACCCTTCGATATCTCTTGTGTTTTTCAACTCGATCACGCTGATTTCCAAACCAAAGTGTTGGAACATGTGTATTGCAAATACGCCACTTTGACGCTGGAGCGCTTGGAGCTGTGAACTGCTTGACTATAAACGTCACGAGGCCGTAGCATCGGACGAGTATATATACTCGTTCCTAGCTAGTTTAGATCGACACACATCTACGCACTTACATACACTACGAATTCCCACTGTATCGGTCGAGTAATCTCCCATCAGGCTGGACTTGTGGAATGCGTAGCATTGTCCTTCAGGCGTAGTCTGTCGATAAGCACCCTCTCTTGATACTCGAGGACTATCTGAAATATCGTCTCTGCTTCATAGTATCGCCCGTCATAGCTCAGACAACTCCCACAATTTTCCGCAAGATTTACCTTTTCCCTACTACACTTACCACTTCTCCCCAGCAAAAGTAACATAGAAAGCACAAGTGACACCGAAATCAAAGCTATCTAAGCTTCACCTGTTATGTGAATTGCCGAGGAGCAACGAGAAGGTAATTTATATTGCGAAGTAGACTGAAACCGATATTTCACGGTTTGACAAATGCTTTTGTCTTCGAAGATTTTATCGAACAGCTTCTTCAGCGCTGTGTAAATTGGCCGAGACCAAGATCTGTACTTGTTATGGAAAATGCGTCTTTTTATCGTTCAGAGCGTATCTCATAGAACGTAGGTATTAAGCTGATAAATCTCCCGCCTTGGTCTTTGACCTGAATCAAATCAAGGAAATCTTTGCCGAGCTCAAGATCTTTATACCCTCAATATTGTGCGCAATCCAAGCAGGAAGTTCAAGTTTTGGCGTGATATCAGGCGCGGGCTCGTCTGACGCCATAATGGCCTCAGCGTCTGTGGCGCTCGTCATATTAAAAGAGAGGTTTCTCGCTCCATCTCGAAATGAAGTTAATGAGGTTCAGACAAGCAGGCTTCTGTAAAGAAAATTCTTTTCCTTATTGCTACATAATCCTCTGCGAATGATTTTAAGAGTTGTGGAGTTATGTCTGGTTCGTCTTTGGAAAAGTTAGCATAGGCCGCTTCTTTTCGAAAAAAAACTAAAGTCTCCATCTGCTGATTGTTGATGGTAGCCCGTCAACTGCAATTAGACAACTTACAGAGTCCAGATCAAGACAGAGTTCTCATATTTGTCAATCGTAGCGGGTGTTAACTCTTTATAGCATATAATATTGTCCTCTAATACTCGCTAGTGAAGCCACATAATGAGGCACGTGCAATAAGCTCATCAAGAGCTTTCTAGAGATCTTTAGGAAACATAGTCTTGAATGCCAGGGGAAATAACGAAAATTACGACAAGCCGGAATCAAAGCCCTAGTGAGCTACTTATCACCCTGGCATAGGTAGATGTGCATTGTGACGTCCATCATCTTGTCACCCCTTCTCACTCACCTTAAGACAAAAATTTTCGCCAGTTTAATTTTCAAGGTGTCTTGAGAATTGGTCGCGTAGAATAATGGGCTTAAGTACGGCTGAGCGGACGGGAAGCCATGTTCTCCACACCTTGTGATCACATGTGGAAGGACAGATGAGAAGTGAAACTATATAGATTAATAATTTTCACATCTACAGTGTGAGTGTTGTTTGATGACTTTCTAAGTCTTAGAATTTAACCACGTCGATGACTCTATTCGTATGCCTAGGTAGATCTCATAATCATACACCGTGTCCCTACATCGATACATGATTGGACTCGGATCTGTTCAGGCACGGCGCAGGTGAAGGCTTGTCGATGATCATCCACATCTGGGCACATGCCTCTTGATTGAGTTCGCACTCTATCCATATGTGTAGTTAGGTGGACTCTTTAGTTCGTACTTACTACGGCGTACTTTAGTTGAACGCCTAAGTACTGAAAGACCCACCTCGCAATGTTACAGGACTGCTCTCCTCCACTCCGGGAAATTTACCAGTGTTTCCTTCCCCTGATTGTGATTAGCTTTTTCTTGAACGCATGCTTCCGAGCCCAAGCCCCCTCATGGATTGATGAAGACTCGCGTTCTTGTAATTATGTCCGAGTCTGTCAGCTAAATCTATCCAATAAGACTAATTAGGTACAGGCATTATATCTCTCCAGGGCTTCCTTTATCTTGGCATATACTCCGTACTTCGTGATGGGTTTTTGATTCTCCAGATGTCCCAGCTGGACTATCTCGATGGCTCTTTATCCAACGCTCCAACGCCTCACTCGACTTCGGGACCCTTTCGGTCGGGTTAAAAAAGAATTTCATCTCTGTTTCAAGCCCCACTTTTCAGTTTTATTATTGAAGGGTCTAGGGCTATGAACATAATTTCCTTGACGCCTTGAACATTCTAAGGTTTCCGTTGAAGTCCGGAGTGGGCCTTGAAGGGTTAGTGCAAGGTGATGAATCCTGTACACAGTAAAAACAATGACGCAAGTCTATTTAGACGGCCCTAGTCAATACTTAGTACATCTGCAAGACTTCTGTTACCAATCAAATACTCATGTGGGTAGTTAGTACCCCGGCGCTGTCGGAGGGAGTTGTTGTAGCGTTTACCAAGGTGGAGTATAATATATAGCTATGACTGGCTAATGGCCCTGACCGCTTTTATAAAACAGTAATACTTACCCACCAATAATAAATATCTCTTATTGGCTATCATCGCCTGAAGATAATATAAACCCTCAAGCTTCTTTTCACTATTTTATATCTCACTTACCCGCTTTAAGTAAATCGAGAGCTCTGTCTATAATTCTGATCTTAATGAGAATAATGAGAGTGTAAAAACTAATGCTTCCGGAATCATAGATGTGGTGGCACAAAGTAGAGCCTTTGACGGGTATGATTCGTGCTGTGTCTTTATAACTCTGGATTCCTTTAAGTGATATCGCTATTAACGAGTTGATCACTCGCTGCTTTAGAAGATCTCAGGCTCTTAGCATACTCTAAAGATGCCCTAGAAACTTACTCCTTAGGGATATAATTCGTTATGGCTGGTGGTTGAAGTCAAGAAACTACCGCATTCTACCGAAACGGCCCTATAGCGCATATAGTAAATTTTCTCCTTCTAACCTTATGTGTTAACCATACTAATATATTTTATAATAATTTAAGCATCTACGTGAAAAAGCTTTATCTAGTTAAGGCGTAGCCAATATACAGCGTATCTTGATAGCTTTTTCACATCTGTTCAGCTTTTTAAGCACTTTCAGGATCAAAGTATTGGCGTAGCTGGGACAACATGACCAGATATATCAAAATGACGTTTTCCAAAAGCGCTCCAGACGATCAAGGGCGGCTATATCAGTGTCCCTTATGTAGGAATAACCAAAAAACGCGTGAATATTGTAAATATTATAATAGGCTTTAATTGGCTTTACTACGTATTAATATATCCCTTTTGGGTGTCATTGTGGAAACAGTATTGGCAGAAAAAGGTGCTGAAACAACTACCTTCAACAGCGCTGTCAACTTCTTCAGCTTCGAGGCTAACCCTGAGTAAACTTATGAAAACAAACAATTGGCCCTAGCGTTGTGGCAGGAAACATAATTGACTACTCCATAAAGACGTTTCAATTAAGTTGATTCCCATGGCCATGATAAACTGCCGCTAGTCTGATCGTGGTAAAGATTGAATTTAACTGAAGTGTCAGGTGGGGTAATATCCATCGGAGACCGTTGGAGGCCCGCTCTATATGGTCCTTTGTCTCAGAACAATCTTACTTAGTACCATACTTCCTCATGCCGAGGCGGGATGGCGGTATGAATGGGAATACAGCAGCGAAGTCGGATATAAAAGAGCACTCAATGGCTGCTCCTGGAGCTTTTGCTAGCAGAGAAACGGTAGAATCTATTCAATTCTACTACTCTTTGTCTTGCTTCCTCTTCCTTGGTCCTTAGCATGAGACTTTTCGTTTTGCTTCCCTTTGTGGCCTCCGTACTGGCAGCCAGCCGTACGACTGCCCCATCTGGGTCAATTGTAGTTGCTAAGTCGGGTGGCGATTATGACACGGTATGCATATGGAAGAGATGTGGTCTCTATAAATACTCACAGTGAAATATAGATCAGTGACGCCGTTGCGGCTTTGAGCACGTCAACTACAGAGGAGCAGATCATCTACATAGAGGAGGGCACATACAATGAGCAGGTCTACATTCCTCCTCTCGAGGGAAAGCTGTACATCTACGGTCAAACTGAGGAGTACGTCTTCTAATCCATCAAAATTCATCTCTTCAAATAGTAGCTAACCTTCAAATTCTTCAGTGATACATCCTACGCAGACAATACAGTCACTATCACTTACGACCTGAGTCTTGCGAGTGTATCTACGGATGACGAGTCTGGTACGAATAACGCCAGTAGTCTGCACGGCTCTACAGAGAATATTCACTGACTATTGATGCAGCCACACTGCGAAACTGGTCTCCTAAGACTCAGGTTTACAACATCAACGTGCAGAACACCTACGGCAAGGGTCATCAAGCTCTCGCTCTCAGCGCCTACAAGACTGAACAGGCATATTATGGTTGCAATTTCACCGGATGGCAAGGTACTTTTTATTTACAGAACTTCATCTTAAGCAGAGGGGCTCCAACTGACACTATCACCAGACACTGTCCTCGCTGAGGCCGGATACCAATTTTACGGAAAGTCATATATCGAGGGCGCTATAGACTTCATCTTCGGCCAGACCAGTAACGCTTGGTTTGACGGCTGCACAATCGGTGTTGCTGACTATGATTATGGAACTATCACTGCCCAAGGCCGTCCTTCCAGCTCCAGTGACGGATACTATGTTCTCAATGAGTGCACAGTCGAGGCCGCGTCCGGTCAGGATGTTGGATCGGGAGATTACTATCTAGGTCGCCCTTGGACAGAGTATGCCCGTGTAGTCTTCCAGAAGACCAAACTCAGCAAAGTGATCAACTCAAAGGGATGGGTTGAGTGGGACACCGATGAGCCCAACACTGAGCACGTTACTTTCGGTGAGTATGACAACTCTGGAACTGGTGCTAGTGGTACTCGTGCCAGCTTTGCCGAAGAGCTCTCTTCTGCGGTTAAAATCACTACCGTCCTGGGCAGCACCTATACGGACTGGGTCGATACCACCTACATTAGCTAAATTGCATGGTACCTAGGCGGTTCACACCGCTCATGGAGGCAATTGGAGAGCCGAGGTCGCAAACTGCAGTCTCGCGCTCTCTTGGTCGTGAATTGAGGCTTTAGATGATCTTTCTTTGACCATTAAGTTTTTTTAATTTCTTGCATCATATTCGTAAAGAGTCCCTAACAACTCTATGCAATGTAAAATTTGTTTTGAGAAGAAAAACCGCCGTAGTTAACCCAGTATTGTAAAAGTATAGGTATGCTTCTTAACCACTCACAAGGGCGTCAGGGGTAATAGTTGCGGTGTCAGTGGTAATACCATTGAGCAGAATGTCGTTCTCTGTGGAACTCGGAGCATCGTCATCTACCGACTGTTTTTCTTCCTTGGTCTTTGGCACCTTGCCTTTTGCAGTCAAGGCTCCATTCTCCAAAGCTTCCTCTGGCAGGGGTCGCACGTGAGGTTGACAAACCCACCAGGGCCGTCCATACTCCGCGATGGTGGCCTTTGACCCAGTAAGGGTGGCGTCTTTTGATTTCTCAAACTTCTCTGGTGATATCTCGTATTCCTGTAATCCACCCTTGATGGCTTTCTCCACAAGAGTTAAAACATTTTCGAAGGCAGACATGTCCCCGGGACGCGACATAGCAAGTGCATCCCGTACATCGGTGTGAGTTGAGACCATAGGTCGAAGCATTTGGAAAAGGTGGCCTTGCATGACGCCCAGACTGGCAGAAATGGGTTTCTTATCTTTATTTTTATTTTTGTTCTTGCTTCGCTTCTGCTTCTTTCGTGGTGGGCCGCCTTCATCTTCATTATCTTGATCTTCTGTCTGAGAGATCTCTGTCTCCTCCACAGGATCCGAAGGCAGGAAAAGTGGTTTTCTTTCAGGGGCTGGTTCTTCCAGAACGTATTTGTAGATAATATCCAGGTATCGTCGCAAGATTGCATCGATTCTGTAACCACCTTGACCGTCACGGCCTCGCCAATACTCGCGCCCTTCACTGCCGATCGGGGGTGGCTTGCTAAAGATTGTTGGGTCGGAGAGGTTTCCCTCCGCGCTCATTACGCCGTCAGCGCCTGTTACCTCGAGGCAACGCTCAAGGTCATCGTAATTGAGAATGTTACCATTGGCGAAAATGACAGTCTCTTTTGGTAGGTTATCGCGCAGGTAGCGAATGTAGCTCCAATCAGCTAAGCCTGTCTCGTGGCCCTTTTGCTCCCGCCTGCGTCCATGAAGAGTGATGATATTCGCACCAGCGGAGAGAATCATTTTCGCATACTCAAGCGTTTTCTCCTTGGTCTCTTGAATGCGAAACTTGGCAGTTATCGGCACTTCTAACTCTTTATGAAGCTTGTTGATGAGCTTATAGATCAGATCCCAGTCTTCTTGAAGGAAGGCACCGTAGTGGCCCTTCCTAGCGATGCCCTGTGGACAACCCAGGTTCAGGTCCACCGCATCACAGTACGGAGCCACAATACATGCAGCCCGCAAGAACTCATCTGGATCGTTGGCACAGAACTGGACGAATAGCGGCCGATCGATCTTTGGATTGCCGTCGAGGAACAATTCATTTGACTCCTCCGGATTCCCACTGGTTGTACGGGTTGGTTGGAAGTGTTGAGATCGCATGCGCGCTACTTCACCAAAAAGGCGCGCATGGTACATAGGAGAATAGGCTAGCAAAGGCTTCGGGTCGTCTGCTGGCATGAAGGAACGAGTGAGCATGCGCCAGGCCTAAAAACATGTAAATTAGCTTGACTTCGACAATTCCTTACTCCAATGATTGAAAGGTGAAAACTTACAAACTCTGAGCGATCAACCATCGGAGCAACAATATACTTTGGACTCCCAATACTTTCATAAAATTGTCTCCCCGATAGTTTCTCGCGGGGTGCAGGCGCAGAGGCCTCGCCGTTTTGAGCAACCTCAGTCACCATAGCATTGAACGTTCGAGTAAATTGAGAAAGGAAGCGCCCCAATTGTGGGGCGAAGCGTATTATGCGACCTATTTTGACTTGTCGGAAAGAAATTAAAAGTTTCTCTGCAGTCTGTTGTCTACGAATCTTAACATTTTTACTTATCTCGGTCTCGGAGCGGATTTAATATATGCCGTTATCTTATCGGACAATTTAGAATAGCGGTGTCACCCGGCAGAACGTAGACGGTAATATCATAATATCACCCCTGCATAAGGATGAGAATCCAACCGTTTTTCTTTCCTTTTCTCCAATATGCCAAAATCAAGACGTTGCCATTTTTGTAAAGTAAAAGGGTGGTTGATACTGGTCATGCGTTCGAAACCGAAATTGCGCTTCCTTTTTTCCCTCTCTATATCAAGGCGGTATTATGTGGCAGAATTGGCAGAATGATGGCATTAATCAACTACCGAGTCCTATTAGCTAGTATATAATCAGCTTAAAGCCTTTATTTTCCTCTTCTGATAAGGAACAGATGTAGAGGTATTTGCATATCACCTATTCTAATCAATCTATGGATATAATCATGGCATGTTCCATCCAAAGATCGGTTGCCATTTTGTTTAAATTATAAACTACTCAATTGTTTTGATACAAATGAAAGCGGTATCACTTGGCAGAATCACGGGGCTGTAATATAATTGGTCCCATCCACATGTAATCACATCTACGCGTCTTTGAATCAAACAGCCATGGATGTTTCAATTGGAGGTGGAGGTGAGTACTCTAGATTAGACTAAATAATACTCTATATATAATCTCTTCTATCTAACCAATTGAACAGCTCCACTTGCTGCCTCATTGTCGGATGACGGACTTTATGCAGCCCATGTCAACGGAAAGGAGTTACTTGTTTACTCGAGCCCTGACTCAGAGAATAAGAGAGTCCAAGTGGCAAAAGTCAAAGAGAACAACCTGAAATCAATCAAATTTTACTCTTCTCGAACATCAAATGACGTCAAAACACAGAATCAGAGCAAATATCTTCTTACTACCAATTATTCTCGCATCTCAATATGGCTGTTGGAACCGTTGCAGTTGCTTGCTGAGATTGAAAGCATCGAACCAGGGGTTCTCAACGTTGAATTTGGTGGCAATAACATGGAAATCCTTGTTTTCCATGCATGGCATACTAAATTGGCTATTCACTCGTTGGACAGCGGCCGAAGTTTGGTGATTAAGACGCCCAAGTTTACTCACCACCTTGGATTCGGATATCGCCCGCGTACCAGACATCTCGCGATTCTACTGAAGCCAGAAACGTCAGATCTGCTGACTATCCACGATCCTCATTCTTATGATGTGACCAACCGGGTAGTGCTTCCAACTGTGGATGCTCAGGGTCTGAAATGGAGTCCGGATGGGAGGTGGATTGCGGTCTGGGATACTGCGAGCGCTGGAACCAAAATCATGATTTTCACAGCTGATGGACAGCTTTTCAGGTCCTACACTGGACCAACAGAAGTAGATGATTCGGTTGATCTAGGAATAAAACAGATTGAATGGAGTCATGCAGTTGAACGTGATGGTGTCTCTGAAATTCTGGCTGTTGGCAAGGTGAATGGAAATATTGACTTGCTTGGGTCTCGAACGGTGCATTTCCCTTCCTATGATGCTATTTTCATGACTTTGACTAATTTCCCCTAGTTTTCTTCATCTACTACGCTCTCACATGTCTTCAGAACTGAACAATCTCCTCCTAACATCTGGCGTGAAAGATTCACAAGCCCACTTGGAGATGCAGAGTACGTGGAGGCCTCGAGCTCCTCAGCATTTCATATGAGCGAGGCCTCAGGCCCGTCACGAGGCGTGTCTATCATGACATTCAGCTCCGACGGAACACTACTAGCAACAGTAGATTCCCTCAAATCCAATGTGGTTTGGATCTGGTCACTGGGTGCCACGACTAGGCTAGCTTCTATCCTCGTGCATGAGCAACCCGTTCGTCAGCTTGCGTGGCATTCCTGCTCGCCCCAACTCTTGATTAACACTATTTCCAATACTCTGCCTTCTGTGAGATGGTGGTCATCAAAAGGGCAGCCGGTAATCTCACGAGTTCCTACTCACAAAAGTGAAAGTGGGAAGTATGATGTCAAATGGCTTGTTGGATCAGATGACGACTCGGTATTCTGGTTTGGGTCAGCGGAGGAATACGTTGTGGGGTATCTATCCGCTGAAGATGGGGGTGTGAAATTCGAAGTATTGAATTCAATAAACAAACAAGGTTATTCTAATTACGCAGGAAGTATGAGCCGATAGGCTGAAGAATAAAAAACTATTCAGATACCCAATATTTCAAGCTGCCAGATAGATTTCCATGGTACTTAAAGCAGTCTATGTACAATTCGTATGCTGTATATAGTAGTTGTACCTTGCATTAAGAGGTATGTCAGAACGTGATAATCTCAGCTATGATGTCCAAGATTTTAGCTCAGATTTGCCGACCTTTACGTCGTAGTTTCATCTTGGACTAAACAAAGTAGTACTTGCCATGGGGCGGGATGTGGATATAAGATTATATAATCTGTCCAATCACAGCTATCTACACTAACCGAGGGGAAGTCTGACTTGGGGCTTAGGGCTCACCCAGCTTAGTCACGCCCCACTGCCATTTTCGCATTTGATTCCCCGTCTGCCGTTGCTCTTTCTTTTCGAACATCCACCCAACAATCAAAATGGTATGTGGCCATACTATGCCCTCACTATAGACGCGAATTAACCATGTTTTCATAATAGGCTCCCGCAGCATCGACCGGTGGCAAGAAGCAGAAGAAGAAGTGGTCCAAGGGCAAGGGTACGCTATCATTTCCTTTTCCTATCGACATGATCCGACCGTGACAACGACCTTTCTACTTTGATCGATTTTCCGCCACAAAAACGAAAGAAGAACCGAAAATCGTTGGAACGATTGGACCCCCCGATGTCGAGATGGAATATGCCAATGAGCACCAGAAAAATCGCTAATTTATCTTCCGTCATATAGTCAAGGACAAGGCCCAGCACTCCGTCGTCCTTGAGAAGGCTACCTCCGAGAAGCTCAACAAGGATGTTCAGTCTTACCGCCTGATCACCGTTGCCACCCTCGTCGACCGTCACAAGATCAACGGCAGCCTTGCCCGTCGTGTTCTTGTTGACCTCGAGGAGCGCGGCCAGATCAAGAAGATTGTCGGCCACTCCAAGATGAACATCTACAGTGCGTTATCCTGAAATACTGCGACTCGAATGCGATTTACTAACTAACAACTTACAGCCCGCGCCGTCGCCGCCGAGTAAACGTTACGTCCCCTCGTCAATTTTTTCTCGCGGTTCTCTTTTCCTTGTTACGAATGATATCATTTCATATGGAAAGCTTCGGTTGGGCGTGATGCATGAGGTTTTATAGTTTGAGATCTCGGCATCGTGGAAGATTTCGCCCTCCTGCACATGTGTCAGGTAGAACGAATGGAATAAAAAAGTTACAAACTTCCAAATCTTCTCAATATTTCTTCTATGAGCTATTGAAGTAGTAGTTTTCGCCAACTTGTTATAAACCAGAGCAGCTGTAGTTCACGACCCCTCTTACATCTCACTCCGCTTCGGTCTCTTCTGCAGCGCAGCTTCACATAGCTTCCGCTTTCCAAACTCCGGATCTCGAGTCACATCAGCACCAACAACCTTTCCAGCTTGGAAGTAACGCTTGTGGTTCCGGAAGAACCTTTCCCAGCCGTCAACAGATGCCCATACATGGCTCCGCGCCTTCTTCAGCTCCTGCTGTCGGCGGATCTTCTTCTCACCCGAAGACAAGCTCTCGTTAGGCACGTCTTCGATCGGCATGAACATTTCCTCAACGCCAGTCATGTCAGGCGTGAGGTCTTCGTCAAAACAGCCCGTTACAAACGCGCGCGTAGCATCCCTTCCAGAAAAAAAGTTGTAGCCTCCGCCTGGACCGTAGATTCTCGGGTTGGCGGAGACGTCGAAGATGGATCCGTTCACAGCTAGGTAGATGGGGAGAGACTCGTCTACGCCATTGAATAGGGCGAGTTCGGCCGGTGTAAGATTTACAGGACCATTCTGGAATTTCAATTGTGTGAGTATGTTATTCTGTGAGGGGTGATCGATGAGGGGCGCTGTACAATGTAGTTCTTCACTACTGGCCACCGTGTGTACCAGGGCCGATAGCCATAGAGGAAGGATTCGCCTTGAGTGATGTAGTAGGAGAGTCCGGCGGTAGCAATGACAAAGGTAACGATAAGGCGGATAATATCCGTGACGCTGATGCCGGTGTCTTCAGCTTCGTGGCTTTTTGGTTGCGGTGACGTCTCGGGGGTGTTAGACTCTGATTTCACTGCGGGCTGTCGCTGACGCAGTTCCGACATTCTCGCGGGTTGGTGAGGGAATGAAAGGTGGGAGGTCCAAGTTTTGAGAGCCAGTGGGTTAGGAAGGTGGTGTGACTATCAATTTCGGGATTTTCTTAGAGCTCCATTCATGTGTCCATTCAAAAATAGATTCCAACTAATCTGGACGCCACAATGACTACACCGTACTCCTCGTACTACTACCATTACTTTGGATCTTATGAATAGCTACAATATTATGGAGAGAAAAAATTGGAATTTCTCATTCAGCTCATAATTTTACCCTATTTGCTACATTACATTGAGTTCTCGCGAGCTTATTCCAGTAGAGCAACTTCATCACCCACCTCCCAGCTGCGGTTGAACACATCGTTCAGAGCCTCTTGAAAGGTACGGCAGTTCAGGTCGATGAGACCCCGTTTCTCTTTAGCCTCGGGGTTGCGAATGACGGACACCAAGCAAAGGTATCTGGATCAAAAGGTTAGCGGGGCTCACAAAAAGTGACAGTTTCTAGCCTACTTGTTCATTTCCATAAGATGAATCATGGTCTCATCGTGCAGCACGACGTGAGCCTCAGCTTCTTGAATCTGCTCTCCTTTAGCCTTGCGCTCCGGGTGATCCCAAGAGTAAAGCTCGGAAATATCGACAATTACGTCGATGTAGTCAGAGCACATTTCATAGCAGGCCATGTCGACAGGGCGAGTGTCGGAGGCAATGTATATCTTGCTCAGGACATCAAAGAGATACGTCTTCTCAAAGCCACAGTTGTTGGCGACGGTGTTGATCAGATTTTCGAGGGTAGAGAGGTTAGGGATCAGTTTCTGAATGACCTTGCTAAAGGCTTCGAACACGGAGTAATCGTAGATGGATGTGAGGTAATAGTGGACAGGCGCATTCTCGTATCCGGCATCGCTGAGCTCGTCGGAAATCCGCTGCACAATGTCCTGGAAGGTGTCGGTGCGGTACTCATCGGAAAGTCCATCAACTTTGTGGATGAAAACTTCAACGTTGATGCCGGGGTAGTATTGCTGAACTGTCAAAATAGTTCTGTTGAGTCGTGCGACCGAGTCCAGGTAGTCATCCTGTGCATCAATGACCCAAACTAGTGCTCCAAGACTACCAAAGATGTCTTCCAGGTCAAAGCTAGGTTCAAGGTATTCGAGCTGACCCGGGAAATCCCAGACTTGAAAGTCCATGAAAGAACTTATAAAAACGTCAGCAAATAATTTGGCAACGTTTACGGTTCAAGATGACTGACTGAATTGAATCCTTCTGGATTCTAGTAGTTGACTCCAAAAAGAGAGTCTCATTAGGGGGCATTTTGTGAAACACTACACTGGCGATGGATGACTTGCCACTCCTTGGATCCAAGTTAGCTTTCGAATGGTTTCAAGAGAGTAGAATATAAGCCTACCGGCGAAGCCCCATGAGAAGAAGGCGGGGCTTAGCATCTCGGGCTTGGGTATTTGGTACAAGGACTGATCGGGGTGCCGGCGCACCAACACTGGTGTTTCCCTGTAATAGATTCTCAAGGCTTAGCTGGGCATTCGACTTGTAATGAAGGTAGTCAGGTAGTGGAGCACGATTATAGTCAGATCGGGGAGGGTAATTGGTCAATCGACGAATTTCCGTGACAGGATCAGTAGACAGGGACATTGTAACAAATGGGAACGGCATTGAAAAGGCATGTATATACGCTCAGGGAAATGGCGAAAGGGACAGAATAAGTCCATAGAGACTCAATCGCATCAAAATTTGATAAGAACAGCATCTTATCACATTTTAATGGAGATTGGACGCCAGAAAGTCAATACGCTCCGAGGATGCTAGCACCACGGCTCACTCCCGGTCATCACTACCGCTGATGGCGGTAGATTCTGATGGGTGTACATCCCCAGGCGCTTTGCTTATTCCTTTGCAGGGATTCCAGAGAACCCTCGGCCGGTATGGAAGGCGGTTATAGGCCTTCCATTATCGCCGAGTGAAAAGATTAGAGTGTTCCGGAACCAAGCATCTGTCTCACCCTCGATGGCGGTTTTGAACACATGATACGGTCGAGAGATATGAGAAATGACCGAGCCAAATCACCAGACGGCAAGGGTATTGATGGGAAATGAACATCGTAAATTTCGCGAGGGACAGGGTAGATCTCACCTCCATGAATCAATCCACAAAGTCGCGTTCCCAGGTAGCTTGCAGAGATTCTGTTGGTAATCAGATAAGGTTAGCATTATGTGCGCACTATGTACTCGTCCAAGCCAGGCATAGAGGTGTCAATGGATAGACCAAGTTTCCCGGGTATTCTACGAAGAAAAGGGAGCCCAGTGGAGATCAATTGCATGCGACTAACCGCCAATACCTGGACTGGGCCAGGATAGATGTGGCACAGGGATGGTACAAGCTGCAGTTCAGGCCAACATCTCCCCTCGATGCTGGATGGTGATGGGCCCAGGTTTAGTTGCGACACGAAGAAGAAGGTGAGGGATGCAAGATGCGACCTCGGGCGCCCCATCCTTATCCTTATCTTTATCTTTATCTTTATCTTTATCGCTCCACATATATTCCCATTGGTCATCAACACTATTTAAACGGTTGAATTAGTTAGTTACTTATTGCAACTCTTTGATAATGAATTGATGTCAACAACAACCTTGGAGTCTATCGAAGAAAACCCAGACAATATGACAGTGACCCCCAATAACGGCAGCATCCTCAAATAAACTACAACTCCTGCTAACTTCCGTATGACTCGGTATGTAGTACTAGGTATGAGATTGACTGATGGTGGCACTTGAGATCAGACAAGAATCCTACCTAGGTAGTGATGGGCGTAAACCTCTTTTTAATTTACACAAAACCTTTGGCCTTGAAAATTTTGAAAGAAATGGATGACCAGACTTCGAAAGACCTCTCGACATCGGAACCTCAGCCTTCAATCCTTATTGATCTACTTACGAAGTATATACATGTGCATATGCGAACATCAATTTGAGTTCTAAGGTTCCGAGTGTATTGATAAGTATGTATTCATGGGTAATCGATCAAGCAACCTGGATGGATATAATATTGAGAGTCGAGAGTCCCGAGGTCGTATGAATTTAATGTTGTATATAAAAGATGAGGTCTACATAGGGATGTGATATTAGATGAACTCCGATTATAACGGAGTATCGGGCCGGCATTCGCTCTCTTGCGCGCACCGAAGGCCTGCGCTAGTACCGGGCAGAAACAGACATCCAATAGATCGACCCGATCATATTGGCGGTGAATATTGAAACAGACGGCATTTCCACAACTATCCATGGATACGATGGAATGTACATCATATATAAAGCGTATTCCCCTGTCCTCTCTATTATAGACTATCCCTCCAATTGCTTTAAATTCAGGAGATAAACACCCAAGATGGTCCAATTGACTCCAGAATACTTGTCAAGCCTGAACCCGTTCACATACATCGGCATCACAGCTGCAACATACATAGCCTACAAATTCACCCGCCAAGCAACCCTCTTCCTCCTCCCCTCAAAGCTCCAACGCTACAACTCCACCGGCGAAATCAAGAATTGGGCTCTGGTAACCGGTGCCACAGACGGAATTGGCTTCGGCTTCGCGCAGGAGCTCTGCGCACGCGGATTCAACGTCCTTCTCCATGGGCGTAATCGCGAGAAGCTGGAGCGCCGCGCGCAGGAGCTCGCGGCTGAGTTTCCAGAACGGAAAACTGCTCTTGTAGTGCTGGACGCCGAGGGCGTGACGGGCGTTGTCGATGCTGTTGCTAATCAAGTTCGTGATGTCCTTGCTCAGAATGGGGGTGGCTTTTTGTCGGTTCTTGTTAATAATGTTGGCGGGGAGACGAAGCCGTTTCGGACCATTGATCGTCTGAGCTTTGATGATGTGAAGGCTACACTTGATAAGAATGTTTTGTTCACTGTTCAGATCACTCGTGTGCTTTTGCCTCTTCTTATGGAGGGGTCTGGACTTGTGTTGAATGTTTCTTCACATTCATCCTTGGGTATGCCGTATATCAGTGTTTATTCGTCATCGAAGGGATTCCTGGATACTTTTACTTATGCGTTGGCCGCGGAGTGTGCGGCGGAGGAACGCAATGTGGAGGTATTGGGCTTGCGAGTTGGGTCGGTGAGGACGGCTGGATATGATATTGAGACTAGTCTTTTTGTTCCTGTCGGTCGGACGCTAGCATCCTCTGCTCTGAATCGCGTTGGCTGTGGACGTTTGATTGTCTTTGCTTATTTCTGGCATTGGGTTCAAGGTATGGCGTTTGATGTATTGCCCCGGTCGGCCCTGGACAGCATCACTAGTCGAGTCATGAAACAGCTCAAAAAGAAGCACGAAGAGAAAACAAAATAAAAGTTTGCTTATGGTAGTGCACAATCAATATCTAATCTATCTGATCTATGAACTATCTGATAACAAACTCAGGCGTATCCAGCCAGGATCTGCTCCCGGTCACCAGAGCCAAACAGACCCTCGCGTGTATTTTGTGCACACTCAGTAATCCAGCTTTCAGGCGTGAATTTGTCGACAATAGCCTTGAAAGCATCTAAGGTGCAGAAAGTATCGTCGCCAGCAAGATGGTTCTCGGCCTTCGCTGCACATCCTGGAATGCGCACGGGGCGGTCGTTATAACGAAGACGGACATAGTGTTTACGAAGAGTCTGACGAGATTCCTCAGGAAAAGATGAGAGACTAGAGCGTGCGGTGGCAGAGGGAGCAGGTTCCTTGGGAACAGAACTACCTCCATGAAATAAGGACGAAAGAATGCTTGGCTTCTTGGGAGCGACTGGCGGGTTTGAGAATTCTTCAAGCATGGTGCCAGCGTCAGAGGTTCTACCAGCTTGAGAAAAGAGCTCAATGGCGATAGAAGAGGTGAATGGGGGCCAAGATTCGTTCTCAAAACCACCCAAACTAGTCAGGATTGCCGCAATGGTGGTGTCATGGCAGCCGCTCATAGCAAACTTGATTGACTTGGCTGCTTCTTGGTCAGCAGAATCAAGTGTTCGATTCTGGCTGCGCCATCCACCGTCCACAGCAGTGCTGACCATGCGGTCGACAACGTCACCCATGAGAGCACCAATACCCAACTTGCGGTATTCATTACTCTCATTGTAGCCTGCAAACCACTCCTCTACGGAAATCCGATCCATAATACCACGGCCTTTCTTGTCATAAAATTCAAACGGAAGCTTGGTGGCCGGCCCATGGGCATCGGTTGCATTGACGGTGTCCATGATACCGGAGAGACGGGGATGCGAGTCCACTGCAACATTTGGTGAGCTTTCAGGCATATATTTAGACCAGATCTTGTTCAGGTAGTCCATTTGCTCGGATTTGTTCCCTGTGCAACCGTCAGCTATAAGCATTTATAGAAAGAACGAACATAGTACATCTTTGTGCAGCACGATCAGCAAAAAAACGGGCCAGTTGTCTGAATCGTCGACAGTTGCCTTCGTTTGGAAATAGGGTTTCCTCATTTATAGCTCTAGCCCAGATTACGGGTGGCTCGAAGTCAAGGGTGCGTGCGCTGGACGGGTACATGCCCCAAAACGCCTGCTGGAGGGACTCAAGGGCACGGGGGATCGGTGTCGCTCGCAAGTAAATATCATCAGAATCTTCCTTGATTTGAGGCATAAAACCAAGCTGGTCAACATAGAGATGGCGTAGGCGCCGGCCCAAGGCGTAGGTCGTTTCGCGGCCCTTGTTTGTAAGTTCACCATGTTGGCTTGAGGCAAGGGTCAGCTCATATCTATAACACCATGGCCTAAAACTAACCATATACCCTCAATCTCGCCTCCTGCTCCAATAGCAACCAAGGATTCATCATTGTCGCCGAAGGTCTCCATCTTACGACGCCATTCAAATCCGTTCCAGGAGGATAGGTTTTCGCTGCTCGAAGCCATCTGAATCATGCGTTTTGCAACGCTGCAATACGGCCAGTCTAGAGCCAAAGATAAGCTATTGATTTGGGGGAATAGGACGTGGGAGCGGGTTACATGGACTCAGGCCTGTCTATAGAGTGCATAAGCATAGGCCCAATTGAAATTTCGGTAATATTTATTAACCGGGGTCTTACATTTTGGAATCGTGAAGAAACGGGCGTGCGTTCACCTGGGACAATTAGAATAATTCCGATGGGAAATATGAGCTTCCTTACCATGACGCAGGAACTAGAGACGTTAGTTACGTAGGCGGGTATTGCGGACCTGTCAACTTACGACTTGCACCAACTGTAGCTTCAGTCCTTTCGGATAAAGCTTCTCAAGCTCCTCCGAAGAGTAAGACTCACGGGGGATGAGCGTTGTCATGCTGGACTGCAAATGTGTGTTGAGGTCAAAAGCAGGAGCTCCTTTCTCATTCAACCAGAAGATGACATCAGGCGGTGAAGCCAACGGAATCGTGTGGGGGTGGGGGTTGACAGCGAAGTCAGTATGGTCGATCATGATTTCCAATTTGTTTTACAATTAACTACTGTATGGATCTAAAATATCGTGGAAAGCATTATAATCTACACGGTAATTATGTTTTTGAAGTAGAGAAAGCTATTGCTATGACTTGTCGATCGATATTCATGAGGTAAAGGCGATACCGAGTGTAGAAAGAAGAGTGGTAAATATCAATTACCCAAGTCTTCGTAATCGCTGGTCTCCCATCCGTCTTCACTCTCACTCGCACTGAACGCCGAAACCACAGGTTCTTTAGGTTCAGCTGCCACAGGAACATCTTTGGTCTTTTTGCTTTTATTTTTGATGATCGTTTTCTTCGCTGCCTGAGCTTTCAATACAGAGGTTTGAGAAGCTTGTCGCTCCAGAACCTCGATGAGCTTCTCCAGCGCCGGCGCATAGGCCTGGGCTAAGGGAAGGTCACTGACCTTGACCCTCATGTAGTCCATCGCAGTTGCAACCGGAGTGATGATACCAGGAACGTACAAGGGTTGTTCAGATTTTGAAGAGAAGCGGATATCGTCCGAAAGTGCCTCGCCGAACCCAGAGGAGCCCAATGGCTCTTCTGGGTCGTCCAATGGAATGTCGGTGTCTCTCGCTTCATCAACACGAGGGCAGTCTGTCATGGCTTCGACCTTGGGAGACGATTTAAGATTATCGTGCATCGCAGTACCAGCACGCTGATCAACGTGGGCAACCTTTTGGTACCGCTGGCTAAAGTGGGTGAGCAAGATGGAACGGGCGTTCATGCGCCGGCCAACTTCTAACGCTTCGCCAGTTGTAGAGTGCCGCTTTGCAAGAGCCGAGCCAGCCATGTCGTCCTGGAAAGTAGCCTCATGGATGAGTACCGTCGAGTCACGGCCAATCGAAGCAAATTTGCCAGATGGTCTGCAATCACCCGAGAAAGAGATCTTAAATCCGTCCGGAAAGACGAGAGACAAGGCTAGAGATCCACGACAGTGTTTTACGTATGTCGTGAGAATATCACTCAAGCCGGTAGCCGACTTCAACAGCGGTGTGAGAGGAGAAGAGTTGTCTTTGAAATCAAGGACCGTTCTGCGCGGTGGGATCAAAGGCGGCTGCCCAGCAATTGTGTGCCGGTAGGTGAATTCAGTGACAATGGAGGTCTTGGATGATCTAGGGTGAGCACACAGAGAAACCAGCTTGTGCGCGCCGTAGTTCTCCACAGCAGCATACTCCTCTAACCAAGAAATCATCGCGTCATCAGAAACGATAAACAGGCGCTTTTCTTTAAGAATCGCTTCCAAGTCGGTTTCCGGTTCGCTCACTGGAGTAGTGTCGGGACCATAGTTTTCGCGGTACCATGCCTTGATGACCGAGATTGTACCCAAGTGGTGGTCGGCATGCAAGTGACTGATCCAAATCATTCGAAGGTTTTGGAGCACAACACGTAGCTGCTCGGGCTCGAAGACTCGTTCGAGTTGACCCAGCGTGTTTTCGCCACAATCCAACAGGTAGTAACCAAATCCAGGAGCATGAATCAATGTTGCAGAGACATTGCGGTACTTGGAAGGCGAAGAGGAGCCAGTGCCGAGTGCAATGATTTCAGCTTCTGGGCTAGGTATAGTTTTCCTGAATTCCCTCAGCTTACGCTGGAAGTTCGGCTTGGAGACACGGGTGCGTATGACTGCCATCCGTTCCTCAACAGCCTTTGGGATTCTGAAGATAGTCTGCGCCGTATTCAGGCGAGTCATGACCTCGCTATCGTTGAATTTGTATTCCGGCTCCATGTCAATTATAAACCCGGGATTAAGTGGCTTGAATATAGCAGAATCATTGGATGCGGCGATGTCGAGTGAAGGTGGCGTTGTGGCTCGGACCTGGGGAAGAGTCACATTGTCATGGACAGGAATTGAGTAGCTGTCGCCTTTGAGGAGAGCAAGTCGAACAGCAGATGAGGCGGCATTTGTAAGGGCCAGGTAGTTTGGACAATAGTCCGCGCTGGAAACAGTATGTTCGCAGTGGGACATAATTGCTACAAACTCTCTCAGTTTGGGATGGTCGCCCACCCCCGGGCCAAGAATCCATACAAATGCCTTCAATTCGGTCATTACTGCGGGGGACTTCCATTCCGGTCGATTCAAGAGGGACTCGATGTACTCCACAGACGGGAGTTCCATGATAGCTAGGCCTTTGCCTGGCGTAGTCGGGTTTAAAACCATGTCGGAGGTGATAGTTTTCCCATCCATGGACTGGACACTCTCACCTCGTGTCAAAGCAGCAAATTTAGGGCCTGGTTCAACTCTCAGATCTTTAGCCTTTTTCACATCAAATTTACCGCGAATGTCATGGCCACGAATGATGTAGCAAAGGGCCTCTTTTGAAGGGGACGTGGGCGGCAGGCTGTCCACGTTAGCACCAGGCCATGGTCGTCGCACAAGTACATTGATTTTAGGCAAAGGAAATCCTTCACCTGGCTTCGGGCCTGTGTACACTTCGATGTCTTTTGTCTCGGCGTTGCGAACAAACAGAGCTGCAGGCATGCTTACATCTGCCAGAGGCATTTCATGGAGAGTGTCCTTTCTCCACTGGGAATTAAACATATCCGTAACAACAGACTGTCTCACCAAGTTATCCATGGTGTGCTGATCAAGACCATCCACGGATGTATCAGTCTCTTTGAATTCATCCAGACTCCTCTTTCGCGTGCTTTGCACCGAAGTGGTCTGGGGACTGTCTGAAGAGTATGGTCTAATCGGCAAGGCCCAAACTTTGATATTGGAATCGGACCAGGTAGGCTTCACGAAAGGATCCTTCAAATCAGCGGTTACTTGCTTCGCAATACTCTCAAAGGTATATTCCTTAGTGTACAAGGGCATTCCCTTGCGGAAGACGAATCGTCGAGCGGTCGCCAATGTGTGCGTCAGATTTGTGGATCCATGAATTGTCAAATTGACTTGCATCAGGTCAACATCTTGACCGACGGGCAGTTCCGGGGAGTTCTGTGTTTTCTGAGAGGGCTGGGGCTGGTTGACCGCTCGTCGGAGTGCCTTTTGCTCGTTTACCGACTGAATCGCTCCATTAGCCGCCGCGATGGAATCTGCCAAGGTCAAGATCACCCCGATCATACCTCCCGTGTTAGCCCATTCCGTACGTCCCGTGAGAAAGATATCAGTCAAGGAGGTGATCTTGATCCCACGTTCTGTGCAGGCCCGTTGAGTTCCCTCTGACAGCTGGCCAAAAAAGTACCGCTTGTCGGGATAGTGGAGAATGATTGTCGAACCGGGTGTGTCTGCTGTCGGGGTTGTGATCACTTGATAATAGTTCTTCATCTTCCTGGATCCCGCTGTGTATTCTTTGGGTGGATCAATCAGTGAGGAATTACAAACAATATATTGTTTGCGCCCGTCGGGGGATATAGTAGGAACAAGAATAGACTTGTTTATTGCAGCGGCGGCTACTTGATGCCGAGCTAAGATATCTTTAGCTGAAGGTGGTGGTCGAGTCCGAGATGATTTTGGTAGAATCTGAGATGATTTTGGTACCCAAGATGATCTAATAGTAAATACTGGAGCCACTCGTTCTGAAGATAGACGAGACGGTCTTTTTGGAGATGATTGAGGTGGTCGCTCTGAAGATGGTTTATCCCAAAATCTAAGCGAAGATGGTCGAGCTGAATGAGATTTAGCCGGATGTGACCTCGGTGAAGGTGGTCTAGTAGGTGGTAGGCGCTTAGGTTTTGAGGCAGATCTAGCAGTTGCGACGCGATTCAAGCCTGATGCCGGTCGTACTTGCGCTAGGGTGACGCGTAGATGTCTAAAAAGTGAACGGACTGCGCCAAAGTTTGCGGTAAACAGAGTACCGCGGGCACAGAGGGAAGCCAATTTGGCTATGAGGATATGAATGATAGGATAACTCCAGAGTCAAGAGGAAGTGCATAGGTTGAAACGGGACAGTTGAGGTCGGGAACTTTTTTTGCTAGATTTGCGTCACGGCCCACTTTTATCACAATCGTAGTCCAAAGCATTTGGCATAACAATATAATTGGCATTATAATTCTCTAATTTTGTTATGTAGGTAATTATGTAGTCTAAATCATGACAATCAAACTTATCATACTTGGTACAATAATTACCTGGCGCTTTTCCTTGATAAATCAGAGTGCAAACACTGCCATGACTAAGGTCATCTTTTAAGCTGAGCAGACATGAAATGATATCAATATCATAATGTAGGAATCAATTTTGACCTCTTGGCTAATACTTTATATGCACCAGCTTTGGAGGAACCACTACCAAAGATCCAACCGAAATCCCAGCCCAGGAGATGCACAAAAGTTGAAGACAGGAATAAGCACCGTGAAAAACTCCCTAGGGCACAGACAAAACCATAAGATAACTGATAAAAGATAGGAAAAGGGTGATGTACTTGTCTACTCGAGGTACATAACAAAATGAATAAGGGGAATATACAAAGAAAATGATGGTCAGACGATTGAACGCTAATGGGGATATCACTGTAAGTGGGATGTGACTGCGGAAATCCGCTCAAAGGCAGGGTTAATGCTGGAACAAAGGAAATCAAGACGATTCTGGGCATCAATGTGAGCTTCGATCGTGTTGAGATCAAGCTCAGAATCGGATGTCGTCTCAGCTGAAACGGTGTTGGAGATAAAATCGGGGGAGGAAACAGGGGATGAGGGGGAGTCCACAAAGAGAGCAAAGGCAGGGTCAGATTCATCAATTTCGACATCAGGATTGACAACACCAATGTCTAATTGCTGCATCTGTGCCTCTGGTAGGTCGAGGACGGGGGACTCTTTCTTCGAGCACGCAGGCATATATGGCGAGGACGACTTGCTAGAGAGGGCCTCGAAGTCAATAGCAGGACCTTCGGGAACCTCCAAGACTGCGAAAACAGGGGTGTTGCCATAGTTCATATCGATGCCGGAGTTCCAGCCTCCGGCGTTCAACATAGAATGATCAATGGCTTGATTGGGAGCCATGGTCATGCTGACCTGTGGGTTCTGCTGCATCTGGAATTCTTGACGCGGGACGTTGGAATCCTTCGGCGCGGGTGTAGGCATGGGTGGTTGAGGAGCGGCCTGCTGGGGCTGAGGTTGCTGGCGGGGAACGGTGTCGGGCATTTCGTTCAGAAAGTTGGCAAAATGAGGCGACCCCAAAAGCATACGGGCAAGGTCATTCAACCGCGCGTTTTCTTCGAATAGAGCACGGTTTTGCATGCGAAGATCGTGAGCCTCGTTGGTGCGGGCGGCTACTTCACTCTCAAGTTGACCAATGTACTCTATATAGACCTTGATTAGTTTTTTATTTAAATGAGCAAAACAAGATCCAGCCAAATCTTACCCTTACGACGGGAACGGAATGCGCGAGCAGACACCTTGTTCCGTAGTTGACGGCGCTCCTTACTGCTGAGCTTTTTGCCCTCTTCACTGGCAAGGAGACGCTCATCCTCATCCATATCGGCATCATCCTTCTTCGCCTTAGCCATCTGGGGCAACATAGACGAGCAGTCGGGAGAAGCCTCGCCAGCAGCGATAGCGTTCTGGCGCATCTGTTGAAGAAGACGGGAAATTCGCTCCTCAATCACGGGATCTGTTTGACGGATGGCCTGGTTGGATGCCTCCTCCGCGCGACGCCGTTGCATCTGATGACGAAGCATCTCGCTGTTCTTTTGTTGCTGGGCGGCCTTGGCAGCCATAGCAGCCTGCTGCTGATGCATACCAGGGTACATGCGACCGACCTGTGTTGAAGGACCGACCTGAGCCAGCTCATGGCCGCCGAGAGCGTTGGGGTCGACGTATTGCGTGCGGGTGGAGTTCGGCCCCAAGAAGTATGTGGTGTTCATGCCATCGGATTCCATATCAATTTCCGAGGGGTTCCGGGGTGGTGCTGTGTTAAAGTCGAATGATGAATCTTCACGCTTCATAGATGTGTACATCTCACCATTCACTGGATATCCGGGGTTGCCGCTGTTGAAAGTCATCTGGGGCACCTGGTTGTAGGTCATGGACAGCGCACCGGGCGGCAGTCCAGTCTGTTGACGGTGCTCCTCGTAGTGGTGACTGGGGGCTTGAAATGAGATTGGAGATTGTCCACTTGAGGCGTAACTGGCACTTCGAGCATCGCTGGCACTGTACTCTGTGCTGGGGATGGAGGGCTGGCCAAGCGCGACCTTGGGGCGGGCGGAGTCGGTCGTGTAGGTGATTTGGTCAAAGTTGATAAATGAGTCGATATCTTGTTCATAACTTGTCATAGTTGGCATAGGAGAAGCATGGGCTAAAGGGTGTTCAGCGAGGGTGGCCATGATGTGTTAAAACCACAGGTTGTTTAAGGCTTTTTGTGGGGGCCAGTGGTTTTATAGGTTATAGATTAAACTAGTAAGGGAAATAGTTCTAGAAGAGGGGCGTGTTGATTGATTAACAACGATAGTGTAGAAGTTGGTAAAGGGGAATAACAGGTTGAATATCGGAGACGGGGAATAAGGAGCAGTTCAGGATCCAGAATAGAAAGGGATTGCGTGGCCTACCGCGCTGACTCAGCGGGGCAGGTACTATTCAACCTCCTATTGGATCGATTCCTACTCTAGTGGGTGTATGTGGGAACCTTCACAGTTCGAGTGATGGGTCTACTCTTTAAGCGCGACCTATTTTCTGATTGTGATGAGCGCAGACTATTGATTGGCCTTGAAATATGAAGTACATGAGACTCTCTAATTCATCTTTATAGCTGAGAGCTGGGAGTACAATGATTCTCAATCTCAATTTGTTGAAGTATTTCCCTTCACCGAGACTACCGAAACTGTTTCATACTCAGCTAGGTACATATGATTTGTGCCCTATCTTATGCAGAGAGTAATTTGCTCAACCTCGGCTTACTATCCTGCTTTGGGCCGGAAGGTGCGGCGAGTCTCAAACTCAATTATTTCTGAATATGAAGTCCTTATGTGAATACTGTTTACATCATAGCTGTACAGAGTACGGAGTACTTTCATTGTGAAATAGCAACCACGCGGCCTCGAACCAGTGGATCATGAACCGAGCAACTTTGATCAGTCGAGCCACTATCAATGACGACTGACTGACTATTCTGAGCAATGTTAATTCAAGAAGTAGCAGGGCTAGAAGCACCCTAAAGCCTGATAACCGTTGGACCATTGGACTAATCTTATGCAAACTCGTATTAACTCGGAGCTAAGCTCATAATTGGATTTGATCTGCACCTGCGCCCCTACATACGCGGTATTTCACTATGTCAAACGTTAATTTTATATATTCTTTATTTTTACTATTAAATACATAAAAATCATGAAAAATAGGCTAAACTACGAACGATTACAGAGTAGACATCGCTTAAACATCGATACGAACACATGGTTTCATGGGAAGTCGGCAGAACTTGGCCAATCGGGAAATAGTGGACATTTAGGGTAACGGCAGTTTATAACCGCCCTTTGTCTCCTTCCTCTACCGGCCCTTGGACCGTCTGAAATACTGAAAACCGCGGGTATAATTTCTCTTTGTCGTGCCGCGGTATTCCGTATACTCATGCCAAGCTCCACCCGGCGGACTTCCGAACCCTGAAGCTACAAGTTGAAAATCTCAAACAGTTCGTATTAAGGGTCTAAACACTAGACATAGCGCCCAAACCCATTGAATTTGACCCTGATTTCGTGATTCAAAATCTGGTTGGCTGATAACGACTCTCCAGACTCTGGAGAATAGGATTGAGAATTCCAAGGTTGGAACTGTTTGATTAGTTACCTAGCGAATCGTTCTAGGATCTGGGATCTAGACCTCAGGACCTCACGACTCTTAACCCTGCATCCACACTTCTTAAATTCCTATTAGTTCCTGGGTATGGATTCTTTTTTCCTCGCTTCTAAGACATGTTGGAAACGGGTCCACTATGCACATTCGAGAACGATAAATTTTCACGTTCACCTAGGTACTGCATCTTACTCCAAGTGGCCAAAGTACGTAAGTGAAATTAAAATCGATCCCACTAGCGTGTTGGTTCTAGTAGCGATATGATCTAGTTAATATTATCCCTGGTCTCCGAGACGTCTACCGTGACAGCCTGGAGAAGATTTATTGCTGCCGCATTGACAATTCCTTCGTCTTCATCTTCCCGGAGATTTGTGTCAGAAGCTACTTGGCGACAGAAAAAAGCACCCAGTCATGACATGCCGCTCTCTGCTCCATGTGAGGCGTGCCAAACTCCACATTTCAGTCCCAAGCCTAGAAGGAACGTAATTTCCGCGAGATCATGTTCATTACACCTGGGGCAACCCCATATCTTTGGCGAGTCCCCGCAAAGATGGAAAAGCATGTTCACTTAGCAGCAGTAACATGTATTTTCAAGAGTTCGACCCCACGCGACCAAAATATCCGCTGTGAGTGTATATACGAAAAATTCGTTTCCTTCCGCTTTGAAGTTGTTTGATGTAGGTGATGTAAAGGTACTAAGAAGAGAATTGAGGTAACAATAAGAAGCCGAATGGGCCGAAGATGCCCAGTTGGTTAAATACTGTTCACCCCTTCGCGTAAATTAAGAATGGGAAAGTAAACAACCGGGCGGTAGATTCACATATTCGCAAATAGTGGGAAGTAGAAATTCTAGGTATTCAGCCTAGAAAGCCAGACCGTGCATCGATGCCATCGAGGCCTAGGCGATTCAAAGTGGATGGGGAAATTCAGTTGTTTATAGAGGACGTCGAGATATTCTTGAGGGAAACCTTGGCAGGAAAAGCAAGGTAAAGGTAAACTCGAAAATGAAGTTGAAATTTGAAGTGAGATTGAAGGAAGAAAAGGCGGAAAGAAATATAGAGAAGAAACAAATTTCTACCTAAGTAGAGCGATAACATCCATGAGACCACGGCATACCCGGTGTAAACAATGGGCCCGCGGACTACTCTCTAGCTACATGGCCAGTGGGCATTAAATAGGTGAGATATTCATAGGTAGGGTGGAGTATCATGGAGCCCTCATAAAAGCAGTGGCAGCTACCTGCCTAGTGAAATGGGGAACGCTCTAGGTAGCATAGTCAGAACGTGCAGGTCGATTCAGCTTGGATGGTTCAAGGATTATGTCTGTCTGTGAACTAGATAGACCTAAGTATCGGCGTGGTAGGAAGGAGATGAAGAAGGAGACCTTGGAGAAGAGAAGAAGAAGAGAAGAAGTCTAATGGTCTAATCACTGAAAAATATCACTTAGTTATGTTAACTATACACATCCTGCTTGGTCAGATCACACTGATCTCCCCACTACTCTAATTAGTATTTAGATATAGTATGAAAACTCCTATTGACGGGAATAAGTAGACCTCAAGACCTTAAATTTGATAGGACACCTATTCTAATATATGATAATATTTTTCAGACGGACGTACAAGTGTGTATGTGGCCATCACTTCCAAACTTGGAAGGTTGTGAATGTGAAATCCACACCTGGGCACTGAAGCCCCCAATATTTAAAGGTGAAGGATCTACTTTTAGACTCCCGTAGGGGCCCGGCCCACACAATTAATCAATTTAGTAGGTAGTGTCAGATGCAACGGATCTAATCAAAAATGATCTCGGGGTTATTTTTGGGGGCTTTTATGCCTAAGTATCCATATATGATACTGCAATAAAAGTGGGCAAAAATGAGTCTGAGGGATCTACTAGGCATTTGAATTGAGGCGAAATCTCGGAAATTCCTGCACAATTCCTCATAAACGAGCTAAGCCTTCCAATATTGCGAACCCTAGAGGCTCTTAGATTGATCAGGGCAAAAAATTAGCTGACCGATTGAATCTTGGAACATTATCAAACATCTTCAAGGCTGTTAAATTTATTTCAAACTAATATGGAGTAAGCATTTGAGATTATTTCTAACAGAAAAAATCCAACAAAAGTCTCCCACTGGCCGAGAAACAATAATGAGTTAAAAAGTGGCATGACCTGGAGAAGGTCGTGCCACCTATTCCAAACACAGGCTCGGTCACATTAATTAAGATCTACGCCTATGCAGGTTTTTAATTTACATTACCTGTTCGCAGTATATCCGATGCAATTAGCGGTCCTTCTAGAAAGATCTTTGCGCCCGGCTAGATGTGGTCCCAATTATCTAAATCCAACGATAGAGGTAACTTGGGGGCGAACATTAGTTTATAAAACTGAGATTCTTTGACCAGTTAGTCGCTATGTCAAAGATTGTGCATTCGGGAAAAGCGAGCTCTGACCATTATGTGGGTAGAAAGTCGCTATTTTCTGGTCGTGCTGGCTGTTATCGCCACAGTTCTAGTACTCGGAGATCCATCCGCAGGTAAGAATGTTCTTATTGGATCCTTTTCTACAATGGTGGTTTCATGTCCTAACAAAGGGTCAGATAAATCCATATCGTCTACCAACATGGCTGGCTTGCCAGAGAAACGAGATAATTGGGGGTCGTACAACTCGATATACGTTATCACCACCAAGGATGGCACTTCTCTAGCGGAGTTTAATTCCAAAGTCAAGGGGTTTGACAATGGAGCAGGGACGGAAAGTGTCAATGATGCTGTCAACTACCAGGTGTATAGTACCCGCCTCACGGCAGCCCAAGCCGCTGAGATGAAGAAGATTTCTTGTGTTCGATATGTTTGGGAAGAACTTGACCCAGATTATGATAACGATGATGACTCCGAAGATGAACGAGCTTTGCCGCCATTTTTGGAAGAGCCGTCCTTTCAGCGTCGAGGAAGTGGAGGCAGCGTTTCTCGCAAGGAAAGTGCCTCTCAACTGAAGTTGCTATCATGGAATAAGCCTGGAAAGCCTGGTGGAGATTATTTGGCTGATAGCAGCCTGGGGAAGGGGACCACCATCTATGTGATTGACACAGGGTTTAACCTGGCAGCTTCAGTAAGTCTTCATATGTTCTTGAATTTCGCCAATTTATTGACGAGATTGAATCAGGACCTTGCAAGCACCAATGATAGAAAGGTCACCCACTATGTGGTTGATAATGAAAAAACTCTCCCCCTTGATAGTTCCCTCACAGATGCGTCATGGCGGAAGCCCAGTGATATAACAGACTGGGGAGATCATGGTACAAGTGTTGCATGTGTGGCTGGTGGTTTGGTGTATGGTGTGGCATCAAAAGCCAATCTTCATCTAGTAAAAGCGAAGAACGCATGGAAAAAGCCCGGTAGCCCCTTAAAGGTTGGGCGTTACCAGCTAGCTGCATTGTCAGATGCATTTATTCATATCCTGGGCCACATCAGAACCAACTCAAAGGGGAAGGCTGTTGTTAATATGTCTTGGGGTAAGTCATTTTGGTTAAATATGAAGCTTGATCTCACGTTAACCTTCGATGCAGGCATAGAATCCTCCCAGGATGTGACAAACCTTCTTGACATGTTCATCAAGAACTTGGAAGCACTTGATGCTGTACCGGTCACCTCGGCTGGCAATACAGGAGATGAAGACGATAGCGGGTTAGAAAAGAAGGTCCCTACAAATTTAGGCACAGATGATAATACGCTGATTACCGTCGGCGGCACCAAGTCAGATGGTGACCTGTGGTCTAAGACCACGCCAAAAAGAGCTGGCAAGGCAGGATCAATAACAGTATATGCACAGGGAAGTAAAGTGACGACCCAGAATGGTGAAGGGGTTGTGAGCTCTGATCATTCAGGGACGAGCTTGGCATCGCCAGCTATTGTAAGTACCAAACATCACCCGTGGACTTCTTCTACCTGACTCCTTCTAATTATTTGGATAACCAGGCCGGCTTAGTTGCCTATTACATGGGACATGATGATTTTAATCACAATTTCAGGACCGGTCGTGTTGCAACAGATGTGAAGGATTTTGTGACCAGGTTTGCCTTTCAACGCGTTGAAAAGGTTAAACTTGCCAAAAATTATCCAAAACCAGACAAAGTGCTGGTTGGATATAATATAGCGAGAGGAGCTGCTCAACGTAAGAATCCTTCTACCTTTAGTTTGATCCATTGAGATGACTGACCTTCAAAAGAATGCAAAGTTTACAAGCGTGATGGTTTTCTCACACGTCGATGTGAGCTAGAGGATGTAACAACAGATTCACCTTATCTGGTTGATGATTGTGAATAGTGACTATGACTATAACATTTATATATATATACATATAGCTAGTCAAAATAAATATCCAATCTTCAAAAAAAGGGTTATGAGTTCATAGTTCTAATATCTATGAATTACGAAGACAATCGCAGCGATAAACTCATATAACAGACAATCACTCAGCTAAGTGGTTCAATTAAATGAGCTCCGCTCACTTCATCAATGGAATGTGCTTCAACCTAGCAGGTAAATCCATGCATATGTTAGATCATAGATGAAGATGCTAGATAGCAAAGTAGGGAACGTTACTTTTTTTGAGATCTTTAAGCCCTCCTCCTGGGCAGTCGCGATGATAGTCCTTGTCGCACGGCTATGTACCATACGATGTTTCACCGATTGGGAATATAATTTTGTATAGATAAAAATAACACCATCTGCACCATGTGGCCGGTAGAATGCATACTTCAGCGGGTCAGGGGAGACGTGAACAATCACGGAATCAAGATCAATTCCGCTGGTGGAGTTTAGGAAATTGATTGCTTCCTCTGAGACATCAATTTCCTATTCAGGTTGTTAGCTCTTTCTAACGGCCCTGAAGCCGGACTTACTAGGTGTAGAAGAGTCATCTCTTGCAGCCCTCGAAGGGCTGCTTTTGCCGAATCATCCACAAGCATGTCGAGGCCGAAACAGTAGCTACCTAGGTAGAAAACAAACTATTGTATTTCGAAAGAGCCGATCATATTTTAAGGCGAAAGCAATATTAAGGCCTCAAACATGGGGCGAAATACGGCTTAAAGCGGAGACAAAATGGGGCCAAAACATATTAACGGCTTTAAAGCTTATTACGTCAGCACAGAGACCCTTGAAACTCTTTAACTATGGGCTGTAAAGATTACTACTTTGGATCGAAGTTGATTGGACTAATTATTGCGTTAGAAGATGATTCAGATGAGCGCTTTCTACCAGGTCCTTTTCTTATACTAATCTTTAATACTTCCATACCTTTCACCTTCGCGGCTCATCGGTCCCTTCGATCAATTCATAAGCCTGATCTTGTCATGACCCACATCCATATGTACTCTGAACTTATGTTTGCGGGCGAATTCCTTGAGCAACCTCCTGTCTACAGCCTGCTAGCCCGCCTGAATTTTATTAACTATTACTCTGATATCTGAATCCTTCTAATGGTTCTGAATATCAGCCTATCCCGCCTGCGCGGTGACACAATGAGATCATGTTGCTTATGTGGAAGTATGTTCTCACTGTGTTACACTATAGCCTACGTGTGGACGTGGACAGAGGAGCAAAAGAGGAAAGAGATGTCTTCTAAGGAAGCTGAGCGGCGGCACGCTATCATGTGGCCGCTGACTAACTCTATGTGGCTAACACACTGAGAGGGATGGTAACACCTACCTAGAGGGCAAGTCGATAATATCCTGAAATCATATGAATTTTTACAAAAGAACGCTATATTTCGCAGCCTGTTTGCAAAAACTCTGTATAGACCTAGAGAACGTTCGACCGTTGCAGAATTTTATACCCAATTTGCGAACGCGGCTAGAGTGTAATTTCTGGATATCATCAACGTATCAATTTCTAGATTTTAAGGGTCAGATTTAGGAGTTATGATATAAACAAGACGATTTATAACAATTCTGCCTCAAAAAACTCATCAAAAACTTCGCTTATGCGGACGGCTGGGTATATCAGTGGGATCACAGGCATTATGGGGTTGCGGGGAAACCTAGGAAGTACAAGGCAAATGTGTTGGTTGTGAAGGGCATCAAATTGCAGCCATATTGCAGATATTTACTGTAATGGAAGGTCTTATCAGCCTGAGGCATGCTATGTTATTAGGTTTATTTGGGCAGTAATCAATCAATTCATTCACATTTCTGATTGGCCATCCAGACCTTTAAAAGTCGACTTTAGTGACTCACGAGTGCCAACTTTGGAATGCAACTAAACCAAATTGGGACCCCGAATGTAGTAAATTGACCCACCTTGATTCTTGACCTTTCATAATTCGATATCAGATTGCAAGATCGCGAGATCGAAAAGACTAAATGGGGTTTCCATGACTCACTATAGTAAAAGGTATGGTTTAATCCATGCTGTGGGGCGAGACCCTGAACCGAGGTAACCTTTAAATGAAGTATATCTGAACCGTCGTATCATTTGGCATTTGTCGGCTCAACTGTTCTAAGGTTGAGGTACGAACAAATTTCATCAGAATAGTTGAATAAATTCAACGATATATGAATGAAAGCTGTGCATCATCATCAGCTATGAGTTCACCCCCAAAGATCCTTGCAACATGCAAGCAAACTCGATTCCACCTTGAAGACAAGTCTTCATCTGAGGTTTGTGAGAGCCAACTCCCTGATATTTGAGCTGCATTTTCATTTCTTTCCAGATTGATGTAGAGGGTCTTGTAATTGCTGTTACCTCATCGACTCTAGAACCAAATGAAGATCCAACATCGAGAAAAACAAAGTCAAAGTCGAAGACTAAAGCTGCTGGACAAGAGCTTATTTCCGACGGTCACCTCCGTCTCAAGGCAGGCGTTCACTATGGGTTGATAGGAAGGAATGGGACCGGAAAGTCTAGTGAGAACCTTCCTCGGCTCTATTCAGTGTTCATATGCTGATACTTGTCTGCAGCACTGTTGAAAGCGATGGCTGAAAAGCTTATTCCTGGAATACCCCATGCTACGCGCATTGCTATTCTCCAGCAGACGAACGACAATGATGATTTTGAGAGTACCATAGGACCAAAGTCAGATAAAACTGTCTTGGAATCTGTATTCAGTAGTGATGAAGTTAGGAATGAGGCTGTTCGAACCGCCCATTGTAAGTATTCTATTTCGTTCGCGGTTTCACCATTTTAATGAATATTTAGTACTTTCTACGAGCTTTGAGTCGGAGGATCCTCTCGAACCGGTGCATGCAATCAGGAAATTCCGGTGTCAGCAGGCTGAAAAAGAGCTACAGCTAGCTCAAAAGAATGTCAGCCTGAAGAGCGGTGCAAGGGGTTTGCAAGCCAGAAAGGATCTGAAGACTGCTGAATTGAACCTAGATTCTGTACGAGAGTTGTAAGAAAATGACAGCCCACTCCTTTCGCTCATCATCTCACATTCAACAGACTTGCACAGGAACCAGGTGCTATTGATCCTGAAACAGTCCAGGTGGACACACAACATGCAGCTGATATGCTGCAGATGGTACAATCTCAGCTAGAAGACGTAAGTACCACTGATTCCAGCTCATCCCTCTAGCTGACAAGCTAGCAGATGAAACTTGCAGATATTGAAAAAGAAGCTCGTAAAGCACTTCTGGGCCTGGGCTTCAAACTTGAAGGACTTGGGAAAAAGGTCTCTTCGCTGTCAGGGGGCTGGCAGATGCGATGCAAACTGGCAAGCATTCTAATTCAGAGACCCGATGTCATGATTCTCGATGAGCCTACAAATTTCTTAGATCTTCTAGGAGTGATCTGGCTCGAGACTTACCTTAAACGAATGCGCGAGATTTCTGAGACTACAGTTGTTCTTGTCTCTCATGATCGTGACTTCACTAACACTATCTGCGAAGAAATTATTATCCTGCGAGATCAGAAACTAAATTACTTCCGTGGTAACCTTGCTGCCTACGAGAAAGATTTTGAAGATCAAAAACTATACCTAGGGCGAATGAGAGAATCACAGGAGCGTCAAATCGCCCATATGGAAGCGAGTATTCGGGAGAACCTGAAGGTCGGCAAGAAAACCAACGATGAGAATAAGCTCCGTCAAGCGAAATCTCGACAGAAGAAAGTTGACGACAGGATGGGTCTGCAAGTCAGTGCAAATGGAGGCAGGTTTAAACTGAACCGGGATTTGGTTGGGTATCACTTGACTAGCCGGGCAGAGATCGAGGTGCCGACAGACGAGAGGGGCGCGATGATGAGTATGCCCGATGCCACGGAGCTTCGGTTTCCAGGACCACTGGTTTCTTTAGAGGGAATTACCTTCCGATATGACAAGAATGAGGGAACGATTTTAGATAATGTCAATCTGGTCATTCATATGGGTGACCGGGTCGGCATCATGGGTATCAACGGATCGGGGAAGACTACTCTAATCCGTATCGCGACAGGACAAATCTCTCCTACTCGAGGTAAAGTCACGACGCATTCACGGCTGAAAGTAGGATACTACGGCCAACACTCTGCCGAAGAATTGCTTGAACGCTCTCGAGGTGAGCCTGGCCTGACTGCATTAAGCTTACTGATGGCCGAGACTGGTGGAGCACTCAATGAAGGTGAGGTTAGAGGGCTGTTGTCATCAATGGGATTATCAGGCCGCATTGTGTCTGATGTGCCAATAGCCAAGCTATCCGGAGGGCAGCTAGTAGGTTCACAATTTTGTTCCAGAGATTTCAAAGTACTCATATCTGATTCTCATAGGTCCGACTTGCTCTGTCACGAATAGTATGGAGCGCACCGCAACTTCTCATTCTTGATGAAATTACCACTCATCTGGATTTTCAAACCGTCACTGCCCTTGTGACAGCATTATCGTCATTTAACGGTGCAATCCTACTTGTTTCGCACGACAGGTTCTTAATCCGATCGGTGATTGAAGGTAAACAGGATATGGATCAAAGCCTTGACGAGAACTTTGAGGGGGTGAACGAGGAGAAAGTGGATATCAATACTCGATGCCGTTCAGTGTACGTTGTCAAAGCGGGCAAGTTGGTCGAGCAGTCAAATGGAGTAGAGCAGTTTGAGAAGAGCCTGGTGAAACGAGTTCAAAAGGGACTCTCAAGTTAATTAGCCAAAAGATGTTGGTCGTTGGTAGGATCACGTTTGTCTGTCTAGATCATGTGAACTCGCTGCCTAGTAGTGTACCAGTGATTTGAAAGTACGCTAGTTCAGTCCATTAAATACCCCATCCATTTCTTCTTCTCTCTTTCCTTTCTTCTTCACATATCTTATTTCTCTTATATTTGGTCCTGTCGACAACGCCCCTAGGACCGGGCAGGAGGGCTAGCTTTCCGAGACCATATGATGAGAGCCGTTTCCTATTGCCCATTCCCCTTGCCTGTTTCTTTTGGATCCTACACTTTGCTCTGTTTTTGATTTCTGTTATTATCTCTGATTTTTGTCTGCTATAGCGTGAGTGCTGTTTTTTTGCATTTTAACTATTTCATGCTTATATAGCCTCGAGCGGACGGTTTAAGATCGAAGAATCCGAAACTGATGTATCAAATTCCGAATTTTCAGTGGTAATAGAAGATAGTAAATAAATAACTAAATAGTTAACTTAGTTATTTATATTCGATGACTAAGAATAAGTCAAGCTCCACCTTTAAACAGCATCATTCTCGATCGTTCAACTACTACGGGCAACAACTCTGGCAAGCATGCTGTACAAATTGGTCTCACCCCGCCTACGGGCTCCCTCTGTCCTATTGACTACTGCACAGTGTCGCCTTCAAAGCACCAAATCCAACCCCACTCACTCTCTCCCCACGACCTCCGACCCCGATCTTCCCCACCTTACACAATCCCAAACGGTGCATATGACCCAGATCACCGAGAAGCCAGAAACCAAACGTGTAGCCACAGCTGCCTGTCAGGTATTCTTCTCGAATTCCAGACCATGGGAGCTTCTTCGACAGGGCAAGGGGACGCACAAGGGCGATGTTTTCAGTGTAGCTCGCATTGCGGGGATTATGGCTGCTAAGCGAACACCAGATCTTGTCCCATTGTGTCACCCTGGTATTGGGATTACAGGTGTGGAAGTGGACGTAGAGCTAGAGGAGCCCAACCCTCATACACAAGATCATGGAGCTATGCAGATCAAAGCGACTGTCAGCTGTTTTGGGCGGACTGGAGTGGAAATGGAGGCTATGACGGCTACTACTGGGGCTGCATTGACGGTGTATGATATGCTCAAGGCCGTGGACAAGGGCATGGTTATTGGTAGGGTGCGGTTGTTGGAGAAGCAGGGGGGAAAGAGCGGGCACTGGGTAAGAAGTTCCGAGTGACCTAATAGGCAGTTACAGCAGTGCAAGTAACTACTTTGTACTATTTACTCTACATCAATATGCTACACACCAAGCATCGTCTTTTAGGAAAGCTGTGGTCATCACTGTCGCCGCCAAAATTAGCCGCTCGCCCACTTTTTGTCGATACATATACAGACCACCTGCTCTCAGCCTTCATATTGCCATGGTAACCCCAGAGGACAGGTTCCGGCCCCATAGCTAGGGCTACTTCTGCCCAAGCTAAACCTCTCTTGCCAAAACTTGCAGCAATGTTCGGGATTAATATCAACTTTAAATAGTCAAGTTCAAAGGCACCACCAAGCTATTCTAGCTCGACTCAGATAAAGAACTCTCTATTCTGGCGAAACTCGCTGATCATCTCTCCCTCTTGCTGTTTCGACATGTCCCGAAGTGGACGATGTTATTTTCCCTTGCATATCCTTCCTTCTCACTTTATGAATCGTCACCATTGTCGTACAATTCAGTACTCTAAACTCCAAGAGATCGATCGGCTTGCACCGTTCGTTGCTCTTGCGTGGTATGAAGATCGAATCCAGTCCTTAAAAAGCCGCTTTCAAGTTTAATATCCTATGACCTGGGCGCGTTGTACTTGAAAGACAAGGAGTCTTGAGTGACTGCGTTCACAACTAAAGTACGTTTCAGACGGAACTCTAGCTAACAACAAACTCCTTCGATTTCAGTGGCTAGAACATCTTACTCAAGTTGTGGACTTTCTCAACCTTGAACTAGGCTTATTTTAGGTGACTACGGTCCGGCCGCCAGGCATATATTGATGTCTTATATTTCAGGCAGGAAATTACAGCAATTCTCTAGTTTAAACCCAGTACCTGTCCGAGCACCATAACCACCAATATATTGCACTCCGGAATCTGCTTATCGATCCTAGCACAAGAGATATCGTTCTATTTGACTTTGACCGTGCTGCATGTGGAAAGAAGCACCTGTATGATGATTGAGATGACGTTAGCAGCGTCGTATTCACACTTCACGAGTTTACCATGAACGATAAATTCTTCTCTGGTAACCCCACTGGGAACGGAATACCGATAAGGTACAGAGTATAGAGTGGAGCTGTAATCGCGAGCTAGACTCTGAACTAATTAGCTTTCGCACCTTTTTGAACAGAATCGGACGGTTATATGGATCGATATCTCAATGTGCCACACCGGCTTATATGACCCGATCTACTAACAGCGCCCTATTGCAGCATTTCATTCGAATTTGGCACAGAGGATAGAAAGCCAAACTAAGTAACGGGCCATCAGCCTAAACGCACCGCAATGAAGCTAGGACAGTATTTCTTTGGCTAGGAGAGGACACCACAGAGCCGCTTGTTGAACGCTGAGCAAAGTGCGAAATAGCCGAAAGTCACATTGAATGAAGAGTGAACGGAGGTTACCGCAGTTCTCACCCTTTACGACTTTAATTTCCAAGGCTCAGTCTTTACTTGGAAAAAAAGAAAAAAGGCAGGAAAGCCGAATCCACGGGAACTAAATACAACTTCACGTTGTTTCGAGCTCTGTGTTCTCATTAGTAAGAGAGACAGAAAACAAAACTATCAAGTTGAGAATCTTCAAAAGGATCTTTCAAAAAGACAGTTGAGGTTGAGTTTTATCGGTAGAAAAGAGCGCCATCTCCGACTTTTCGAATGGTCAGTATTAGGTACTTCTATTATGATTGATGCATTATATCGGCTCCTAAGTGGCTCATACTACACAGTAAGTAACTTACTAAGTACACAACATGAATAAAATTCCAACGTGGGGCTGATCTAGATAATTTTTTTCTCTCCCCCACAATCTTCGAGTTTTCTAATACTCTCAAAATGAGAGTCTAAAGACTTTTCAATCCCAAGGTTGGCGTTGTGAGGTTGTAGCCTGCTGCTACTTCCTGCTACTTGTTAGTTGGCACACCGACTTCTTACCCGAGCTTTATCCGGCATACACTTCACTTTTTTTCCTTCTTTTTTCTTGTCCCTCTGCAGGTCGGGAACAGGGGATGAAACTTCTGACAGGTCTCAGTATGTATGTGTTTCAATTACTTCTTTTTTGCCTCATGCATATTCTTACTGAAAAAGTCCCAGTCCCTTCCCACGGATGGCAAGGCCCCTTGAACAGGCTGGAAGGGCTATCATGGCTGTCTTGCCACCTTCTAATTTCCTAACACTACACTACATATATTTTATTATTACTTGTGTCGTTAGCAGCATCGTATTCTACCTTACATCGACACCATGGCGGAGTGTTTCATATACCGACTCAATTTTCCTATGCGTCAGTGCGATGACCGGTGCCGGCATGAATACAGTAAGTTAACTCGCTCTGTCTGGTGTAGTTATAGATTCTAACTCCTTGCAGGTGGACTTGTCAACATTACATTCGTTTCAGCAAGCGATTCTATTCGTACTTATTATTCTTGGATCCGTTGTTCTGGTCTCTAACGTTGTGCTGCTGGTGCGCAAACGGGCTTTCGAGAATAAACTGGCTTCAACTCTGGCATCGCGGAATGAAGCCTCAAGATCCCCTCAAAATTGCAAGTCTTCGGGCTATGACCTTGAGCAGCAGCAGAATGGTCATGCTCGTGTAAAGACTCTGGGAACGGAGGAAACCCAAGTCTTCTCTGATTACGGTAACCAGACTGAATGGAGGGATGACGACGAGATCACAATGGCCGATGTGCAACGTCACCATCATCATCCACATCGCGTATTCCCGATGGCCGGCGTTGGAGCCCGACCTGATTTGCACAATCACCCACGCGATGTAGTGCCAGTCACTCCTTGCCCTGAAGAAGCACCATACTCGGGATTGAAGGGAGTGATCCGAGGAACACAAAAGTACTTTTCTTCAAGAGGCTTGATCGGGCGCAACTCACAGTTTCACGGGCTAACTGCAGCTGAGCGGGACAAGCTTGGGGGCGTCGAGTACAAGGCGGTCTCATTTTTGACACTAGTTGTGTTTCTGTATCTGGCCATGTTTCTCGTCATTGGAAGTGTCGGTGTGGGCGGATGGCTGCAGTTGAACCATCCAGATATTACACGCACAAATGGACTCGATCCTTTTTGGACTGGAGCCTTCTTTGCTGCGTCTGCGTTCGCGAACAGCGGCATGTCGCTTTTGGATGCCAATATGGTCGCCCTGCAGTTGAAGTATGTGACATTTTGATACAGGAACAACTGTATACTGACTGCATTTTAGTGCGTATCCCCTATTAACCTTGGGTTTCATGATTCTTGCCGGAAACACGCTATATCCTTGCTTCCTACGATTGATCATTTGGACAATGAGAAAACTGCTTCCAGATAGACCAAACTGGCATTGTTGGAGAACAACTCTCGATTTTATCCTTGATCATCCCCGAAGAGTTCGTGATCATATAAATACAATACTCGGCTTTTTATTAACAAGACCAGGTTTATACCAATCTCTTCCCATCACGCCACACATGGTATTTGCTCGGAACTATTATTATCTTAAACGGTGTCGACTGGGCCGCGTTTGAGATCCTTGCCATAGGAAACAAAGAGATCGATGAACTACCCACAGAGTACCGCGTCCTGGATGGACTGTTTCAGGCATTAGGTACACATCTTCTTCCTTATCTTTTCTACAATTTCGAATCCAGCTAATCGAGTCTGTAGCTGTTCGCGCTGGTGGATTCTATGTCGTTACTATTGCTAATCTGCGACAAGGACTGCTTGTACTTTATGGTAAGTTGCTAGTCTCTGTCTATACATGATCATTATACTAACCAGCTTTCTAGTCCTTATGATGGTGAGTCGCACTGAATCAATCGCATATTATTCTTCCCACACGAAACTAACAGCACCATTAGTATGTCTCTGCATTTCCAGTGCTAGTGACGATCCGGTACGTACCAACACCTGGCTGTCCACACATTACAGAAAACTAACCTTCCAATCAGCAACACAAATGTTTACGAAGAACGCTCTCTGGGAATATACGCACATGACGAATCCCCTGACGAACCAGCAAATACGAGCCGCAGCAACGTGATAACAGATTTAATCCGCTACCACCTAGGCCGACCCAGCCTATCCGAAAAATCACGCGGCTACTTCGTTCACCAACAACTACGCTCCCAGCTAAGCCACGACATTTGGTGGATCGCACTAGCAGTGCTCTTCATCGCAATTGCTGAATCCGACCACTACACAAAGCAACCCGTCGCATTCTCGACCTTCAATATCATCTTCGAGGTCGTCTCTGCCTATGGCTGTGTCGGCGTCAGTGTCGGCTTTCCGGGGAAGAACTATTCTTTTTGTGGTGCTTGGCATCCTGTTAGCAAGTTGATTCTTGCTGCTGTCGCTTTGCGTGGAAGACATCGTGGTCTGCCCGTTGCCATTGATAAAGCTATTATGCTTCCTACTGAGTCTTTGGCGTGGGCTGAAGAAGAAGATGCTGCTTTGAGAAGAGAGAGGACTAGAGCCTGGGGACAGGATCGCATGCCTGCTGGGTCTGTTTAGATGTTCCGAGGTTCATTCTGAGCTTTGCATTTTGGTGGCTTGGTTTTGCTTAACGTTGCTTTTTACTACTTACATAGACATGATACACGACCGTGAATGAGGACTGAAGAATCAGATTAATGAAGATTAGAACCCAAAAATCCAATGAAAAACTAAAACACACAAACGCCATATTCTTTTGATGCGGAATTTCCCGATAGTCCAAGGTTATAGGTCAGACATGAAAGATATACACAAGGTTAAATAGAGCAAAGGAGGAGAACTATCTACTCAAACTCCATTTCATCCTCATCTTCTTCTTCCTCCTCTTCCTCTTCTTCGAGTTCCTCCTCGCTTTCCTCCTCTTCACCCTCGTCACTGTCATCGTCGCTTCCATCTAATCCAACCTTGCCATTCTCCTTCTCCTCAGCCCGACGCTTCTCATCTTCGAGGCGCGCCTCCTCGAGGATAGCAGCACGCTCCTCGCGTAACTGCCGCTGTGACTTGACAAAAGCGCCAAGAGGGGTACTCTCCCAATCCACATCCTTGAGGAAGTTATCGACCTCAATACGGTTGCGAGGGGTGAATGAGACGTTCAGACGACGCTCCTCGATCCAGCGGGCGTTAGCCTCAATCTTTTGCACAACCAAAAGAATCATTTGGTTGATCTTGGCGTTTTTGTTGCCGCCCGAGCGGGCAGAGACCTGCTTCAGCCAGCGCTTGAGTGAGACAACGACCGGGACGGAAAGTTCAGGGAAAGCGATGTGCTTGGACCACAAAACGAAGAACTCCGACAGAAGCTCGGCGACCTGCTCACCAACACCATCGTGGTAGGTACGCGAACGGAGGTAAGATTTCGGGGCGCGGATGGCAGTGTTGAAGTCGAGGGGCTTGAGAGTGCTGGACTTGGGAGCCTTGCGCATCTCTGCGGAGTTCAGAACCTCCAGGAGAGAGGACGCGAGCGGGATGTAGGTTCCAGTGGCGCGGGAGATTCGCAGCAGAGAGCGCGTGAGCTGGAAGCGGAGAGGGAAGTACTGTGCTGTCGGGATCAGGCGCATGGCACCCAAAGTAATCTGAACGACCGGGTAGATGAGGGGGCGCAGAGCGGACTGCTTTCCGGCCTGGGCCTCGACGAGACCGTCGCAGTGCTGTGAGAGCACACGCGACCAGAAGTCAAGAGAGTGGATATACTGCCAGTTGTAGATGGTTTTGTAGGACTCTTTGGAGGTGTTGGTAATGCTGCTGCGCAGGTGCATGGCCAATTGACGGATAAAAGTGAATCCAGTGGTGTATGCGACGTTCTGGTCGATACCCCAAATCTCTGCGGCCGAGTTCTTCATCAAGTTTACACCGGCCAGAGTATGCACAGTGGTGTTGCGGCTGCCCTTGACCACACCCTCGTAAGTAGTTTTGAGGACAGTCTCCTTGATACCTGCATCGCCAATGATCATAACACGGCGCAGCAAAAGGAAGGCAGTAATTCTGGTGGCATCGGCGGTCGATACATCAGCCCAAATACCGACAATAGTCTTGATCAAAGTCTTCAGAACCTTACGGAACTGCAAAAGGTAAGGCAACATGGGATCCATAGCGGCCAGAGTCATTTTGAGAGTCTTTGCATCCGAGAGATTGATCAGGAGATGGTGGACCGAGGAGGTGTGAGATTTGATCAGAGGAGTGAGAGTGTTAAACTTCTTCGAGTCAAGAGATACCCTGATCTTGCCGGACGCGGCCTCCTTCACAGGGAGGTGGTGCGCCAGAACCTTGGGAACGACAGTCAACGCGGTCACAAGCACTTGGTGGTAGACACTTGGATCGGAGATGGTGTATTTTTGCTCTGGGGCATCAGGGTCGTTGACGTAGGCTGCGGAACGGAATGCAAGAACGGATTGGCGCATAGCACGGATCGAGTGCTGTTCCTCCATCAAGCTTTGCCACTTCTTGACCATCTCAATGGTCAGAGTGTTGTCGATCTCTGCTACCTCATCCTCATCCTCTTCTTGCTTCTTGGCCTTCTTCTTCTTCTTTTTTGCTGGGCCCTCCTCTTCGGCAGCCTCACCTTCACTCAGCTCATCAACCTCAGCCAGATCGCCATGGTCAGCGAAGTCGAGTAGTTCGGCATCGTTTTCCTTAAGATACTTGTAGAACTCAGGATCTTTCTCCTTCAACGCCTCGAGTTGGGTATTGTGGTCATCGAATGCGTTGGTGCTGCTGGCATCGTCATCATCGCTTATAGCAGAGTCGGCAGCTTCGTCTTCATCTTGTGCTTTGTCTTCTGAACGCTTGCGTTTGCCGATCTTGGGGGTGATGTCCTTCTTGCTGGCCTTGTTATCGCTAGTAGGGTCAGCAATATCGAAGCCACCGGAGAAGAAGTCATCGACATTCATCTTGGCAAAAGCTTCCTTCTTCTTCACCTCCTCGGGATTCGGCTCGTTGTCTTCATCTTCAGCTTCACGGCGCTTGGCACTTGCGGCCTTACGCTTGTCGTTCAATTGATGGCGCTGCTTGATCTTTGCGCCGGCCTTGCGGCGCTCAAGGGTATCCTTGAGATGGTTCTTCTCGAACTTCTTAGTAGATTTTTTAGCCATGATGGACGATTGTCTGTATATGAGCTTTGATCAACAAGTCGTTGGCCGCTGGAAAGAAAAAAAATTTAGCTCGGGGACAATCAGCGGGACCGCTTTCGCGACCGCCTTTGGGGCTGCCGATAAGACCAGTCCTCCCCGCGCAGCTACTGCTATTAGGATTGTGATTTATTCTTGTTAGTTATTCAGAATGTATTCTCAGCGACCATTATCTTATGCTCCGACTCCCTACAGCTACACACCAAACCCTGCGCGGTCTGCTTCCATCAATCTAGATGAGGTATGAATCCCGTATGCAAGCAGCAACGCGGGGAAACCTCACCCTAACAAAGCTATAGGAAGTCAAGTTGGTCTCCAGTTCAGGAGAAAGAGATTTATACGAATCTCTCGCCGAGATATACAGCATAATTGTTACCCTTGATGGGTTGGAGAAGGCATACATCAAAGACGTTGTCACGGAGGCGGAGTATACCGAGACATGCACACGACTCCTGAAGCAGTACAAATCTAGTCTGGGGGATGAAACCGTGTCGCGCGAGTTCATTGATTTGGAAACTTTCAAACGAACATGGGGGGTAGGTCTCATGAGAGTGCCTTGACCATTTTAGGGTGAATGTCTAATCAGGTCACAGATGGAATGTCCTCGGGCGACTGAACGACTGCGAATCGGTCTTCCTGCGACTGTTGAACAGGCCTCGCATGGAGCACCCACTTCTAGTAGTGTGACAGCTGGGAACTCAGTCGGTGGTGCATCCGGCAGTCTAATTCTAGCGGCGACAGAGAACTTCATCACATTCCTCGATGCATTGAAGCTGAATATGGTTTCGAAGGATGCACTACACCCGTTGCTATCAGAAGTGATTCAGTCAGTCAACAAAGTCACTGACGGAGATTTTGAGAATCGCGGCAAAATCATTCAATGGCTGATTGCGCTAAATCAAATGCGGGCTACGGAAGAGCTGAGCGAAGACCAAGCACGGGAGCTGGCATTTGATATTGAGCAAGCTTATCAGGGATTTAAGGCTACGTTGAACTAACAAAGTCAGGTTTTCTTGCATTTGGCGTGGCGTTTTAGAATTCCTTTATATACCACTCCAGTATACGGAGTATCCGTAGTACTAGACATTCGTTGTCGGTTTTTTTAGGTGAAAGAAGAGTACTATCATCGGGTACGAATTACTCTCTCTACTATGATATCCATAGCACATCATGATACATTATAATTAAATACTCCGTAATAAAGTATTTCACCACTGAACGGGTCACACTACTGAACGGGTCAGTTTGACCCACTTATTTTTATGAATCCCAATAACTCCATTATTTACTATGTAATATAGTAAAAAAAAACTACTGAATGGGCCTACTAGGACAGGTTTCCCTCCTATGTCCAGGTGTCTTACATATCCCACACCGGCGTTGGGTTACAGGCGCCCTTACAGGCGCCTGGCCCTCTTGTAAATTGGCATCATTAAGTTTAGGGCCACCATTCGACGCGTCAACCAGGTCTAATCCCTCCTGAATTGTAAGACCCCCTACTACTGTTAATTGACGATTCGGACGTTCTTTTTGTTTTTTCTTTTTCTCATGGGCGGCGCGTAAATCTCTGTTTTCCAGGCGTAAGAGAGCATTCTCTTGATATAGGTAATTTGCACCCTTTACTATCTGGTCTAATGCTCTCTTAGATGGTGTTGGTGGCGTTCGAGATACAGTGCGTAATATAGCTTGGTGTTGACGTCGTAAATCTTTCTGCGTCCTAGGCGTCTTAGGTGTCCAATTTCGACTTGAATCGCTTCCTATAGAGGGTGGTGGTGGTGGTGTATCGACGCGCATAGTAAGCTTTTTTAACACCCTAGTAGGGTCAAGTGGCACGATTCCAGTTGCAGCAAACGCATTAGAAGCAGATGCAAATGCTTCAATACGCGCAGTAGGATATATCTCTAGGAAATCTCCTTTACTAATGTGGGAAAAACCAAGCTCTACTCTAGACTCAACCAGCCGAGAATAAGAGCGTTTTAACACCGCAAAACACCCAACATCAAGAGGTTGAAGAAGATGAGACGCATGCGCAGGCATACATAATGGTATAATATCATGCTCCTGGCAGATTTTGTCGAAATCAGGTGTTAAATGGCTACCATGGCCATCTAAGATCAGAAGGCGATACCGTCCTTTAGTACGAGCAGTAGCAGGTATAAAGAGCTTTTCAAGCCAACGGAGCCCTATTTGATTTGATGTCCAGCCATTAGGACTAATCTCAAGACGCCAATTAGGTGGTAAACCTAGATCAGGAGCAAACCAGCTCTGCATCATCACCTTACCCTTAAAGATAATACAGGGTGGAGGTGCGTAACCAGACGCGCCTAAACACTCTATCACAGTAACCCATTCCCGGTTACCAGGCTGTTTTTTTGCGCGTTTACCATAATAACCAGCTCTAGTAACCACTCTCGCGGTCGCACATCGTCCCATCGCAAACCCAGTCTCGTCAAAATTATAGATATCGTCGGTGGTGATACCATATTTTGCGATCGTGTTTTCAACCAGTTTGAACCAATTATTGATCACATTATAGTCCTCTTGACGCGCACGTGTAAAATCGCGCGGTGTTGAATAGGTCGTCTTAAGTTCAGGTAAACGCGTCGCAAACCTAGTAACCCAGTTTTTACCGATCGTAAGAGGAGGGTTGGTTCCGCGGTCGGCGAGTAGGATATTAGCCATTCTACCAACATCTTTAGTTCTAGGAGCACAGCCGCGATCATCTAGAGAGACGACCCATTGAAGTAATGAATCCTCTTCAGATTCAGTCAGTTTAGACTGCGGTGGGTGTGTTTCAAGACGAAATTGGACACCAGAATGGCGGCGTTGGAGGGTTGAAAATGGTATATTAAACATAGCTGCAGCTTTACGCATTGATGATATATCGCCATTCTTGTAAGCTTGGTAAGCTAATAAGACCCTATTCTCCTGATCCTGTTTGTCTTGGACATATAGAGCATTTAGGGGGGCATGGTGGGTAGTTGAAAATGGAAACACCAGACTGACGCGTAAAATTGGTGGGGTGACCCGTTCAGTAGTGTGACCCGTTCAGTGGTGAAATACTTTACTAATTGGTTAATGCCCCTTTCTGCCTTATAAGGCATCCAACGATCCGTGGAATCAAAGTGGGCCTTTCCTCTTTAGGATTTTCTTTTTCGTGGAGGCGATAGGATCCACAGATAAATCCCCAGTCACCGTTGCCTATACGATTGCCTCAGTCGATGAGTGTTGGATAAACTATCGAGTATTAACCATGATTACTGCTACTGACGAGCCCCTCCATGGTGAGTGATCCAATCCACACTGAGGTAAGATAGTGAACTGATAAGAGTCTATCAGTGCTGGACTTGCCCCAGATCTACCAAAAGCCCTCGGGAACGGATCTCTTAAAGACGCTAGCCTTGTTGGCCCTTCAACCTCGTTCGTTTGGAATCAGTGCTGAAGCAGTCAAAGGACCTGCGGTTCAGCCGGCTGGAGTGACTCGGTATCTTACCTCTATAATTTCGAGCCCACTGTCATGGCTTGATACTGAGGAGTTGCGAGAAGCTGTATGGGATGCGGCTGCTTCCCGCCTTAGCGAAAGGTCCGGTCGTACTGGTAAGTATATCCAGATAGAGCCGTATGTATAGTTGAGTCAAGCTGACAACGCCTGTTCGGTATAGCCATGCCAGCCATGTCGCGCATCTTCGACATTCCAACCTCTACTGGCGAGGAATACACGCTTACCCTGCACGAACCCTCCTCTCACATCAGATAATCTGGGTATGAAGACGTGGGTTTCTTCATACCTCCTGTCTCGTCGGCTGCACAATTTCTCCATTGAACCCTCAGCAGGTCACTCTACCACATCATATAAGAAACCGCTCCGAGCCCTGGAGCTTGGTTCCGGCACAGGACTCGTTGGACTTTCTTTTGCCGCTCTCCAGGGTAAAGCAGCTACTGTCCACCTAACAGACCTTCCCGAGATCGTGCCGAATCTCGCGCATAACGCCGCCTTGAATGTCGAGCTTCTCAATACTACAGACGCAACTGTGACAACAGGTGTCCTGGATTGGTCTGTAACACCATCGCCGCTACCCACAGCTGAAGAACGATTCGACGTGATACTCGCTGCCGACCCATTATACTCGCCCAAACATCCGCAGTGGCTTGTAGATACAATTCAACCCTGGCTAAGCCGAGGCCTTGACGCGAGGGTTTTAACGGAGATGCCACTTCGGGACGCGTATATACCACAGGTGCAGGAATTCCGGAAGCGGATGATGGACATAGGACTGGCGGTCGTGGAAGAGGGCGAGGAAATCGGGTATGATGACTGGGAGGGTTCCGATGGAGAATCTTTGGCTGTGAAATGCTGGTGGTCTGTCTGGGGTTGGAGCGAGAAGATATGACTGGACGAGACCTCGGGGGTTATATGACCATGTCGCACGATATGAAATCACGAATAGACGATAAATGATAGACCTGGAGTAGACATATATCAAGTTTTTCAGTGTTTAGACCCAACCTGTATTCATAGAATGAATCTCATTCCAAAACGAGTGTTTTCAGAATACGTCTCAAATTACCTTGAAATGATGGACACCCACGAACCCTGAAAAAAATCACGTGCCCTATGACGTCAATCAACCTCGCATCTAAATCGAAGGTTAATTTCCTGAAATTGTCAAAATATTCATGCTTGATGCTTCCTGATTCATATTCAACGTTGTAATCATTTCAAAAGTGATTATATATATATAAAATAGGCGAACACGTCTACGAGATTCCTGAAATACTTCAAAATCGCATGTCCGAGGGAAATATATATTCGAGTCTTTTAGACTCAACACCAGATCTCAGTGCGTTATTTACAGCATTGAAAAAGATACTACTTTAACCTTGGAATATTGTGCATCGACACAGTATCTAGGTATAAACTGCTCAGCGCTCATAATGATTGGACTTTTGGCCATCACTTCCATCCCCACTGTCACGGGCGTGTCTTTTGCTGTGACAGAGCAGCGAAAAGCAAACCAACGTCGCGAAGATGCGCGTCGAATGAAGAAATTCAACATCGACGCAGTATGCACAGGCGATACAGACGATGACCGGGATTTAAATGGAAGGAGAGTGGTAGTACGAGATGAAAAAGTGAGAGATCAGCGATCTATTTCCATTCATTTTGATTCAAGCTAATCAGCCCTCAGGTCTGGCTCGATGACCCCAATCCTTCCAAACGATCTATTCCCGCTTTCACTGCTTTGGCATTTTATATCGAATATCCGGAATTGGAGGAGACGAAAGGTCGAGATCGTGGTCTCGGGCTTCCTACACATGTCTCTGACAACCCGCCCCTGCTTAATTGGATCTATGCTGATAAGGATACGTATGAGTTGAAAACTGGGAATCGGTCGCAGAGCGTGGAGCATCTGGTTGGGCCGTGGGACTGGACGGAGGATGAGACGACGATTATACTCGAGGAGAAGGACAGATTCATTGCCGTTGAGGAAGAAGAGGGCCAGTGGGCTTTATACTTTGATCGTCACGGCGATGAATTGGCGCGTGTCTTGGAGGAACAAGGGAAGCTGGATAATGCTTTTGTGCCTGTTTCTATGGTGCGGAGTCCTGTGGAGGAGGAATAGAACAATACAGGACGAGTAACTATGGAAGTTCATGATTGAATGCGCTGATGATAATGATTACAAATTGGTATTTAACCCGGGTAGTAGACCTAGGCGAACTTTTGGATATTCTGGTATCAATGAAACATTTACTCGGCAAGACCATCCCAGATGCCTCCATCACTATCGTTGCCTTCTGCTGCCTCTGTAGCTTTCCTATTGCGACTGGCTGCAATGGCACCCTTCTTGCGGTTTTCCATGCGACGCTCAAAGCCACTCTTAGTACTGATTCTCATTGCGCGCGCATTCTTGCTATCCTCCTTGTCATTTCCATTTCCATTGCCGAGTTGACGCGCCTTGACACCGTGTTGCTTGAGTTCTTGCTTGTCCTTCTTGGTAAGACTTGGGAGGGAGTTGAGGAGCCACTTCTGAATAGACTTCTCGCTCTCTGGGGCACCACGCAGCTTTTCGCTGGCATCGATGACATTGGCGATACTCTTGACGTACGGAATGTCCTCTTTGGTGTAGTAGGTTACTGCAATACCACCCTCGCGACCAGCGCGGCCCGTTCGCCCAACACGGTGGACATACACGGCAGCAGAATTGGGAATATCGTAATTGACAACACCGTTGATCCCACGGAAGTCGACACCACGCGCAAGCAAGTCGGTAGTAACGAGGATCCAGATCTCGCCTTTGCGGAAGTCGCGCATGATATCTGAACGTTGACTATCGGAGAGGTCGGAATGCAACACGGCGATGCGAGAGGAGCCACCTGCTTCGGTAGGGATGTCGTATTTCAACTCGGAGTGGAGAGCAATTGCTCGAGGAATGGTTTGAGTGAAGATGAGGAAAGGAGGTCGGAGACGGACATCTGAAGCAGAGGCAGCGGCTGGGTGCAGAAGCTGGCGAAGACCGAGCAGCTTACCCTGCTCTGTTGCTGCGTAAACGAGTTTGTGCTCGATGTTGGGAATGGCCGAATCCTTCAAGCCAACAACAAGGCGCACCAATGGGTGTGGCGTCTTAGGCTGTTGCTCAAGATCTTCTAGGCGCTCTTTAATAGTCGATTGAGTGAGGTCTTCCACGTTAGAACCCATGGTAGCAGACCACAGACTGACGCGTAGATCGGGGTGTACACATGAGCGCCAAATGTTGAGGGTTTGCTCTCGGAATAACGGGTCCATGAGCACATCAGCTTCATCCAGAACCAAACTTCGCACCAACGGCAAATGTGCCATACTTTTTGTTTCATTAGCAGACAATGCATTTACCAGCATTAGAGGAGTAGTAACAAGGATATCGCTCTTTGTGATGGGAACGATGCTGGCAGCCTTCTTGGGGTTGCTCTCGGATTCCTCATCATCATCGGATCCAGAAGCGTCGCTGTCTTCATCTAAAACGTTGCCCTCGTCCTCTCGATCCACCACTCGCATGCCCTTCCTCATCAGGGTAATCTTCACACCAGTTCCAGCAACTAATTTCCGACCTTCGTTGACAATCTGGCTTGCCAGCTCTTTTGTAGGTGCCACAACTATCGACAGGATACCATGCTCGTCAGAATCAGACTTCGAGTGGTGGTGCCGAACGATCTTGTTAATCACTGGGATCAAAAACGAGAGAGTCTTTCCACTACCCGTCGGAGCAATGACCAGCAGATCAGGCTCCTCTTTTAGCAGCAGAGGTAGAGAACTCAGTTGTACTTCTGTAGGCACAGTAAATCCCTGATCGGCGACGTTCTCGGCGAGCCGGCTAGAGATTTTGTATTTGGATCGCAGCTCCTTGAAAGAAATTAGCGGCTGTGGATACATGCGTCTTGCGCGCTTCTGCTCCTTCTTGCTCAACACATGCGATTCTTCCTGCTTTTGCTTCTTCTTTTTCTTCTTGGATTCCTTCTTGGTAGGTTCAGACTGGGCCTGGATCTTATCCAAGTCACGCAGATCAGTGATTTTGATCTTGTGCGAGTTCAAAATAGTTCGGCGCTGCACTTCATCCATCTCGTCCTCTTCATCTGATTCCTCTTGATCAGATACATGATCCTGTTCATGCTTGGTCGAAACAGTGATCACAGCTGGAGTCGGCGCAGAACGTTTTGTAGAACTGAAGAAATCCAGACCAGCTTCATTATCTTCGGGATGATCATCTGCTACAGCATTGCGCTTTCTTTTCTTTCCATTCTGGGCTGACTCAAGCTTCTCGCCTTCAGCGGTGCGGAAGAGCTGTGGATTGGCAGCTTTTCCCGTTGAAGGAAGACGCGCGGCATTTTCTTTGGCCGGCGCAACAGCCGACTTGAATTTCGTCGACCTCGTCAATAATCTGAATGCATCCATGATATATGGAAAAGACCCTTGGCGGTTCCGATATTTTTCTGGCAGAAAAAAGTCGGGACCCGCCGAATGGGATCCGGGCCAATCAGATGGCACTATCAAACAGAGCAAAATACTGAGTGAAGTGATATACAACAAGAATGAGAACCAAGATGCAGATTACCTCGACCCGATCAAAATGAAACATTGTTGGATATTGACGAGGTTTGATGAATTTGGATGAAGAAGTGTGCGGCGTCTACAATACTGCTAAGCTCGAGTACTAGGGTATTTTATAGAGAGATTTACGTGACTTGGGAAGGAACGACCACGTGAAGGAAACGAGAAAAGAAATGCTTTCTATCTCAGACAACAGTTTTAATTCCATCGTCTATCATACATAGTACAGCGCGGCGAAAATGGTGACGGGGTAACAAAAGAAACAATTCACTAATTTAGTGGTGAGCCGGCTCGCCGCGGTAACCGATCAAGTTGAAGCGACCAATGATCTCGCCGACAGTGAAGAAACCAATGACCTCAGCGGTGGTGACGGTGGCCAAAGCAATCTCCTTCTTGTTGGCGTTGCGGATGCGGGCCAAGAAGGTCTGGGGCGAGGGGAGGTTGAGACTCTTAAAGGAGGTAGGGTTTTTGGCGACGTTGATCAAGGGCTGGAAGAAGGCCTGGAAAGTGGCCGAGGTACTTTAAAGGGTGTGGTATTAGATTTCATCCGGAACCTTGAAAGTGGTGTCATTCGACGATCTGGGTAGACTTACGGAGGAGTCATGTTCTGGCCACGGAAGACCAGCTTGGAGAGCTCAAGACCGACACGGGTATAGTAGATAGTCGGGGGGATCAAGGCTGGAGAGAAGTTCCATGTTAGTTCGGTTTCGAAGAAGAATTGAAGACGACGGGTTGGATGAGAAGTTGGATGTTAACAAGGAGAGGCCGGAATATATGAATTGAGATTTGGTCATTCTCAATTGATATCCAAACTTCTCTTTCCTGATTGTTCCAAATTTCTCCATCTGATCTAGGGGGCTAAGGAAAAGGGTATCTCTTACAGTCGACAAACTTGACGACCTTTCCGACAGGGCCGCCGACCTTGCGCAGGGCCGAGGCAGCGTTGTTGAGGGCAGGACCGGCGACAGCAGTGGCCTTGGAAAGACCCTCCTGAGCCTTGGAGGCAGCCTGGGAAGCAGCCTGGCTAGCCTTCTCAGCGTTGGAGGAGGCGTGTCTGACGGCGGTTCTCCGAGTCAGGAACTGCGATTGCCGCAGGACGGCACGGGTAGCAGCGGGCATCTTGAGGAGGGTGAGGGGAGAGAGAAGGAGCGAAATGCAAGATCCAAGCACAGATCACCCAGGGCAGTCGCTAGTGTAAGGACGAAAAAGTCCAATGGCGGTCTAGTCTAACGGCAACGAAGAACAAGAATCTGCGGGCCTGCGACTCGGGAACTTCAGGGAATTATGGTCACGTGAGCACCATCCGATTTGTGCCTGAGCTATACATATTTCCCAGGTAGGAAACTGAATAATATGGGAATAATATTTGGATATTGTTTGACTGGAAGACAAGATACAGGTAATTCACAATTGATAGGAATTATACAACCCTTAAACGTGGAAAACGACGTGGCAGTCGATGGAATTGTATGTTGTGATGTTATCAACTGCTAGTGGTGGGCACGGGCCCGAGTTCCACCAGCAACTATGAACACATCTTTCCACTTCCTCAACGGAGTACAAGCAACGATAACAACTCGACCATCCGTTTCCATGTGCCTGCTGAAATTGAAGCTGCCATTTATTGAGCAATGAACATGGCATATTTGGCATCGGCTGAAACTTCTCATACCGAACCTCTTCCTGTCGATCGAACTGGTCAAGTGGCCCCTGGGCACATCCCAATCCACACGATATCAAGTTCCGACATGTTAGCCATAACTGCATAAACTTCGCCTTACAAGTCCATTCAATTAGCAATTCATAGACCATCACATTGTTAGGAAACGATTATGTTTCTTGGCACCTCACGCTCATATGAACTGGCTGGGAGCCTGAGGCTGCACTCTTAATAAAAAAACTTCACTTAGACGTTTAGTGTGTCATTACTATACTCCGAGACTTGTGCTCTCAGATGGTCAGTGCCTGTGGGCTTTTCGACTTCCGCATAGCGCACTAACCCGTTCGTTGCAAATAGCGCAACGCACTCAGCGTTTGAAGGTGAAAGTTGCCATAAAAACTTCAATACTCATCAAATCCATGCTAAGCACAATTCAACGGTCTCGGGCATGACGAGCTCCAGATCACACATAAAAATACCATTATACTGCTTGCACTACGAATACATTCAACACACCCAGAATAAAGGAACATGCCTTCTTTATGATGAATCTTCCAAATTCCATGGTAGTATGTGGATGGATTGGTAATTTATTTCAGAAGGCTTCACTTCCTAACATCTCCGAAGCTGAATAGCGGAGGTTTCCATGCAGATGCGCAAGCCCTGGCGAAGAAGCTCAATATGATTGAGGGTGATAATATCGTATTATAGTACAGGCAACGAACATTGGCCACTTATACTGAGGCGAAAGTGACTAACAAGCATGAGCACAGTGGCCGCTTAGCTTAAGACCAGGAAAAACCATATGGACTCGTTCTTGGAACAGAAAAAGCGATGATTTCCTTGACCTGAACGTGATATTACTCAGCTAAAACAAAGTCTGCTAGGTCATGTGGGAATCTGGTTGTACAGCTGTGATTCTCGGAGAGAATACTCTTCGCTGGTAGCGCAGATGAGTTAGACTGAAAAGGTCAGCGACAGGGCCAACCCAGTTCTTATACAAGGCAGTGGCAAGGAGAATGTAGATCTCGGTGCCATAAAATGCCCATCGATTGATCTCCGGAAAATTAGCCACTTCTGGAATTGTACAACTTCAAACCACGTATACAACGTTGGAGGGATTGAATCTGCACTTCGAGTGAATCAGTGAGGATAATAGTGTCCATTTTACCGATCTTGAACAGAGAAGATGGCACCCAGACTTTATCAAGTTCTTATTGTCAAGGCTAGGTAGTATATGTGAAACATAGATTTAACCGATAGCCGATATACTTTGGGCAGGCTCGGGCCGACAGTTGGCCGTTCTTCGGGGTCTTTTGGGGTTCTTGTTAGGCAATTTAACCCCGCGGTTAAATCACTTGCCCCGCAACTCCACTTTTTACTATATTGATCACGAGTACATCCTTTAGTTCCTTTTATCCCATTAGTTTCAAAAGTATTAAAGTGTCCTTTCCGTAGAGTCCTCCTTCTCTTCCCATTCATTCCACTACACTTCTCTCAAGTCATTATGTCTGCTACAACTGTAACAAAGGCAAACATTGGTGTATACACCAACCCTAAACACGATTTGTGGATTGCTGAGACCACTCCTACATTAGAGGATGTCCAAACTGGCAAGGGATTGAAGTCTGGTGAGGTCACTATAGAGGTTCGCAGCACTGGTATTTGCGGGTAAGTCATCATGCTTAGTCCTGTATCCATATCGACCTAATTGAGGTTATACAGATCAGATGTCCACTTTTGGCACGCCGGCTGCATTGGTCCTATGATTGTCACTGGTGATCATGTCCTTGGTCACGAATCTGCTGGCCAGGTTGTTGCTGTCGCACCCGACGTTACCAGCTTCAAGATTGGTGACCGGGTTGCAGTTGAGCCCAACGTAATCTGCAACGCATGCGAGCCGTGTCTGACTGGTCGTTACAATGGTTGCGAGAATGTGGCTTTCCTGTCTACTCCCCCTGTCGATGGTCTACTGCGGCGATATGTCAATCATCCTGCCGTTTGGTGTCATAAGATCGGCAACATGAGCTACGAGGATGGAGCTCTCCTAGAGCCTCTCAGTGTGACTCTGGCTGCAATCGAGCGTAGCGGGCTACGCCTGGGCGACCCCTTGCTCATCACCGGTGCCGGTCCCATTGGATTAATTAGTTTGCTTAGTGCGCAGGCTGCCGGTGCTTGTCCTATCGTCATTACTGATATTGATGAGGGCCGTTTGGCATTTGCCAAGTCACTGGTCCCGGATGTGCGTACCTATCTCGTTCAAATCGGTCTTTCGGCGGAGGAGTCTGCTGCCGGTATTATCAACGCCCTGAATGATGGTAAGGGCTCTGGAACCGATGCTCTTCGTCCTAAGCTGGCTTTGGAATGCACCGGTGTCGAGAGCAGTGTCAACTCTGCTATCTGGAGCGTGAAATTTGGTGGAAAGGTCTTTGTTATCGGCGTTGGCAAGAACGAGATGACTATTCCTTTCATGCGTCTTAGTACCCAAGAGATCGACTTGCAATACCAGTACCGTTACTGCAACACTTGGCCTCGCGCAATTCGCCTTGTCCAGAACAAGGTCATTGACTTGCGCAAGCTGGTTACTCACCGTTTCCCATTGGAGGATGCACTCAAGGCTTTCGAGACCGCTGCCAACCCGAAGACCGGTGCCATCAAGGTCCAGATTATGAGCTCTGAAGAGGATGTCAAGGCTGCTTCTGCAGGTCAGGATATCTAGAATGTCTTAATCGGGAAGGTCCATGCGCCCAGGTGGTGATGAGTTCCATAAATCATGAATAATATTCATAGATGCCCTTGAGCACAATAGAGCGAAACAAAACTTCATTTTTTTGCATTTTTCCAAGTTCAGTATAGATTAAAAGATCAAGTAGCATTGCCTAGGCAGAATGAAGGGCCCTCGAGCTTTCATAGTCTTTCCTCATCTGGTGAATTACTTAAATAGTTCCTTCTGTATGAAGCAACTTATAACACGGTGACCCTGGTCTTACGTCGGGGTATTATCCTCCTGCATCCTGGAATAATCAACTTTAAAGTAATAAGTAGGCAAGGGATTCCTAGTTTGTTTAGGCCCTGCATGAGCCAAGAGGGATAAACCGATAATTCTCCGTCCATGATTTTCTTCGTATGGGGTAAGTATGATATAGTATGGGTAGTGCAAATTGAAAACAACCATCATGGGAACTGCAGCCTGAATTCCAGTTTATTTACTTGCAAACAGGGAACTTTTCCCACTTTAAATTCCAAAATTAATCCCAACCTCTTCTTATTTCTCACCTTCTCCTTACCATACTTTCCCCCTCACATTGGTAACACATTGTGATCACACCCAGCCTACACTGGAATACTTTAACCTCTCTTATTCCACTCACATCCCATCATTCATTACACCTTCAACGCTTTTCCAGTTGGATTTCCAACATGAAGAGAGTTTTTCTCTTCTTTGTGTCCCTCGTGGGCGCTGCAGTCCTGGGTCCCCGGTCTGGAATCCTTGACTGTCCTGGTTACCGCGCCGTTAATGTTAAGGAACATGAATTCTCTCTGGAAGCTGACCTCACCATCGCTGACGATGCCTGCAATTTTTACGGAACTGACATTTTGGACCTCAAACTTGTGTTTGAATATCAGTCTGGTCAGCTTACCTCACTGATCATCTAGATTCATGCTACTGACACCCGCTTAGATGACCGTCTCCACGTTATGATCTTTGATCAGAATGAGTATGTTTACCAGGTTTCTGAGTCGGTCTTACCCCGCCCTTCTACCGAGGGTGTTCACAACAAGGAATCTCCTACTCTTCGCTTCGACTACCAGCCTGATCCCTTCGGCTTCAGGGTCATGCGTGGTGATGAGGTACTTTTTGATACTACCGAAACCACTCTAGTGTTCGAGTCACAGTATCTAAACCTCCGTACCTGGCTTCCCGATGAACCAAATCTCTACGGCTTGGGTGAGCACATAGATTCGCTGCGTATGCCAACCACAAACTACACTCGTACTTTGTGGAGTCGTGATGCTTATGGAGTTCCTCCCAACACCAACCTGTACGGTAACCACCCGGTTTACGTGGACCATCGGTTTACTGGGACCCACGGTGTCTTCTTCTTGAACTCCAACGGAATGGATATCAAGATTGATAAAACCGATGATGGCCGCCAGTATCTAGAATACAACACTCTCGGTGGTGTTATCGATCTCTACTTCATGGCAGGCCCGACTCCAAAGGATGTCAGCAAGCAGTATGCAGAGATCGTTGGGTTGCCTGCTATGCAGAGCTACTGGACATTTGGAGTAGGCCTCAATCTACTTGGTTTCACTGCAGTACTAACCTCAGAAAGTTTCATCAATGTCGTTACGGTTATCAAGATGTCTTCGAGGTCGCTGAGGTTGTTCTCAATTACAGTCGTGCTAAGATCCCTCTGGAAACCATGTGGACAGACATCGACTATATGGATGAGCGCAAAGTATTCACGCTGGACGCCCTACGTTTCCCCATCAAGAAGATGCGTGAACTGGTTACCTACCTTCACAAGCACAAACAGCGATATATCGTCATGGTTGACCCCGCTGTCAGCCAGAGTAGTAGGTTCCTGCTTTGATCCCGTCGTACATTCTTGGTTCTTTTTGACTCTAATTTTCCCACAGATAATGATGCCTACAACCGAGGACATGATAGCCACATCTTCATGTACCATGACAATGGCGACATTTACCGCGGAGCCGTCTGGCCTGGTGTGACTGTTTACCCGGATTGGTTCAACCCAGATACTCAGGAATATTGGAACAACGAGTTTGACCTCTTCTTTGACAAGAAGAATGGTCTTGATATTGACGGGCTGTGGATTGATATGAATGAAGCCTCAAACTTCTGTGTTTATCCGTGCTCTGATCCCGTTGGCTTTGCTCAAATGAATGACTTGCCTCCCAGTCCACCGTCAGTTCGCCTTCCTCCTAGTCACCTGCCTGGATTTCCCGATGACTTCCAGCCAGAGAGCTCGTCTCAAAAGCGCTCGGAAGATGTCAAGAAGGTTGGCTTGCCTAATCGTGATCTCATCAACCCTGAGTATCAGATTGCCAACGCCGCTGGATCTATCAGTAACAAGACCATAAATACTGATCTTCACCATGCCGGCGACGGATATGCTGAGTATGATACTCACAACCTTTATGGATCAAGTAAGTCCTCTTCTTTCCACTTTTGAGTTGGCATGTCTGACTTTGAAATAGTGATGGGCTCTGCCTCCCGTGAAGCAATGCTCGCACGTCGTCCCGATGTGCGCCCCCTCGTCATTACTCGAAGCACCTTTGCCGGTGCAGGTGCCCATGTCGGTCACTGGTAAGTCAACAACACTCCACGATAATCCACGATGTCCCAAAGCTTTTGCTGACTCGATTTTTCAATTAGGCTCGGTGATAATATCAGTCAATGGGATAAATACCGCGGTTCGATTGCTCAGATACTGGCTTTTGCCTCGATCTTTCAAATTCCAATGGTTGGTGCTGATGTTTGCGGATTTGGTAGTAACACCACTGAGGAGCTTTGTGCCCGCTGGGCTACCCTCGGTGCCTTCTACCCATTCTACCGTAACCACAACGAAATGGGTAGTATCTCTCAGGAGTTCTACCGTTGGGATGTGGTTGCAGAGGCTGCCCGCAATGTCATCAGTATTCGCTACCGTTTGCTTGACTACATTTACACAGCATTCCAACGACAGACCACAACTGGAGAGCCGTTCCTCCAGCCCTTGTTCTACGTGTACCCCCAGGACTCAAACACGTTCGCGAATCAGGCTCAGTTCTTCTACGGCGACTCCCTCCTTATTTCACCCGTTCAAGATGTCGGCGAGGAACATGTCGATGCCTACTTCCCCCAGGGTGTATTCTACGACTGGCATACGGGCAAGGCGATCCGCAGCGACGGACAGATTATTCGTCTCAACAATATCGGCCTTACTGATATTCCTATCCACATCCGTGGCGGCAGCATTATTCCAGTCCGCTCTTCTAGTGCGCAGACTACAACTGAGCTCCGCACCCGCGGTTTCGAGATTCTTGTCGCGCCCGATATCAACGGCGTTGCCTTTGGAACCTTGTACATGGACGACGGCGACTCTTTGAAGCAGGACAGCACCACCAGTGTAGTCTTTGATTACTCCAACGGCAAGCTCCACATCCATGGCAAATTTGGTTACCAGGCCAATGTGGTTATCGAGGCTGTCACATTGCTCGGACAACGGGAGGGATCCGTCCGGCGTGATTTGGAGTTCAACCCCGAGCGACAGACTGTGACTCAACTCACTAACATTGAGTTGAACGGACCTGCCGAGGTTGAATTCCTTTGAAATTAATCTAATAGCAGCTTTTCGGGACTTGGTCAGACGTGGGTGCAGAGATTTCCAAAGTGTCTTCTTAGTATCTCCGGTCGGGCCGAGCCCTAAGCCAGTTTTAGAAGTATGTCTTAGGGCCTAAAAATGGAAGGATGATAGGATGTGAATACTACTCCGTAAGTGTGAGACAGTAACTACTAGTTAAATTAGCAGTGAATTATCAAGCTTAAAAAATCGATCTGGTGTATAAAAGAAAAATTATAAAAAAAAAAAAAAATTAAAAAGAAAAATTAGAAAGCGAATCATGCACAACTAAAAATGGAACCACTCGCCCCATGGTTTGGCTTAAGATGGATGACTGAAGCGAAGACCTATTAATAAATCCTAAGGTACGGGGTAAGGCAACGGCGGTACCTAGGTAAACCTTGCTCAGGACGTACTCCGGACAGTCCGTATGTGCAGTTAAACGGCAGAAATGAATTGAGTGGCTTGAACTGTTCAGCACGGACCGCAAGTTCGTGAAGTATAAAAACGGGAATAAGGGCAAGTCAAGGCGATGAAAGTAACAAGAAGCCAAGAAGCCAAGAGATAAAGGAGGTTGACTTTCTACCATAGAAGAAGGATTTCAGGATCTGAGGATCTGATCACAGGTTTCAGGAAGTGAAGGGATCTGAACAAGTGATATAGGCTACGGTGTGAGTGTAGGCATATGTACAGGTACTGGAAGGGAAGGGATCGTTTCGCATGTATTGAGTGGGGCCAATCATATTGTGAGTACATATGTACTCCTGAGTTGGTACGTTATCTACCTTGGTACTTGGATACGTTATACGGAGAAGTCCGTCTAGGTTGCCATATTAATTTTCTCACTAACATCCCTTGAGTCCAAGACTCTACCCATCTGGGAATACGAGGGATAGACTACTCAAGTAGTTAATAGACTATAGACTCATGTCTTGGTCCCTTCCTGCCTTCTCCTATCAGGTTGGACTGATTTGATCTACTAAATCCGGTGGCGTTGACTATTGGTCTTTCATCCAATCATGTTATATCGATCCCTTAAGGGCCTCAGGGCGCATTTAATCATCCCATTGAATTTCTAGCCTCCTGGCCAATCCCATCCACTCTCAGCCTCCTCTTTTTTATGTCTTCTCATATTAATATGACAAAATGGATCCATCAACCGTGGTGCCTTATCTAAACTTACACTGATCCACTCTTTCAGTAATATCTCTTAGACTCTAGGGCCTCTTATTTATTCCTCCATTATTCCCTCTGAGGACCCTTGTATTTTTTATTTCCACTTGTACCCCTGACTAGCGCGCATTATTTACTCCAGGGTTTTTATTCTCACAATGCCTTCTTTGTACAAGCTCGCTGCTGCTCTTGCCGTTGCCTTACCTCTGGCTTCTGCCCAAACATACACTTCTTGCAACCCATTGGAGAAAACATGTCCCGCCAACGCTGGTTCCACAGAGTCTCGGCTGAGCTTTGACTTTACTCAGGACTCTGCTCTTAAGCAATGGACCACTGCTGCTGGCACTGTCACCACTGGCAGTGACGGTGTCGAGTTCACATTGAACAAGCAAGGCGATGCGCCCACAATCGAGTCTGACTTTTACATCTTCTTCGGCGAGATTTCAGTGACTATGAAAGCTGCCCATGGCACTGGTGTCGTCAGCTCGATTGTCTTTGAATCAGATGACCTCGATGAGATTGATTGGGTAAGAAATTCTCCCCTTTCTTTTAGCCTTTTCTTTATACTTTGCGACTAACAAACCTTAATAGGAGGCTCTTGGTGGTGACACTACCCAGATCGAGACAAACTACTTTGGAAAGGGTGATACCACCACTTATGACCGTGATACTTGGCCATCTGTATCTTCTCCCCAAGACACTTGGCATACTTACAAGGTGTCATGGCAGAAGGATGCTATTACATGGTACATTGATGGTGCTGCCGTTCGTACCCTCCTCTACAATGACGCTACCCAGGGAACTCGCTTCCCTCAGACTCCTATGCGTGTCCGCCTTGGTATCTGGGCTGGTGGTGACCCTTCTAACGGCAAGGGCACCATTGAATGGGCTGGTGGCGAAACCGACTATTCCCAGGCCCCATTCACCATGTATATCAAGTCTGTTGAAATTGTCAACTCTAACCCGGCCAACTCATACGTCTGGTCTGATAATTCTGGCTCTTACGACAGTATTAAGTTGAGTGGTGCTGCTGCTGTTAGCTCTTCAAGCTCTACCTCTTCTTCCTCATCTACAACCACAAAGACTTCCAAGTCTTCAACTACTACTACGTTGGCTACAAACACCCAGGCTTCAACTACTTCCAGAACCACATTTGGCACAGCCACCACTTCTTCCTCTGATGCTTCCAGCACTGGAAGCAGTGGTTCCGCCACAGACTCTACCTCGGGAGCCACCACCACCGGCTCCGGCTCCAAAACCAGTTCCTCCTCTTCTTCATCAAGCTCAGGCTCTTTATCCAGTGGCACTGATGCTGCACCCAGTGCAACCCCTTCTTTCAACTCAGCCGTCACCCTGGCTACCAGCCACATCGGCTTCCTCTCCCTACTAGCCCTGGTTACTGTTTTCATCCAACTATAAAAGTTTGTTACGCATCTAATTACGTCTTATGGATGAAGCAAACTGGGCTGGATCCAGGCTTTTGAATGAGCGATGGCTTTGTTTTATATCTTTGTACCTCCTAAGGCCTTTTCATGGCCTTTAGTCATTTTGAACGGCCGCACGGATTCACATGGGGAGTTTTTTTTTTATCTATATCCATGTACCTATATCTAATCAGCACAATTATTTCTGAATCATTTATGTCTTTTAGATGGGTAGTACCTAGGTAGATGATGCATTGATCGGACTGCGGGATTAAACAAACTTGCTTAGAAAAGAGAAACGAAACAGTAGCAATCTTAGAAGCCCTTATTGGTCGCTTGTCACCTGGACCGCCTTCTCTTCTGTATTAATGCCGGATATACGTTCAAGGCTTGCTGTTGTAAGCAGGCGGTGCCGATAAGGAGAGGGCCCAGCGGCGATAGTGGACTTTATTATGGTTATGTTTTCCCTTTCTTTCCCCTCTCACACCCCATTTTTGCTATTCCACCAAGATTGGTCACAAGTATTTCATTTCGTGTGCCACTTTGGCGCCTCCTCTCTTAAGAGAGTTGGGGACGCTATCTCAATGGATAATCCTGCTAGTTATGACCACCTGTACCGAAGAGGCGCACCATGGTACCTCACGCGCCAGCTGGCCGAGTTTCATCACCTCCACAGAGAAGGTCATCCATTTAACATCCATGAAGCCGAAGTCAACCGCACTATGATGACCTACCTCCTGAAGAAAGATTTCCGGCTAGATGTGACCTTCGCGGAAGACCGTCTCACCCCCGCCATTCCCAATCGTCTGCGCTACATCTTGTGGATTCATAAGCTTTTGGATTCCACCACTAAAAACATTTCTCACGCCTATGATCCCAGTCGTCAAGTTTTTGGTATTGATGTCGGTACTGGACATTGCGCTATTTATTCTATTATGGGATGCAGGGTCCGTCCCAGGTGGAAGTTTTTGGGCACAGATATTGATGCGCAAAACATCTCCACAGCCCGAGAGACTGTGAAAGCCAACAATCTTGAGGACAGAATAACTATAATGGAAACCTCTGCCAGTGAATCATTTTTCCCGATGGAGAAATTTCCGGAACACAAGTACGATTTCACGATGTGCAATCCACCATTTTATGCTTCCATCGATGAGATGAAAAAACTGCTCGAGGAAGTGGATATGGATCATGAATCTGCCTGCACCGGCTCCCATGTGGAAATGATAACCCCCGGCGGTGAACTTGAGTTCATTAAACGCATGATTGATGACAGCCGAGCTGTTGGGGACCGCATCCAGTGGTTCACCACCATGATTGGACAGATGAGGAGCGTTAGACCTATAATCAAGTATCTTCAGGACAAAGGAATGACGAACTACGCCATATCGTGTCTGCAACCGCATGCAGAGATAAAGCGCCCAGTCATTGCTTGGTCCTGGCAGGATAAGCGCCCGCCCTCTGATTTTGCTCGCGACCTCCCCAATGTCGAAGGAAAGCTGCAGCCTCCCCTCTCGCAGTTTCATCTGCGACTGGTGCCAACTGCTCATACGGATGATGTCATTGAGTTCCTAAACAAAGAGCTCACCTCCATCGCATGGTTCTGGGAGTGGGACGAAAACCTTGGAGTAGGAGTTGGCTACGCCGAGACGAATGCCTGGGGCAGGGTTGCACGCCGAAAGGCTGCTTTGTCTCTTTCCAGGACTACTTCCCTTACAGAAATCCCGAAGGAAGTCAAATTCGGCGTCAGGATCTCAGTTAAGGAAATCCTCGTGAAAAAGAAGGGTGATACCCAAAACCAGGATCTTGCTAAGCGGGATAGCATTGAAGCTGACGATAACGATGTCAACAGCACGATAGTGAACCCGTCCGGTCTATCGGGGTTGGAGACCCCGACGGCAAGCCCCAACCCTTCGATCGACTCGAGCCCCGATTGTTACGTTCAAGTGACAATCCAATGGAACCAGGGTTACGAAAAACACATGGACTTGTTTGATAGCTTCCTTGGAATGATTAGAGGCAGGCTTGATAAAACGTTTGGTCTCTGTTAATTCTGATTATGGGGGGATTCATCCCTAATTTTGTATTGATATTGTATTATTATTGTCTAGATAGATGAATTTTGTCGAAGCAGTGTATGAATGAATGACAGTTGCTGGATTACTTTTGATATCTATCTATATTCTTCATCCGGATTCTATGATTGAATTATTCATGCCTTGAAAACATGTGAGATCTGCAGGCGCATGGTTCAATATACATAACATTTTTTAGAATCTCAATAACTCCATATCCAATGGCTAAACGGGGTAGTTAGATATTAAATTCTAGCGACAGTTCATACCTGCGATCTAACTTAATTGCCCAAGTTTCCGCGCTTTCCACCTCTCTTCTTCCGGTCGTGGTGTGCCTTCAACACCGCGCGCGTCTCAACCAGACTACGCTTGTTCTTGCTCTTTGCCTTGCCCAGGGTCATGAAGAAGTTCTTCTTGCGAGCCTTCTCCTTGTTCGTGGTACTCTTACCCTGCTCTTCCTTGCGTTCCCGACGCTTGGCTTCCTTACTCTTGTGCTCTGAGCGGTCCAACTTGCCCTCGCGAGCGTGAGCAATTCTCTCCTCGCGGGTTTGCTTTGCAGCTGAGAGGGCCGCGAGACCCTCGATCTCTTCGGCTGTCAATGGGTCGTCTGTGTGACGAGCGCTGAGGGCTTGTGCTGCACGGCGGGACTTGGAGCCTCCTGACACGGCAGCGTCAACTGACGCTTGAGCTCGAAGCTCAGCAAGCTTGGCCAAATCGGCAGGTGTGAGAATGCGGGTTGTGGCGAGCTTGGAGAAAGTAGACTCCTTTGTGGCGGGCTCCTTTGAACCTTCAGCGGCTGCCTTGGGTTCTTCATCATTTTGCTTGGTCTTCTTCGAGGGCCGGTCCTTCTCGTCTTCCGAGTCACTGAGGTCGATCTCAACGTCACTCTGGACGTTGATCCAATCGCCAGAATCATCACTGTCGGAGTCATCCTCGACATTCCAGGCATCCCAGTTGTCTTCTTCATCCTCATCCTCGTCATCCTCGCCGTCGGACGGAAGACCCTTCTCACGTCGCTTCTTGCGGCGTTCTTCTTCCTTCCACTGCTCCAGGAGCTCAATTCCCTCAATGCCTCCAGACTCCTGTTGGCCGAATCGTCGCTGTTCCTTGTCGCCGGCACGGAGGCTCATGGAAGCCTCCTTACCACGATCACGTTTCTTAAGCATCTGCGCGCCAACATCACGGAACAGACTGAGCAGACCCTTTGAGGCCATGATAACACCCTTATCTTTACTCTTCTTGTACATGACGAGATCTTGCAGCAAAGTCTCATTCATTGCCAGAGGCTGGCGGACACAGATCTCTCTGATGGCGTTCAGACCAGCAGTGGCGACTTCTCCTGCCGACGCCTCGGAGACGAACTCATTCGCGATCTTCTGGACCAGAGGCTCAAGAACATCCGGGGGCACTAGATCGTGAGATGCCTGTGCTAGGGATGCCAAGAAGGATGTGACAGAGGGTTGGCGAGGAGTGAGGAATTTCTGGAAGTAGGAGTAGAGCGACATAATGTGAAGTTTGTGCAAGCCAACCAATCGAGAGACCAACTGGAGAACTAGTAGTTTTTGCTCCAGATTCAACTTGGCCCTGCTGTTTTGCAAGTGCTTGGAGAATAGGGTCTCTGCAAATCCTTGCGGATCATGCAGTAGGTGAAGCGCAGAGAAGTTGAGCGGATGCGGTTGGTTCTTCTTGTGTTCCTTTTTCTTGTGAAGGGCCATGGCTTTCTGGGCGACACGGGCCTTCTTTTTGGTCTTCTTGTTGATGCCAAGCTGATGCTTGATGCGGGCCACATCCACTTCCTCGTCACTGCTCTCGTCTTCCATTTGCTCGCGCTCCTTATCTCCGCCAAGGAAGAAGCGTACTCCACCAATGATGACCTTCTCATTCTCAGACAAACTGGCCTCCTTCATAATCTCAACAGTCTTAGCATCGGTCCAGATTTGACGCTTCCATAGCTCTCGGGTCAATTTTATTGCCCAGAGGGCTTTGGATGAAGTACGATCAGATGTAACCAAGTTGAAGAGAACTGTCTGCATAGTACGGTTAAGCTTGTGGTTGGTGGTTTTCAAATTGGACATGCGAAGCTCAGAAAGAATCTTCTGGAACAGGAAAGCGCGGAGAGTCTTGCTGGGTGTCGTAATGAGAATCGGGAATAATGTATGAAGCAGCCTGCGACAGAGGTTAATTGAAATGAAATTAGTAGAGCTAAGAGTATGATACGTACGTTGCTGAATCGACAAGATCTTTCTTCTTGAGAAGCACTATGCTACCAACCAGCTTTTCTCTTAATTCTGGCTCCAACACCAAGTGATGCTGCATAAGCATGTCGATAAGCTGCTGTGGGAAATCTTTCAAGATCTCCGGGTAGCAATCGGCAACGTGAGAAATGAAATCAATAAGATCACGCAGCGAGATGATACCGGTGTCCGTGGCCGACGTGGGCGCGGCCATGAAAATTTCACGATGCGACTCATATTGGTAGTGTTGGGCGCGGAAATCTTCAATGTATGATCTAAAGCAATTCAAAGGCTTGTTAGTCTTGCTCGAAGGAGGTAATTTATTCAAATGGCTTACTTGGGATCACGGCGAATTTTGTGCTGCAGATTGGGCCTGTGATGAGAGTGTTAATAACCAAGAATGTCCCGCCATGGCAGCATTGACCGCAAGTCAAGGGAACTTACAGATCAGCCTCGACCTTTTCCAGAGCTCCCAGCTTTCTTTTCACCATCTTGACGGTATTGAGTGTGGAAGAAAATGGTGGTGAAAAGAGGTTTGCGGTAATTGTCCGCCTCCAAACTTTTTTTTTTCATCCCGTATCGATAAGCGACCCCAAGGAGTACCCGCTCAATATGGAGACAATATCGACCGCCTATTTAATTATCATTATAGCAATCTTTTATCTCAAATTTAAGATTTATATGTAACAAGTCTAGTTTCTACGTCTGCTGCTTTTATTATCTACTGGCTTCTCCAAGCGATCGAGAACCGGTCCGCAGTCAAAAATCAGACGGCTCTTGATATAAATTTCATTGCTTCGTAGGGGCCAAACATTTGACTGCTTGAGTGGGATAATCAAGGTTATCTAGAAGTTTAATGATACCTGGTTACAGAGAATTTGTCCTTTTTATGTGCAATTCACCAGCCTGGGGGCAGATAATTTCAAAATAGCAAGCGATCTACAGAATATGATACAACAAGGGGTATATGGACGACTAAGACATCAAGGCATAGCAAAACACTTGTGCTGCAGGGAAGAAAAGTGGGAGAGAAAGATGAGATACAGGGCTGGTTGAACCTCAGCTCTTCCTCCATCCTAGGGATTAAGACGGATATTTACGACAAAAGCGGATTAAGCACAATCCATGTCGTAGTCCAGGTCAACCTCTTCCCGCCGACGAAGGAAAGAAGCCTCTTCAAAGTCGCCATCCACCTCCATGTTTTGCGTAGTGAAACCTGGCTTGCGTGATAGAGGAATAATACGGCGTCCTTGTTGGCCCATGGGAGATAGTATGGTTCGCGAATGAGGATCTTGCCAAGAGTCCACATCATCGTCTTCCAGGTAAGGGAACTCGTCCGCAAATATATCATCTCGATTAAATCGCCGCTTCTGGCCGTTTATCAATTTTGGCATGGAAGCGGCTGACGTCGTGGACTCCTGACTTCCCGGAAGAGAATACGCATCACCATCATCAGTCTGAACGACGTGCGATCGTGGGAAATTAGAGTAAGGAGTAAGCTCGGTGTAGTTATTGTTGGTGGTATATGATTGAGCGGTTCTCGTCTCTGCCATTGTAACTGGTGGTGCAATCTTTTGCTCTTGCATGGACATCTGGGTCTTGTATCCATCGGCTACAGATTTGCGGACTCGCATTCCAACTGAGAGAAGCGAGGACTGTACTCTATCCGGCACTACCGGGGTGGCCGAAAAGGTAGCAGCAGCATAGTGGTGATGTGAGACGTCATAAGAGCGTGGCTCTGTGGAAGTTGAGAAGTAGGATGTGATAGGAGGTTGGAAGCGTCGGCGCTTAGGCAGCGTGCTGTTCGTGACCGGCATTGTGAATGAGAGTTTTGAAATGAGGGGTTGATAGGCCTAGATTCGAGGGGTAAAAAGGAAAAGAAAAGAATGCAAGGAGAAATGGAGTGGCTGGGAAAAGTGGCAAACGCGACGCGGGCGAAACGCGTCCCAGCCTTGATTAAGGGGGAAAAACCCAGACCAGCACTAATATGAATTGTGGGCCATCTTTCCAAGGCACCAAATATAGCTATCAATCTAACCTAATTAGGAAGTGAAGATCACGGCCACTTTTCCTGTCATTGATCATAGACAGCTCTCAAGCACAGATGCTTTTTTCTTTCTTTCAAGGATAAGAACTTGGAAAGTTTCCCAAAATGAATACCTCTCTGCATTTTTTAGCCATGTTTTTCTCTTCTTCATCTCAAACCTAAAGCCTCTCTGAAGGTATACACCACACTCTGATCGGTGCTCACTAGGTAAGCATGCAGGAGCCCTGGAGACAAAGACTTTCCGAGAGAATCCCACTAGGGATGAGGAAGCTAAAGGTTTCTACCAAGATATCGAGTATGAGACCGATGTGAAATTTTTATTGACAGTTGTTGCGGATAAAGTCACCTGGGCATTCAGGATGGTCACCGTTGCTAACCGTTGCTACTCCCTGTTATAGTTACGATGACAACCTTGGAGGAGACAATACTTTTAGCCTCACTATCCAGCGCGTACGCTTTGTAGAGTTTGTCTTGCAAAGTTTAACACATGAACACAGCCGTCAGAGGTCGAATGTGTTTGTCGATACCTTCCTTGTTTATTACCTTGCTTCTGAACGATGGGTTTGATGTGGCACCACCTGTTAATATCTAGTTAGGCTGTTATACATTGGATGGTGTCTTTTATCCTAATCACATATTCTACTTTGCAGACTTTGACGTATCAGCATAGCCTTTAGATATTGAAGGATTGTTGACGAGATCGAGTCCGACAAAAGAAGCAAAAGTAACTTACAACAGAACATTAGAAGCTTCTAACCCTGACTGATAATTTGATTTTCTAAACCATGATTTAGAATTGATGCTGACGTACCAATGATAAGAAATGATATCAATTTCACCACCGGGGAAATCAACCTTGGAGCCAGCGTGCCCCAGCCGAGAGTCACACCCGACTTTCATTACAATGAATTCAGTGACTGGAATTGAAAGTCTAGATCTTTTCTCTCTCATCTTCGTAGGTAGTGGTGGTATACCAATATTCACGACTATACGTAACCACGTGGGTATGCACGGAGTGCTATGTAGAAAATGGGGTTCGAAATGGAATGGCCCTTGAGGCTACATGATAGGTTTCTTGTCCCTCTACCTAAAATCTCTCTCATTTGGTTCCCCTTTATGAATCTTAGTGGCTTGATTTTGTAATCAGATTAGGACATTAGTTAGTCGTTTGTCCACGCTGGAGTCCTCTTCACTCTGCCCCTATCAAGAACCCTGAAGGCTACAGGTACGCTCGAAGCTAAGATCGAAGACTTGCCGGGCCTGAGACTGTCGAATTCTCCTGAAGCTAAGCCTACACGGCCATCGAGCTACCATGTTTGAATAGCGCTTTAGATAGGGCTTAGGGCCAAAATATCACGTGTCATATATAAAAATTCTAAGGAGAAAGCAGTTACTAGACTGGAGAAAGCAGAGTGATTAGACGGGGTGTAGTAGGATGTAGGCACCTATGTCTTTGTCCTAGCAATATCTAGCAGACTCGACGGGCGAAGGTCGAGGTTTAGGAAGAGTATCGTAAAGATCCCCACCATATCAAATAATAGCATCGAGATCGCGAGAGGGTTGGCTAAGAGCAAAGAGGAATGAAATTCATAATTTGAATTAAGAACACTTGGGCTTGATAATCTTAATTTTAATTTAAGGCAACCATAAGAACGTAAGTAACTAATGGAAACCTCGGATGTCATTAGCCCCGAGTGAGACCAGACATTTTTAGGTACGAAAAAACCCAATAAACCCAACACCAAACACACCCTTTACCGGTTGCTCTTGGCAACACGCTCAAGCTCGTCCTTCTTCTTGATGGCGTACGAGTTGGAGCTACCCTTGGCAGCGTTGATCAGCTCCTCAGCAAGGCACTGAAATTTCCATGTTAGTACAATTTCATAATGACTGATCAAAACGACTTGAAACAAACCTCAGCGATGGACTTGATGTTACGGAAGCTGGCCTCGCGGGCACCAATGGTGAGCAGAGCAACGGCCTGGTTGACACGGCGCAGAGGAGAAACATCGACAGCCTGGCGACGGACGGTACCCTGGGAACCGATACGGGTGGAGTCTTCACGGGGACCGCAGTTAACAATGGCGTCAACGGCGACCTGGATGGGGTTCTGGTCGGTCATGACGTGGATCTGGAGTAAATCGATTAGAATTGAGATATCGCGCAGAATTTGCATGTGGCGAAACATACGATCTCGAAAGCGTGAGCGACAATGCGGACAGCCATGAGCTTCTTTCCGTTGTTGCGACCGTTCATCATGATAGAGTTGGTCAGACGCTCAATGATGGGGCACTGAGCCTTGCGGAAACGCTTGGCGGCATAGCGACCGGCGGAGTGGGAGGTGTAGACCGGGGAGCGGATCTGGATGTAATCGCTGCAGACAAACAAAAAAAATCAGTATTTCGTTACCAAGCGAATTGGATCAGCCCTCCAAGCGTGATATCCTGTTCTGGTTGTGGTTTAGGCGAATTGCTGAGAAGAGATCCATCTGATTTCGAGTGTAAATAGGCGTGGCGTTGTGTGTGTGTGTGTTTGTGTGTGTGGGTATCCAGTTCTCATAAAAATGTATCGATGTGTCCAATAACCCCAAAGTTCTATGCCTCGCAATCACAGAAACAAGATATCGCGCCGAGAAAAGCAGATTTCGTTTGCGGAAAGAAACTCACGTCAGGGAGATGTCGCGGACCTCGACACTATTGAAAATTCTTGTTAGACGTTGATCTTGGCTCCTAGGCGTTGTGCATAGTTACTCACTCGCTGTAATCCCACTTGCCGAAAAGGCGAACGACACCATCAGCGACGACGTCCTTGGGCAGGACGGAGTAGGAGGCGACCTCAACTTCCCCGTTGTCAGACATGTTGGCGATGGATTCGTGGGAATGTCGTTGGGTGGTTGAATTCGTTGATTCGAGGCTCGACTCACGGATTGAAATTGGGTACGTTCGCTTAGGTCAGTGTGGTGTGTGGTGTGGGTCATATGAGTTAGGGCAGAATCAAGTCCACCAATTACGATATATACATCATGTGATCTGGACATCCTCCATTTTCTGCCTTAAGGCAGGAACTGCCCTCGACTTGGCTTACATTTCTTGGTACTTGTCTTGATTATTGCTCCAAATCAATTTCTGTTTTGAAGAGATAAGGATAGTACCATCTACTCAGTTCAATTGTGTACTATACTCGTGCAATCATTTTTCTAGGATGTCAACATTGTACAGCATACTTCTAGAACTAGCACTGTACATGTCAAGTATGCTTGGTACCTGAGAAAGACACAGTTTTCATCCTGACCAGTGACTCCGTACTTTGAACAAAATACCTTTTCAAGCAAACCTCAAACCTAGCTTGTATTTCTCTTCCGAAAATAGCCCTGGAAATTGCCTTCGGCCCCTCGTGTCTATATAAAGTTGGTTCAAAGGGTTGTCTGACCGCCCTTGGTGACGTTACGGCTGTTCGGCCCCGAGTCCAACTAAGACAAGACGACGACCTCTGGGAGTAGTCCACTCAACCCCCCTAATATTTCACAAAATCCAACAGGGGTCTCGGTGAATTGCGCCCCATCTATTCCTTCACAACTGTGGCTCAAGTCACTCTTTGCGATGAGTTAGTCGTTACTCACTGCGATACTCCAAAATCTCCCCGCGTTCGATCCACTTTCTCTTGAATTGATATCTTTTCCGAGCCCAAATGGCGGAAAACAATCCAGAGCTCCAGGCTGCACTGCGGCAGCTGGATCACGAATATGAGGTATGTAAATAAGCTACTGAAAGCAACCGCCAACACTCATGATCCTTGCGCTAACATGATCTCGTGATACTTACAGGAGGGCGATATTACTGAGAAAGGGTAAGCCTTCTCTCCCAGAATCCATATAAATTGAGCCCAAACCTTGGAGGCCCTGGAAACACAATTGTCACATCTCAATGAGAACGTGGACTATCGGATACGGGAACTAGCTAAACTAATCATATCCAAGGTATCAAAAACGACGCACACTTCTACTCTCGCAATTTCTTGGCCCCAACAAACCCCTCGGGGTCGTCAATTACTCCGAAGACCCGTCTGGTGACTCGTATGCAGCTCCTCCGGCTATATTAAATGTTCGACCGCCCACGGCCGAGTCTTCAATACCTACCATCGCATCTCCAACCTATGACGGCGGGTACGACATCATGCAAAGCGGCGGAGGGTTCGGGAACAGCCATGCTGACAGCATGGGCATGCATAGTCCTTCAACAACGCTAAATGCGCCTTACAACAGAGATAGCGCAAGATTGTCACTGGCTTTGGATCGGATGCAATCAGCTTCATCGTATGATTCACTCTTTCTCCCCAAGCCTCCGATCCCAGGCGGTCCGCCGCCCCCGGAGGACTCAAGAACCGCGACTTTGATGAGCCAAAACTACGCTTTCAATCCAGATGCTCAACCCGAATACATGGATGATGGTATGGGGGCCTTTGATCCTGCCTCCGGCGGAGTCACTCGACAATCAACTATGCTTGACTCACAACAGGGATTCTTCTCCGACTTTGCTGGACAACAGCGCGAAGATTATCGAGAGAGCTATGGTGGTGGGTTTCATCGCTATTCCCAGTCAGGGGAGGCCTTCTCGCCCACTGTCAATATGGTCCCGCCATTCATCCCACCTTCTGAACTGGCTCATGGGCCAGCTATCGAACATCTGTTGCCTCTAGAACCCCGTGATATCCCTTTCTCTATTAACGACCCACATGACAAGAACATTCCAATGTCAAATTTCGAAAACCTTCCCGCCGTCCTGCGCTACCGTGCTCGTATTCATGCAAAGCAGCCTGCTTACTGGGTGCTTGATAACAAAGGAAAGGAGATTGCCTCGATAACGTGGGATAAGCTGGCTAGTCGGGCAGAAAAGGTTGCGCAGGTGATCCGTGACAAGAGCAATCTATACCGTGGAGACCGTGTGGCTCTGATTTACCGCGAAGCTGAGATCATCGAATTCGCCGTCGCTCTCATGGGTTGCTTCATTGCAGGGGTTGTTGCTGTTCCAATCAACAGCTTGGACGACTACCAAAGCCTCAACCTGGTGCTCACCTCGACCCAGGCCCATCTAGCCTTGACCACTGAGAACAACTTGAAGGGTTTCCAACGTGACATCACCACACAGAAACTGAACTGGCCACGAGGCGTCGAGTGGTGGAAGACGAATGAATTCGGAAGCTTTCATCCCAAGAAGAAGGACGACACTCCTGCTCTTGTAGTTCCGGACCTGGCATACATCGAATTTGCGAAGGCCCCAACAGGTGATACGCGCGGTGTTGTAATGAGCCATAGAACTATCATGCACCAGATGGCCTGCCTGAGCGCAATCATATCGACAATACCCAACGAAAATAGGACAATTGGGGCCAAAGGCGAAACGATCGTCACTTATCTTGACCCAAGACAAGGAATTGGTATGATTTTGGGTGTTCTACTCACTGTATATGGCGGACATACAACCGTCTGGCACGAGGACCGCGCTGTAGAAACACCTGGTTTATATGCTCACATCGTCACCAAATATCGGGCAACGATCATGGCTGCCGACTACTCTGGACTCAAGATTGCCGCCTACAACTACCAGCAGGACCCAATGTCAACACGTCATTACAAGAAGAATACTGAACCCAATTTCGGGAGTGTCAAGATTTGCTTGATCGATACACTCACCCTCGATCCCGAATTCCACGAGATTCTAGCCGACAGATGGCTGCGACCTATGAGAAACCCACGGGCAAGAGAAATCGTCGCACCGATGCTCTGCTTACCTGAGCATGGCGGCATGGTCGTCAGTGTTCGTGATTGGCTAGGTGGCGAAGAAAGAATGGGATGTTCTTTAACCCATGATATGGACCCAGCGGCACGGGACAACGCCCAAAAGGAGGAAGAAAAGGCTGAAAAGTCTGACACCAACACCGGGTTTGGTAGCAGTCTGCTAGGTGGTGGCTCTCGTGTCACTGTGGCCAAGAAGAATACAAAAAACGAATTGAGTGAAGTTCTTCTCGATAAAGAAGCTTTGAAGAGCAATGAGGTTGTTGTTCTAGCCATGGGTGAAGACGCTCAAAAGTACGCCAGCAGTATGCCAAATGCTGTTCGTGTTGGAGCCTTTGGCTACCCGATTCCGGATGCAACTCTTTGCGTTGTCGACCCGGAGACGAATCTCTTGTGTACACCCAATGTTATTGGAGAGATTTGGGTAGATTCCCCATCCCTATCCGGAGGATTCTGGGCCTTGCCGAAACATACCGAGGCGATTTTCCACGCCCGTCCTTACAAGTTTGAAGAGGCCAACCCGACTCCCATCCTTGTCGAGCCCGAGTTCTTGCGAACAGGCTTGTTAGGATGTATTATCGAGGGAAGAATCTTTGTGTTGGGTCTGTATGAGGACCGACTGCGCCAAAAGGTAGAATGGGTAGAACACGGCCAAGAGATCGTCGAGCACAGATATTTCTTCGTTCAACATCTGACTGTCAGTTTGCTGAAGAAAGTACCCAAGATTCACGACTGTACTGCATTTGATGTGTTCGTCAATGACGAGCATTTACCAGTGATCGTGTTGGAATCCTATGCCGCCTCAACGGCACCTACAACTTCAGGTGGTCCTCCACGGCAACTAGACTCGGTTCTTCTCGATTCTTTGGCAGAGAGGTGTATGGAAGTTCTTCTTCAAGAGCATCACCTTCGCGTTTATTGTGTTCTCCTGGCAGCGCCAAACACTCTGCCTCGTGTGACAAAGAGCGGGCGACAAGAGATCGGCAACATGCTCTGCCGCAAAGAGTTTGAAGCCGGTATGATGCAGGCAGTGCATGTCAAATTTGGCGTTGAACGATCTGTATTGAATCTGCCTGTCGGTGTCGACCCCGAGGGAGGCATCTGGTCCCCTATTGCGTTGTCTTCGAGACAAGAGATCCTCGCCTATCAAGAGAAACAGTATTCTGGAGTGGACTATCGTGATGTCGTGATGGATGATCGCACATCTACACCTCTCAACAATTTCAAGTCCATTGTCGACCTCCTCCAATGGCGTGTTCAGCGCCAAGCTGAAGAATTGGCATATTGTTCTATTGACAGTCGTGGAAAAGAAGGCAAGGGCATTACATGGAAGAAGTTTGATATGAAGGTCTCAGCTGTTGCGACCTATTTGAAGAACAAGGTGAAGGTTCGACCCGGTGATCATCTTATATTGATGTATACCCACTCCGAGGAGTACATTTATGCCATCCATGCCTGCTTTTGTATGGGTGTCGTCGCTATTCCATTGGCGCCGATTGATCAAAACCGCCTCTCTGAGGATGCCCCTGCATTCCTGCACATAATCAGCGATTTCAATGTGAAGGCCATCATCGTGAATAATGATGTTGACCATGTCATGAGGCAAAAGCTTGTCTCACAGCACATCAAGCAGTCTGCACAAGTTCTTCGGATCAGTGTCCCCTCCATTTACAACACCACCAAGCCATCAAAACAGTCTCATGGCTGCCGTGAGCTTGGATATACCATGAAGGATGCCTGGCTTCAATCCAAGGCTGCGCTAGTGTGGACCTACTGGACACCGGACCAGCGTCGTATTTCTGTTCAGATAGGACATGACACAATACTTGGAATGTGCAAGGTTCAAAAGGAGACATGTCAAATGACAAGCATGAGACCGGTCCTAGGCAGTGTACGGAGTACTTTGGGTCTTGGTTTCCTCCACACTTGCTTGTTGGGTATCTACATTGGTGCTCCTACCTATCTCGTCTCACCCGTCGATTTTGCTCAAAACCCCATGACCCTCTTTGTGAGTCTCTCGCGATACAAGATCAAGGATACATATGCCACTAGTCAAATGTTGGACTATGCAATGAGTGCTATGGCAGGAAAGGGCTTCCAGCTGCAAGAGCTTAAGAACCTGATGATCTCAGCGGAGGCCCGGCCTAGAGTTGATATCTGTAGGTCATTCCCAATAACTTGAATTGCCCAGACTAACAGTTCTATACAGATGGCAAGGTACGATTGCACTTCGCCTCCGCTGGCCTAGATCGTACTGCAATCAATGTTGTGTATTCACATGTCCTCAACCCCATGATTGTGACCAGGTCCTACATGTGCATTGAGCCGATTGAGCTATCTTTGGATCTTCGAAGCTTGCGTCGCGGCTTGATCTACCCTGTGGATCCCGACTCAGACCCCTCTGCTCTTTTGGTTCAAGATTCTGGAATGGTCCCAGTCAACACACAGATCGCGATCGTGAACCCAGAAACATGTACCCTAGCTCATGTGGGAGAGTATGGTGAAATCTGGGTTCAGTCGGATGCCTGTGCTACTGGCTTCTACCGATCAAATAATGAATTTGATGCAGAGAGAATGAATGGCCGAGTTGCCGATGGCGACCCCAACGTGCCTTATGTTCGCACTGGAGATCTGGGCTTCCTTCACACTGTTACTCGGCCCATCGGGCCTGGAGGTCAGTCTGTCGAAATGCAAGTGCTTTTCGTTTTGGGGAGTATTGGCGAAACTTTTGAGGTCAATGGTCTCAACCATTTCCCAATGGATATCGAGTCCTCGGTGGAAAAATGCCACCGCAACATTGTCAATGGAGGATGGTGAGTATTTATTATTTTCAGTCTGAGGCTCTTGCTAATATTTTCCTTCTAGTGCTATCTTCCAAGCTGGTGGCTTCATTGTAGTTGTGGTTGAAGTTACTCGAAAGGCGTTCCTGGCATCTCTCGTTCCCGTCATCGTGGACGTGATTCTCAATGAGCACCAAGTCGTGGCCGACATCGTAGCCTTTGTATCAGCAGGTGACTTCCCTCGCTCACGTCTAGGCGAAAAGCAACGTGGAAAGGTTCTAGCATCATGGGTTACCCGAAAGTTGCGCACGATTGCCCAATTCAGCATCCGTGACATCGAGGGTGAAAATCCATTTGCCGAGCTACCCCAACATCGTGCTAGTCGAAGTTCCAAGCCCGGAAGCATGGTGGGCAACAGCGTTCGGCAGTCGACAATGAACCGCGATAGCGAGATCATGGCGTCCCGACCCCCAGCCGGAGTAGTTCTTGACGAGACTTATGTGCCTCAAGAGTCTTTACAAGTCCACCAAGAAATTCCGCCGCCAGTTCTTCCGGAGCTTGACTCTCTCGATCACCCAGATGCAGCGGCCGCTATACCTTATATTGAGGAGCCAAGGTCTGCTATCTTTACCGCTGAACATGATGACTTTTTCAACACTGCAGACCCTGGTCACGATCAGGCCGCAGGAGGCCGTGATTTCCGTTTTAGTTTCGACATGGTCAGTAATACGGAGCCACATGGAACTGATAGGCCCTCAACCGGGGAGAGAATCTCTTACTAGTAGCCAGATCAATGCAATCTACGGCGATGAAGTAGGCTCCTCCCACGATGAAATGCCCCGTTCAGGCACTAATGAGAGTGGAGTACTTGACGACTGGCCACAAGAGGCCCTAAAGTACCAGTCTAACTTGAGCGAGGCAGTTGCACGGAAGCCCCTCGATTAAACATTGAAGTCCAAAGCAGTTTGGTCTTTGACATACTTTATGCATTATCTTTGACACACGTTTGACATCCGCTTCTTTTTTTTAGAGTAAATGGGTTAGGGTGGATGATATCTGGGTCATATCTTGTATTTTCCCTCTTCAAGCATTATGACTACGACTCTCCCGGTTTACCCTTTTTTATCCCTTTACACTTTATCTCATCCTTCGAATACCTCATATGCCCTTTTAGCTGTTTTCCCATTTAAGCATCGTTAATGCTGTACATAGCCATACCCTATTTAGCCTATCACAAACCCTCTGTCAATTCGGCTAAGAGCCGCAATGTGACAAGAGGCTTTATTGCGATAATTCATATTCTCTTATCACGTAGGATATTAGTAGATTGCTTCTGATATGGCGAAAATAAATTCAGATTTCTCCACATAGAGTGTGGTAGTGTATATCACCAATATCCATTATGTATTCGTTGCTACAACAAATAAAAACACTTTTTATAGCCTACTGGGCTTCAGCCTGTTTAGTCAACTGCTCAATGTTGACCTGAGGGCCACCGTTAGCATTGGCCTCGGTAGTCAGCTGCTCAAGGGCATGAATGTCCTCGTTAGTGAGGGTGTTGGAGCGGACAGGGCGGAAAGGAGCAGGGGAGCCAGCTTGAGAGGTAAGGAACTAGAAAAGGTATAAGCTGAATGAAATGTGATATTTGGGCTGTATGGGGAACTTACCGAGCTAGCAGCACTGAGCAGGGCGATCAGACTGGCTTGGACAACATCCTGGTGGATACCAACACCCCACACTTGTTCCTTGCTACCAGCGGCAGTACACTGGATATATGTAGCAGCCTTAACATCACGGCCCTTGTTGCCAGATGAGCCACTGATTGAGTGCTCCTTGTAGTCGACAACATCGAGGTCGATTCCGAGGGAAGACAGAGCAGCTGCAAGAGATGAGATGGCACCGGGTCCAACACCAGTGATGGCGTGCTGGGTATTGTCGATCTCGACAATACCAGTGAAGCGACGCTTAAGGTTCTTGGTGTTGAGAGCCTTCCCAGGCTCCGATGGAGGAGCCGGGGACTGCGAACGATCTGTGGTAATGTTGTAATCGACTAGGTTGAAGCGGGGATTTGTCTTGAGGTGGTAGGACTGCTCGAAGAGGTTGACAATTTCGGCGGGCTTCAGCTCGCGGCTGAGAAGTTCGGTTTCCTTTTGTACGACCTTGCTGAACTCGACCTGCAGCGCACGGGGGAGATCCAGCTCCAGGCTGCGCAGGATAACCCATGCGGCGCCACCCTTGCCACTCTGTGAGTTGACGCGGATGACAGCCTCGTAGGTGCGGCCGATATCTGAGGGGTCAATTGGGAGATATGGGATAACCCATTCATCGTCATCAGTGGCATTGGTGTCCTTGCGAATTTTGAAGCCCTTGGCGATGGCATCCTGGTGAGATCCACTAAAGGCGGCAGAGACCAGGGATCCGCCGTAAGGCCATCTTTCATTCACAGGGATCTGATTACTTTCCTCCACAACCTTAATGACTGCATTGATATCGGAGAAATCAACATTTGGTGAGACACCTTGTGTGTAAAGGTTGAGGGCCAGGGTAACCAGGTCGACATTTCCGGTTCTCTCACCGTTACCAAACAGGGTACCCTCCACACGCTGGGCACCAGCCATCTGAGCCAGTTCGGCAGCAGCGACAGCACAGCCACGGTCGTTGTGTGGGTGGAGCGAGACAACAAACTTCTCACGCTCAGTCATATTTGTGCAGAAGTATTCAATTTGATCGGCGTAAACATTGGGGGTGGACATCTCGACAGTGGCGGGCAGGTTGAAGATAATAGGGTTCTCGGCAGTAGGCTCCCATGCAGCCTTGACAGCTTCGCAGACTTCAATTGCGAAGTCAGGCTCTGTATCCGAGAAGGTCTCTGGCGAGAACTCGAATTGCCATTCAGTGCCGGCCATAGATGGATCATCCTTTGTAATTGAGCGAGCATATTTGGCACACGCAACAGCCTTCTCCAGGGACTGTCTCTTATCCATTCCAAAGATGATTCTTCGGAAACAAGGGCTGGTGGCGAGATAAATGTGTAGAATAGCCTTCTTGGCTCCCTTCAGGGAGTCAACAGTCCGGCGAATGATCTCCTCTCGGCATGGGGCGAGGACTTGGAGCCAGACATCATCTGGAGTAAGACCAGGCTCCTCAACGAGGCGGCGGGTGAAATCGAAGTCGACTTGGGAGGCGGCAGGGAAGGATACCTCAATCTCCTTGTAACCAATATCAACAAGCATCTTAAAGAAGCGGAGTTTTTGGTCGCCATCCATTGGATCCGGGAGACTTTGGTTTCCATCTCTGAGATCAGTGCTGAGCCAGCGAGGCGCAGACTCGATTTGTTTATTAGGCCATGTTCGGTTGGTAAGGTTCAATGGCTTGTAAGGCTTATATTTCTTGGAAGGATCTTTGAGCATCGGCATGGCGGGGAAGTGGGGGATGGTATGATAAGGACAAAGAAAAAAAAAATAAAAGGACTAGAATTGTCCGGATATAATAAACGCAGTTATTTCGACCCAAGGAAAAGAATAACTGGTTCTTTTGAATATGAAAAGTGTCAGGAATGGGTAAGTGGTTCTTATGAGTCAAAACAGTCTGGAAATCATTTGATGACGCCGAGTTTTTCGGTGCGAGAGCGGAGAGTCACGTGGGATCCATTCTTAAGATCTGCTTTCTTACGGCTTCTAGACCTGCAAATCAACACAGTTTGGACTTGTAATTTTCTTCAAATGATATCCAACACCGCCAATTGATTAAAACTCCTAAAATTCCTTATTTGCGTGATTTGATCAATATAAATAAAGATACAAGACTATACTTCGGCGAGCCCGAACTCGGAGTTAGAATCAGGACTAAGCCGACTCTAACCGCATACTTAACATGAAGACCCACTGGCGCCCTTCACTTTACATATGCATCTCCCATGCAAAGCATTGATTAATTGACTCATAACATGGAATTGCTCCATGAAAGGCTTGAACATGAGGATGATACCTCAGGACTGAATAATTCTCTTGAGATATTGAAACATTGAGATATAATTGTACAGATATATAGGGTTAAGGTAGATTTCAAAAGATATATAATACAAACTCGCTTAAAAAGAACAATAGTATCACCGAGACCTCGACAGGTGGATTAGAACCCTGGAATGTTCGATTATATGAAGTTCTTCTCAAACTGCACCAACAGTGGATGGACTTGGTCCAGCTTGAGTTTGACAGCTCGTGGATTTTTCTTGGCGTCGTCACCCAGCTGGTTTTGAATGAGAGTATGGAACTCTTTCACGTACGCATCTGTCTTATTCTGCATTTGTCCAGTAATGTCAACAGTAATACCCCCCCTCGGCAACATCCCGAGAGCCTAGAATGAATATCAAATTATACTTCATCTGTTTGGCACGCTGGATCTTCTTGCTAAGGGTTTGAGCGCTGGTGTCAACGTCAACGAGGAAAGTGGAATCAACCGATGAAAGCGGGCGCGGCGACTCCGATGTACTATCATGAGCAAAAGCACGGAATCCGGCAAAGTCAGCCGCTGCTTTTTGCGCTTGGTGAATGACCGCTTCGTCCTGGTTGACAGTCAAGATGATAGCCTGTCGCGGAGACAGCCAAAATGGCCAATGTCCTCCTTGGTGCTCAATGAGAAGTGCCAAAAACCGCTCAAGGGAGCCGAAGATGGCACGGTGTATCATGACGGGGGTAGCTACTCCGGGAGTAGTTGGATTATAGTCCTCTTCACCCTCGGCGACTTGGTACTCGAGTCCAAACCGTTGAGGAAGGTTCATATCCAGTTGAATTGTCGAGAGTTGGTGAAATTTGCCAGCCTGATCTTGAAGCTGAATATCAATTTTTGGTCCATAGAAAGCACCATCACCATCATTTAAAGCCCATTCGCGCCCAGTGCTGTCCAATGCTTGCCGCAACTGGTTCTCTGCATTCTCCCACATTTCTAAGGTTCCAATGTAGTCTGTCTCCGGTCGAGTCGAGAGAACCAGTCGAGCCGGGCCTAGTCCGAATGTCTTCATAGCCATATCCACAAATCCCAAAGCTGAAGCAATCTCCGACTTGATCTGCTGTGGCCGGCAGAAGATGTGGCCGTCATCCTGGTGGAATCGACGCACGCGGGTCAGACCTGTGAGCGACCCAGAGACTTCGTTCCGATGAAGTGGGCTGAAGTCGGCATATCGCACAGGCAGATCGCGGTATGAGTATTTTTGCGACTTGTACAGTAGGCAGTGGCCTGGACAGTTCATTGGCTTCAGGCCATATGACTCGTCTTCGCCGACTTCTCCGTCTGTCTCACCGGTAGCACCCCGACCAGTGACCTCGTACATGTCATCTTTGTAGTTTTGCCAATGGCCAGATATCTCCCATAGTGACTTTTTGTAGATGGTCGGGGTTAGGACCTCGCGGAAACCGTACTGAAGGTATTGGGTGCGGAGGAAGGAAATGAGTTTATTTATGACATGTGTGCCATTTGGCAGGAAAAGAGGAGATCCAGGACTGTATATAGACGAAGTAAATAGCTCCTGGGATATACCCAAAGCTCGATGGTCGTTGGCTGGTAGTGTTGGAGCTCCGCTTGGGTTGTTGGCTGCTTCAGCACAAGAGCAATTGCGCTTTACAGTGGTTGACAGCCACTGAGCTCGTTGTGGCTGTCGTAGATTCCACCGAGTAATAAACCCCGTGCAAAGACGCGGTTGGAGCCGTGTGAGTGGGCGCATTGTTGATTGCGCCGAGAATCCGATTTCCTGCCGCGACTTTCTTCAACTTTTCCCACCGCTCTTGCACGATAAGGGCAGATCATTCTCATTCCAGCATTCTTCCAGCTGTGCTTGGAGATATTTGAACATTGTCATCGTACCTAGAACGAACTAGCAAAATTTACTACCTGAAAGACAAATTACCGAAACCCAAACTTCTCGTTGGACGGTCATGCTTACAGCGCGATGGCGGAACAACCTCGTACCCCACGTACCCCTCGCGCCTCAGGTTCTTTGGTGTTGGGAGAGTCTTGGGTGATGACCGACATAGCCTCTATCAAGGAGACAGACTCAAAAGAAAACCAGGCACCAGAAACCCCAACCCCGCAGCCGAGAGAGCGGCGTAAATTTAACCAAACATCAACTCAGCCAACAGAGTCGCCCAAATCCAGTTCATCGTTGTCCATGTCGGGTCCGGAACTCATCATGCCCTCAATATACGAAACCCCCATCTCAGAGGCATCTTGGGTAGCGCCAAATCTGCGCCCAAGAGCCCGACTATCAAAGAAGCAATTCAAGACCTCTCATCCAGGGTCGCAGCCAGATCAGCTGCAGCCTAGCCCTGTGATCGACCGTACAGACTCGGACTCATCAGTTCCAAAGCACCAAATCAAGCAGCAGAGTATATTCATAAAGCTCGAGGTGGTCTGTCGTCAGCATAGTGCTCTTATCCGCAAAGCGATCAACGCACTGCTGATAGCCCTCATCCTCCACCTCTTAGTCCTTCCTGAAATCATTTACCAAGCCCAAGACCTTTGCCGGCTTCCCACCTTGAAGACCATGTATCGAGATAGCTGCGTGCAATTTAACCCCAGTCCCTTCCAGTCCTATCCCTCAAACCCCAACTCCCCCCAACAAACCATCATCGCATCCCAGAAACATCTTGAGACCGTTTTTGATATCTCCCTCCGAAATTTTACTTCCCTCGCGCTCAACCTCAAGGAAAGTGAAAAGATGCTGCACGATCTACAAGACCACCTGGAGTCCAGCTTCCCGAATGTGCGCAATGCCCTAGATCTCGAGTTCCGAGGCAGTGATAAGGCTGTGCGGACCGCAGCCTGGGAATTTGACTCCCTCCGTGCGGATCTGCGCTCTGCAGTTGACAGTCTCGTTGCATCTCAGCCATCTCTTGAAACGAGCGGCTCGATCGCTCGTGATGCCCGGTCAGCAGCCCAGATCCAGCGACGTGGAGAGTATCTAGACCGGCTGCGATCACAGATCAGTACCAAAGCTGATTCTCTCGGTAACCGGCTCAGCACTCTCGATGACCACCTGGAAGCAGTAGATAGTATCATAGCACGCGAGGAGCGTAGGGCTACTTTGCTGGGTACATCGCACGATGGCAGTGGAACTGGCGCTGTAGCTGGATTGCAGGCTATTTTGAATTCTATATTTGTTTCACGTCCGTCCTCATCAGCAGAAGCGACTGGCTCAAATGACATGATGAGTGATGGCCAAATCCAGCCCGTGACTACTGTGGTATTATTGAAGCTCGCTACAACGCACCACCACCCTATTGCTGATTCTGTGCTCCATCTATCCCAGCAGCTACGTGATTTACGTCCTCGTCTGTCTCCTTGGTGAACGACCTCTATAGGATTTGGTAGATGAGACTAACGATAATGATGATGAACTTTTCTTTTCAGTCTAGCGATTGCATGCAATGTTTTATTAAAACCCATTCCTAGTATGCTTCATGAATCATTCCAAGATGGTCGATCATGTGGAAATGAACCTGTATACTATTTACCACCTAGATACGCAGGTGGGTACTAAAAAAAACCTCAATGCCACCTCCAGTGCTGTTCAGGTGAGGTCTCTATAGAACTGCTCATGTGCATATATGAACGGCAGTGAGAGGGATTATATTGGTTTCCCTGTCATAGGTGTAGTTTTAATGAATCATTGATTGTTATTTCTACTCAGGCAAATTCTAAGGAAATTCTAATATTTGAAACACGCATTCTAACAGTAGTAAATCGTCACTAAGAACATCACAAACGAAACTTACCTAGGTATGATCCTGAGGTCTATAACCTATTTAAATGTCAGATTTCCCGAACGCACGTTCTCATATAAATATAAAATCTAATGAGCATAACTACCACACCAGCCCTGGTATAGTAATCCCTGGTGATCACCTATAGCCCTCAAAACATACCGCGTCCTTGGTGAATCTCTCTCGGGATTCGGGCCGTTGGAAGCAACTTGTATCGATTTGCCCAAATTTTGCACACTCCCAATGAACATTTCCCAGTACACAGTTTTGTAGCACGTTAGATTGGTTGTCAAATCGTTCATTGTTTGTATAGCTGTCGGGAGCGACACTCGCTCGTTGCATGCAGTAAGTAAGCTTGTACGTACGTAATGCGAGAGTTGTAAGAAGTGTGTGTATTTCTATCTACGACTCGAGTAGAAATAGTCCTCGATCAGGCGATCGAGGATCCAAGTGCTGCCCAGAATTAGCTGGATACAGACAATAGCTCATCTGATCCTGCGGCGACATGGTGCGCGATTGTCGCGTACCGCTGAGCTACGCAGAACATGTTGTCGGCAGTGATGAGTCGGTCGTCTTGCTCTGGGATATCCGCGATGGCAAATCGTTCATTAAGAGTCCCTGGGCCAATTTCTTGTGTGGAGTGCCAAGAGAGGTAAGCCTTTTTGCGCTTACTATCCACGGACTCGTCTTTGATACCATTCATCGGTCTGGCCACTTGACTGTTGCGAGTGGCCTGGTGACATAATAGCCGCCTGGTGTAAGAAGTGCACAAAAACTCCGAGCACTTCTTTGTAGTCTCAGTCGCGGATGGCTATGATTTTCTCACCCCACTATTGATGTCTAAGTCATAAGCGTTGGCGTTGATCTTGCTACCATCGATCTTATCCATGATCATATCCTAGACGGAATTACCATTCAAAGAAGTGCTGGTAATTTGTGATTTTGAAAATCTCCGGTGCTGCGGTGAGAATGCCGTAGGGAAGTGAGTGGAGGTAGTCCATGCAAATGGGACACGTAAAAGTTGTGTCTTCGTTTTCCAGAATTCGGCTTACAACTGTTGGGCTCAGCATGTTTGCGTTGTCCACTTGATTCTCATCTGATTCTTCATCGCATGTGCTTCAGGTCGTGCACTTTGTTGAGCGTATGTGCTCTGCCTTCAAGAGGCCTTGGAAATGAGACAGGGACTTCGTTTTCACTGAATGACAAGGTCACCGATTTCTTCCAGGGTATCTATTGCGGACTATGATTCTGATACCTGCGCAAAGAGTTGGACGATCTCCGTCTCGAGCGTGGCTAAGAGTGGGTGGATGATAGTTCGTGAAGATTGGAAACATGGTGACATGGTACATCTCCATCTGAGTGTTATTATCCTGAATTTAGCAGCTCCTTGCATATTTCATCTTCAAACTTCACACGGCTTAGAGTATTAGCCGGCACCGTAGGCCAATTGATGACAATTTCTTCTAGCTGGTGAACGCATTCACCAAGTATGTCATGATGTTTAGTTGATGCCTTCGGCCTCGCTCACCAGCCTCTCCCAAGTAGGAGGGCGCGTAGCAATCCTTTCACCAAGTAGACAAAGACTTCGACCCAAAGCTTCACGCCGGGTGATCTCCAAGTCCAACCAATCTTCGCTGATACCTAGGTTCATTACTGGAGAATATCAAAGGCAACGGAGACTCTAAGATCACTGAACAGGAGACAATTTGACACTTGCCAGGGTAACTGGTACCTGATCGGGGTGAACAGAGCCTGAATGATTTCTTAGCAAAGTTCCTAGCATATCAAAGTAAACCTCGAAAATCGAGGGCTGGTGCTAATTAAGCCGCCTTGTGTTTGATATTGATTCCGATACAACATGCGTTCCCGACAAAGTCTTGATTCAGGAGCAGGGGTCCATAGATCTGCCAGCTCCGTAGTCTGGTACTGTGATATGTTGCGCTGTAGTCAACTGAGTGCAAGTCCTGGACAGCGACGGTGCTTGATTTGACACCCATTATGCTCGCCATATACTGGCTACAGCAGCAGCCGATTCACACTGCCGGGTTGGATCTGGTCGTGGAATGAGCTAGCTTTTCCATGTGACCAAATGAAATAACAATACGCTTCGAGTGGGGATCCGAGGAGAATTTGATTGCAGAGATAGCATCGGTAGGTAGCAATGCTACGGTGAATTGTTCTGAAAACAATCAGAAAATGGATGAGATATGGATAATCAAGTGGCGATTCAAAAGTAGAGTGAGCGTGCATCCTGAATTCGCATTAAGCCGCTCATTGGCGATGTGAGACCAAACATGAAAGCATTTCCTTGTAGTGAACGGACGCCCATCGATAAGAGAGAGGCCGGAGAGGTCGCTGATTGTCCCAGGCCATTATCAGAACTACAGTGCTGATCTTTGCACCTCCAACTTTTGCTGTAAGGAGCAGAATCCATATTGATCCTTGCACATGTCATAGTGCTCTCTTATGTATTGCTTTAATGTGTTATTGAAGAATTCAATGAGTAAAGTTGACGGGTGATAGTACAATGGCTTACGGCCTCCAGTTTGTTGATGTCAAATTCGCGAAGACAGCACCGTGTCGGCAATGAAAAGCAAGATTGCGCACCCGGAAGAAGCGCCAAGCTCATGTTGTTGTGCGAATTTTTGGCAATTTTGGCATCAAACTTGAGAAAAGAATAATCCAATCTCTGAATGTCATATCTGTGACCTCTGTAGCCGGAGTATCAGGTGTCATACCCGGCGGTATCATCATACCCCATGCTTACCTCATTCTCAGGCCCGAGCTGGTCAGGATTTCGTGAGTAATTTCTCGAATTTGGGCCTTCAGGGTATACTTCAGGGTAAAGTTCCAGTATAATTTGCCGAGGCCTTGGTATTATTCATATTGTGTATCTCCAGATCATGATCTGGTTCTGGTTATACCTATGCGTACTTGCAAGTTGATCCTGCATTGTGACAAACTCAAGTTACAAACTAGGCGGCTTGTCTCAACATCCTCTAGTTTATCGTCATATCGGACAGAATCAAATAATTGCCCCCAATATCAAAGTCATAGAAGATCGCTGATAGTTCTGTGTTGATGGTAAGTCTGCTTTGGTGGCTGTTCTGGGAAGACAGGATTCACGTGGAGCGAATATTGTTTCGTTGAACCTATTGCTGAGCTTGAGGAATAGTCTGGGATCCTCGTTGATTGATCACAATATGAAAGTGTTGTTGGACTTGCAAGAATCGAAGTCACTCCCTTTGGCACGCACGGAGCCTGGTATTCCAGGACTGTGCAGTCGCTTCAACTAGGTTCAGACCATAAAATACGCACACCACAGGTGAACACCGACAATCATTAGCCATGGGGAGGAAGATTCCCAGGTGTTGGAGTTCAAAGTTGCAAGTGGTCAATGACCTCGAGAGGTTGGCTAGTTGTAAGAGATGGTTGTAGTAGTAGAAGTCTCAAATGCTCACTGGCGGATTGAATCCAGTACCTCAGAAATATGTTGCTGTGGAGTTATGTATGATAACCTTTGAAATTCCATGATTGTGGGATGATGAGGAAAGAAGAAGGATGGGAGAAGATTTGAACTTATAGGAAGAATAAGAAGAATTATATGGCAAAAGGAGGATGGAAGTGAAAGTGAAGGTGAAGGTGAAGGTGAAGGTGAAGGTGAAAGTGAGGCAGAATGGAAGGACAATAAACCCAGAATATGTAAGGTGAACAGAAAGAGGTTCCAAAAAACTTTGAGAAGGCCTGGTACAACCTTCCGATATTGGAATGAAGATGTGATGGATATAAAAGGCAGATAGAAGATGTAAGAGAGATATTGAGGAGAAAACCCTGAATTCAGCGAAGAGTAAGGATCAACATGAGGAAATTGTTGATCAGGGAAGAAGATGTGAGAAAAGAACCTTGAAAGGAAGAAGATATGAGAAAAATTCCAAGGTTCCAATATTTGAAGAAGGATCCATCGACGCAATCACTAATGCGATTCCCATTTCGAATGAAAAGCCTGACACAGATGCAGTGTCTTGAAGACCGCTCGTTAATCTGTGCGGCAGCGGAGGCTATTACCGTCTTCCAGGCTAGGTATTAGCTTCCAGGATCGGGAGGTTGTTCCCAAGGTTCCAATGGTTCAAGTGGGAGATGAGTATAGTAGTAGAACTTCCAGGTAGCTACCGACTGGCCAGGTGGTAGATATGCCTGGGTAGTCAGATTTGGTGGACATTCAGGTGTCGGTAATCTGCCAGGATGGTCGTGGAAGGTAGTTGTAGTAGTAGAAGTTCCAGTTCTATTTGTCTGGTTAATATAGGTGTTCCAAAGGGTGGTCATGTGTTTATGTGGAGAGTGAAGGTGAAGGGTAAATGTGAAAGTGAAAGTAAAAGTGAAAGTAAAGTAAGAGAAATAGTAACTTTGTACATGACAATTGCCTACGTAGCTTCAAAATTATAAAGTCAAGATTTTGAATCAAATGAAGCATTTGATTCCCATACATTCATTCAAACCCACGTATTTTAATCAAACGAACCATCGGAATCTATCACTAGCTGGTCCATCCTGGAGATCCTCAGTAGGAATATCCTTCGCCTTCACATGCAAGCCCTCATCCCGATCTCTCCTTTTATTATCCCACATCATCCAGAACCCAAGAGCAAGAGTCAAAATGATACCAGTGCCCCCAAAAGCAGCCGTAGTAATCAATGCAGGAAAGTATTTAGGAGCATCTTGACTTCGGAAAATATTAGAGCTCACAACACCCATAAGATTGGCGACGGGAACCGCAATACTCGTCAAGATAACTCGACGTCCCTCGTTTGCGTTATTATTGTTGTACCATGCGTCTAATAGGACTGAGGGTGCTGATGTGCCCCATGTCATGAGGAAGGAGGCAAAATAAGCTACGCTTAGATCGTGCTCGACATCAATAGCTGCATAGATTATGAAGCCAATGAATGTGAATAGGAACCCGAGTGCGATGAAGGGAAATCTCCATCTAGTCCAGTCGCTGCAGAAAGCCAAGATGAGCAGCACGACTGCGCCTGAAACATTAGGGGCCACAGTGTATAGATTTGTCTTGACGGTGCTGTAGCCCAGGCGCTGAATAATGACCGGGAGGAACAACTGAACACCTTGGAGTGGCACACCAAGACATACTTGAATAGCGAGAACAGCCCAGCTGGTCCAGTGCTTGAAGACTCGGAATGCGTCGCGAATGTTCAGCTTTTCGTCAACGATGGAGGAGCTGTCGATATGTAGTCGGAGATATGCTAGTTCTTTCTCTGTGGGCGTAAGGAAAGTTGCTTCTGCTGCTGATCTTGGGAGATACCATAGTGCAAATAATGCAAAGAGTACAGTGCATGAACCCTCGATCAGGAACAGATAGCGCCATGGTGCTAGTGGGCCAGAGTGTATTTGGAACACTCCGAATGCGAGGAGTCCTGAAAATGCAGAGGCAATACTCTGAGCGGCATAGAAAATGGCCAGGCGGCGGGCCAGTTCACCTCGACGGTAGAAGCTAATATTGCGTAAGTTGATATCTAGCATCCGGAATAATGCATTTCGACTTACGTAGTTAAGTAGTAAATGACTAATGGGAAGAAAGCACTCTCTGCCATTCCCAAAAACCACCGAATTGCAAAGAGGCCGCTGAAGTTGAACACGGCAACTACTAGTACGGTGCACATGCCGAAAGTGAGCATCATACTTGGCAGAACGAGATTCGGGCCATATTTCTTGCCAAGAAGACCCAAGAAAGGTGCCGTCAGGACGTATGGAACGAAGAAGATACTGAGAAGAATATTGTATTGGTTGCCATGGAGGTGTAAGGTATCTACAATGGAAAGTGAGAATGATACCGTAAAATAAAAACTGGGGTACAAACCTTCAAGCCCTGCTGTTTTTGCATTTCCAAGATTGGATTTGTCCAGACTGTTGAATAAGTACATAATTGCCAGCACCGGTAGAATGAGAAGGTCGAATTTCCAGACCAACACCCGTTCAGCTTGAGGGTCGATATCGACACTTATAATAGTAGTAGGCGCATCTTTCTTAGCGGGCGACTCTAAAGAGGTCGACATGGCTAATACGGTAGATGAACCCCGAGTGCTTGTAATAAAATTCACATTGTAAAACTTGGAAGAGGGAGAACATCGATTATAAAATGCTTATCTGATGCCTAGAGACTTTATCATGAATTTATTGCTGATGAACGACCTAATAGCATGACAAAGGATCAACGGCCCATTATAGTTAACAGATAAGGCTCTTCCAAGGTTCTTAGCGCATCCTAGTGATAACGTGCTAAACTTGCCAATAAAATAGAAAAGAGAATGAATTGATCCACATAGATAAGTCAATCCAGATTCCCCGACTTCGGAGTGGAGTAGGGTTTCATCGAGAAGTATATACAGACTTGGAACGTACACGCCCATTTCTTGGCTTTTTTTTTTTTTACCCCGCTTAGATTAAGTAGCGAGGCTACTTTGAAGATAAGGCCATGGTATCTTAAGGGCGTTCTGACCTATTTAGGCTGGTATCATCCTCTCCTAGTATGCGACTTTGATTAATTTTATAGGCACAGCATACGGTCTGACGAAAGTTGCCAGATTATTTTATCGCTCTTCAAACATACATTTCAGAGCATCAGATGTCTGAGCCGCCCTGAAAGCGAACTTGAACAAGATATTGTTCAGGAAATTGTTTTTGTGAGGGTGAGGCTCTTCATTGACATCTGTCAATGTAACGACCAATTGGATGTTTAGTAGCTTCAAATTGAGATCTAAAGGGTTCCGCTGCGATCAATTCCAATACCTTTTGTTCTATCATGGCTAGTTTCTAGAAGATAGAGTAGTTGGTCAAGCCAAGTGGAAAATGGTTATCTAAACTCAAAACTCCGCAATTCTTTATTCTATAGAATATTGCTGTGCATGATCATACATGGCATGATACAGTGTAGTACATAAAACATGAAAGGGCACTCACTGGGTTGAAGACAAGTGGAGGAAAATAAATGCGAAAGAAAATGCACGTAGCATAAGGATATCTTCTAGAGCTCATCCTTTCGCTCATCTTCCGGGAAAGTCTTGGCCTTCTCTTTCTCTTCCTCTTTTTTGTCTACTTCGGGCTTCTTCTCCTTCTTCTCCTTCTTCTCCTTCTTGTCCTTCTTGGTTCCGCTGGTCTTTTTGGTCTTTTGGCCTGTGGCGGCAGTCATGCGCTCGTACATGCGGTTCAAGATACGGTCAAACTCACGCAGACGGTTGTCGATCTCCATGACTGTGAGGGCTGGATCATCTGATTCTGTGAGCGTGGCCTGGACCGAAAGCTGGGTTTCCAGCCAGGGCTTGGTAGACTCGTAGACCAATGTCAATGAGGTAAGATCGGCAGGAGTGAAGAGCGTGTACTTGGGTCCGGTAGGTTTGGCCGGGGCGGTGGACTTGGTGGTGCTCTTGGAGGATGCAGATGTCGAGTACGAGTCATCGTCAAGATCATCCAGGGGATCCGAAGAGGCGGCCGGGGTTGGACTGGAAGACACTGACTCCTCGGTGGTCGATGTGCTAGAAGCTGACTCAGATGAGTAAGCCTGCTGATCGATTTCAATCTGACTTTCAATCAACTGCTTCATGGATTCAGCGTTCTTAAGCGTGTCCTGCAGGAGAGCCACACGTGCAGGCCGATTGGTAGTTTCCTTGATGCGCTTCAGAGCTGGGTTGACAATGGACTTTAGCTCTTTGAGCTTAGACTGGAAGTCGGCTGTCTTAGCGTTGTCGCTGTCTTCGTAAAGCCAGTCGCTGGTCTTAGCAACCTTGTCCTGAAGGGTAGCCAGTTGGTCTTCTTTGATGGCCTTGGCAAAATCTTCACTCTCAATCAAATCGCGGCTGCGATAGACGAAGGATTCAAGTTCATTGAGAGCTTCTTCACGCAGAACGCGATCCCGATCGGAGGCGTCAAAGGCCGTCAGACGACTGTTAATACGAGCCCATTCAGCTGAAGATGGATCCTGAGTGCCAAGAACTGTTGATTTCAAGCCAATAGGAATTATCTCGAGTTTAGTCTGGATAGTGGCCTTCGCACTTTCCTTGGTGGAAGTGGTAGTAGAAGCGTCACTAGTAGAGGTTGTGGATGACTCTGTTTCAGACTCAAGAGTGATAGATTCAGCAGGCTCGCTGTCTTCACCCAATGGCTGTTGCTGATCTTTTTTACCAAGACCAAAGAAGCCCTTGACGTCTTCCACAATTCCTTTTTTCTCCAACTCAACAACACAGCTCACGTCGCCCCCAGTGACATCAGGAAGACCATCAACGGGACTAAGGCGGATTGAAAATTTGGCCGTGATGTTAGCAGCTGAGCATCCAAAGGTATCCTTGAGCTTGGCGACCGAGGCAGTAAGGTTCTGAGTCTGAACGCCAAGAATCGGCAGAGCATCCCCATCCTGCTGAATCTGCTGGTAGAAGCTAAACTCAAAGTCATCCAAATTCTTGATGGTGACCTGTTTCTCAGGACCAACCTGCGAGGTGGCGGTGAACAGCTTTTGGCTACGCTGTTTGCCATCTGATTCCCACTTCAGGATAACAGGGTAAATGGCAGCATCATGGGCACGGATTTCCTTGACGCGGAAACTAGGGCTGAGGGCGGCACCTTTGAATGCAGCACCAAATACAGCGGCCTCATCGGCATTGACATTGGTGCGGATTTTCTTAGATGATCCGCAGATTCTTTCCAGCTCCTTTTGAACAAAGGGAGTTCTGACGGCACCTCCGTGCAGAACAACAGAGTCTATGTCACTAAGTTTCAGTCCAGCAGCCTCAAGAGCAGTCTGTAAGGGCTTTTCAATGCGAGCGGCATGCCCGACAGCCATCTTTTCAAGGTTAGCGCGGCTGAGCTTGTACTTGAAGTTGAGATCCTCATCGTACAATCCCTCAAAGCTAGTGGAAGTTTCCGTGTTGGCACTGAGAACCTGTCGGAGTCTTTCGGCGTCTTTCCAGATGCGTGCCATAGTCTTTCCATGTGCCTTGACTTGCTCAGGAGTGACTTTGTCTTTGAGCTTCTTGTCCTCGACCAGTTTGGCAACTATATCGTCGACGATAAGATCGTTCAGAGAGTCACCTCCAAGAGACCTATCCCAGCCTGCTCCAAGAACATGAATCTCTTGGATAGTCTTGTTGAAGCGGCCGATGTCCTTGATTTGGCGACTCTGGAAGCGCAAAACACTAGCGGTAGTCGAGCCAGCACCCATATCGAATACAACGTGATACTCAGGCTTCTCGCCATTTGAAACGCTAGGGAAAGTACGGGCAGTGGCGTAGTTCAGTCCGACAGCCAAGCCATCACTGATAAGAGCCTCAATGTTGAGGCCCGCCAGTTTGACAGCCAGTTCAAGGCTCCGCTTTTCCTCCGCAGTGTAGAAAGCTGGATACGTGATGACGACATCACGAATGTCCGAGCCCTTGCCAGCCATTGCATCCGCATTGGCCTTGACCTCCTTCAATTGCATGGCCAGAATTTCTTCAACCAAGAATGCGTCCTTTCTCTCTGCCTCTCCGAGTCGATTACTGCGCAGAGCGACAGAACCGCGGTCATTGGGGGCACTTTCAAGTCTCAAGGCTGGATACCGGCTCCAGTAAGTTTTGATTGTCTCATCATCGACATTGAAAGGTAAACCCAACAACGTCTTTAGGTTGCTGTAGACATCGTCTGGGTACCGAGCCGCCAGGGCGAGAGCATTTCCACCGTAAAATCGTTCAGGGAAAGGTTCACTACTATCTCTTGTCGGCTTGAAGGCGATAGCAGCTGATTCTTTACGCTTGGAATCCTTGCTAAGCACAATCTCGAGGGGAATGCCGGGCTTCACTAGAGCTGATTTGAAATATTCTGTGCCGATATCAATACCGATGACGGCAGATCCAGCGGCGGAGGCTGGTCCAGCAAAACTAATGAGTAGAGTAAAGAGTGGTAGGATCAAGAAAGACAGGATCGATGTAGGTAGCCGATGCCGGCTCGCGCGAGCCATGGTCTGTGTGTTGTTGCTAAACAAGGGCCCAATTAGTATATACGGAATAGAGATGTTCAAGTCGATCGCACATTGATCACAGTATATTAAAAAAATAATTCCACTCAGAGTTTGAACTGCTCTGCTAGCTCGCCAAGAGGGTTTGTCGGTGGAACGCCGGCGTTGCGCCAGTCAGGAAGCGGATATAGTCGCCTCGGGATCGATTTTCGAGGAAAATCGAATGAAATTGAGTATGGACAGATTACCTCGGGGGTAAAAACGCTGAAGAAGAAGTCGCAATTATCTCAGTGATCGAGGGATTACAATGGGCCACTTGGCAAGAGAAACACAACGAAGCGCATCCATCTAAGGCCACGGGTCCGATTGCATGGATGCAGTGGGTTTGCATTGTTTGATTAATTACGTAATGGAACTACAACACGGCGCTACGTCATCTCAAGGAACATTTGAAAACGAGGGTTTATCCTCATTCATTATTACGCGCCTCTATATAAGATGGCAGAAGCTATTAGTGCAATTGATACACAGAGATTCAGTCTCATAGAACGTCCTTAGCCATGAGTACCATCACCCTGACCCATCCGGCATTTGATTACATTCAACTATTTCCATACAAATTCTGCAATTCAATTTGCCACGGCGCAGAAAATGAGCATTGAGTGTTTTCGTATTGCGTGCAGTCTGAAATGATTAGATTAGAGCCATTGCGATGGCGAGACCGGGGATAAGCCCGGCTAGAGATTTCTGGAGAGATGAAGCACCATTGAACACGGGCATGGTGCTCTCTGGAGTGGGTTGGACCAAGGGGGTAGACCAGACTCTACTGGAAGCCCCGCTCCCGTGTGGCGGCTCAGCGGGAACGACGACTCCTGTTTGAGGTGGAGGGGTGAGAGTGGCAGTGGTCCAGCACCAAGTAGTTGTTGGAGTCCTCGTCGTAGTAGGCATAGGCGTACCTAGTTCACAGTTTGCACATGGGTTTTTTTCTTTCGTATCACTACGAGCGACAACGACCTTGTCAGAGAAATTTCCAGAGACCACATCGGCATTGACCGCAGCCAAGCTAGCGCAGAGCAAAAGGATCAAAGTGAAACGCATGGTAAATGAATGGTGCGTCTCTGAGCGAGGCCGAAGGACGGGAGGAACCGTAGTGAGAGAGTTCCTAGCACGGATTTCTTTGGAGATCAGGAATCGGACAGGGGAATAGAGGGCCACATGGACATTTATACATCGAGCTCTCCACAAACTGCAGTACCTAGGTGCTTGATGTCAACCTTTTTTTCCATTTGAGTAGTTGTAATTGTCTCTCAAATTGTTTGGTACGAGAGACAATTGGAGGTCGAATGATTCCACTCAACTTAGAAACCCAACCAGAAATCACAGGATACAATAATTTTTGTTGCAAAGTTCTAGGTCTAGCGGTGATTTCTCGGGCCTGGGTAATCATCTCGGCTGGTGTGGTCAAGATTTTTTGTTCTTTACCCAGATCAGATCTTACTGATTCGATTAAGAAATAGACTTGTATAGTATGTATGTGGGAGCTAAAGGCTCTATGACTGCTGAGATTTTTTGGGGCGATATAGCGCCAACCGGGGTTGCCACAAGCTGAGTAGTTGGATAACTTCAGGCTGAAATATAGACATCACTGCTGTATTGATAAATCTTGGTAAAAGTCAGAAAGGTCCAATAACTCCTTCAACTCTATGCATCCAGTTTATCTGGCGGCCGTGTCAGAAGATGAAATTGAGGTCCTGAGGGCTGTATCCTGACAAGATGTGAGTAAACACTGAGATCCACGGCTCATCTAGAGCTTAGACAGCCCTATTAACTCCCTTCTATGGCTCCTGAAGCCTGGAGGTAACGTTACATACATGCAAAAGGATAAAGCAAAATAAACCACGGATGTTGAGATGTTGAGTTTGACATGAGCGAGTGCGTTGCATTTGCATCTACAACGGTTATAACCGGAAAAATAATCCTAGAAGACGAGATTATCGCGATTCGAAATCAGTAAAACTTTCCAGGTATCAATTTTGCTTGATTATCCGTCAAGGTTAATCCTGTTGTTTCGGATCTCTGCGTTATTTTGAATCTTTTAGAACTACGGTTCCTTGGGACTTTCCATAGATAACATCGGGAGCATTTTTGACATCGCAGTAAGGTAGTAAGGTGAAGAGTGAAAGAGTCTAAACAAGGCCCAGCCCTGGAGTTACGGAGAGGAACCCCTTGAACCTTTCTTGCATTTGAACTTCTACTACCCACTACAAGGTAATCTGAGGCCCCTCGCATGACTATCTAGGTGGCTAATTACTTATTAAGGCCCCAAATATTTGTTTCATACCTAGTTGTGTTCCAGAGTGCTAAGTATCCTCACATCTTGTGGCTGGAATAGTATCAATTATTGATGGCCCAGTGCAGTCGGGCGAAGCCGCCGGAGTAAGCGACAAAGTAAATTTAGTGCTTCATCCTCGTGCCTCCTTCGCCCGACAAAGGGACCTCCATCATCCTTGGGTTTATTGCCCTAAGCTGAGAAAGTTCTATACTTGGCTTTGTTGGTGGGTCCAGTATGGAAGGGTCATCAAGTTCTAATCCAGGCCGCGGGCATCTCGAACAGAGAGTAATATCCTCAGCCTTGGATCATTCAGCCTTGCAATCGCGTTCATTGTAGGTACTATTTACGTTTGATGAAAATAGTCAGTGGAAGGACAATTAAGTGTTATCTTTGGCACGCCGACTACGGGGCCGTTTCGGTGAAATCCTGCGCAAATAGTCAGGCGAGAAGCACTGCGCTAGAAATTATTGTGCCGCACATCATGATCATCGAAACTGGTGTTACCACCTATGTACAGTCTTTGACTATTTCTCCAACCTTTATGACCAAGTCACACTAGTGCATACTGGGAGTCCATCCGAACTATCTTTTTTTTTTTATAATATCTAGTGAAGTGGGTGTATTAGCTTGTAACTTTACATCTCACACCTCCTAACCCCACTGTAATAGTTTCCCTCAATGAAACACAAGTGGGCACCTCAGCATGGCGCCAAATTTAGCCGCTGCAAAGCACGAGTTTATCAATGACATGACTCACAGAGAACTCTCTGTATGGCAGATGTCACAGGCTGCTGGCTGCAGTAAGCGTACTCCGTACCATCTTGAGAATCACTTCTAATATACGGATTTTTGGCAGCTTCAAAGCACCGCCAAACAGAGGTGGTCGACCACGGGGCATCACTTCAGTCATGCTAGAAGCTCTTTACGATTATCTACTCGAGAAACCTAACTTATATCTCGACGAAATGGCGATTTTTTTGTGGGATGAGTTCGACATCCAAGCAACAAAATCTGGCACCAGCCGGGCTCTTGCATTCAAAGGCTAGTCAAAAAGTACCGCCCGAGTCAAGGCTCGAGGGCGTAATCAAGAATTAATGATGAATATACCCACTTTATCTCGGCTTTTCACTCATATCACCTTGTCTATGTGGATGAATCTGTGATAAAAGAATAGGCTTTAGGTAAACGGGTTGGTTCCCGCCAGTTCAAGTGTCTAAATTCTATCATGACCAATGATATCAGATACTCCCTGCATATTCTCAGGATGGCATTCTTTTGTCTCGAGTGTTCCGAGGCTCAACCGATGCATCTGTCTTTGAAGACTTTATTGAGCGGCTTTTCCGGCATTGTGGGAAATGGCCTGAACCAAAGTCTGTCTTGGCCATGGATAATGCATCCATCCATCACTCCGACCGATTACAGCAGATGTGTTACGCAGCCGGCGTGAAACTAGTATATCTGCCTCTATATTCTCCAGACTTGAATCCTATAGAAGAGTTCTTTTCAGAACTGAAAGCCTTTGTTCGGCGCCATTGGCATTTTTACAAGAACCCTAATCAAGGATTCGATAACTTCCTTGAATGGTGTGTTGGCACTGTTGGTACGAGAGGGAAAAGCGCAGAGGGATACTTCCGCCACGCATGTCTGGTTGTAGAGATATAGGATAGTCACGGCGGGATATGAGACCAACTTCACCAGTTGGCTTTCCTGCGGTCGTATGAGATCCTTGAAAACTCAGAAACCGTAATATATTCTAGATAAATAATCCTACTCAAATATTTTCCCTAGTGAATCCTGTGTTGAAGAAACGTAGTGCAAATGATACGTATTTCTCATTTTTCACTGCCTTTCCGTTGCCAATCATAAGAAGTTAGGAGCGTGTGGTAAGTTGGTACTATTTTTACAAAATATGAATTTTTGGATAGAAGATGGGACGATCGACCATCTCGATCATGGCCATCACCACTTATGCCAGTATCCTTGATATTAACTCAGTCATCCCATGAATACAAAAATTATATGCTAATAAGGAAAGCAACCTCGGCTAGTTTCAAGTAGTTTATCCTAGAATAAGCAAGCTTCGGCGTGCATGAAGTCACCTGATGGTGAGGCTGACGAACCCGCTATTAAGAGGGCTCACCATCAGCCTTCTCTAAGATATCACAAAAACTACGTATGACCGTGTTAAACATGAACGAGATATCGTTTAGCGGCGCAAATGAAGGGTTACAGGTGGGCATCAGTTACGCACCGATAAATATATCAGCTAGTAGGTTCTTATTAACTTTGAAATGGGTCCAGATTGTATTAGCTGACAGCGCCTTATATAGAGCCACTGGAGCCCCTCCCTAAGCCTCTATCAACCGTGCCGTTCCCGCACGACCCAGACTTTGTTAGTCGGGAGTTGTACTTTAACCAACTCCATGAAAAAGCCTCAAGCCCGGGGTCGAGAATAGTTCTCGTTGGACTCGGTGGTGTCGGGTAATGGCAGCGTGTTATATGAGCGTTCCCTTGATGCTGACTAGTTACGTAATAGGAAAACTCAACTTGCTATCCAATACTGCTACTGGGTTCGTCAAAAATCACCAGAGACGTGGGTGTTCTGGATTCATGCGAGCAACGCGGCCCGCTGCGAAAGTAGCCTTCGGGACCTTGCCGATCGAGTCAAAATTCCTGGACGTCAAGACCGCAACACCAACATTTTTCAGCTCGTTGGTAATTGGCTACAAGACAAATCGATCGGAAAGTGGATTATTGTTCTAGATAATGTCGATGATGACGAGCTACTCCGACCTTCCATGATTAATCAGAGTCTAACGAGTGACCAAAGCAATGTCTCAACGCAGCCATTACTAAGATACCTCCTCACAAGCTCAAATGGCTTTACCATCATCACAAGTCGAAACAAGACTATAGCGTTGAACATCACCGGTCACTCAAACATAATTGAAATGTCGCCCATGAGCAAGGCCGAGGCAGTCGATCTATTGCAGAAAAAGATAAATATACCAGCTGAGAGGGAAACGCTGGTGGATCTGGTTACGGCGCTTGAATTCATGCCGCTCGCGATTATTCAGGCGGCTGCTTATATTACGCATCGCTCACCCGGCTGCTCAGTATCACAATATTTGGAAGAATTTCAAAAAAGTGACCATGACGCAATACAGTTACTAAAGTATGAAGCTGGTCTTCTAGATCGAGACTGGGAGGCCAAAAATTCGATTTTATTCACCTGGCAAATATCTTTCGAATACATTCGAAGGATTCAGCCCTCTGCAGCAGACCTACTTTCTCTTATGAGCTTTTTTGATCGACAGGGAATCCAAGAGAGTGTTCTTCGAGTTCGACAAGACAGGGAGACCAATAAAAACTTAAGGCTACACAAGGGTCTTAGGAAGCTACTTAAGAGGTTTAAAGACTTGACTCATTCTTCAGATAAAGGTCATACTGTTATGAATGACGCCAGTGTCAATCAACGGTTTAAAGAAGACATTATAATACTTAATGACTTTTCGCTGATTTCATTCGGGGAGAACCGCCAAGTACTCATGATGCATCGACTCATTCAATTGACAGTGCATATGTGGCTAAATTCTCATGGTGAATTAGAGCGGTGGAAGAAAAGATTCATTAATAATTTATATCACGAATTTCCAACTGGCGGTTATGAAAATTGGGAACGGTGCCAACCGCTCTTTCCACATGTTAAAGCAGCAATGTTACAGCGACCAGAATCAAGAGACTCCCTACGGCAATGGGCTTCACTGCTTTATAGAGGTGCTTGGTATAGTCAGGAAAGGGGGCATATCGCGGAATCAAAGGAAATGGCGCTTAAATCAAGAGAAGAACGGCTAGCAAGCTTTGGGGCGAGGGCTGAAGAGACTCTTGATAGCAGTGCGATGTTAGCAACAGTATATCGACTTGAGGGGATGTGGAAAGAGGCTGAGCAGCTCGAGGTGCAGGTGATGGAGACTCGCAAGACGAAGCTCGGCGCGGACCATCCCGACACGTTGACCAGTATGGCCAATCTTGCATCGACTTACCGGAATCAGGGCCGGTGGGAGGAGGCTGAGCAGCTCGAGGTGCAGGTGATGGAGATAAGCAAGACGAAGCTCGGCGCGGACCATCCCGACACGTTGACCAGTATGGCCAATCTTGCATCGACTTACCAGAGTCAGGGCCGGTGGGAGGAGGCTGAGCAGCTTAAGGTGCAGGTGATGGAGACGAGCAAGACGAAGCTCGGCGCGGACCATCCCGACACGTTGACCAGTATGGCCAACTTGGCGTTTACTTGGAAATCTTCAGGCCAGCATACCGACGCTATTGATTTACTCAAAGCTTGTGTTGTGAAGCAGCAACAAATCTTAGGTCTCTCTCATCCTAGGACTAAGTCGAATTCTAATACCCTGCTAGAATGGGAAACTGATGCGTTAGATATCGACACGTGATTAATTGAATCAAAATTTTTACCATCTCCGTTATAAGCGCCTATTTGTGTTTTATATATTTTTTAAGTTTGGCGTAGAAGCCTCTGCAACCGTACTGACTGGATCAGGCCCAGCGTATTTCCACAAAGATTTCAGACTCAATCTCTTTAAATTATAGAAGCTATTTTCGGATTAAGCGGTACACCGCTCGAAGGTGGTCAGTCTATATCTCAAAGCCAAAGCAATCCTTTGAGCTGACGAGAAGTTCTTATTATAGCGGCCTACTATTGGTAATTAGTAACAATTGCATCGTTTTTCTACCAATCATTTGATATCCTCGATTCAAATCGATAAAAAGGCTATATTACGGTGATTATAAGCTACATATTGAGGTGAAACCAGTTTTTCAGCGTTGGCGATTCACTATTTGCTAATATGATGTTATGTATAGATTGAATCACTATCATTCTGATGGCAAGTATTTTCTATCCGTTGTTTCACCCAAAGGCCAATATCGCGTATAAACTGCCGGGCAGGACCTATTTCACGCCATTTTTCACAAATTTTTTGGATCCTGGTCCTCATAAACCTCTGTAAGATCGAGCCGGTTGTCAAGTGTCACATCATGTGCTTCGATGATATTATCCCTAAAAGCCTCGTTGCTCACCCTTGCCAGCTGCCAGTCGGTATATTCTTCTATAGCTACATCAAGTAGTCCATGAACCAGGATTGGCTCGACACTACTGGCATTAGCTAACGTGGCATCGTTAGCGGATAAAGTAGGCACTAATAGTTGAGATGATCCGGGTGGAAGGAAATGAATGTCGATTGGATGACACGTCGAACCGATTAATGAGTTGTCCAGTTTTCTTCTTTTTTTCGAGTCGTTGGTTCTCCTCAGCATAGGGCTGCTCGCAAACACTGTCAGAAACATCATCATGGGTCTCAAGGGCCCCTACTTGCTCCACGTATTAGCGAGCGCCTTTAAGTGATGCGTCCTCACTCTGTGGTGTCTCTTCCCCTCCGGATCTTGCCAGCAATATTGTCCTTCATGGCGACATAAAGACCCAGGACATCGCATGACTCGATACACATCACGCCAAACTGATTGCTGGCCAGATGCTTGCTCAGCATAAATCTGCGCGTCTCGGTCGGCCAGCATACGCGTGGTGACCGACGACTTACCTCTTTTGTCTGTTCTAGAAGAAAGGGGCCCGCTATCCTCTATATAATTGATCGATATCTGAAGTCGGATCTTCTTACCACGACGATATAGATGAACCCATGCTGGTAGCTATTTCTATACTGCTGCCCATTCCACATTAGTATCTTCAAAGTATTTGTCAATGTCTCGTTGGGAGTTCACTGATAACACCATGTCTGTGTCATCTAGTCTCAGCCGTCGGCTACGGGCTGTCGTTCGTCGTAGGACATTACCAGAACCATCTTTAATCTGTTCACAGTAGAAGCTAGGCAGTCGAGTCAGGTCTTTTTTTGTATCCTTCACCGCAACTCGATTATTCAATCTGACTCTCCACTCGATTTGGTAGTGATTATAGTCAGGTGATTGTTCGTCCCATAAACTTCCATCCTCAATTCGACTAAAGGGTGAAATCCAGCATTTTTAGACTGATATCCATGCAAGGATGAGCGTACATCAATTACGCCCTCGACATCGGGCGAAAAGCATGTTACTGGTGGCGTGTGTTCTTGGTCTAGGTAGCCAGGGGTGGGGGCATGCGAAGGAGTTCGTTCCCATAGGTCAGGTAGTTCAGGTTGGTATGTATCACCAATATCGGAAGGAGTGTACGTCATTCCCCTGAGGCTGAAGATGCCGATAAGGAGTCTAGTAGCATCATCTGCTATTAGCTTCTGAGAGGGGGTATGGAGCGGGAGTAAAGGAGAGCTATGGCTGACAAACTAAGTGCTAAGATAAGCATTTTCATAAGGAGGTCTACAAGTAATCGGGGACGTAGCCACCCAGAGTCGCACTGAGAATTTAGATCAGGGCATCCAGAGGTCCATGTATCCTATTTAGGCCCAGACACTCTGTCACTCTCTGATTTGAAGGCTAGAATGATGTGTTCGTACTGGAACGCGTCCATCAGCAATAAATTGTATGAGTTTTGCTGTATGGATAGGTGGGGGTCATAATTGCAATTCAGCCTGTGGTCATTGGCGCAGATAGCAAAATGATGAAGCATGTGTGGGCTTAAGAAGAGCCAAGGAATTGAAATGCTCATCACTCATCTCAAGGATTATGAAGTATAAAATCCAGTGCACTAGTAAAAAAGAGTTGTTTTATTGATATTCCACGGAGAATAACCAGGCGTGTAAATATCTATCAGCTCTTATAGACTCTTGGAATGCAATGATAGCCCAAGGTTCACTCTCACTTCTAGCGAAGAGTGAGCATGTTATCTTGAAGAGAGTAATCTAGTAGCTTGCCTAGTATCTACAGCCCTGGCTCCTGGTGTCAAAATCATCATGGTCTCAGAGCAAAGAATATATCTACTTCTACTTTGGGACTGCCAAAAAAATGTGACCAATGGCAGTCGTAATTGCGGAGCTTCAACCTCTCTTATTCGCTATAGATTCCCCACTTGTATATTTAAGAAATAACGTGATCAGACAAATCTTCCCACTTATCTCCTCCAGGAATACTTAGTGGCTTGATGAAGTTGGGAGGTGATTGAAGGACGCAAAAAAGTGACGAATTGACAATTTCTAAAATTCGTGTAACGAACTTGAGATATATTGGGAAATGAGAGGGAAGAGGGTAGTGAGAGCTTCCAACCTGGAAGTTTTTATATTGACTTGCTACCTGGATAATTTGCTAAATAGTCGATGAATTTACAAACTATCGTAAAGGCTGGATGTATGAACAGCATCAATAATTCTAATTTCAGAGAAATTCGATTACAGAGAGATCAAAGTCACTTTGAGCTGTTTGTTTCAAAAGTCTCCATCCATCTTGCGCCTAATCGTTCAATCATCATCGCCATCAGATCCACTACTCCACCCATCCTCGTAGGCTTCCCGAAGCTCGCCGAGTCCATTAACCATGGCCTCTCGCTCATCAACAGCCAGCGTACGCGCAGCAGTAGACTCCAGAGCCTTGATTCTCTCAGCTGTCCGGGTGGATGCCGTCAATGCAGCCAGAATTCTTAATCCCTCGCCTGGCTCTGTCTTCGGATAGAGTTCATGCGGGAAACTGTCCAGAACAGGGAAGCGCAGTGATGTGTGATAGCTATAACAACCATGTATTATTATACAGATCAAATGGCAGTATTCAAGGATATAAAAGGACTTACCTCTGAAGCATCGATTGTGAGTTGTATAGTCGGAGTTTGCGAAGGTGTCCAATATCGTTTCCCTGTGACTCGCTGGAGGTTCCAAACTCGCCTCCACGATTTACCTGTACTTGGTTGAAGATGTGCACAGTCTTATTGTGTTCGCCACCATAGGTGAAGTCAATGTCAAATTCAGTTTCCGGCTTTGATGTCTGCTCGTCAGTTTGAGATTCCTCCTTGTCCTTTGGATTAATGGTAGATTGTAACTCGAAAATAGTATGTCTGCCATCATCACCAGCCAATGAGGACTCAAAATCATGGTACGGCCGCAAACGTGACGGCATAGTCACTGTCTCGACAGCGGAGCTCAAAAGAGCGGTCGTTTGCCATTGTGATTGACGATCTACTTGGAGATATCCGGGAAGTTTCTGGGGGATATCAATGACAGGCACATAGAGCGAGGACTGTGGTGCGATTGAATATAATGATTTCGCTTTGCTCGTGTCCTTTTTTAGCTGACGATGCTAGTAAAATAGGTCAGCAGTTCGAATCTCTCTCTGGGTGAAGGATGAAACATACCCGTTGCACCTTGGTCCCGTCTTCAATGGCCCAGACCCAAATACTCTTCTTTCCGTACTCATCACGCAGTCGATCAATATATCGCGATGAAAACCCACCCCATGCATCATCTGCTCCAGTAAAGATCTGCAAAGCTCGCATTTGATCACACTCTTCGGCAAAAGGCCTGACATCCCGATCAAGTAGGTCATGCTCCTTGTCGAGATCATTGAAGAGTTCTTCACCAATGTTCCAGTCCTCAAATGGCATGATCTGGGAATTGAGCTCATAATCATTGATTTGGACAATGGAACGAGGATGATAAAAGACTCGGTTGAAGTCCGACCAGTAGCGCACAGTCTCTGATGTCAATTTCGGGGCTGTGGTGCCTTGGTCTAAGCTTTTCTGATAATCACTCTGTGGAATCGGTACTTGTCTCTGTATCACTTCCAGACCATCCCTTGTTTAAAAGATTAGCATGCATATTTACCAATTAAAGTAGGGATCGCCTACCAGAGGCCCTGGTCTGCTGCCGATGTCTCAATTTCATAGAGTGCATTGTACTTGCGCAGAGTACCAAATCCACCTTTGAGGTCATAAAGGACTGTCCGGGGGGTATAGGTCTCAGATCCATCGGCACCCACTCCTGGTCGGAAATGAACATCATGGTCGATATGTGACTCTTCATTTTCGCTGTATGTGAAATATGATTCCTATCAATAGATGAGATATTGAAGTAACCCATGCTGCGAAAAGAACTGTACCTGGAGATTCCAGAAATGAGTTGCCAGGTAGTTAGCCCGCTGGCCAAACTGTAGTGTGACAATTTCATGCATCTTCTGATGATCTTCGCAGGAATCAGTCGACCTTGCTGTTGATGTATTTCTTGAGCACGAGTCCAATGGCGCACAGACGTGACCTGTCTATATCACGCTAAACCTGATTTGCATTTTGAGTGCATTTGACTCACACGTGACCTGAATAGCTCCCGGTGTCCAGGGCAACGGTCACGTGAGTAGTCCCAAGATGGCAATAAACAACGGTCTGTGTGCTGCGTCACTCCTTTAACTAAACCCAACTTGATTTTGTCTTGATCACACAATTTTTATCGACTTGTCATGTCCCCATGACACTTCGAAGTTTCTTGTCAACATAGCGATTCTCTCGACAGGATGGCGTCTCCAACGCGTTTGTTTTTTAGCCCTTCAAAGGCCTTACACTCGATTTCGCCAGAACGGATGAATCAACAAAGTGTGCCCGGAACGCCCACTCTACCCTCCGAACTCTTATCACTCCACCATAAAAGTACAAAAGGAGTCTCTGAGGTTCAAGCCAAGGTCGCATTTCTAAATCGACTGGCAAAGGGTGGTGCTAAAGGCGGCGACGCGGCTTCCCCCACAGCAACAAACAATGCCGCGCTTCAACGGGCCATCATCGGTCGCGAAGAGGCCGAGTCATGCTTGGAATCAGTTCAAACAGACCTTGCCGAATCACAGTCACGAGAACGACGTATCAGCGAACGACTCGACTCACTGATGGAAGAATTACACAGCGCCAAAGAGCGCCAAATCCAAGAACGGTCAATCTTCGAAAAAGAGATCCGAAAATCCCGCAAAGAAGCCTTCCGCGCAAGTTCCACGGTAGTCAAACTGCAGGAGGAGCTGAACAATGCGAAATCAGAAACCAGGTCCTTAAGAGATGATGTCGCGGCAGAGCGTCAGTCCAAAGAACGGGCGAAACAAGAATCTTTCGAACGCGCCTACACCATTGCCGGTCTTTCAGAAGAACTCGAGGATCTAAAGGGAAAACTGCGATCTATGGAAGCTGCCAATCACGCTAGTAGTCTACAAGTCAAGGCCCACCAGATGCGCGGCCAAAACGCCGGGCGGATCTCGATAAGCGAGGGTGATCTCGCGTTTCTTGCGACTCCACGACGACCGAAGCGAGCCGCCGAGGACGACTTCAGAACCCCTGCGTCAGAATATGAGTCTGCTGATGCCCATCAGGATACGCCGCCAAAGCGACAGCGTCTATCGGAGATTATGCCAGCTGCAGATATGGACATTGAAGTCACCAACGATCCTTCCGGTCTCAATTTTGAAGCCATGGAGGAACTACAAGATGAATTGGACATTGAACGTCGTCGGAGAGTTGACGCTGAGGAAATGATTACCTTCATGAACATTGAGTGCCAATTTAAACGGTGCTCTTGCCGAGTTGCCGAGCGTGAGGGTCGCCGTTACGTTTTCGACGCAGACTACTTTAACAACATTCAAAGGCCCCAATTGAACGCTGACACTCAGGCCCGAGTGAGAGCTGAGGTTGAAGCTAGAGCTCAAGCCCAGGCGGAAGCTGAGGCACGGGAGCAAGAAGACGCCAGAAGTCAAGCACAGGCCGAGGCTGATGCCCAAGAAATAGAAGATAGAGCCCGTGCACAAGCTGAAGCTGAAGCACGAGAGCGCTCAGAAGCTAGAGCTAAAGCTCAAGCGGAAACGGATGCACGAGAACACGCAGAAGCTAGAGCCCGCGCACAGGCGGAAGCCGAAGCACGGGAAAAAGCAGAAGCACAGGCAAGAGGTAAGGCTGAATCCCGGGCTCGTGCTGAGGCTCAAGCTAAGGCACAAGCACAGGTGCAAGCCGAGGAACGAGCGAAAGCCGCTCGAAAGGCCAGGACCTTGCAACTTGACATTCACTCAAGCCATACGCCCGAATTCGAACCCCCACCGCACCACAACCTTTTCCATAACCCTAGGGTCAAGCATGAACTAACAGCGCCACCCGAAGTGATGCTGATGCCTGAAGAGCCGTTAGTCACTTTCTCGCCAGAAACGGGCACCTTTAAGACCTTCCCTTCTCCTCTGAGGGACAATTTCTGGCCCCGACGCACCGAGGACATGTTTGGCAGCCCCGAATCACCCATCCCACCACCCCATGCCCTTAACCAATGGCAGAACCCAGAAACCGCAAATAATGAAGATATAGAGGAGTCATTTACTCCAAGTAGTAACTCTCGATCGTCTGGAATGGCCCAGATTATTTCCGACGACTCCTATGAATCAGACCAAAAGCAGGGCGAGATCTCTCCCGACTTCAACCCCTGCAGAGAAGATGTCGAAAAGAGCGCGTACCACTCTAAACCCTCCACTCAACCCTCAACCACTATGATGGCTCCTCTTCGCGAAGGCACCGTGTCAAAGCCCTCTTCTTCCATTGTCCCTGATGCGCCAATCAACCGCGAACAAGCCTTGGCCCAGATCAGAGCGCGACGTGGTCGTGCTCGCACCAATCGATCAGTGAGCGCGTATGAGCCAACTGGACGAAATGCCGCGCCTGCTGCAACCACAACCACGTCCACAACAGCTCGAGGCGGTCCTCGACGCATCCCAAATCTCCGCACAGACGCAAAAACCGAGAAAGATCGGCGAGACATAAGTGCTCCCGTTCGTATGTTCCGACGGTAAACTTCAATGTCGTGGTCTAGCTGGCCTGCGTATATGAATCTTATGTCGTGATGTTTTCTTCAGCCGGTTCTTGTCCTTTTCAAAATACCCTGGCGCTGGTTCGTCTTGTTCTTTTCACCTTTTATGCTCTCTTTTCATGTTCTTTTCTCATGATATAGCATTTCTATGTTATCTCTTCTCCTGGTATTGCACGCAATAGCTGTGCCGCTGGTCGATGTCATTTTCCCATTATGGCACTCAGAATGAACTTGCGCATTTTATTACTTTGATGATTTTATCCCGAGTCCTTTTACTCAATTTCAGCTTCGGCTTCACTCAATTATCTCTTTTGTCATATTTGTCCTCCTCTGTACATACACTGGTTTTATTACTCTACACTATGCCATGATGTTTCTTGAAATAGTCTTTTCTCTACCTAAAGAATGTTTGACTCCCCCTAAGATGAAGCAAACATCAAGAGACAGTGTATTATAAAAAATCTGCATCATGTACAATCATTGCTAGGAGATCAGAGAGCTCAACTGAAAAAAAACCCATAAATCGGGACACATCAAGAGGCCTGACTGTGTCCGAAAACAAACATAAAATGACATATAGAATGTAAATGATAAACAGATATTCTACAAGATTAGAAGGCCACAGCACCGAATACGGGCACTATCAACATACGCAGAACGTCCCCACCAAAGAGCAACCAGTTCCTGTACGAAAATTCGATCCGTGGCACTCCAAACGTCAAGTCCCATCTCTGACATGTCTGCGATGGTGATAGTCACTGGATTCTCAGCATCACCGGCAGACTGGACCGAGTTAGAGTCATGTTCGGTTGTATGCGTGGCATGTGATCTGTGGCGTAGGATGGGGGTATTTTCGTCGTCGAAGGCAATAGACTGACGTGAGTTGAAACGAGTAAAGTCAGTGTCATCATCGGCTTCGTCGTTGAACGGTGCATCACTGTATTCCATAGTGCCTTCCTGGTCTGGATTGTCGGCGTCGTGACGTGCAATCGCACCGGCGAGAGTAAAGAATATCTGGGTGGTGAGGCGGCGGAAGTAGGCTACCAGCGCGATTTCCATTGGTTCGTGGGCGATATTTTGAGAGTTAAGGGGTTGACGGCTTGTTGAGTTAGGGTTTGGGTATGCAAGACTTTCCACGCTTGCCAGAAGTCGGGCGTCTTGTTCGGTTTGTTGCTCCTCTTCTTCTTCCGTTAGGCCATCGCGGTGCTCGCCCGCGGATGCCCACCAAATGAAGGACGTATAAGCTAGCCTGGTCCAAGAGAGAGGTTCTACAACTAAATTCGATGAGTAGGTTGATCTAGTATCGGATCCATCATCTTCTGTGTCTGGGGTCGATCTTTCGGAGGAGAATTGTCGGAGGCCTTGGCGAAGCATAGTGTAGCGGCGGGCATCTCGCTGCGTTGCCTTCACTTGAATGGTTTGATTCACGTTTTTCTTGGTGTTTGAATGGTCCATCAGGCTTATTTTAGGGAATACTCGTTCAGCGGCATGTTCGGAGTGCGGTGGAGGGAGAGCGACGAGTGTGTCGTAAAGCTCAGGCTTCATGCTCAAGACACTATCTGTTGTGCACGCAATCCAGCTAGGGTCATTCTCAGGAATCAATACGTCTCTAGAAGGATCAAAGGACGAGAGGTAAGGAATATCATGGATGCCGATATTGAAAAGTGGACGGGGGCGCAGTGGCGGAATGCCGTCAACTGGAAGGACCTGCAGCAGAGAATTTGGGAGGGATGCCAACAGGGATAGATCATAGACTTTGACTCAGGTCAATAGCGATCAAATATCAGATGTCAAAAAGAACATACCAAAGTTGCACGGCATATGCACTGGTGCTTCGTTCATGAAAAGAATTCGTTTACGCAACAGCGCTGCTCTGTATAACGGGAAAACCAATGGTCCAAAGGAATCGATGAAATCAGGAAGTGAAGAAGCCGGATGGAACGGTGTCAGGGCCGGCCTGGCCGTTTCCAACATCATCGTATCAGTTGAAGCGCGGGTTCGAGGATTTGACAGGTCGGGTCCGAATCGGAGGCTCAAAGGGGAATCAAGAGGCGACTCAGGGTCGGCAGATTCAGTGCCTTCGATTCGACATGATTGCCAATAATCAGATAATGGCTGTGTTTCTGCCATATTGCCCGCATACTTCCTGTTTGATGAAGGGTGTTAGCCGAGTGCATCGGTTGAAGACTAAGATAACACATACAATGTCAACTCCTTCAATCTTGAGGCGTGGAGCCAGCTCTTCCCAAGTCTTCCAGATGTTAATGGGACTAAAACTCCAATCGCAAACATATTAGCATTGCGCTCCGCTTCTGTTGCTGGTTGGTTAAGGAACGCGCTAATTCCTGCATATTGTTCGTGTACGAAGTACCTGGAAGCAGTGGAATCTGATTAGTATCATTCAAGAAAGCTCCGAAGGAGAAAGAGAAGTCTTACACCAGGTCTTCCGTCACGTTGTGTAGTCCAGATGGTAAGGACTTGTATTCGACCACCCCTTCAATTTCAACTATGCAGAATCCATGTCAGTAACTGCATTGCCTGACAAGCCACATATTTGACATGTCACCTACCTCCTGGAGCGGTTTCTTTCCACGAAATCACATAACTAAAATTCTATCGGCATCAGCGTATTGCCCCTCCTTGCCAGCTTCTTAGCACGTACCCAGCTCTGATGTCAAAGCGAATGACGAACAATGCGTCAATGCCTGGGGGAGAGTCCATTGTAGAATGGCGCGAAACGTCGATAGCCCGAGGCTTCCTAGACGCATCGGATGCCATGGTGGATGCCATGGTGGGGGAAGGATAACGATCGACGTGACGCCATCTAAGGAACCTGAACTACGTAGTCGGGCAATCACGGTTGAGATGAGGTGCTACAAAGTACGGCACCGCGGTTACATTTGTTTGGCGCCTGAGGCAGAAACTGATCTATCTTCACATGTCATCCTGTTCTGACAATTTGTGTGGTTATATCCTCTGAATCAGCTTAGGTAACTCTTCATATATCAACTCGAGAGTACTTTTGGTACCTACACAGGTTGGTTTTTCTCGTCAACTGGTGGATATTAGTAGCATATAATCCAAGTGGCTGTTTCTTATGCCAAAAACGAAACATCAGATTTTGAGGGCTTGGAAAATTAGCCCTATATTGATAGTTAGATCGCGATTTACGATGTCAACATCCATAATTACTGTGTATATCATCTTATTAAAAACATTCCACAAAATAATTTCTTCTGGGCAGCGTCATGCCTCGCGCCCATTGGCCCATCAAGATCCCTTTAGATCCACCATATTGCTGCACTCAGAACAACATGGATCGATTTAATTGAGCATTACAAGATCCCCTAACCGAAGGTATCAAAAGTTGATGTCTCGAGAGCCAATTGATGGTCATCTCCCTGCAACAAAATCAAGCTTTTGAGATCTAACTCATCACTTTACCATGTCTGCATCAACTTCCCACCCCTACTACCCACTCGGGGCCAAAATTGTTGGCTATACGCCTAACCAAACCCCATTGCTTGAGTTGCTTGTCTCTGCGGGTGGCGGGTGTGCAGTCCTGCTCGGATTGACGTTCTCCGTGGTCAGCTATGTGCGACCAACTCTGCGCATGGCGGATCGGATCGCTATCCTGTGGTTTGTGCTCTGTATGACCTTTCCCAGTCCATTAAAGAATCTAGGAAAACCTCCAAACTAACAGGTATCCAACGCAAAGCTGGGACTCTCCATTGTTTCTTCGAAGGCTACTTTATGATCAATCATAACCAAATGGCCTCGGCCCAAGACCTATTTGGGCAGCTATGGAAAGAATATGCACTGTCGGACTCCCGATACATGACCTCAGACACCTTGGTGCTCTGCATGGAAACCATGACAGTTGTAAGTGGACCAGCCACCAGCATTGACCCCAAAACCGGCTGACCCAAGTAGCTACTGTGGGGGCCTCTTTGCTTCTTGACGGCGTATCTCACCTCTAAGAAACACTCGCTGCGTCACCCGATTCAGTTAATTGTATGCATGAGCCATCTTTACGGTGATACACTTTACTATGCCACTAGTCTTTTCGATGACTTTCATGGAGTCCCATATTGTCGACCAGAACCATACTATTTCTGGCTATACTACTTTATGATGAACTTAATCTGGATTATCGTGCCACTTTGTGAGTTCACAGGTGATCAATGTATTTTCCCATATGAAACGTGGCTAACCTAGTACCAGACTATTTATGCGATAGCGTCTCACTCATTTCGGCTGCTATGAGGGGCCAAGAAGGGTCGAGCGGGAGGCGCAAAACCCAGTAGCGACTCTTCCGTCATTACCGTGCTACTAATGTATAACAATGTACCTTAGCTATTTAACTATTTAAATGGAGTATAACCAGTAGTTGAAAATTGATGAATATCTCAGACTGTGTTTCTACGAAACTTGTACATAATGCTTGTTTCGGAAGTGAGGTCGAGGGGGCTGGGGATAAGAAGCATAGACACATCAGCCTCTTAAATGCTTCTAAAAAGACCCCTAAAGGATTGGGATTTCAACCAGGATTAACCTAGGTGTTTAGGAAGTCGGTGTACAAAAGTACAGTAGGAAAATCAAGGCCAAGTCTTTCCAAGGCTAGAAGATACCTAGGTCCTATATAGGTCGTGATAACCTTGGAACCCTAGTACAATAAGTGGACCACCAGGTCATGGCAGGTACAGGAGACATTTACCTGCACAAATAATTCAAGGCCATCCTTCTCCCAATTCTTCGAGACTCTGGCTGTGGAATTTCTCCCCTTCATTCTTCGCCGTTTAAAGGTGATCTCTGGCGATGCCAAGAGCATCCAGACTCGTGCAGCCCCGAGCAGACCTGAAGACGATCAGTGCAGGCATGAGATGACAAAAGCAGTCTGACCTTTAAAATCACACGCGCATGGTGAGTGATGAGACCATTTGATCCTCACAAGCGCGGGTTGATTACGGAGTCGATCGGTTTCCCCGGCAGCCGAATTTAGCGTTGAGACTCTTATCGTTAGCTCACCGCGCCTAATCGCCTTGTTTACAACAATCCCGACATCTCGACAAAAAGCAAATGCTGCGCTTCAGTCGCTTCTAACCACATTTAGCTCTGTGGCGTTTGGTAGGTCTATGTGGGTCGTAAATATTGAATGCGTTCGCTGACTTGGCTCTGTTTATCTTTGACAACAGGCATTCGATGTCGCCTCCAGTGACGCCGCAACGTCCCTCCAAGGCGGGGGGAGATACACAATCACCGACTAGAATCTTGGCTATTGGGAAACCCCTAGCAGTCCATGACACCAACACAGTTCGTGCGCGGGTGCGAAACTGGCAACAACAAGGCGGAGGAGTGATCACGGTCAACGATGGGGTATGCGACGAAGAGAGCGGGGATGTCATAGAGGAGATCACGCCCAAAGCAAAGCCCAAACCGAAGGTCAGGGTTGAGAAAACAAAGTTCGGCGTTCCGGTTCAAGTCAGGAAACGCAGCAACAGCACACCGAAGAAACGAGTCATCAGCGATGAACACTGGAGAAAGAATAGATCTAACACACACATGACTACTCGCAACCTACCAATGCCGAAGCGCATCAACGAGTACACTACGAACGAAGGATCGCCGCGAAGAAAGAGACACGACAAAAATGATCTTTCTCCTCCCCGATCCAGCGAAGGTGGTAGTTCTAGATCTTCCGCTCGGGATGTGACGGAGATCATCACGATTATCCGAAAACCCGAGTCTGTGGCCGATAGCGACTTGCTGACAGACCTGTCAAAGGTCCCGGACAATATGAAAAGACGGTCACCACCTCCCGAAGATATCGACTGGACAAAAAGTGAGGCAGACTTCTCAGAGCTGTCGCGGAGACGTGCCCGAGGTCCTGCGAAACAGCCGCCCAAGAGTGGCATTTTTGCACACGTGCTGGATGAATCGAGGAAGATGTTTACTCGACCTGAAGCTGAGCCACCTAAACCCCAGCCGACCCAACCGTCAGGTCACAAGGTCGAGTCATGGCTATCAGAGACATCAGATCCCTTTGTGGATCATGATACTAAGAGTGTTATGCCTGTCCCCCTCGACATCAAGTCAGCAAAGGCCAGGCGATCCAGGAGATTAGCCGATGAGGAGACAACGAGCTCTATTGTTTCAGACTCCGAATCCCGTCCTAGTCGCTCCCACAGCCGAAAATCTAAATCTAGGTCGCCCAAAGAAAAGTCCCGCAAGTCTTCAGACTCAAAACCGACTCGAGCAGACACGGGCAAGAAATCACCCAAGTCCGCCGCTGCTAAAACCTCACACGACAAATTATACGAAGAAAGCATTGCAACTTCTGACGGCTCCGAAGTCTCCGGAAACAATGCGCCGGTGCCACTCGGCATCAAACGACCATTCCCTAGCACTGGCTACCATCGACTCTCGACCATCGTCTCCATAGAAACTCTCAGCTCTCATCAAGGGACTACATTATCTGCCGCCGATAATATCGTTACCGTGGAGCCGGGTCAAATTGACGAAGAAGCTGCGGAAGGAGAGGATCAGTTTGATCCTAATTCTCTCCCTGCAGTCTCGTCGCAGTTGAAAAGACGGCTCACTACTCACAAGGACTTGATGTCTGTTTTGTCAGTTCCTGCTTCAAGAAGTCGAAGCATTCGGTCCAATCGAAGCACTCGTAGCAACAAAAGTCGCCTAGCAAACGCAACGGTTGCGGACATTCTGAGTGAGCTCGTCTTAGACGAGGCAAAATATATGCGTGAGCTCAAAACACTCGTTGGCGGAGTGATCCCCGTACTTTTGACATGCGTTCTCTCTCGTTCCGACTCAGCTATTGCAGCAGGCTTGTTTAATCCTTCGCTGGATCCGAAGGATGACTTGAACTTCTCAAAGCCAATTGTCAATATGGGAGTGGCCATAGAGCGCCTCAAGGCACTGCACAAGAGAATTCCACAAAATAATGCGGATGCCCTACTTACATGGGCGCATGGCGCCCAGAGAGTTTATCGTGAATACCTCAAAGCTTGGAGACTAGGGTTCAAGGATGTCATAGTGAATCTTGCTCCCTTAGAAGAGGACCAGGCCAACAACGCTGATACAAAGAGCCTGGACGAGGGCATGGAGAGGGATCAGAATGGTGATGTGATTGACAGTGATGGCGAGAAAGTGGATGTCGCATACCTACTCAAACGACCTCTCGTACGACTAAAATATCTCTCGAAGAGTTTCAAGGGTATCAATATGCTTCAACCTTCGACAAAGGCCGAAGAGATCTCCAACTCCTACCAAGATCTTGTGATCGAGGCACGAAAACGAGCCCGAGATGAACGAGCAAGACTAGAAGATGAATCCGCTGCCAGTATTGACTCGACTCGCGCTAGGGATCCAATGACGCTGGGTGTTCTTCGAGACGTTAAAGTTGACCGCACTCGACGAGTCCGGGCTCGTGATTTCTTCAATTTATCTCTATATCACTCAAGCGGCCAATTGGTCGACTGCCGTGCTGAGCTGCTGTACAGAGACAATGCATCAGGCAATGGACCTGGCGGTGACTTGATGATCTGTGAGATCGATCATGCAGACCGATGGTTGCTTTTCCCACCTATTGATGTTCGATGTGTTTCGGCCCGTAATGGCGACAGCAAAGGAGAAATAGTTATCATGCTGCGCAGTGCCCCTGAAGATGAGAAATATTGGCAAGAGTTGATCTCACTGCGCATCGATGATTTTGATATTGGCGTCGAATGGGTTCAGTTGCTGGGCTCTGACCCTAACCCACCGACTCTATGCCGAAGCCAGAGCTTCATCAGCAGAGCCAAGCAACACAGATCTCGCAGATCTATTGATTCTCCCCCAAGAGTGCTCCCCATTGATGTTGATATTCCGATTGGAGAAAGACGACTCTCTTTAGGTTCCAAAGAACACTATTCTGAGTCAAGCACCGTGAGCTCATCTGCCACTGAGACTAGAAGCTCCCTGTACTCTACAGCTACCCGGGAAACAGACTATACTACAGGCAGCTCCGATATTTACGAGAAACAGAGCCGCACAGGCTTGTCTTCTTTGCCGTCTATCGCTACTCCAGAAAAGACAAGTGGGCTAAAACGATCCAAAGCCAAAAGAATATCGCGCTATGGGGAAAGTCCGTCTTCAGATCCCGCAACTCCGAAGCCTCTTGTCATAGAGAAGGAAAATGAGGATCTGCCTTCCGGTAGATTCTATGGCGAAGAAAGCGATTCTGGGCAGGACAGCTCCTATAGACCGAAGACACCTCAAAAGACACCCCAAACACCCCAACAACATGAATACCATGAGCCCGAGTCTCCACGGGTTTCAACGACGCCCTCGGCACGTCTCCCCCTCATTCCCAAGATTCGGAGTTCCAGTAGCCAAACGCATATTTCGGCACTGACCAGCAATGTAACTGACGAGGAAGAATATCCTCCCCTTAAATGTCTGCCGGAGCCAGAACCTGAGACTCGCAGATCAAGAAGAAGAAAGTCTCGCCGAAAGTCTGGAAAAGAGGATGCTCCTCCGCCACCTCCGCATCGCTTGCCCAGCTCTGGAGCCGGAAAACTATCAAACTCCAACACTCCAGTGCTTAGCCCATCCGGTCTTCGGCTTAAGCGACGTGGTTCATCCCCCCTCAAACACGAATATGAACCTTCCACAGCTTCTGATTCTTATTCAGAATCAGACTCGGATGCTTCAACTGTCCGCCACTACACGTACTCCTCATCCGAATACTCACGATCCGAATTTGATTCGGACGAATCTTACTCTTCGGCTTCTGACGATGATTTGGACCTTCCCAAACCCAGGCCATTCGCGGCCGCCTCATCCGATGCAAGTTCGCTGTCACCTTCCAACTCTGCCTCACAGGGTGGTTATCGAACTGTTCCGCTCCAACCTACCAAGTCATCGACCGCAATTGCATCACTCTTCGCTTGGTCAGACAAGGGGACCTGGGATAGCCTGCTCCCGGATGAATGCAGCATATCTATCAGCCCCGGTCTTATCGAAGCTTTCCAGCTGAACGCCGATTCTAACAAAGCGTCACCGCGTTCATCGAGGCCCCTCATATCAATGGAGCTCACACCACTCGTTCCCATCCGCCGGGGTACTGCCATTGACATCAGTATCCGATCGCCCCCCACTTCGCGGTCCACAATTATGACGAACAACAATATAATGTTCCGGTCTCGCAATCCTGATGAGTGTGACACTCTTTACAGCCTCATCAACCAAGCTCGCATCAACAATCCAACCTACATTGCCCTTCAAAACGCTCGAGGTTCCTTCAAAGAAACTCAGCTTCCAGCATTCGAACCTGCCACCAAATCTGGAGGCAGCTGGTTTGGTTTCCCGCGCCGTCGGAAGAGCTACCGCGCATCCAGCTCTCCACGCTCCCTCGCCGATGGATCAGAGAGTAGTGTCGGGAGTGTGAGCACAGCCTTTTCCGCCTTGAAGCGCTTTGGTGGTGCCAGTAAGATGTTTAATATATCCCGCTCAACAGTGACTTCCCGTGCTGGCCGCGCAGAAAGCATATACTCTGGCGAGGACGATGCCTCCCATCCCCCATCTCCACCTACACGCATTGGTGGGATTGCAGATATCAAGGGTGCCGATGGAATTGGCCTGTCCAACTCCAAAATCCGCATATACCTACGTGAATCTGCCTCCAAGTGGCGTGACATGGGCGCTGCCCGTCTAACTATCATGCCTGCACCGTCTTCTCAAACCTCCTCGCGCCCCGGCACCGCTGTGAGCGGCCGAAGCAGCAGTAGTGGCCACGGTGACTTAAGTGGCACATCCCCTCCTAGCTCAGGCGCAGCCACCCCAGGATCCGAGAAGCGTATCATAATCCGCGGCAAGACGCGCGGTGAAGTCCTTCTTGACGCGTGTCTTCCCGAAAGCCGATTTGAACGAGTCGCACGTACTGGAATCGCTGTATCCGTGCATGAAGAGAACAACGAAGGTGGCTCTCCTGCCAAGAAGGAGGGTGGAGTCACCACCAGCTGTCAACGGATCTACATGATCCAAATGAAGAGTGAGGTTGAGGCCGCTTATACCTTCGGTCTTGTGGGCAAACAACGGTACTAAGCCTGTGGGGTTCAATCTTGGAGTATTCCATTCTTTTTAACGTTTCTTTTTATATCTTGTGCTGATAGACTTTTTGGACGTTTGATTGTTCTCTGGATTTTGGTCATGTTTCTTCAAATCAAGGTCTTCTTGTGTTTATACCTTTTTCTATCCAAGCACATAGCATAGTATACATCTAATTCATTAATTAAACTGATAAAGTGTTATCCCATGAATGATAAATACTTTAAAAATCAATGGAAACCCTTAGAACTGCCACTATCCGATTCATCTTGGACAAGATGTTGATTGACCGTCTAATTAGGTACCTTCAAGGCTAGCTACTTCGGTTTTTACTCTCGAGGTATCACATCCACTCTTCTCTCTCACACTTTTCAGTGCTCGACACATATCCATTTTAGATTATCAAGTGTTCCACGTAGCTTACACAGGTACCAAATATATTCTACTGATAAAGTAATGTGATTCTATACTATCTAGATACCTTTGTATAGACATGGATACATTCCTTCTCAGCCCAGCTCTGATATTTCCGTCTTGGACCACCAAAATTCCGTCTCCTTTATTGCCCACTCATCTTTCACAAATTTGGCCGCAGGAGCTGGATGACCGCCAATCAACTCCTCATTCCCTTGACCAAATACCATAATGTGCGGATTATCCGCCACATAATGACCCCACTTAGGACGCTCGCTATAGCGGCCTGCTAGAGTATTCGGATCACCTGTACAAATGAAGCTGCATATATAACTATGCAAAGTCTCAGCCAGCTCTTTCTGCGACTCTGACACTTGAATGATTTCCTTATTCATAGTCTCATAGTTCTTGTTGTCGCCGTGGTTTGCTCGTCCTACAACTGTTTTAGGAAGAGCCCAGTTGTACAGATAAACTCTTACTTCCGGGGACGCGAACAGGGCGGATTGCCTAACTGGTGCAATGTAGGCGTAGTGTGCATATGCCGCTTCGATTCTTTTAAATTGAGGTCCCAGGCCATATCCTTCTCTTGTCTCGACATAGGGAGAATCTGAATTGATTCTAGGGTCTGGATAGAGCCTGTCGATGGTATCTAGGTCTGAAGACGACAGTTCCGGAAGCAGTTCACTCCAGAATAAGCGGAATTGTTCTGGTTTGGACATTTTCTTATCCACATACATCGTTCCCTCGTTGCTGCAGAATCCTGTCACAATTGGGACTTTGTGCCAGTGCCCAGCCTTCCATGCATCCAGTGGCGCGCGAGATATGATATCGCCGTCAATCACTGGCTGGAAAGCCCACCGGAGGGAAGGATTATATTTGTCGAATATCTTAGTCTGGGCCGTGGTAACTGTGGAACTTGGCAACGAGCGGAGAAAAGGGAAAATCTCCGACTCGGGAAGATCTGATGGAAAATTGACTTCTTTGAGGAAGTCTTGGAACTGTTGTTCGTGAATCTTCGCATCGTAGGGACGAACGGCCCTTGAAGTCGGAGATCCAGACTCCAGTATAACGCGATCGAACAAAGGCTTGACGTCCTCACTATAGTTCAGAAGATGATGACCAATCTATTGATATCGAATGTTAAAACAGGATAATACTTGGTTATCTACAATATCTTACCGAGTGACCTCCAGCAGATAGCCCAAATAGAGTGACGTTCGCAGGATTACCTCCGAAGTGGCTGATATTTTCTTGAACCCATTCAAGAAGGTGCACCTGGTCACGTAAGCCAAGATTGAGAATTCCCTCCTTCTTCGCCAAGCTCGAAGGCAGGAATCCCAAGGCTCCGACACGGTATCCAAAGCTAACACCAATAAACGGAAGCTCGGACCAAGCCACCATCGATGCAGTATTGTGACCTCTAGCTGATCCGCGATTGAAAGCCCCGCCGTGGATATAAACGGCGACAGGAAGTTTTTCTTTGAGTTCATGTCCAGTAGGCCGAAATACATTCACGGTCAAGCAATCTTCACTCTGTTCAGCAGCCGGCCCTTCCACGACAAAAACTTTGCCTGGGGCAATTGGGCCGAACTTCGATGCATCAATTGTCTCCTTGGACAGATGGACTTTCTCTGCTGGTCTGAATCGCCTGTCTCCGGTGGGTGGGAGGGCATATGGGATCCCTAAGAAAGCTTCCACGGGATGTGGAGATGTTGTCTCCAGGTGGGTTCCAACTACATGACCTTGGGGAAGTATAACAGAAGGGGGATCCATTTCGAAAGCCGCTATGAATAGTAAACTGATTGCGATGTAATGCTTAAGAGTTCAAGTGTCGCGGGATGCTTTTAAGTGGTTCTCTTCGGTGAAATTCCGTGTGTGGGCCAAGATTGAAATGACACCATAGTAGTTGGTAGATGTCTTATCGCAGAACGGTAATCACCTAACATCAGCTGGTATTGCGGAAGCTCCGATAAAATCGGTACTTTTTTATATCTCTAGTGAGAGTACAAAGTTGGGGGTCTTGCTTGCAGAGATTATGAAGATAACAGACAACAGCCTTCAATACCCCGTCATCTTTGTTTAATCTAATAGAAATCATGTTTCAGTTCTTCATCTCATTTTATACAACATTCAAAGCCCTAGTTATGGATATTGAGACCAGAAAGTCACATATCACGAATACAACCGAGGATACAGATATTGGTATCATCGGCCTACTTAGCCATACTCGACTCGCTTCCAGTCGACCTGGAAGAACGGTGTGATCAATCACAAAATCAAATTGTATCAAATTTGGGAGGCTATCATTGACCCTCAAGTCTAGATATTATTCTTTTTCACTGTTCTCAACAAGATTATCAATGGAGGCGTCACTAGTTTCGGCAAGCTGATCATCAAAGGCTTGACCCACGATGCCTTTGTCTGTTCCCTGGTACTGGCTATCCAGATGCCCACAACCATGGCTAGCTATACTAAGCGCAGTACAAATGCTGCTTTGGTGTTTTTGGCAGTCTGCGTGCGGATTCTTCTAATGCGTCAAAACAGGTAGCGAGACTTAGCTGTTGATGGAGCTGTCGACCCAGACTCACATACTGATGATTCAGCCGATCTAACCGATTTTGAAGTAAGCAATAATCTAGCGAAGACACCCATGGTCTTGAAATCATATTCTGACCTTCTCATAATCCACATTTCCGATGTGTACTTTGAATGCAATACAAGACTGGGGTAATGTAGGATTGTCTAAATAGGTAATTTTTTATTTTTATCCGGCCATTGGTCTTCAGCTCAAGCCTATCGAACCAACACAAAAGGTTAGGAGATATGAAATAGCTGGGTAAAAAATGCTTAACGCTATATATTTCTGTAATCTTATCATTCCATGGTATGTTTATTTGATGTATATAGTGGGGTTTGGCCGACGTCGGGATGAACTCCAACTCCCACGAATCTACCTTCCTGGCGTATATTCGCTTTCTTCTACTTAAGAACTGAACTACCACAATTTGAAATCAGATTTCTCAAGCTACTCCTTCTGATATCCCTAGGGTCTTGACCAATATAAATATGTCTATCTTACCTCCCTTTCAAGCTCAGGATATCCAGATTCAGCCCATATCCTGCGTGGAGATGCACACAGCCGGCGAACCGACCAGGATTATCTGGTCTGGCTTCCCAGACCTAACTGGAACATTAGTCAAACAACGAGACCAAGCAAAGGCAAAGCACGACCAGTTTCGTCGCCTGCTATTGCTAGAACCCCGCGGTCACTACGACATGTACGGTGCCATTCTCCGCCCCAAGACAGAACTCGTAAATGCTGGCAAAGCAGATATGGGCGTTTTGTTCTTGACAAATGCGGGTTTCTCGATGATGTGCGGGCATGCGACTATTGCTATGGGCCGGTTCCTCGTCGATACAGACGACGAAAGTATCTTTTCACGTCGGCGCCAGCTGGAATATGATACCGATTCTGGCACAACTCGTCTCAATTTACATGTGCCATGTGGGATTGTCGAGGTGACTGTTCCCACCCTTCCGACGGGCAAGTCTGATCCATCTCGACCTGTCACGTTTGTCTCTGTCCCGTCATTTGCAACGGCTCTCTCTTTAGAAGTTCCACTGCCGGAAACACACCGGTGGCCAGAACTTCAAGGTCGAGCCTCTGTTACGGCTGATTTCTCGTATGGTGGGACTTACTATTGTTTAATTAGCACTGAGGAGCTAGGATTCCCCAAAGGTTTGGGCGAGGTCGAGCTACAGAAGATGGATAACGCAACAAGGCTATTGAAAGATGCCGTGATAAAAAACGCGGCATTGGAGTACGTCTTTCGGCATCCTGAAACTGGAGATTTGGGCTTCTTGTATAGTGTCATGATCACAGATAGTCGTCTTGGCCATGTTGCTACGGCAGTAGATACTCCATCATTCAGAGCACAGCGGGAGTCTAAACTTGAGGAGACAGGCCTCTGTTTCTTTGCAAACCAGCAGGTCGACCGATCTCCAACTGGAGGGTGTGTTGCTGCGCGGATAGCTCTTGCGCACGCAAAAGGTGCTTTGAATTTAGGTGAAAAAAGGCTTTATAATTCGTTGATTACTCGCCGTTATCCGGCTCTTTCAGGCTTCTTGGGGTCTGTGTTTGATACTGCTGAAGATAAGCGGTCGGTAAGAGTCCAGGTGGAGGGCTATGCATTTTACACAGGATACCATTCTTTTGTCGTTGAAAAGGAGGACGGTCTTGGGGTGGATGGGTTCTTGCTGAAGTGATCAATCATTGAAAAGATCCAGGTCGTGGATATCCTGAGGTCTTATGTGAATGAACTTACTGCTGGTCTGAAAATTAGAAGATTTACCTACACAACCATCAATATAAGTGGCCATAATTGTATTCATTGATACAGTGATCATTAGCGGCCTCTAAACAGACAGACGTGTGACCCTATATATCAAATGAGGGAATGGCTGTTGCGCGAAACCATTCTAAATCCAGAAGCAGTTTATCCTCCAGGAGTCTGAGCATAAAGTTTCCCAACACCTCGCCTTGGTGAGAATTGTGGGGCTTGGATGTTATTTGTGAGGATTGGGAAGATGTCTCATCTGTCAATTCCCTCATTGTTCGTCGGCTTAGGAACTTTCTCACCGGCATCCCCTTTGTGTAGTTCGATATAAGCGTTGATGTGAGCGTTGCCTTGTGCTGCCTTCAATGAAAAGGCATATTTTGCTGTGCTAGCTTTGTTCAAGTCTGACAGCGGTCTGTCGGGCCAACAGCGCCTATTTTCATGACTCAAAGCACGCCACAGACTATAAGTACTTATATAGGAAAGTAGAAGTCCCGAAGATCGGTGACCTACTTCTGGTATTCAGTCTTGGCCAGTGCTTTCGCGGTAATGGCTATGATCACATAGTTCAAGTTTTGAAGGCCCAGCTGGTGTTGTTTTGCTGGACCTGGTTTAGTGGTATTTAACGGAGCTATAGTCATCCTGATGCAAGATGACAGAGACGTTAATTTTTGTTGCTTTGGTATGGGACCAAATTTGGCAGGTTCATCGTGTGCGTGCGCTCTTTGACTCTTGACTTCAAGATAGTGGCATAGTGGGCAGCAAGAATAGGGTAGTAAAAGAGGAAGATCCCCTATATACCCTTATGTTTCATCAGACATGTCCTTCAGCTTCATGATGAAGGAGTGATGTGTAAGGAAGAAAGAATATCATGAGAGAAGCACCTTCATATACCATTAGGTTTCTTCCAGATTTCACGTGCGTCCTTGTGAAAGTGAAGTGAAAGTACATCACGGAGCGTGTTTCTGCCGTTGATGTAAAGGAGTCAAAGCTCAGGCATATTTAGATGAAATCAATTTACTTAGATGTGAAAGTGAAAGTGAGGGTAAAAATGAAAACGATGAAATTGACACAATTATAGTATATCCAGACAATAGGCGTAGAAAAAGTTGAAAAAGTAGGTCATAAAAAAATCCGTTGCATGATCTTGAAGAAAAACTGAAAAGTATTGTACATCATATAGTAATGGGGATGGACAAGGTCTTTAACAAAAAATCTAGGGGTAATTTCTATAATTCTACTGAATTTACAGAACGAGTCCTCTATTTGGGGATCTCAATTCCGGCGGAGGCACCCAATAGACGCTTGATGTCACCGTAGATGGCGAACTGTCCAGCAGTGATACCACCGACCATGACGAGACGGGCACCAATACCAGAGAAGGAGCCACGGAGGCCAAGCTCCTTACCAATGGAGATCAGACGGGAGACAATACCCTGGCCGGGGAGACCCTGGGTCTTGTTGATCTTGGAGAGCATGGTGTCGGCAGGCTGGGAGACGGCGGCAGCGGCAAGACCGGCAGCGAGACCGGAACCCAGGTTGATAGCAGTGTTGGTAGAGTTGCTGACGTTGGCCTTGTCAACCTTGGTGTAGACGAAGTCAACGACCTTCTCGTAGACGACGAACTTGGTCATGGTGTAGGGGACCCTAGTGAGAATGTGAGAAAAGAAGAAATTGACATGTGATATCCAGATAATGGGATACTTACTGCTTGAAGAGAATGGGAGCGAAACCAGAGTAGAGAGCACCGAGACCCTCCTGGGAGAGGATCTTGGAGAAACCACTGACAAGACCGGAAGCGAAGGTAGGCTGGGAGACGAGACGGATACGGGTAGCCTCAAGAGGGCAAAGGGCAATGTCGGCGAAGAACTCGGCAATACCGGCAGAGGCGAGGTAGACAGCAGTGCGGTTGTTACGGGCATTCTCAGCACCGATGAGGTTGATGGACTGCTGCTTGAAGAACTCGTAACCTCCGAACTTCAGACCACCCTGGAGGAAGTAACCAGCAGCAGTAGGACCGAAACCAGTGAGGAGAGCACCAGCACCCTCGTTGCGGACAACCTGGCCGATACCACCGAACAGACCGCGGTTGTAGGTAACGGGGTCGAGCTGCATACGGGTCTTGACGCTAGAAAAGAAGAGCACATTAGGAAAACCCCATTGCCATGTAATCGTGGTGAAGACTTACACATCAAGAGGAGTGGCAGCACCGTGAGTGATGGCACAGCACATGGCACCAGCGAAGGCAAAGCGACCATAGAGCGCAAGGCCTATTTCAACGTGTTAGGAATTATAAGGAATACCATGGAAGTGATTGGGGATGTACCGGTGGGAGCCTCAGAGGGCTTGGTGACAGAAACAGCAGCCATTGTGAAGAATATTAACCGCGATGAAGGGGAGAAGGGACTGAAGCTTGAGGAGAGAAAGAGGAAAGGAGGGAAAGAATTGAACGGGATGGGTCTCAAGCCGAGGATTTTTCGGGTCACGGACCAATCCGGGATCCATCTACTGCGCAGCCATCGGTCATTGCCCGGTCAACCGCATTTTAATTAGTTATTATGCTAGGATGGTCATTATTTAGTACATAAAATTACTAACTTTTGTTATTATATGGATTAGTTATGAACAGCATTATCTTCAAATCTATTCAATCAAGAGGTTAATGAGAGAGATCATATTGGGTCGGAGCTTAGCAGTCCGAAAGTGTGTTTGTTTAGTTTCAGAACAGAATAGGATGTTTATTTACATCAAACCTCCATTCTAAGTTCCCTTCCTTCTCAAGAATATGAGACATTTTCATATTGCCGCAGTAATTAATACTTTGAATTTGAACTTACGGAGTAGTGGTGATTTTGCATAACTATACGTCACAGTGGATCTCGATGGGGAAAATTCTGATACTGTTTTGGCAATACTCGTCTCCGCCAATCATAGATCGCTATCTTTGTCTTATATAAACGCACCGATTGGTCAATTCGGATCGGATCTCGGCCATCAGGAACTTTAGTTTCTATACAATATACAGTTCAAGTATAGTAGTCGAAAATATTCAAATTTTTTTCACGAAAGATGGATAGAAAAGGATGAGATTTTAATTATAAATAGTTGTTCGTTCTAAATGCTAGGCTATTCCTCTATACCACCTGGGCCAGTAGGTACCTAGGTACATGGATGCTGCTCAAGGAGTTGACAGTCGAGACTTACCTAGGGCTATAGCCCGCATGTTTAAATTATTCACCTCTCGGAGCGATTAGGGTACGCAAGCTCTTTACATTCTTCAAAATAACTTGACGTTTTGCCTCTTCAGCTGCCTCTCGCTCTTCATCTGTCGGCACACCAAAAAGTTCCAACACGGGGCCAAGCGTCAGCGAGAAAATAATCGCTGTAAGGAAAAACCCCCTCTTATTCCAACATTTCTTGTCTGGTTTAATCTCTTTAGACTGTGTCCATGGAGATTGGCCCATGCCATCGAGATATAGTCCATATTCATGCCAAAGAACATCTATAGTGTTCCCGAAAAGATCCTCCCAGAATCCTTTGTCAGTAGTGCAGAAATTTGGATCTTGCAGCTCTTTCTCTGTATAGCCTTTTTGCAACAGTCGGTCATTAATCCGTGCAACGGCGCCTGGTCCAACCCACACATGCTCGAGGAATATCAAGAAATTGGCTGTGTAGACATACCCTTTATCCCAGTCATAAGTAAGTTGTGATGAATTGATTGGAATTCGAGAGAGTACGGCCCATGACTTTGCTTTCAAGTTAGACTCTAGCACCACAAACTCGGCAATTCCTTCAATAAGGCCTACCGGTGTATGCCATACTTGTATACTGCGCTTCTTTCCGTTTACCCACTTCCAGACGTTCTTCCACACATCCCAATGTTTCACGAATATATTCGAGCTGGGGAGAGGGTAGTAGTGCTGGTAGCAGTGTACAAGCTCATGGGTCATGACATAGGCTAGATAGTCAAGTAGCCTCGCATGGTCCATCCAGGTGACATTTAATCTCTCGAAATCTGACAGCTTGAGGTTAATGGTTCTGTGGTGATCATCACGGCTCTTAAACCGATCTGTCTTACCTACCCAACCTGGCTCCTCAGAATACACGAAACGAATAGCTATCGATGTAGTTTTGGGGATCGAACCTCTGAAATCTGTGGCCGGACTCAGCCCCTGTGGTGTGTAAAGAGTATTTGTGATTATATCTAATGCGTTAATGATGATGGGATTGAACTCGGGGAGAAGAGATATGCAGAAAATGCTGGTTTCTGGACATTTAACCATCACTTCAACTTTGAAATGGGGTGTAACGACGGTCATATAAGCAGCACTGTCGTCCGCTGGATCAACTTCGTTGGCGGAGGACATTGCCGCGAAGAGGCAAGCAATGAATATTTTGAACTGCATTTTCAGTATGGTACTAGAAAATTTGGGATTAATGATATACTCATCGGGCTGTAGGGCAACAAGTATTTCTTCGAGATTCTGATCAACCGAACATTGGGGAACCAAGGGAGTTTATACTCGTCGATTCTTACAGTAAAAGGCAAATGCGCCTTCATACTGTAAATATCTTTCAAGGTATTTTTCCCCTTTGTTATATTCATAAAGGAATACAAAGCTTGGTATAATAGATATCAGGATCAAGCCCTTTGAGAGGCCTAAGACACCCAAAATTGGATGGTTACGACGTCATTGTTCATTTGGTGGTCAAAATTGGAAAGAAAGAAAGAAATACAATGCCATTAGTCTATTTTGATTGATAAACCTTGAAGCTATTGAACTCCCAGTAGGCATTAGTGAAGTTGGCTGCAGATGTAGCTGCCCATGTTGTGCAAGTATCTGGACAGTTATAGAGATCTGTATAGTAGCTGGTAGCCGCAGCCAGATCACCACAAATATCAATATTTGCAATAATACTCTGGTTCTTGAAATGTGAGCTGATGTCACAGTTAGTGCTGGGGAAATCAGCCAAAGCTTCGCCCCATGATGAGGGGTCTGGTGTTGAGGAATTGGACAGATCGGAAGGTATGTCGCTGCGGGCGAACATCCACACTCGAATTCCAGCATCTCGTAGTTCCATCGCATATACCTGGAGAAGTGATTAGTGTTTTATTCATGGCTTTGGAAATAGGGCAATTCGTACACCTCCTCCATTCTTATTGAAGGCTTCCCCATACGTCGCCGTTTTGCCTTCGACACTGCATCCCGAGTTGTCATTGGCCGTGTTGAGGCAGTCTTTGTATTTTGCAGTACCCGTTTCTTTCCGCTTGACATTCATCTTACATCCGCTGGATGTATGCAGGGTCATTGCGTTTCCGTGTGTCCCATTGTTGTTTGACTCCATAACATCAATTTCACCATTATCCGGCCAGTTGCTGGGGTCGCTCAGCCATAACGCTGGCCATGTCGCACATCCATATGGAGCATGAACGACGTCGAATACAAATAATCCATTATCGTACGTGTTAGTAGAAGTAATGCGCACTGACATGCGGCCGGTTGAGTCACGCTTTTGATGATTTGATTGGCCGCCTTGGCCTTGCTGATTTGATTGAGATTGCTGATTTGATTGAGATTGCTGATTAGTGGTACTGGTTTGTGTGGAGGAATCGGATGTAGATGTGTCGGTTGAAGAGGAGCCGGTTAAGGAAGTATCAACTCTGAGCACGGCGGATGTCTCTGACGCATATGTCAAATTGTACTGCGATGCCGTTGCTGAGTCTACGTATCTTGAAGTTATTAGTTAGGGAAGTGGTGTAGATCTGTGATAACACATACTGTACAAAGCCATTGGTTGGATCGGTCGCGGTATAGTATTCGAAGTTGTCAAAAAAGAAGTACCGGAGTATGTATCGACCAGCGAGTAACTCAGTTTGGAGTAATTAGGATATTTATTGACCTTTGTGCCTTCAACTGCTCCCACAACCACGGCGACAATAATTATCACAGCGCAGGCAGCAAAGATAAGCCATTTTCGCAAGGACCAGCCTCGCGGATCAATACACGACCGGCTGGAAGTTTCTGCTTTCATTACTTCGTCGTAGCTTGGAGGGTTTGTCGGGGCTTCAGGAATATTATTGTATCTGGGGTTGCTGAAGTCGAAAGGAGAAGATCGAGCGTGTTCTTGCATGGGATATGCTTCGTTCCTCATTATAAACGTGAAAAGAGTGATAACGTATCTCCTTCACATAGTCTCAATGTGGAACAGGAATTTTTATTTATTTATTCATTCGACAACAAAATGTTAAGTATCTTAATGTTTGATCCAAACCTGCCGCGCCGCGTCATTCTCCACGCAGGTTCTCCACTATTGTAGAAATAAGTACGAAAGCTCTAGATTTAAGACAGAACACCTTGAGTTCTACTATTCTATTGGATCAAGCAGATCCACAGGTACCCAAACCTTGAATAGAATATGCAAGAACTAGAACAGGGATCTGTATCTGTGCACCCCCGAGTCTCCGACATTGCCCGTTGGGTACTGCTACACGACGACGGATAAGGTGTCAAAGTGGAGTGGAGTTTTTCATGATTCCTCAAATAAGCTTCCATGGTTCTAGCTTATGTATCTATGCTAGTTTAAGTATTTTTGATCAAGAAATCATCCATGCTTTTGCTACGATATGTACTATTATGGCTGGCTAAGTTGGTGAGTTGTTTGAGTGCGATAAAGACCTACGTCATGCCTTATCGTAGTTTTTGAAGTGTCAGCCTTGTCTATAAATAGCAATCAATACATTATTCCTGCTATGATTTCATGGTACAGAGTTCTCAAGTTCAAGTACCAAACAGAAGAGGAATCGGAGTTCATGTTCATACTGATTACCCGTTCCATTTAGGGTTCTGCTCCACGTGGTCTAACAACCTTATCGATTTCCTATCTGAGCCTGATATCTTCTTTTACATATAGTGCCCCTGCTGTCTACCTCCATCTATTTCAGTCCAAGATGCATATATGTTGATTCTGTGGAAGTTATCATTTACACTGAACGTGTCTGTGACTTTACCTAGGCAGAAGCTCTACTATATACCTACATAGGTCGGTACCTAGGTAATGTAAGTAGCTTAAAAGCATAATAGCTCTTCTACTTATGCCTGGGTAAGTAGGGGCTTTATAAAAGAATCGTTTCTGTTAATGATTTGACAAGGGCCATTCATAGATAATAGTCAAGTACCTAGATATCTTGATTATAGAAGGACATTACCCATCAATCAAATGTGAAAAAAGCCCTTCAATCTTGGAAGCCGACTTTCCGGTTGCTATCAGACGCCTTTTTTCGGCTTCTGGCGCTGTAGCTTGGAAAATTCACGCTTTGGGGCTTTACGGGGGTTGCACAGGATGGGGATGCGGCTCGGTATGCAGCGTTGGTGGAGGTTGAGCAGAGGTAGAAACTTATAGATGTTGGTTGGGATAGGGGAATACAGGTGGGCATTTTTAAAGGCATTTGGGGAAATATCTATTTTAAGTATGAGCGTTCGGATTGGTATGTACCTGATGAGGAGCCGGTTGTTAGTCCGTTCTCTGCTTGTTCGGAGGTTACCAGTGATTATTTGACGACCGAGTCGAGTGATTGGTAGGTGAAAGTCCATTATTGGTTGTTATGCGATAAAGTTTGTGTAATTCGGGGTTGATGTCTCTCGTGACTGTTCATGTCGAGTTGCATCGATGCGAAGCTCGATATCTGAGATGATCCACGAGCAAGCAAATGAGCTTCCAAGATTCTCATTACTAGCCCTAATATATTTTCTACTACACTGATTTGATGGTGACTATGCTAACATTGCGATATATAGTTCAAATTGAAGTGATGCGTCATCCTCAATAATGTAAATTGGAGAGTGAACACCGTGTAAGAGATTGGGGTATCACAACGATACACCCGATGTACCAACCTAGTACTACACACTATCCACACTGTACAGACTATTTCAAGTCATCTTGATAGTCGCAGCATTAAAGGATTTGATAGCCGCCCCCTCTATACTCCACTTACCCCTTTGTAGTTGAAGTAGGGGCCATCTACGGAGTCTCAAGTGAAGCTATCCTCAGCGTCGGTGAGAGAATCCAGGATTTAGGCCGATTTATCTAGGTAAACTAAGCAGCACTTAAGCTAGACACATCGGGTGAAACAGTGAGTAAATAATTCGAATATTCGCATTATCTATACTAAGGGTTCGTGAGAGTAGTCGCTTGAACGTAACATGGTATGGGCAAGGAATAAATATAGCCGAAGCTTCTGATACCGAGAACTGGGGTACTAGAAATGTGCTGAGCGTGAAATGAGGGTGAGAGGATAGAGATGCACCGAGAGGAGATGATTGATCGTCTACCGTAAGTTGGTGGCTCGGCGGATTTGGCCGAGGTTAGGGGCTAAGTTAGCGGCCAGGTTGGGGCCGAAAGTGGATGCTCGGCGCTTCGGAGGATGATAAAAAGACAAAACTCGTTTCAGGTGTGGCGTGAGGTTGCTCATCATTACTTCGTAGGGTGGAGAGAATGCTGATGCAGTTCAAATCAAATTGGCAATATTCATGCGTGAGGTGCAAGAGCCGCTAATAGGCGGGTGAAGGGTTGAAGAAGTCGCAGATTCCGGGGTAGGCATTCCGGAAGACTCCTGTTCTGATTCACGATTGTCATTCTCCCGCTGTGACTTTTCAATTATTAGTCGATGGACTGTCTGCTCGATCCAGCTCCAACCTTGCTCGGCCTCTGACTCTGGTTCTGCTTGTAGGGGCTCCGTTTGTGAGGGCTCTGTTTGTACGGGCTCTGTTTGTACAGGAGCATTGGTCGCCGTGACGTGGTCAACGCCTGTCTCGCTACCCTGCCAGATCCAGCTGCCATTGCTTGTTCCCTGCATATCTCCTGATACGTAAGCGATCATCTCCTCGTCTTGATCCATATCGTCGATATCGTTGTGCTGGGATCGACCGAGAAGATATCGGAGGAAGAACTCTAGATGCCGACCACAGGCTGCATTAATGGCACGGGCGTCGCCGATGGCTGCGAGCCCTTGAATGCAGATCATAGCTGTGGCGTACTCTTGTCGGAAGAGGAGCATAAGCGCGCAGCGCCAGATGTGTGTACAGAGAAGAGTTCCGGCCGAGGACGCGAATAGGGATAGCTTGTCCTCGGCGGGGATATTACGTATGCAACGCGAGAGAATATTAGCGGTGTCGGTAGCGATTAGAATGCAGTAGTCTATCGCGGTGGAGCGGACGGCAGGCTGACAGTCGGGGGATATGTTGTGACGGTGAAGCAAGAGTCGCGCATTCTGATAGTAGATGATAGGAAAAAGGGACCTGGGGTCAAGGTCCTGATCGGTCTTCGGATTAAGGTGCACAGGGAAGGTTGAAAGGCATGAGTTGAAGTGTCTTTCGAAGGTGTCAATTGTGACAGGGCTGATAGAGGGTGATTGAAGGTTTCGAGTGAGCTCGCCGATCGAGCGAACCATATGGATGGTTGCTAGCAATGGAGACGTTTGTTGTCCCTCAACGGCCTGTCCTTCTTCATCCATATATTGATCCTCGAGAGGGCAAGGAAGATCAATGTTGCAGTCATGATCGTTGATCAACACTGGCTTGCCCATCTCCAGAGCAAGCAGCCTGTAACAATGTAAGCATAGATCCTTTCAAATGTCAAGGAAATACAAACCTGTCCCAAGTGTATAAACCCCACCAAAGACGTTTTCGCATCTCCGCTTCTAGGGGAGGCCTTGAACCCGAATCAATGTGCAGCCCGATCTCTTGAGCCACACGCACCGCGGAACCAATCCACACCCAGCTCGAGGATTTGCAGTTGATCTCGTAGAGGAATATGCTCACTAGCAATGCCGCCCTAGCTCGATCCAGGATGAAGTTATCTTCCCACACATCAATCAAGCTACAGGATACCCGCATAAACTCTTTGCCCTTCTCCTCGCGATTGACTTCATTTGTATGAATTGCCCCGCATGCAAGGATCGCAAACAAGACAGCCGCCCATTCGCTTGAGACGCCCAGTAATGTACCCAGCCGATAGACCTCGGCGTATTCCGCGGCGAGAGTGGGCCAGTGAAATATCGGCAGTACTGAATGAACGTGGTTGAAATACTGAGCCAGGAGGTGATCGGCGACCTCCTTCGGTGGCAATTTTGGCGCATCACCGGTCACAACAGACTTCGAGACTAAATGTTTATAAGGTGAAGGCGCATTTACAATGTTGCGGCCATAATTGCCGATATTTTTTCGCACTTTGGAAAAATCCTGAGAATTGCCCACCCTGCGCCGGCGCAAGGGCTTGTAATCGAGGTCGGGTAATTTCAACAAGGGCTGTCCCACAGTATCGTCATGGTCCACACCTTCTGGGCGAAGCAAAAGGGATCTCAGATGCTGGAGTTCTTCCGACATGGAGGCCAACTGCCTTTCGAGATCTTGCACCTGTTTGATGGAGGACATTCGCCGATTTGTCTCCTTGGTAAATTGGCAGCGCACTTTTCGGTTGGAGCATTCCGTACAGCTTGCGGATTCCGAAGCGTCGCATTTCACTTTGCGTTCGCGACAGGCATCGCAGCTGGGGTCTTTGCGACGTTGTCGGTAGGCTCTTTTCTGCTGCAGATGCGCCTGGTTTGACTGCGCATGCCCGATCGGACTTGTTTGGAACGGACCCTGGTTTCCGGGGAAGGAACCCAATGGAGGGGCATCTGGAAGAGCACCGGTGTCGGTGGGAGAACCGGACGCGGACTCGTAGAAACGCGAATATGGAGAGGTTGAGGGACCTGGGGCAGGTGGTAATGGTAGTTGGTGTTGGGTGGTTGGTGGAGGTGGGCCCAGAGTAATTTGGTGGGGAGTTTGCGACATGGGCTGTAATAGATGCGACATCTGCATCCCACTATCGGGTCTACTTGGCGGAGCCGAGAGCATGACTCCAGGGGCCGAGTAAGATCCCGTCACGGACTGCACCGAGGGTAGTTTCTCGTACGAGCCACCAGGATTCTGGGGCGTGGTACGAAACGGAGAAGGGTGCATATGGGGAGTACGAGGGTAGTCCGTGGACTTCGAAATTAGAAGTTCACAGCGGTATCAAGTGATTGAAAGCCAAGATCAAAAGCGAGCGAATATGCGAGGTAGATGAAGATCGAAATCCGGATATTCGAGAAGAGAGGAAGGACTAGACTATTTCATGGGCGCTATCGCCACGAGAATGCCATACTCATTCGAGGTGTGATTTAGATTCACAGTTCAGATGAATATTGAGCGAGGTTGGATTGGCGGAGAATAAACAAATTAAGAAGATCAAGGCGTGGAGTAAATGCCGAGGAGCGAGGGCGAATAAAGAGGCGAAGATCGAAGAATCTGACGGTACGGGTACGAGTAGAGAGGGGGGGAAGAGGAATAAAAAGGGAATAAGACTACCACTAAGGGGCTAAAAAGGAAAAGGAATATCGACTACTCTTCAGTCTTCAGTATATTAAGATCAACGGTCTCCAGATCGCGGAGGAAGAAAGAAGGAACCATTGGATTTAGGAATCTTCAGCCGAAATGATACCTTGCAAGGTCAGGCCCCGTATATAATACCCGGTATGGGTATTTGTATTGACAGCCCCGGTATCCGAGATCGGCTGTCGATAAATACATGCAGTAGTTGAACGCATTGGCACTAAATTTCCGGGCCCACGTTATCCACATCTGACAGGACAGTAGTAGATATACATAATACAGTAGGGAGTAAGTGTACAAGGGTAGAATACATACTTAGGTAGATAAGTATTTGAGGTACATGTAGTTTCGGTACATAGGTACAGAGATAGCCCTATTACGATCTGTATATCTTACTGACCCGCTGTTGCATGGATGATCGACCTCGGAAGTTACGCGGACCACATGGTAACTTAAGAACCCGGATGTTGGCCCGAGTGGGGTTTAGTTAACTCAAACCACTTCTTACTTAGTAATTATAGGAGTCTCTTCTCTTCAGGACATTTAGCCCCGAGTGTCTTCCGAATTAGCTTTGCTGTATCATTGGGTCCGGAGCAAAGTGTCTTAATTCTAACCTCTTCTGTTTAGATAGATAGAACACGTCGGCCCGGAGAATTTATCCGTCTAATGTATTGGAGACAGTGTATCCCACAGCTCTGGGTCAGTTCAGCCTAAAGGCTAAGGGAAATGAAAAGACCAAAAAGAGAAAAAAAGAGAAAATAAAAAAAGGAAATAGAAAGGAAGATAGTCTATGTTAGGTGAAATCTCCGCTGATCTCCATTAATAGCATAGCCTACTAAGCCCTACCTTGGAAGGTTAGTCTTGGCATTTAATTATGTAATACACACGGCTTCCCCGCACCTTTCGGTTACCCGAAAGACTCAAGAGAAAAGACCCAAAGACCCTCTGATACATGATCGATTTTTTGAGTCCATGCTCTTTTACTTTCACCGAACACTTGATCTAGGCTCCACCCTCGCATGATCTCTCCCCGATGCCTCCCGGCATTTACCTTGGTCATGACAGACCCCACCCTACTGTCTCTGATAGACTACCTCATATTGGGGCTGAAAGGGAATCGACACAGGAAAAGCCAAACACTTCACGCTTCATCGGCATCATACAGGATCCATGGATGGTGCAGTAAGTAACATCTCGGTTCAACTCCTCCCAAGGTTTATCTGTATGTTTCTCGCCCCACAGCGGGACGACCGATCCGAGAAGCTGAAACAACGCCGGCTGCTAACCGAGCCTTTCCGATTTGTCCTCGTCCCGGACCTTTTGTCATTTCTGACACCCTGTCTATCAGAGACCGGAATCCTCCGTGAATTAGTCTAAATCGCGGGAGTCTCAGCTTAAAGGTTTTGCTGTTACCAGGAACCTTTGAAACCACGTATGATGGATCGTAAGAGCAGGATGATTGCTGTATGGAACTATATGATTGGTTTGAAAACTGTATTGCCCACTGCAGTTGCTATTAGTTCTGCTTCTATTCGCCCCCAATCGCTTAGCGAACCTTGTAAACTTTGTATATTGTACAAAGTACTTGCATGAAACATTTTACTTTTAACTTTTACATCGGCTACAAGATGAGATACACTAATGTACGGGGAACCTAGGTAAGGGAATGGTAAGATACGGAGCAGGGACGTCCGTATGTGAATTTGACTCTGGGTTTAAGATCCTAATACAGTCCTAATGCTAGTTGCCAAACTTACTGCAATGCGGACAGGGACAGCCTGGATCGACATAGTTAGCACTTCTCCAAATGGTCTGCAACTCATGAAAGCCAAGAGGCATTGGACTATGTTTTCCATTATACAGTTCATCCAGATTGAAGATATACCGATCCATTACATCAGCATATGTATCTTCGATTCCAGCAAGTCGCAGTCCTCCAATCTGCGCACATATCAGTAAAAGTCCGTCATGAGCTTGACGAGCTAGATCAGCCTCAAGCATCAGTTCGAGAACATCGATACATTCGATTATCTCGCCGATCCTTGCCTCCGTACACTGCGCTCTTTTAGCGCTGCGGCTTGGATCATGCCGTACTAGTAATGCAGTTATCATTGCTTTTTCGGTTTCTAATAACTCGCTGATCTCTGAAAAGGGTAGGCCATCTCGGTCCGTAACGCATGTTTGGTATCTGTTAATTGCGCTTACGATCTTTGATCTTTGCGAGAAGAAAGATTCGATGTTGGCTTCCATTTTGAGAGTAAGATAGAAGTCTGTTTGAATCTAGTGTAGCTGAGAAGATGATTCTTTCTAAACACTGAGTATGCCTATTTAAGGGCTCCATCATCATATCCCATTAAGGTATGCAAAGAGAACAAAGGTCATTGTTTGGCTAATTCAACAGGATTCACGTTACTTCCAGGGATAAAGTGCATTGTTCCACGAGTGAAGGCAGGATGAAGTCAGAGGAGACATTTGAAACCACTAACAAAGGCAGACTCAGAGTGACAAAGCCCGAGTATCCTCTTCCTTCAATGATATCATTACACAAAATCCCTCACTGTGACCAGTTTGAATGATATTGCAACCATTATGGAGTAGTACTGCATCAGATGGAAACCTTCATTACTATGTCTGAGGCCAAGCTATTGGCAAGAAGCAATATCTGATTTTTTATCAATGTAAATAGATACTCGGACAATTATTTCTTTTGTGCTTCCACTCTCTCAACAAAAACGTTCACAATCTGTCGCAATCCTTCCATTTCCTCCTCGACCGTCAGACCGAGTCCGTTAGGATCAATACTACACCCAACATAGACAGGCAACTTGATCCTTCGGGCGAGAATCTTGGCCACACGAGTTGTATACTCGATGCTAGAGGATGATGTGTAGAGTGTAGTTGAAATGGTGTTGTTTGATGTTCGCTATTCAAGGATTAGCGTTTCATATAAGATGCCGAGCTTTGTATCTATTGACTCAAGCAGATATTGACGTATATGACCGCGACTCACATCTGGCATAGCATAAACGAAGCTTCCCAGGGGCTTTATAGACCCAGCTGAATCTCCTGGTGTCGATGTTGTCAAGAAGACTGTAACACAGTGGCCCAAAATGGTCAAGTGAACATGGGCAGTTGTATGTAATGCTTTGGGCAACGGGAATGAGATCTCCTGGGGATGAAGATCGGGGGAGACCAGCTCCGTTTGTGGGGCAGCTGAAGCGATGGATGCCATCTTGCTTAAAGCTTTATGAAATTATTCAAAGTTGATAATCAAAGATTTTTATTAATCTGTCCAGGCGTGAGGTTGAGGAGATGGAGAAGTGAGGATTGAAATGTCCCGCGATGCGGCAAAAACAGATGATCCACCATCCCGCACCAACTTCCGAACCGCACTCACCTTCTCCATATTTACGATTTACCTACAAATTGGAAAATACGACAACTTGGATGCCAGTTTCTGGTATGGCAGATCCAACCCCAGATAATGAGGAGGAGTGGGCCGGTGAATTTGACCCCTTCGCGGACCCGGAGGAGAGACGAGTTCTGTTTGCCGCGCTTGACTCCTTCAGGTGCGTTGAGAGTAAAATACATTTATAGCGCTACAACTAAGACCTGACCTCAGGCAATATCGACGAACAGCTCATTTGAACACAACACATAGCCGTCGGCAGTCATTCTACGCTCTGCCCTCGGAGCATTGGCAGATGCTCTCCGAGCCGCCATTTTCTATTTTGGACCAGTTCAATAAAGTGGATGACGCTATTGATATCAATGCTGATATCGCAGATGCCATTGTAGCTGTGGGAATTCAATCCTTTGGTCTCTCTCCCAATCCTGACAAGACTGACTCGGCCCAAAATTGGCATGGCACAGCCACTTCTTCGGATATCAACAAGGCGCACTCCACCATCCGCCAGTTCTATCGCGATTGGAGTAGTGAAGGAAGAAACGAGCGTGAAGCCTGTTATGACCCTGTCCTTCAAGATCTGGTCCGTGAATTTCAACCCTGTCTTGATGCCGGTGAAGAGATCCGTGTTTTGGTCCCCGGCGCCGGGCTCGGTCGATTCGTCTTCGATCTCAGTCTAGCTGGATTCTCTGCCGAGGGCAATGAAATTTCGTACCATCAGTTAATGGCCAGTAGCTGGGTTCTCAACCATACCGATGGACCACTGAAACACGCACTCTATCCGTTCGCTTCTCATTTCTCCAACTCGAAATCGCGTAACCAGCAATTGAAGGAGGTTTTCATCCCGGATGTCCACCCTGGTATGGCATTGCAAGAAGCTGCGGAGAAGAAACAAGCAGTTGGGTCAATGTCCATGACCGCTGCGGACTTCGTTATACTGTACAACGAGCCTGACCAGAAAGAGTGCTTTGACGCGGTAACAACGGTGTTTTTTATCGATACAGCCCCCAATATTATTCGCTATATCGAAGCAATTCGCAGCTGTCTAAAACCAGATGGACTATGGATTAACATGGGTCCGTTGTTATGGCACTTTGCCGACAGTCCTCCCAAAGAGAGCAAGGAGAGCACAGACTCTACAGGGATCGGCGAGCCGGGCAATGTGGAGTTGACAGAGCAAGAAGTCCTACAACTAGTGGAACGTATGGGATTTCGCATTGAAAAGGGACCAGAAATGGGTAGTGAGTGTGGCTACATTCAAGACCCTGGTAGTTTATTACAGAACCTGTACCGGCCATCATACTGGTCGGCACGTAAGGTTAGAGAAATGAGATGAATTGTGCGTACTAATCACTAATCAGATAATGTGGGGGCTAAATTGGTAAACAAAGGTGACATGAATAAGATTAGAACAAGAAATTACTTAAGAATATTATCTAGACTGTCCAAATAGTAGAATAAGAAATACGATGAGGTAAGTGTAATTATAGAACTGAAGTTGAACTTAGACTTGAACTTGATCTGGTACTGAGTGGGCCATCTCAACTTCATCTACTCTGTACTGCCACTACTCCCATATTCCTTCGAGAATAGTCTGACTTGTTACTTCTCAGCCTCACGGAGTTAGCCCAACCTTGGAAAGGTCTCCCCTCCCCCCCCTTCCTCCTTCCTTTTTTCCTTTCTTTTTTGCCGTGCTGACACCGAGTTTTCATCCGAAAATCCCCACACCGTTTGTTCGTATCCCCCCTCCTTCTCTCGTTTCCCTTTCTTTCCTTTCTGTTTGAATTGTCGCGCGGTCGCCGTACTTGGACCTCATGAGCGCCCGCTTCAGAGCATTCGGTTTTTCCAAACGAGACAAGGACAGGAATAAAAACACGTCCTCCCCGGCTCCCTCTATCCCTGTCCACACAACTACCCCCTCTCTCACACCCGCATCTCCTCCTCCCTCAAATCGAAGTTCATCCAACGCAAGCGTCTCTATGAACAGCCAACACCCAGGGGTCCTTCCCCCAACTTATCAAATGAATAATCGACCTACAAGTCCTATGGTCCCCGGTCAGCAGCAGTTGGTCCAACACCCCGCTCCACTAAGCCACCACAATATTCCATATCAGCCTGGAGGTCTACAACAGCAGATGAATCCCCCTGGCTACGGTATGCAGCAATCACAGCAAATGGGCCAAGGCCACGGCATGAGTATGGCGCAGGGATTTGCGGCACGGAATCCCGCCGAGTTCCATAACACGGACCGGAACAGGGCGCAGCTTATCGTTGGTATCGACTTCGGTACCACCTTCTCAGGTGTCGCATTTGCCTTTGCGACAAACAACGAGGCCAGAGAAGACATTATCACAGAATGGCCGGGCGCAGGAACACATACCAAACAAAAGGTTTGATCTTATGTCAACAACTTCCCATTGCGTCCCCCCTCGCTGACCGTTTTGTCTCATTCTTTAGATTCCCACCGTTCTCTATTATGATCAGTACCAGAAAGTCGTGGGCTGGGGTCCAGATATTGCCGAGGCGCTGGCGCCCACCGGGTACCCAAAGCCTGGCGTGCAGAAAGTGGAATGGTTTAAATTGCAGCTGATGCTGTCTGGGAACACTTACATTGATCCTATCAACTTGCCTCCACTTCCCCCGGGTAAGACGGAAATCGATGTGGCTGCCGACTATCTATTCAAGCTGCGCCAGGCTATGCGGGCTCAATTACAGAAGACACTGGGTGAAGTCTTTACTCGTGAGGAGCGCAACATCCGGTACTATCTTACTGTGCCGGCCATCTGGAACGATGCGGGCAAGGCGGCTACCCGTACTGCCGCCATTCAGGCAGGTTTCCTGCGTGGAGAGGATGACAACCGTCTGACCCTGATCTCGGAACCAGAGGCAGCTGCCCTGTTCTGTGCTAAGACTGGTCTGCTGAACTTGAAGGTTGGCGATGCCATCCTTATCGTCGACTGTGGTGGTGGTACTGTGGATTTGATCGCATACGAGGTTGAAGAGGAGCAGCCTTTCAGTGTTGCGGAATGCACTGCAGGTTCCGGAGATTCTTGCGGTTCAACGGCTCTCAACCGAAACTTCAGCAACATCCTACGCGCAAAAATTCGCAAGATGAAGCTGCCCGATGGCTCTCGAACAGCTGGCAAGGTGTATGCAAAGTGTATCATGGACTTTGAGAACCGTATTAAGGCAGACTTCCGCAACAACGGCCAGAAATGGGCCGTGGATGTTGGTATCGAGGCAGACTTTCCCGATGCGGGAATTGAGGAGGGTTACATGACGTTTACCAACGAGGAGATCCTCCAGTGCTTTGAGCCTGTAGTGAACCGCATTCTGGAGCTGGTCCGGAACCAGATCATCGCTATTCAAGCACAGAACAAGCTGCTCCAGGTATATCAGTTCTCGTCATCTGTTTTGTGGCATGACTAACTTGATTCTTAGAACGTTCTTGTTGTTGGTGGATTCGGTGCCTCGGAATACCTGTTCCAGCAGATTAAGCTTCACGTGCCTCCCCAGTACCAGACTAAGGTTGTTCGACCCATGGACTCTGTGGCTGCCATTGTCAAGGGTGCTGTGACGGCAGGTATCACGGAGCGCGTGATTACCCACCGTGTCGCCCGTCGGCACTACCTGATGGCCACCCTCCAGCCCTTCAAGGAGGGATACCACCCGGAGCAGTACCGGGTACCCAGTCTGGATGGTCGTGACCGTTGCAAGTACACTCGCCAGATTTTTGTGCAGAAGGGCGAGCGTGTCAAGATCGGAGAGCCGGTCAAGGTCAGCTTCTTCCGACAAGTTGCCCCCGGTGCCACTCTCATGTACGAGGATGTGCTGTATGCCTGTGACGAAGACGTGTGCCCGGAATACACTAAGGATCCTCGTAGGTCATTTCTCCCTGCTTGTTAGGCTCCCGCTGACCCCCAATATAGGTATCAAGGAACTAGTCACTCTCACTTCGGACTTGTCGCGCAAGAATCTTGAGACCGACTTTGAGCGCATGGATACTCCTCAAGGTGTCTTCTACCGTGTCTACTTTGACATCTATTTGACCCTTGACGGCAGTGAATTCAGCGCCGAGTTGGTCTGCCAAAACGAGATTATGGGTCGCTGCCGCGCCAAGTTCCGTTAATTGGACATCGTATATACATTTCCCAGGAATCGAAAAGGTTGTGACTGGCACGGCCTCGTAAAACTTCTTCCAGATTTAAGCGTCTACAGTTTGCACTGGAGAATGGGCATTGTCTTCCCCTAAAAAACATGCCACAGCAAGTTCTTTTCGGATGATCGGAGGCCCTCGTATTATGTTTCTCTCATTTTTTTTTTTTTTTTTTCTCTCTGATTCTCTAGATACCTCTTTTATATTTGATTTGAATGATTTTGACGAACTGTGGTTTGAACACATTGCATTATTATTTTGTGACGAGTAAATACCGAGGTCCATGTAAATCATAGATCATACTCATGAGAACTCTGACTGTCAAGTCTCGAGATTGATGCTCCGACCGAATCGAGCGTACAGGGAAACCTTCAGCTCTTGCAACTCATCTCGCAATTCACTCAGCTTGTCCTCTAGCTTCGACACATCTGCATCAATCCGATCGGAAGAGGCCAAAAGCATAGATTGTGCGTCTTCGAGTGGAAGCTGGAAGAACGAGTCACCAATTTTGTATCTGCACCCTGTTAGATCTGGAATATCAGAAGAGAGCATAGATAGATATCCTTACGGTACGAGCTCATCCTCATCAGCGAGTTCAAGCTCCATAGAAACCTCTTCCAGATCCTCCTTATCTTTCTATAAGAAGAAAACAGTTAATATACAGATGTCGAGGGGTAACCTGCAAGTGCAGAGTAGGCGTGTCGACACGTACCTGCTTCCCCTTCAACTGATCCTCAAGCACAGTTTCACGCTGATGAAGCCGACTAAACCGATTGATCTTCTCCTGGTCCTCACGTCGGACTTCATTCTCTTCACTGCCAGCTGTAGCACCCTCCTCCTCTCTGGAGAGCTGATGAGAGGTGTTAGTTGTGATTCTTGAGCAACTGCTGCGGAATGGGCCCTTCGCCCCGCAATAAGTTGATAGATTTTGATAGAGGTTTGATGCTTACCATGCGTGGTTGGAGCATCTTTAAAGAGTGTGGGTTGGAGATTGGAGATATCTTGACTCTGAAGTGAAGAGGCTGTGGCTTCGGTGTGATGGTGGTCTGTGCGGCCCGGGGTTTTGGCGTTAAGTAGGCTTGATAGAATACTTTCTATAAATTGATATACTAGTTCTGTTTCCTCTTATGAGTCTGATCATATACTATCAGATATACTACTCGTATAGTGCTTTCTACCTATGAGAGCACAAGATGTAATTCTACGATAATATCATTTTGTCGGGTGACATCATCATAACTTCGAGAGACTTCATTTCTCAGTAGTAAAAGTTGAGTATTTTAGTACACATAGTAAAACATTCTAGAACTAGTACTTCTCTATGTAGGAATAATTCATTTTGTGCCTGGGTGTGACTCTGTACTGCAGCTACGGGTGAACCGCGTCGTCCGTCGGAGAACCGAAAACCGCGAACCCAAGTCTGTCATCTTCATCTTCTTCATCTCATCTTCAGCCACAACTTCATCCCACAATCTCCCACCAACCCCCGCATATATATATCTGATTTGGTTCACGTGTCAGATCTTCGACCTGAGTTCCATCACTCGGTGGCTCCTCCACAAATAATCTCTGCACATACTCACCATGCGAATACAATCCAACGCACTCCCGCTGTTTCTATCTGCACTGCTTCCCAGCTTGGCAACGGCTGTTACATTCGACTGTGCCCACATCAACACAGATGGATACCTCTACGACCTTAGTGCGCTGGGCGGCGTCCACCAACTCAACCATATCGTACTGAACGCGACACAAGGCTACACCCAAAATACCACCTACGTCTTGAATATCTGCCAAACTCTCGGCAAAGCCGCTAACCGTCCAGAGGGGAAATGCGGGCTGAGCAAGAATGGTAAGTGTGCTATCTCTCCTACAGGTCGTGGTACTTCTTTCTAATCTAAGCCTTTTTCGTCCAGTGTGTGGCTTCATTCACGATATTCCAGCGGACGGTAACGGTGACATAAGTTGGGGATTCCCTATCGCCGGGCTTGATCCCATGGGCCACGGCTCTAAAGACCCGGAGTTCACGCGACTGCAGAAGCTCGACGAGAATACTCAGGGTCTGCGTGTTAAGCTTTCTGGTGGTAATTACCGCAGTACCTTCGATGGTCCGGATCACCCCACTGCAGCTGTTATTGATTTCCAATGTGATCCTGACCGCTCTGGCCTCGAGGGTGTCAGCACATCTGAGGATGAGGAGGTTGAGGAGAAGAAGCTCGTCCGGCGAGAGAAGGAGAAGAAGCCGAGCAGCTTGCAGTTCAAGAGCTTCGGTGTCGAGGACGACGATATTTATGTCTTGCGGCTGGACTGGCAGACTCGGTATGCTTGCGACGATTACCAGCGCGGCAAGCAGGATAGCTCGAGCCACTGGGGTATTTTCACTTGGTTGATCATTATGTGAGTTTTTTTTTTTTTTTTTTTTTTTTTTTCCTCTCTTTCATTCTTTCTACTTGCCGAAGCAGAATCGGGAAATTGACCTTCTCTCTTCTAGCCTCTTCCTCGCTGTTGCTGCCTACCTCATCTTCGGCTCATGGCTCAATTACAGCCGCTACGGTGCTCGTGGCTGGGACCTTCTACCACACGGTGACGCCATTCGCGAAATCCCCTACATGCTCAGAGATTGGTTCCGCCGCGTGGTCAACACATTCCAAGGCTCTAGTTCTAGAGGTGGCTACAGTGCCGTGTGAGTTTACCGGCCATGCTTTTGGCATCTTTCCTTATATGGGATTTCCAAGTAGGCTACATCTACTTCAAAGCAGGATGACGTGTATGGGCATTATAGATGTGTGAATTATATTTCGGTTTGATGTAAGCTGTCAATGTGAGAATAATTGAATGTTATGATTTTCTCGGTCTTTGGAGAGAAAAATAGGATTTCTTCATCTGGACAGTTTGTCTGCAATTGATGCATGTAGCCATTGCGGTATATCCTGAATGGGTATGATCATGAAATACACTGTTCTACTACATAGACATGCATTCCATTGGAAGAGCATTAACTAGGACTCGTACAGTCTATAAGTCGGTGTAGCACACACGATCAATCCATGCTGATCTCGCTGGATTTGGTGAAACCGGTGGAGATTGCGCCATCGAAGCTAAATTGTTCTCATGAACTTGCTCTCTGGTACGTGGAAGTTGGCCAACGCAGATAAAATAATATAGATCAATTGAATAAGACGGGTTGTGCCACCATTTCGTGTCTGTCCTCGTCCCCGTCTACTTCCCTTCTCTTCTACCCCATACTCCCCTCTCTAAAATTATATGATATAACTCTGATCGCTCTCCCTTCTCTACCTTCCTATGCAGTTGGCACCTTCACGGCAAACTGCTTTAGATAAAGGTAGTCGGCCATGTTCCTGTCAACAGCTTCACGGATGAGACCAGCGCCCTTGGGGCCATACTTCTCCAACCACTCAGCATCATACTGCTCTTCAGTCTTGACAGCATGTTTCTAATAAAGCAAATTAGCCTTGAACTCGCCTCCCACGTCATCTAGAACAATGCTTCATCCCATCCTCAACCACTTACATGAACTCTCGCCACGAGACCCTTGGACTCAATAGCATCGTTATGGAAACCACGCCACTTCTCAAAAGCCTCGCATGCATACCGATAATCCTCCTCGGTATCCCACTCCAACAAATCAGTCGAATACGGCAAACCAACACTATCACAGAAAGCCTTGATCGTCGGCGCCGGTGCATCGAGCATGTCGTCCGCATCAACGACACAAATCTCATGCACGGTGCTAGCGTCCGCAGCCGATCCTGCTTCCGGCGAGAGCTCAGGTCGCGTCGCTACTCGCGGCCCGACAAGTCCCTGCGTCCGGAGATAGTCAAAGTGGCGACGCAGCTCGTCGTACCCGGCTTCTGAGGGGTCGTAGTTGAAGAATCCTGTCACTTTGTCTAGTGGCGGGATTGTGCAGCGGTAGTACGACGGCACGCTGTGGTGCGGGTCGCGGATCAAGAATGCGAAGTGGAATTTCTCTTGCAGCTCTCGCGGAATTACTGTTGGGTTGCCTGGCTCCGCCGCAGTGTCATACGGGTATGGAGTCTTTTTGATGTTGGCATGCCCGTTGGCATGCCCGTTGACACCGTTGGAGTGGCCGTTGGCGTGAGTAGTGCCGTTGGTACCATTCACACCATTGGTCTGGGGTTTATCGGTGCCTACACCACGCTTGAGGCGTAACAGGGATGGGGCTATACTCGCCGGCTTCCCATGGGGTGGAAGGAGATAGTGGTCAATGTCCTTGATGAAGACTCTTTTTCCCTATATGACGGTTAGTAACTCTCCATTTTTTACTCTATTTTCATGAGTCTAGTGCAGGTTCGAGGAAGAGTCGGACCTCAGATGCTTCACGCTCAAATCTCTCCATTATGGTGAGATATGTTGATTCACTGAATCCACTGTCCAGGCGGGCCTGTTCGTCATTCTCGAAACGGGTTGAGAGACGTTCTGGGCCATAGTAGAAGGCATCGCCGAATGGCTCATGGACACATTGAATTGTGTCTCTTTGAGTCATAAAGACCTACATATAGTTAGATGGTGGTTTTTATCTTTTTATCTTGTCCACTTACTCGTTCAAATGCTGTGGAGCAAGCGCGGGGGTGAGTCGCCACAAAAATAGGTTTACTGGCCATGATGGGATATTGAGTCGAGTATAGTATATATGGTATCGAATCGATACTTGAAGAAAAAGAATACTCAGCTGCAGGGCTAACCTCGAAGCGCTTGAAGCCGGGGGAAAACACAATGCAAGAAAAGAAAAAGAACCGACAGAAATAATATAACCTTGGAAAATCACTTTTGGCTAAGAAAAAATAATTCAGCGGATCCGGCGTTAAAACCGGGGGGTTTTTTTTTCTCTCTTTCTTTTCTACTATTATCATTTACAGATTCTTAACCCTAATCATGCTAAAGTACTTTTCTCTCTAATAGTCTATGCCCCATTGCCCCGCTGGATCTGTCTCTCTTCGGGAGATTCAATTTCCAAGGTTGGACGCGGTGAAAAACGGAACCTCTTTCGGCAGTGATTTTCTCGTCTCGTTTCTAAAAAATATCTGATCCGAGGTTCATACCTGGTAAAGCCTAGTATGTTGGATATTGACGTCATGATTGTTCTAGATCCCCAGCACAATAAAATACAGTAGTAGAAGAATATCTAAGTCATCCAGATCATACTGTTTTAAAGCGCCATTTGTGTTTAGGGCTGTTTGAGTCTACAGGGTTCAGGAACAAAACTCCAAGCCGTGATTGAATAAAATCTTGATGATCGCGGTATACGTCAAAATTAGGCTTAGCGTAGGGTATTGAGACAGAAAGTTGAAGTTGAATTGGATCATCCAGTGATATGCTATGTATATTTAATTGTCCATGTACACAGTAAGCGAGACTTGATCAGGGTCCGCTGTATTAGGCGGGGCAGGGAAGATCCACGTAAAGCTGCTTACATATGGACCTCGAGAATCGAGTTTGCGGATGGGCCATCCAGATACTAGATAGACTATTCAGGACTATCATCGCTGTAGGCAACGAAAGAGTCACCGCATAACGCAGAGTTCTAGAACTTATTACCACGCGACTTAATATGAGTCGGGATGTTTCTGAATCACAGGTCGACGTATGATGACATAACTATATATAGTCATTGACAGTCTCGTGTTCAAATCTAAATCCTTTATTCTCTGGAATGATGCGGAAGTAAAAGTTGGTGGTTCCGCTTGTCTTCACTAGTCTATATAAATCTGCAATTAATGCAGGTCCAGAGTGCGAAAAGTTAGATTAATATACAAATCTTGGAACCACCAATCTATCGGACAGCCGGTTGCCTTCGATAAACCAAGCCAAACGTGTATGCCTTCTATATCTCATCAGGCTTGAAAAACCATGCCACTCGGAAACTGTTGATATGCCTATAAGTTGTTCTGTAAGTTAAGGGCAATCTTCAAGAGAAAAAAAAATAGATATCATATACATACACCTCGCCAGCAGATTCATCATATATAATTTTAGCTACAGTGGACCGACTGGCGGTGTAATGACCAAAAAAACAAAATAAATCACAATTTAACTGAAGTAAACTAGAATAGCAGACACAAAACAAAGTAAAAACCAGCTCAAAAATACCAAATTTCTGCTCAAGGCGGTGGCGTCCAAACTTTGTACTCATTTGTGCCTGCATCCCATCGCGCATTGGAGATTTGAATGTTGTCTCCTGGAAGTCGCTCAGGTATATCTTCGATGCCGACCAGCCTGTATTCATACTGGGGATCAGTACGGCCCTGACCAAGAACTCTTTTAACTCTCCTCCTCAGCCTCTCTCTTCTGCTAGCTTCTGCCTCCAGCTCTCCAATTGCTCCACCTATGATACTGTTCTCCTGTTTCCATGGCCAACGTCTTTCATAAGTCTCGTTGCTGACATCGATGTCTGGTAAGATATCCATCAGATCATTTTTGTCAGTGCTAATATAAGCGTGTCTATCGCGCTCAGGTTCCGGTGCTGTCGCTTGGTAAAGCTGGCGTCGCATCCAAGGGCCGCTAAGTCTTTGACGCGGCTGACCATCTTCGGTTATTGAATCGACAGTCTGGTTGACAGCGCACCGTATTGGGGTCCACTCATCCTTAAGAAATCGGCGATTTTCATCGCCATCATCTGCTACCCTCAAGTTATACATATTGACTTCGACAAGGTAAATTGGCGTGGCAGTATTTTGTTGGCTTGCGTCACCCAGATAGGCTAAACCCATGACTTGCTCAAATGGCACACGGCTCTGACCAGGTAGTATGTCCGGAGGAGGAGGACCCTGGAGTATTTCTAGGTCATCTCTAAAAATCAGCATCACATCAGCCCCGGTGTCGTCCCTAAACTCCAGTTCAATTGGAGCGTAAGCACGTTCAGGATTTGCACTATTTGCAAGATCTGGACCGAGTCTGAGGCAAAATTCAAACTAAAAAGTTATGTTAAGTTGAAGGGAACATAAACACATATATGCTGAGATGACATACGCGAGTTTGATATTGATCATAGCAGTCAGTAATATGGGCTCTGAACAAACTCATGGGCTCAGGGCCATCAAGCTGTTCAGTTACGTTTAGCCATTCATGTCACTTGATTGAAACGAACATAAGAACTTACTCCTTCTACCCAAAACCCTTTATGTCCTTTATTTGCCCTATTGACTTCTCTAAACTCTTCCACTGTAAATTCCTTTGGGCCGCCAACTAGTTTTCCATGTGACCAGTAAGTAACCAATCCATCCAACTTGATTGTCTCCGACTTGTAGGCTTCTATAATAGCTTGGATATTGGAAATCTCCTCTAGAGGATCACCATCCTTCTTTGTCATCTCATGTATTGAGTCAAGGATCTTGATACGTTTTATCACAGACCATGGCAGCTTAAGGTCCTTATACGGGGCATACTGAATACTAAACAAATCAAAAATGTTAGTCGCCACTATGTTATCATAATCATTGCCTGGGTTCACCTCACTCGCGCGAAGCCTTTGCTCTCATAAGCACTTTAAGCCTGTTTTCGAAAATATAGGTCATCATATTTTCTTCGATTCTCTCATGACACCGTTGGATTTGCGCCTCTAGATCTTGAGGGTCAAGATCGCGCTCAAGATTGGTCCATCCTGGGGGTAGCTTGGTCCAGTCATTTAGAGGCTCATCTCCTTCGTATTTCCACCTGACATTCTTGGATGACTTGGAACTCTCTATCTGATCCTTATTTCCCAAGTCTTCATTTTTGGGAGCTGAGATTTTCTCCTTGTCTTTCAATACAACCTTAGGGGGCTCCCGTTGGGCAGTCTCGACCTTCCTCTTTATCTTGGGCCCTTTTCTTGCTTCCCTCTTTCTGTTTTTTATTTCTTTCTTCATGATGAATAAAAGAGGTGACTGACACTATAGTGTTCATGAGAGCAGAAACAAAATCTTGGAGATTCAACATGAGAAAGGAGAGTTGTCCAGGGTCTTTATGCACGAGAATATGCTGATATTTTTGTGTTGTTTTTTTCATTCTCTACTTTGAAAGCACTAGAATATCAAAGAGACCATAGATTAAGTGTGTTCATGGACATGTTTTTCTATTTTTGTTTCTTCGAAATCTTGCCTTCTTTATGCTGAAGCGCAGAGAGTAAAATCTTTATATGCCCAATTCTCCACCAAACAGTTTTCGACGAGTTATATTCCATTGTCTCTATGAGATCGAGGGCTGAGTAAATCTACCAAGAAACCAGGGACAATTAAGTATTGGAAATTACATGGTTGTCTTTGTTAGAACCTCATATATTTAAAGAAACATTCAGAATATTCTTTGAAGGATAGTCCTCATCTTATTTTGGTTCTCGTTGTACAGTGAGGTCCACGAGACTTAACCGATTTTGCACCTCGGTAATAGATCTGAGCATGTGATATGTATGTCGTATCAAGTCAGTAGAGTACGTTGAGATAATAAGAAATAAAGGAGTGATTCAGATAACCAGGATGGTGACGATGGACAATTAATCAAAGCCAGACTATCTTTAGATCTTGAAGCGTATTTGGTTGGTCTTATAGATGAAAGAAAACGATAAAAGAAATAGCAGCTTGCGCATAACATATCCCGATTCGAGTTTCAAGTAGTCATGAAGGGAAAATTAATACTTGAATTAGGTAGAAGATTTCTGTGGTTTACATTGTACCTTATGAGTGAGCAGTTAAACTACTGCGATATATAGATGCTCGTTTTGGTGTCACTCTTTGTCTCTACACCCCCAAGTTCTAGCTATCCATCTGAATTCTATTAACCAGTCAATATTTACTTGCCCCAAAAACTTAGTGAATCACTATTCCAGGCGAATGTTAGTGCCAGAGAGGAAGCCAAGATTTAAATAGTGAACTCATAACACTGGTCCAAAGAGCAGTCTGTAAAATGTCGCCTAGTGGTGTATCTCCGTTTTTTCACGATTGTGACCTTCACCTTCTCCCGGTCTTGCCAATGTCTATCAATAACCTCTGCCATACAGGAGGTGTTTATGATCTCTGCTAGTCGCCAGTGGCATTCTAGGAGGGTTTTTGATGGCAGAACTAGCTCCTCTGGTATAGCGTCATCATCAGTATCATATCCGTCAACGATGTCAGCCACTGCAAATTCCACTTTGTGGTTTTAGGGCATGCTTGGTTTTGCAAGGACAGAAAAGAGATTGTGATAGATTTTCCACAAGTCATCGTCCGTCGGGGCCTCCAAAATATCTCTGGCCAGGACCCCACGGCCGCCTAAGGGAAGCCAATCTACCATTACACAGAACGATTGCTTCAAGACGAGGTCGTCGGCACGGCTACCTGGCGGGGGAGTGGCTGATACCTTTCAACTCTTTCTTTGGTTTGAGCGGCCTGCAAATCTGGGTCTTTACCGTCATCAGCGGTTGACAGGGTTGATAGTCCTGATAATCCTCTTTGCATTTCAGTCACTTCATCCTGACCCTGCTTCCGGGGAGATCTTCGCGGGGGTTGCCTTTGTTCTTCTTAGCCTTGCCCATGGTTGGTTCAAAAGTGGCGTTTTACAAGAAAATTATTGCCAAAGAAAGTCTTGAGTTCTGTCAGCTGAAAACAACAGATCCAAAGGTTACGTGGTCCCGTGTGCTAAGCATTTCCTAGTACTGTTCACTAAATTTCAAACTATCACCACGTCTGAAAGTTAAAGCTGATCTTTCTAAAATAAAAGCAGATGATAGAGAGTAGCTCCATTAAGACCATTTCATTACTTTAAGCTGAGAGAGGGATCTACCTTGACATTGATAAGCTCCACTGCCACGGATACCTCCTTGATGATGGTTATCCTAGCTTAAGAAGTGATGTGGGATGAGTACTCGTGGGAGACCGACTTCAGCCAACTCCCGATGGAAAAGAGTTTTGGCTGGCCTATATTGCGCATTACTGGGATCGAGAGATTTTGAGGGTGCCTGCGGTGTCATCTCTTGCTCTTGAAACCCTCATGAATGCGATTGGTTACTTCCCATATTCATTTAAGTCTTGATCCCAGTATTCATGTAAATATGTTTGTTAGATTTGATCTTTGAGTCCTTGAGAAGCTGGGAATACCAGTTTCAGCCTTGGAAATTGATACTTATCCATCGGTTACTGCTGTTCCTCGGCACCTGAGGATAGATAATAGTTCGATTTTATAGAAGTATCTGTCTTCAACCTTCCAAAACTAAAAGTTTGTAACTCGTGCATGAATCATCTTCTATGTAGGCTAAAGTTCTGGATTGATACATCATTTCGTATCACCCAACTGTTTTTCCTTCCACCACCTTGCAATATCGCCAGTTTGCAAAAACTCAACCTCGCCTTCACGCTCCCAATCCTTCAGCCATCGAAGCATACGCTCCAACATACCAATTACATGAGCCATACCACTAGTATCCGGATGCATTAAGACTGGGAAGATAGGCTCTTCCTCGTTATCACGAATCCACAAGAATCGATCGCGCCACAGATTCTCAATTACCCGCACATCGACATACCCCTGGGAATTCTCTGTATGTGGGAGAAATTGCATAGGTGTCATGTCTTCCATGTAGTAGTTGCAGGGTACACAGACCAAGGGACGTCGATCTGGCACGGAGGATGATTGCTGAACGGGGTGCATCCATGTAGAAGCTGGTTTCGAGAAGTCGATTGGTTGAAGAGGGGGGCGCTTTGGTGCGAAGAAAGGATGGCAGTCGTGATCGGTGAGTGAGGCATCTAAACAGGTTTTAGCGGGTTGTTAAAAGAGAGTTCGAATGTAATTGCGAAGCGAGGAAGTCATACCATATTCAAATCCGAACTCTTCGAGGAGATCTAGCGTGGATTCACGCAGCTGATACAAGGGTGCTCGGTAGCCTACTGGCTTCTTACCAGTTAAATTCTGCGCAATCTCCATGCACTTTACCAGTACGTCACGCTCTTGCTCCGGCGTGAGTTGGTAGGCGCCCTCGTGTGCATATCCGTGTAATCCAATCTCGCAGCCAGATGCGACTACCTGCTTTACTTCCTCCGGAAAGCTCTCGGCGGAATGGCCTGGAATAAACCAGGTGCAACGATTGGAGAGATCTAGCTTTTTCAGCATGCGGAGCAGTCGAGGGACGCCGACTCGCGCTGCGAAAAAGCCGGATGAGTAGTCTGCCAGAACGTTGTCTGGGTGAGAGTCTATTCCAATGATCATCAGCTTGGAGATATTATAGCATTGAACGGACCATACTTGTACCCAGCCATCCCGAGACAGCATCTAGATCTATTGAAACGGCCACACGGATCTTGTTTCGTTTTGGCTTTGGTAGTGACGCAGGAATTGACTGTGTTGCTTTCGTAGCCTTTTTCCTACACTCGATGGCTTTGACAGAAGACTTAGTGGAAGACTCGGTGCCTTCAACTTGGATACACTGTCCAGAGATGTGTCCAGCTGCCCGCTTCGAGGCTAGAAATGCCATTGTACGGGCTACATCTGCCGGTGTGGCGCTTTTCTCGCCAGTGTTTTCACATGAACCGATTGAAACAGCGTTAATTCTTCCTTCTTCATTCAGCAGAACTATTTCATCTTGCACGCTTTTGAGAAGACCATAATGAAGACCAGCTTTTCCAGCAGCAAACCCGGTACTAGCTACAGCTTCGGTCACAATAATAGCTGGATTCGCTAAAGTAACTCCCGAAGCCGCCTGGTAGTCGCGTACACTTCGAAGGAAATGTTTAATGGCCAGGAATGCTCCGCGAACATTTAAGGTATAGTTCTTTTCCCATTCCTCTAGAGCCAGGTCCCAAATAGGATATTCATGGGAAGTACACTTATTTGCAGAGTTGACGATCAAGATCGTCGGGGTTCCAAAACGCTTCGCGGCCTTTTCGAAGCCTAATTGGATGGAGTTCTCATCAGTGACACCGCCATTCAGGATATGCAGTCGGGTAAACCTTTCGGCATCAATGCCGGAAAGTTGTAGAGGGAGGTTATCGTATGTTGTGACTCGGCATCCGTGATCTGTAGACGGTTAGTTCATTTCCAAGGGTCTTTTGCGGTGACAAGATAGGGCTCAATCTATCCAGCCTAGCTCAAAGTATCTACTACAAATATTGAAGCTACAAAAAAACCTACCCAAAAACTCTCTAACAGTCTCTCCTCCAATATCACCCGCAGCCCCTGTGATAAAAACATGCTGGCCTTCAAGGCCAAGGAATGATCTGGAATTGGCCTCCGACATTTTGCTTTCGATTTGGAATCGTATCAGTTACGAGACGTATCCAATTTTGAATCTACAGCCGTATATGGGTTTGGCGGTCGAATCCAAATCACCCACAAAGCCACGTGAAGTCTCACTTGAGATGACCGGATCTGCAAGTCATGCAGCCACGGAGTTTCGAGGCTCTCTCCGTAACGGATTTTAGTCAAATCTCTATCACCAATGAGAAAATTGGTACGGAGCAACGCCTGAATCAAGACAAGGTTAGATCGGTTCAGAAGTCTAGGTCTTTCGATCTCAACTGAGTCAATTCTGGTAGTCAAATCTGGCAATTAGGCTTTTCTTGGCGAGTCAATTTGGTATAACGGCAGGAAATAGGCTTCAATTAGGCTGCCGTAAGGCTTCCGTAAGGGCGGTTGAAGTTTCAATAGTTCACAAAGTCTGTATCTAAATCGAGACGTCAGATGGGTTTGCTGAGTCATCATTCCTTTGCACACAGTATTTAACGAACAATTTAACAAGGTAAATATTTAAATAAGGTATGGTGGTTACTAATAAAAAACAAAGGACTTAAACTTGAGATCTCACATCTTTCCGAGGGATTTCAAATTATCAAAGAAAGGTCTGGGTGGACCCGAAGATTTCCCGGTGAAATCAATAAGAAATGAGGCATCGGGAAAATCTACGGAAAGATCCAGTTTACGGGTTGATATAGTTCCAAGGTTTCTTGTATCACTGAGTAGGGCTAGATATAGATCAGAATCACGGACAGTGACCTGAAACTCCTTCTAAAGCTATTCTAATTTATCCAAGATTGCGGTCCGGATTGATTTTTTGGGTGAATAATATTCAAATGCTAAGTCCAATATATTTTAGCGCCTGAAAACGGCGCGAGAATGGAGCTCGCTAAGATAAATATAGAGGAATAAACCAACCTTATTTCCCGTTCCTTCATTTCTCCATTTCTCTATTATCAACTCCGCCCCATTTCTCCACTCACAGAAGTGGAAATAACTGTACCCGGAAAATCTTAGTCATAACTGTATATGTACCATGGTTGATACTTGTCTGCCGTAGAACGTGGGAAAATAGAGTCGTACTGAATAACAGTGGATCTTCAAACGTTTTATGACAGGCCCAGGTGAACTTTGAGTTTGATCCACACCGGGTGGAAATGAAGCAATTAATGAAGCGGGTTATATTTACTTTGCCCAGTAGCCTGTTCGGGAGACCTTCTATTGGGGTAGATCTGGAACTGGAAAGATTGGAATAGATCTTGTATATCCAATTTCTCTCGCTTCTAATGTTCCATTGTTGCCCAGGTGGATACTGAGTGAGCCCCTTTCGGGTCCAGGGCTTTTTTGGCTCAATCCGGCAAATAAGGGTGTCCAATATTGATAAGATCCACTCTCTCTCTGACGCAAGACAAGTGGGTGGATACTGTTAGAATTAACTTTGTCGAACGATATTTACATTCCGTAGAGACTATTGAGAATGGGTATAATTTATAATTCTCTATACAAATCCAGGGCTCTAGGTATTATCTATTGTCTATGAACAAGAAAAGGTGAGTAGTTTAAGTACAAACAAAAGGAAAAAAAATGACGGGTATCAGTCCCATGATGTCATGGTACAAGGCTCTTCTTTTTTCGGTAGGAGCTACACTCAGACTGGAGATTCCTGGCCGCGGGTAACGTGCGCGGTATTGGCTTCATAGTCTGATGGCCGCGAGTTGCGTTCCACAGTTACCGTAAAGTCTTGGCGTATCCGGAAAGCACGATCAGATCCGTCATCGCTCATATCTCGCTCGTGCTCGTCACTGTTGTGTACGCTGGCATCAGAAACTGCCGGCCCAGACTTGTCTAGATGCTGTTCATGAATGGCTACTGTGTACTGGAACTCCTCCATGTGGTGGTCTGCTGAGTAAAGTTGACTGACGGGTCCAAATGATCGAGAGCCCTTGTTGGTAGTAGTCCATGCACCTGACTTGTATTTGTCGGTACCCTTCTTTGATCCTCCGGTCCAGCTCTTGAGTGCAGGGAACACATCTCTCATGAGAGACCAGATCAATGGTAGATTGGTGACCAAGATAGCCACGGTTGCTTCGCGGAAGTACCAGTTCATGTAGACGTATGAAATGAGATCAGGTACCAGGCAGTACACCTTGTTCAGTACTGCGGAGACAATGACGAAGACTCCCATGCCGAACAGGAGTATCAGTACCAACTTCTGGCGCACCGGAACGCGGACCTGCAGCAGCAGTGGAATGGCTACTAGTAACATAAATATGTCTGCGGAAATGGAGAAAACTCCTTGAACGATTTCGTAGTATTGATAGGACGAGCATTGATCTGAAGGATGTTAGATCCATAGGCATGGGTACACTTCCAGAAGTGTGGACTTACAGTTTGTCGTAGGAACAGCCCAGTAATTTTGAATAGGTCGACAGATGAGGAACAAGGACAGCTCAGTCACAATAAATCCAAGTCCCACATAGATGGAAATGTAGTTGATCCATTTTCTCTGCGCTAATCCCTCGGTGATACGAGCATATATCACCAACATGCATGCCTTCATACCCCAGATACAGAGAATGAAAGCATGTTCTGACACAAACACCCATTTGCTGCCCTTTACTCGATCATTGCGTTCTTTTGCTGACATGCTTGAGATATTTGCAAGTTGGTCGTCCGTGAGCAAATTTGATCCTCCTCCAGAGGCCACTTCATTAAGGGCGACACAAAGTATGGTGTACCATACAACGGAAAACATCATCAAGTAATCGTCAACTTGGAGGTGTTGCCATCCCAAACGTCGTATACGGGCCGTACTGTTCAAAGGACGTTAGACAAGGCCGTTCACCGTCGGTAGCAATATCATATACCCACAATCTCAATACACAGCCAAATACACCAACGGCATACAGAGACCATGTCTCCCGCGTAAACTCACGACTGAATGCACCTCCAAGATTAGACATGGTGAAAGAGCGTGATTGAAATCGTTAAGAAACCATGAGGCTTATTCTAAGGGCAGCACCATGTCTTTTTAAGGAAGTTTCTTGGCTATTGCATAGATCTACCGAGAAAATTCCCCAGGGGAAAATCTATAGTGGATATTTACCAATAAATTAGTATTGGCCCTGTCCTTTCCGAAGTCTGTACTGTGTAAATAGGCTAAGCATACGCACAGATACATATTGGCCAGTGACAGTAAACAGCCGACCGCCTTTCCTTGTTTGAGTGGAGTTGAGAGTGAGCCATAACTAAACTGCAGGAAAGGATCCATGGACGTGGATGGATCCAGATCCTTGGACAATCATACTGCAATATTGAACCATTGAGGAAATGATAATCTGTGTCTACCTTGGCTCACCTCTCAGCTCTCACTATGGGTTTTGTATCCAGTAATAGGTAGGCCTTCAGTCTTGAGAACCTTGGAAGATTTATGATTCTTATACAATTTATAAATGGTACATGGGTTTTGTGGTAGTTCTTTAAAAATGAGTTTTCCCCTGTAGCTTGGCGGATTCCAGTGCCAGGGAATATCTAGGTACTGTTCCGTAGGAGGTAAGAAAAGATTGTATGAAGCCCCGATATAATTGAAGTACGCGTCTTTGTTAAGCTGTGGGCTTTCAAATTAATTTCCCCCTGATCTGACGGGAACTTTATTAGTATAGGTGATGTTTCAACTTTCTACAAGATTAGCTCTTGTAGAAGAATTGTGAGACATATCTAGGTAGATAGAGGCCAATATGTAGCCCCAAAGCCATCATAGATCGAGTAACCCAAGCCTATGAAGAATCTTGAAAAAGTAGAACTTCAATATTTGCCACACATGTATTTGTCGCGATGAGTTCGACGTAAAGTCCATCGGCGTATAGAACAAGTGGGGCATGTTGAGTAAGAAAAGTAATTGAGGGATTTGGATGGATTTATGGATGTGGACCCGGTGGATCCCTACATCCGGCATCTGGGGGTTTAAAATGATCTTTTTCATTTCTTTCGAATCTCACTTTATTAGTGTTGTCTGAGAATTCAATACTCTTGTCTTTCGTATCGCGCTAATCCTGGAAGGTACTTGATTAGCGAGTTTATGGATTTTTCACATATTGTACATTGCCCTCCAGGGTTCAATCTCCACATCACCCCATACTATGTACGTACTCCGCCGTATGCTCTGTATACTCCATACTGCTTCACGGATCCACTCGCCACCCAGGATCCAAGATCTACATAACCAGCTAGGTTAGATCATTGGCATTAATATCATCGGAGGTGGGGCTCGAATCCTGTTATACAATTCATGTACCGCATGGAAAAACCCCAAAAAGACATCTCCCTTGGGTCAAAGAGAAATCTCTGTTCATACTTTACGGTTGTTCTAGACTCTTTCCTACTTCTCTTTGCTAACTGCAGGTGATCAGATTTTTCGTTGTTAGAACCTATCTAGTCGAAGTAAATAGTAGTAGTCTAGTAGTACATAGAGCCCTAGAGATAGATCATTAGCAAGTTAGTGGATTCAAAGTGCGATTATCGATCCACACCATAGTTTGGCATTTCATGAGAACATGTCAGCTCCATCAAAACAATTACACGATTTATGATTACAGCAAAGATATATGCTTAAGTCCCTATCTTTTGAAAGGACCTAATTCTAATCTGGGTAGAGTAGAAAAATGTCTCCTGAAGCTCCCCTTCTAGGTAAAGCATTGCCTATTACATGTCTCGTTCGCCTGCCCAGATTCTTAAATATCCAATTAAAGGCCAGAATGACCCCACTTGGTCCAAAAAGGATATAGCCAGAACAGAATATAATTGGCCGTATCTTGACGTTGTGGATTTAGAGTCTTGATTAGAGTGGTTGGAAGTGTGGAGTTATTAATTTTCTGATGTACTTTAAGGTAATAGTCTTGCCTCGCTGCTGTTTAGAATTTCAGACTTCGGTCCCTTTTTCAAATCACCTCTTGACTTGTCGCTCGGGCATATTCCCACCCTATTCAACATCGATCTTGTTGACTCCCGGCAGGAGCTGCGAACTGCCTCATCATGTCGGCCGACATTCCCAAAAAGGCCCAGGTCTTCGAAAACACAGCTGATGATTCTCACGAGGGTGAACTTATCAACGCGTCTGGCCATCACCAGGAACTTGACAGGAACTTCAGCCTTCTGAGCATTTGTGCTGTGGCCGTGACGACTGGTAACACTTGGATTGCTCAGGGTGGTAGTGTGTTGGTGGCGTTGAGCAACGGTGGACTTGCAGGATGTATCTATGAATTGTATGCACCTCACCCAGCCTTCAATCTTTGAGCTTTCTCTAACTTTAAGTCTACAGCATCGCCGTATCTTTCTGCTACTGGTTAGTCGCCGCATCTATTGCTGAGTTAGCATCTGGTATGCCCTCAGCCAGTGGTGTATATCATTGGTCTTCCGTGACTGCCGGCAAATATGGACGTTTATGTGGCTTTTTTGCTGGTTGGTGGAATTGTCTAGCCTGGATTCTGGGCGCTGCCTCTATGTGCTTGATCATGGCACAACAGCTGGTGTCTATGTATGCGCTTATGCACCCTGGGTTTGTGGTGCACACATGGATGACATTCGTAACCCTCCTCATTTGCACTTGGGTGTGTTGCTGCATTGTCCTCTTCATGAATCGCTTCCTGCCCATGATCGGTAACCTCGGACTATTCTTCATTCTCGCTGGTGTCTTCGTCACTATCCTTGTGTGTGCCATTATGCCCCACGTCAATGAATTGCCGTACAATTCCGATTTCAACGTTTGGGGGGAATGGACCAACGAGACTGGCTACACTCAGCAGGGCTTCGTCTTTGTGATGGGTATGCTTAATGGTGCTTACAGTGTCGGTACTCCTGATTGCTCATCTCACTTGGCTGAGGAGATTCCCAAGTAAGTCTACTTTACCGTTCATTGTTCGTACCCTAGTTTTAACACCCTGTCTAGCCCGAGCCGTAACATTCCCAAGGCTGTCTTGGCACAAATGAGTGTCGGTTTCGTCACTGGTCTCCTCTACATGATTGCCATCTTCTACTCCATCCAGGATATCGACGCCGTCTCCAACAGCTCCTATAACTTCCCCCTCGCCGAGATCTACCACCAGGCTACCGGAACTCGCGGTGGTGCCCTTGGACTTTTGATCGTCGCCTTCATCCCCACCTTGGTCACAGCAACAGGATGTTTCCTTACAGCAGGTCGCACTCTATGGACTATCTCCCGTGACCGCGCCACCCCCTTCCACAAGTGGCTGGGCCACATCAACTCCACATTCCAAAACCCCTTCAACGCCACTTTTGTCTGCGGCTGCATCGTCACCATCCTGGCCTGCATCTACCTCGGGTCGACCACCGCCTTCAGCGCCTTTGTCGGATGCTTTGTGCAGTTGTCCAGTCTGTCCTACTTCCTAGCCATCTTCCCTCACATCCTTACTCGCCGCTCCTCGTTCGTCCCGGGCCCCTTCTTCATGAACAACTTGATCGGCTACATTATCAATATCCTCTCTTGTATATATATTCTCGCCTTCGTCGTCATCTTCTGTTTCCCTTATGCCTTGCCTACCGATGCTGCCTCGATGAACTACGCCAGTCTGATGACCGGCGGTCTGACCATCTTCGTTTCAATCTGGTGGTTTGTCCGCCGGGGCTCCTATGAGGGACCAAAGAATATTCCTCTAACAGATAAAGCCTTGCTGAAGGAGGCTCGCTGAATCTTTGCTGTGTTTTTTCGAAGTGCGGACACGATTTTCTTTGCAAATATAAATTATATTTTGTATTATATTTTGTTTTATCTCTACGACCATCACATGCAATTTCTGACGTGACCTATATGTGACTCTTCCATATATCGTTGGGCATGTAGGGCTGGGGCTCTGTATATATCACCTGTATGCAGGTGCATGATTTTATGAAGAAAGTCTCTACAAAATGACACGACTTCAATTTCGAAGCATTAATTAATATCAATATGTTTAACTACAAATTTTGATTCAAGATTTATAATATTATCAATTCTAATGATTCATCTAGTCGTTATTCATATCAGTCTATATACACTGCAAACCCCAACTCTTCAGCCTCTATCTGGGTATAATCCCTATGCAAAGTTCGCTGATGACTGAGAGAAACGTGTTCAAATCAACTACAACAGGAAATCAAATACCTCCAGGATTCTTCAAGGCATCATCACAGCTTAAGGCTCAACAGAAGGCTTGCTCAACCGTCGGCCCTGGTTCTCCTTTCGGTCAGCAGCAAGTGACTGCGCGAACTTGCTATTTTCGCGCACCTGCGGGCCAAACCAATAGAAGACGTAGATTGGTAGGACAATAAGACAAGACAGACATGCCAGAATCGTACTGGCGTATTCAACATGCCACCTGTCGCCAATGTTGGTGTACATCGGCGTGGCATACATGGCCGAGATACCAGCCAGAAGATCTCGAGCGAAGGCATTGCCACCACATGCTGATGCTGAGTAGACACCATATGCGGCGATCATATAGTCAACTGAAGAAAGGTAGATGGCAAAGTTGGCTATTCCAACCATAGTCGAAAAAATCATAGATGCGATCCAGGGGATACCACGCTCTTTACCGAACGAGGTCCAAGCGAAGCCAAACAGCCCGATGGGTTCGAATGGTGCGAGGAAGAGAAGCCACTTTAGACGACGTTCTGGAGATAAGGCATCTGTACCCTGCGTCTTGCGAATGTGCTCGTCTCGCCAAAACCAGGGGAAATAGGAGAAATATGCCAGGATGTAGGCGAGGTTGATTGGAATAACGGCCCATGCTTGTGCTAAAATCCCAAAGTCCCAGCCATCGCCGTATACGAGCGTAAAGCTCTCGAGGAAAGTGAAAATGAGCGCGTCAGAGAATCCGGATAGAAGGGATAGACAGAAGACGATCGGTTCACGGAGCAGCATGTGGAATGGTCGGATCCAGATCTTGCCTGCCTCTTTGAGGGAAACACGGGGATGTTTCAACTCGTTTGGACCGTAGATGTTAGGATCTTCTCCTGATTCTCTACGACGCTTTGCTTCCCGGTCGATGAGGATTGTAGATCGGCTCTCGGGCATGAAGAAGATGATTGCCTGGACAACGCCGCCGAAAATAAGTTGAATCCAAAAGAACCATTGCCATCCAAGGACTGAGAGGTAAGGCTATTAGAATTTTTCTTTTTTTCTAAAAAAAAATGGGATCTTGGAATTGCTTACATCGCTCAATCGGACCGCCAATGACTCCACCAATGCTAGTTCCTATGCAAGAAGAGAGCACAATAAAAGCAAGTGGGAATTGCTGGGTGTCTGACTCGTAGATATCGGCAATCAGACCAAGTGTCACACTACCACCGGCAGTAGAGATTCCGCCCTAAATAATGTTAGTTATTTCACACTCCAAGATTTAAGATGATTGTTACTCACCAGTCCACGAGCGACAACAATAGTACCCCAGTTAGGGGCCAAGGCGCAAGGAATTTGCCAGATGTTGATGAGAAACATAGACAGCTGAAGAATAGGCCAGCGACCAAACTCCTCACTCCATGGAGCCCACAGCTCACATCCAATGGAGTAAGTGATCAGATAGATCATCTGGCCAGTGCGAGCTTCCTGTGCACCGATATTGAAGGCCTTAGAAAGGGGAGTTACTGCATTGGGATAAACTGATGTATTGAAGTTCATAGACACTTGGACACATGCCACAGCCATCAGATATGTCCATTTCTTCCATCGTGGCCAGCAATAGCCCAGCTTATCATAGCATTCATGTTCCTTGAGTTCACGAGGCTGACTTGAAGGGATTTTTTCAATTTCTTTGTTTGAGTTAAGAGAGTCCTCTCTCAAGGACTCAGCTAAGGAGAGTGAGGCGGATTCTCGACCAGCCATTTTGCGTAGAGATTGAAAGATTTCATGCAGTACATTATGTTCCTTTATCAGAAAAACCGAAAAGTCAAAGATCTACTTTCATTATATCGTCATAGCACCCAAACCGGATTTACTGAGATGCTTTGACGATCGGTGGGGACTTTTATATGTACCTTGTACCACATTACATTACTTGAAGTGGATCTTCCGTTCTTCCTCCGTTCTCAGCATCTTCCCCGTGGTCAAAACTCAACTACTACCTGGTACCTGGTATCTGGATTTGAAGAAGCTGCTCAATTGGATGATTTGGATCCATCTCGCATGGCTAATACAAAGTAGTGTTTAGTGTTTTTCAATGTTCAAATGTTGTGCAGTTCATAAAGTCTTATCTTTAGGGCTATAAAATCTACGTCATCAGCCCAGTTCCACCTTTCGATCTTTTACTCTGACGTCAGTTCGACGCATCGGTTCCTAGGTTGATTATGATTCTATAAAACAGTTGCTTTCAAGTCCCGGAAGTAATCCGAAGTTCGGTTGAGTCCTCTATAGTTATTAGTCTACTGCTTGCGATCGCATTCCCGACAGATCAACAGTTAACAGTCAATAACAACTAACGTGAAGAATTAATTCGAGATTGCCTTCCTTACGATAGCATGAATTGTCTAATTAAGCCCAGTATAACATGCTCTACTTTGGCTGTATCTATACCAAGGATAACCTTGGAACCCTTTAGGTAATTGATTCCAATGTTGACATTTAAGGTACACGAATAAATCATAAGAAGTTACAACTTCCAAATTCCAAAATGGCCTCTCTAAATTCTCAGTACGCTCTTTCCCTCTAAGATGAGGTGTCAGCAAGGAGCCTTATGCCTAGGTGGTAGCTGGCTATAGTTCTAGGCTTACTAGTGTTTATGAAACAAGTATTGCTCTTGGTTTGTTGCCTAGGTGTACTTAAAAGTTGAAATTAGTCAGGCGTAAGTAAGCTATAGTCAAATCTGATATTCTCACTTGAAGTTGAATCCATCAAGCATTGACAGTAGAATATTGTTTTGCGATCGATTTACTAAATTGATCACGTGGTCACGCGCCGTGACTGATCGGTCGCGTTTGCGGAACAATCTCCAGGGCTTTGGTCTCATTTTCAAGCCACCATGGTTTTAAAACCCTTCAAACCTCTTTCCATCAAAAGACCTACTTCAGCAGAGGTCATTGATGTCGACAAATATCCAGCCAAAAAGCCCCGCCTACAAGAGGATGAGCCTGTGGTGACTGATGTGAAGACGCGGCCAGCACTGGGGGCTCGAAAGCCTTTAATCCAAGTCCGAAATATTAGCAAGGAATCTACAGCGAAGCCAGCATCAAAAGCGTCGATACCTCAAAATTTTGTAGGGGATGAGAGATTTTTCAATGCTCTCTGGTACGTTCCTAGTCGCTGATTTCTTTGCCCGCAACACAACTAACAATATTTCTCTTGGCTAGGAGAAAGCCGAGTACCAAGAAGAATAAAACCTGGGACGGCGATGGTGTACTTATTTCTCGTGCGGGATTCGTCACCTTGCGCGACATTGATGGCAAGGAAATGGGCAGGACTATGTACGAGCAGGATCTTGAGCCGGGAAAGATGCTGTATGTGAGTGGAAAGGAAGTAGAGGTCGACTCTGAAATACCTCGCAAAGTGTATTATGCCTCGAGAAACCTGTCGGTGGAAAAAAATCCGACCCCTTCATCAAAACCGTCGAAGAAACAGACTGTGTCGGTGTCAAAAAGAAGTGATGGCCAGAAATCATCCTTGAGCCGGACTGCTTTAGGGACGGAATACAGTGCAGCTGCCAAAAGTAACTCTGGTCTTGGCGCATACAAGAAACCTTTGCTCGAAGATACGGTGATGGCAAGTACAGGTTTAGAAAAGGTGGTCCCGCGTCATGATCCCACTGCACCTGGGGCATTGGTTATGCCGAGACCGACTTCGGTTCCTAAAGGCAAACAAATTGTCGACGTGGTTGTCGACCCTTTATTGACAAAGAGTCTCCGACCACATCAGCGGGAAGGTGTCCGGTTCCTCTATGAATGTGTCATGGGAATGCGGTCATTTAACGGCGAAGGTGCCATCCTGGCAGACGACATGGGTCTGGGAAAGACACTACAGACCATCGCTCTGCTATGGACCCTTTTGAAACAAAACCCCATTTATGGAGATGCTCCTGTGATCAAGAAAGCACTCATTGTTTGCCCGGTCACTCTTATCAATAATTGGCGCAAAGAATTCCGCAAGTGGCTCGGGAACGAGCGCATCGGAGTCTTCGTATTTGACGATAACCGCAAGCGTTTGACTGATTTCACGAGGGGAAAGTCTTACAGTGTCATGATCGTGGGATATGAGAAACTGAGGAGTCTGCAAGAGGTCTTGGCGAATGGTAAGATCGATATCATCATTGCAGATGAAGGTCACCGACTCAAAACATTGCAAAATAAGAGTGGTATGGCCATTCAGTCACTGTCAGCTATCAAGCGAGTAATTCTTTCCGGTACCCCCATTCAAAACGACTTGAAGGAGTTCTTTGCCGCCGTGGATTTAGTCAATCCCGGAGTCCTGGGCACCTTCAAATCTTTTATTCGGGAATTCGAGGTCCCAATTGTTCGGAGCCGACAGCCCGAAGCCACCAGAAAGGAGATCGAAAAGGGAGAGTCTAGAAACGACGAACTCAGGGAACTCACCACTAAGTTTATCCTACGAAGAACCGCGGATATCCTCGCCAAATATCTTCCCCCAAAATCTGAGTATGTGCTCTTTTGCAAACCGACTCGCCCGCAAGCCAATATCTACCGAAGCGTCCTTGCCTCACCGTTATTCCAATCTGCCATGGGAAATTCCGAGAGCGCCCTGCAATTAATAACAATCCTGAAGAAGCTCTGCAACAGCCCATCTTTGCTCACGGCCAAGAACAACGACAACTCCCCCAACGAAAATATGACCGCTCTCCTAGCTTCCCTTCCACCCAATCTCATGCGTCACTTCTCCCCGGCTGCAAGTGCCAAAGTCCGAGTCATGGATCAGATCTTAGATAGCATACATGCAAATACATCAGAGAAGATCGTGCTGGTTTCTAATTATACATCGACTCTAACCCTCCTAGCCAACCTACTTTCCTCTCTTGGCCTCCCATTCCTTCGTCTAGATGGAAGTACCCCAGCTCAAAAGCGCCAGCCTCTCGTGGATGAGTTCAACCGTCTCCCCGCAGCAAAGTGCTTCGCCTTCCTGCTATCCGCCAAAGCAGGCGGTACAGGTCTGAACCTCATCGGAGCCAGTCGTCTTATTCTCTTCGATGTGGATTGGAACCCTGCAACAGACATACAAGCCATGGCGCGTATCCACCGCGATGGCCAAAAGCAACACTGTCGCATCTACCGCGTTATTCTCAAGGGCAGCCTGGAAGAGAAGATCTGGCAGCGCCAGGTTACCAAGCTCGGACTGGCTGACAGCGTGATGGGGCACAAGGATAACGTTGCGCAGTTTTCTACTTCCGAACTGCAAGACCTGTTTCGACTAGATGAGGACAGCAGCTGTCAGACGCATGACCTATTAGGTTGTGACTGTGGCGGCAAGGGTATCCCTTCTTCTTCGGAGATTCCCACTCCAAGCGAAGAGCAGAGCGTCATAGACCTAGACTCGAATACCTCAGTGCTCAGTGACGCATCTGATGAAGACGGACCTAATTTCCCGACTCTGGTGAAAGCCTCCGAAGTCGATATGGAGGAACAGGAACGCTCGATCCACAACTCTTCCCGTCATGGCCGGAAACAGAAGGATAAAATGCATCAGTCTCTGGCGCAGTATGCTCATATCGACCCTGCTCTTCTTTCTACGGCTGAGGATGAGGAGGAAGTTGCAGCTGCTATTGATGACGACGTGCTCGTTGGACTGCTCAAAGATGAGTGTAATCAAATCGGCTACATTTTCAAAAAGACCAACGGTGCTGAAGTTGAAATGGAGAGTCCTGAAGCTGCCTCTGAGTCTTGAATGTGATGAGTTTGTTTATACTTAGGTTATTCTTCATATCGCATCCATGGACTAGAAAGTACATTGCATCATGTACGGAGTATGAAATTAAAGCTAGCTATATATGGATTTGTCGGCATTATTGAACTCATTTCAAATATCAATTCCATGAAGCTAAGTATCAGCCACTTTATAAATTGGTCAAATGTCTGTCCCACGGGTCTAGTCTGTAGCACTCAGGAGCAGGTGGTATCTTACAAATCATTGATACCAAAATCTAGAATGTCTTGATAAGATACAACTTTATGGTTTAATAGAAATATTTAATCGTTCCATATTTCTGTCTTTGCCTTTGAAGCTCATGTACAAACATCATATAACACTTCAGGTAAACAGGTCGGGATATGGATGACCTATCAAGGAGTACGAGTACACACAATTACAAGCGAATTTACAAGATTATGGACAAAAAAGATATTAGCCTATCTCTTCAATTAGACTTATCTAAACATATGATTAGACTATCAGCAAGTTTACCTAGTTGGAACATGAGTAAACTGCGGGCCTAAAACCCCATGAGCACAGGAAAATACCTCGAACACAAACAAGTGTAGGAGTATGCGACCACAGGAATGAGTCCACTCAGAGCTCTCCTAGAATGAGAGCCTTCTTCTTTCTACTCTCCAATATGAAGTTTTGGTCTTTTCGGGGTCGCGCTAGCCAGGACATCGCTTCACTCAATATTAATATCGGGGGCGGGAAGTAGCCGCGGCGTGAAGAGACTAGAAAAACAAACCTTCGGAGAAGCAATGTTGAGTTAAAAGAAAAGGGGGGTCTTAAAAGTTCGAAAACCTGTTGGTCTTTTTGAATGTGTTCTGGGTATCCAGATTTTCTTTCGGTGTGCTAAGGGTGGTGGACGAGGACGAAATTTGGATTAATGGGGACCAGCCCCTCGGTATGGGGCAGAAGGGGTATGATCTAGACTGGGGTCGAGGTGTTGGACATGGTGGTTGTGGGGCCTTGTCGCTTGGCAGAGCCTTGGGGGGAGATGTCCTAGAAAAATGTATATTAGTTAATTCGAATTACTGGGGCGCTGTTGAGTCGGAGTGGAAAGCTGTAGGGGGATGATTTTGCTTATCGATGTCTTGCTGAACCAGGCCTGAGGAATCACCACTTACCTCCAAGTCATTTATCTTGCGCTTTTGGCCGACTGGCTTAGCTTTCTTCTTCGGTTTGGGAGCGCAAGTTTCACCGGGTTCAAACACGTCGTCTGGCAAATCAAAGCTGGGAATATTCAGTAAGTAAAGAGAAGCGCTTGAAGGGGATTCGCTTACTTGCGGACATGGGTGACGGCTAAATCCATCACCTCGAACTGATATCCGGGCCATGACGTGCACATGGACTTGAAAACTTCGGAATCGGTGGAAATATCGAGAGATCGCGAAGCACCTAGAAAGAGTCAGCAAAGTCCAAAAAGGGGAATACGTCGAATCAGGTCCGCGCCAAGTCGATAGTTACCAGGTTCCAGCGGCTTCAACTCCAGGCCGATGTAGTAAGAAGTCGTGTAAACAGTCATGCCGTCGGCTTCGGTTTTCTGTTCTGTCGAGTTTGCCGTTCCGTTCGGAGTTGCATCTTGAGTAGCATCCTTGACTACACCAGTCATGCTGTCATCCTCAAATTTCTGATCGGGAACCGGGACTGCCTCGTTCTCTGCCCCGTGCACAGCAGCAGCTTGGTGTGCAGCATTGTTGACCTCGTCAGTCATCTCTGTTTTAGTACCTTGAGCTCGGTAAGAAACGGAGCCAGCTTTCACAGCATCCATCTCCTTGTCATTGTGGACATGATGAATTCGCTCGAAGCCCTTCGGAAATGGATGCGCTATGGCGATGATAGATTTGCGATCGAGGGCTCCGACGAGGTGTCGCAACTTCGATTCGACCAGACCAGACCAAATTCCTTCTGCTTCTTTGGTCTTGCTTGAGGCCGTGATACATAGATAGTATTTGTAATCCTTCGTGAAGAAATTATGCCGAACGAACAGGTCAGTCCATGGTCGTTTCTTCAAAAAGATCTCGTTGATGAGAATCCCACCTCTTCCAAGCTCCCGAAGGAGGACGGCTTTGGTGGACAAGGAGATGTTATGTGTCGCGCACATTGAGGGATAGGCCGGTGTAATAATCGGCATGAGATGGAATCGGTCGCCATGGTAGATCTATGTCAATCACTGTAAGCAACTATCGCACAATGGGTTCAAAAACATTGAGCTTACCGATGGGTTCCAAACTTTGATTTGAAGAGGTCCATCTTCAATCTCCTTGAGCATTACAGGTTGTGGCCAATTCCATTTCCTCATGATAGTGAAGAATTTGCTGACAATGACAGCGCCTGTGGCTTGGGGGTACAGTTGGCACACTCTCGCCACAAGCATAGCCCACGCGACACCTCCAGGGAAACCGACAATATTTGCATAGATTGCTCGACCTGCGTAGAAGATCAAAAATTAGTGTTTGAACTCGCGAAAAATCTGAGCAGAACATTAGAATGCCACTCACGTTGGGCCCAAAGTTTGACTGCACGCAAAGCCAGGCGAAATGTCTTCTGCTGCGGAACCAGTGCAAGAATTTCATCTGTGACTCGAGTTCCATTAAGCGATCTAACTTCTTTCTCATCCAATCCTCTCAAGTAGTCATTGTTTTTCAAATCAATATTCATGGGAACGGAAGAGATCAACAGTCGAGCGTAGATCAAATCGATGCTGATTCCAGCCAGCTCCAACTTGATGATGGGAACATACGCGTCGGGCACCGGCGTCATCTTTTCAATGGTCCCCGGTGGGGCCAGCTTCTCAAGAATGGGTGGGAAGTCGGAAAAGAAATCATCGATTAGCACATATTTCGGACCAACAACCAGGGTATCAATATCGGAACCTAGAGCAGCCAGTCATTAGCAAGTGACTTAATTGGTATACGAATCAAACGTATGTCCACTCACCTGGACCATAAACACCTAGGCGATAACTTCCGTAAGCAAAGACCTTTCCGCCAGCAGCCTCGATGGCAGCAGGAGACAGCCCCTTCTTGCGACAAACAGATTTGACAAATTCGACCGTGACGCGCTGCAGTAGTAAGAGCATTTGTTTTCTGCGCAAAGGTATCAGCTCCTATGTATTTAATAAATGCGACCTCTATCAACCTACCTACGCTCAGTCTCTGTCGGTGGTTCAAAATTGTTGTGAAGTTTGAGAGCTGCGATGAGATCATCATCAGCAGCCATTTCGTCCGCAGTAGGCAATGCGAAGGTGATCGAGGGCGTCACACCCCATTGTCGGGGAGGGGGTGTAGCCATCGTAGGGTTGAGCGATTAATTTCACGTCAACGAAGGTATCGAGACGTCGAACGTGCGAGGGAAGGAACCGGTTGGAGATTGGAGCTTCGAGATCAGATAACGGCAATTTCGTTGACGTCACGTGTTCAAAAACTCGCATCAAATCAATTGCACATACGCAGTAAAATTCTGGAAATAAGGAACAGCCGAGAGAACAACGAAAAGAATGGGAAGAATGATGTCAGAAGAACCTGGGAAGTGGTTGGAGACCACGCCGGCGCTCAAATCTCGCTTACTCATTAGAGATCACATGATCATTTGTGCATTTTTTATACTTCAAATTCAAATTATTCTAAAGTTGGTTTAAATTGCCTTCTAAGGTTAAATAAATGGGAAGACCTAGATTCTAGATTCAAAACTCTCAGCGAAGACTTTCTAAATGGGAACCGATCCTATCATTTATTATTATGACCATACGGTAAGTACCAAAATCACGTTCACAGTACACCTTCAAACTTCTCCGAAAGAGATGTGATACCATCAGGCTTGTTTTCCGAAAAGAAGCGGGACAACTGCTTGTCGAGCCAAATCAAATCCTCTTTACTATCACCGGGACCGCCTGCCCAGTCTACAAATTCAAAGCATCATATGTTAGCCAAGACTACGCAAGGTGGGCTGGAGTACTTACGTCCCCAAATTGAAGGGAAAATATCCAGCTTTCCAACTCCTGGTTTCATGTGGGAAACCTCGTACTCAGAATCCTCCGGTCTTTCAAAATGTTAGCCAGTATCTGCGACCAGTTCAAATAATACTTTGATCTTACGGGAAATAAAGGTCAGTCTTTCCTGGCAGCACTAATGTTCTAGCTTTGATTGAGGCCAGAGCCTTTTCAAAGTCTCCATTATATGGCTCCTGCAAAGAGACGTCGCCATTCTGCCAAGTCTGAAGCATCACCAAGATGTTTTCCGGATCTAGTCCAGTGTCAGCATGAGTTTGTTTGTTGATCGCAGCTCTTCATACCCTTCGAACAAGCCCATTTCTCCCAGAAATTCTGCATAAAGTCTTCGATTCCGGTGAATCCCAGGACTGTCTCATATAGCTTGTAACGATAGAATGCCTGGCTGAACCCCCTGTTGACAAGATAGGAGATCAGCTACGCTATTGAATAAACCATAACAGTGGGAATACCTACCATCCAGCATAGACTCTGCCCATGGCCTTCAGACCAATTTCCTTCTCCTCTGTGGTCCAAGTACGCACCTTGGAATCAGTCTTTTGTGCTCCGATTTCACCTATTCCTGCTGACCAAATGGATTTGACGCTCAGTAGGGCACTCTTGACTCCCTCGATGAACACTTTGTTGTGCAAGGAAGTTTTGGCTGCTCCACAGAATGGAACAGCAATGTCCATAAACTCTGGATACTGTGTCGCCCACTGGAAAGTCTGGCCAGCTCCCATAGACCAGCCAATAACGGCACGTAAGTGCGTGATGCCGAACTGTTTGGTGACGAGCTCATACTGGGCACGCACATTGTCATACAACGAAACTTTCGGAAATGGCCCCGGCTGATTAGATGGCGAAGAAGATTGACCGTTGCCGAATAGGGCTGGGATGATGATAAAGTACTCTTTGGGATTGAGTGTCTTATCTTCTCCGATCAGCCAGTAGTTGTCTGACAGTACTGAAGTGTTGAAGATGTTCAGTTAGTGAGAGGATATTGTACCAATTCATAAATAGACATACAGCCCGAGAACCAAGTTGGATAGACAATCGCTGGGGACTTGGGATCACCAAAGGTCTTGTATGCAATGTGTGCATCGACGATCTGCTCTCCGCTCTGCAGCTCCCAGTTCCCAAGCTTAAAAGTCTTATAATCCTCATTCGACATGGTGAATGTTCTTATTCTGAGGTGTAAATAGAGTGTTGTTGAGATGTAATTGTCTAAAATTCCATCTACCCTTTTATAAGATAACGACCCCGCTCCCTCGATCCTACTTTCTAAAATCTCTGACTACAGTTATTTCACGATTTGTAATATTTGCTTTGTCCTGGTTGCCAGGTGTAAATAACTAACTGACTAGTTATTTAACGACGTAAATAGTTATCTGATTTATAAGAACTGTTTTTTTTTCACGGAGCTGGGTACCAAATTAGATCTAGGGTGATCCACGGGTGACGCTACTACTGAAAATTGCAGGATTTGGGCGCTTCGAAAATATTCCGTAGATTTGAAATCAAGTAAGATGGAGAATAACCTTGGAATGGCCCCGTGTATATAATATTTAAGCTGTACAAGCACCAGGTCATAGCTGGCTCAAACTTCCACGTACTTAAACGCCCAGTCTCTAAATTGTAGGACGTGGGAGCTCAATGACATCTGTAGTGCGGCCATATGTAATCCCACCCAGCCGGCTGACAGGCTTCAGAATGTTCAGATCAATCACAGTCTGAGCTTCATCGATAGCATCCTCTCTCACCCAGAAGCGGACCCCCTCGATAATAGCCATTGCACTAGTCTTTTTGCCAGTTGATTTGCTTTCAAACTCCTTGATCTCGACCAGCTTGCCCTCAATCGCCAGGATAGACTCCTTGACACGAGCAGGGTTGACCACGGAGGTTGGAGCCTGGTGCAAACCAGAAACATCCCATTCAGAGGTTCCATATGGGGTATTGATAGAGGTTGAATTGGCAGCTTCGAGAAAGTGCTCAGATATAATATTTATAACACATTCTTGCGTCTCATGGAGGTTTTTCAAGGTGTCCTTGGGCTTCTCCAGTGAAGCAACAATTCCAACCACAAAAAGCGGTGGATCGTGATTGATGAGTTGTGCGTAGCTGAACGGAGCCAGGTTGGTGGTCTTTCCATCCGTAGACTTGGTACTGATCAGGGCGATGGGTCGTGGAACCATACCGGAGATCAAGAGCTTATAGTTGGATGAAGCCGGTCGCCCCTCTGCATTTGGGTCTATCTCAACATGATCCTTTTTCAGACTTTCACCACCGTCGTTTGCGCCGTCTCCTTGTTTCCATGTTGGGTTCGGGGGCTTGGTGAAGGTGACCTCGGCATCACGAAACTCCGGTCGAGAAGCTTGAAGCTTCTCGAAATCGGGCCTGGGTGCGGCCATGGCGGATTTATGGCTGAATAGTCGGAAGGTTTGGTAGGAAAGACAGCGTAGGTCGTAATTGGGTCTTGAACGACTGAGTGGTTGCAGTTAGCCAGTAGTTGTCTCAGTTGTCTGAAGCTGCCCCGCGTTTGGATGTGACGTCGCTCGCAGTGGTAAGCTGTAACACGCTGTCATTGCGGTAGAATTAACACTCACCGAAATTGATGTGTCACATAGAATTTTGTTGCTCTGAGAGATGCTGCGAGGGAAATCATTGAGGTTGTTGGAAAAGTGTCAACCTTGGTGGAAGCTAGCATTAGTTACAAAGAGCTTATTTCCACTTTGTGTTAGTTATATAGTGGATAAAGTGCGTGGCATTAGTACCGAGTCACATGTATTGGCATATCTCAGGAATGTTCTATTCTATTCAAGTCTAGATAGAAATGAAACATAATGCCCTAGCCCTAATTCAATAAACAATTAACAATAAAAAAGAAGACTCGACACAAAACGTGGAGAAGTAGGCTAAAATGCGGAGCCGAAATGTGGATGGATCTATACAAAATACACATCTTAAATTGTAAGATTGACAGCTCTTGACTCGCTTAATCTCCGATCGAAGTTCATCCGAGTTGATCTCATACCTCGATCTTTTATAATAGTACAGGTATAGGTATAGAATCGACAAAGAACAGAAGGACCTCATGACCATCAGATATTGAACTTCTAGTTCTCAATGGAATGTAATTTGTGTCACAGAATGAAAATGGAAACTAAAGAATAAAAAATAAAAAATAAAAATACCAGGCGGTCAAGGTTAAAGATGACAGGAAATTGCACGATCTTCTAAGTGCCTTTTCCTCCCCTCATCTTTCTACCCCCACGTTCTTATTCTCTTCTCTTCTATCCCTTTATCCCGTCTTTGTTCGTCTAATTCCACACCCTGACCCAATATAACCATTGCCGTTCTATGATTTAATCTGTCCCATATTATCCATAATCTGCCTAAGACCTGTCTGAAGCCTCTCCCCAACTCATAACCTGGGCTCATAAGCGCATGCCCAATGGGTCGGGGTCACGGCTGAACCCTCGCTCGCAATGAGCCTCTCTTCTCCCAAGAAGAAAAACGGCGGCAATACTTCCGGTCAAAGACAGATTCGCTTCGTCTCAACAGACGGCCAGCCGCAGACTAAGCGTCGCCGAGTTAACGCCGCGTATGTGAATGCGCACTCTACAGGTCAATTAAACATAGACTAACATCGCTCCGTTGCCTACAGCTGTCTTACCTGTCGCCGGCGCAAAATCAGATGTTCGGGAGAACAACCAGGTACGATCTCACTTGTATGCTCCGCAAGCCCTCGGTCATTGACTCATAGTACTATAAAGCATGCAAGACATGTTCTGACTACAAGCATGTATGCCTTGGGTATAGCGAATCAACCGCTCACCTGCGATCACAACCCGATTCCACGTCGCGCATGTCCGGCTCCAATGATCGATCAAAGCAGCACAGCTCTCAACTCGAGAGCTACTCCCCAGATTCAAAACTAGCTCCAACGTCTATACCACAAGCAGAATTCGGCGAACCACCTGTACAGAAAACATCGGACGCCAAAGAACCCCAATCATCTCTCAATGAGTCTGCGCGCATGAACAAGGAATTCAAATCGCAAGTAGTGGACGACAGTCCAAAAAGTAGTACGTTGCTCCAACGATACTGGAGGCTTTTCAGTACTCTGAATTTACCCTACCACTTCTAATTCCACTCCACAGACCATACATCCGTGACCTCCAGTAATCGTACGCATGTTCCATACTTTCGATACTTCGGTCGGACTGCCATTGTGCCTGGTTTCAAACAAATGGTTTGAGCATCTCTGTAATTCGTACGATTTAGATTTTCTGACCAATTTTAAAGGTTGTCCAAGTCCGAGGGTCTCGCAAAAGTAACCCATCCATGTCATCAGGTCAGTTTCCACCTTTAATCACCGTAGATGACAAAGTCGACTTATTTCAACAACTTTTATCAAAAGATTCAAATTCGCCGTTACGAAGCCCTAAATTATCTGATGCTCTCACTGGAATAAATGCCGTCTTGACGCACAATCACGACAGCCGCGATGCCAACACTATTCCCTTTTATGACCGTGATGATACCCTCCCAGTCTCTAATCTAGTTTCTCATTTGAGCGATCTCTTCTTCGATCATCTTGGCTGCAACTTTCCATTTCTTCAGCGTGGGCGTTTCCTTGAGGATCTTAATGAAAAGAATATGGACACCATGTTGGTGGATGCAGTCTGCGCCTTGGCCGCCAGGTTTTCGCCTCATCCACTACTGGGAGCTCCTCAGGCACCATCCATTGATGACACTCAACCCCCGACTGATATACACATGTGGAATCGAGGGCTCCCGTTCGCTCATCGAGCTATGAGTGCGGTTGTGGATTCATTATCATGTCCAACTCTGTCTGCCGTTCAAGCCTGCTTACTGCTGGCATATGAGCAGTTTGGCACCAATCATGACAGTGGTCTCTGGATGTATCTGGGTATCTCCATCCGGATGGCGCAAGACTTGGGGCTCCAAAAACATCAAGGCCTAAAGCATAATTACGGGCAGAAAGGTGTGACACCGAGTGAAGTCATGACTGGGCAAGCGGGTAAGCTACGAGAAGATCAGTATGACGATCTAGATGTCTACCAGAGTCCCCAGGCCTCTTCTCCCGTCGTGGGTGGTGAACGTGCACGAGAGCGGGAACGGGTGGATTCTTTCTGGAGTATATTCTTCCTTGATCGCGTCATATCATCAGGCACTGGACGTCCGGTCACCCTTCGCGATAAAGATATCGAATTGTGCTTTCCTATTCAGTCTGAATCACAGTTGGTAAATGGATGGCCTGCGCCCTTCCCTCCTTTGATTCGCATCATTCATCTTTATGGAAGAGTAACGGACCTTATTAACGGCATTCAAGACGTCAACCATGTCACTCCAGATACTCTCCAAAGATTAGCAGGAATGGAAAGCGATTTGACAGGTACGGCGCCCGATCTCTCTCGGGCACAATAAACTGACAAGGCTTTAAAGGGATATACCAGCGGCTATCACCAAGGCTTCATTTCAATGCGGCGAACTTCCAGGAATATGTGAAAGCACAAGAGGGTACCAACTTTATCCTTTTGCATTTCGTACGCCATTCCCTTTTGAGTTACTAAACAATTCTAACTTTCACAGTGGTTCCATACCCTCATCGTGCTTCTTCACCAACCAACTTTGCTAAATTCCTTTGGCGGAACGATTCAGCATCTCTATCCTAATAGCCGCGAGCTATCGATGTCTTCAGCCAAGACAATCGCCGATATCCTGTCCTTTGCGGAGCTTGTAGACGGGAAGAGCTTCATTGGTAACCCTTTTACAAGTCAACCGATGTATATCGCGGCTTGTGCCTTTCTAATGGAGAGTGCGTATTACGCATCGCCCTCACGATCTTCTTCGCCTCCGCCGCAACCATTGTTAACCAATCAATCAAGCGGCTTCGTGATGCCCGCAATGGAGTCTTTAAATGGTCCAGAAAGAAAGTCCGCTGCGAAACACATTCTTCTTGCATCTGTTGCAAGGGAAAATTACCAACGCTGCTACAAGGCGCTCAAGGCTTTGAACACGTATTGGAAAGGTACTCGGTACATCCTGACAGTGTTAGATCAGAAAGCCAAGGGTATTGTAGACCCTCTTCTTTATACTGTCGAAGATATGGAAAACACGGCAGCGAATACCCCAGCACCTGCCGGCTGGCTTGGTGGCAGAATTTTAGGAGACTCTATGGAGGCGCCTGAGCATTCTGCTGTGGCTGATATCCCATCACATTGGAAGTGGTCACCAAATATTGATCCTAGTCAAGGTAATTATATACTCGCTAGTCATGCTACCACTTTGATACTGATAAGTTTTGCAGCCATCGGATGGGCTCTTACTGGAACCACAAATTCTTCACAGCCTAATCTAAGTGTACTTTACCAAATGCCTACAGCGGAGGCTGAGACTGAGTCTGGACCCAGCAAGCTTCCATATTCGCCCCATTTCAGCCAGAACTATTCAATACCTGTTCCAACAACATCTGGTCCAAGCGCGAGTTCGTCCTTCCATCAAACTTCTGGCTCCCATGAGGAAGCCGTACCATCTTCCCTGGTAACCAACGCTAAATTCTCCCAAACTTCAATAATAAATCCAGACTCTCCCTATTATATGGGCATGAATGCACCCTTTGTCGACTCAACTAATCAAGCTTCTTTAACCTCCCATACACGGTATAATCAGAGTCTACGCTCCACACCGATGGAAAATCCACAACCGTATACATATCCCATTTCTTCAGCAATAGAAAATCATGATCCAAATAATGGACAAATGGGTTCACGCAAACCTGATATCCATTCTATGGGCTCACATGGTGGTGGCATGATGATTGAAAGCCACGATGTCGATATGAATTCTCTGCAACAGCAGGAATCTCAACCTCTTTCCAATGATGAGATCTTACCGTGGTTAGAATATTTACCGCAGGAACTTCTCGGCTTATTTGGGGATCAACAAAGTTTTCCTCTCATGAGCCCCGACGACACATCGCAGCCCCCTGCATGATGTCTGACTGACTTTCCACCTGTACATATATGGTCGATTTTAGCCAATTCTGCATAAATTTGCATCTTTCATCCAATGTCTTTTCAATATATAGTGACAAAGCATCTATCCAGCTGGGAATATCCTGGGAGTAAACTGAGGTGATAGTCATAACGGCCCCAAAGTTGGACATTGTCAAATGCCCGTTGTAAATTATTGGCTTAGAGCTGTTCACTATTTCAAGCGCTAGTCCCTAAAATTGATAATATGAAACTTATAAATCTGAAGAACTACTCATCTCCAAGACTAGTAGTAAAGGCAGCAGAGAAGACTGGAGCGGAGATCGCCGGCCGTGAAAGAACATATTCCTCCAGGATACAGTGTGCGTTTGTGCCACCAAATCCGAAGATACAAATTCAACAGATCAACAGGTCAACAATGGGTCCTGATCCGGAGCGAAAAACCGTTGAGCTTCTTTAGTAATGGGAACATATCTGTTGACACTTGCTCTGCGAACTTGGCCTTCGCCAGTCGACCACCACGGTATTGCTATGGTAGGAATATGTAGATTGAAAAACAGAGCCACCTTGTCTCTCAGGTTTTGGAAATGGAGATTAGGCGGCACCATTCTATTTTGTAAAGCTCAAGATGTACCGATAAGGCTTGCTAATCCTGCTGTGCTTTCGGTGTGGCCGATGACGGTCTTGATTAAGCCGACGATCAGCTTCTGTGCTGCCTAGGCTGCATGCGACCTAGTAGGGAACAGAGCGCTGGAAAAGCTTCGGCCTTTTGGGGATCATCAGCTTGAGTGCCTCTTCCGTGAGCATGGAAAAACTGGGGAAGGTCGTGAAAATTGTTAATAGGGTCAAGGCCCGCACGACTATAAGGTGATAGATATCAATACTTACTGAACCATGCCTATTTGGGACCGTCTATAGTTCTTAGTGTACCATGGTTGGGCCCGTCGACCCACAGAGCCTAATCGAAGCCCCACGTTGCCTGGGAGACGCGGTTAGACCATCATCAACATCTCAAAAAACGACCAGGATCCTAGCCTGAATCCTCCTACTTCCATCCTACTTCCTTTCTTCTATGCGATCTCGATGTCTAGACTGGGTAGTGAAACTTACTCATCTTCCGGAGCATGTCTCTCGGGCAATATCTTAAGCCCTCAGCCCTACGCTCCTCATAACAAGGACTTTCTCGCTTCCTTCGAAACCTCCCACCCTTCAGCCGGCGACAACGGATCAGCAATTGATGATGGTCAAATCTCAACACAAGGCTCTGAATACACTTCTTCTGGATCATCTACGCGAAATTCCACTGGTGACATCTTCGGTCGTGACTTGAGTGAGATCGAACACGCTAAATCAAGAGCATCCAGCCGATCGTCTCTATCTTCAATCCCAGCATCAGTCCTCGTTCATCCACTTGACCACAAAAAGCCGATCGCAGCCATGACTCTCCATGAGAAAATCACCGGGTATAGCCCAGAAGATGATGAAGCAAGCTTTGGCGGGTTCGACGATTCACACAGGAACATTCGCACCATCAGACAGCGCGAAGCCGTGTTTCGCAAGCCAAGCTCTGTCAGAGCTATGCAGATGTATACTGAGGATGAGGGCGAGGATGACGAGTACCTGACCCCACCACGTCGTCGACCCGGCATGCGGTCTCCGGGATCCTCGTCGCTGAAATACTACTCACCCAATTCGTCGCTCAAAAAGCCCAAGGTGAAGAAGGAGTATCCGCTTGTACTTTTGCATTGCAATCTGCTGCCGCCATCGCTGCCTGTACCTGGTGCCTCGGAGCCGTGCAATCAAAAGCTTGTCGAAGAGGTTCTTCCACTTCAGTATTGGAAGCGATGGCGTCGGCTGAGGGATAGAGTAGGGGCTGGAGTTATACGTGACCGGGGTGTTTTGATTTCCCACCCTGAAGACCTATACGATGTGCTCGAAGAGCGGCTACTAGAGAGTCTTGAACTGCAGCGTGCAAGACTGCAACAGGGCCATTTTCTTGGCCACGAGGAAAGTGCGCCCGGGTCAGAGGGTGAGCTCTCAGACAGAGATGAGAGTGAGACGGATGGCGAGCAGGGTGATGAGTGTCCCGACTGCGGTGGACATATTCTTCGACACAATGACGATCCTAGCCGCAAGTGGGAGATTCGTGTATATGCAGCGAACGGGTTGATGCGCGCTGGTGCCTGGGCCGCTGCGTGGAAAGAGATGGAGAAGGTGGATGTCGAAGTCGGACTTTGGTTGCCATCTGATGTACGACGAGCACTTGAGAGGCGACTTGCGGAGGAAATTCAAGTTGTCCCGGAGCAGGAAGTTCCTTCCCCTACGATACTTGAGGAGAACATGCAGCCACGATCAATCTCGGTCAATGACAAAGTAGTATTATCTGCAGAAACTCTTCCCCAGTCTGCATCGGAAACTTCTGGATCAATCTCAAGCCAAAAACCCAAGTCTGAGCAAGAAATTGCCTTGCAAACCCTCCTTGTCAACTACATCCGAGTTCTGGTCTGCGATAAACGCAATATTGCCATCTTTCTCTTAAGTGCCTTGGTAGTGTTTCTTTCCATCGGATCTCATCTCCAACAGCCTTTCCTATCTTCTTTGTCAGCTACGCAGGGGGCTGTTGAGACGACCGTTTGGGATATGGATACAGCTGAGTCTGACACGAGTCCTTCGGTTGTTGTGTCTCCATATATCGTCAGTGAACACGCTACATCTATCATAGATACTCATACCCCTGTGCTTGAGTCCATGATACCCTTTGAGACTATAGAGACTCTCATGGAACCTCATGCCTCCGATGGGACACACACCACTAATGAAGCTCCTGATATTGACGAAACTCCTGCTGTTGATGAAGTTCCCGCTGTTGAAGAAACTCCCGATATTGAAGAAACTCCCGCTGTTGATGAAACTCTCGCTGCTGACGGAGCTCCTGATGTTGAAGAAACCCCCGCTGTTGAAGAAACCCCCGCTGTTGAAGAAACCCCCGCTGTTGAAGAAACTCCCGCTGTTGAAGAAACTCCCGCTGTTGAAGAAACTCCCGCTGTTGAAGAAACTCCCGCTGTTGAAGAAACTCCCGCTGTTGAAGAAACTCCCGCTGTTGAAGAAACTCCCGCTGTTGAAGAAACTCCCGCTGTTGAAGAAACTCCCGCTGTTGAAGAAACTCCCGCTGTTGAAGAAACTCCCGCTGTTGAAGAAACTCCCGCTGTTGAAGAAACTCCCGCTGTTGAAGAAACTCCCGCTGTTGAAGAAACTCCCGCTGTTGAAGAAACTCCCGCTGTTGAAGAAACTCCCGCTGTTGAAGAAACTCCCGCTGTTGAAGAAACTCCCGCTGTTGAAGAAACTCCCGCTGTTGAAGAAACTCCCGCTGTTGAAGAAACTCTCGCTGCTGACGAAGATCCTGATGTTGACGAAGCTCCTGATGTTAACGAAGCTCATGCTGTTGACGGAGCTCCTGCTACTGAGGAATACGACAAAGTTTCTGCTGGCGATGAAACTCCCACTCCTCTTGATGGAACTAATTCAGTCTTTCCATCGGGTGCTCTTGACACCAAAACCGAGTTAGCTCATACTGCACTGCCTTCTCAGCCTTCGCCATCATCTCACTCAGATGCTGAGTCTACCAACTCTAAGACTGTCACCTCCACTGAATTGGAGGGAAAATCACAGCTTGAGACAGATAATGCCGATGAAAATGAAATCAATCAACGCCTCATGGAGCCATCCAGTGAGTCAGCTGAATAAGATTTTCTGTTATTGGATGTGTTTAGGAACACGATAGAAACGAAAGAAAATGAAATGACAACGAGTTATTTGTTACATTACGACTGGAATGACATGAGAACGAATGGAATTTACTTTTTATTACCGCAATTTCATATTTAAGCGTTTGAATTTTACTTAGCCTGCTACATCCTTGTCTTATCTCAATTTCTCCACCTTCTCATCTTCCTTGGTACGATAGTAGATTTCAGTCCTTTAACTTCGCGATTTAAGATGCATTCAAAATATCTAAAATTTCAAAAGTACCCACAAAATAAAATCTCAACTATCATGCTACTCCATCTTCAATCACCAGAAAGCATTTATCGAAAGGCAGCTTCTTTCGGCTAAAAACACATGCGCCACGATTCCCCTCAATGACTCCACAACCCACCTTTCTGCTGGGGATCCAGTGCAGTTAGCCACTAGTAGGTGTCTGGGCTATAGTCAATGTAGCGTACGTCCATGCCAAAGCGGCTGAGGCCACCCTTGTGAAGAATTTAATGTCTGACTTCAATGGAGTGCATTCATATGTACGAGAGAAAGGCAACCAACTAGGCTATTTTGGCCCTAATACTTGAATGGAATATTATCACGAGTTTACTGCCCAGGGAATAATCGCTCTCTTCGAAGCGAATCTTGCCAAGAAGAATATTTGTTCATTGCTCGTGTTAAGTCCCGCTGCATCATTCAGGACGCACTTCTTAAGACAGGAGGTTGAAACACGTGATATGATTGGGCCTACATAAGGTGATATGTCAGCATTCATGAACCCTTTTCTACTTTAGGTTAGCCCCGATGGGTCCATTTTCTAACTAAGGGTACTCCCGAGAGAAGGCGGAAGCTAAGATTAAACTAGTATTCTGTTTCCACTGAAATTTACCCAGTAATTATTTTGAATCATAACAGCTTTCAAAAAATCAAAAACTCCATTGTTGACAGGTCCGATTGGATATGGTCATTGGCAGCATGTCTTTCATGAAAATGAAAAAAGTTGTATTATTAACCATATCTTAGTATCCAGGTGATTCAGGACATACATGCTTGAAGTTGTGCATATGAGCCGCCTGAATGAAATCCTTGTTAGTCTGCAAATCACCACTGCAGGTATGACCACATCAAATAGGGCGCTTATTCTTTCCATACGACTTCGGGATGTATACCGCTGACATCGCATACAGGTATGGTGAATATACCCTTCAAGGCAGCGCCCTTGGAACTGGCGCCTGTCGCGTTAAGAATGGCCTTGAATGTGTGCTCTTCGGATTTGGCATTGTGTAATTGAAGCCGTCTGCTTTTTGTGAATCCGGAGCGGATTTGATAACATCATGACAGGAATTTATTAGCAGGAAAGGAAAAGATTTATTCAAAATCGCTTACATCGATTATGCCATTACCATATGGGTCAGTTCCCAGGTCAATTGCTTTGGGAGGCAAGGAATTACATTGATTCATGATTATAGTGATAGAAGAGTCCTCTTGCCGATAGTACAAGTACCATGCCTTGTCATCGCGGCACACGACGGTATCCTGGGGCACCAATACACTGGCCATCTACAGGCACCGCCACCCATGATAAAAATCTTTTGGGCGCGTCGGAGCTTGTTGATGGAAGCATTAATAAGCATGTTGGTCAAAGTTTTTGTGACTGTGTTCTTATCCATACCTTCAAATACGAGTAATGCACCACCTTGAAGGTAGCTGCTAATGTCTGACCCTTTTTAGGACTTGTCAGCCTTATTTATGAAAGTGAAAGACTCGAACACGCTGACGATGACGGTGCTTAAGAGATACCACATAGATCGGCAGATCTCTCAAATGTTTCGTCTAGGCTGTGATAATATAAACCAAAATGGTAACAAATAAGCTATCAAAAGAATAGAAGTTGAGAAATACTGCGTTCCAGAAGTCGCTGAGACCGATTCACTGTGGAATATTGAAGCAGCAGAAGCGAGAAAACCTGACAGGACTTCTCTGAAGCCAGAAAGAGCAAACCTAATGCCGAGATTATCAAGATATCCCTGAATCGGACTTCGGGATCTGTTGGAACCAATGGAATCTGGCCTACTGCAGTGAATGGACTCGGGAATAATGAAACAAGTGAATGGATTCGGGAAGTGAAAGAACTGGTGGAATCGGGGCATATCCGATTCCATCGCGGGAACTTAGAATAAACACGCATCTTACCGCACAATTTATTACACGTATAACGTAGTATTAATAATGCATCGAGATCCCTGTGAGCCGACAGGATCATATTGGGTTCGTACCTACCCAGATAGTACCTCTGGATGGGGTTATTGTGTAGAGATTTAGGTAAGGTTCTTGTCTCCCCACAAAACGAGACCTTGGAATTCTTCGGTCAGTTCGTAGATTTCTCGGTAACTTGCAGGCCAACGTGTAGGTATAATGATAATAAAAAAGACGAAGCTCACCGCCTTCCTTCATGTCTTCAGAAAGTGAATATCTTCATTCTAATTTTATTGCGCCCGGGCGAAATATCGGGTGAAATATAATTGCGTTATAGTGATGACAACAACGCAGCTCAACAGTGGAAATCAGCAAGTGGAGGGAAGGCCGCGCCAGCGCTTTAGGCACGTGCAGGATATTCAGGTGCAAACAGTAGCGTTCAGGGCATTCAGGGCGAACAGCCTGAACGGGCTGAAGACTAGGGCGGCAAGGGGCACTTTTCCAACAAATGAAGAAAAGCTGGTGAGCACAAACATACAACAGTATAAATTCACTCCTAGTCAAAAGATATTGTTACAAGATCCAAGGAGTTCGGCAGAATTCTTGAATAGGAATTGGCAGGATTGTCCTTAGCAATATCCCCTCGCTTTAGAAGTAATCATTGCTGGACGAAAGGCTGTGTGCTTTCTGGTATCTTCGAACTGTGGCGAAGTGCAGATACCAAGAGATCTGTTGTTTGGAGGCCCGATTATATCCCTATCAGCCTATCAAGTCGAGGTGGCCGAGTTCTTCTGCATTTTAATTGGTCAGTTGAGAGCGGATAAGTCAGTAGTAGCTTCTTCACCATATTCAACACTCTGTATTACAATAATTTATTTGCACATTTCGCTTTTACTGGTGAGTGAGGTCTGTAAGCTGGACGTCGGTGCTTTGAATAGATGTGATATTGACCCCATTGACAGTCACGAACTCCACTATCATCTCAATGGATTTTTCATAACTTCCGGACATCAGTGACTTTCTCGTCACGCCAGATAACCCTCCACGGGATGATCTAGAAGGAATAGACTATGTACGATGTGCAGCTCTACATAATTACTTGATCCACTATACCTGGCTCGCTGAAGGGCGCACCCTGCAAACTCTGAAAGACCAAAGCAGCAACTTTTTCACGTCCTCCGGGGCTGAGGCTCAGGCTGAAGCTCTTCGTCCAAGGCTTCATTCGTCGGTAGTATCTTTCCTTGAAAATGCCCTGGTATTGCCCTATGAGAAAATGGAGGATTATCTCCCACTCTCTGTCTTTGCATGGGCCATCGAATCTCCAACCAGACTTATCGAGGAATTTCAAGGGGATCTTCACGACCAGCCGGTTGACAGCTTGGTGCGATTGTACAATGCCGACACGCCCATATCGACTCTAGGGGACGATGGCGCCGTTATCTACCACCAACACTTCAATCGCATCGCGCTCTTCATGAGTGCCGATGACTTTGACCTCGCGTTTCCAGTTCAGGAGCATCCAGAAATTTGGACCTCACTAGAGACAATGCTCTCCCACTGGATCGACTTAATTCGTCTTGGGAAAGTGGTGGCTTCCCCTAATAAAGAACTAGCCCTATTCGAAATCGAGAAGGTCGGGCCCTGGGAGTGGCGGCCGTACAGCGAGGCCCAGGTTACTTCGTGTGTCGCCGAGTGGGATCAGCTGTGTCAATCTATCGAGGCGCGTATCCCGCAGGTGCTAAATGTACCATCATTGATCGACGAGACTTGTGCGACCGACCCAGAACCCCTAGCTACATCTATTGTCCTGGACGCCGCTTTACTACCTGACCCTTCTTTTGCGCGTTCCTTTTTGACGCGAGCGAGACGGCCCTGGTTCAAATACATCGCTCCGGGCCTTCTTCTACCCCCAGTCGACCCATCTGCATTTGTGGCAACGCAACCATTCGCCGTATTACCCCGCTCAGAGTACACCGTACCGCCAGTTTGCCTTTTACCCGCCGATACCGGAGACCAGCGTCCCGTCCACCTCGAGAGAATAACAAGCCCATGGCTATTGGAGCCCTTTTATTCAAGTTCCACCCAGACATGCAACCCATCCCATGTCCCTGCAGGCCTGTATAGTCAGGGAGTGGGGAGAAACTATTATGATATGGCCGAGGAGGGATTTCGGTTGTTGCTCCCGTTCACCTTCAATGATGGTTTTACCAGGAGTGCATACGCACGACAAAGCGATATGAGGGCTGTTGACAGGGACGGCGTTGGAGAGCTTTTTCAACATGGATTCAAACCTTTTGGTGGTGCTTACGGACGGCCACAACGACTGGAGCGTTTGCTGGATTGTTGGCGCAAGCTGGTTGAAGATGGGGTTTGGTCTGTTGGACCGGAAGGGGTGGAGGGTACTATTGATACTTTCAAGGACGCTGAGACCGACCGGTGGAAGGATTATCATATCCCTCCTACATGGTAGGTGTCCTACATATAGTGCCATCTCGTCTTCAATCTATGAGCACCTCACATGTGCAGTAAACATTGCAGCACTTAGGAGAATTTCTGTGATATATTCTGCTATGTGGTGGGAATGAAGGTGTTGGGCCTAAAATATGTATGTGAATGTTGGAAAACGAGGGAGATTGATGGAATTTCACGAGAAACATTTGAACACATGTGCATGCGACGAGAATAACGCACGTGCGATCTTCCTAATCCGACTCGGAGTCAATTCATGTTTATTCAAAACTGTTTATTTACAAATTCAGTTTCCACCCTTCAATTATATTCCCTTTTTACCCTGTCAACCAGGCTGAGAGCTACTCAAGGCGAGGACATCAATCCAAAAGAAAGATATGCGGAAAGCTCGATTGACCTATTGAACACAATAAGGGTGCACATACGGCGCGGGAGTCACCGTGCTCAAAACGCCTGCCGATCTTGTCTCAGACCCAGTCGTACTCGCAGCGCGTGCATAGGTCGGGACTCGCTGCCTGGCGCACCACCCGTCGTAATAGTGACAGTGGTGGGATCAACAGTCACCCTGTCCGGATCAGAGCTTTTAATTGGTTCCCTCGTCCACGACCCGGCACCTTGGTCGCCCATATACATATCAACGACATTACCATGCTCGTCCAAGATAATACGCACTTCTGCGCGTGGGTCGCCATCCTCGTAGATGATGTTTTATGTCCGTCCGTTAATAGGCTTGCCATCCAGATCGACAAAGAGGAGATTGTCATAGTCAAGGTCGAGAATGGCATCCTTTTTGCCATTTCCAAGTGATCTAAGGTCGGCGTGGCAGACGCCGGCAGGGTCGCTATCATCCTCATACAATATGTCGTTTCCGACAAAGTCTCTTTGGAAGACTGATGGTTGAGAGTCAAAAGGTCGGTATTGAGCGCTGGCTATCGGGGCTGGATTGACTTCCCAGGACTGTCGAGGCCATCCATACGCATTACCGTACATACTTATCATCATATTCCTGTCAGCGATACATTGACTAAGTAGTGAAGTTGGGGGAGGGAAACATACGGGCCATCGTCAAGAACGCGGAAGCCATGATCAACAGGCGTGGAGGTGCTGATAACTCCACCTTGGTCGGTGTAAGTGTATATAGCCCAGAAAAGCGAGTTTGCCGTTTGATCATCGAAGCCATAAGCATCTATGAAGTGCTTTGCATTGCCAGAACCACGACCAGCGGGTAGCGGCCCGAGCTCCCTGTTCAAGGTCAGATATGATTGCATCATGACGGTAGGTTGGGTGCTACATACCAGGTTACAGGTGGCCCATCGTCAGCAATCTTGCACTTGCTAGAGCGGTAGGTCGAGCAAGGTCTCCATTGCGCCCTCTTCCAAGCCGAGTAATCACCGCCCTGTCTTTGATTCGCAGGACCATTGACTAGACGACAAATCTGCGGAGCGTTCTTTCTAGATTCCTTTAGGTCGCCCATAGGAAACTCATCAACCTGACATCGCCATTGGGTTTCTCCAGCTGGTTTTTGCTGTGCTGCACTTAGGTATGCCGCTATACGCTGCTTTTTCTAATGCAGTTGGTTACGATCAGTACCGCGGCCAATCCCCGGCTGGACATGATAAACAGTCTGTCCGTTGAGCAACTTGTCGATCCCCCACCTTTGGTTATCACAAACCTCATCCCAACCTATGCTATAGCGGCACGTATATGTAACCTCACAATCGCAGCTAGTTGACGTGTCACCGCCGTTAAAGTCGAGAATCGACCACTGGCCATACGCAGTTCGGCCCGTGACTGTTGTTGGGACGCCAACATTGGGTGTAGACATGGATCCGCCGAAAAGCCACCCAACTATGTTGTAAATAATTGAAAAGCCGATGATAGCAGCGGTAGCGATACCGGCAGCGGCCGCAGTAAGGCACAGTGCCCCCTCCGAAATAAGGGATAGCCCGAAAGTCAACACTGCTCCCAAGGCGGACGGGATAACGTCAGCGATGTAAAGAGCGGCCAACTCAGCGAATATCAAGGGAATACCACGTTTGTCAATGGCATGGCCACCTGTATAGAGACTCAGACTATGAGCAGAACCGCCTCGCTTGCTGAGCACAGTCGTCGACGTCCCATAGAGCAAGAGGTTGCCTGAATTGGTGATCGAGGAAGGGACGAATCTAGTGCAGCAATATGCTTGATATCCACCCGTGCAGGTCAGGTCTTGAAGCTGCCCTCCATCGTTGAGTTGATACGAGTTTGTACTACGGGCGACGATTGTGGCGTCGGGGTCGGAGCATGCTGGCGAGCAAGGCATTCCCACTCCTCTGAAACCCTCCCATTGACAGGTGCCCATCGAAGTTCCTGGGGCGCAGCATAGTGTCTGGACCTCGTCCGTATCACAAACGGGATTCTGCTGATAGCCAGCAATTTGACCGCGGGCGGCAGTTGCGTCGAAATACCCAGATGTACAAGTCCCTCCACAGAGTGACCAGTAGCAACTAGAGGCAACAGCGTTCTGTAATGAAGCATTGGCCATCTGTTCTTTGTATAAAGCGGCCGCTGCCTCTGAAACCCCGTTCGCTGTACCGATGCCCATCAAGTCGTTCATACTATCGCCAGCTGTGTTGTTCTGGTCGATTGACCACTAAGAAAAGCCTTGATTGGATGTTCTTTTTTCTTTTTCTTTTTTCTTTCACGAAAGGGAATGGGAAAAGGTGGTAATAGTAGTCTCTTACAATCATGATATCCCCAAGGCACAGGTTATTAGCAAAGGATATCTTCTGCTGCATTGTCACACCGTCGTCAAAGCTCACCCACTGGTTCGAATCAAAGGTGAGCCAACGGACTCCTGCAGTGGCATCATAGGATTCAGTTCCTGTTCCGGCCGCCAGAAGACGTTTAATCTCGGCGTTTGAAAGCGTTCCGGATGATTTCGTACACTCCCCTACATTACCTCCGGTAGTGAACTGGCATACGCCATTGGGAGTGGTGCAGGACGAATCAGCAAGCGTAAAGGAGCGTCCATACCACCCCAGTCCAAGCACAACCTTAGATGAATCAACTCCTGCCCTCCACAGCAGGGACAAGCCGTCGTTGATTTCAGTGAGGTTGGTGTGCGGGCGGATATAAGGCCCCGTGAACTTGTTGCTCGAGTCCCAGACGCCATGGATGTCGTAGCTCATGAAGTTGAACCAGTCGACGCTAGCCTCCATGTTAACAACATCAAAATGCTGAAGGTACCAGTATGAAGATGGAAGTGTAGTACTGATTCCCAATCCGCTACCGAATGAAGCCCTCAATTCAGCAAGGAAAATTGGGAAGTTGGCGAAATCGGCTGCAACACCGCCTCGATCGTTGGCAGCAGGGTATTCCCAGTCAATATCGACGCCATCAAAGCCGTATGTCTGCATGAAATTGCGTAGGGAAGTGATAAAGGTTTGACGATTGGCTGAGGAGCTGACCATGTTGTGTGTCCGGTGTATTGGTTGCATCATTGAAAGACCAGCCGCCAATTGACAGCCACGCTTGCAGTCCTGGTTGCTTTGCCTTGAGCGCCGTGAAACGTGAATAAAGGGCGCCCGCATTCGAGTCCATAGGCGTGATCTAAAAGGTAGATGGGTCGAAGAATGAAAAGGCAAAATTGATGTGCGTCAGACCAGTTAGCTCGAGGTCTTCAGGTGTAAACACATCACATGGTCGCTCCGTCGCCCAGCTCTCATAGTAGCCGATGCGCCGCGCAGATGTAGAGCTGCCACCACTAGAGCAAGAAGGAGTCGGTGCATCTCCACAACCACCATACCCTTCCTAACAACCAGTGCCACAGAAGTCATCAGTACTACCGCCTAGGAGGTAGAAGAAGCGTCAGCATCTACTCTCAAGAATAGGCTATATCCAAAAAAACGTGAAACTTACAGAATCCATATTATGAACAACATACGTTCAGTGGGCATGTTGCGTTATCCGTGTTGGCGTATTCTCCACACGGAGCTTTGGCGTCACAGTTGGAAATGCAGACGTCGGCTCCGCAACTCGAGGGCGCGTAGGAACAAACACCAGTGTTTGAACAGCATGCCCCATTGGTACAAGGTACTCCAGGTGCGCAAGTACCCACTGGAAGGTCTCTTTTACTCAGAGAGCCAGAGCCAGAGTCAAGGTGGTCAAGTCTTAGTCCCGGATGCTGAGACAATTGCCGAATCAGGCCTCATTCTCGAACTTGGGTTTGTTCTTTGAATAGGCCTCGTAAAGAGGCGGCAAGGCTGAAGAGGAGTTCTTTAGCAACTAGGGTGCTGGAGTGAACTTCGGCAATGGTGTCGAGTGGCCGCGTCGCCCATCGTGGTGCTGATGACCTTGGGCAATCCCGCAACTTGCGAGAGCAAGAAGCGCTGGCAGAAGAATCTGCATTGAAGCTACTGCCAAAGCTCAATGCTGAAATGGTATCAGTGAGGGACTAGTGAACAAAAGCCACTATGGGCTTTGTCGTTAAAGACTTTGAAACAGTGGGACAGCAACCTCAGCCTCTGGAAAGACAGGAGTAAAATTTCTTTTAACCCAAATACGAGGTGGGATGACGGCAAAGAAAAGGCTAGGAGCTAGTCGCATGCCAGCGCCCTTCATCTTCCATCGATGGTGGATGCATGTCCGCCACGCGCCATCCTGGTCCTCGAACTACCACCAAATTGCCCAAACGAGCTAGTTCCCCGAAAGGCCCTGTAGAGGCTTGCGCTAAGGGCTGAAGTCAAATGGTCCCCGGTAATTAGGTACAATCCGCGGAGGTCCGGACCGGTGTGAGTATAGTCATATTCTCGTACTCGATCGTTCCTGACGGCCCCGGGGGCGGAAATAGAGGGGCTTGTAGAAAGCGGACTCATACCGACGGAACATTTTGAAGGGGTAGCCGTACTCAGAGCAGCGCTAGGCCAAATAAGGTCATTGGGCATCACTTCTGGCTCGTTCGGCCTGTTCATGATAGGATGACTCGTGTAAGTACGGGAGAACATCGGTCTCGCTTCAACCAAAACCATCCATGACTGACTGACTACCTTGGAAGCATCTGCGAAGGTTATCTTAAATCTGACAACGCTTAGCTGAAACATGCTATGCAACCTTTACATGTGCAAATGTGACATTGGACCCTTGTTGAACCCTTGCTGGACCCTTATTGGACCCTTGGGAAAATTCTTTACCCAACTGCTCGCTTCACAATGCCTATAATAAATAATACATGGAACCTAGGTGTTTGCAGGATATAATTGTGTTTTGGTTTATACACTTAGCCCTCTTTTCTCCTTTATGGTGGATTCAATTCCCAATGTATATATATATGTGTCGGTACACCTGTATCAAGTGTGGAATAGCTATTCGATAGGCTAACGCCCACTTCTGACACCTATCGCAGGTAACGCTTTACGCCCCTATGATATCTATGTGTCCTTTGAAGTGGTTGTAAAGTCTGGGTTTCATTCTTAGTTTGCTATCTATCATAAAGTAACAATTTGATCACATGACTGCTTTGTTCCATATTCCAACAATATGTATTGCATAATTTGATGCCGAAGTAACCAATTGCACAAATCGAATCTCACATGTAATATAATATGGCGTGTTGAGTTGTCAACAGAGCACGCATTATTTTCAACCGTGGGCCCAGTCATGTTTACTAGGTACATCTGACCTCCTGACTCGGATTATCGAGTTCCATGAAATGCATATCAGAGTTGATAGATTGCGGGGTGGGCCAAAAAGAGCAACAAAAAATTTTATCGAGGTCGTGCCCGGGATCGAACCGGGATCGCCAGAAGACAGAATAGTAGATCAGAATCTGGAATGATAGCCATTACACTACACAACCTGAGGTGCTTGAGGGCTCGAAAATATTAGTCACTTTATTTGCAGGGAAATGCTACTTCCGACGTCAAGGTTGAGTTATTGTTGAAACCTGAGATTATTGAGACTAAAAATTACTGCCCTTGCGAAAAGTTTTCAAATTATGATCTCAACTTCAAGTATATAGAATATTCCTAAGTTTTTTGTTAAGTACCATGAGACAACTGAAATATAACCCCATAGCTCAATGTAGCAATTCGAATTGATTTTTTCTAGCATTAGTGAGCAGTCGATGAAGTTCCCACGGGCGGTCACTGATTGACTAATTATTTCGAGGAAATAAAAAAAAAAAAACGTGCGCAGGAAAAAAGGTCGTGCCCGGGATCGAACCGGGATCGCCAGAAGGCAGGAAAATAGATCAGAATCTGGAATGATAGCCATTACACTACACAACCTGTTTTGATGACAGAATTCAAAAACATAATTATATATACTTAGATAAAGAAATCTGACATTCAGTACCTAAGTGGCTCGGCAACCCCATGCAGTGATTCCTAGGCCACGAATTGTTTCCGTTGACGGTTTCTCTAAGATATTAGACTATTTGATAATTAAATCACTAACTTTAGCAATTAATTCGGATATGTGAATATTTTTAGCTTCGAACAGAGTCATCGGATTCAAGTATCAATATTTTCTACGCTCCTTCACCACCTCAGGTTGTGTAGTGTAATGGCTATCATTCCAGATTCTGATCTATTATTCTGTCTTCTGGCGATCCCGGTTCGATCCCGGGCACGACCTTTTTTATATTATTTTTCAGTCATTTGGAAATCGTGGACCCATTTTCATTTTTGTGTAAACAGCGGGTGAATTGCCTTTTGCGGTTAGTTTAGCCTTTTCAAGTTTGGCAATATGTTATGTAATCATAATCCCTTGAAAACTGCCCTGCACCTAGGCCTTACTTAACTACGTTGGAATGTTCTATGACTTGGTTAGTTTTAAATTCTTTTATATCTAGAATTTTAAGTAATAGGTACTTTAGAATCGGCATATGCCTTATTTTAACATGACATCTGGTCCTCTAACATAGTCATGGCGACTCTAGAGAACTGTCTCTAGTTAATGCAAATATTACCATATTTTTTTGTCTATTTAGGTAGTTTCTGCCCAGATACCGATCTAGATACATCTACCCTGAGTAAGTGTAGGTAGATCATGGTAGATGGAAAAAGTCTACCCATATGGTAGTTTCAGGTGTAGATAACACCTAGGTAGTAATAGTCTCATGAATATAACTAGACTAGTCGGAATCTTTTCTTTGCGATGACTTCCTCTAGAGTTGTAGTTCTTAAATGACTTACAGGAGCACCTGTGAATTGCAAGCTATCTTTCAGGGTTAGAAGTAATTTTATAGTGAAACCTGGAAATATGACACAACCTGTCAAGCTGGGAGGTTGAGTAGTGAAAGATGATGCATTATCTCTATGGGACTATCCCACTATCTAGCCTGGGTTAGCTGAAAATCATGTAAAACACCTAGTATGGACATCATCTCTATAGTAAACTTGGAACCTTGGAAAGTGTAAAAAACCCCGGCAATTCCAAGGTCTATTCGGAATTTTCATGTCCGTTCCATCACCGTTTTCATCACAAGAATTACAGTACAAAACCTCCAGGATTTGGAAGTAGCTTCCTAGCTATGGATTACTCAATCGAAGAACGTCATACATGAATGGCTACGGACTTCCAAGGTCCTCGCTCACAGCGTCCCTTCTTTCACACAAATTCCTCCAGGGCTGTGATTAATTGACCTACCTAGGTAGTTCATGAATTATAGCTCCGGGAATGTATTCGTATTGCAAATCTCCCGAGGTACTTAATTAAACACCTAAGCATGGCCCACGATTCCAGGGTTTAAATATATGAATTTGAGTGCTCTTGAGGCCAGGCGCTAGATGAAAAGTATTAAAAAGGCGAAATTAAGTATGGGTCCATAGATCTCCATCTTGCCAGATATAGATTCCAAGGTTCCAAGGTTCCAAGGTTGGAAATGTATCTACAGCTGGGCACCAGCCCTGGAGAGCTGTAGGTGTTGTAAAAATCCCACCTACCTACTTAGCTAGGCTACTATCTAGGCCGACTTGAACAGTTACTCACTAGTACACCCCTGGGCGGATTTCCGAGTTGAATATTTACTTAATGTCGTGATTGTGATAGGTTGTTACTTTATATATACCTGTTGTGACACTCAAATGGGTAGAAGGTTGAGAGTAATATTCTGGGGTATAATTGTTGCGACAGCCGAGAAACAAGGCCATCAACAGACGGAAAGTATTTCGGCCGAAAAAGCTTCTGCCAAGACAGTGACTCTGGAACTAGATTAGTATATCACGGCATCCTTGAACGATACGCATTCATCGCAAACGACACCCTTGAGCGATGCGCATTCGCGACAGTAATGTCCCGTCTTCACCGTCTCTTCTGTCTCGAACGAATGTTGACATTCGTCCAGGGCAGAGGGGCACCCATATACTATAAGTAGCTAGTTCTTTCATCAATGAAAAAGCAGACTTCACAACAACCACAATATTCAGTACTGTAGAGACCACTACACTTGGTGGTTTGTCTACGGTGTTGAGTAGTGGTTTGTTGAAGCTCACCAACTCCTTTCTACTGCAGTAAACTCCAATTCCCTTTTACTGCAGTAAGAACTCGAGCACCGTTCTCAGTTATCGGCGACTAGCTAGCTACGCTCGCTAAGCAAGCGACAATAATGGTAAAAATTGGCCACTCTTCATCAACCAACGGTTGTGTAGTGTAATGGCTATCATTCCAGATTCTGATCTATTATTCTGTCTTCTGGCGATCCCGGTTCGATCCCGGGCACGACCTCTTTTTGCTTTTTGCTTTTTTTCCTTTTAAAAACTTTCATTGGTTATAAACTAGTAACGCGGGAAAGCCTACGGCAGAAAACCCACCAACAAATTTTTATTTGACCGATCCCGGGAAGGAATTGGCGGGAAATGTGGCGGAAGCCCTAAATGGACTGATTACTATTTTGACATTAGCCAGACTGTACTGTACTTCCTCAGCTGAACTTGAAACCAAACTCCCATTCCAGTCCTAGAGGTTTCAGTTGAAAATACAAGGTTTTGTTGATGTTGTATAGCATTGATTTTGGTTCTTTCTCTCATTTATGACAGTATACTTAGCGATCGAACCCTGAAAAGTACAGAAAACTAAGATATATGCTCTACAGTCCGAGACGGACATGTGCCAGCTCTTATGAAAGGGTCGGAGGATTAGAACTAATACCTATTTTATAACCTTTCCAGAGTGATCCCATTCTGCTCGATAAGCCTAGAAGCGGATAAGCTTTTGTTTATACTTATGGCTGTTTATATCGTAATTTAGTAAGACTTATTCCTTCTGTAACTCTAAGAACTGTGTTACTTTGAAAATGCATACAAGGCCAAAATAGGGGTGCTTAAGTATGAGTTACTGGAATGTAATAGTAATGGATCAACAGAAGTTAATCGCTACCTCTGGCCCCATCATAGAGAGTATAGCTACCCAGGTGCACAATGTCAGCTGCATATCCATGCTTCTAAAGTTAAATATATGACTCAGAGGAAAATAGTAATGGAAGCTCTTAAGAGAATCATGTACCACTTCCAATGTTCCAAGAGTAATTCATGAGGTTAATTAGGATTAGGGCTCACCCGTGCCCTACCAGGATGTTACTCAAAAGCCTGATATTATGCATTCTGGCTATCTCTACGTGAGCCTCTTCCTTCAATACAGAAAGATTTATCTAGATAGGACAGACCGATCAGCAAGAGACACAGCTCATGGACTCATTTAGCGAATATATTGAACTCGGCACCTTCATCTCTCGTCGACCCCATTTTTCGAAAATATTTTCATCAAGCGCTCGATCAGCTATCTTTGACTTATCTTTACTTTCATTTAATATTCAAGATCAAAAGTGATAAGTCCTAACTACAAAACATTGATTCAGTGGTTTGAGAAACCATTCGAATACAACCGTGGTAGCTAGAGATGATATATCACACGCCTCTAGTAGCTCGAAGCTGGTCAAAACATATATGGTCCCAGATATTGACGATCTAAAAGACGATTTTACAGTTGCTTCAGAGTGTTCGAAGAGGAATCAACTGGCAGAGATGTTTAACGAAATATACTAGGCGTATCACCTTTCATAGTCGTTTGCAAAAAAAGTTCGGACTTGGTGGGCTTGATAAGGGAAATCCTGCGGTCAGCTTCGTCAACTGCGATAGTATAGGAAATGCAGCTGAATTTGTGATATCAATGAAAGCACTTGGTATGGCGATATTATATGAGTATACGCATTGAAAGAATTTGATGTCACCTTCTTTCGCGAGGGAACGAGCGAGTTTGTTAACGAACCTTGGGGATACCAGCAACTTGATATGAGAGAGTAACGGTTTAAAGCGAAGTTCAATGCTTATAAGGTCTTAGCCTAAATAATAGCATATATAGCTGATTTGCTCTAAAATTGTTGGCTAATTCCACGTATGGTGTGGAGCGGCACTTCCTGAACTCCGCGACTTGTCCATACTCAAGACTCTTGTTGACGTCTACCACCTCTCATAACATGGCGCGCTGTCCCAAGACCATCCCTTTTAATATTTATCTTCTTCCATCGCCAAGTCTCTCTCGATTTTCAACGTTGCTCTTACTCCCGCTGCCCATTTACCGCCTTTGGAAGCCAGAGATCTGTCGGCACGGTGAAGAACATTCACAAGGCCGTCGTTTTAAATATGATCGGATTAATGGTGCAGAGTTACTTGAAAAGTATGGTCTAGGGGGCTATCATCCTATTATGATAGAGATGTACTTCGCGGACGATACCGTATCGTTGATAAGCTGGGATTTGGAGGTTATTCGACCGTTTAGCTAGCCCTGGATACTTACATGCACCGTTATGTTGCTATTAAAATTTGTGTATCAGATTCAACTTCTCTAGAGACCGATATTCTCCGAACTCTTGCAAAACCAGGACATGATTCTATCCCCACTCCACTAGATCAATTTAAGCTGAATGGCCCCAATGGAACACACATATGCCACCCTATGACACCCGCACGATGCAATCTTCGAGATTTTTTCTTTAGTCATCTTTTTCCTCTCGAAGTTACGCGGGCGCTGTCAGGTTGCCTCACGCTAGCTATTGCATATATGCATTCCCAAGGTTATGTTCATGGAGGTAAGTGATTCTATAGTTGAGTTTATTGGTGGCCCGATTCGTTCTCTATAGCTAATATCCATAGCATCTTAATCAGATATCCATCTCCGCAATATTCTTGTTAAATTACCATCGAATCTTGATCATCTTTTGGTTGAGTAGCTATACGAAGAGTATAGCGAGCCTCAGACAGTCTCCATTACGCAACGTGATGGGAAACCGCTTCCACCAAATGTTCCAGCGAAGGCAGTGATACCACTTTATCTTGGGAAGGATGCAAATGAGTTCTTTTTGTCTAACGCACACATACTCCTGGGTGACTTTGGGGAGGCTTTTTCTCCATAACTGGAGTGTCGCCGTGGGAAAGACTGCCACACACCATTAGCAATGCGACCTCCGGAAGCCCAGCTCGAAACACGATCGCCTCTTTCATATTCAGCAGATATCTAAAACTTGGCCACAACAATATGGGAGATGCTTGGCATGAAGGCAATATTCAGTCCCGAATTTGCTTCTGCAGATGTGCACCAGTATCCTTACAACTGACACCACTCTAACACCACTCTGACACAAATTTATACATCTCCTATTTATCTAGACATAATCTTCTTCTCCTTCCTTTATTTTGACTATCATTTAGTATTATGGTATATAACTATTTCGTTATTGTAACCATTTATACCCTGTCACTATTTTGAGCCTGATACTATGGCACTAATGCTTTGGTAGTTAATTAGTTGTTGAAGTTGTCATGGTTTTGTTTTGTCTTAGTGGCATGATTGTAATATGGTAGTGGCAAAAGGACTATATTTCCCTTATTGGTATATATAGTTATTCTCAGGTGCTTAAGCCGCAACGAAGTCCCAATGTCAATTCAACCTTTTCACCAACATTGAATTCTTGATCAAGTCCAAGGATAAAATGCTGGATCTTCAACAACCTCAAGAGCCGCTGACTGATAGTCCAACCGAACCTCGGAAGTAAATAGATCATGAGTACTCGCCATGTAACCAAAAAGTGACAGCAATTCAAGTTTTACTCAGTGCAGAAATGAGAGAAGAATTACATCAATTGGCCCGGATGGTCTAGTGGTATGATTCACGCTTTGGGTTAATATCCTAACTGTGTGAGGTCCCGCGTTCGAATCGCGGTTCGGGCCTTTTTTTTCTTTTTTTTTCTTCTTCCCTGTTAATTCCTTAAAATGCAACGTTGTTTGGCATGAATGATTTTATTAAGAAAGGATATATTCACTCACCGGTGAAGTAGCTTTTGCTTGTTTATTGTTGGCGGTCGCAGGCAATTCGAGCCCTAATCATTTACTTACTTAGCCTTGAAGGACCTCCCCATGACTTTAAATACCTAGAAGATCCACAGGAACATGTAGACAAATAGGTAAATGATTTTTCAGCTTGACTTTACAGGTTGTTAGTTATTGTGGTATGTACGGTTCTTGAGCATATTGTCGATGTCAACTAACTAGTTGCCGATACTTTAGAGCAAGCATATGCCATAATCCAGCTGACAGTAAGACATATTCATTAAAAAGCCTGTTAAAATCAGAGAGGCGTAGGATAGGAGGACTACATCTACACAATTTATTGCCAAGAAAGCAGTTAACAAGGGTTATCCACTGGGTCAATGCTTCAAGTAGAACTCCCAGTAAAACTTCAATCAGAGCGGGGCATGCTGAGACCAAGGAGCCAAATTTGGTGTGTGAGTGTGCGTCGACGTGGGGCTTGAAAAGGTCAGAAAGAGCAAGACTTGTATATTAAAGAATCAGCTAGGGAGTAGTAAATAATCAAGAGCCGTATCGAAGCTCATATTATATTGCCTCAAACATTACCCAGTACGATATAAGGTTATCGCAATTATCATCAGTAGACAGTAAAACAGAGTTCTTGACCTCCAAACTAGAATTCCTTGAAAAGCCAACAAATGCTTCCACTGTTCTCTGCTTGAAATTTAGTTACCTATAGTCTGGAGCAAACTATGAATACTCCAGACCGGCAAGTTTGCCCCAGGCTAGCCATATTTTACTCCAAGGAAGCAATTGCCAAAACATGTGGGAAAGTGAGACGGATTATATGCAGATTGGAATACCTGATCTAGATGGTTCTACTCCGAGATCGCAAAAAATCACATTTACCCCACTAATCCACTTTTAACCCAAATAGGTTTAGCGTTGACATTGGAAGGGCGTGAAGTTGCGTGTCCTTGATTCTTGACACTATGTTTGCTGATTAGAGGCTAAACCCTTAGTCTTATCTGATTATTCAGCCTTGGACTCAAAACCATAGTTCCTCTGGTCAGACCGACTCTTTCCTTTATCTCACTCTTGGTTCCCTATTTTACTTTCTGATTCTCCATTGAGTAACGAATTCAAGTTGTAGCCGAGATTGTCTCGGTCGCTATGGAATATTTCGACTTTGAAGGTGCTTCTTCGGTTCAGTCGAACAACCACAGTGATGATTTCGCCTCTATGGACCATGAATTTGAAGCCGAAGAGCGGGCTGCCAACTTACATTTGATGCTCGAAGAAGGACCATTGGAATTTCCCAATGACCCGCCCGCCCCGGCTACAACTGAGCTGCTCATGGGCGATACTAGCACTGAGGCATACCCCATGCTTCGCGCCGAAGAACCTTGTGACTTGTGTCAACGTTTGGGCTTGGATTGTGTCATCCCTAAACGTGGAGTGATGCATAGTAATGGTGGTTGCACCTGCTGTATCAGTCTCTGGCGTGAATGTAGCTTCACCCATGCCAAAGCCCGCGGGAAGTTCCTTCACACATTACATCCAGTGTCCGAGAATGCCTTCATCTCCACGGGCGGTTTGACTGGAAAGAAGGTGCTCAAGTCAGCAATCACCCATGGGGATGATTCAGATTCACGATCTCGTCGATTCTCACGCGCGGCCGCCAATATCTTGAAGGCTTGGCTCCGTGAACACAACGACAATCCTTATCCCACCGAGTCGGAAAAGTATGAGTTGCAGAACACAACTGGTCTCTCTAAGATTCAGATTTCAAATTGGCTCGCCAACGCTCGAAGAAGAGGCAAAGTTCGTCCTGCGATTGGGGCTGATTTGCCAGTGCCTGGCACGGAAGCCGTCAACATTCCAGGTCAACAAGATAGAGACCTGTCTCTTATGACTCCCCCTTGAACGTTGGAAGTACTCTCCCCCCGAAAACGAGCCGGCTGCGATGACAGATATTAACCGTGCTTTGGCCAACCCTCCTTTCGATCCATCCCGCCCGCGCCGTCAACCTTCAGGTCACGTGAGGCACCGTCATCCGGGGTCTAGTACCAATGACTCAAGCCACGCGAGTTCTGAACATAGAAGACGCCCTTCTGTCAGTAGTTGGGATACTAGTCATTCATCCATCTCTGACCTTTCATTTGCTTCTGCTTTTTCCCATCGATCCTCAATTGGATCAATGGATCGAAAGGAACGTCGTCGCCGCCGCAAGGTCTCAGTCCCAGTCGATACATTGAGTCGCCAGAAAGCTCGCGCTTCTCGTCCTTTCCAATGCACTTTTTGTACAGACTCCTTTGCTGCCAAGTATGATTGGCAACGTCATGAAAAATCAATGCATCTTACTCTTGAAAGGTGGACCTGTTGTCCCCATGGCGGTGTTACCGAAGATCAAGGTATACTTCGTTGCGTCTTTTGCTCTGTAATCAATCCAGACCGGGATCATTTGGAAACACACAACTACATTGACTGTCAAGAGAAGTCAATACAGGAGAGGACTTTCTTCCGGAAAGATAATCTGAATCAACACCTTCGACTGATGCATGGTGCAAAACTTCAACCTTGCATGGAGAAGTGGCATAGCAGTACCACCGATATAAAATCTCGTTGCGGTCTCTGTGGATCTATGTTGAGCACCTGGAAAGACCGCGTGGACCATCTCGCCGGTCACTTCAAGAACGGAGCCACCATGGCGCAATGGCAAGGCGACTGGGGCTTTGAGCCCCATGTCCTTGCGCATGTGGAGAATGCCATGCCGCCATACCTCATCGACTATGACTCAAAGACTCCCAACCCCTGGACTACTGCGCAGGCACAAGGGGATGATGTATCACCCAGGTTAAACGTCCCCAACGATGCCAACTGCCACGCACGCCTCTCACGTGAGCTCGGCGCGTATATTCAAAACCAAAAGGCACAAGGTGTCATTCCAACAGATCATATGATACAATTTGAAGCTCGCCGAGTCATCTTCGAGGGTGACGATGACCCTTGGAATCAAACTTGTGCCGACAACGCCATGTGGCTGAGCATCTTAAAGCGAGACAACGGTCTTGAAACCACCATAAATGACGACAAAATCCAGTATGACGACCTCGGACTGCAACCTCCATTCGTAATGTGTGGTCTCCCGAAAAATAAATCGCGAGCAACCAATCCACCGAGCAAAGTGTATCCCAGTCCCGCAATGTCAAGTCCTGGTTTTCAGAGCCCTGCTTATCCCACCCCTGGGTTCTCTTCTACCACACTCAGTGGACTTAACAGCTTATCAGGAAGCTATGCTGCCAGCTCGGGCATCATTTCAGCAGGTGTGCCGGCTTTTGATTCTGATTGGGGTAGCAGTGTCCACGGAAACGCTTCTGCTTACTCTACTCCTGTAACAGGAGCACCTGACCCGTTGGTGCAGATGGGATTTGACCCAGATTTCCTGCAAAGATTAAACGACAGCTACAGCGAACTCACTCCTCCCGAAATACCTGACTTGCCCATAGGAGCTGGTCATGAAATTCACACCGAGAAGCAGACGTGGTTGGATACAGGATTCCAGCAACAGACGGCTCCCATTCCGGACCCGAATGCTTTCTTTCATTCCAACGAAGACGGCCCTTTTGTGTCTGATGCTGCTCAACAGGTCATCCCTGCATTCTTACAGCATTCTACGTAATTTTTATTGTTCCATCACGATCTATGCATCAAATTTAGTAAAAAGCCTAATATCTGACTCGGTTATTGGAAATTACTACGCATAAGCATAATAGTTACGAATACTAGATTGAATTGAATCCTATTCCATATTGTTTCTTTTCCAAGAATACTCTGTATCCACCTCGGATCTTGTCTTCGGAAGCTGTTTGACTCATACCCGAAAGAAATTGTGGATACAACTCCGATCGGAATCTCAGATACATCTTATCAATTTGTACGAAGTATGTATGACACATGAGTTTTCTTAGATTAGGCCAATTGGCTCCACAACCACGGAGTGCTCTGTGCCGAGGTAAACCATCCCCCCTTTTAGGTCTTAGTTGCTGGCCCTGTTCTACTCATCAAGACATACTAGACTTTGATAACCAATTAGAAGAACGAGAATAAAAGTGACAGTAGCGATGTTAGCGAATGAGGAATTCATTTTCAAAAACCCCTACTTCCAAGGTGAAGCGAGACAGTGCACACAGTTGCAAGTTGGTTGTTGAGTGAAGTTATAACCAACTAGTTTTCTACTCAAAATTTCCATGGTTTATGAGAAAACTGAGCCGGTGGGTAGTGTATGAGTCAATATATGGTATGAGAGATATGGATGAGAGAGGAACATCGTCTCCAAACGTGGATGGAAAACGCAAATGCTCCGGTATATAACCAAAAAATGTATGGCGGCATGGGAGAACGATAGATCATAGGGTTGAGAGCTCCAGAAGATATAGCTCCCATTGTTGACCGATATACAAAATTGGAAGCTCTTGGGGTAGCATTCATGAATGATACCAATACAAAATTCTTCAGAGTATAGACTACGTACTTGGAGATCTAAATAAAGTGGAAGGTGTGACTGTTCGCGGCGTTATAAGTATTGAGAAGCTTTGATAAACTAGGACTCAAAGGTTGCGTTTTTCGTATCTGAAGTATCGCATGCTGTCTATACGAGGGATTATGGTATCGACACTTAAGCTCATCTTCTTTCTGGTTGTGACCAATCGGAATAACATAGCGTTTTTAGAGACTCGCGATGTAAAGAAGGGGAGAGGCGCAGCCGCGGAAGAGGTCGAAAAAAAGGAGGAAAAGAAAGCTGTTATTACAGAGTTATTAGACTTTCAGTAACATCATATGACTTATAGCTTCCGAGCTTCTAAATTCGTACTATATTATCTCAATATACGAAATAGCTTAGTGCGAGTTGTTTCCAAGACTATAGCATACGGTGTCCTCTTGTATACTATGTAGAGGGGGCACTGGGGCTTCCCACCAATCTCTCGCTCGATGGGAATCCTTTAGAGTATATCATCGACCGATCCTGAAGTCTTCGGATGGATCTGAGTAAGAGTGTAGCTATTAGGACCCGAAAGATGGTGAGATATGCCTGAATAGGGCGAAGCCAGAGAAACTCTGGTGGAGGCTCGCAATAGTTCTGGTTCCTGCTGAAGTTTCCTTAACAGTAACGAGAGTTCAGGTTTATGAATTAAAGTGAACCTTGGAATGATTAGAGGCCTCGAGTTTGAAACAACCTTGAATCTTTGAAGCGAAAACATCCGGTGGAAGGATATTGATTCATTCTGTATGATAGCTACCTCTATAAACTAGGCCTAATGTGGACTACAACTGTTTTTTGTCACCATAAAACCCTAATTTTTCCCTTTCAATGTTAAAGATGTTTCATTGAAGATGTGAGAGCATCCATGATGCTAGGTGCTGGATGAGAATCTTGAACGTCTGCCGCAAGAACCATGCCGGCTTGAATGTCTCTTGCTGGGTCACTGGATTCATCAAACGTCTGATTCTCGATCAGATCATTAGGAATCTCACACCCTGAGATGCACCGCGCAAGGGTCTGAAGCGTCGACTTTTGGAGGTAAGCACCTCCTGAGGGCCAAAACTTTCGGGCATCTGTCTTTTCGGCCAATATATTCATCGCGTTAGCAGTTTGTCGTCGCTTCTGCCACAGGTATGAGACAATAAATCGGAAGTATAGGTATCGGCGACGAGGGCGATTATCATTGCGGAATTCCAGGGCCTTGCCATCAAGATCCTTGACACGGGTGATCTCTGGCTTTTCCCTTCCAATTCTCTCTTTCTGCCAGACGATGTCGTCATCAAGGGCCGAATTCAACACGACAACTCTCCACGTGGTCGGATCAGTTACCTTGCCAAGCATTGGAATGATGGCAATATCTCCCTTGTTTAGGAGGGACTCAACCTTGTGATGTAATGACAGGCCTAAGACTTTATTAGCGATCTTTCCTGAATAGCCAGAGAATGGGGAAAGTTATGGAATCTTACCATTTTGGGGGATGCTGGTGACAACATCACAGTCGCCAAATATATGAGCCAACTCGTTAGGCGACATGCTCTTCGGGATTAGGTGTGCCACTTTGACATGAACTTTATTGATCCAGCGACCCAAAACATGGCAATGGGTCATTTCGCCGTCGCTCACATTGTAATACTCGTTGACCTTTTTCTTGAAATCCGACTGACTAAACTTCTGTACCGGTTGCTTGCCAGTAGCACTCATCACTCGCTGAAGAATCATGTCGCGGTATGCTCTCTCAAGCAGACCTTCATCTAACGGTCCATCAATTCGCTGGCGTTTCTCCGCAACAGCATCGTCGAATTCTTCGGTGAGGACCTTTCGTTGTCTTTTGAGAACGTTTAAGGTGGACGACCTTGACCGGAGCGTGCGGATCCAGGGTTCGATTTGCTGGTAGTACTCAGTGTTGTTGATGGCTCCACTATCTTTTACCTCATCTAACCCAGCCTTGACATTGGCGATGTAGGACGTTGGGTCTTCCAATTGAAGAATCTTGGCGGCCATGAAGTCTGATACCGTGGTCTCGCACAATGATTGAGAGATATCTGAGAGGTTGGAAGCCCTACTCTCACAACGGGTTTGTAGAGCAGCGAGAGAAGCTCGGCGGTTTGGTGTCATAAGTGATGACACCCGCTTGGGGAGAGGTTTGTCATCGACCATGATGGATGGGAGAGGTTGATAGTCCATTGCCGTAGATGAATGATGACGAATAAAGTGAGCAGTGAGTGAACAGTGAGAAGGATGGAGAAAAGGATGAATGATAGTGTATCTGACTAAATTAAATATCGGAAGTAGCTGTTATTGACTAAGCCTATTTAGGCATTGACATTATTTTTTGTCTCTGAAGGTTTTGTAGGATTTGTGATCTTTTTTTGCAACATGGTAGGGCTGAAAGGTATACTTGCGCCTGTTGTCCTCGTGGCTTATTAGAAGGTGACCTTTTCCTTATTCATAATTTTTTAAGATCTTTTTTCCTTCTCTTTATGCTTCACTATTACAAGATCTTCTATCATTGAACAATTATAGATTTCTATTCACATGACGACTGATATACCTCTCTTTTTTTTCTTTCCTCTCACTATTTCGATACGCGTATTGATGATCCATTTTCTCTTATCGACGAGGACTCAATCACCAATACTCTACTTCTTTTACGTTTGTCACCTTTAACTTGTAATGGTACCTTGCTTGGAAGGCAAAGCACCTCCATTTTGCATCGCCTCACATAGTTGGGATTTGACGACCTTCTGTTCCACTTCTGCAGCCGTGAGACTGCCTTGCAATTTGATGACTGGAAGATGAAAGGCGACTCTACCAGGAACCAAATTTTCGTCGAGCCACTTTTAATGAGCGCTGTCGCCGCAAGCTACTAAACATGGACATCGCGAGGCATCTTGTTGATGTCCTCGGTGTCGACATAGGCGCACAGGGGAAGAGGAATGCGTCCCATCACGGAAATTACCAATCAGCTGTTCATGAACTGACCAGCGGGAGACATTGGTGGCATGTGGCAGAAGCCTTGCCGGATCTGATCAAAAAAGGTGCCTATCTTGAGGTTCGGGATAGCAATGGAAGGACCCCATTGCACCTTTCATGCGGATCATTCAGAGTTGAAGTACAATTCTGTAGGGAAGCTGCAAAGGTTCTAATTGAAAATGGGGCTGACATAAATGCCATCGACGATCATAGTTGTACTTTTTTATCCATGGTGGGCGATGATGTGTTGTTAGTCAAAAAACTCATTGTCAATGGTTCTAATGTCAACGCAGCGGCTGTTTTCCGTGCTACAAAGTTGATGCAAGTTGAGATTCTGGAACTTCTTCTGTTTCAGGATGATGTATGTCTATAGCATAAAAGCGCAAGTTTTACGCTGATACTTAACTTACTGAGGTAGTATTAACTATCTGCGGCTAGTGGTTGGGTCGGTGTCGCTTGAATGAGAAATAAGTGAGCGCTTTAGGGTCGCGCGTGAGCAGTAATAAGGAGACCCAGGGGGCTGAAGTGTAGTCGCAACCTCCCCTCGCTATTCAAAAGTCAAAAACCTACTCTTGCTTGGATCTGCGAGATAGGGTCCCTTGCTCAAGAGAAATGTATCGCGGATGTGAAAATCCTCGATACAACTCCACTTTGTCTTTATATTGAAGCTCAACTACTAACTGAGTTGATCGTCTACTGGGTGATGATAATATGAAAACAAAATTAAAAAGGCAGAGAAAAAGCACGAGGCCATGTTGGAGATTTAGGATTTCAACGAATAATTCACTCACTAGTCGTTCCTCAAGACCTGAGGCTTGTTTTTACTCAACATGTCACCCTTGGAGTGTTTCCCTTAGACTCTCTCAGTACTGCAGATAATAGCATATCAAAATTTGGATTGAAAGAGAAAGGAAAGGTAAAATTGAAGAGGGAAGGAAAAAGAACTCGAAGGCCTCCGATCAATGGATCATTCCTGTGGATCTACAAGGAAACAACAACATTTTACAGAGCGGCATTAGAGTTACATAAGCATCAAGAAAATACGTTGCCAGCCACAATATCAGACCTAGTTCCGAGGTGGAAAAGAGGAATGTGCTGGATCGGGGCAGGCACGGTGACTGTCTGACCCCCTGCATAGGTCTGGTTGGTCCACCAGTAGGTCCATGGTTTCGCCTCATCACCTGTAGTCTGGGGTAGGTAGACGGACCATTCGGTAACATTTGGCCGGGTGACAGGCGTAACCAATAGCCGTGGACCGAACATGTATTGTTGGGTTGTGACGTTGCTGTTCTCCCGTGTCAAGTCTGGAATCCGGGGATCTGAAGTCTCAAAGTCCATGTAGAGCGGACGCATGATCAAACGGCCGGTCTTGTGAAACTGAGAAAATATTTCACGGATGTATAAAGCCAGCTGATAGCGAAGATTGATGTAAGAAACGATGATCGGAGTGTTCTCTACGCCATATGACCACGGCTCATTGGCGCATGTGTAGGCATACTGGCTGTTGCAAGCTCTGGAACCATGTGTGCGCATGAAGGGCAGGAAAGTTGTCCATTGTAGCCATCGGACGTAAAGTTGACGATATTCTGGGGTATCAATATTACCGCTCCAAGGCACAGTTGAATCTACTTGGAAGCCACCGGCGTCCAACGTCCACCAGCCCCAACCTGTTGCCGCTGCAGATAGACCGCTAGCTACCTGTGCACCAAGAGTTTCCCAGACAGAAGTAGTGTCGCCTGACCAGATTATACTGCAAAATCGTTGGGAGCCGATGAAGCCTGAACGACTTAGAGAAAGATAGTCACACGGGGTTCCTATCTCAGTAGATGTCGCATTTCGGAGCCCCTCTTCTATTGCCTGCTGATGGGCCCATGGATATAGCTTGCCGACGCTGCTTTGCGTACCGGCGGCATATAGCACATCTGGAAGAGCAAATGGGATGGATTCAATATAGTTGCTCTGACCATTATTCTCGTATGCCTCGCCAAGAGCCCCTCCATCGGCCTGGTCAATCCAGAAGTTTTTGATTCCATTGTCAAAGTAATTCTTTTTCAGGGTATTCCACAAAAAGGACCGGGCGCCTGGGTTTGTTGAATCATAGTTGCGGATGTAGGATCCATTCCACGAGTCTGTTGTTCCGGGGCCGGATCGAGTAGCAGACAGGAATCCTTGCGCCATTAGGTCAGCATAGTTCACGCTGTTATCCTCCACACTTGGCCACAAGGATGCCATCATCTCGGCATTTGTGAGATTCTTGACTGTCTGCGCCATTACAGCCACATCGGGCCATAGACGCGGGTCGAGGCCCCAGTCACCTTGATGGGCCCATGACTGGTAATCGATGACAATCATCGAGACTGGAATTTGACGAGACTGGAACTCCTCGGCAAGAAGAATCACCTCTGTTTGATTTTCATAGCGTAACTTAGATTGGATATAGCCAAGTGACCAGTCTGGTGGAATCGGACCTCGTCCAGTGAGAGCGGAAAGACGTTGCTGCAGTGTGTTATAGTCACCAGGCGATGAAGCTACTATGATGTAGTCAACTACTGTTGCTGCGTCTGCGGTGAATCTGTTACGCAATTGGCCAAATTCCATTCTACCGGTCGAGGGCATGTTCCAAATAAAGCCATACCCTTGGTTACTTATGAAGACTGGGGTTGGGATATTTCCATTAAAATTGATGAGATCAATGGTCGTTCCCTTTTTGTTGACCATATGATCCTGCTGGGTCCCAGTTCCATAGATCTGCTCCTTAGATGTCGTGCTAAAGGAGAATTCGGCAGAAAACTCGCTGCCAGGGCCATTCCATGAGTAGTATCTTGGATTGATGGATTTTAGCGGCGCATATTCATTCGTGAGTAAGGTCTCCGAGCCGTTTGTCTCCACGCGGTAGAACGCCAGGCGATATCCACCGGCGCTTCCACCCCAGCCAGACGTACGCACAATTATATTGCCATTGCGAATCTCTTCGGATTGATTTCCTGTGAAGGCGGTATCGAAGCTCAAACCATGGGCCTCCCCATCCTCAGGCCCTTCAAGTGGAGGATCATAAATGAAGCTAATCTCATTTCCTGTTGGGGGTCGAAATGGCCAGGCACGTACTCGAAAGCCATCATAGCCAAAAGGCTGCACAAGGACGGTCTCAAGACCATGTTGCATGCGAAACCCTTTCGAAGTAGGTTGGTGATAGGCCTGTGCTGAAACCACTAGGGCACTCCCAATGGAGAGAGCGAGCAGGATAGCAAGAAAAGATAGCATCTTTCTCTAGAATACTGGATTGTCGATGTTACTGAATCAAACATCAACCGAGACCTGGCCTTTTAAAATTGGATCATGCTGCTCTTTTAGCCTGAATTAGAGGAACATGTTATGGAGACTCCGCTATGAAAGATACAGATCGGCATTTCCGATTACTCTGAATGTAAATATAAACAATGCGAAGATAGTTAACAGGTGACTTTCAGGTTCCGACTATGTATTGATGAGGGGAACGGGAAAAATTATTCCGACACTGTTTGTCACAGTGCGGGGTCGCAGCCTCACAGGGTCACGCAGGTCATCATCGTGACGCTATGCTGATCATACTCAATGAATTGGACCTCGGTGACTGGGATGCATAGTAAGCAGTGGCACCATTCCTACATATGCCCTGCATCTCGGGATCTCATTTATTCCATGATTAGGAAGATATTCACCATCATCAAATAAGCGAGACAATACCTTTTTAAATTATTTTTGCGATCTCGAAGAACCAATGAAGATGTGAAGATGCAAGGGAATCAAATTACCTAGAAGTATATAAGTGGATAAGTGGTGCAAAAACTGCATATTATGTTGGCAGTGACGGTCTCTATATTATGAGATCCATCCTTATACCCCAACCGAGCATGTTCCCGACAGTTTGCCCATATAACTGAGCGATCCGTGGCATGAGCAGAGTTCTTAGTATTTCTGAAGCCATTACTAGAACACTCGGAGCTTCTTCTGTTCTGAATTCAAAATTTATTGTTAATATAACCAAGCGTTCTTTTCTATAAGTAACTAGGAATTTTGTCCAGGTGTATATTGCTGAAAAAAAATTCGGCCTTTTGTCTTAGAAGTGATATTTTCGCCTCTGGTTAGACGCTCCATATGCTTTATTAGTCTGGACAGATTTTGTTGATATCGGAAGTAGTCTATATGCCAATGCTAATCAATATCTTCCGGTTTTCTTTAAGACGTCTCAATGTCTAGTAGATATGTGAGATAAAAATAGCCTCACCAAGTTTTGTACGATATTTGGTCTTAGCCCTAACTATGAGTATATTGTTACCATTTATTTACCACCTTTGGACATATATTTTCTCCAGAAGTTAGACAGTAACAAGCTTGAAATTGTTTTGCAAGGGAGATACTTTACTCATCCTGATGGGTTGAGACAAGCTAGATACATTGAAAGATGCCATGGGAGTTCAGATTCCTCTACCTTTAAAAGGCATCTCTATAATGGGCTCACAAAAGGTCAAGATAGCCAACGCTTCCATCATCACCCCATTCAAAAGTGTCCCAACCAATACCCTGCCACTTCATATAGCTAGAATAGTAGGGCATATCGTCAATGCGGTTACTCCGGTAATACTCGTGGTATGCAACACCGATAGCCTCAAGAGGCTGTGCGGATTCAGCGTAGTTTCTTCCGCGGGATGTATTTACCAACTTGTCATATATTTCGCCGCTTCCAGGACGGATTTCCTTAGGTTCCCAGGGAACCGTGTCATCCCCACCGTTATATCGAGCCCAGTACTCGTATCCAGCCAGGAGACGCGATGAGTTTTGATTATAGAAGTCAGAACCTCCTTGAATTTTGGCCGTAGTTCCCATAAAGGCAAGACCGCGAAGTGTACCCATTGGATGAGCTTGGTCGCGGCCCATCTCTGTCACTTGACCGTAGTAGTCAGAATCTCCGGAGATCTAATGGAAGTAAAGACTTTGTTAAGGCAAAAATTAGTATGGTTGTTGATTCTCTCATTGCTCACCTGAAGAGGAATGGCATAGTCGATAGAAGAGTCAGGATTTTCTCCAATAGTGGCTTGGCGAACCATCTCGTCATATAGAGTGCGGTTGTTACTAAAAACAGCCAGGCTCATTGCACCATTATTCCCGTAACAGCCCTGGTTCATGAAGAAATCATTTCGAGCGATACCATAAGACGAATTCCAAGTGGATGTAACAGTATCGATCATTGTCAACCATGTGGTCGTGTTTTCAGAACTCCACCCCGAGTCACTAGCAGTAGCGCGGAGGATTTCAGCTGCTGCGGTCATGTAACCAATCCCTTCGCCTCCTTGGATTTGCTCGTTCAAATCCTTCAGTGTTGATCCCCATGCTAGGACGATCTCCTTGGCACGCGACAGCCACAAGCTATTGCCAGTGGCGTACCAGCCAAGCGTCAGAGCATACGCGGATTTGCCATCAGTCTGAAGAGGAATATTGTGACCATCTCCACCAGCCCAGTTTACGGATTCGTAGGGTCCTGACATTTCCCAGGTATCGCTCTCTTGGAGAGCAGATAGACGAGACTGGCTACTCGTGAGCGCGTCAGCGTATGCAGAGCTGTCACCGTTATAATTGGTCTGGATGCGGTCAAGAGATGTGCAATTATGGTATATGCCCGGATGTTTGAAGCCATCTTCCGTCCAGCTTTCACATTTCGGGAGGGCGACAGTGCTGCCAGCTAGGGCAAAGACCAGGTGGAGGATCTTCATTGCTGAAATAGTACGATGGTTGAATGAAAACAATAACTTTTAGTACCAAGGTATCTCCTGTATCTTATATATCTGTAATTGGCACGGGAGAGATATACCGTAGCTACGAAGTCATAGGTCACAATGAAGGGGAGACTACGTTTCAGACGGCTGAGTGGGCGCAACTTTTGCGCTAGTGTATTACGATAGGTGGGAATGAGATTTCCCTTCAAGCCTCTTGCGCTCAGTATGTCTTCAGGTAGGGAGGACACATTGTCCGGAGTAATAACGACAGAAAAACCGGGGTATGATCTGAGAAAAGTGAGAAGATCTTATTTTTGGCATTGAAATGTACAGCAGATCTTCAGTAATAATATTTGTGATTAAGCATTCCTGGCTGTGACGAGTGTCTAGGCACGGAAGTAGATGCTCCGTAAACAAATAACTCTAGAGCCAAATAGAATTTTTGCCATATCTCAGGAACCAAGACTGTCAAATAGAATTTCGACCGTCCAACCACCATTGGTTGACGAAACTGGATTGTCTATGTAGGGAGTAAAATCCGCTTAAATACACACATTGTGGATCCTGCAAACAGTACAAACATACCCCCTTATATCGGTCCTTTGACAAAGACTACTTATCATGTGACTTAGCGCCAAAAGTAAGTTCGCATTACACAAAAAAGGCTTAGCACTGCAAATAACGCCACTAATACAATATGAATTATATTATCTGCCCTCCATATGGCACTTTAGCCGGTTTATGACCAGCCGTTAATATTGATATTTCTAAAAAAAGTTCTATTTTAGATACCAAGTGTTGAAGGATGGGAGGAAAGCCTTAACAAATAACGCAACGGTGTTCAGCCTCCAGCTGAAATGACAAGACACTAGTTACTCTAAAAACACGGTTAGATGAAATGAAATATCACCCTATAGTTGGGATGAAAGGTGGAAAAACATAACAGAGAGGGGTAAAAGGGGTAAGAAAGGGGAAAAAATAGGCTAATAACGGGCTGATAATGCAGCCTTCTGAATGAGGTAGAACACATCATATATATGTAACACTAATATATTAGCGTGGACATTCTGAGATGAAAGGAATATCGTGTGACGAAAATTGGTGCAAATGGAGCAAACAATTGGAGGGTAAGCTCCTGATAAGTGGTGTCTAATTGGTTCGGAAAACCCGGTCAAAGATGGCAGAAACTCCCAGTGATGAAGGGGTAAAACCTGGCTGCTTTTTAACAGATATTTATCCCTAACTAGTATCAAAATGTAGTGCAGGAGTTAGATTTAACTTCCCGCTATTTAAAAGCTGGTCTGTGCCTTACATATCGTACGTGGCCGTCATCACGTGGTTTCCCGCTGTGTTTTTTCTCCTTTCTCAGCTTATTCTTCTGCTCATAAGGCACTCCTAACTCAGCTACTAGTCTAGCAGGTGACAAGTAACCCTAGATACGTAAGGTACCACTCTTAGACAAACAGAGTATGCTTCTAAGTAGCTTCTTATGACAGGAATGCACCGTTACAGAAACAGGGAGAGAAGAGGTTACCATTTCCAATAACTATTGAAGATTGGATTTCACGTTGCACTTCTATAAAGATCCAGAAAACACTCAGTTGTTCTAGGAGTTCATATGGGGCCCACTTTCAACAATCAACCACCAGAACACGGTCAGAATCCAAAATAGTCGAGCTGATGTGTAACGGCCATGATTGTGTGATCACGGAAATGTGATCGAATTAGTCTTTGTATCAGCTCCTACAGATCTACATTCACACTAGAAACAATTTGACTCAATACCCGTAATTTGAAGATTAACAAGATTGTTCTGATCTTACCTGCTTGTCGCTTCATCCAATACCGAAATATTTCCATATCGAACAATGGCTCGTGCAAGACAGACAAGTTGCTGCTGGCAATTTGAGAATGTTATGTCACTCACCACAGTCTCGAGGCCGCCTTACTCTTCGATGATTGCCAAAGATTGACCGCTTTGAGAGCATCTATGATTGTGTCATCGTAGCTTAAAGCAAAGAAGTCAATGTTATCACGGATTGTTCACCCATTTAACAGAAATGAATCTTGTGACAGTGCATTCAAAGAAAATCAATAGAATTAACTATATTTCAAAGAAAGTTGCATATCAACCCACGAGAATCAATACTTAGGTATGCCATAACTAATGTATGTTGCAGCTATAATAAAGCGGGAGCTGATCAGGGCACTCAGTTCTAAGTTCAAAAGATAAAATTCTTCCGAAAAATGATGCTGATGAGGTGTGTTTGTTTTTTTGTACCTGGACAATGCGATTTAAGTAAAAGGGCCGGAGGGACTTGTACTCATGAGTCCTCCGGCTAGTAAACACTCAATTGTCGTGCCAACAGTGTCATTTACCATCTACATTTTCGTCTCCCGATCGAAGCCTGAAGCTATTGGTGCTCTCGATAGCCGAAGTTTGATGTACCGAGTCCAGCATATCCACCCATATATTGGAAACTCTCATCTCGGATTTGCTTGGTATCAGAATCTGTCCACCATTTCAGCCAGATGCTTAGAAACCTGCTGCAAAAGCAGAACCTAATGGATGCAACAAGTATTGAAATGATGAACGGAAGGCCTATCTCTTAAAGATATAAGTGATAAAGAGTGAGATCGCCGGCTTTTCTAGATGCCTCGGAGACCCCCTGATCTGCTTTTACATCTCGAGGGGTTTCATGAAGCACTGAGTCAGTCCCAGAAGAGTCTAGCTGTAAGGCGTCTCTTTCTTGGGGTAGATGGACTGGGATTTTATCCTGGGCTTGGTCTAGGATCTGATTCGGAGTTTGAACCATGTAAGCTGAACCATCCTCTTGGAGCTCGATGATCTTGTCCACAAAATGATTGAAATAAGCTTTATCTGTTAGTATGCTGAATCATAATAAATCTTAATTCAGTACTCACATTTATGTGTTATAAGAACAACAGTCATGTTTTCTCGACGACATAACCCGTTTCGCCTAAATAGTCTTTGGGTAATAGTACTCTCTGTAGCTGCATCGAGACCACTGGGAACATCATATACCCCGTTTAAGATGCCAAAACTTCCTAGAAGATAGTGGATAGTAAATTGACTCTAAAAGGCTTGGTTTTTGGTTTTTGGTGTTTTAGGTCAAGAAGAGAAATTTAACAAGGAGTCTAAAAAGTAATCACTATGAAATATGAAAGGGGGTTCTTTCAGGGCGTTGACTCACCTAATTATGCGGAGAATAGATTCATCTTTATCTTAATTTAATATAGAGTGATAACGTGGTTACTTTTCGATACAATCAATAGGATAAGCTTCCTCATCACTACTGTCAGGTAGACTGAGGCTATATTGTTGTAGAGGGCGTTTGGGGTGTGATATTTATAAGTAAATGATTATGTAGATAATACAGTTAGGGACACGGGATTGTAATTTCTATTTTAGTATCATATAGGCAATGGCAGAATATCCCGGATATAGGCTCTCGACTACGATTACAGATACAGACAATCCAAAATCTTACGGATATGTGTCAGTACCGACCTCTATGCCAGAATAATCCTTTTAAGGCAAGTGGACGAGAGGTGTACTACCTGAATTATCTATGACTGCGTTCAAAAGAACATAGTATGTTCTAGACTAGGCTGTAAACTATAAATCGTATGGCAATTCAATATTTGATTCCTGGTACCCGCAGACATATCGACATGATAGTATAAGAGACACATACTTGGATAGTTACTAGGTCATAAATCTCGAGGACTTGGTTAAATCAAACTCGGTCAATTGGTTGGTACCGGTCTTTATCTACGTGGCAAAAAGTTTTCATACTCAGCCAAGAGCACAAAGTAAATTATCGATAGCCAATAAAGACAAAAATGGAACCCACAAAGAAATGACTTTTGCTTTGCGTCTACTTAAGTACGAGGTATTTCCTCAGAACTCCGTGGACCCAAGATTGCCTAGACCTCAAGGCAACTGGAAGCTGTCGACGTGTCTTACAGAGATATCACCCAGTTGAAATATGACCCCATACCTCGTATGTACGTGAGATATGCCAATGTCAAAATGAAAGGATATCCTTGCCGACTCCGTAAATGCGGGGCCTCTGCATTACGTCATCAGATATTCTTCAGCAGTTGTCGACTTTTGGAGTGGGCAACCAATTAAAATATGAAGGAATGATTTGTTGAGTTTTTATAACTGTAGTAAATAGCTAAAGATAATGCAAACAGAACAAATAGCGCACTAGTCTGACAGCTATTCATCTAATAAGGTTATCTTTGACACCCATGATTGGCTCCCAGTGTTCCATAATTAAAAAACAGTGTACGCAGTATCTAGCATGGAATGTTTCCATACATCCATAGAATTTTACTTCTAGTTCTTATTGAAATTGGAAAAAGGCTTAGGCTTTATCAGCTTCCAGCTATAACAGGTCAAAGCCAATCTAATTGATAATGACTAGAGATAAGATAATGCTTCATGGAGTCGAGCTTATGCTGGACTACAGCCCATGATTATACAGGCGAGTGACTGTTTTTGGCCCTTTCGCTTTGAAATTTTTCTAAATGGATTATCTGGGGCCCAGAAAACAGTTGCCACCACTAGTTTGACGGCTTTCTGTCATTGAAATTCTTCAACAGGCATATCCATGGTCTTGGATAGCCAAGAAACGCCTCTCGTGTAAGAGTTGATGACCTATCTTAAGACACCTTTAACGGGAAATAGCGCAGACTTTAGAAATTGAATATGTACCCCGCTCTAGTTCGTTTGACTGAAAAAGGCATATGCTGTGAAAGTAGTGGCAAAGATACTATAGGGAGACGCCTAGAGCGATCTAGCCAGAGGGATGTCATCTACGACGGTCTGTCCTAGAAGTCACGTTAGGTTGGTACCTCCTGACTTATTTGTCAAGATCATTTGACACATGGACATTGAATGACGTGGCATACTGTAAGAAAACTATACGCCAGTTATTTACACTTCAGTCCACTACTTGTATCTCAAGAATGTCTTATATTTAAAGGCATGCCCAGATGAACGGTCTTACATTTAAAGCTCATATGAGTCTCAGTTCCTCCTAAGTCCTTCTCCCAATCATTATAACTCACCACTGTGCTCACAATTTCGAGATATCGAAGGTTACCTCACCGAAGTTTTCGTTTATCGGATGTGATGATGGCTCCCTATTGCACCATTATACCGAAATATGTCCTAGAAGGAATCATCGAAAAAGGATTAGCGCCACAGAACATCATTAATCGGTGCCAATCGACAATAGAACAAACAGACCAACTCCACAATGTCCGTGGAAGCTTCAGGCAGAGTATTGCTGCGGCACAGCAGCAACAGACCTCCCAAGGTATCATTCCACCATACATCCTTGAATCAATTTCTCGCAATGCTGTAGATGAACAACAGCGCGAAGCCGCCCGTCACACACTTGCACATCGTACTGAAGCTCGAGCAGTGGCAGGAAATGTACGTCGCCTATACCGTACAGTCTATGATGCACAGAATTCACGCAGAAATCCTCCTCCAAAGGATAAGACTGTGCTCAAAGAAGGTGATGAGCTTATCTCTGCCACGGCCGATCCAACCAATAACGCAAATGAATGCTACATTGGGCTTGGAAAGACATTCGACTTTTTTTTCAATTTCTTCAAACGAAATTCAATTGACAATAAAGGCATGGATCTTAATGGTTTTGTACATGCTGGAGATCTTTATAACGCTTTCTGGGACGGGGAACAATTGGTTTTTGGTGATGGAGATGGTGTTGTATTTAATGGCTTTACAGATGAGCTCGATGTCATTGGTCACGAGCTTAGCCATGGTGTTGTGCAGTATACAAGCCCACTCAACTATCAATATCAAAGTGGTGCTTTGAATGAGTCTATTGCCGACTCTTTTGGCATCATGGTCAAGCAATGGGGTGAAGCCACCCCTCAGACCGTTGACCAATCTAATTGGCTTATCGGGGAAGGATTATGGGCTAAAGGCATAAATGGGAAGGCGCTTCGAGATATGAAAAACCCTGGAACAGCCTACAAGGACAAGAAGGTGGGAGAAGATCGCCAACCTGGACACTGGAGAGATTTCAAGAGGCTCCCCTTGAGTGACGATGGTGGTGGCGTCCACATCAATTCTGGCATCCCAAATCACGCTTTCTATCTTGCTGCTACTAAGATAGGAGGATACGCATGGGAAGGTGCTGGTCCTATATGGTACCGGGCTTTAACTTGCGGAAAGCTTCGAGAAAATGCTACATTTAAAGAGTTTGCCGACCTTACCATCGAGAATGCTAATGAGCATGTGGATGAAGTCAAGGAAGCTTGGAGGCTTGTCGGATATCCGTTTCCTGAAAAAAATCATGAGCTCTAGTGGACTTGGACCTCAATTGGGTAACTTTGTGTTTTGAAACTTTGGAAGTTTTGGATTTGAATTTCGCTAATGAATTTTGTTGATTCGTGTTCATATATCAAAAGCTGTATTGTCTTTCGAGGTCACCCAAATTGAACAATTTGACCATTAATCATTTTAAAGTTACACATGAATATCTCAATTTATGTATCAAACCACAACGCCTAATACGCTCGAACACTAGGATAATCTTGTAGCACGTTTCCTGCAAGAGCTTTGGGCACTTCCATATCTGGTATAATTGAAATAAAGCCTACTGTGCAAGTCATCCAGGCGAGCTCAAAACATCTCAATCCCGTCAATAATCTGAATACGAAGAGACAAAAATGTACGATGAATACATACCGAATAACTACTACGCCAATAATTGCACCAGCTACTGCTACGCCAACTACTACACCAACCACTACGCCAACCACCATACCAACTACTACGCCAACCACTACACCAATTCGTGCGCAGGCGAACAATAATCCCTTCCTTCGCGATATCCCATATAAACACAGCACTGCTCAAACTGCTCGAAGGAGCTATATGGGACTTAGTCCCCGTCAAACTTGTCCACTGCCTTCTCGTCAACCTTCTCCTCCTCCCCCGCCGCCGCCTGAAACATATCCAATATTTGTACAGCTTTATGTATGGGAGAAGCCACTAGAGCTTTATCGGCTCAACATCACTGCATCTTTTGAATATCCTTCTTATTTGACGATATTAGATGTCAATGAGTTTCTTGAATTCAAGATATTTGTAAGTGATGGTTTCAATGAGGAAGAGCTACGAAGAGCCGGTCTTGAGAGATAATACAGTGATCAATTCAAGATTGTAAGCAGTGTGAACCTTGTTGGGAGAAAACCTAATAGTTATCTTTAACCTGAGCTTCTTCTTGGCTTATATTCCAACTTTCTCTGTTACCCATTCAAAGATCTTTGCGAAAATCTGACGCTTAATAAAAAGAAGCAGCATCAGCTCCATATTATCATTGATCGTCGCAAAGGGATTGAATCCCAATCTCAATCTCAATCGATTGAGCCTCAATCAACTCTGCAATCTTCATCGCACAGGGAATCTCTACGAACGCTCTCAGCCATAGACCAGAATGAATCTATGACTACTCTACCAGATGAGGATGAGGATATACAATGGTACAATGGTAGAAGTGGGATAGTAGTATCGCCGCCGCCACCGCCGTCTACATCTTCAACTATTGAGCTTAACTATCCCATCATTTCTCCAGATACTCTCACTACTCCAGCTGTATCTAATGGCTCAGCCAAACGCGCGTGGCCAAGCCGTCAAAGCGAGCGGACTCTGAGAAGAAGAAGAAGATGTTGAGTTGCTTTAGATCTCATTGGTTTTCATATATGCCCGTCTATTTTTCTATATTTGCTTTAAAGGTGCTTAAATCAATGCAATTGAATGCGTTATTATACCTGATTACTAGTAAATCGTAATGGTGTTGGAGTTGGAGTTGGACTTGGTCGAATTTCAAGATTGGGATGACTTAACAGAATTAGGGCGATACAGGTAATAAAACATTCTGCCAGTCGTAAAATACGTATTATGTTTTATGTTTTTGGGATTTATTCGTTTTTGCGCTTATCGGCTTCCGTATACATAGTAATAGGTAGTTGGAAAAAAAAACTTTCCTCGGGGATGGCGCAAACACTTCCCCGAGAGGGCCTATAGGAATAAACTCATGACTCTGGGACGGTGAGTCTGTTACAGGACCCAGATGAATCCTGAGGGACCCTTAGGATGCCCAGGACCAGTTCCTATGTGAACACTCGCTTGAGCTGACGGCATTTCGTTCTCTGAATGCTGGTATGGATCAGCCGGAGAGAGTGTCGGTCAGTCAATCAGCAGGCGGTATATTCGTTGAATGGTAGAAGTCGATAAAGGCAGTAGACTTGCATCCTGGTCGGTGATCGGTGAGCGCACCAAAAGACTAGCCCATCCCCGTTCCCCGTTTGGAGACCAGGTGGTCTTCGCGGGTATAAAATGTATGCTGTTGACTGATCCTTGAAGCTCTCCTTCAAGGATTAATCACTGTACTGTTGTGAATATAATATACTGCTGGACCAGCTTCTGTACTCAAGGTCTTGTACGATTACTCTCTCAGTTTACGGATTCATAAAGTATACTGGAACTCAACCCTTACAGAGTTTCTCCAAATCCAGGGGACGTGGTAGAATTGCTGGCCGAAGAGACAATGCGCTCAAGCCATTTGAAGCGCGGGAGTTAATCCCAGAAGTCAGAGTTGCTTTCAGATAGCTCTGAAATTGGTGTCAGGGTGCGTATTAAAAATAGTCAGATAGGGAATGGGACAGAACCAGTTAGCTTTTAGACAGAGGACGAAGATTGAGATTACATAGCTACGTAACCTACTTCCAGACCTAAGTGTTCGATATTATTAGGAAGCATTAAACTAGGCCCTAGTCCTCTCCGAAAAAGAGATGGATTACTTTAGGTAGGAGGTGCGCAACACGTTTAGAGAGAAGTAGAGTCAATTCAACATATCTAGGCGTGACGCTACGACCATCTAGAGAGAATATTCATCAGAAAAGCATATTATCTTCGGTTTCAGTTAATAGACATAAATTTACGAGCGATGTTTCCTGTCCCTCAATCGACCGCGGAGCGTAAAGCCGAGTAATTTAAATAATTTAAATGTAGTAATAGCTTTTACCCAAGTAAATCAAACTTGCTATTTTTAACATCTTTCATTGTACCTAGTACGTAGAATTTGACCTTCCTGCTCCACTAACTTTGAGTGTTTCGCTCGCCTATGGAATACATCGTTATCCGTTTGGCAATTTTATGAACTATAACTAGTTCTTGCCGCAGCAGATGTTCATAAGCGAAGGGGACTACACACAAATTTGAGTTCAGCTAGAATACGACTATCGATTATAGAGTTAGTGGAATGGAATTACATAAATGATAATGGATTGCCGATAGATAAGCTTGTAGGGTCCATGGTTCCAATGATGCCAAGCAAGCCTCACTCAATATACGAGTGTTACCCCTGAATACTACCCCTAAATATTACCAAAGTCTCTGTAAGTAAATATCTTGCTAAGGTTTCACGTGTGGATGTGGAAGATCGCATGGCATCTTGGACCGGCTATAAGTAACCCTTACAGGCAAAATTTGGCGAGCCAAGGTCTGGTTATTCCCAGATCTTATATAGACAGGCGCAGTAGCACTTTAATATATACTCCGTCCTTCTATCTAGGTGCTATACACTCATTAGCCGATACGGCAACTTTCACTCGTTTTACCTGCGAAAGCACCTTGGTAGTAAGCTCAACACCATGGTTTTCCGGAATTGGTGGTCACTGGCCCTTGTAACTTTCCTCTGTCCACTCGTTGTCCAAGCTGAAGAAGTCGTCACTTGTTTGGACGTCCCTTCGCCGAATGTGGTAGTAAATCCTTCTTTTGAAAATGGCTTAAGTGCATGGTCATTTACTAGCCCTGGAGGTTCGGTCTCGATAAGCAACGCATACTCCAGCGACGGGTCCAATTCTCTGTGAGTGCTTTCCAAGCTTGCTTCAGACTCGAACAGTTTCCACTGACAATGCCAAGGCTCGTTCCTTCAAGCGCTTCATACCTCTTAATGGGACAGACTATCAGCAATCTGGAGGTTGGCCATGAATATGCCATCTCTATGGACTTCTTTGGCATAGTCTCCCAAGCGTACAGTATAACAGAGCAATGCGTTGTTTATCTTCACCATGATAGCTTGACCACAGCCAACTTGATTGGTAATTATGGAGTCAGACAGCTCAATAAAGCGACTACTGCTCCGATAACTTACAGTGGTACATATACACCAGTGTCTAGCAGCATGAATCTCAATCTTTATATATCCTGTACACCGTACAAATCTTCTCTGATTTTCAACGTATACGTCGACAACTTCAAAGTGGCTCGTGTTTCTCCGACACAATCGTGCACAACGACGACTCTCACGCCAACTCCTACGCCGACACCATCGGTCATAATCTCTTCGTCAGCTTCTGTGCCAGTCTCGTCTTCTGCACCAGTCTCGTCTTCTGTGCCAGTCTCGTCTTCTGCACCAGTCTCGTCTTCTGTGCCTGTCTCGTCTTCTGCACCAGTCTCGTCTTCTGTGCCTGTCTCGTCTTCTGCACCAGTCTCGTCTTCTGTGCCAGTCTCGTCTTCTGTGCCAGTCTCGTCTTCTGTGCCAGTCTCGTCTTCTGTGCCAGTCTCGTCTTCTGCACCAGTCTCGTCTTCTGCACCAGTCTCGTCTTCTGCACCAGTCTCGTCTTCTGCACCAGTCTCGTCTTCTGTGCCAGTCTCGTCTTCTACACCAGTCTTGTCTTCTGTGCCTGTCTCGTCTTCTGCACCAGTCTCGTCTTCTGCACCAGTCTCGTCTTCTGCACCAGTCTCGTCTTCTGCACCAGTCTCGTCTTCTGTGCCAGTCTCGTCTTCTGTGCCTGTCTCGTCTTCTGCACCAGTCTTGTCTTCTGTGCCAGTCTGGTCTTCTGTGCCAGTCTCGTCTTCTGCACCAGTCTCGTCTTCTGCACCAGTCTTGTCTTCTGTGCCTGTCTCGTCTTCTGTGCCAGTCTCGTCTTCTGCACCAGTCCCGTCTTCTGTGCCTGTCTCGTCTTCTGTGCCAGTCTCGTCTTCTGTGCCAGTCTCGTCTTCTGCACCAGTCTCGTCTTCTGTGCCAGTCTCGTCTTCTGTGCCAGTCTTGTCTTCTGTGCCAGTCTCTTCTATTGCGGCCTCTTCAAGCCGCATTCTGACACAGACTCAAACCTCTGTTACAATTACTAGTCAAGTCATCACTCGCACACAAAGCACTACTCCAAGTAGATCAACAACGTTGATCAAGAATTCTTCTTCATCAGCCTCTGGGGCACCGATCTCTTCTTCTGCTGAATCTTCAAGCCCGATTGTTCTACCTAGCTCAGTTACTAGCATTCAGCTGATCCCATCTTCAAGCTTCACACCTCAGTCTAGCTCGTCTATGAATATACCAGAAACTTCACCTCTGAGTTCAGTTGCTGTTGGCTCGTCAGGCACACTCACAGCCTCCGGTAGTGCCACTCTGTCTGGTAGTGCCACTCTGTCTGGTAGTGCCACTCTGTCTGGTAGTGTCACTCTGTCTAGCAGTACCACTCTGTCTAGCAGTACCACTCTGTCTGACAGTGCCACTCTGTCTGGTAGTGTCACTCTGTCTAGCAGTGCCACTCTGTCTAGCAGTACCACTCTGTCTAGCAGTACCACTCTGTCTGACAGTGCCACTCTGTCTGGTAGTGCCACTCCGTCAGATAGTTTGCAGTTGACGACTTCCACTGTTCTGACGACCCAAATTGCTACTATAACTGCCTGCCCATCTTCAGTAACTGACTGCCCTGCAAGGTCGAAGACAACCTATACCACCACTGAGATAATTGTACTGTCAACAACCATCTGTCCAGTGACTGCAACGGAGACCGCTACCATAAGTGAGGCTACGACAACAGCTACTTTAGCTTCCTCATCCACCGATCTATACACTACATCGACTTTGTTCACTACCCGTACGGCTGCCGTGACTGCTTGCCCATCTGGCGTGGATGACTGCCCAGCATCTTTAAAGACAACTTCCATGACCACGGAGACAATTTTGCTGACGACAACTATCTGCCCGGTGACAGCAAATGAGCTTGCCGGATTTCCTACTACTGCAACTGTGATGCCTACTCTGACTCGATCGGCCGCTCACACTACCGACCTGACTACGTCAACTGTTTTCTCGACTCATACTGCTACTGTGACTGCTTGCCCATCCGGCATTCATGACTGTCCAGCATCTCTGAAGTCAGCTTTCGTAACTACCGAGATAGTACCAGTCTCAAATACTGTCTTCTCAGTGGTCGAGAGCTCTATCGCTTCAACATTATCTTTGGACTCCTATTCTTCCATCGCCACTTCTATTGACACTGTTGATGTTGCTGCTACCGCTACTGGCGAGGAAGAGGTTACTACGAAGATCATTCCTGGAGAGAGTACCTCCGCAACTCTCCACAGACCTAGTGCGCCTGCAAGGGGAGCTAGTAGCCTGGGAATTTCCACACCTGTTTACTCAACTATGATTACTAACTCTCCTATTGCCTTCACACAATCGGCTACTAGTACCGGTCCTATCGCTCCTTCGTGGACTGGCGGTGCTGGTTTTACTCGGCCTGCCAATCTCGTTCAAATGCTCACCGGGCTTGCCTTGAGCTGTCTGGTTTTCTTTCTTTAATTAAATTCTTCCTATATTTTTTCGAGACTATATCTAGAACTCCTGGAATCAGAGGAGCTTCTCTCACGTTTTCTTCTCTCCATACATATCTTTTTATCATCACCACTTCTTCTTACGAGCATGTGTATCCTCTCTCTATAGTATCTGATAGTCAAGATTATAAAGTAGTATGATGATAAATTGTCTCCAACTTCCAGAATCTAAACAAACCGTGTTTATTTCTAATTAGAATTTATTGAATTAACCTATTGCAATGCAGGAGAATTATAATAGAGACGAAAGGTACATTTTCTGGTCTCAGTATCTCATTTCTCTCTAAACATACTATGTATCTAGTAAGTTCATTGCCTTGACTGAATTTGTATAGGAATAATCTTAATCCTACTAGAGTCCGAACCTTCATGTCGGGAAATAGACGAAATTTTTGAACCAGCCTTGGACAGTAAATCAATAAATGCCTGACCATCATCCAATGTTCCCTCCGGAATATCGAATATCGGATGAATGGGACGAAGCTATTCAAATATAAATACTCGAGATTATTCTCCACAACCTTTACGAATATGGCCGAGAATCTCTATATATGCGTCATCTAGCCAGTCGTTAAGAACTCGAAAAATACAGTACATCAGCGCCCCGTTCCGGGTGAGCCCTGTTAATATATAATACCTAGGTATAGAGGTAGGGCTGAGAAGTTCGATCTATATATTTTATAGTGCTTCAAATATACTACATTTGACTTTTACAACTAGTTAACTTATATAATACCCCTTGGAAGAATAACTTTCAAGGCTTGCTCCTCACCACCTGCTAGAAGGGACCAAAGATTGGGACTTGGATGTTGATTTCCCCATCATTTTCGCTTTCCCGACAGCTTTTGATGTATCCATCCGAAATCATATCCAAATTAGCATATCACCAAACGATTACCTTTGTACGGTTGAAGGCAGTTGATTTATCCGGTACGGTTTTCAGTATCTCATGTAGAGATTTATCAGGTGTCCCAGATGCAAAGCTGAGTGGCTTTGAGAAGTATATTGGCTCGAAAAGGTCATACTGGCCAAAGTAATCAGGTCAATGTGACATGGGCACGAGGAAATAGTCAAATAAGTCTTTGTAAAGCAAGTTTGTTCTGCTGTTCTATAGTACCATACCAAGGTAGATGTGGGTGTATGGTTGATGGTGGTTTCGGGCTTTATTTTCTTGTAGAGATGAATAATTATATACCAGTTGTGAGAGCAATGGTGTTACCGCCGGTGTACTATCCAATGTTAACGTCAATTGATAGAATCTTGATTCATTTATTTCATGTGTAGAATAACACTAAGAATTCATGTTGAATGAAAGAATGGAGGATTGTGTTTATTGAACCAAGAGCGATGGATTTTACCTACTCCCTGTCCACTTGGGTAGTCCTTTCCAATTTCCGTTGTTCAATCTCCAAACATCATCCATTTCATTTTTCTCACAACTTCACAATTTGCTTCATCTCTTCAAAAATCTCCAGTTGCTCTGCAATCATGGATCCAGCGAAGAGTCTCCCTCGACTGACAACTAACTTGACGAACCTCCCCTTGGCTAAGATCCCTGAGACAGGCAACATACTGCGACCAAGCCCGCTGCCTTCGTTGTTTCCTCGAGACCAGCACAATGAGAATATTGCTCACTTCACTCGTTATATTGCAGACCCTCAGCTGCTGTGTGCGACTCCCGACAGTGTCGTCTCACCGATCACAAAAACGAAGTCTGCCTACTATGAGGAGGCTTTTTCAACCCGTGGCTCCTACAACTCTCCCCAGGGCCAGGTTGCACGTGATGCAGTAGTAGTGGCGGAACTGAAAACAAACAGCAAAGTCAGTCTCAAGCTTCCCTTCCTCTTTCACTGCTCACATATCTGACACTCACCGTTCACTCCAGGTCAAAGAGAATGAACTCAAGCTCCTCGGTGATCTGATGTTTCGTCTGGCCCAGATCTATCAGCGGCCTGAAGCATCCATTTTGGTCACCGTTCAGCAGAATGTCTTGCTGTTTTATGGCACCACTACAAATGCCGCTTATCTGTTGAAGATCTCTGCCATTCCCAGTTTCATTGCCCCGATCACCAACCTTCGCAACACTAGCCTTCTTCAGAGCGCTCTGCAAGACTTGCTCTCTATTCCACCTAGCAACGGTATCGTCATCTATACCGCAGTACCCGAGGACAATCTGGGGTTTGGTGGATCTACCGCTGGTGCTCTGATCTCAAGACTGGACTGCAGCTATCAAGATGCAAATGTGGGTCTATTCAAGACCATCTCTCGCTCCGTGTCCCGGCGTATGAAGTCGAGTAGTGAGGGTAGCGCTCCGCCCTCTCTAAACTCGATTGATACGGACAACTCACCATCTGTGCTTGAAGATGCTGCTCGATCTTCACTCTTGGATGAGAGGCTTGGCGAGGCAATGGATGTGTACAATGGACAATCTTTCGGACGAGAGACTTTTCGAAATCTTGTGCGCCGTCATCTAAAGGGAGGTGTGCTTAGAGACAAAGCCAAAGTGAAGGACGAAGAGCAAACCCAGGACAAGGATACGAAGGACCTGGGGCCGTTGTCTAAGACACAGATACTGACCGAGGAGCACAAGGCCGAGTCGGTTTAATTATGGATTACGAAGCGTATGGGCATTGAGTTTATTCCACGAATTATGACATTAAAGGAGACCTAGCAATCGTTCAGTTCTTATCCTAACAATGGATATCTTTGTATTCTTTAATGTTATACTTGGCCATGGACCAATAGGCAGACCCTAAGGAGTGGAGTCTCTGACACCGAAACACCCGTTCATTTCTATCTTCACTATTCATTCAGTTCTGCGGAGTAATCCGTACCAGTCAATTATACTTCTTCTGAATCCTTTAACCAGAGGAAGGCAACATGGATACATCCTCTATATCACAGAAAAGTTACAGTCAGGCGAAAGAGGTTCCAGGCAACCTGTTCGACGCACCTGAAGGTTCAGCCTTGATTCGTATGTGGATGTCCCTTCAGGCACTAAAGGGTTGAAGCTAATAAATCATAGATGCTTGCAACTCTCGCGGGATATGGGGAAGTGGCATTGCAAAAGAATTCAAAGAAAGGGTTGGTTGAGCGCCAATACCATCCATGTCGAGTTCTACTGACTTTCGCAAATACGCAAGTATCCCACCGCATATGGAATCTATCGGAACCACTGTCTGGGACATATACGCAACCGTACCATTCATGACGTGGTCAACTTGAAGGCTGAGAACAATAACGAGAGCGACAACTTAATCTCTGTTCGACGCCCCGTTGGCACAGCTCTGATTATCCCTCCCCAGACACTGGACAGACGATATGGTGGAAAAGGACATTGGGTGATCTGTCTATTCACGTCGTTCGACTATGGCAAGCGAGCTGATCCGCCTGATCTGATTGTCAACAGCACTTACGCTGCACTCCATCACTTGAAAATACAGCTCAATACCCTTGAAGAGCGGAATTTTTATCTTGAAGAAGCCACCCCTGGACAATTAATGGCCTGTCGTTTCAATTCTGGCCTTTTCGGGGTTTTTTGGGAGAGAACTAGACGCCTTTTAGAAAAAGTTGACCTTGATGTGGCTGTTGTATATTGATCCCAGCCCAGCAGCCCTAACGGCGAGTTCACAGCCTATGAGTATAAGACATTCATATGGCTAGTATTAATTCTATAATAAATGCTTCCATCAAGTTTATATCGAATGGTTTAAGAATGTGTACTCGTTCAAGTTTCGTGTCCGAGTCACCTGATGACGCGTCTCCCATCGCGCCCGCGTTTCTTATCTTCAACCTCCCATCAGCAACCTGCAACACCATCGATCCCAATATGGTTGGTGAAGCCCAAAATACGCAAAAGCGCCGTCGACTCCCGTTCAAACCTCCCAGTCGCACCGCCTCAGCAGGGTCATCGGTATCACCAATCACCGCAAACATTAAGGGCAAGGGAAAGGCCAAGGCCAAACAGAATACACAACCAACAAAATCCTCATCAAAGTCACTCTCCAAACCTGCCAACGCCCCAAATCGCTTCAAGCGTTCTCGTGACCAATCTGAATCCGAATCCGAATCAGCAACACCACGCCCCGAATCCCCCAGAATATTACCTGCTACTCCATCCGAGTTGGCTTCGGACGATGAGGCCGAAGCTTCAAATAATGGCCGCGAACGCTCACCATCGCAAGAGGCAGACTACATTCTTGCAGAAATCATTACAAAAAATACACAGGAAGATGTAGCGTTGGAGGAGCCGGCAATACCTCCCAAGTTGATCACCAAACTGCTGCATCATCATTTCCAGAATGAAAAGACGAGGATCTCGAAGGATGCCGATGCTGTGATGGGGAAATACATTGATATCTTCGTGAGAGAGGCTATTGCTCGTGCAGCGCTTGAGAGGAATCTCGCGAATGGGAAAACGGGCAAGAAGGGTCTCGTGGATAATTTTCTAGAGGTATGTCTTACACTCCAAGCTCATTGCATTAGATCGCTAATACTAGGATAGGTCGAAGATCTCGAAATGCTGACACCGCAGCTTATCATGGACTTCTAAGGCGTGCATGAATAAAGAAATGTGCAACGATACGGCGATACGGCGTTGGGCCTTTATATCATGCTCTTCTTTCGGAATACCCTTTTGTACCAAACACTTCCCATCCTCATGAAAAATCCTCAATGTACGAGACTCGCAACATTGTAATATCTCGTGGATTGCGATATGCTGGAGGCTTGCCCAGCGAATGATCCTCCGTAAAGGGCGGGATAGTGCCGAAGCCGTTGGCGTTATGAAGCATTGCTATATCGTGATTGACTCTTTGCGATACCCATGGATTCGCTTTATACGCCAGTCTTTTCTTACTGAAACGCGCGACATCTACTGGGAGTCGGTTTTGTTCTGGGAGATGACCTAGTGTCGCATCGTAGTCTGCGTTGGCGATGTCGAAAACGATGTAGATGCGTGTTGGCCAGTTTTGAACCGCGAGCAATCGTGTCTCAATTCCTTCTGCTCTCATGTTGCTTTTCTTCAAGAGTCGAAGGGCCAGGGGTACCATATCTTGCGGTGAATCGCGCGCTTTGGATATTAGTGTGCTTCTTTGTGAGACAATCACCAACACTCGAAGTGGGCTTGTTGCCATGATCTTTCAATTGCAGGCTTTCCAAGGATTATTCTTTATGCGAATTTGAAAGGGAGATCGCAGTTAGGGTAGAAGGGAATAAGGAATAGCTACGGTTTACATAGTTAGTGACTGAATCGATGGCAAACTGAACCTGAAGTCAAGAAGTTGCCAGACATTCATCCGATATTTCAATTATCCACGTCGCCATCTCGGACATGGACGGGATTAGAGTCCAATTTCAAATATGTACGACAACCAGGCACAAATATTGAATCATTGAATCAGTAAATCAGCGATTCCGGATATCTAAACATCAAGAGAATTAAACCCAGCACGACATATTTTAAATCGAAGTTGAGTCCAGTTGGAAAATCAGGTGAAGAATGTTTGGGCAAAGATAAGGATCCAAAAGCGGTCTGCGTCTTTTCGTGTCTTTCCCTCCTCAACGCGTCGATCTGAACAACACACCATGAACGATGCGACCACTTCCCTGCTCACCGAGCATTTCAGCTACACGCCCTTGGTGAGTCGCTCTTTGAGACCTTGCGCTTCCTGCGAGCAAAAAAAACAGCTAGCTCATTGGTCAATTTTATGGCGTAGTCTCTCATAGATGATATTATCAACTCGATCAATAACCTGATTTATCAAGCCATTTCAAGCTTGGAGTCGGGCTTGTTGAATACTCCACCCGATCGCTTGGGCTTTGCGCACGCCAGCAATGGTTCCACCATCCCAGATACGGATGAGGATGGCAACGTTGTTTACCCCGAGGCGAAGCTCGAGATTGAGAATGGCCTGCACCAGCTGGAAACTCTCCTAGAGGCCAATGCGGACAAGGCTTTTGATAAATTTGAGATCTATGTGCTGAGAAATATTCTCACTGTGCCCGAGGACTTACTGCCATGGGTTAGGCTCAAGCATTACGAGGTAAATGGTGATGTCTATTTGATGTTTGTACGGTTGGAATTGACTTTACTGTTTTGGTTTTGTAGGGAATCTCATTTGAAACATCCCCCGATGCACCCACGCCGGAAACTATTCATGCGCTGCGTAAGAAACTACTTGAGACTCGGAAGTTGAATCGGTCTCTGGAGGAGGAACGTGCTCGAAATGATGCTGTGATCTCTCAACTGAGGTCTGTCCTGTCCACCGTTGAAACCACCAAAACAGACGGCGCTACCCAGGAGACCAGCTCTGCAGAAACTCTGGATTTGTCCTTCCTGACCTCGAGCCCAGCTGCACGTCAACTCCGTATTGGAGCCGATGCTGGATCAAATGTCAAGCACACCCCGCTCACGACAAATACGACGTTTATTCTTTCACAACTCCCCGCATTGCAAGCAACCCTTCTCAACATTCGGCCGAAGTTGGCATCATTACCAAATTCTACGGTCGCAATCGAGACAAAAACTAAGCGCAATGAACGGCAGGAATACATCGAAAGTCGGATCAAGCTACACCTTGAGCGGGCTGGACAGCTTGCCATGGGTGATGATGGCAACTCGGTTGTCGCAGGTCGTCGCATTGACATTTCCGAGGCCCAGGCCCTGGAACACGTGGCCAGCATGTTCACCCAGGAGAAACGATCCTAAATAGTGATACAACTGCGCTCTTAAGGAAATGTGTTTAAATTTGAAGTTGACATATTTCTACGAAGACCATGATACGGTCCATGTCTCCTGATTCTTGCGGAAGGGGACAACGTCAGTTGTCTCAGACTGCAGGATCTGTGCAATCTTCTCGCCCTTCTTCTCCAGGGTGATGAATTCTTTCTTCTCATCACCAATTCCATAGAATGCCCGACCGAACCTGCTCATGAATCCCTCAAAAAGCTCCGGGGTAATGTCGTTTTCCTTCAGAACGCCGTTCTCGCAGGCCTGCTCAAAGGAATCGAGGACAACCTGGGTTGTGTACGGCTGAGTGAACACACCGGCGGCGATTTTCTCCCCACCGCGCTTAGAAGCTGCGGGATGTGGTGCGCTGTCAGATCCGAAGAAGAACTTGGGATTGCCCGAGGCTGCCGCCCGAAGAAGAGCGTCGCGGTCGGCAGGAGTCTTAGCGACAGGCTTGCAGAAGCAGAATGGGTCTCCCGCCCAAGAGTCGATGATGATGGACAGATGGTGGGCAGTAATTGTACCGGCAACGGTAGGGCCACACTTCTTGACAGCCTCCACAGCTGCGGCAGTGGTGCAGTGCTCCAGGATGATACGGAGCTTGGGGAACTTGGCGTGGAGGTCAAGCAGAGTTGGCAGGAATCTTTCCTCGGCTGATAAGACAGTCACATCCCCAATGGAAGGGCACTCGCCGTGTAGGTTCAGAATCAGGTCCTGACGTTCCATCTCAGCAAAGACGGGATAGAATTGGTCGTAATCGACAACGCCCGAGCTCGAGTTTGTCGTCACACCAGCCGGGTAGCTCTTGACACCAGTGATGCCACGCTTCTTGGCATCAATGATTGTCTCTGGGGTGATTGTCTCGTGCAGGTACAGCGACATGAGATAGTTGACATTGGGCTCAATGGCCTGCAGGCGCTTCTGGTAGTCGAGGGCACGGTCAACAGTGGTGATGGGTGGTACCAGGTTGGGCTATGAATATTGTTACAACATTGTTCTTATAATTGCATGAATCTGAATTCAATTGACTGTCAAATGTCCCTTACCATGACAAAGACAGTGTTCACTCCACCCTGACGGATGGTGGGAGTCACCAACTCCATCATCGGACCGTCACGTAGGTGGACTAGCCATCGTCAATATTTGTTTTTTTTTTTTCAATCTTCGGTCTGATAGTACATACCATGAAAGTCAGCGGACGCGGGGAGCTTAGCCCCTTGCAACTTAGACAAAGGCATTGTGATGGTCTAGATCAATGAAGAAACAAGCCAAGATGCTGATGATTCCCCGCCAAATTTTCTGGTTCTGCCGGGCGGTGAATCGTTTCCCCGCGATACACCGCATTTTAGCCATTGCTCTATCGAATTGACTAGACTCGGATGCCAGGATTTGATAATGAACGATCTTACACAGTACATGTAGATTTGAAGAACCAGATGGTAATGGACGAGATTTCCTTCCAAAGCCGAAACACGATCGTCCTCATGTCACAATCCAATGCCGGGCGCTTCGCTGCGGCCTATCAAAAGCTAGAATCACTCTGACAATTCAGAAAGAGGCTTTTCATAAGCACGAATGAGAGTCTACACTTCTAAATAACAGCCAAAAACTACTGACGATCATTCAGCTGCTTCTAAAATTAATTTCATTAGCGCTTTGCTATCCAATCTTCCTGCCAAGTCTGCAGGCTGGCGCCCGACTTTTGTCAAACACTCCAGCCTTATGGTTGTACTACGCTGTGTTTCCCCCACAGCCCTGGGAATTTAACTTCTGCAGCTATGCAGCTATGCGAATCAGTCTTCGTTAAATTCGTTCATCCTGTAACTCGTTCTCCTGGCTAGCTACCTGCAGATGACCCCCTATCCTGTTCCTCGGATACGCGCCCATGTCCTCACGATAGGAAAGCGCTCGCCAAAAATGATGTGAATTGACAAAAAAGAGAAAAAACCGAGATATTAAGTTTGTAATACATATTAAATCTCTATGCAGTCTCAGACTGGACTAGGGCTATATCTATATCTTTACCCCGACGCCGTTGTTTTCAAGGTCATCTCTGTCTTTCTTTCACCCCCAGCGAGGGTCTTTCGACTCTCTTTCTATCTTTTCAAATTCTAGCTCTAAGTGATTCTTGCCGGCAAGATACTAGGCTCTAATTTACTTTACATTCTATTTCCCCCAAATTTCAACCAGATTCAAACATGAGTTCCAACTCATCAATTCTAGGATCAGGACATGCCTACTCATCCGATAGAGACGAGGCAGATTTCTTGAAACGTAGCCGTGCTCTACAATGGCCGAGACTGGGCCTCTCATTTCTGATCCTCGCCGGGTCAGCTGCCCTGATTGCGTGTGAAGCTGTGCCCTTGCACCACTACAAGACCACGTCACAATGGGAAAGTACCGGGCTTGCTCTATGGCCGCAGAACTTTGATCTCCGACCAACTGTGGCAGGACTTTCAATAGGCTGCGTCATTGGATTTCTGAATTTGATATACGTTGTTGCAGCTCTACTTCCATCGGTAAGCGATTTCTCCTATACGTTCATTTTGGCAGATTGAGCTAATCCATTACTCTGACAGCCCCATTCAAACATCAATTTGCTTAATGCATACGCATCTGCCTCCGCTTTTGCTGGGCTCATCGCATCACTTGTCGGTATCTTGTTCACCCTTTACTTGCCTTCTTCTACCTACCCAATCGGTTTCACCGAGAACGAAACTCTCCACACTTGGACTTGCAAATGGAAGAGTTCCTCTGAAGATGTCTCATCTCCTATCTACTTTTCTCGTGACTGTATTGAAAGCCGTGCGGGATTCGCTCTGCTCTATGTGCTCCTTGCTCTAGAGATTCTCATGGGCATCACCGCGGCGGTTGGTACCTGGCTGCAAAGGGATGTCTCACGTCGGCGAGAAGAACAGGCACAGTTGGAAAGACTGGAAATTACCTCGAAGCAGGTATATCGAAACTGAGTATTCGTCATTATGATCCTGGTACTTGGGTCTGTTGAGACGAGAAATGTTTTATTAGGTGTTGTTGAACAACAGCTTCCATTTTCCCAATAAGTGCGATTATTCCCTGGGTATTTCATCATTCATTCTGGACATAGGAGTCGAGTTAAAATATGTTAGTGGCTAGACCATTCTGAGTTCCTGTAACTATCTTCTTTCTTGTCCAGATCGGTAACTGCTGATTTGATCTCTCAATTCACAGCCTAAGCCCCCAAGGCTGTCTCAACTGGTACCAACTCATTTCGACAGAAGCTTCCTGCCCTGAGTCCAAATTATACGATACATTTACCATTACCAAAGGTACTGGGTCAAATCATGTCTATTCTTTCGTAGGTGAACTCATTCTCTAAGCATGAAGAGATCAGAACTTGGCTGGTTTCACAACAAAGATTGTTAGGTGTTAAATCGTAGGTAGCTGGAGTGCATCAGAAGTCCCGTGTCTTTAATACCGACGAGTTGGATTTGTGGTAGGATCACTTCAAGCAAGTTTCGGGGATTACTTGAGCTAATATAGGTCATGGATAGAGCGGATGTACCAGTATTATAAAGCCAGAAATTCATCTCAAAAAGAAGTTAGGTCCAATTCATTTGAAAGGGATAGTTAACTACTAATACAAAATAAGTAACTAGATAATGAAACGGGGAACGCTCTAGGCACGGTCGGGACGTGCAGGTCGATTCAACCAAGAAAAACTAACCACAACCACAAAAGAAAGCTCAATGAAAGTAGGGAGTCAAAAAAGTGAAGAGATGTGTAAAGGTGTCCATTATGTAACTATCGCAACTTCTACGACGTACATCCCCCCTAAAGGCTGGCGTAAAGCATGAAAATGATCCCAACATGGCCTTATATCAGGCCTACATAAGGGAATTTTACAGGCTTTACAACCCCAATGCGTTCGAAATTGTTTAAGAGTGTTTCCCTAAGCCGCTACCTTCCGGGCCTGTTGGGCGCAGAATTTACAGGCTTTTAGGCCCTGTATCCTCTCAAGTATTCTAATATCGGGATAAAAGAATTAGCGCCTGTGGAACAACGCGACCAAAAGCATCTACAGGGCGTTTTCCAACGGCTATTCATATACTAAAAGAGCCCAAAAAAGCTCAGAAATGGAATTTCTTGTATGGAGCTTCCATTGATTAGGTCTTATGTATTGCGTGGCAGGATAGTACTATCCATAAGGCTTCAAATTGGATTAGACGCCTTCGAAAACTACCAGCGAAGACATCCACAAGCGCAAAAATTGCCCGAGAGCCTTTCAAAGATTCCCCTATAAAAGAGCTTCCTATCCCATGTTTAATCAATGATTATAATCATGAGATGGGAGCTGTTGATCGAGCAAATCAACTCCGTGCAAGTTATAAGACACACGAAAGGGTAAACTCTGTTTTTGGCGAGCTATCTCTGCAATACAATAAGCATTTACAATAGATATATCAAGAAGCCAGTAAAATATTGGCTACCAGGAGCGTAGAGACTTTTGATGGGTCTTATAGCTTGCGCAGATTTGATTTGCTCGATCAACATATTATAATCATTGATTAAACAAGTGAGGGGAAGGTCTTGTAAGGGAATCTTTGAACGGCTCTCGGACAATTCTTGCGCTTGTGAATAACTTCACTGGCTGTTTTCGAAGGTGTGTAACCCAATTTAAAAGATTATTGATAGTATGTATTGTCGATAGAGTTGTAAAGATCCGATTGTTAAACAAGAAGAATTAACTAAGGAAAGAAAAGGTGTCCAGGGGTTCGGACGCTTTTATGGCTCGTCCGGCTCCGCACAGGGATCATGAGCGCATCTCCTGGGATAAGTCGGTTTTACCGCAGCAGACCGCTTTCCTGGTTCACTACGTACTACTGCATAGTAATAGGTAGGGCCTGAATTCCCACTAGATATTTACAATACTTTGTAGTTAATATTTATTGTCTCATTATATTTGTATAGTTTGCATTAGTCTAGGATTCTTGAGACCAATCATCTATTCTAGGTCACGTGGATGTAAGCGCTGATTCAGTATCCTTATCAGCACCGCCTTCTGGCAGAAACAAGCTCCGAGTTCTATTTACGTTCGCGAACAATTTAACATCCCCATCAACACTTCCACGATGTCCAACGATAAGATTGGTCAACCGGCTACTGACCTGGATGATGAACCATACGATTCTGCCGATGATGAAGATTTCCAGTTGGATGATGTACAAGACGATTCAGAGCTCTCCGCCGACGAAACCGAGCCTGCGAAGAAGAAGAGGAAGACCGACACAAAGGAAGAAGTCGCAGCTGAAGGGCTAGACTCTGGCGATGAAGTCACTATACGAAAGGCACGGGATAAAAAGAATAAACGGAAGGGAAAGAAGGCTAAGGGAAAGAACGCACTCGGCGATGATGATCTTGATTTCGATGACGATGAAGAAGGAACCGGTGGGTTTGTGCGGACGCGCGCCATGAGATTGCAAATGTGAGTATCTCGAGTGTTATGTCTCTATCTTGCAAGCTTGAAAGCTGACTTCCGATTCCCGAAATAGCCAGGAAGACAATCGCAAACCGCTGGCCAAACTCGATGGTGCGACTGTGGATGTAGACGCTCTTTGGGAGCAGATGAATGCCACCGGCAATGAATTGGGTTTGCTACCCAATCAAATTGCAAAAAAGGAGACGGCCCCAGAACCCGATCGCTCAGCTGAAGATGCAACCTCGAAGGACAATATCCCAGACTCAGAGGCCAAGTTGCCCGATACCAAGGACGCCCAGCAAATGATAAAGATCAAACGAACCTACAAGTTTGCTGGTGAGATGATCACCGAGGAAAAGATGGTTGCAAGGGATTCAGCAGAGGCAAAGGCGTTCTTATCTAGCGAAGACAATGTCGATGGCTTGGGAGATGTCGCCGCAGATGCTCGCCCCATTTTGCGCCGGCCACTGCGCAAGATATCGCGGTTTGATCCAAATCCGACTGGCACAATTCAAAAGAGCTGGGAGAAGCAAGTGGTCGAAGAAAATCCCAGTGGTCCCAAGATCAACACCGTGGAGAAGTCTCGGCTTGACTGGGCGCAGTATGTTGACAAAGCTGGAATAAAAGACGAACTACGCGTGCACAGCAGGGCTAAAGAAGGCTATATGGGCCGTATGGACTTTTTGGGCCGTGTGGAAGCCAAGAAGGACGACGAGGCACGACAAGCTCGGCTCAAGGGCCCGTGAAGCCCTGGTCTGCTTATCGTTTTTTAAACCCGAGAACGAGAAAAGACTCCAAAATATATTTACCCGGTTGGAAGTGCACCATCATATGGAAAGCTTCGACATATTTACATCGACCAAAAGATGATGCATCCAAAATGGTATTGCAAGACTCTTGGGTCACATACGTCTACGGGGTCTAAGAGTCTATCAAGAAATTCGATTCCGTGTGAGCGCAAGACAGTAACTCTCGACACCCCAATCTCGCCTGCTTCGCATCGTCAGTGGCAGTGCTAAACGAAAATTTTATGTCTGACCGATTATTGAGGACCAATACTCGACCTGTATTTTTAATGAAAAACTATGCTAAAGCAAGCAGGATTATTAATTTAACCCGAGAACCAACCACACTGATCTGTACTATATCACTCAACACTAGCACCCCAGAACCATTATCTGCCATGTTCAACACATCGGACATAAATAGGCGTCTTAATGGATGCGTTCCGGAGTTTCAGGTGCTCTTGGGAACATATCTTATACCGCTATCAGGGCAGCTAGTCGTGGCGACTGCAAAACCAGTCAGCTTGTAATATCAAATTCATTGAATCTAACGACTTACGTGTATCAGACGCCTCGTACTGGCCGGTAATCGCATTGCCGCGCACATTAAAAAAGTACTAAACCTGCTTCAGCTCATCAGTCTCGCAACCAACGTAGGCCTTAGAGCCGTGAAGGGCAGACAGAGCAGACTGGATCTTGCTCAGACTGTATGTTGTCGATCTATCAGGAGTGATTCCAGCATTTGATAGGGCCTGTTAATTGTTAACACCGCGCACGAAACGAAACTCGGGATTGTTTACCTTGTACGTATCAAGTCCCTTGAACAGGTCAACTACCTTCTGGAAGAAATCGCCAACTTCTTCTTCGGGTGTATACTCGGTGTAACAGCTTGGCTCGATGGTATTGATGCATGTGCCGTGCTTTTGCCACTCGTGCTCCCAGAAGGACTCATCATCGCCGTTGATATCCAACCAGTAATGCTTCATATAGGAGAGCAATTCGGTGCGGTTCTGCGTCTGCAGAATTCCTGTGACGCTGCCGTAATTTCTTGATGAGTCGCAGCGACTTTGGTAAGTCCCATCGCAATTATCAGGCCTAACCCATTTTCAGTATCATGCTTTGAATGGGCTCAGCATTGCCGATGGCTTCCACTTACCACAGTCCATGTATGGTCCATGAATCAGCTGGACCAGTTGAAGGATCGTTATCCCAAAACTGTGTCTGTATTAGAGCACCACCGGGGTAGTTATAGCAGCAGTTGGGTATTTCGGATGAACCGTGGCAGCTGAGTGTGGCATTATTGTTACAGATTGTCGAATTCGCCGAGACGCTAACAATAAAAGCTGCGATAGCGAGAACCTGGAATTTCATTCTGGTCCCTATCATCGCGATATTGCTGAGAGAGTGTCGTAAATGTATAAAAATAGTCAAAGCATATCTCTTTTGGGAATAAAACACCGTGAATCTTGGATCCAAGGTATGATGTCACTCTTATCACTTCAGATATCAGGGATCATGAGCTAAAGGTACAATCTAGCTATGCAAGCTTGAAAGATGAGAGTTCCGTTTGCTATTTCTAATCAATATCAGATTTTAAGTTGACGAGGAATTATTTTATGTCATCAAGGAAGCCATTTGGTGACACAAGATTAGGAAATAGGGGCCCAGTAAGTCTATGATGATGATTGTTGATCCTCTGATCGCGAAAGCCGGGTTCGCCAAACTGCAAGAGTTGCAAGAAAAGAGAAAAACGCCGCAAATAGAAATGGCAGGCCTATCCATGTATAGCCTAGATGCATCCCCAGCTGGAAAAGGTAAGCTGAGAATGGTCCTGCAAATAGCTGACCCAGAGACCTGGAGATGGAAATGGCTGAATATAGTGTGCCGACATGGTCGGGACGTACAAGCGCAGTTATCAGACTGAGATTGGTAACTACGAAAGCCGAGCCTACAGACGCGACTACCATTCCACCAGTCAAGACTGCTGGCACGGGAGCTATACCGATCATTAAGAAACCGACGACCGACAGCATTCCCATAATCTGACTCCAGCGCCAATCTTTGAATTTCCCATGCAGGTCAAAGTACTTGGCTGACATGACAGAAAGGACCGGCATGACAAGCAGGAAATTGATGAGGCTGAAGATTCCACGCAGTGTGATCAAAAGACTAGACTGTGAAAGAGTTAGTCAGTGCTTTGATGAAGGGGAAAGGGTCTAATTACGCGGGCGAAGCTCCAATCAAACTTCTTCGAGGCATACTGTAAAAGCAAAGTTGTCGTTTGTGGTCTGCCCAAGATGGAGACAAACATAACAATAACCATCAAGAAGACATTGCTATCGTTCCAGATGAACCGAATGGAATCCTTAAACTCGTGCACTCGAAGGAGGATTTCTTGTGTCGTATTTGTTTTTTTAAGAGGCTCGGTCAATTCGTTGTCCACTCCGCCTTCGCTGCTACCTCTCATTGATTTGGAGTATTTGAGTGTTTCAGGCAGAAAAATGCAAGGAGTTGCTCCAATTACCATGATGATTAGCCCCAAGTTGTAGGGAATCCAATCACTAAATGTCATCATATAGGCGCTGACCGGCGTTGCTACTATCTCTGCGATTAACACACAGGATTGAATACGAAAGAGTGCCGTTGATCTGCGATTAATCAGAGCCAAAGACTTCACCAGAGGATGGGATGGTGAATATACCTTTCTTCTTCATTGAAAATGTCGGCAACCATGGTCAGTATCACAGATGAGAACATCAGGTCACCACCACCAATTATCTTCCAGAATGAGGAAAACCAAACCAAGCGGAGAGGCAAGACACTTGGAAATAAACCTGACTATAATCAACATCTCATTCTAGACCGGAGGGGTCCAACTCACAAACCAACCTAATCCAAACCTCTGCAAGAAGTATACCCAAAACACAAAGATATAACACAGGCTTTCGTCCCCAATGATCTAAAAGAACTCCGTAGGGAAGTGAAAGTAAAAGAGCTAGAATTTTATTAGTACAAATGGAATCTAGGCAATAGGTTTCGGCACATACTGGGCAGCACATCGAGCCCATCTTTGTACCCTAAAACCAATGCGAGTTCACTCTGCACCAGATCAGATTTGCAGAAGTCTTTGAGTGGAACATCAGCTATATTATTGAGACGACCCTCGAGGTGTTTTCGGCAGATGATTTGTTCAAAGATTGCAGTTTGAGGGGCTTGCGCCATGTAGGCTCCAAGATCGAATGCCATGGCAGTAATGCCACACACTATCAGAAAAAACAGTGGGTTGACTCTTTTATCCAGAGGCTTTACTCTGTGGCCATTGGGCAATAGAGGTTGAATTTCCCCACGGGTCCTATCTATGGCCATTTTGTGGAAACTAGAAAAATGTGAGAAATTGAGAAACTAAGAAATTGAGAAAATGAGAAATTGAGAAACTGAGAAATTGAGAAAGGAAATTCCAGCGCTTAAAATTGTTCTAGAATTATTCCTCTAATGTTTATCAAAACAATGAAACGTTCCGATTGTTCATTGGGTTCAAAACGTGATAAGACCGCGTCATCTCGACTTTTAGCTTAAACCAATTAGGGCTAAGCTGCCACTTCATGATTCGGAGCTCGGAGTTCAATCTTTCAATGGGTAGTAAATAATCTAGATTCGGAGTTCGCTATATGTGTCAGGACCTTGGGATCATAAGGTTTGACCTACATTTATTCGACGGTTCTTTTGTACACTTTTTATGCAGCATCAATAACGGTTAATCATCAGTTGCAGCAGTATTGGTTTAATTTACCGGGCCTTGGCTTAACTCACTTCCCATGACTTTCTTTGATATTTGTTTTTCAATGACCACTGTACTGTAATAAATTATTCAATGAGATCAGGAATGGAACCATATATCGTCGAGTCTAAAAAGAACCTTTCTCCACACCCTCTACTGCTTTGTTTGCACATCTAAGCCAATCAATAGCACTGTTCTGTCTTAATTTTCAGGCCATTTAGCGGTCAAGTTTCTTTGGCGTATTGGGCCGTCATCTGGGAGTGTTGTCTTGCTGACAAGTGAAATGTGCATAAAGTACGGGTGCCACGTTAATTTATCTAGCATCATCAATGAGGTTCATATCACAACATACATGATTCTAATACCAAAAGGTCTACGTGTATTTACTCATTCTGAGACGACGTATATTGCGATTTAAAGGATTATGGAAGATCTGATTAGCAGGCGCTGGGTTAATCGAATTGAGCATTCAGAGGCGAAATTTCTTTCTCAATTGGCAGAATATATCCAGTAGAGGCTGGCCCTTCAGCCCCCAGAAGACAGGTGTGTTGGCTGGTTTGACGGCGACTCACTCAAGACTCCTTTCATTTTGGTCCTTCTAATACCATCCAAGACTTCCATCGATATTTACGCACAGGCCTGGAGTTGGAGTTGTTAGGCTGCTCTCTCTCGGAAGCCGACCCAGAAAGGAAAGACCGTGCTTATTAAGCAGACTAAGAGATTCCGACGTTCTGCCTTCTGATCTTTTACTTAATTGGACACTGGATAATTTACTATAAGCCATATAATGAGTGTTGAAGCTTTGCGAGCTGTAAGTGACCTAGTGGCAACTACAAATCGGAACTAATTTGAGTGGAGTGCGATCTCTGTTATTCACGAAAGGTATTGAATGAAGGATTCCCGAGGAGAGTGGGAAAGAAGTCATGAGTCTTAACATCTAATTTCTGACATTCAAACTTAGGTCCGGTGTGATAGGCAATCAGTTTGTGCAAATTGTATCGACTCTGGTCAGGAATGTCTTAGACTAAGGCCTGATCGTCCCCTTCGCCGCAAAGCACCTTCTGCGTATGTATTCACCATAAAATACAAAAGAATATACTGACCCATACTACCAGTATCTCTACACTTGGAGAAAGGATACTTAAGCTTGAGAGTGCTTTTTCCCAGCCAAATGGGTGCGATACAACCTTGGAACCAAATATTCGCTATATGTAAGCCTGCTAACCCAAATCTAGAGGCGAAGAGTCGATCCCATCTAACACGACAAATCAAGGAGACTATGGTCGCCCTTCAAAGAGAAAGAGGTTTGACCAATTATCAGAAACCAGAGACTCCTCCAAGTCTCCTCATGGGAATCGTGGTACCATCACCCCTGATGATTCAACCCACCACGCTGAACATGCTAAGTTCATTATCCAAAGTGAACTGTACCAGAATGACAATATAAACCATGAGCGACAGGTTATCTTGAAGGCTGCACTAGAATTTATGAATAGCATGACACAGGACAAGACTTCTGGCGATGATTTTCCACCACTAAATGCACCGTGTGACGGTCATGATGGCCGTGGTGGCATTGATGGTACACCTGAATCAATATCTCCATCACCGGAGCTAATCTACATGCTATTAGAAGGTACCTGAAAACTCCAACTCTGTTTCCCTTCGCAATATGCTGATAGAGAGTCGCAGAGCAAACTTTTGCGGCTGAAAACTCCCAGTCCATAATATGGCCTAGTCATATTTCAAAAAACACCTTCAAAAAGATGGCTCTGGTACTTCTTGATGGTGAAGCTAAAGGCCAGTTGTTCTACCAGTATTGCATATGTGTTTACCAAAGAGCTATAGGCTACATGTATCAAATGCCCAGGGTCCATACGGAACCACGCATTGAGAAGCATTTCTTCAAGTCGAAAAAGCTGTATGAAGCGCGCTCTCTTCATGCTCTTGCGAATCTCAATTTTCTGAACAACCCAAGTCTTCCCCTCGTCCAGTCACTTATATCTGCCGTATGTTAACACGAGGCCCAGTCACATCCAGCTTCGCTCGAACTTCGCAACTGACTTTTGATCTAGGCACTGTTGATGCAATGTCTTGGGAACACGAGTCAGGCATGGGTTTTTACCTCTTATGCTGCTCGTCTGATTATTGCTTTGAAATATCATGAATTCCGTGACACTGCTGCCCCATTAATCATTGATGAGGATATTCGCAGCTGTTTATTCTGGTGCTACTGCCTTGATCGATCTTTGAGCTCTGTTCTTCGTCGACCATTATCCTTGCCCGATCTTCCAGTATCGCCTGCCAAGCTCATAGGCGCCGAAACACCATTACCATATGCTCCTTTAATACGCATGATCATAAACATGGCTGAAGTTCAAGGGAGTCTTCTGAGCTGCAAAGATGCGGGTGATACTCGCCAAATCATATCCAGTCATACATTTCTTCAAGATCGAATGTTTGAGATCTACTCAGAATCACAATCTGTGAGCGTTACCCCGGGAGAGTCCTCAGATAATTTATCTAATCACATTTACTGAAGAGTCGAGCTGCTGCTTCCGAGTTTCTCGATACGGATTGGATCGCCATTGATTTCTGCTATCATTCTATTTTGGTTGATATATTACGATCGCGCTTGAGATATGCATTCTCTCCATTGACACATCGGGAATGTGTGGCCTACGCCCGCAAGTCCTTGAAGTCCTTGAATTCCCTTCAAAAATTTTATTTCAAGGGTGTCGGAATGCCTGGCTTCACGGATCCATTTCCCTCTTTCTTAACTTGGTTCGTCTTCCCCTCTGCTAGCTTACTGCAACTATCTTATACCTTTTCCTTCTAGGACTGTTTTATACTACCCACTATCTCCATTCTTTGTTCTCTTTTGCAACATCATTGGGGAATTGGAATTGGAAGACTACAACTTGATCCAAGAAGTAACGCAGAGCCTCTCTCATTTTTCCGCAAGTCCATACATTGCAAAGCTACTCAAGCTGTTAGATTCTTTACTGGGGTTCTGTATCCCATTGATTCAGGCTAAAGAACGACTAGATCAACAGAACAAAGCTGCACCGACTTACCCATCTATGAACGGGCAAGATAACTGGAGTGGTATCAATGATGGTTTGGTTTCAGCTGAAAATTCTTACATGGACCCGGTTGTCGATCTCAACCTTCAGCAGATGCAAAGTCTCAGTGATGAAAATTACCCTATGACTGATGGACTGATGCAAAACCTATTCAATAGTCAGCTTTCACTAGAGTGGCTTGAGTCGGATTTGTTTTCCTCAGAAAATATGAATTGAATAATTAGACAAACATCTTGTTTGCCACTATTTGGCCTCGGAATAATAAATCTTGCTCCTAAGGCCATTCTCGTTCACGTACTTTGGCCATTGAATCTCCTACTTCCGATACACTATCTCCATGTGCCACCTCTTTCATGGTCTAATGCAGCATACCGCATCATAAACGTTATCTTGTTTGGCACTTTTAAAGTGGACGCGAAGTTTTAAACTGGCCCGGCTATCTTTTCAATGTTAGATGGGGTTCAGGGGCATCCTCGGAGGATTTGTGTTGCAGTACTGAGTATGTAAGCGCTATTTATTGCTTTTCCCTCCTTTTACTTCAGCCTCCGAAAGTTGAAGCTGTTCCATATCGGCAAGATGCATGAAGAACCAGTCCTGGGAGCCTTCCAATCCTGCCAGACTCGTATTCGATTGGAGATACCCGGGGATCTTAGTTTGTTCGGATAAGTGCAGCAAACATTTTCTAGGAAACTATTCCAATGTTGTGATTCATCACAGATACCAACCTCCAGGACCCGAGGTCTGTAACCCATGGGCTTGCTTATCTTTCAAACACCTTATCAGATATGGACTGTTTCGTCTCGCTGAGCTCTTTCAAGTATTTTTCTGATATTACTGAGAGATTTTTTGTTCTCTAACTCAATTTTCCAAGACGTTCGAAAGCTGTCCAAGTGCAAGGCTAACTAGGTTACCTTCTATGATCTTGGTAGATGCCAAGGTGTGCAATATTCATATCTCAACTGATTCGATACCCTGTATATACCTGGGTAGTTCCCTAAATGGCTGTTTACGAGGCTGATACTTTATCTAGGTACATACACGAGTCTCAACTGCCCTGCTCTGGCGTCAATCTCAAAGCTTCTAAGGTTCAGACGGGTAAATTCAGATTCAAATCTTCTCATAACTTATGAGACCTGTATCTATGTATAGTACATACTGCTTGCTACCCGTAGATCTATGTGCCAGGATTAGATGTATTTTCAACATTGGAAATATCCAGGGCTTAAACCCTTCCAAGGTTTGTATTATTCTATATCTAGCCCATATATATCAGTGATCAGTAAATATAAATCTGTATGCGCTATATTTAACCTTCGTGCTTCTGCCCAGGTGGCAAAGAACATGGATTCAAGTAAAGTTTCCGAGGTTGTGCCTGTACCTACTCAGCTGAATTTAGAAAATTCAACCACCTGAGTGGGTAATTGAAGCCTAAGCCTCAGAGAATGTCCATATTCATTCAACTCATTCAATCGCAGGGCTCTCAAGCGCCTGCTGATCTAATTTTCTACTAGTTTTACCTAAGCTGCAATATTCTCGCCATTACCAAAGCCCGAAAGCATTCCAAGGACTCTTGGTTAAATACTGTGATATCAGAAAGGCACTCTGAAGTCAAGCATTCATGACCTCAATAGATGATTTGCGTTGAGTGACTCGCGTTGAAGGATAAAAAATTCAGTAACCTGAGTCCTCCCTTCAATCCCAAGGTTCCGGTCCATACCAATTGCACAATCTATTGAACGCGAACCACAAACCCACATCTCAGTTTGCAGTCAATGGATTCCCAAAATAAAACAACCTCAAGTGGCGCGATGTCGGTAGACAAAAAGGGAACCCACATTGGTTATCTACAGCAAGGGCCATCCATATACATGATGTCACTTGGATTCTCCTTGGAGGGTGGACCAGCCGCGTCTCTCTTGCCCAAGACATCCTAACGCATACCGTACCTGAACCGCGGAGCTCCCCCTATCTATCGGGACGGTGTCTGGCATATGTGCAGTATGGATGATCAATTTATTACGGTTAAACTTCGCTTTCAATGAGCCTGGTATGGATTTCATGTTTTAATGGCTCTATTGAAGTGTGCATAGCAAGCCTCGATCTGCGAAGTATTGAGTGAATTGATATGCGCATAAAGCTTGGGTGCTATGACTTTTCAAGATAACACCAAATTCGTATTTGAGACATCCCGACGTCTAACCCCATAACCTGTAAGATACCCAATGTGCGAAGTCTGTATAGTAAGGTTCTGCTTCCTTGATGCCCCCTCCTTCACGACCTTGAAAATGGTGGGGTACACGAGGAATAGAAAGTACGACCTCCTGGCAAGGTAATACTGAGGGGTAAAGAAATTACCTCCAAGGAACCAACACAGACGCGGGCTACAAGGGGCTTCATTCATCTTCTAGAACTATCTAAGAAGAATTGCGTATCTAGTGAACCGTGACAGACGAAGCAAGGCGACATGACTCGCACTGCTTTATGCAAGCCACCATTAATGGCAATAGGATTTGCTGAACCCAGCATCTGGGATAGAAAACAGTTAACTAGCATTATATTAATGGTTCCAAGTGCTTGAGCCGTAGATACCGTCGAAATCAAGCGTTGAAGGAAAAGAAAGTCAGATATGCAAGGGGGTGGAGTAAACATCAAAGGGGCTCCAAAGCTTTTATTTAAGGAACTACTGGTACCTTTGCAGTCCTATAATATCATCTTTTCTAGGTTCGAAGCTTCCTTCATAGGACGGAATTTCTAGCCGTACGCACCTATACATGACAAAAAATGTGACACCATGGCAAATAAGACATATCATTGTACGGTAAGCTAGACGATAATAATATTAGAAGATAGGTTCATATCTTGAAGATCCACTTGAATATAGATTCTTCTTGGTAAATTGATCTTTTAATCTTCACGTATATCGACGGTTAAAACCGAAGACTTAATACAGATTTCAAAAGTAGGTATTTACAAATTCTGTGTTGATAGAGAGGAACTACGACGTCTCTGGGCTTTGAATGACGTCTGTGTTGGCACACAGCGTGCTCTTTACATGCAGTAGATCATTCAAAGGAAGTCGGCCCCTACTGCTTGATATCCCGGAGAATGTGAATCGGCGGGTAGGCGCAACTGCGTAGCATTACCTCGGTATGCTTGGTCAATTGGCTGCATGAAGCTACTGTCTTCCCCGCAAAATGATCGCCAGGTCTATGCAACTTCTTTTGGCTATGGCGCACAGAGGCTTGCATACTACATAGATCGACATATTCCAATGTATTTATGGAAATGGTGTCGATATATGGAAAAGGGGTCCATGGTTGAGAAGAACTTCAAATCGACAGTAAATCACGTGAATTAATAGCATGGACTAATACTGGGACTCTGAGAATAGGTAGTAGGGATTGGACCCAAGTATGAAGGTAGATACAAATGTAGCGGTCTGCTGCAAGCAACCTTGAAACATGCTTAATCTTAGCACACCTCCAAGATTCCAAGGTTACATACATATGTAGGGGAGCTTGCGAGTTGAAAATGCTCCAGACCCTGAGGTTAAAGATGTGGAAGAAGTCGATGATTCATGCTCGAGCGTGAATCGAAAGACGGTGAATAATGGCGTGAGATCCATTGGTGGCAAAGGTGAGAGGTTGTATAGATAAAGCACAGACACTCAAGCCACGGCATGTTCGATTCCCAGATAAGCCACAGTTGACCTCAGGAATCGCCACTGGGAATTGTTGGCGGCAACTAATTAGTACTACATAGTACTTGAAGGCTAGAGATGATTGTCAGAAACCTGCCACGATTGGAATGGCCTGCATATTCGGCCATGAAGATATACTATCAAACATATCGATGGTCTGAACCCCCAGCATGGAACTAGGATAGCATAATTGTCTTGGCAGTATTAAATAATCAGTACTCAAAGTATCCCTTTGGACGCAGGGGCCGAGATAATAGAGAACTTTGGAATCATGCTTTCAGGCCCTTGCGGACGGCCCGTGCTTCTTGATTAGATGAAGATTGGAGATCGGATGACAAAGTCAAATATGAGGGGAAATATCAGATGAAGGCAGTTGAAGCCTTCCAAGGTTGGAACTCGGAAGAAAATTTCACCTAGGCATGTACCTAATGTACCTACAGGCGGGCTTATGTAGCCGTCTAAACCCGGGCTCGGCCCTCCAGGACCTAGACGACTTGAAACGGCCTGGAGACGACATTGCTCAAACATATATCTTCATACCCATACTACGGATTAGCTTGGGTAAGTATCAGCTGATGTATCGTATCAATTTACCTATAGACATCAATTTCAAGATATGGAACCTTGAAATAGCGGATGAGTCGCGAAATTGAATTGAACTTAGAGTTAAAATGAGAAACATTTTTGGATCTAAATCCCATTAGAGATCATGTTCCAGATTTGAAGAACGGTGGAGTAAGGCTTTCAGCCAATGGATAAGAATTCTCAGGCGTTTGAGCCCCATCGATTGCGACTATCGATAAAGTGACTGATCGACTCCCGACAAGATTCGGCTATCCGAGAGCGAGAAATGACTGGTAATCCAATCAGGACAGTCATCGGGGCTTTCAGAGTTAAGTTGAAGCCAAAGCTCATTACAGTTTAAGAAATTATGAATCTCGGTCATGACAAATGTGAAGTTTCACATCTCATGAAGGATTTTCCCTCTCAACGGATGATCTTAGACTGATACACAGTGAGACATTTGAATGTATTCTCAGCGAGTAATATGTTCAATCTCAGCATGTGCACGGGGTGGACTGAAAAGTCCATCGCCACTGACTCTATCCTCGAGCTCGGGAGAATAAAGAATGCACGGTAATAGAATGGAGCTAAGAAGAGTGGCGCTTAAGCCATCGAACCACTATATTGGGGAAAAACAGGTTCCCAGAGTTGTGGTTGTCTGACGCTTGATAGATCAGAAAGTCCCCTGAATCAGAATGCAAGATCCACTAGCGCCCACCATTATTCTAAAAGAAGCACAATTTCAGACAGCCGTTGAGGCGTACGGCGAATGATCCGGTAGGCGATAATCACTTTTTTTGCCAATGGTTTGAATGTCGCTAGGATTATTGATGTTGAAATGCACGACATTCCATGCCAAATGACGATATCCTGGTATCATTAAGCCCTAAGCGGTATACAAGGGATGATCCATACCAGTCTGAAGAAAGAGTGAAGTGGGAATTTGCAATGTTACAACGTTCTCTCATTAAATCTAGATAAACAAAACTTGAGAGTAAAGAGCACGGACCGGATGGATCTCAATCTGACCTATCGATCTAGATCGATCAACTTATTTTATAGTTCCAGTAAGCCATAGATCTAGAGAGAAGAGTAGTAATTTAAGAGTTAAATCCAACACGAATAAATGTAAGTGTGGAAGGTGAGAAAAGTAAACAACTCAAGATCACGCAAATAGTGTAGATCTAGATCGAGTTTGGACTCTACTCACATTGTGCGGAACGTAAGAGATACAGCCGAACATTCCTGTTAAACTGCATGAAATATAATAAACAATTAGAGAAAAGAAAAAAAAAAGAAAAGAAATGTTAGGGATGGAGGCAAATCTGCCGATCACAACCAATGTTGTGCTCCAGATCGACTTCCTTTTCCTTAAAATCGAACAATAAGATTCTCCCAAGTATAAGCTACGAGACACCGGGCCCTTTTTATTATTATTAATTTATTCTAATTATTATTGGATTATTTGAATATTTGAATATTTGAATATTTGAATATTTGGATATTTGGATATTTGGATATTTGAGTATTTCTTTATTCCTCTTTCCCGCTACAATCTTAAATCTACTTAATCCTCCTTACTGGTCCAAACCCTTTCATATAGCCCTTCCCACCCCTCCCCTTCCCTGCAATTCAATCAATCTGAGACCCAACCACCGCTCTGAAACCTCTCCTCACCCTAGTTTGATTGAAGTCACGGCAGTTCTAGAGTATCGATTGTGAAGATACTCATAGATCCACGAAGTACAGTACCTGTGGTCCCAGCCACGGTTCTAAATCCCACCCTTCATTGGGAAATTTGATTACCGGAGATTCAACCAACGCGACTTTCAGCAAAACAAGGTCGATCCTAGCCCTTATTGAGCTTCAGTTTGGTTTACCGCGGTAACAAGACATCTGCATTCCTGGCCTTGCTTTAGGGTTCTCAGGCACGCGACGCGCTGCCGCTCGCTTTGGATCTGATCCAAGTCATGGCGTATAGCTGTAAGTCCGATCTCCACTATTCTATGCTGGCCCAATTTGTTTATTTCTGCTCGTTTGTCCCCTTCCCTTGTACTCTTCTTCACCACTCATCCTTTCTTTCTTCTCATTGTACTCTCGCTTCTCATCCGTTCCTTTCCTTTTTGTTCCTTTCCTTTCCATTCGCCCTTCAACCCTCTATACATTCCCTTGTAAATCCTTATCAGGTACCCGAACTAAACAGTTCCATCTTAGGTGATTCAATTGTCGACGTGGTCGCGCCTCGAGACCTCAAGACTGAAGACATCGACGATATGAGACCTCACGGGCAACACATATCCGATCGTTTGACAGTCGAGGTCGACTGCCACTCTCTGGGACCTAATGATTGTCCCTCGATGACTTCGAGTTTCTCTCCCTTGGAATCTCCTACTCCCACTCCTACTAGTCTCTATAGTCAGCACTCGCTCGCTTCTCCAGTTTGGCATGATGCTGGACACTATCATACTCTTCCTATGGAGCGTCGCACTTCCGCTACACCTCTTCGAAGCGCATTTCGAATGGGCGATTTGAGTCCAGCCGATACAATGGGCATGCCCTGTGGCTCAATGGATCGCCAAGATCAAATCCCTTTTACTGAATATCTCCCTGCGTACGACGAAAATGTCGACCAGTTCTGGATCCAACAGGACGTGAAGGCCATGGATCACCAAAGTTTCCCGTATCAGGCGCAAATGCCGCAGTACAATCAAATGGCTCGAGGCTACTATCGTCCTCAGCAGACTTATCTGCCAGAATCAGCATCAAATCCATGCTTATCCCGTCCTATTTTTAACCAACCTGAACGCATGCCAAATTCCGTTTCCATGTCTAATATGCTCCCATGGATCCCAGCGAACGAGCCTATGGCTCCTGAAACAATCGCTCCAGCGCAAGCCTTTCCTGGACAGGGCCCTGTGACTCCACCATCCTCTTCTTACTCCGAATTCCCTACCAACATGCACTCGTTCAAGAACCACACTCCTTCAACTCCCGTGCGATCTGTCTCATTGGGTACACCCTCAGCTTCTGGTACCCCAGTCAGTCACATGTCTGGCCATGGCGAATATCTGGAGGATTTCCCTGTATCCCCTGGTTTCCGAGATGGTATGATGCGCCCTCATCGCCAGGTCTCCCGCAAGTCCTCGAAAAAGCAGTTGCTCAGATCAAACTTGACCCTAGAAAATCTTCCTCGAATCATTGAGACCGTCCAATTCAAGTGCAAAGAACCTGGTTGCAAGGGTCGATTCAAGCGCCAAGAACATTTGAAGCGCCACATGAAAAGCCACTCGAAGGAAAAGCCCCATGTTTGCTGGGTTCCTGGATGTCATCGCGCATTCTCGCGCAGTGATAACCTCAATGCGCACTATACCAAGACCCACAGTAAGCGCGGCGGTCGTAATCGCTACGTTGCCACTTTGGACGACACCAGCCCCGACTATGACCCCGAATTCCGTGGCCAGCTTACGGCCGATGGAAGACCTCTTTACGGAACTAAACTGGAGGATACCATGGTTGACTGTGGTGATCTGAGTGTTGATGGCTGGGATGACTAGTCCAATCAACTCGAAACGCTAAAAACAAACACGAAGTCGATATATCTTTCCTACGCTGGCAACAATTTACACGGCGCAAAACATAATACGCGAAAAACAAATCACACAATATTACCAATACCATACCAAATAAACAGCAAAAACTACGGAACCCACTGGGCTCTTATTGATACCCCTTCGTCGGAGGATCGGCCTTGGGCATTTCTCTGCCAGACCGGTCGCTACGGCGTTGTACATCGGAGACGGACTCTTTCATTTATCTTCTTGCATACTTTCTCTCTGGTACGGGACTGGTGCGGTACTCTGATTTTTCAGGCGTCTTTTTTTTGCGGGGAGAATCTGGGGCGAACCTGCACAATCAGCTTATGTGCTTTTCTTTCATTTTTGCATTGTACCACCAACTACTACCTGCCATAATAACAATCCACATCATTACATCGATGTTTGAATACATACAATATCTTCTATTTTCTTCTTCTCTTAGGACCCGGTGACACGTTTCCGTTGACTCTCGCCTTCGAATGTTACACATCACAACCGTACATTTCGAGGCTGAACTCGGATCGGCTGAACTAACGCCTTATGCGATGTATCTTGTCCCTGCACCTTTTAACAAATTAGGTCTAGGGCTCATGCATCTGCACTCTGCAATTCGACAGGCCGTTCGCCGACTCGCTTATGATCGTCCCTCAACCTCTTTTCTCCACATTCCAGTCCCAACGGGCTGTTTCTATTCTTACCTTGTTTTACATGTCATTATTCACGTATGCAATTCTTCAGGCCTCGTTCTTGGAGAACGTGTCTCCCAATGAATAGCAGGAGTCATTGACTATTGGATCTAAGGATTCCAGCATTATTAGTGATTCCCTCAGCAAGCGGTAACTAGTTAATCCTGCATCTAATGATCGGCTCTGTGGCTGGTTAGGGCAATCATAGATGATAGTGGAGTCCGGAGTCCGGACTACGGAGTACGACGTCCAACCGTCCTGTTCCTATTAGGATCTTATTTCTATTTCTATTTCCTTCTTTTCTTTTTCAATCTCTTGCCAAGAAACGCTCGGCCCTAATGCAAGTCTCCATATCGGGTTTCATGCTTCTAAAATCTCTCATTTCCACTGCCTCGGTTCCAATAAATTTATTATTTCACTTTTTCACTCAACCTCCCAAGTTTGTGGGGAACTTTCAGGCATTCCAACTTCTTCCCGAGTTCAACAGATCCTCGATTCTTCTCTTGATCCCCTTTGCATATAAGTTGCAGTGAACATCCTTTTTCTACGGGATGATCAATGAGGCCACTCCTTTACCGTACTTTTGCCCTTAGAGAACAGAGTGTATATCAATCAATTGGCCTTTCAAATCGCTTCCTAGTACGAAGTACACAGAGTAGATGACGTCGGCTTCTAATTTGATACTCGGGCTTGATAGTTCTATATCACAAAATGTGGTCCCCGTTCTCCGGAATGTTATCCTCATGTTACACTGCGCCAGTCCCAGGTACTCTGTTCTGCCCCTGGTTCTTTCAGCTTTGCGGTGAGTAGGAGAATAAGGATTAACACTAAGCTCAATGCTTGCTATTTTCATGTTATTCTGGAAGCTTGAGTCTCTTCCGGCTGCATATCCGAAGGCGCTATTGCTATATTTCCTTTTTTTCTCTTTTTTTTCCCCCTTCCTTTCTTTTTGGCTCTTTTATCATTATTTTCCAAGTTTCTTATCTTTAATTCTTTTTTTTTTCCTATTATTAGCATTGGATAAATATCCACGTATATAATTACCTATTGACTACTTTTGACGGAGTATGGCGGAGCGGATTCCCGCCATCAAGCGATGTCTATCAGCATCTAAGTCCTATATTTCTGCCATTCTTGAACTGAGCATCCGACTATTTGGAACACTACCTCCACATGCTTCGGCTTCGGCATGTCTGTGCACCGGCTCTAAGCAGTATGTGCATTGCTGTACAGAGTACCCTTCCTACTTCCTGTAGGTACTGAGCCAAAAGATCTCCAAGCTGTACAATCTTTTCCAAATCTGCCCTCTACCTTGGGAGTCCGACGAGATAATGTGGCTGCCATCAATGTAACCCTCCACACGACTCCGCTGTTCTTTCTGTGCGTTGGACATGGTGCATTGGAATGTGATCAAGTTTGAATAGTTATGATCGCCCGTACTATAAACAAGTATCATGATAGACGAAGCATAGTGTATGCAGACTTTATCAAATCATGTTCCTTTTCATTTTTTCGATTTGCTGCGATGCGCGGGAATAGAATGCACTCGTCATCCCTCGCTTCTGAGATGGGCATCTTTGCATTATAGACGTTGATATTCAGTTACCATTCTTGATCGGATTGTCCTCGGTGATCTAGGCTTTAAGATGGTCTCTGGAGTGGTACATACCCCGCGCGATTTTCCCAGAGGACAGAAGAAGGATTGGTCGGCGCAATTCTGCTGCGACTTGTCGGTGTAGCTCCGCGTGTTCCGGGTTCCTAGCGGTGAAGCCCATGGAGAGTTGTCCTCGTACTCCTATGCAACTGTCTTGTTTTATCTTTCTATCGCTTCAAACGAAGTCACCTGCAGCATTCGAAGCTGATGGTGGTAATATGAGTCTTTTATCTTTCCTTGACTCTTAGACATCTATGGTTGTTAGCCCTAAGTTGAACTTGGGCTTATGTTACTCCTTTATGGTAGTCGTTGGTCATCGCTATCTAGTTGTCGCTTTTACGTGGTAAACCAGAATAGGGGGAGTACAGCTATTCTAGAGTAGCATATTTTTATTCGAGAGAGCAATATGATAATGCCGGACCTTTTTTCTTATAAGCTTCTTTGCTCCGGAGTATGTCTTGACCAGTATCGAGATCCAACCTTGAGCAATTTTTTCCAGTAATGGCATAGAATCGAAGCGTAAGATCTCGGGAGCTCATAACCTTGAAGATCAGCAATATGACTTATGTTCTTTTGATCTTCATCATCTTAGTGAACTGTCCCAAGTGCTGGAATTCAAAGCTCCTCACGTCGTAGAGATCGATCACACAATTCACATCAATGTTTCGTTGCAAATACAAATTCAATAACCTCTGGCCATTCCATTTGCTGATAAGTGGAAGAAATTTATTATCAAATCTGATTTATTGCATCAACATTTACTTTCAAGCTTGGAAGGTTACAGCAGGTACTCTATGTCCAATTAATTCAGGTAGTCAAGTTCACAGAATACTACATGCTAAAAAACCGAGGTATTAAAGGCCAAAGGGGGAGAATATATATCCAAATCCGTAGAACGCCATGATCTCCATAAGTCCTCTTGAAAACTCCTAGCTCCTAGAAAAAAAAGAAATATTTGGAAAATGGAGAAAATTTGTCGAGATCCAAAACCTCCCAAAGTCAAGTCGTTGAAAATTTTACGTGAATATGTAGTGAGCTCAGTTGCCCATTCCGTTGTGCATCATATTCTGTTGCTGCATTTGCTGGGCTTGCATTGCCACTGCCCGCTGCTGCTGGGCAAGTTCTCGCTCACGTTGAATGATTGTCTGGACCCATGATTTGGCAGCCTTCTCTAGACCGGCACCGTATTGTTGAGCAATTTGAGGTGGGTATTGAGAAGGAGGCCCATACTGTGGCAAGAGTCGTTGGGCCATCTCATGTCGCGTCTGAAGGATCCGCTGGTGGTAGAGTCTTTGGTATCTGGCGTTCATAGTGCTCGCCATGGTGCCCTGTGCTCCATTGGCCTGAGCAGCTGCCGCCATCCTCAACTGCTGTTGTTGTTGCTGCTGCTGTGCTTGTTGTGCTTGTGCTTGTTGTGCTTGTGCTTGTTGTTGCTGCTGCTGTTGTTGCTGCGCTTGTTGTTGCGCTTGTTGTTGCTGCTGCTGTAACTGAGGAGTCATTTGTTGCTGCTGAGGGCTACCATGGTTGGCCTGTCCTTGAGGCATTCCACCATGTTGAACCATTTGCATCTGAGCATACTGGGTTCGTAAGAGCTGCGATTGATACGACTGCTGCTGAGGAACTTGCTGCATGCCTTGTTGTTGTTGTTGCTGCTGCTGCTGCTGCTGCTGCTGTTGTTGGGCCTGTAGCATTTGCTGTTGTTGATTGGGCTGGATATTTTGCCGGGCATGCGCATTGGCTTGCAACTGAGCAATCTGTTGTGGTGTAAATTGAGCGAGCTGCTGGGGAGTGAATTGGGTCTGGACCATGTGTCCCTGCTGCTGGGCAATAATCTGCTGTTGTCGATGCTGTAGTAACATCTGTTGCTGTTGCGGTGTAAGGTTCATTCCATTCATTTGCGTAGTAGCTGGGTTTATCAACGGGTTCTGTGGCATAGTTGGGTGATTGGGACTGCCGTGGCTCATCCGCTGGGTTGGGGTGACGTTGCGCATGATTGGTGTGGCATGAGATATTGCCGGTGTACTCTGTGTCATCTGAGGAGTGCCGTGTCGACTGGGTCCCTGCTGACTTCTCGATGGTGCCATTGGGTGGGTCATCATATTCGGGTGGGCATGTTGGAGGGAAGAGGGGGGTCGTGGTGGGCTTCCAGATTGCTGCGATGTATTGATACTCATCGGAACCGCCTGCGATCCCATATTGTGCCCAACAAGAGGTGATGATATGTTGTGGGGAGTTTGATGGCGTAAAACTGGAGAAGATTGTTGCCCTTGGCTGACACCGTTAGGCTGATTCATAACATGTCGGTTTTGCTGAGCCGCAATTTGCGCTTGTGCCTGCTGGGCTGCAAGTTGTTGCCGGCGCGCCTCCTCCCTGGCGTGTTCCTCTGCCTGACGCTGTTCAACGACCCGGCGCCGGTCTCTCTCCTGCTCTTGCTGCTGTCTCTTGCCCAACTCTAGCTTCATCTTTGCCTCGTGCTCGCGCTTAGCCTTGTCTTCAAGTTGCATTCGGATTGTCTCCAATGTCTTGAATCGGGAGAAACGTGGCTCAAATGGCGCCGCACCAGCAGCGTCATCCACTGCAACAGCCTTGGCTGTGCCGGCAGCACCAGAAGTTGCAGGCTCGATGCGTTCATCCATGATAAGCATGAACCTCTCTTCTTCAGCTGCTTGGGCCTCATCCGCTGCAAGCTCGGCAATTGTTCTCTTGCGACGCTTGGGTGAAGGCAAGGGGTCGCTGTGTAGCGGGCTCGCCAAAAACTTCAGCAAATCTTGGGAAGCGGAGAAACTATCCACAGCATCCAAGAAAAGCGGAGGGGCCAAAGACTGGACGAGGTTCGCTTCAAATTCCGGGAGCTCGTGTGCTTCGACAATCATCCTTTTCCTCTTCGCCAAATGGCCAGGATCAGCCTGAGGGCCTGCAGTGGTCGGTGACTGGGCCATCTGTCCAGCGGTTGATGACTTTGCAATCCTAGGGTCAGGTGTTGTTGCAAAAAATGTCAATTCTGACAGTAGTGTACGAGCTGTGGGGTGAAGCACTGTGGTGAAAACTCGGGGCTTCGAGGGAGTCGACTTCTGCCTTGACTCCGGGTCTTTTGACTCTGAGATCTCGCCATTGGGCTGCTTATCGGATGAGGTTTTGTCAGGGGCTGGAGTTCCTGATGTCTTGGAGGTGTCGGCAGTGAATTGGTTCTGCTTTGGGTAGGGTACATATGGAGATGGCGTGATGTGTTCGTTGTAGTTGTGCACAGAGAAGGGGATGTTGTTCTCGTTGGGTGATGACGCGGAAGCCTTTCTGGTTTGCGCTGACACCGACTTATGATCAACCACCCGAACTATCAGGCAGCCTATTGAGTACCAATTAGCAAGAGTTTATTGTAAATCCAGTAAAGGGTAAGCTTTACCTTCATAGAACCGCACATTCGCACGGAGAAGCTCCTCAATGAGGTCATGGGGAATGGTTCCGGCGCGGATGTGCTCAATGACGACTTTCATCTCTGAATTGTATGAAAAACTTCCATCTTGCTGCTCAAACCGAAAATGTGTCGGGTGGAGATGGACGATAAGAGACGGAGGACATTTGGAATACTTTTTGAGGATATAAGGAGTGGTTTTGACTAAGACGCCCATGGAAAGGCAAAGATTAGTTTTCGTTCTTTCGCCATGTTGAGTAATATGATATGCAGGGAATGTAATACCGTATGGCTCGGGACTTCTTTTGGAGATGCGGTTCTCATTGCCCAAGGCAGTCCGTGTTACTGGTCGGCCCAGGCGCGAGCCTAGGTCATTGGGTCTTTGCGCCTGGTTCCGAGTCCTGCTCAGAGGCGCCTTGGAGGTGTTTGCCAGATTCAACATCCCATTGGTAAGTTGCGGGTTTGAACCAGTGGGTTGGTTCCCAGAAAGGCGATTAGAGGTGGTAGGTGGAGAGGAGGAGGGTGGTTGAGGCTTGACCCCGTTGACCCGAGCCTGGGGGAAAGGCGGGGGCGGTCGCTTCATTTTTGCGGCATAGGAAGGAGGCTTGGAGATTGCAGTGGCCATCTTGCCGGGACAGCTTGCATCAAGATCAGGTAGTTAACAATGGATTTATCGCGTAATGAATATGACGATGGGATAAAAGCCGGGGCCGTTGCGCGCAAGATGTGGGGCGTGATTACATCACGTGATAATATGCATTTGGAAGTTGGTATTACAGTTTAGAGAATTTTGGCTATGTTTCAGGCTTCAGAATATCTAATTTGAAAATCTTCGCCATCACTGTATAGTGAGGCCAAATTTAAATCAAAGTGATATCAAAGTGAGCTCGAAGTGGACTCGAAGTGAGAAAAGTAAGTCATATTAGAACTATCAAGTAGTTGTGAAACAACTTGCTAACTGTCGTTGACTTGGCAAAAAGAAGTAAAAAGACAATCAGGGGAATCAATACATGAAGCATAGTCATAACAAGGGGATCAAAGCATTTATAGACACGCGAATATGATTAAACATCAACATAAATGGTATAGAGCAAGAGCTAGTCCAAGCCTCTCACACGACGTCGCCAGTCATCACCTACACGGAGGACATCAACAACATCAATTCGTTTTCCAATACCAGTGGTGCCTTCTTTTTGCCACCATCGTTCGCCCTTGTCGGCGAGGGCCGACTCATCATCACTATCAATGAGTCCTCCACGGCCACCCTCGTCTCCAACAACGACGATGACTTGTCGAACCCAGCCAGCGATGTGCTGGACTGCGTCACCGGTGTCGCCAGTCAGGGATTCCTGAACGAAGACTAGATCAGGCGCAAGATGGCGCACAAGGTGAACGTATCCAGTGGCTGTACTGAAAGGCATAATCATACTCTCCTTTTCGACGAGTGTTTGGGCTTGCGTATAAAGATTCCGGAAGAATGGGTTTGCACCTTCGAAATCATCTTCTTGGCGAGGATCCACGGCAGATAGATTCCCATCAATCATTTCCCCTGGAGACGTGGCTTCCTCAGTCGCGATATTTGAATACGAGGAGGTTATTGATTGTGTCGGCTGGGAAGCACTGGCTTGGCCAACTGCATGCTTCAAGCCAGGGGCATAGATCAAGACAAAGATACGGGAATCATCCAGATCCACATGTTCAGGAAGGTGAGAAAGAATTGACTGAGTTCGTTAGTAGGAATGTTCAAGTCATAATGCGTACAATGAATTACTCACTGCATGTTGGGAGGAAGTAAATTCGTCAGCGTTATCGGGTAAGAGGGAGGATACGACTACAGCCACAATCTTCTTCTTTTTATCAAATGAATGCTGTCCTTTTCCAAAATGAGGAAGAGCGCCGCTCATAGTCGGTTCAATATCAGCCTCTTGCTGGACCCTTTCGGTGGCCCTGGATTGGGCCTCTTCAGACCATCTGGAATGATCCTCAAAGTCGCCCCGATTCTCTTCCCGGATTGATGTGAGTGCACCGCCAACAAACTGTCCAGCAGCGGTTACTCCGGCCACAACTCTCCGGCTCGCGCCATCGAAGATCTGCTGTGGACTCGGAGTCCGGCGCAAAGCACCCTGCATACGAGCCATGAAGCTAGGATCGTAAGAATGCTCGCCATGTGCTAGTTCGTCCTCCTCTGTGCCCCTTGTATAATCTTGTGTGGTGTATGAAGGTGGGCAGCTACCTTCGACATTGACCGGCGGCGGCGGCCGGTAGTGGCCTCCTTGGTCATAAGGGTGGTCGTCGTCATCGTCTTCATTTCGTTCACTCCAAACCCATGCTGCAATGCTGATAGTTGCGACTCCCACTGTGAGTGCTAGAGGAAGCCAGTACCCCAGTGCCGTCCGTCGGCCAGTTGCGCTGAAGCCAGCGCCAGCTCCACCGCGGCGGCGTTGATCCTGGGGAAAAGACATTGAGTCTTTGTTTCAAACCCAGCACATTGATATATTAGTCGCAATCACAGTGACTGACAGTTCACATTTCACTCCTGCAGGAGATAGTATGTGGAGAAGATGCAGGAGGAAAGGACCTTCAACCTCGGGAAGCATGTGGCTGGTCAATGGGGGCTCTCAGATGCTAACTCGTTATCAGCACGTGATCTTATCTGACAAGGCTGAAACATGTTAACTACAAAGTGGGACTTCCTTCTCAGCCAGAATGAGGCATATTGGGCATAGGTTAAAAATATTTTGGTTTCATATGAATAAGTGCCCCGCTAGAAGAGTAAACTGTCACAAGTGTCAAGTTACAGCACCATCGCCAAAGCTTCCAAGTGGGAGTCTTAGATATAGCCTGGAATCTCGATCCACTCCGTATCGTAAGTACACATAAATCGGCACTGATGTACACTATACAACCGGATATCAATATCTAAATTATGAATTTCTATCATCTAGTCAAGTAACTAGGTAGCTGTAGCTAAGTCTGACCGTAATGCGTGGCGAAAATCTCGTTTAAAAAGAAAGGAAAGGAAAACAAAGAAGAAAACATATGGCTACTTCTAAAGTTATCTAGACCCTTAGGCATCGAACTCAACTTCTCCGCATCTGATTTAAGGTAGCCTTTTCTCCATTACCTCACGTTAACCATACAGCAAGGCAATGGAGGTCAGTTCGGTTCTCCCAACTCCCGAGATCCACTATATAATCACCGTAAACCCACTACCAAGGTGGGTATCATGTACCGCGTTACGGAGTATATCATGGGGTCTCTCTCAAGGTTGGTGGGGTTTGCAACTGGCCCACAGATCCAGTCAGCAATGAAGAACGTGTCCTTGTACCTGTATGTTGTACGCTTTATGCCGTACTCAGGCATCTGTTATCGAAATGCAGTGAGACCTTGCTCCATCGGGGAAATGCATCATGCAGTCATTGACAAGGTTTATCTATTCCTTAAAATCTAATACATGGGTTGATACTTACATATGTGTATACGTAAGTCGGAGATTGGCATTCAGCTTCTTTGCCTAGGTACTCTATATTCTGGTTTCTCAGGTAAAAACTGAGCTGGGTGATTACACAGTACGTAGCCCTGTAGAGTAGATCTATATAGGTATGGAGTAAAGATCGATTTTTCCCAGCTTGAGGCCTGGCTTGTATGATATAGTTCATGACAATGAAGATACTGTGATGGATTTTCGGATATGGCGACGGAAGAAGCGGAATCGGATCAACGTTAGTCAATGCCAAGGGAAAAGGGACTAAACTAAGGAGTACGGAATACGGGTTATAACCCTGAATCTGAATATCTGCACCCTTTCCAAGGATCTAGGATGGCTTTAAGTAACAATTACTATGTGCAGTGCGTTCTCCGTGGTGGAGTAGATGGATTGGCTAAAAATACCATCGTACGATAAGTGGATACTTCCAATGTATGGGCTGATGGCAGATCGTGCCAGCGTTTGGAATAAAGGTTACAGGTATTATTGAGCATTAATGGAGGGGAGACTCCAGGACTAGGGCTTCAACGGTAAAACAGCAAGTCAGCGACAAAACTACTAACAACAACACAAGGTTCCAGGATTCAAGGATAGACAGTTAATCTGCTCTAATGAGTGGAGTAAGGTCAATCACACTGACCCTTGGTTCTGCAGCCGGGCACCGAGTGGCGCTGTGATCATCGCTAGGCCTGCACGTATCTTCCCTGCAAATCCTTCCCCAGAAACATCAATATGACGGAGGAGGAACCTTGGAACGTAGTTCAGACGGCATGTGGGACAAAGTAAGAGTATGCTGAGCTAAGTAAGAGCTGATCCAGCTGGGAATCAGGATATTTTAAGTTGGAGTTTGTGTTCTACTCCTAGTTCCTTATATTGTACAAAGTACCTGGTTGAGACCGTTGAACACCATATCATCCACTCGGATGCATCAACTTGCAGAGATGACGGCCCACTTAAGCAAAAAGCGGACACTACTGTGTAGAGAGAAACAGAGACATTGAATTCATTTTGAGCTGTGTAAATTTGTTACGAGGCTGGAACTTCAGTAAGCTTAAAGCTTTTCCAGAGAATGAGTTTACCAGATGCCAAGAGAGAATACCAGGATTACAGATCGGTGCCAGACCGAATGGGGTAAGAGGCTAATGCATTCTTTTATTTCTTTTTTATACAGTTGTACACAGTAATATTGCGCATCCATAATGCATTGTATCAAGTTGGCTAGTTATGTCGATCAAACGGTTGAAATATCGGATCGGCAGTGGTGTGTGCTTCAGTGGAGAAAAGATGAAAAGATAAAAGATACGGAGAGGGGAAGATAAGAAGGATTTGTTTTACATTGATAAGCATGAACCTCCCCGTCAGCTCAGCTACTTTCAGCTTCCAGCCACCGGTACTTACCATACACATATAGCGTCATAGGGGGGGGGGGGTCTCCTTTGCCAATGCACCGCTGGTTCAGCCTCGTCGGTAATGCCAAGTGGTTCGGCCCGAAGCACCTACTGTGTGCTAAGTGATATAGGACGACATGACATTATTTGGAAGAGTTTATTGTATGGGGAAGGAAGTATGGTACCGTGCTCCATGGTCTGACCATGGAACCATCTTGATCAAAGTTTCAAGGTACTCTTGTATATATGATCCAGATATGGGTAGGTAGTGTACCAATGATGTTGAGGGTACGTGCCTACCATGGAGGCAGATGGGCAGAAAGAAAATAGCAAGTAGTAAAGTAAGTAAAGTAGTAAAATAGTAAAAGTAGAGTATCAAAGGTCTATAAATGAATATCAAATCGATAACAAAGCACGTGCGGTGCACGGAGCAGCTCAATGTTTCGTAAGTAAAGTGGATTTTGGTGGAGTCGATAGCGTTGCATTTTAGTCTCTGCTTTCTCTTTTTCTTTTCTTTTTCTCTTTTTCTCGCTTTCTCTTTCTTTTCCGTTTCCTTTTTCCATTTATCTTTGTTTCTCTTTCTAAACAATGGAGTACATAGGTGTAGAATCCCGAGATGCTGGGAGATGTGAGGCGTGTAGGCAAGTCCAAAATAGAGGTGTGTGGAATTAAGTGGCTGGGTTGCATTAATTCCGTGCTTTCCGAATATTTATGGGACTTTGGCCCTGAGCTAAAATTTCAAGAGAGGAGTTTAGGGGCTGAATCCCTTTTGATTGGTAACTTCCTATTCCTTCTACCCCCTTAATGGAGCGAGAACACCCGCGATATAAGAGATAAAAATAAAAATAAAATACAAAATACAAAATAGAAATAGGAAATAGAAAATAGAGAAAACATTAAAAAGAACAGTTACTGAAACACGGCACCTTCTCAGGTTTTTATCTTATTTTATTTTAATTATCCCGTTTAAGGGGAAGAAGACCGATTTAACCCCTCCTCCTATTTCCACTGCCCCAACCTCAACCCCAATCTCTCTCTCTCTACTTACTCATCTCCATATTCCCAATCTTCTCTCCTTCTCCCTCTTCTCTCCTTCACTTTCTTCTCCCTCCATTCTATGTAAACGACTAAGTCGTTCAATACAACGGGTAGAATCGGTTTCTTCTTTTCTTGTACATGACCTAGCTGTCAATCTTGGTCCAAATCTGACCACCTTTCGTTATTATCGAACTCGCCTGGTTTCGAGTTTCTCTGCATTCTATTTGGCATCAAGCGTCTTTTCTTTTCTTCTATTTTCTTCTCTCTTCCGATCTCTTCTCTTTCAATCTCTCTTTAATCGTTGTACTACTATTAAGTTTTATGCCCATGCAACTTTAGAACCAGGTATGATTATGATTCCTTGCCCCCTGGCTGACGCGTCTCATCTTGCTTCCCAACGTCGATCAGAAAAAAAAAAGACATCTTCCTTTCCTCATCTGAATTCCATCATTCACTCATCATCAAACGATAAATTGTACTACAGAACCGTATAGACTGACATTATCATCATTTAGCACCTCAGGTCTCCCACGTTCTGAAAACAACCCCCATTTCTTCCACGAGTTGCCTTGTCGCAGCCCTGTCACACTCGTCATATCCTATTCCTGAGGGAATCAATATGGCTGCTTTGGTTCAAACGATTTCACAACAGAGTGGCACAGTTCCCGTGCTCCAGACGCGTCCATCTTCCTCCAGCACCTTGACTTCATCACAAACACCAGTCCGCTTCCAGCAGAACATGTCGTGGACCCCTTTCAATTCGGGAAATTCGGGCACCTATCGAGCAGGTCAACAAGTTGTGGCTCCATATTCTTTCGCTCCAAATATGAATCATGCCCCCAACTCCCAGAATCGAATGTCCTGGTCTCCCCATTTGCGACCTGAGCACCGCACCCTCTCTGCCCCCGTCATCCCTAAGGGATCTCCCAATCCGACATACTCCGGTGCTAATCCACGAGTCGCCCACGCTGCAGCTGGTTCTGTAACGACTTCATCCAACTCTTCTTCTCGCTCCTATGTTTCCAAAGATGACAGCGCTTTACCATCGCGGAATCCAAGGATAGACCAATCTCTTCGTCCACTCTCAACTGCTAATCCTCCTTCCCCCCGGCCTTGAGTGTTCCCTCTCCATCCGCTGCCAAGTCTTCCCCCAATCGGTATCGCCGGACCAGTCACCGAAACGATAGCGCCCGCTCTCAATCTCAATCTCCAGTACCAGCCCCAACCACGGCCGCTACAGTAGATGATTCAGCGGGCAGTACGTTCGTCCCTCAACCGATTACACGACCGCGTTTGGTTGGCCACAGCCGTGTCTCCAGCATGGATGACACATCTCACTCGGAACGCCCGCAGCTGGATATAGCTCAACGGTATCGTCGCCGAAGCGTAGGAAACATGGATTCTTCTGCATATGCCAACCTGCAAATCGAAATGCCGGTCTCAACACCCACGCCAACACAGTCCAGCTCATACGACTTTATTGCATTTGACTCAAACTCATCGAAACCCGCACCTCACTCTCCCGATAGCCAGACCAGCAATCACTCGCCCAAATCTTCGGCTTCATCGGTAGTCAGTCCCCCTTTCCCACTGACCCTTTGACAATCTGCTAACAAACGTCGTTCAGGCACGAGGACCATCACCCGACTTGGCTCAATCACTTAGCAAGGCCGTGAAGCCCGATGAAAAGAAAACAAGCAAAGTGTCACCTTTATCAGCACCGCCCACGGCTCCTATGTCCGAGCCAAAAGCCAACCCCCGTCCTAATACCGCAACTTCACCACCAACTGCAGATTCTCCGGCTGCGAGGCGTCTGACCGAACTGAAGAATGATACCCGCCGCCCCGGTAAATCACGTCTGCGCCGCGCATTCTCCTTTGGTAGCTCCTCTGAACTTCTCAAGGCATCCTCGCAGACCAAACGCGAGGCCCAGGCTGCAGAACAGGCCCGACGGGAAGCTCTACGTGAGGAACTAGGCGAAGAACACGCGGCAATCGCAGAGCAACAGGAGGCCAGTGGGCTGGGATCAAGCATCTACACCAACCAAGGCCAAATATTCACTGGATCCACCGACGCCTTGTCCATATCATCGACAGCATCATCGGCTTCAATGATGCTCCGTAAAATGGGCAAAGGCATGAAGAAATCGACTCGTTCCCTCGTCGGTCTTTTTCGTCCCAAATCAGTTGCCAGTGTCGGTTCCATCGATGCCCCTGTGGAATCTATGACTGCTCCCAAGGTCTCTGTCGTCAACGTGGAAGCTGAGCGAGAGATTGTTCCGGCCAATTCGAACCCGCATGACCTCACTCGTGGAGCCACGGTCTTCCCCACAGTCGAAGTGAATGGAGATATTCGGCGGTCTATGTCGATTCGCGAGCGACCTCTCTCAGAAGTCTCTCAATCTCGTAAAAGCATTCTCGGAGGGGAGAAGGATCGGGCGGAGGTGTTGAAGTCCATGAAGAGGGGCATTCTCAAGAGTATGTTCTTTTCTATCACCAGCGGTACGATTGATTTACTCACCCATAAATAGAAAGCTTTTCTGATGTGGGAGTCTCCACACTTGTTCAAGCCCCAAGCGACTCGCCGCATTCCAGCGCTCCTCCTACTCCCGATGAATCAAGTCGTCCTGGACCCTCTGTGGGCGAGCAAGTGACCATCGCCGGTGACGACTATTTCATTTCGGATGCAGCACGATTCTCAACCGCCGAATCGAAAAGCGCCCCAATCACTCCTCAACCTGTCGGACGAAACATTGTCTTCAGTCCTCGCATCCAGTTCCACGAGACCTGGCCCAGTGGCGAGTATGATCGCCGTGGAGAGATTGCGACTTGCAACCGCCTCACACCACTGCTTGCTCAGCAGATCCGGGAGGAGATTAACAACTTCAAGATGGTTCGTACCAAATCACCAACTTTTACTTGTCTCGGTACTAACAAGATCGATTAGGAGATGGAGGTTCATGAGAACTCTAAAATCTACACACACTTCATTTAAAATTGGTTGGCATTTCCCTTCCAGGACTTGCTCCCATCAGATTCAGTTCTTCAAGCATTACAACCTTGTCCATAAACCTGCATAAACTTCGGCGCGGTGTTTTGATTAAATTCTTTAATTTTTCCTCTTCATTTTTATCATCTTGTTCTATCGGCGTGTGGCGAAGCGACGAACCTAGGATTTAATTGGTGCCATGAATAATTCCGCTTCCAATCTTTCTGCGGCCCGAACCAATATTCACATCGACTCTGATTATCCCCATTTCATCTCTTTTCTCTACCTTTTCTGTTGTCATCCTCGAGGTGAACAAAATGATGCGGCTAGTTTTGAATCTTGATGCCCTCCCATCAGTTGCTTGAGCTATCTTCCTTCGCGAATAGCGCCCAGTGCTTCGAATTCATGGATGTTCTGCTCTACCCTTGCCACGCATGTGTAGTTCTCTTCCTACTTCGATGAAATTTCCTCTTTTCATTTTTCTGTCTTTTCCGCTTGCATTTCATCGAGTCTTGGGAGCGTAGGCACTTGAACTGTTCTTTCTCCTTGTTTTCTAGCACATTATTCTCCACTATGTGAGCCTTTCTCTATTATCAGCTCCGAATTCCAATCGAGCCTTTCTGCATCGTCTGCATCTCATTTCTGTATCTCAATTCTTTCTCTATTCCACATGTTCCTTGTAGTTGGGATGCTATGCATCTGCACATAGTCTTTCAGTACTTATCCAAGTTATCATTGTTTCTAGGTTTAGTTTGGACGTAAATTTCTGTACCTTCCCATGACACTTTATCCATGGTTGAGATAATAGGTTTATCCCGATATTGGGAAAGGGGTCCAGTCTTAAATGCCGGTTAATTATTCCAGGTGAAAAAGACTCTTCCGCGAAAAGTCCCGGTACCAACAATTGGACCCTGGTACACCCATTCGATTCCACCCCCACGCCGTTACAACTAGCATGAATTGCCTGCATGGTATCCCGTATCGGTCGATCATTACCAAACTTGGTCATATAAAAAGGGTTCTTGCGCTTTATTTGCCACATTCTGTCTATGGGGCCAACAGAAAATCATGTCTCACTCGGGTATAGTTCGGCTATACCCCCAGTTTTTCTCTCCCCCCACGCTTCCGGCCCACTACCTTGTTCCGCCATTGGTTCAACCCCAGACTCTCGGTCTGTTTCCGGCGGGGTTGTAACTTTACTCACCTTGCCGAGTGCTTGGAGATACAATCGGCCCTTTTTCCCTCTCGGAATTTGCCCTTTTCCCCCGCGTGATTTTCTTATTTCTTGGGGTAATTCTTTACCATGGTTGCACGTCCAACTGTGGTCATTGGCATAAAAGCCCCTGCTTTTCCCCCGAGTTTGGTTTTTGTTGTCTTCGTTTCCCCCTTCTAAAGCCCCTTATATCTCCTCCCCCTCGGAATCTCGATTTCTTTTCCGTGAGGAATTTAAAATTACCTCTACGAGATTCCTTTGTTCCTTTCTCACTCGCCATAGCGCAAGAAGAAGCCATCATGTCTCTCAAAGCTTCCGCAGATCTCGAAGCTAATCTCGACAAGGCCCAAGTGGATAATATCGAGATCGTTACAACAGACAAACCGCGGCCAAAAAAGGATGTTCCTGCCTACGTTGCTAGTTTGTCCGCCGCGGAGCGTATCGAGGCTGAGAAGGCCCTCGTACGCAAGATTGATATTCGTTTGTTGCCGATGCTCATTATCATGTACATTCTGAACTACTTGGACCGAAACAACATCGTATGTTCTCGTTTCTATGCGCCTTTGCTTTGATATTGACTTCTTTTAGGCTTCTGCTCGCTTGGCTGGTCTCGAGGAGGACTTGGGTCTTGTTGGTAATCAATATGCGGTATGTTCACGTATAGTTGTATAGTTAGGTTACATTTTGGTGCTGACTTCCGTGCTAGACTTGCGTCAGTATCCTTTTCGTCGGTTACTTGTTGATGCAGAGTGAGTCGCCTGCATTTTTGAGATAATAGGACAAGCTGACTGACAATCATCCAGTTCCCTCCAATCTGCTCTTGAACAAGATCGGTAAACCCGCCATTTATTTACCTGTGTCTATGATTCTCTGGGGTATAATCTCCACTTGCACTGGTGCCGTTCGAAGCTATGCCGACCTCGTGGCCGTTAGATTCTTACTCGGCTTTGTAGAGGCCGCCTACTTTGTATGTACCAACTAACTGCGAAACTACGAAAATGCATTATTCACTAATTCATCCTACAGCCCGGTTGTCTCTACTTTCTCAGTGCGTGGTATACTCGCAAGGAGCTGGGATTCCGCACTGCAGCCCTCTACTCTGGTTCATTGCTCTCGGGTGCTTTCTCTGGGTTGATTGCCGCGGGAATTACAAATGGAATGAAGGATGTCAGAGGTCTCGGAGCCTGGTAAGTCCTGAGCCCACCCTTTGACCAGCTGGTATCAAACAGCCCTAACCGTTCCAACTTTCCAGGCGTTGGCTGTTCATCATCGAGGGCGCTATCACCATCGTCGTCGCATTTATCGCTATCTGGGTCCTTCCCAACTTCCCTCGTACCACGAAGTGGCTATCGGAAGAGGAAAAAGAACTAGCTGCCTGGCGTCTGGAAGAAGATATCGGCGAAGACGACTGGGTCGACAGCGAACATCAGTCATTCCTCTACGGCGCCAAGCTAGCCGTCACCGACATCAAGACATGGATTCTGGTAAGTCAATCAACAATAGTTGAAAGAAGTATTTTACTGACTGACGGTATAGACACTTATGATAATTGGCATCGTCTCCTCCGCCTCAGTAACAAACTTTTTCCCCACAGTCGTCCAAACCCTGCACTTTGATAGAATCACCACTCTACTACTAACCGCACCACCCTACTGCCTGGCCGTCTTCTCTGCTTTTACAAACGCTTGGCATGCGGATCGTACCGGTGAACGCTATTTCCACATCACTCTGCCACTCTATGTATCCGTTGCGGCCTTTATCCTCGCTGCTACCACTACGGCTACTGCTCCGCGCTATGTCGCTATGATGCTTATGGTCCCATCCTTCTACGCTTCTTACGTTGTCGCTCTTGGTTGGATCTCGTCTACGTTGCCGCGTCCTGCTGCAAAGCGTGCTGCTGCGCTTGCCGCTATCAATTGTGTTAGCAATTGTAGCAGTATCTACGCTAGTTACATGTATCCGAAGAGCGACGGCCCTCGTTTCAGTAAGTCATGCATCTCTTCCTCTAAATGGTTGATTCAATTCTAACCGCTTTTCAGTTCCTGCCATGTCCGTCAACTGCGGTACTGCCGTTCTTGCTATCCTTGCAGCAACGGCTCTGCGCTTCATTCTCGTCCGTCTTAACAAGAAGCTTGATCGTGGCGAGACGGTCGAGGGTGCTGTACCTAGCGAGGCTGGAACTCGTGGCTTCCGCTTCCTGGTTTAAAATTGCTCGTTTTAGCTTGCCCTTGCTCAACGGCCTCATGCTGCTTCCTATTACTGGAGGAAATTACCTCCACCTCTTTAATGAGATATGTAGCTCAGACATTGCGGGCATGCCTGAATTCCCTGTTGATATGTAAATCGGGCTATTCAGGCACCACTTCATGTAGATTACGTCCAGATATGAAATTATTAAGGTTAGCAGATATGAAACATGTTTCACGGCCTTCAAAGCTTAAGATTTGTAATTCATGACCAACGTAACAGTGCTCCGCCTCTCATTTAGAACTGGGCGGGAAGATATTGAAATGAAACGAAGAAAAATTCACTTTAACTTCCCAGTATAATATACAGTATATTCCTCTTCCATGTATCGCAATAATAATCCATGCAAGCGAAAATTCAAATCAGAAACTTCAAAAAGACTCCGAAAATCAAAGGCCCCCTTTGAACTGGTTAGGCGTGACGCAGCGAGAAGAAGCTCCTGCGCTAGGGCTATCTTGTTGCCAACAGGTCTTTCCTGCCAGATGGTGATGACATTGCTGTCATCACGAAAGGCTAGACGGGGCGCCAGATGTGGAATATCCACGAAAATGAGTTGATCAAAACCCGATTTTTACAGCAACGAGCTGACAAATAGGGGGTGCAGCATCCTAAGCCACACACCCTTGTCACTGTGCATGGAAGCGGGGGTTCCTGAACTCCAAAACTCCAAGACTATGCAAATCCGCATCATTTTTTCAAGGATTCCGATCGAGGACTTCATATGGGTTTTGTGCCGTTGGCACGTCTGATGCCTCTAGGTCTTCCTTGGTCTGCTTCTTGGCACCCTTCTTTGCGGGCACTGAAGAGAAACCTTCAGCTGATGCAGACTGAGCCGCGGCTTTAGCTTTATTGGCAGCAGAAGACCGGGTCCTGATGGGGGAGTTCTGAGGGGGGATCTCCTCAGCAACCTTCTGGACACTTGCGTTGACGACCTCGTCATCGGTGGTACCCTCGCTGTTCTCACCATCGACGGTGGTCTTTTGAATCTCGCGGCCGAGACTTCGGAGAGCATCCATACCAGCTTTCTCGGCAGCCTCCATGTGGGTGGGTGGGTTGGGGTCCTTGCGCCTCAAGTAAGAGCGCACAAAGAAGCGGCCGAAAAGGTAGGTGAGAGGCAGAAGGTAGGTAACATTGAGCCAGATGGCAAAGGCCTGGCCAGTGGTGTCCATGCAAGTGACCATCCTCTGGGTGTTTCCAGAAATCGGAATAGGAATGTCACCCGCACTGCCAACGTTTCCAGCAATGCCTTCTGCGCCGGCAGCGCGGAAAGCCATCTTCTTCAGCCAAGGCGCAAGGCCGGCATCATTGGTAGCGGTGGCGACGGCCTGAACAGTCTTGGACAGAATGGCGTTACCCCCGAGAGTTGGAACTGTGTATTCGAAGAAGAGGTAGGCCGCGGCCATGTTGGTACCAAGAATGAATTGGGTGATCTGCATGGTAGTCAAGCTACGTTTGACGGCGTTCGGAACACGAATGCGCAAAGCCGTGAGAGTGTAGTAGGAGTACTAGCAATGCCAATCTAGTTAGTCGCGATTGCTTACATTGACACAGATTTACATACCATCAAAGCATGGATAGCCGAGTTGACCAGTGCGAAGATCCAGATGGGAGCCGCCACTAAGAAACGTGGTTAGTTTCTTTGAAAAAAAGAAAATAGTGAGCCAAAATAAACATACTGTAGCGGATACCCGCCCACATGCACATCATCGCACCTGCATGGTGATAGGTCTGCAGGGTCGAGCTCTTCTTGCCCTTGGCCAAGATGATAGCGGTATCGACGACCTCATAGAACTTGGACAGGTAAAAGATCCAGCCAAAGTACGCTAGACCCTGGTTCCAGAGTCGACCCACATCAGTGGAGTCAGGCAACCCATTTGACAGCTTATAGGTAGGGTTGGCAATGGACCACTGTTCGGTGATAGGGCTGTATGTGGCCGCATTTCCGTAGCCTCGAGGCCCGTTGATCTTGCACATCGAGTCTACGAAAGCCACCCATCCATTGGGGTCGTCGCGATCCGGGAAAGAGTTGGTGAAGGCCTGGAACATACCGACAAAGGTCCAGGCGGAGTAAACTGCCAGGAAGACATTGTGGAGGATGACGAACAGCTTGAAGAGTGGCGCTTGACTGAAGGCATATGGCTTATATCCGCGGCTTTTGTTAATGCGATTGATCAGGATAACGGTGATGGCATAGACACTGGCGATGGTAATTGGAACGCGCACGTCCAACACCTGATTATATAGGGAGTGAGGAATATTAAAGGGCTGTTTCCATGTCGGTATATCCACATGGGGAGCTGGAATGGTCTCGGGCAGTGACGACGGCGGGAAATTAATGAGGTAAGAGGGAGGAAGGCCAATTCTGATTTTGGCCTCACCAAACTGGGTTGGTAGGTTGAAGTCGTACATCATTCAAGATTGATATCTGAGTGAAAAACAGATCAATCCAAATGGGCAAAAGCTGAGAGAAAAAAGTTGAAATGACAAGACTTTTATTCCCCATCGCGAAGTGGATCCGTCGTTTGTTGGGATTTCAGAATTGGGGAGACCGAGGTTCATGACGCTTTAGGAAAAAGTCGTTTTTCAAGTATTTTTGTATTTTTTCATAACTGGTTTTTCATATTCCACTATTCCACTATTCCATTATCATAGTACATCAGGTTTTTGTATTTCCAAGTTGAGATACTATTTCTACACTAACGATAGAAATACTCCGTAACTACAGTGTACTCACTACGGAATAGCCCTACTTACACATTTTCTTCCAATTTCACTCATATACCATTTAGATATCTTTTACATTGAATTAGAGTTTGAGATAAAGAATATTTTTTAAAACCACTATTATTGTACTTGGTATGATTGTTGGGAATCAATGACATGATTCTAAGGTGCACAGCAGTTCTCAACCTCAAAACGACCAACCAGAATCTCACGCCCGAAAGGATCGGCAAGTATTTTTTTTTGTTTACTAAGTATATAAGATACATGGCGATTGGTCGTGGTATGACGATGATAAGCATACAGATTAGTGAATCGTTAATGGATAAACTGGATATTTTCCCCCTTGCTCCATAACGCCATAGACTCCGGGCCATGTCAAAAAGTGGTTAGTCAGGAATGTGTACTCAGTACAAATGTGAACACGGCCCCGCTCAACGGGGTTTCGTGCTTAGTGGTACAGGCGGTGGCGTCGGAGATGTCGAAATATCTGAAGGAGTGTTGATTGGTGTGCGCATCTCTGCTCTCTTCGGGGGTGGAGGAGGTGGTTTTTTGCGCTGAGCCTGGGCTCCGATGCTCGACTCAGTAGGCGGGCTTTGAACAGCTCGACTTGGAATAGCGGGGCCAGGGACATGAACAGGCTTTGGAACGGGTTTTGGGGCAGGGCTTGGAGCAGTGCTTGGAGCAGTTGAACTTCGCGGGAGATCGCCCGGCCGAGGAATACGTTTGTTTGCCGCGGCGGAAAACTTTCTGTCTTCAACAAAAGTATTGAAGCGTGAAGTTACTCCTCCCCATTTCTGCTTGCCCAAATCAATCTTGTCCTGGTGACGATCCCGGAAGGTTGGAAGTGGTGGAAGTGAGGAATCGGCGCTCATGGGATATGGATTGTTGGCCGAAGGACTATGTGTCGTCGAGAAGCGAGACTGCATATTATCAAGCGCCGGATCGTTCTGGCCATTTGTGATGTGGGCAGACTCTGTCTTCTCTCCTATGCCGAGTGCGGGAACTGAAACGCCAGCACGTGAAAGCCGTGTGGCAGCTTCCCGATTAATGTATCCCTCGGGCGTTGGCGGAACGGGCGAGTAGGCAGGTGGAGGAGGGAGGTCAGTCAGGGCAGGTGATGCGGTTCTTGAAGGGAGTCGAGGTGGCAGCTGGGGCTTTGGCTTCCCAGTGGCAGAAGAAGTGGAATTCGGCGAGTCGAGGCGTCGCACTGGTGGAGGAAGATGATTTGTAGATAACCCGGTCGTATCCGCACGATATGGTACTGGTGGTGGCCGAGGTCTCTGGGCCTCCTCCTCTGCCTCCATTGCTTGTTGTTGCTGCAAATTCTGCTCATAGTTCTGCTCCGACAAGGGAGTGCCGGTGCCTCTTCGGTCCGGAGTGGTCTCGTTTGGCAATGCGGCAGCGCCATGGTAATTGATATGTTTGGGTGGAGGTCCAAAGGAGGAGGGGTCCTTAAGTGATGAAAGTGGTCTGGAAACATGCTCCTCACGATCCTCGTTTGGATCCTTGCCCTTGCCCATCCATCCGGCCTGTGTTGTATAAGTGAGGGGTCTCCGGGAGTAACAGATGGGATACTAACCACTTGATTGATGCCCTTGAAGTCCCCACGCCAACTCTCCCTCTTCCCATCCTTTCCCTTGGAGTGCCAGCCCTCCTTCATTAGGTTATTCAGCCCACTCATGATGGGCAATGTAGTTCTAACAATGGAAGATGGTGTGCTGTCAAGAAGGGACCCCGCTTAACTAAGTGTTGTGCTTAATAATGGTGGGTCCCATTAGTTATCTATCCTCTTATCATCCCGTGACATGCTGTCGAAAAACAGGCCTATTTTGCTGTGAACGCTCCGACAGGCACCAGCTGGAACCTCGCCCCCAGAGACATCAAGCTATCGTGGCAATTGGTCCCTTTTCTGGAGTACAGAGGGAATTTTATCAAGATTCCCAGATAAACTGATACAACAACATCATTCTCGACGTGGTTTCCTCTTAACTGATCGGGGTCTATGAAAGTCCTCATTCCCCCTCCAAAATGTTTACATCGAAACAGAGGACGTAAAACCTAGTGACGGCATTCATATAGCCACTCTGGTAGGTATTGGGATTGCTGTCAGAGGCATCATGATTTTCATTACTCTCTTCATTACTCTTTTCATTACTGTCGGGAACGACACTCGCTCGTTGCATACAGTAGGTATGCTGGTACGTACGTGATGCGTTGAGTGTAAAGTGTGTTGTATTTCAGTCTATCTATTCCTGAACTAAAAGAGACTCTGCTGCCCCACTTGTGGCTGGTCCGTCCAATTAGGAGTGAGGATATCCGTCCAATCAGAACGGATACATCAACTCCCATTGTACCAACAATTACTCTCTTCATTACTCTCTTCATTACTCTCTTCATTACTCTCTTCATTACTCTCTTCATTACTCTCTTCATTACTCTCTTCGTACTCTCCTTGCAACCATCTTGGTCTGTTAGTAGTGTGGTGAGTGACCACGTGCAAATCCTAGCTTTGCATGCTTTTGGTCTTTTTTTTTGTTTGACTTTTACAAGACTTTAGGATCTATGCACTCATCTCGAAGTCCAAGGAATGGTGAGACTATTTCACCAAACGTATTCTGCCTAGGTAGAGACTGCACAAAAGGGTCAGTGACATACTTGGCTCTGAAAGGATATTTATATCCCTCGCCGAAAAAAAAACATCAACGCGGTCATCTAGTCATGGACCTATTAAGTGTTTCGTATTCTCATTTAGCGCGTGGGTGATTCTGAGGAATTCATCATTTTGTGATGCTAACTTTATGCAATCTTTGAAATCCTTTAGCCCTTTAAGAGCGAGCTAACACAGTGTTAAAAAGGATCACTAATGCTAAGAACATTCTGTAGCGGCCACAGGCATTCTAGGTAACCCGCGATGAAAACATCTTTCATATCCGTGGCACGGCCACTTTATAGCCCTACTCTATACGGAGTTAATCTTCTCCTATCCACTGCATACTATCTCCTAGGAGTAGCATAGCAGTTTGCTCACGAGCAACAGATTGCCAATATCAGTACTATTTCGGAGTGATGTAATCTTGTATTCTCAATTGGGTGCTTAAAGAAGTTGCATTTTGTCTGGATTTGGCTTAGTAGATGTTAAATATTTATTCACTAACTAATCGTCTTTTGAGCACTTTTCACCTCAACTAGCCGGAAACTTTATCTCCCCACTAATTCCGAAACTTCTAATTTTTACTGATCGATATGTGTCGAAAGCGAAATTCTTCTTAAAATGTGCTCGGACTCCAAGATATTGAACTCGGATGAGCGCAAGGAGCGAGAGGAGCAGTTCTCTAAGATCCCGGCATTTGATGAGATGTTAAGAACAACTTTCTTAGAGCGCTGGAATTTATAAGATGATTTCATGGTTTCTGGAAATACTGAAGCACTTCAGGTTTATCGGTACACTTTCTGGACGTCGGATAAACGCTTCGATTACGACTTCGCGATCCTACTCCGGATTGAGATTCAGCTTCGAGAGAATTTACAGCGCCAGTCAACCCTTGAAGAGATTTTTAGAAGTGGAAAGGACTCCCAAAGCTTAACGAAAATGATTTTGAAACTTCGTGAAAATTACTGGATGCTAGAACGTAAGTGATGGCACGTTCAGCTAGCATTCCCTGTTAATCACCCAGTTACACGAGGATATCGTCTCTGGAGAGCATACCCAAACTGGTATATGCATCATCTGCTCTATGAAGACTGTGCTAAAAGAGGTGGATGCTGTGGAAGAGACTGTAACTTTTGCTTTAACCGCCAATACCAAAAACGAAGACTTGCGGCTGGCCATTGTACTGTAGAGTGCCTATGCTGCCAGAAAGCTCCAGGCTTGAAGCTCAGCTATAAGCAAAAAGACTTAATTCGGACTTTATTCACAACATCAAAATGTATCTTGAAAGAATCAATCGACTGTGGACACTATCGATTTCAGCTCGATGCTGCGGCTTTATTAGGAGTCACCAGGTTGACACCACAGGCCCCCCATTTGATCAAATAGTTGCCCCTCCTCAAGGCTATATACCTCCTCTAGAAGAGGATGAAATATCGATCTCTAAAACCTATGAATATTCGTTGTTGGACACTTTCAAGAGTACACCATGGATACATTTCTTGATCAGCTTTGCTTGTCTTATTGGGTGGCTCAGAAATGAATTATACTAGGGACTGCGAAGCTTCATTTATCAGATTCTGTTCTATTTTGATTTTGTCATATTTGCTGTATTCTTGAACTTAGCTAATTGATTTATCAATCTTGATATACCTGTCCAATATCTATGGGCACCTAGAACCTATAGAGCCATCGTAAGACACTACGTATCCAGGTAGTACCCAGAAAATCTCACCAAGGCTGAAACTTCTCTTATTAGAACCTAACTCGGGTGCTCTTCCCCTTCATGAGCCTCTCTTGAAGGGTCGAGCGGTATTACAAATTCTCCCAAAGCTAAATCTAAATCCCGAAGCTTTGCCTGAGGCTGGTAAGTCTTTGCATGAATTGGAAACACCATTCAGCAATAGAAAGAGACGATTGATACGGCTCAGTATTCGAGGACGAAGACACATAAGATAAACTGGATTAATCGCATCGCAAGCACTATTCTTTTTGTAAGAAGAGTTTGTCTGGGCCCGAAAGGGTGTCATAATTTGTGGAGCGGACGATATGGTTGATTCAGATGACTCAAATAATTGAGATGATCCGGGTAGAAGAAACGAAGAATAATCGTGGTGGCTTGGCTAGAGAAGTAGATCAAGATTGACTACGCCAACTGATTGTGGCTTGAAAGAGGCTAGCGAAAGCTCTATGCGGTCATTGGCTCTAGAATGCAATGTGATCTTTGCATGAATAAGATCTGCAGGTTCTGAATTCCAACTATCAGTACCAACACCCACATTTTACCCTTGCATTTCTCGATTATAATGGCCGTGTCAAGGTCGAGTTTTTTTTCCATAGATTGCTGGCTTTGGCAATGTCATCTTTACCCAGAGGTAACGGACTGCTTCATCAAAATGGCTATTTCCGCAAAAGGATATGTGATTGGCGAAGGATAATAGGCAGCTGGAACTGGGACCATGTAGAGCACACCAAGCATCTCATTTATTTGGCATATAAGCAATGCTGTCGCAGATCGATTGGATTTCAACGAGTCATATAATCCCCAGTATCGGTTGCTGTGACTACTGAAGCTTCTCTTGCTGTAGCACTAAATCTGCTCGACTTACATCGGCCTTCTAAAAGTTCGTCCGCGCTTCATCCTTTATTCTTTTGCGATGCGGAACGATGCCGACAAGGCGTCAATGTAATGTGCACATAAGCCGGAATACATTCACTTTTGTATTTGTAGGAATGGGGTGCAGACATCGAGGGCGTTGAAGCGACTGTAAGTGTGGATGCTGACTAGACTGTTTACGCTGGAAGATTGAAGTCGGATTGCTATGTTTTCATCTGATCGTCATCTTGGCTCATAACAAAGGCTTAATTTCGAGGCTCTTTGCTGATATGGGGTAGAGAACTTTCGTGGCAAACTCGCTAGTTCAATCAGGGCATAGACAATTCTGTAAACCTGTAAAAAGAAGAGAGGAGCAGAAATAATATCATAGTCTTGAAAAGTAGTAGTATGCAAGAAACTCTAGAGGTTGAGAGAAGATTAAAGGTTATTAGAAGTAACAGACAGCAAAAACTAGAAGGTGGTCAGTAGGAAGGGGAGGGCTTGCGCTGATCTTTCTAAGACTGAAAGAGGTGAAAATATTACTGCGGTTGAGCATATCAGGATTGCGCAAGAACAACTTCGCCGCCCAAAACTAAACGACAGCTTAGGGGGCTTCATGATGCTGACGTGTTACGTGTACGTGATGCAAATCACGCAATTACAACTACGAAAGCTAAAGAAGATGCGGCAAAAGAGAGGAAGTAGGGAAGAGTATAAAAGAAAACATGGTCATGAGCCACCAAAACAGGAGGAGGTTGAGGAGGAGGTTAAGATAGAAGATACGCCAAGATTTTATAATAATCTTTCTTAGAGACGATAGAGAGAGATATGCTCTATTTTGAACGAATGCGGCGTGAATGTATAGAATAGGTGGAATTGGAAGTTACGGTGCCGCGCGCCCACAAACGGGACGTGTGTGGGGCAGGCACTGATATGAGGTATGTCAACCTAGAAAAGAGGGTTGTTGTTTGCACTATTTGCAGGGTCCACAACTCCAAAGTAGATAGAGAATTCAGTTTCGTCAACGAATGACGATTGGACAGTCAAATTTCAAGTGGACAAGAAAGCAATATCACGTGATCTCATGCTAATCCAAAAGTAGTTATGGCCCCCATAGAGGAAAGAACCGCCTTGATAAATATAGGATCAAAGTCAGCGCTTATGTACCATTTTACACCAACTAGATCCCTCGAGTGGAGCCTTTGCGCGGCGGTCAGACGAAGCAATCATTTTCATTGATCTTACTACTAAAGAACTATGCTAAGCCCCGACAACACATCAATCCCATCATCCCCATCCCCACTCTTTCGGCTTTTTTGTGTCTACAAAATATGGTGAACAGAGGATGGAACAAGACTCAGATGATAGAATGGTCACTCTGTAAAATCGATTTTCAGTTCATAGAACAATGAGTAATCTAATTAAGGACGCTTGTGCTGTTAATGAGAACTTCATACTCTAAGAAAGAGACCGGGGTTAGGATAAAACATCCCTAAGCCCCCGCTCTCTGTGCCGCCTTGCTAGCCCTAGAGATCTACCGTTTGTTTGTCACAGGATCTTTCTCTTTAAGAACTTTCATTCTCTACCTAGGTATTTTTGATCTCCCATCGTCGAGTCTACAATGTGGACTTTTACGATGTTAATCAAGAGATTAACGATGCCAGAAGACGACGAAAGTAGCTCGCTCTGGGACAAAAATCCGAATCAAGTTATAGAGACAGAGAGTAGTTCGTCTACGGTCACATCACCGATTGAACCGAGTATTCTATATCCATCGACTCCAACTTCTGATTCAACTTCAATCTCGATAACATTGGCTACAACGACTCCATTCCCCGATACGCCTGAATTGCCCATATCTACATCAACTACATCACAACAACTTGAACCTTCTGCCATAGCCCAACAAACAACAAATACTTTCAGCCCCTCATCTCAAAAAACTCCAAATGCTACCTCGTCCCAATCAACCACTTCAATCTCATCGGAAAAAACCACGACTTCCACGGCCACATCGACTGCAGATGCAGCCAGTGCAGCACCTGGCGCTTATTCAGGCGGAGGCTCCACAACTAACAAATTGGCCATCGCACTCCCGATCGCCATTGTGGGGGTCCTGGCCATCCTAGCATTCGCTTTCTTTGCTTTACGCCGCCGTCGACGTCACCGGAATGCACTGCCTTCGTACGAGTTCGCCAAAAGTCAGACTACAGCCATGTCGGCGTCGGAGTTAGTCTCCGTTCCGAGGACTGTAGATCGGGAGCCTGTTGTATCGGAGTTGCCTCGGTTGCCTGTGCTTAATATTCCTGTCAATGTTCCTGATGAGCGGAGGAGTGAAATGGGTTCTGCTTTGACACCCGCTTCTGCCTCCACGCCGAATGATGCTCAAGTGGGCGTTGCTGTCGCTGTGCCTGTAAATCATCGACTTAGCACGACTACACAGGATATGCATCGAACAAGTCGGCCCTTGTCCGTTCCTGGAGCTGCTGTAATGCCTGTTCCTGAGACTGGTACTGAAACTCGTTTACTTTCGAATGGTGGTCATGGTCATGGCCGTGATGATGATGCCGTCTCGGTTATTTCGGATGAACAGAGAGGTGATCATGACTTTGATGATATGTCTTCTGTATCGTCATTTAATGATGATGAACATGCTGGGGGAGATCACAATCTTCCGTTCCATTGATGAACCTTGGATGATATTGGATATAATGTACATTACATCGGTCGGTTCATTTACGCGGTTTATTTGTAATTTCAATCAAGTAGACCCATTTATTTTTTTTTAAAAAAAAACTAGTTTCCCTTTTCGCTTTGAGTAGGACTTCCAGGTAAAGGTATAACCCTGATCCTCTCAACTACTCTGAGAAGTAGCTTATCTGCCTCCGCTCATATCCTGCTTGTGCTCAGTGGCCTTGCCCTTGGTTAGCTCTCGAAGGGCCATGGTCGCATACTGGCTGGATCCCAATTGGAACTTCAACACGATGGCGAGTTTGTCGCCAGTCTGAGGCCCAGTCTCAGTGGATGTTTCCTTGATTTCTTCCTTCATGATATCCATATCTGTCTGGACGAACTGGTCATGGTCTGAAGAGTACAGCTTCACGTCAAAGGAATACTTGGAGCCCACCATGCGACTGAAGACCTTGCGATAGTCACCACTGAGATTGACGTCTTTGTACTTTCGCTTCATGTCGAACGGGTCCAGGCCACCACCTTTTTCACTGGCCATGAAGGTGCGGTAGAAGTCGGTCATCTTGTTAGCGGGGTAAATGACATCGAAACCGGGCTGGGGGAGCACGATATCGAAGATAGAATAATTGCCGCTCGCAGCCTCCTCGGCAGTCAAAGCACGTGCACGCTTGAACTGGTCCTGAGCAGCATTGGCACTGTCAGCACCCTGTGGAACAATAATAATCTCACCGTCGGCATCGACAGTCTCGGTGGGCGCAGCAGGTACGGATTCTTCCTTGTCCCGGTGCTCCTGGACAATGACCAGATCACCCTCGACGACTTTGTCGCCGTAGAGTCGCAAGCGCTCGCTAACAGCAAAGTTGAACACGAGTGACTGGTACGCATGTACATACATGAGACGCAGGTTACGAGGCACAGCCTGCAGGGCTCCGAGATAATCAGTGGGAGCCCGAGAGAGATGGCGGATCAAGGCGGCCTCGGCAGAAAATTTCCGCGGAAGCTTATCCAGAGCATTTCTGGATTGGTGACGGGCCTGGAAGAGGTGAATTGCCATGGCGCGATCCTTATCGCGACTGCCGATCATAACAGACTCATCACCAGTTCGGGCCGCTTCCAGGACATGGGGACTGTAGTGGAGGATGGATTCACATGCTCCCTTGAAATCACCTTGCAGCATCTGCAGTCCAATGGTATCAGTGCGAGTTGAGAAAGATCCAAAACGTTGTAGGCCGTAATAGTTCAAGTAGCCACGATCATACAAATTCTTCAAAGACGATCCAACCACCTCAGTGGCTTTGGCAAGGGCAGCTTCCGGGTCTTGGAGGTCGACTCCGGGGATCTGGCAGTCGCGCAGAGTGATTACAAATTCGTTGCCTGAAAGATCTCCTAGATCGAGGCCATGTTGGTGGTACTTATAGTCACCAATTGCTGCATTACGAAGGCTCTTGTTAATCTCCGCAAGCCGGCTGGCATGGACATGCCACACGCTGGCGCGTTGGGAAGTGACACCGCGTCGGTCCTTGGTGCCTGCAAACTGGAAATTTTTGGCATTTGTCTTCATCAAGCCACTCATGAACCCGATAACCTCCATTGTGTCCTTGTTTTCTTTGTAGATGGTGAAATGCAGGTGGCCACCACCCAGTTCCTCCCAGCTCATCCGGCCACCAGTTCGCTGCTGGTATCTATCGCGGCCATCACCTTGGCCACTAGATTTGAAGCGTGAGGTGGATGCCTTGATCGACAGGTTTCCATTTTCATCTGTGGTGGAATCCAGCTGTGACTTGAAGATGCGACGAATAGCTTGGTGAATCTTGGTACGGAGCTCTCTGTCAGTGGTCACAATTGCCACGCTACCGAACTCATTGGGTCTGGCCTTGCTCGACATCGCACGCTTGTGAAGGGCAATTATCTCCAAGGCTTTATCAGCACCAAAGTATTCCACCAACAAGACATTATCCTCGGCCGATACACTGAATTCAGCCGCGGCTTGATCGCTAGTGGTGGAGCTACCAGGAGCTTCAGTCGGAGCCGGAGTATCCTCCACCTTTGGAGTCTGGTGCGCGGGCGCCTTCAAAGAAGCTGGGGCCTTCAGATTCCGAAGGTGAACGACTTCACCAGAAGGCATGATCTCGTTAACCATAAAGTCGGAATATCTACAGAGAGTGTCAGCAAAAAGATAAGCAAAAATAGAAGCTCCAGAACGCACCTCTTCTTAAAGACACCGGAGTACCCAATATCAGAAGTCACAAACTCCGTGATGCCGACATTGCGCTCCTTCGCAAGCTGAGCATCAACCACAGAGAGTTCAACCACAGAGGGTTGGACATTCCTTACAGCAGTCTGAGGCAATTCAGCAGACTCAACCGCAGAGGGTTGGACATCTTCCATCACCTCGGTCTGTGGTAGTTCATCTCCCGTACCATCAGTCTGCGAAATAGAATTAATCTTCTGCCGCTTCCGCGGAGTCTCCTCAACTTCGGGTCGTTCCATTGTATCGAGTTGGTCGTTGCGTTGCAGACGCAGGAACTTTTGAAGGTTTGACCGATTGGGACTAGCGTATATTAATAGGTTATCATGTGATTGGCTTAGATTAGAGTATTTAGCTTATCATTTGCCGCGGAAAGCTGATAAGCCTCTTGGCAAATAATAAACGAATCTACATTTTTTAGACGCAGAGTCCTTACTAATCTCAAGGACACTTCATACGAGGGCATCGTATTAATTCGGTGAAAGCCGTACTTCCAGAGCTGATTCCCTGGTTTGTATCTGGGCCCCTAATTCTTACACTAGATCAAAGGAAAAATCTGAAGTAAACGGAAGGTTTGTCATTGTGTGAACATTCGAGGTATCTTCTAATGGAAATGGAAAGATATTAACATGAAAGATGTCTGAATTCAACGAGCGACTAAACTGATTCACGAGCGACCCATATGATCACAAACCTCATCACCATATCATATCCATCTCGATGACTTGTTCATCTTTGTATCAATACCCATGAAGTAAACTCGCATGATTCGAGAATTGTAGGTCTTGTTGGAAGGATCATTAAATGCGTGCCAAAAATGTTTAGCAGAAGTGTTAATCACTCATATCAAATCCCTGAGTATAATTACAACATTTGCAGTACACAGTACAGTGACCTGCGCCATAAGGTCTTTCCAGACTCGACGCACGTTTTTCACAACATCCGCATAGATGGCCACAGCATCCACCTTTTCCTGCTCAGTCCTTTGATAGCTCAGTATGGACATACCATTTTGGATTAAATCTCCAAGTATGATAAGCCCTATAGAATCAAGTTGTCTTTGAAAATATATGCTATATCGCGAGCTTTATGCATTAAACGGTTCTTGGTCAGTCCATTCTCGATCAGTCCCGACATGTTATAGAAGTAAGAGGGGTATTGAGCAACAGCCCAAATTTCTTTTGTATTTGATTTCGACATGGAATTGGAAACAATTTTGCTTCAGAAAGATGAAGCGCCTATATAGCATATGCGAGACCGTAATAACATATATCGTCATCTCTACTCTGTGGGAGCCTCTTTTCTCCCGCATCGTCGCTCCTTCCTTCCTTCCTTTAGTATGCCTAGTAGACTCTCCTCCTCCCCTCCCCTCCCCTCCTCTTCTCTTATCCTTTAGTTCATTGTGTTTTACCTCTATCTACTTGACCTCTCCCCATCTTCGCAATGACGAATTTTACTGAGATTGAAGCCATCCTTGGCACCCTTGGGGGTATAAGCCTCATTTTCGCTGCCTTCGCAGTCGCCTTCCTGTAAGTAAGAAGACATATGACCGTACTAACAATCATTATAGCCGAACCCCTGCCGACTTCTACAAGGGCAGTAACCTTGTATAGACTTCTACCAAATTATGGCAGTATAACTCTACCCATTCTTGTAAGTTCTCTCTTCCTATGAACATTGACTATATTGGTGCTGACTTACCTTCTTTGGTTTCTTGGATCCGCCGCTTGCGAGGCCGACAGGAGCCTATGCCTATCCTCATCCAGCATAGCCATGAAAGTGCCTATTATCGGGAGATACTCAATGGTGCCACTCCGATCACCCCAATCACCCCCGACCACTCCGCAAGCGTAATTCAAACCACCGGGTGGCAATAGTGGCGAAGTGAAGGTGGAGGAGGCTCCGGTACTGCAGGAGGCCACCGTGCTGCAGAAGCTGCAGAACGGCCGACAGACAATCATCCCGGGGGGACCCAGCTGGCCCCCGGTGCGGCTGCTACATTTTTTCCAGGAGAGAGTATCCAGATGAGTCAGAGCAGTGGAGTATAACATGTGGCAGCCGTCCCCGTGGCTACCACCGATGGGACCGAGCTGCAGCCACCATGAAGAGCATTAATTCAATTATTTCTATATACAACATCAAAAAAGCCTCGCCTTCCCCCTTCCCTCTCTGGAGAGCTCAGCAGTCAGTTGACAAAGCCAGAAATAATTGAACTAATGCTCTCCATGGTGGCTGCAGCTCGCGGCAGCTCGGTCCCCTCGGTGGTAGCCACGGGGACGGCTGTCACAGGCTGCACTCCGCTGCTCTGTCCCATTTGAATATTTTCTACCGGAAAGAATGCTGCAGCCGCACCGGGGGGCAGCTGAGTCCCCCCGGGATGATTGTCTGTCGGCCGTTCTGCAGCTTCTGCAGCACGGTGGCCTCCTGCAGTACCGGAGCCTCCTCCACCTTCACTTCGCCACTATTGCCACCCGGTGGCTTGGCTTGCGCTTGTGGGGTGATCGGGGTGGCAGCATTGAGTTTCTCCTGATAATAAGCACTGGCATTGGTTCCTGTCTATCGCGCAAGCGGCGGATCCAAGCAACTAAAGAAGGTAAGTCAGCACCAATATAGTCAATGTTCATAGGAAGAGAGAACTTACAAAGACGAGTAAAATTATACTGCCACACTTTCATTGAAGTCTGTACAAGGTTACTGCCCTTGTAGAAGTCGGCAGGGGTTCGGTTATAATGATTGTCAGTACAGTCTGTATACCATGTCTTCTTACTTACAGGAAGGCGATTGCAAAGACGGCGAAAATGAGGCTTATACCCCCAAGGGTGCCAAGGATGGCTTCAAGCTCAGTGAAATTTGTCATTGCGAAGATGGGGGAGGTCAAGTAGATAGAGGTAAAACACAATGAATCAAAGGATAAGAGAAGGGGAGGGGAGGGGAGGGGAGGAGGAGAGTCTACTAGGCATACTAAAGGAAGGAGCGACGATGCGGGAGAAAAGAGGCTCCCACAGAGTAGAGATGACGATACATGTTATTATGGTCTCGCATATGTATGTAGGCGCTTGGTCTTTCTGAAGCAAAATTGTTTCCGATTCCATGTCGAAATCAAATACAAAAGAAATTTGGGCTGTTGCTCAATACCCCTCTTACTTCTATAACATGTCGGGACTGATCGAGGGACTGACCAAGAACTGTATGATGCATGAAGCTCGCGATATATCATATCGCATATGGCTAGGGCATCAGTGTTTTAATCTGATTACTTTTTTGGCATCAATGTCGATTACATTGTTTTTTTTTCCGAAGCCTGGTCGTTAAAAGAGCTCTTGCTTTTTAGTATCGAAATGGAATAGTTATGGCGGCTGTGTAGCAGCGCTCGGAAGTTCCCTGTAATCAATGATTTGGGTTGACTGATAGTTCAAAAATAAAATACCGTCTCATTCTATCATTCAATATTAACAATGATAAAATACGCTCTATAAAGCTCAACCAAACAGATATTTCTTCCAGCTCTGCCTCCAGGGCTTCCAGGTTCCGCTGAACCGATGGTTGATGCATGCCTGTTGACTGTTGAACCCTTCTGAGCCACTATGTCGCTGTCCATTTCCCCATGCATTCACAGGCAACACACATAATCCACCAAACTGCTTATCTGGTTTGACATTTGAGTCATCCACACATAGTGGCTGATTAAGTCGGTAGAAAGGTGCCCAACTCACACGTTGGATTGGCGATTCAACTCCTGGTGGAACAAGGTCTCCTAAGTGTTCATCTGCCTTCACTGAGTCAGAGATTAATGGGTGTGTGGCAGGAAGTGTTTCAGACAAGCAATCAAGGATTGCATCAGTAAAAACTCCTGGACCGGTCACTTCGAGAGTGGTCATTTCACTGTATTTTCGAAAAATAATACTCTTGTTGCTTTTGGTGTGCGAAAGCACCCGCACTATCACTTCTCTCAGCAGCGGGCTGAATCGGTGAGGCGCGTACATTGTGTATTGAATGAATCCGTAGCTTCTGACCCAGTGCCAGTTGCGCATCTTCTGCGGCGAGGCGAAAGGCTCATCTATTTCGATTCCCACGACAAGCGAGACGTTAGTGTGCTCGGGCGCAAACACCGAATGTTGTAGTGACGGGCATGATTTAATGGTCCGCTTAGGGAAGACATCCATATCCGCGTAGTATCCACCATAGTACCACAAGATGAGATAACGTAACAGGTCGGATCGGAGGACGTTGTGAGGGTAGGAATGATACATGCTCGCGAGACCAGGTATTGATGAGAGGGTGATGGTCACGAACTCCTCGGCCCATTCGCTTGTCACGATCTGTTGATGAGAAATGCAAGATAAGCAATTGCCAAGATGTGCCCCACGGCAAGGGGGTTAAGCTTATTTTCCTACCTTGTACTTCCATTCTGCATTTGCGGCCTCCAAATTGAGTGAGTCTTCACCTCTTTGTTCGGGAGTTGGGGTCTTTCCTAATAGAATCTGCCATAATGTGTCTGTATGGCCTCCTAATCCATTCAGGGATCGTTCACGGTGTTCGAGATCACGCAGCGCATTGGACAGTCGCAGCTCGTAGTCGGTGTCAGGATTGGTACGGAATCTGGAGTGATACAGAAAACGTGGGCGGTCTTCCGTGTCGTTGTCCGTGCTTTTCAATGATAGCAGACCACGACCCAGACAGATGAGTAAAACGACAACTAGAACGACATACTTGTGTCTAGATCCCACGAAGGGTAGCCTCATAATGTGTCAAGAATTGAGCTGAATCATGACCAGGCGGGAGGAAAACAGAGATTGGGAATAAGCGTGAAACAAAGGGTTAACTTTGGGAGACCAGCCATAATATCCTATCTCCACCGGGTGCTCTCCACTCTTGATCCCTGATCCCCACTCTTTCATGACGTCGAAACTTTGCCATTTCGTCTTTTCTCTCGCAACCCGTTGAGGAATTCTTTGAATGGCCATCATATGGCGTGTAGCAGCGTCGAATATATGCTTCCCCAACACAATGGGCCGCATCGACGCTGGGGTCCTTCACTCGTACAACTTTCCCGGATCCCTTAAACGCATAAGAAATTACTTCCTCGAAGTCTACCCGTGGAATCACTGGGGAATATCTGTCCCACCTTGACTCTGGTCTCATCAAGGAACTTCGCTTCTGTTTCATGGTCGAGGTAGCGCGTGTGCGGCCGCGTTCGACTGTGACAGCGCCAATACCACCGCATAGATACTCTGGTAGACACCTGGTGGACACGAATGCCTGCCAGCTTCTGGATAGTTCTAGTCTTATTGAGTTTCCTGTCAAATTCTTTTCTGTATGATGGTCAGATTTGCTGTTAACTCTCTAGGGACCAATCGATGGGCATATAACAGATACCTTGTTAACCATTTCGTTCACCACATACACCGTGATAACTTCTGTTTTTTTGTTACATCAGATAACAGTATTTAGTAATGTGATTATTCCCCTTCGGCGCAAGGAAGTAACCATCTTCAGCTGGGTCAGTATCTAAGACATTTCCCAGTTGAGCTGGTTTCTTACAAGAGTATGGAGCGGGACTTGAGCCGAACGTTCGGCTTCCTGTTGAGTCTTTTTAGCCTTCTGAGCCTTTAGAGCCTTGCAATAATGGGCATGATTGTACTTGGACATCATTTGCATTGATACTGAGCATGCGCACAAGGGAAAGTTGAGGTGAACGCCAGGCCGGTTAGGTCCACATGGGCTCCGGGGCTGTCGTGACATAGACAAGCCATGATTGGAAGATGAGAAGCATCATACATACTACTCGACCTCGGGAATACCTCTAATGGAGAAAACTTAGAAACTTGGTGTTGTCATCTATCAGATATTGTGACTAGACTGCAGTCACCTTCCAAAATTATGTACAGTCCTACTCCAATGCGGACGCTAACTCGTAAATGTGGTATAATAATCGCAGCTTAAGCGTCTCCAAAACAACCTCGGAACCCTGGGTACTCAACAATACAAAGGCAAAGGCAAAGCCTGAGAACAAAGCGAGGTAAAAAAAAAAAATGATAAAATAAAGACCATGAAATGAAACATCGAAGGTCGCCTTCGCTCGAACAAGTACCAGGGAAATTTGCAAGAAGTCGACCTCTGATACAGGAGCCCTTTGTTCCGAGTCAATGTCAACCTTAGACTCGAAAGTCCGAAAGGTAAACCAGAATTAAAAAGAAACAAAAGAAGTAAGAATTCACATCATAATCATCAGTTCCCCCATGTCGAGAAAAAAAAACAAAAGTATATAATTCAAAAAAACACCGTCCCTCCATAATGATAATTACCCAAAGATATCAACTGTCTATCCCATAATGGGACCCTATCTGACGCCGGTGATTGAACCTGGATGTGGTAAAGCTGAAAGGATGCAGAGAGATCAGAGCATGCCGGCATTACGAAGCATTTCGTTGCCGAGTCGATGTGCTTCTGTGCCATCGTCAATCAAACTCTCCTTGAACCATGGGTGTTTTAATGCCTCCTTGGCTGTGATCCGGCTCTTTGGATCATAAAGAAAGATCCGACGCAAAAGATCCAGGAAAGATCGGTTGAATGGCGTTGTGACAGGTATAAACTCCTGAATTATCAGATTTAGCTCGATCCTATACCTACTACAGATTCAATCAAGTGGGGGGTAGTTCTGACGCTTACCGGCAAATCCTTCATCGCTCGAACATACTTCCGAGAAGCCCGACTTGTTTCCGAATTGGGATAGTCAAGTTTGTTCTTCAAAAAGTACCTATATGGTAGATTAGTATTGGAGATAAGAGAGGGACGCCATGAATCGCTTACTTGTTTGCTGAGTTGTGACTCCCAGCTCGGCCACTCATCACCTGCCGTACCAATTTCGCATCGATCTTCTGACCGATCACTGCCTCCATCATCGCCAAGTGTTCCAAATTGTCGTGAGTCTGGAAGAGTGCATCGCCGGTGAAGAATTCCACTAGAATGCACCCAATACTCCAGATATCACAAGGGAAGCTCCAGCCCAGGTTCAGAATAATCTCAGGAGCCCGGTAATGCCGCGTGGAAACAACTGAAGAGTGGTATTCATCATCAAATGTGGCAGATCCAAAGTCAATGAGTCGAATTTCACTGTCCAACAAGACCCGACGTTGGCGAGCAACGCGGTGATTGGCACTGGTAGAAGAGGGGATGGTACGGCAGTAAGTGAAGGTCTGGTAAGCACTCTTGACAAGCAGAATGTTTTCGGGTTTCAGATCAGTGTGGATGAGGTTCAGGTCATGGAGGACTGCAAAGGAGTAGTCAGTGGTCGATCCCAGATACGGATCTTGCAAAAGTAAAACTTACAAGCAACACTCGTGAATAGCTGGCGAGCAAAGCTTTGAATGTGACTGCTTGGAAAGGGAACAAATGCGTTGCCTTTCAAGAAGTCGAAGACACTCTGGCCGAGTAGATCGGTCACAATGCAGATGTGATTCCGGAAGTCAAAACAGTCTCGAAGATGAATGCACTTGTTGCGGTTGGTTTTATCGTTTGATGCCAGAGTGGATAGTACTCGCAGCTCAATGCGAGATGCATCTCGATATTTTTGGATGGAACGAATAATCTTGACTGCACATCGCGATTTTCGCTGTTTATCATATGCTTCGACCACCTTACCAAAGGTTCCTTGTCCCAGCAACTTTATGATGGAATCTAGAGAGATATTAGTCCGATTTGTTTTTCGAGGGATCCGATAAACTCGAACTCACATCTGTCAGTCAATGGGGTGTCAGGAGTCACGATATAGTGGCCATCGTCGTCGTCGAATTTGTCTTGGCGCGAGGCAGCGCTCTAAGATAAAATTCCAAGGTTAGTTCCAGTTCCACTCAAATGAGGAGGTAATAAGATAAGATAAAAGGTTCACATACATCACGAATGACAGGCACTGGAACATCCTTGGATTTGATGATAGGTTGAGGTGGGGGGATGTAGCTAAGAAAAGCATCCCCAGCGTTCTCAAGTTCGATACGCTTTTGCTCATCTCGAGTGGATTTCCGGGTAGTGCGCTTGCGCTTTTGACCAGTCGTGGTACCATCCTGACCGTATCCGTTACTGGCGCCTGCACTCCCTTGAGAGCCAAGTGAGGTGGGGGCAGTGGTGTGTAGGGATGTAGTTCTATCTGTTGATAGAGAATTTGAGGAATCTGGTCCAAAATGCTGGGGGTTGATTGAGTAAGACGGTCGGTCATGGCCCAAGTCATGGGCAGTCTCAATTCCCGTGCGTCGCCTCTTGTTCGCAGGTTGAGTCACTTTTGACTGGGCTGCATTGGCACGCTGACCTGGAGGATTAGTCGCTTTTGAAGATTCAGGCTCGGGACTGTCGTCAATCACAATGACCTCCTTGGGGATGCCATTCTTGTAGAATTCGCCCCAATCAGGTTTCTTTCTCCGACCTCCTTGTGATGGGGCGGAACTGGAGCCGCTCTGATGAGATGTCATACCGGATGGCGTCGAGGCTGCTGGCGCGACTCTCGAAGAAGGAGTGTAAGGAAGAGTGGTTGTGGATGTGGGAGAGGGAACAGGGTAAGGGTATTGATTGGAGATTCGAGCCCCTGCAGCGTTAGAGGGAGCTGAATAGCCAGTAGGCGCTTGATATGAGGAATGGGGATAGCCGTAATGCTGGCGAGAAGGATGGGTTGCAGTAGCCGTGGAAGGCGTTGACATATTGTGTACGGAGGAGTGCCGTCCGTCACACGAACAGCTTTTAAGGCGCGGACAGGGCTCAGATCGCGACTGATTTTCGAGGGCTGGAGGGCCCTTCGAAAGGGTAAAGTGTCAAAGATACAGGTACGAAACGTTATGTTGCACCTGGCAGATTCAGTGCGACGAGAGGGGGAGGTGAAGAGAGGATGTGTCGGAAGGGATTCGCTTGGGACGTGACAATGACGAGGCGGTCGGAGAATGCGACGAGTGAATATTTTTATTCAATATACTTTCTCCAAGAGTGACAGAGATTTGATCTTAAGAAGGGGATTGAACAGATTGAATCATTGGATCAAGAGGTAGTGACATGGAGGAGGTAGAGAAGGGAAGAGGAAGAGGTTGATGATGATAGGAAAATGGTGGAGTCTCTACCGGGAGTTTGGGGGACGTAAGAGTGTTGCCGATCCCATCATCCTCACACCTTCCACTTCCCACGCTTTATTAGTCTACTAAGTAATTTATAATTACTGATCACTTACTACCTCTAGTTTTCTCTTCCTTGAAACTACACTAATTTCTAATAGAGATCATCCTATCTAATTTGTATGAGGGTTTTTTTTTGGAAGTGGACTGGTCCATGCGCGGAAAGGGAGAAAAATTCCAAGTAAGAAACAGACGGAAAAGGAGGGAAAAAAAGAGTCTGAGGGGAAAAGGCGGTAGATTGCTTTTCTCATTCCAATTGCACATAAAATTGTGACCTCAGAATGGACTATTCGCCTTCTACTATGACTTGAAACGTACCTAGGTACTTCATGCTTAGGGCTTATACACCTACCAACTCATTGGAACAAGCCAGGTACAAGAATAATGTCATTAAATACTACCTCCAGGGTTATATCTGCAGTGATAAATAGAGATATTAGATTACCCAGGTAGACTTGGCCGATCACCTGACATTCCAGCTGATTCATCATCTAATTTGGGATTTTGATAGACTTTCTACACTTGAGCCTTGCCTTGAATGCATCGAGAGATCTATTACACAGTCCTCACACTAACTGTTTAGTCTCTGGATGATCCACCATCACTAGATTCACTACTCTACGACGTACACGGTCCATCTGCAAGGGCTCCGCCTTGGTGACGTGGTGAGCCCCTCTTCCAGATGAGCTGGCCACATATCGAGTATCTGCACGGAGTACTCGTGGGTATTTAACCATTGAAGGTTGGTCTGTCTCGAGTGGCATCAATTGCAGACTTCTAGCTGCACACTCTCCATATACAGCCCTCACACCAAGACGGTATACATTCACATCTTCCTAGCTTCCAAAACGTTCAGCAAACCAGATTTCTCCAAAGTTATCATGACATGGGTCTGGAAGGAGTTGTTCGTTTCATGTTTGCTGACATCTCAGAATGCAAACCTTGGAAGATAGCTGATTCGGATGGCGACCTCCAGGGCTCTTACGAATGGGCTTCATTCTCTCCAATATTGGAAGGGCTGAGTCGGCACCAAACCCTTGGAAGTACTCATTGTATGACATACGCATACCCAGGTACCATGTGTATCTGTGGTCTGGATATGACTTCCAAGGTTGGCCAATGTATATCTTTATCTAAATTTCAGATGTAAATCAAGCAAAATACCCCATTTCATGAAGCCTGACCTTCTATGTACAAATAACATTTACTGGCATTTGACGTTGAACTGCTTCTAGTCAGGTATGTGTTACTACTTGATATCGTGTCCTAGACTCTTACTCTTCAGCGTTTGCGGGGCCAAGGTTCCAGGGATCGGGGGAAAATCGGAGGAAGGCTTAGTTGCCCCCACTAGGATCTCAAGTGATCTGGACTAAGACATATGATCATTTGTATGATGCTCACGAGTTCTAGAGAACACTTAGGTGAGCGAGGCTGGGAGAGTACTTAGTTAGTTCAGTCCAATTATTATTCTCAAGTTTTCGTTTCATTTCGAGTGCTAAGAATATTGTGCTTAATTTGAAAACAACAGCAGTAATAATATTATTTGGTCTCCTTGGGATCCTTCAAACAGGCTCGCTGCACATGTTTGATGCCGCGGCCATCAGCCTCAAGTGTAAATAGGAGATCCCGGATCTGGATGCCAGCCCCCGACGCCCCATCTTCGCGCCAGGTTCCAATACGCCGTTTGGGTTGGCTGGGCGCAGCCTGTCCAGAACGGTTCATCTTCTCAGTCGGAGTAGCAGTAGGAGTTGAAGGACTCGGTCGCGCGGGCGACGAAAAGCCACTGGGGGGGGCACCTCCCGGAATCAACCAGGAATAAGTCTTTTTGGTACCAAACATGCGACCAGAAAGCATGCTATTAGTAGCCATTCGGGCCGTTTCCACAGACTGTTGATGCTGCTGGGCCTCGCTGGCCTTAGTATCCACCATTTTTCGGGCTTCTTTCTTGGTAATAGATTTTCTGTCAAAGCTGGGTGCTCGATCGGCAATTGGAGTTGAAGGGGCAGATCCAATGTAATCGACTGAATCAGATCGCATTCCAGTGACTTCGCTCAGAGTTGCATCGGCACTGCGCTTGGCCCGCCGAGCGGCTATTTTTCTCTCAAAGGCACTGTCCTTGTTGACACTTCCTCGATATTTCTTCGATGGCGGCTCCTGGCCTGGCTCAGAGTTGCCGGGATTAGGCCCTATATACAATGTCAGTATGCAACAATCACTTCTTATACAATCAGGATGCGTACGTTTGGAAGGAGTTGCGATATTGTCAGTCACTAAGCTGGAGGTCTCAGCGACGTCAACCCACTCCGCAGGAACAATACCGTCCGCGTGTGCTCGGCGGCTTCGAGCAAGAATAGCGGCATAATCCACTGTTCCTCTTAGTCTTTCCTCACAAGAGATAGAAATAAGGTTCAGAATGTCCACTAAAGGGGCACCGTCTTGGTTGATGATGGTCTGACCGGTACGCACTACCGACGATCCATCTGGCCCAGTCACTTCAATAGCCTGAGGCCGACCAACAGGATGAAAGACACCCTCCGGAGGAATACGGACTCCGAGATCAAACGCACGCTTTTGAATCTTCTGTTCAAGAAGCTTGGACAGTAGAAATGGATCCTGGAGATGATACTGTGCTCGTCTCGCAGCCTCACTATCTTCACGGGTGGGTTGATTTGGGTCTTTGTAGGGCATGGGGGTCTGTAAAGATCCAGAAAATGATTCCTGTGATGCGGCTGGTTTCAAATAGGGCAACTCGCCAAAACTGCTGGACGCAGAAATTGTGCCGTTTGTGGATGTTTGAGAGGCGAAAGAAGTGTTAATGCCGGGTGGTCGCTGCAACTGCTGACCTCGGGGACCTTGTTGCGCCTGCGCAGTAGGCCCTGAAAAGCTGTGCGTCAGGAAGGCCTCTTCTTCGCGAACATCGATACCTGAGCTGGCCAGGACATCAGTCAGCTCAGACGCATCTGTAGTCTTATCTGCTGGACGAGAAGGAGGACCCATGGTGCCCGGCGGAGCTGGCGGTGCCTGGTTAGAAGGGATTTGGTTCTGGTGAATCCCATTCGTGGTGGCTCCGTTCATGGGTTGCTGGCCTTGGGGAGATTGCATAGAGTTGAAATTGGGTGAGGCGTAAGGTGATTGTGCTTGAGAGGGAGGAAGAGGAGACAGGCGTGGCCTTTTAAGAGGCGGGGGTACACTGCTGTTTACTGGAGAAGCAGCATGAGGAGATGGTGATGATACAGGAGGGAAGGGTTGAGAAGAGAATTGCGACGGGGGTTGCTGCTGCTGCTGCTGCGGGTGTCGCGTTTGAGCCATGATGGGTGGATTTTCCAGAAACAGGGTTGAAAAGAGCGTTCGTGTCAAGTAACTCGAAGTCGAAGTCGAAGTCGAAGTGGACGTATGTCCAAAGTGGATACACGCGCGGAAGTAAAAGTTGAATGGAAGTGAGAGCGTATTAGTCGCACCACCAGATCCCACGGAGCGTGATCATTTCTTTAATTGTTGAAAGATGTTTATGCCCAATGTGATCACTATTCCGTACAGTAGATAGAAAGAGAGGCTATAGAAAAGTGGGATAAAGGAGAGAGATAACTAAGAGCAGGTTGATGAGATGCCCAAGGAGCTTGGCCTTGGGAGGTTTGGCTCCGCGGATTGCGATGGGAAAGTCATGTGACCATTAGTCAGTCGTTCCGGCTATTGTCTCGTTAGCTACTGTTTCATTCCCATTCACTCACCTTATTTCTATCTTTGATTATTAAACTCACAAAATCAACTGTCGCATAAAGCCACGGGAGCATCCATGATTCCCAATTGAGTTGCACGATCACCTAACTCCCGTGACACGGGCGACTGCGCCCTTAGAATTGAGTTATTTGCCGACTGCGACATAGCTCTACTTTCCCTTATACACTCGGTTAAGAGCTCAAGTCAACATGTCAACCAAACGTAAAGCCTCAGCTCTTGGAGCGACTGCCGATGATGAACCGGCTGATCCCTCGGATGAGTTGGCATTCTACTGCCTGGGTGGAGGCAACGAGGTCGGGCGATCTTGTCATATCATTCAGTACAAGGGAAAGACGGTCATGGTAAGCTTGGCTTGAAAACTGGTATTTTGGGAATGCGATTTGGCTAATTTGAACTCTGGAATAGCTCGATGCGGGAATGCACCCAGCCAAGGAAGGCTTCTCAGCTCTCCCATTCTTTGACGAGTTTGATCTGAGTACCGTCGATATACTATTGATTAGCCAGTACGTGAAATCCTATCATATAGCCTGATATATGAATACAACAGCATAAAAAGTGATGCTGTTGACTCCCACTTCGAGTTAAAAGTTATGCGACATAAAAATTAACTCGGGGATCAAAGCCATCGCTTTTCAATTTAGTCGCTCTCTCTGATATCTTGATTCTAGTTTCCATGTCGACCATTCCTCTGCACTCCCATACGTTCTCAGCAAAACCAACTTCAAAGGTCGTGTTTTCATGACACATGCGACCAAAGCCATCTACAAGTGGCTCATCCAGGACAACGTCCGAGTTAGCAATACCTCCTCCTCTTCAGATCAGCGCACCACCCTATACACCGAACGTGATCATCTCTCCACACTACCGCTAATTGAAACAATTGATTTCAACACCACTCACACCATCAATAGTATTCGGATCACACCGTTCCCCGCCGGCCATGTCTTGGGCGCTGCCATGTTTTTGATATCAATTGCTGGCTTGAATATCCTTTTCACCGGTGACTATTCCCGCGAGGAAGACCGTCATTTAATCCCCGCGGCGGTTCCGAAAGGTATCAATATCGACATTCTAATTACAGAGTCTACTTTCGGCATTTCATCTAATCCGCCGCGATTGGAACGTGAGGCAGCTTTGATGAAGTCAATCACTGGTATTTTGAATCGTGGAGGCCGCGTTTTGATGCCGGTATTTGCACTCGGTCGTGCCCAGGAGCTTCTTCTGATTCTTGAAGAATATTGGGAGAATCACCCCGAGTTACAAAAAGTACCCATATACTATATCGGTAATATGGCCCGGCGGTGCATGGTTGTGTATCAGACATATATCGGTGCGATGAATGATAACATCAAGCGGCTTTTCCGTCAACGCATGGCCGAGGCAGAGGCTAGTGGAGATAAGAGTGTCACTGCAGGTCCGTGGGACTTCCGCTACGTCAGAAGTTTGAGAAGTTTGGAGCGGTTTGATGATGTCGGGGGCTGTGTCATGATCGCGTCTCCGGGTATGCTGCAAACTGGAACTAGTCGAGAGCTGCTCGAACGATGGGCACCCAGCGAACGCAACGGTGTTGTGATGACTGGATACAGTGTTGAAGGCACTATGGCAAAACAACTCCTAAACGAGCCTGACCAGATCCCTGCAGTTATGTCAAAGGGTGCCATAGTTCAGGGTCGGGGCCGAGTTCCTGGTGGCAATGATGAAGACCAGAAAGTCATGATCCCGCGTCGTTGTACCATAGATGAGATCAGCTTTGCAGCTCACGTCGACGGCGTTGAGAACCGTAATTTTATCGAGGAGGTTGCCGCGCCAGTTGTGGTAAGAAATAATGTGCATTTTTCTCTTGTTCTTACTAACAGCTGACCTTTTATTCAGATCCTTGTCCATGGTGAAAAGCACCAGATGATGAGACTCAAGTCGAAGCTTTTGAGTCTCAACGCAGATAAGACGGTCAAGGTGAAAGTGTACACACCCGCGAACTGCGATGAAGTGCGCATTCCGTTCAAAAAGGATAAAATTGCCAAGGTTGTCGGCAGATTGGCACAGATTGCACCACCTTCAGACCAAGACGAAAGTCAACTAATGGCTGGAGTGCTTGTTCAGAATGGTTTTGATCTATCACTTATGGCTCCAGATGATCTCCGAGAGTACGCTGGATTGACGACAACTACTATCACTTGTAAACAACATCTTACTCTTAGCTCCGCAAGCATTGACTTAATCAAATGGGCGCTTGAAGGTACATTTGGGGCAATCGAGGAATTGGACAACGCGAGGACAGAAAAGAAAGAGAATGCCGACTTGGAACATTTAATTACGAAACAGGAGGCTGCCGACGAAGAGATCCCATTGGAGGAAGCACAGACATTCTTAGTGATGGGCTGCGTTATCCTACGACATCATCCGCGAACGCGCGAGGTAGAACTCGAGTGGGAGGGTAATATGATGAATGACGGAGTTGCCGATGCTGTCATGGCCGTTCTTCTCACAGTTGAGAGCAGTCCAGCCTCAGTGAAACGTAATGAATCCCCTTGTCCCTCGTTCATTACATCAATACTGACAAGCCTTTTCCAAATGATTAGAATCCGCTAAAAACAAGCACCACCACCACCATCATCAAGATAACGGTAATGATGATATTGCTGCATTTTCTAACCCTCACTCCCACCTTGATGCTGAGGATCGTCTTGCCCGTCTCCTGATGATGTTGGAGGCGCAATTTGGCTCTAATATTGCCCCTATAGAGCGTCCCCGTATCCCTGCTGACCTTATAGATGGCAATGCAGGAGACGAACAGCCCGAGAACGTAAAAGAAGAGCGTATTGCTGATATCGAATCAGCAGAACTCGATCGTCTTCTTGCTTTGGGGATACCGGTTCCGGGCATTGAGATCCAGGTTGATAAACACGTTGCCCGAGTGTGGCTCGAGACCTTGGAGGTGGAATGCGCTAGTCCCATTTTGCGTGATCGAGTCCGCATTGTTGTTGAAAGGGCAGTAGAAACCGTTTCTGGCCTATGGGCCACCAGTTCCATGCCCAAAGAGAGCGTGTCTAATGGTTTCGTCAACCCAAAAACGGATGTGCCAGAAAAGGCAGTCGCCATCCAGGCTCAGGGTTGATTCGCCATAGATCTTATGAATGTATTTAATTACTGGATACTCAATTGTATGGATTATTATGCCAACGTTATGGACTGCTTCAAATTTTATTGCTTTATAGGTATCTTGCGTTTTGTAGTAGACTTAGTTCCAAAGTTTCAAGGCATTTTTCGAAGTTGACATTATTCTCGGTCAATCCAATTCTGCAAATACACTCTCCAATACTCTGACAGTAACATTCACTGTCGATACCACTAGACCAAAGTGGGGCACAGGTCCAATGAGAAATGGTTACGATGCTGTTGGTCCGACATGAAGTGAATCTAGCGAGTTTTACCTATTTAGTTACAGCGAGGACAAGATTGAATAACACACCTCTTACAACTTCGCATCGACGCACCTAGATCTATTCCATCGAGAATACTAGTTGCATATGCACCGTAAGAACGTCGCCGTTCCGACATCCACAATCATATCAATCTCTTCCTTGGAAATGTTGTCAGGTGGTGCTACCCCGTATGCTCTATGACAAACTCAATCTTCATATTCACAAAAAGAATAACTAACAGTATCCAGCAATTTTCAAATTAATAAGATGATATCTTAACCCTCACCCAAGAATAGCCCTTTGCTTCGGATATGTCCCAAATTTGGATGATCACCTAGATGCAAGCGGAGTTACTCCCCCAGAAGATTGTCTATCTCTTGCACGTTATCCAGCAGCAGTTCCTTCTAAGTTGTCTTTTGTACGGTCAATGATGCAGCACAGGAGACGGGATGCACTCGGTATGTTTTCTCATGCCGGAAACACCACTTCCCTGTCAATAGTCCGCACAATAGAGTCACTTATCAATATACTAGAGATTGGAGTGTACCAACCACCAAGAGTTTACCCAATTGTTTAAATGTTTGGGGTAACACCTTCCTGTTCCCAGGCGCGAAGAGTTCCAGAACATCCCATTCCAAACATAATTCATCAAGAATGAACAGAGCTCCGAATTTCACTCAGACGGTTTTTATGGCTGCGAAATAGCCAGGTGCGGCTGAAACACAGCCAAGGGACTGTTCATATCAGTTAATGTATCTGGCTTGAGGTTCAAAGTTTCATATAACTTACAGCACCAGCCACTGACTCGGCAATGAATGCGCACACATTGTCAGATCCGCATCCAACTTGGCTGCAAGATGTGCAACATATGCTTCATTAGAGTCGCTATATCTAACAAACCAGTGGAACAAGAATCGCAGGACGGTTTTTGAACTAGGCCCTGAGGCTGTATAGGCTGCTTTGAAGCTAGCTCGTCAATAATTTCTTTAGTCGTCAACCCCCGAGCTACAGCGCACCAGGTTCATTGCCCGCCTCTCCTCTTATTACAGTGCTATCTTTCGCTCCCTTGCTGTGGGAGGTCGTTTCATGCGAAGAAAACCATTCGGGCCACTACTGGCAAGAATACATATCATGTATTTCCATGCTATACATACCATCACAAGAAGGATAGTGACTCCTGCCAGATCCTCAGATGCGTTAGCCCCAAAGAAAGCTGAATGGCAATAAGAAATTTGGTCAATTTGGTCAATTTAGACTTTGATTGCCTGCTGGACCTGCTCATAGCTATGATTCAGTCAGAAGGCAGTAGCACCGCCGGTTGAATCAAGAAACTTCGTACCATGCTCGAGGAAGATATATCTTCTTTTACCTGCTGCTTTCTGGGGGCACAAAGTGACTATTCCTGTGCAAAATCGCACTGCGATCAAGGGACCTCGGAAGCCTTCGTATGATATCAGCGTACCTATTTATGTAGCTTTAATTAGGTATAAGGATCTTTCTAAATTGTTCACATACCGGAGTCTGTCATTGTTACCCAAGAAGTATCAAAAATAAACCTTGGAAGGTTAAAAAGTGTTCCAAGGTTGAGAACCTGGAAAAAAATTGTGAGAACTCAGAGCAATATGGAATAGTACAATACAGCGACATTCTACGTGCTTAGGTCCTTTTTTATACTGATTTTAACCCGAGGTAATTAATTGCACACGGGTTGAATGGGCTCGGCATGCCGATCGGAGGAAGCCGTGTATTCTATAGTGTTTTCGGCATACCTATACATGAGAAGCCGAGCAGATGATTGGCTTCTCACTCAGCGGTCATTGAAGAGAGGAAATTGGGAACTGGGGTCAACATCTGTTCGATAGCCCTGATTGTAGAATCTTTCATTATTGAGGGACTAACTCAAACTTGGAAGCGAAAAGGTCAACTGTTTGTTGATTCTACTAGAAAAGTAAACATGTGACTCCACAGAGTTGATGGCTGGATCCATGCTCCACGCCTAAATCCCATCGCTTCCTGCCCAAATCGGTAGCTACCCAGTGCCATAAATTAATTGGACCTACGGAGTAGAAAGTATCATATTACATGTCTAGGGAAACTACTTAGCTCTGAATACCACAAAAGGCGTACATCTTATCAGCTACATCTATAAATTCATGAGTGATTTCTAACGTTAGGACAACTTTAATCATCGAATATTCATAGCATTCTTGTCCAAAAAAAATATCAATAGAGAAGCAAAGGGGAAAAATAAAGTGAATGCCAAGCTAGAACCTGACACAAAAGGAAAATAGACATTATTGACAGTAAGTCACGGAAAATTCATAGCAAAACCCATAAACCCATTTACAAAGAAGGCCACAATCTGAAGTTATTGATACAGCTGGAAAAGCCTCACTGTTCGTGAAGCTCGTCGTTCAGCACCCATAGGGACAGGAAAAAGGAAGAAAAAAAATAAAATCATACAGCCGAAGGGGAGTTGGCCAGCAGCTCCGAGGCTGATGAGATGATGTACAAGCAAGTGACTATTCTCGGGGTTTCAGCCTCAGTTGTGCAGTACACTGCCTGGAACACCGTGGCTTGTCCCCTTTAGACTATCGACAGTCTTCCGGCGCAGACGAGTTCGGGTCGCCGGGCCATCAGTTGATACTACAGTAGGCTCATGGTGAGTTTCAGCGGGGGACACGGCCTTGGAAGCTTCCGAATCCACCAGTTTCTGGGCGCTTTCACGACCTCGCTCATAACGAAGTTTGACTTCGCCCTTCCACTGAGTGCCAAGCAAGCTGTCCCAGAAAGTGAAGAAGGGTTGGGAGAAGTTCGTCTTGATTCCCCAGCTCTGGTGGTGGATGTCGTGATAAGCAGCATTGTTCGTCGTGAGGATCTGCAGGGGGTCCCAAGGGAACGCATAACCGCAGTGATCATCTACCGTCTTGATAGTCGAGAAGGTGAAGAACCAGATGGCTTGACGGTTGGTCATGCCAGCAACCAAAAATCCAATGCCAGTGCCGAGAGTATCCAACAAGAATCCTTCCACGGGGTGGTTATATAGAGCGCCAAAAGCATAGGGAACGTAGAGACGGTGGTGGCGAGAATGGAAGGTTACTGGGAATTGACGTCAAAATACGTATTGTGGATGAGGGGTCTCTAAACTCACCATATAGCCAGGTATTCATGTGCATGGCCCGGTGCAAGACATACTGCCAGGTATCGACAATGCAAACAGCGAGTGTGAATTGCAGACCCGGGACCAAGTACCAGTAGATGAAACTAGCCAGTGCCAGCTCCCAGCTTGTGAACGCCGGAGCAGTAATCTTTGCACCGTTATCTAGGGTCAGTGACTGTAGAACGTTCGGATAGGAACCGCCGGCCAACGCCCCAGCTAATATCACATGTCCGTTCTGAGACACGGACTTTGCCAATCCCACCGCATCAACGCCGACAAGTGTCAACAATGAGGGAATGGCTTTTTGGGCAATACGAATTCGACGCGCCCACACGGTTACATCGTACTCCTCGTGCCCGGCCATTTCAATGGGGTCGAAATGGGACACAGCCAAACCTGCAATGGTCTGGATGATCTGTTGCAAAACGACATCGCGTACAACTTCCCATCGGGTTACGCGGTTTCGCTTCGATAGCTCAGCAGGAGTGTGTAGACGGTATTTCTCAAACAAATTTAATGTATCGCAGACGTGGTACATCATAGAAAGAGCCCAATAGGCGATAATAGGCAACGCAAGGGCGCAGATGGCATCAGACACGCCTGGGACGAGAGATTCTCGAGGGTAGAGATTGTATTTCGGGAGGGGCGGAAGGTCCAAGGCGACTGACGTGTTGACAGCCATGATGGGCGAGGCAAAAAAAAAAAAAAAGGGTATGCGATCCTTGAAATATGTTCTCTGGATGTTTACGGATGTCAAAGTCGACGAGGAATTGGGGGGCAATGGCGATGAAGAGGAAAAATCGAGGGTAACAACTGCCCTATGGGCACAGGGTATTTCCAAAAGCTCGACAACAATCTAAGACTAGAGTGAATCTGTCGCGTACTGCACAGAAGGATGGTTAAATAAAAATGAGGATAAGGACAAGGTCAAAAAGATTCTCAGAACCAGGAGGCGAAATGGTTCCGGTTTGCTTAAAAGTGGCGCCAGTTCGGATCCGGCGTTGCGAGTGGAGGCCTGACTGTATTTTACGTATTTAAACCAGGTCCTAGGCCGTTCTGGGTGAATATTACGGTATTATTACAAGATATTGTACCGGTAACTCCAAGATAAAAGTGCCTAGTTAGTTATTAGTTAGTAGCTTATTGGATCATGATATTGTTCATACATAGGTATATAGAGACAACACCAGGGACACCTCCTTATTGAGTGGGATGATCCAGTATACATAAATATCGACATCAGTGGTGTGATAACTAGCTTCGGGATCCGTATTGAATTGACCTCCGGATATCAGTTATACGAGCTCATTCAAGGAGAAATATCACATGGACATATGGTGACGCTAGATAACCAATCTCCAGACTGGTTAATCTCCGATATACGACCAATTTCCAACAGTGAACAACCTCGGAGCACATCAAAAGTACATCAGCATGGAGTTTCCAGGTAGCCTAATTCTGGTTTCTTTTCAAATATCTGACGTTGTGGCTGGTTTGAATGTTTCTTTTGAGTTGGTAGCAGGACACATTGAATATACTGGTCTGCTGAAATCCAACATGAATTGTAGTGAAAGATGGAAGAGTCTCAGCCTGTGTTTGTACTCTGTATATCTCCCTCACTCCGCATTCACGCTAATCTCAATTGGAAAAGACAAACAGTGCAAACATCCCCCACCGCTCCTGGAGCCGCCGCTAGAAAAAAAAAACTTCGTTTTTCCCCTCCTTTTTTGTTGTTCCCCCGTTCGCCTCTCCCAATTCCCTCTTTTCACCCTTCTTAACCCTTCAAAATGATTATCTACGCTGTATGTTACCTGTTGAAATATTGCTTTCTCTCAAAATATCCCAAGGATCAACAACTAATGATATTTAGGACATCATTTCCGGTGACGAGATCATCTCGGATACCTTCAAGATCGCCCCTAGCGCTGCCTGCCCTATCCTTTGGGAGGCTGACTGCAAGAAGTACCTCAAGAAGGGTAACGAGGACTTCCAGCTTGAGGGTGCTAACCCCTCCGCTGAGGATGGTGATGCCGATGATGGTGGTGAGGGCGAGTCCACCATGGTCCACGACATTGAGGACCAGTTCCGTCTTGTCTGGTTGAAGGAGGACGAGGGTCTTAAGCCTTCCAAGGACGGCTTCAAGTCTCACCTGAAGGGCTATGTTAAGAAGGTTCTCGAAAAGCTCACCGCCGCCGGTGCCAGCGAGGAGACTATCAACGAGTTCAAGAAGGGCGCCGCTGCCGCTGTCAAGCACATCATTGGCAACTACAACAACTACGATGTCCTCATGGGTACCTCCATGGATGGTGATGCCATGTAAGTCTATGTCATGCTATTTTGCTTGCTTTCTTTTACTGACTCCTTTTTCCCAGGCACGTTCTCATTGACTTCCGCGAGGACGGTGTCACTCCCTTTGCTACTGTCTGGAAGCACGGTCTCAAGGAGATCAAGGTCTAAGCTTTTGCATTTATGCGGCGACCGAAATTTTGTACTTGACTTGAAGAAAGAAAATGATGAAGAAGCGCGAGTCCCGTATTATGGGTTGAGCTCGATTCTATCTATACCTTCAGGCATTTATTTGTCTGTTCTGGCTCTATGCGTCGCATCTTCGTATCATAATTGACTGATCACTCTGATCGTCAAGAGTTACGCCTCACGAATCAATATCCTATTATGTCTTCCCATTGTTAATTGAGTCATAAAAATGTATCAGGGAATTCGCGATTCCCGAGTTATTATATCGTAAATTTTCAACTTAATTGAGGCGTGCCCTCAAGTTCAATGCTGTGATAATGCTACCTAGTCTTCCAATGCAAGTTTATGTACAATGTGATTTCGTGATCCATTAGCAGAGTAGGTTACAAATAGTTAACATGAGTCTTATTCTCATAATCAATACCTGTCCACTCAATAGAGGTCATTAAAGGGTTACTTGACCCGTTGTCTGCCCAGACAGGCGGAAGAATCGTATCGCGAAAAGACGGTGCTTCAGGAACTGCATTGGAGTTGACAGCACCACGTGTGGGAATGCCAATATTGGCAGACTCCAGCCCAGAAACAGCGTCAAGTTCCATGAGATCATCAGCGAAAGGGAGATGCTGCCCAAAGACAGCATCCCATTGGTCCCAGTCAAAATGGAGGTTTGGATCAACCATTGAGGGCGGAGTGGAGAGTCCAAGTGGTGGTGGATTGGGAGAAACTGGTTCTATAGAGAGCATCCGTGGAAAGGTTCTGTTGTTTGGAGATTGCAACGGCCGCTGTATTGGAATGTGCGAGACGGCGGTTGGAGAAAGAGCTGGAGAGGAGAATCCCACAGGTGGCGAGGATGGTATGGTGAATGCGGCGGGGAGAGATGCGTATTGTGGGTTAGGAAGGGATGAAGAGTCTTGTTGAGAAGGTGATCGGTAAGAGTATCGTAAGGGGCTCGATCTGATCCCCGGCGATGAGCCTGAGGGGCTCGGTATATGAGAGCGGGTCATGTGGTAAAATAGACGGCCGAATTCACTGAGTCGGCGCTCTGGACGAATGGCCGAGTGTGAATCTGCGTTTGATATGAGAGGGGGTCCAGGCCCCCAGTAAAGTGTTGGGTTGCGAGATTCTCCAGCCGGCGATGTAATGCCTGCCTGGATCTGGTCTTGTTCAGTCCAGAGCATTTCTGGATTCAAGCCCGCTTTTTGCCAGGCTTTCTGTCGAAGACGACGAATCATGTCCCAGGCTTCACGTCCGCCGTCTTTCAAAGGTCTCTGGCTGGATATACCATCTTCACCGCCCACAACGCCTCCATCTGGGCCTGAGAGGACCAGAATGCGGTCGATAAAAGCACGTGATTTTGAAGCCTCAGGGCTGTATGGCCTTTCATAAAGATCAATAAGCATAATCCTAGTCAATGTTAGTTTGAAGTATACGAATGAGACGAGAGGGAAGATAATACATCGTCGCATGCATGGGTTGGTGATTGCTAAGGGCGAGTTAGTGAACATTCGAGTTTGATAGGGGATGATGAGATAGCGTACCCTGGCCAACTCCAGTGGAATGGTTGAAAGTCAGGATCTGTCGCGAGTTGAATGAACTTCTCCATGAATCCATGGCAATGACGAAGAGCACTATAATCGTTAGATTTTTGTATCTTTATAAATTCTGATATCAATTACTCACCTTTGTCGAGCTACCGGCCATATTCGACTGCGAGCGTTCTTGAGAAATGGTTGATATGCGACACAAAAAGCCTAAAATTCCAAAGTTAGAGGGAAGGATCTTGATGTTTCCTGTTACTGGAAAGCGAACCTTGTCGATGTACAGCAAAAGGATAATTTTGGCCCATTTATGAAAGGATAAGAGCACAGGAGAGTGGTATTGTTCGCGACACCCATTCAATCCTTCACCTGGAAGTTCTGACTCGGTAGAATGAGGTTCTGTTGGAGACTTGGATATCGACAAAGCTCGATCAGACAACACGGATGCACTATCAGTCATCATTCCCTCAGGAATCCTGCTGGCTATTGCGTTTAGTTTAAGCTGGAGATCGAGAAGAATGGCTCGCAGCTCTTCCATATCTAAGCGGGTAACAGGCTTTGTTCCCAATTGGATTTTTAATATTCGACGAACGGCGCCTGGTGTGTTCGAGTTAGATGGATAAATTCTCGGCTGTAGACTGTAGAGAACTCACGAGCCATGATGTATTTGCCTTTGGCAGCGAGATAGAATACATTCACCATCGATGGGCCTCCGCAAACAGATGGGTCATCAGGGTTATCCGGAAGTTGCTGGTTAGTTGCAAGTAGCTGCTCATAATGATCGGCAGCCGGGGTTCCAAGAAGCGTGTCTTTGATCTCACTGATTTCTTGCACATCCCAATAATCCTCGCCACTTATCAACGGAGGAAGTCCGCTTGACATAGCGACTACACCATCCATGTGCAGGATATGCCACCATAAACGACGCCTGCACTCTGCCTCACATGGTTCAATACCAAATTTGGCTGGGTCCCGATGAAGGCCCATTGACTGTGCCACTCTCATAGCAAGAGAGACGAAAAGACTACTAGCCAATGGTTCTTCCTCCTTCGCAAGGATAGTTTGAACAATGAGATAGGCTGACAGCCCTTGCAGCGAGGGGCTTCGAGGAAAGGAAATCTTTTTCAACCACCGAGTCACTTCTTCGTTATAGACTGTGGATAATGGACATCGTGAGATTGCATTGAATTCGGTATTTATAGTTCGAATTGAAATCGTGACGGATCCACCATACCATATGGCGTAGAGAAGGGGTATAAATGAAGGGTTTGGACACGGCTCTCCGGAGTAGCTACTAAAGTCATACCAGTTCCAAAAGGCATTATAAAATTTGAGAATGGTTGGTGGGTGAATAACAGGACTGATCGCATGAATACCAGACATGAAACCTTTGTAAAGAATGTGGCTCTGGCGCCTCGTGGGGACATTTTCGAGCATCTCAGGCTCCACCACCTTCTCATTCAATGACGGAGAATCTCCAAATGGAGATAGTATTGATTGGTGAAGATTTCCACCGCTGGATTGAGAGCTAGTCGAGCGTGAAGCATTGTGGATGGAATTATCTCTCGCTTGGCGACCTTTCATGCTGGAGTTGTTAGAACCTTGGGTGTTCTCGGTCAACAATACATCGGGTGACCGATTCTGATCTCGTAACAACTGATTGAGATCGTTGATCTGTGTACCTTTGGTTAAAGGATTATATCATACTATAAAATGAAGACTGCGACATACCTCATGAGAGATATAAGCCCAGTATGTTGTTCCGACGTATCTGGTCTTGGTCAGATATCTTCTCCAGATCCGTTTTTCCATGATTCAGTATTTACCGTGACCTTCCGCCATCTTCCAGACTCAAATGGCCCAAATTTAAACTCCCAATAGGGTCGACAAGATCGTTCGCTGGGCCCGAAGGGATAGGGAATTCGTCTCCGCTTGACTCTGCTGCAGCGCGACGTGAACTGGCTGACTGAGACGGGGATCTCTCGTTTTGTGCCTTTCTATGTCGCAGTTCCTCTAATAGAGACGATTCAATCGTTCCTTCTGTGGCTTCAGCGCGCTTCTCGGCTGCTTCCAAGGTCTGCGGGTTTCCACTGAGGGTTTCGATCATCGACCTCAGTTTATCCAATCGATTTTTGATGGCGCGAGGATCCGACTTCTGGGTTGGGGATGATTCTGCTTGTCGCAAATGTCCATAGATTGATTGCAATTCTTCTATATCCCCTTCATTCACCAATTCCTCTTCATCTCCTCGTGGGTTCTCCCGTCTTCTTTTTACGCCTTGTGCGATTCGGGTGGAACTATCCCGCTCCTCGCGCTTTTGCGACGACAGGTCGTAGATGCATTCGCCTCCGGTCTTGGAACAATTTCCGCATATTGGATGAATCTACAAATAACGTTGATAAGTAAGCGACGCGAAATTCAAGCCTATGGTATGACATACCTTATCGCATTTTACTTTCCTTCGTCGACAGGTGTGGCAGCTGTAGCTTGCGCGATTCCTAGTGATTTGACGAACTCCTGCTAGCGGTGCACGTGCCGATGACGAATAGCGCTCAGAGGAGGACATATCCGGAGGTTAGACTACGGTCCACCCCTGAACAACGGAGTTGAATGGCGACGACACAAGTCGATGGCGAATTGCGGGGAATCACTCCATTGCCGTCAATGAGCCAATGACCGCATCGATATTAAGTCTTGTTGCCTGAACAATCAGGCATAAATTCGGCATCTACATCATCTCACTTTTCTTGATATTTTACTCCATTACAATCGCTAAAACAACGAAACAAGCCTGAGGAAAAGGATCAAACTTGAAACTTAGAACTCTGGAATCGGAGGCTAAAACTTGGAAGCTTGATAATATCTCATTTGACAACATTGTTGGAGCTTTCGAATGTTGGAGCTATATATTACCAGAAGCCTACATACTCAAGTCGGGACTTGAAATTTCCTCCAATCTTGGAAGGTTTTCAAGGCTCAAAGTCCACCTAAGTAGATTTTGGAAGTCTTTATCTAGTAAGTAATCATAAACACCTGGACAAACATGCCGGCAGCTGCAATCTTCTCACTAACTGACTTTTTAAATGAGCCATTGCTAAGTTTTTTGGTTGGAACAGCTGCTCCATGCATCTCACTCCCACTACGGTAACATGATCCCAAGGTACCGGCTGGAAGATCGAAGAGCGCATATCCTTCATGATGCTTGCTGACTTGAACAAAGTAGTTGGCCCAGCACCTGCGAACAGATCCACCCACTCACCTGGATCCCATGTGCTGACTGAAATTTTGAGTAAAGTCATCGTAGATAATATTTGGCCCATATTTCTCCAGGTGATAGTCATATACACCAGTCAGTTGGCTTGAGCCCTTGTTGAGCCACCAGTACCTTGTGCAGAAATCAATATAACGTCGATCATTGAGATAAAGCGTTCGATTTGTTAATTATCCCTCGGTAGTGGCCAGGACAACATATTCCAAATCGTTACTCACTCTCGGATCCACTAAAACCAGACTCAATCGGGTCTAACTCAAAAGCATGATTATTGAATAGCGCTTGCAAGTCCACCGGAATGGGTGGATTTGTGCCTGTCAGGGACGGGAACTCGTTCTGTGGCTTGAACATTACAGCATTGCACACAGATGCAGACACAAGCGCATAGAGAAGATTTTTGAGAATCGCCATCGTTGAAGATACGTCAGTAGCTTTAAGAGCTATATTGCTTAGAAAATCAAAAGTCTCGGGGGTATTTATACCACTGATACTAAACTTTGCCCTAACTATGCTATCAGTTCGGAGTACCTCAGAGATAGTAACGATACCATCTCCCCGTAGATACTGAAGGCACTAGTTTAGTGCTGTAGCATTGGACCTACGATCGGGTATTTTAATACCCTGATTTTCGATCGGAAATAGTATCTTTTATTGGTAAGAAGATAACCCGATCGGTGGCAGCCGACTATATCAGTTTTGCCATAACCAGCGATCTGGAGAATTCTGCCAGAGCAATCAACTCATAAGGAAATTAAAGGATTTGAATAGAAAGAGACGCTATGAATACTGCAATTAAGGTAATTGGACAACCTTGGAACAAAGTCCTTACTTGGACGTCCGAGATGAAGGGCGGATATCTCCCTTAATTTCATCCTCCAGCAGGTACAATGCTTCTTCGTACTTGCGCTGGAGAGGCTTCAGTAACTCCGGTTTAACTTGAACTCGGTCAATGGCAGATAAACGTGTGAGGCGACCGCTCGAGCTGGCTGTAATTTCTCTGGAGAACCAAAATCCTTCGCGATGGGCGACTAGAGTCCAGGCCGAACCCTCACGGTTTGCACGGGCAGTTCTTCCAACACGATGCACGTAAGTCGTCACACTAGTGGGAATGTCGTAGTTCACAACGTGAGTCAATGAAGGCAGATCAAGACCACGGGAGGCACGATCCGTGGCAACAATAATGGTGATACGACCTTGTCGGAAGGCCGCTAAGGTCTTGCGTGATGAGGAAGACTTGTTAGATTTGATAATTCTTCCCATACGAGAGGCGAGGGCTGGGTTTAGAAGAGTAATAAGGCGGCAAAGTCGAGATGCAGATTCGGAGGATTTGGTGAAAATCAAAACCGTTTTACCACTTTGTGGCTTGCTAACAGAGTCGGAATCTGAGTCTTCGGAGTCGCTGGATTCGTCCTTAGAAGAGTCACTAATATCGAGCTCAGAGTCCGAGTCAGAGTCCGAATCAGAGTCTGAAGACTCATCTGAACTAGTGCTGTCTGAGTCGGAAGTATCGGCGACCGCTGCAGATTGCGGAACCTGGGCAGTCGTATCGATCTTGATAAGTGATACCAACAGGTGAAGCAAAAACAATGGCTTGTTGAAGCCATCCCCAACGGGAATCATATGCTCATATAAAGTCGGCGGCAGTGTGAAATGATCGTCAGTGTGAGTGGCCATAGGATCCTCCGGGTCCGTGACATTTTCACCCCCGACAATGACCATTTTGGGATTTTCCAAACGCAGTGAGTTCAGTTTCGAGATATCACGAGTCATGGTCGCACTAAGAATTACCTTTCTTGGAGGGATAGACTCGATTGACATTCCAAGCCTGGACAGAAGCTTGCCACCTTGCCCAAAACTTTCCGGAGCTTTTTGTTCATCCAACGAACCTGTTATCACCTCAACCCATTCTTGGAAACTTTCATTCAGGAGACGATCGGCCTCATCGATCACAAGCCACTCTAGGTGCTTGAGAGTGAAACCCTTGGTGTAGCGAATGTGATCGACCAATCTTCCAGGGGTGCATATGAGAATATCCACGTTGATCTCGGGCTGCTGAATATAGCCAGGAAGGAATCCATTTGACTCCGTTGCTTGTCGCACACAGTCTTCTAGGCTGAAGTCCATCCAGTCATTTCCTTGCAACCCGATCTGTTGTCGTTTTGTGGTCAAAGGGCTGTAAACCTGATCCATTCTCATCAAGAGCTTTTGTTCCTCTTTTATGGCCACATTTCCGACAGCACCTCCAATATGAAGACCAGAGCCCTTAGCGCAGAGCTCGCAAGCTTCACGTGCCTGCTTCACCAACTCTCGCGTAGGAACCACAATTAATGCTCTCAGTCTCGATGCAGGTCTCGGTTCCAAGGATGAGACCATAGGGAGTACGTAAGAGAGGGTTTTACCGGATCCGGTAGCAGCAGAGACGCAAATATCACCTGGGTGGTTGTTTTTGCCATTCAAAAGGAGAGGAATCACAGTAGACTGAACGGCGAATGCCTCAGTGTATCCGCTTTTCTGGAGAGTGCGCAATAGATCAGGTTTTATGCCCAGGGTATCAAACTTGGCTCGCTTGGTGGCTGGTTCTCGCAGGGGATTGGCCAACCAGGAAGGCAAGGATGAGTACGTCGGTGCCTGTTCAAGTTCTGGGGGGTTCTCTGGCTGTGGCAATGGTTCAAGGCCCTTGGCAAATACAGGCTCGACGATCACTTGAGGTGACTCGTCCATACTGGGCTTCTTCTTTTTTGACTTCGTGCTGGCTGCGACTTTAGTGCGCTCAAACTTGGAAAGAATTGAGGCATGTTTGTGTTTGGTGGCTGGATGGTCCTGCTCGCTGGATTCTTCCGCATCTTTTATAACTGGAGAATTTTCATTCTTTTTATGCAACTTATCAGATCTCTTTCGCTTGCCATCTTTCGACTTATTTCCCGCTGAATTATCGAGGTCGAGTGAATCTGAAGCAGGCGTTTTGCTGCACTTTGTCGCGACAGCAAATTTTTCCCTGATTTCTTCCGAATCCTCATCTTGGAGTGCATCCTTGAGACGCATTGGGCTCTTCTTGTGTTTTTCGCTTCGACGATCAGCAGGCGATGCAGCTGAGAGATTTTCGCGTTTCTTGTGTTTTTTGGTCGGGGTTGGGGTGGTAACGTGGATGCCATCATTACCACCGTCTCGCTTCCGCTTATGAGACTTGGATAAGTCTGGCGTTTCAGTCATATTATTTGACCCGATTGCAGATTTGATTTTGACCATTTCATTCGATGATGCGGGTAAGTTCTTCTAAAGATCAAATCCTTTTTTTATCTTTTTGTGCCGGCAGATCTGGAATCTTTGTGACCGCTTTAGTATTCACCGCCCGATGCTTAACGCGATCGCGCTTCTGATAAAAAGGGATGTCAGTCTAATACATGAGCATGGATTGACTGATCAGAGCAATTGTGATCTGCTCACCATGGAAAGGACCTTAACTGTCAAACACTCCTCTTCATCGGACATCCGATAGCTACCATTACTTTACCATGCCGTATAACATTGCGTGAGTACTATACAGCTCTTGATCTATCATCAATAACTGACATAGCCCGATATTGCATAGTATGGTGAGTGACTTTTTCTTCCCCCAGTCAGGTATGTTATCATTTCCAAGTCCAAATTTGGTTTCAGTTACTGACTTGTCCAGGGGGAATTGAAAGTCATATCTACCAGCTATCCTCTGTAGGTCACCATGAATAGCTCTATCTAGTCTCTGGTATTGATGCACATTCTGATAATGATTTTACTTAGAAACTCATTGATCGTGGGCACAAAGTGATTATAATTACCCACGCATACCAAGGTCGGACAGGTGTCCGGTACCTCACCAACGGATTGAAGATCTACCACGTCCCATTCTTCGTCATCTACCGCGAGACTACCTTTCCAACTGTCTTCTCCTTCTTTCCGATATTTCGCAACATTGTCATCCGAGAGCAGATCAAAATTGTCCACGGCCATGCAAGTCTTAGTAGCTTCTGTGCGGAAGCCATTCTTCATGCCCGAACAATGGGGTTGCGAACTGTTTTCACCGACCACTCTCTGTTCGGGTTCGCTGATGCAGCCTCAATTCTCACCAATAAACTCTTAAAATTCACATTGAGCGATGTGGACCATGCAATCTGTGTCAGCCATACTTGGTCAGTAACCAGTCTCCACATTTTTATGAGCTCCCTACCAACTAAATGAATAGCAAGGAGAATACTGTTCTTCGAGCCTCGCTAGATCCACTCATGGTATCGGTCATCCCCAATGCTGTCGTTGCAGAGAACTTCCGCCCGCTTTCATACACTGATCGTGCCTCGGATCAAACACCTATCTCACCTACGGATCGACGGCCTTCTCCTGGACCAATTGGGCCTGACGACCCTATAACCATCGTGGTCATCTCCCGGCTTTTCTACAACAAGGGCACGGACCTTCTTATTGCGGCTATACCACGGATCCTCGCTCTCAACCCCAATACTCGGTTCATCATCGCAGGCTCAGGACCTAAGGCAATTGACCTGGAGCAGATGCTGGAACGCAATGTGCTTCAAGATAAGGTCGAGATGCTTGGCTCCGTTCGGCATGAGGAAGTTCGCGATGTGATGGTGCGCGGCGATATCTATCTCCATCCCAGTCTGACAGAGGCATTTGGTACCGTAATTGTCGAGGCGGCTAGCTGCGGGCTGTACGTGGTTTGTACACGAGTCGGGGGTATCCCTGAAGTACTACCCCAGCATATGACGACATTTGCGAAACCAGAGGAGGATGACTTGGTTGTCGCCACAAGCAAGGCTATTGCCGCCCTGCGCTCGAACAAAGTGCGCACCGACCGATTCCATGATCAGGTTAAGATGATGTATTCTTGGCGGGACGTGGCTGAACGCACTGAACGAGTCTACCAAGGCATCACGGGCGATATCAGCCCCGAAGAATTCTATGGCTTCTACCCTGGCCAAGGTTGGGAAGCTAGCGGAGATCGAGTGCGCAGCTTTGCTCTCATTGATCGCCTGAAACGGTACTATGGCTGTGGTGTGTGGGCGGGCAAGCTCTTTTGCTTATGTGTGGTAATTGACTTCTTGATCTATGTCTTCCTGGAGATGTGGTTCCCCCGTGCAAACATTGACATTGCTCGAAGCTGGCCGAAGAAGCAGCCAGCAGATAAGAAAGCTGCTCGAGGCACTCGATGAGAACTAATAACACGATCTAATAATCTATAATGGTCTCCGTGATGACATGTACATATCTTCTGTATTCTTCATACCCATCAGCAATGAATGTTTTTTTTCTCTCTCTCTCTTCCTCTTCCAACGAAGGTTTTCTGTTTTCATTTTGTGACATTTTTCGTCAGTCATGGATGAGATCGGAATTATAGAACTTAAGACCGGATATAGAATGTAGGGCTTAGGGTTCGGCCTGTTCAAGCCCGTTAATTTTTATTTTTATTTCAGGTCAAAGCAAGGTTCAAATTTGTATTCATTCAATTATCTATAATTCAGTTACCTAGATGAATCGACGATTCTGTTTGGCTAATATTGAAGTCCCTTAGTGGACATGGACATGAAGTACCACGGTTCCTTGATGTAATAACCATCATACGAGATTCCCCACTTCGGCTTTTCATCTTAAGTGCTTGGTAATCTGAGGGGAAAACTCAGATCATTCCGATGTGTGTCACAAATTAATCTACAGATTTCCAGGGCTGCCAATTGAATGATTTCTAGCCAAAGAGAGTGAAGAACCTCAGACTTCAGACCTCAGACCTGGGTCGATCTTCCCCGCATATATAACAAGAATGGGTTAATCCTCCGGTTCCTTCGCATTGGAAATGGAAACTGACACAGTTATCGTCGGTGAGTTCTAAATTCTCGGGTGAATCGCATCGTGGATCTAGGCTGATTCACTCAGGTAATGGGCCCTCGGCCTTGATTCTCTCATATATCCTTCATGGCTATCTTCCTTATTATTTGCCAAATCCTCCACATCCAGATCCTTTGCTACATGCCAAACTACTGGACGCACCGGATCTCTTGCATCACAATGTAGATTCTTTAACTGCGCATTTTGCGGCTTCGCGACTGTCATATTCAACACAGGCGCTGCCTGTCAATGTTCTGCTGGATACGCTAATGTGTCCAAGCCTCGACATTGACGAGTCCGGTACTACTTCTAATCTCGAGTGGCGTCATGTTCCTGAAAAGGCCATTCCTCACCTTGTCTTCGGAAAGGCGCCATATCCAGGAGGTCAGTGGACAGAAGATCCATGTGGCGCAAGTTGGGATATTCAGACATTGAGCTATGCGGCAATGCTATCCTTGCCCGGATACTCTTTTGCAGATCATCACCGAAAGTTGTTAGGGCAGGATCTACCGTCTTTCACACGCCCAACAAGACGTGCAATCGCCGAGTATTATCGTGCTTATCCGACAGCAGTCGGCATTGATGATGGCCTTCGGAATGGAGAAGAGTTGAATGGAATCTCCCGTACCAGTAACGGATTCTACATTAAGTCTCACAATCTTCATTGTAAGCGCCTAGTTTTGGCCAGTGGAATATTCTCCGAAGTTCTTCCCCCGGGGCCCATCTTACAACCTTTACTGCAAACAAAATCTACACCCGCCGTCCCCATGCTCGTCATTGGCTCCGGCTTCTCTGCTGCGGATGCCATCATCTCCGCTACGCCGGACCAGAAAATAATTCATGTATTCAAGTGGGCTCCCAAGGATCGTCCGTCTCCGCTCCGAAGCTGTCACCAACAGGCCTATCCAGAATATGCTGGTGTATACCGACTCATGAAAAAAGCTGCGCTAAGTGCGGGAAGTGCCACAGGGAAATTGCAGTCCAAAACCCGCCGAGGCTCATCAACTGCTTTTTTAGAAAGCCGAAATTGGGAAGATCAATATGAAGGCTTTGCCAACGTGGAAATTACAGCTGTTAATGTCCAAGGTGATCTTGCGCAGGTCACATTCCGCTCAGATGATGGATCCACGTTATTCCGGTCGGTTCAGGGTCTTGTATATGTTGCTGGTAGGCGCGGTACCCTGGGCTTCTTGGACCCTGAACTTCGCTCCGAAGTCTTAGGAAGTGATGGAAGTGAAGGCCGGGAAGAAATTGCAATTACTGGTCAAACTCTTCGAGCGAAAGCCATAGAAGACGTGGAGTTGGCCCCAGAGGTGTATATCATCGGCAGTCTCACAGGTGACTCGCTGGTTCGATTTGCATACGGAGGCTGCGTCTCTACCGCAGGCCATTTGATTAGCCAAGATGGAGGACGTGAGTCGCATAGTATCAGCAGCAGTGCCATGTCGACCCGACCCCAGTCCTCATCTCTAGTTGCGATGAATGGATTGGACGGCCATCACGTCTTTCCCAGTGATATTCCTGATATAACACGCGAAGATACATTAAGCAAAATCTCTACGCGAACGGCTTTGGAAAGCCGGTGGAAGACACTCATACGCATGTGTAAAGACTTGGTATCGACTTCAAGTTCATAGCGTTTATTTTGTAGATGCCATTCTTATGCGTATATAACAATATCATTATGTAGAAAATATATGAAGATTATAATACTCAAATTGATGCCTCGTCAGGGATTTCTAAATTTCGCAGTGCCGTCGCTCGCGGTTTTGAGAACTTCCTGGATCTCAAATTTCTCTAGCATGAGGAACTCGACCGTGAGTTCCTCGATAGTTGTGCCCTGGAGTTTTATAACTATTATGGTATTGCCTTGAGTATTGCCAATAATCGCCATGATGATCACTCCTACTATTAGTTATGGAGTCTTTAAAGTAGTGTGCAAACATTGTTGGGCCAATGGACCGCTATCATTATGTTTCGCAGCAAAAAATCAACTCGGCCATTCAGATCTTTCATCGATAGATTGGTGAATGACTGGTGACTGGTTTTGAGATGGATGATTAGGCTAATGGAAAGGTAAAGCAATGAATTGCTGCATCCGGGGTTTTCGGATATCGAGGTATTAGTCTATCTATCAAGATGCCATTGAGCCACTGAGGAAATAAATCTATACACAGTCTAAACTTCCTGCTCTTTCAATAACTCTGAAACAGTAACGACTTTATATCCTCTGCGCTTCATCTCAGGCAACACAACCCGCAGCATCGGCACTGTCCACTCTCTGCGATCGTGGCATATTATGATACTGCCTGGACGAACCATACTCAGGATATGTCTCACATTTAGCCTTGAAAAGGGCACTTGGGGATCATGTGGATAGACATCGCCTAGGACTATTCGGTATCCCAATCTCTTAACCAGGCTTCGCATGCGAGTACTGAAAAATCCCGACCCAGGTCGAAAGAACCAGTTACTGGGCCCCTCATCGATCCTAGCTGCGTTATAAGCTTGCTTGATCATAGACTGAACTGCCAAAATTTGCTCTTCGAGCGCTGCATCGGACAACGTTCGTGAAGGTTCATCGTTGAGTGCATGATTAGCTAGTTCGTTCTGAGAACGCACTAACTCGACTAGCACTTCTTCATGATCTAAAACCTGGGAACCAATAACAAAAAATGTGGCTGTTGCATCGTGGGTTTTCAGGAGGTCAAGTATGGCTTTGGTATGAATTGAAGGGACGTCGTCTATAGTCAGAGCGACGACCTTTCGGGCGATAGGATGGCGGAACAGAACGTCTGGCCAACGTCGCTGGGAGAAAGTGATGAGGAAGTTGGGAGGTTTATAGATAAAATAGAATGGGAAAAAGAGACAAAAGGTGGTCAGAAGTCCTAATAACATGGTCTTGTTGACCCTAAGTATAAACAAGAATTGAGGGGGCTGAAGTGATTTTTACAGGTACTGCAGGGACCCACTAGCCCAACTAGGTACGGACGTTTGTTTTAATACTGAAAGATGGATTTAACTGCAATATTATGGGATTGATTGCATCAATTGATGTGATGTGTTGAATTGAATGGACCTTGTTCTTGGTATTATATATCGTCATACTTCGAGACTCCATATCCTAGCCCATAATCTGCAGCAGATCCTCCGGTGGCCACCGAACTTGCGCAAAACTCAGGCACCGCTTGATACTCTGTAGGTATTTGCGAGTCAGTTCATCACTTAAAATATGTGCTTTTTGCTCGCTTTGATTCAACTTTTCACGTGCGCTTCGAGCGTGGATTCCTATTATCGGGTTAGAATGAGATGATAGACTGGAAATGATAGAGATCAACATACCAACTTGCGTAACACCGATGGGCCACGCACTAAAGAGACGGGTTAGAATAATAGGATTTAAGAGAGGAAGATCATAACTTACGCTTTTCCAATGCTAACCCTGAGATAGGCATCATTAGCATCGACGTATCTCCGTTGCTGCGCCTTGTGCACAATCTCGACAATAGGTTCCAGCAGCCCTTTCTCCAAGTCTCCTTGCTCAAATCGACGGAACAAGGGTTTCATGCTTTCGCGGGATTGTACAAGGGCATTGTGTGCTTGTTTTCCCTGGAAGCTCTGACGGACCGACAGATCACGCTTCGCCAATGCAAGCTCCCACTCTGAGAGAACCATGTTGAAATACGAACCCAGCTGGCGAAATAAAAATAGTTGACCTTCTTTCTCGTCTGGGATCTTGGCCGGAATAATCATCTCTCCGCCAGAAACAGGTTCTAAGATGGTCGGGATAGGTCCATCGGTCGTCTTTTTCAACGTGGCAGCGCGCAGGACTAGACGACGATATCTCCGGAGCCGGGAGCGATGATTCTCTCCAAATAGTCGCGTAGGTTCGTCGAGCTCCCGTAGCCTCTCGAAAAGCTCATCCTCCTCGATATCCTCCTCAGCAGCATCGGTGGCTGCATTATCGCCCACGTCCTCGCTCTTTTCGGGGAGATCAGGGAGACCTAGTCTCCTTCGTCGGGCACGTTCCTCTCTCTCTTCCTCCTCCTCCCTTCGTTTCCTCGACGCTTCGGCGAATTTCTGTTTTTTCATCTCTTGTTGCAGCCGGTGTTCTGTGGTTTCGTCCTCAAGCTTGCGTTTATTTGCTAGACGTTCCTCGCGTTCTTGTTGTAATCGATCTTGCTCCTCTTGATATGCGGCAACCCTTGCAGCCTCGACTTCACCTCGGCGCATGTACTTCTTCGCGGGAGCCTTTGTGTCCTTCTGTGCGTCGGATGACTTGGAAGTGTCGCCCTTGGCCTTGGAAATCTCCTTGCTCATTAGAGCTGCAAAATCCATAGTGGCGGTGGCTACTGTATTTAAGTGATACTGTGAAATTTCGGGTTGGATCGCGATGGTGAGCGCTTTAAGTGCAGCTAAGAAATGTGTTGATTAAAAGCATGCGGGGGTGTAATTGGTTGGAATTCACCAAGTCTTTTTTAAACTGGCAGAATGTTACATCTTGCTGGGACAGACTGAAGTTTGAATATTCGAAGGATGTTATTGATTTGAAGATAGCGACAGGTTCACTGTATCAAGTAGTAGTTTCTAAGTCTTTTTATTAGCATTTTGTCACTTGATCATCATATTACCTACTAGATTATCTGTAAAGACTATACTTGGTGTTATACCAGTAGGCGGTGTGTCCTGGCGGTGAGCCATTTGCATCGAGGAGCTTCGTGAATGTCGTAGCTCCCATTTATTTCAGTTTTCACATGAATCTGCTTCCCTCGTTATTTTCGCTTAATTACCTGAAAAATACCAGCCTTTTCAAACTGGCCATCTTAATCATCTAATAACGCCCGAAATTGCACTTTGCGTTAACTCGGCGCGACATTACGCGACAGCGCTTTGCAGCCATGTCTACTCCCCCGCGAGGAGGTCAAAAGGCTTCAATTAATCGCCAGGAGACAACGCCGTTCCATTTGAAATTGTTTTACCGTGTCGACAATTTTCACAATCTATCTGATTTCACCCCTTCTCCGTCAAGAAACCATGGTGGACTAGTCAGTGGATCGAATGCGATCCAAAATTCATCTGCTCCTCTTCCTCCGCATCTCGAGATCTACACATGGCACTCGTGCACACTGACCGAACTTTCACACCTTCTTACCTCAACCCTACCCAAATTACTTCCTGACACTCCTATCGGCACCCGCCTTTGCTTTCGCCTGCTTTACCCCGATGCGCGCAGTGCAGCAATTAATGGACCCGATGCAGTCAGCCGCTTCTTGAGCAAGGATCTAGGCAGTGTTATCGTTGCGCCTAAGGAGAGCCCGTACCGAGATGAGAAAGAGGCGGACCGGGATGAAGGGTTGCAGTCTCGCGCAGTCCCGCTGCGATTTCAAGGCTCAGATGCTGATAAAGAGCTGCAAGACGCTCGCTTTATTATTGGTGACTACATAGAATGTGCTATTCTACCTCCACTGGAGGATGGTTCGATTGCGCCTCCGCTACGTGGTTCATCTGGTCCCTCTGGTCCCCCGACCGGCATGCGCGCGTTCAGAGACAATGGCTATGGACGGTCTGATCGTGGGGGACCTCGCGATCATGGAGGACCCCGTAATCGCGGTGGTGACCGTGGTGGTCGCGACTTTCCACAGGGTGATTGGAGCAGAGGAGAGAGGTTGCCTTATGGAGGACGCGACAGAGGTGGAGGCCGCCGTGGGTATGCCCCATATTAAGATAAAGATCTCTGAGATTGGCGGGCTCTGCTTTCAAATAACCTGCAAACGGGGTCTTGGATACAAAGCTAGCTCTGTACTTCTGCGGATTGAAGAAAGCTTGGATTCAGTGAACAATCAACCTAGAGCAAAATCATTATGTTCTATCATGCAGTTTCTTAACGTAGACATGAAGATAGAGGAAAGAGACAGAAGAAAATCCATGCTGTATATGCTTGCAGTAAGATACATAGTCCAGCCGTAGCGGACCCTGCAGAAAAAGAAAAGTGGTTTGTCGGAATCTCCTAATACCAGGCGCATGTGGCCACCTTGGTCGGCGACAGCATCCAGCAAAATCAAATCATCACGCACCCAAAATCTACCACTCAGAGATGGTATCTTGTTTGCGTTTGCCGCGCAAGTCGTACTTGCCCTGTATATTGTCAGCGGGGATTCTGTAACCAGGGGTATCCGTCATGAACGGGGAAGGGCAGTGCGGGTGGGCGAGATACATACGTCAGTATTGAGGGCAATGTAGGTCAGAATGCCGGGAATCACGCCGACGAAGACCAGGTTGACGAGGGCATGGCGTGAGTTCCACTTGAAGTACTTGTAGCGGTTGGCGTTGAGCTCTGTTTAATCGGTCAGCGACTAATTCGGAGATGGTCGGATATGAGCGGCATGAAGAGATTGCAGCAGAAAGGTGTTCAGCGATTGATCGTTCCACATTAAGTGTCGACGACATTTGGTATACGGAGCGGGAGAATCGAAAAGCATGGATTTGAGGAGGATGTACCATAGTATTTCTGGAGAGCCGGGTCAAGGATCAGGGCTATGTAATTGATCAGTGACGGCAAAATTGAGTGTCAAAGGCCGGCTACTTACACTTGTTAGGGCCTGCCATTGTTGCGATTGATCTTGAGGTTTAAGCAAGAGCCGCTTCAGTGACGAACGGAAGTTGAGGTTCAATGTCACATGACTATGTATTCGATATATCACGTGATATATTTCAAAAATTCCTTCGATTTGGAGGGTGACTGCTGCTGAATTGGGTTTTGATTTGGATCTTCACTTGTTTTTTTTTCTAATCTAGCTCTTAATATCGGGCTGCAGTAACCATTTTGTCTTTGGGAGTCATATTTGTGAAGTCATTATAAGCCCTCAGCTTATAATAGCCCCACCAATCATCGTGATTATATTACGTGCTGCAAGCATAAGTATCCTTGAGCGGACATAAAGCCGACAGATATAAGTATATCACTTTGACTGAACACAATGGACAGTTGTCAGTACTTTCATTATTTCACCTCCAAGTTCTAAGGTTGTTTCGTAAATCATCAATCATATGAAATACAGCTTGACAGCATCAGTTAGGAACTTGGATGAAAAGGATATATTACATAGAGGCCGAGAATGTTCCCTCAACTTGCTCAACTTTCGCCACGGCCTTCTTGTAGCCGTCAGCAGTCTGCAAGCGTTCAGCGTATGCTGCCAGGAGAGGATATTTCGCCTTCTCCTCTCCCTTCAACAATCGTCGACTGATCGCGATTATAGGAAAACTCAACAAGATGTCGGCAGCTGTGAGTTCCTTTCCGCAGATGAAGGGACCGCCTTCAGGAGCAGTCTTCAGTCTCTCCTCGAGGAAAGCTAAATTACCTTGAATATTGCGATTCAAGAAGGATGCTTCTATCTGGGAGGCCACAAAGCCAGTGAGAGGTCGAACAAAGAAGGGAGGAGAGTTACGCAATGCTGTAGGGGTTGTTAACTCGAAATTCCAGAACGCTCTATAAATCTTGGGATAAACTCTTACAGTCATTGACCACTTTCATGACCATAAAGGGCATCAGCGAGCCTTCTACGTAGTGCATGAAATAGCGGAAGCGCATCCACTCCTCACGTTCCCCGCCAACCTGGCCCTCACGACCAGCCACATAGCGCTCCGGTATCAGTGTCTTGTTCGTGCCGAAGTGATCACAAAGATACTCGATAATTGCACCGGACTCGGCGAGAACCATTGGCTCTGAGGATCCCGGAGCCTCAATAGTGATCAAGGGTGATTTGCCCAAAGGGTGAACGTTCTTAAGTTCTGATGGGGCAAGTTTGTCGGCTCGGCGTTTGAAGGTCTTCAGCTCATATTCTAGCTGGAGCTCTTCGAGCAGCCAAAGAATGCTTTGGCTTCGAGATTGCTCGAGCCTATATATGTGGTCAGTTGTGTTTGAAATTATCTAGGAAGATGCATACCAATAAAGGGTGATTTTGCAGCCTTGATTGTTTGCCATATTTGAGATTAGTAGAGATGGTAAAGAAAAAGAGAGAAGTTGGCAATGGGGATGACGGATGATGTCAAGCCTCCACATTTATTAGTCTTGATCTCCACATTCTCCACATCGTTTGATCTGATTTTCAATACTGGTCAGATACGCAATGTAAATCTTGTATCTAAGATGTACTCCTGCAGACTTCACCAGATGCGGGGAAATGACCGTTTGCAGCCGTCATCACTGTGCGACGACAGTCAGACTCCATCCTCACTTCCAACGCTCATACCACGACTATCAATCAATAATCACTTGATAATATGAAACTAGCAGTCTTCAGCGCGAAATCGTACGATCGCACTTACTTGGACAAGGTCCTCAGTGAGAGGTACCCCCAGCTGTGCTCTATCGAATATCACGCCTTCGCCCTTTCTGAAGAGACAGTCCCATTAGCGAAAGGAAGTGATGCTGTGTGCGTCTTCGTAAACGATAAAATTGACGCTTGTGTATTACGTGCCCTTCACGCAAGCGCAGTACGTGCGATTCTTTTGCGCTGCGCAGGCTTCAATCATGTCGACCTGGTCACCGCCAAGAGCTTGAATCTCTTCGTTGCAAATGTGCCCGCCTACTCACCTGAAGCAGTGGCTGAATTCGCAGTCGCTTTGATACAGACCCTGAATCGTAAGACTCATCGTGCCTATAATCGAGTTCGAGAAGGAAATTTCAATATTGAGGGTTTGCTGGGAAACACCTTGCATGGCAAGACTGTTGGCATAGTGGGGGTTGGAAGAATTGGTCTTGCTGCCGCACGTATATTTCATGGGTTCGGATGTCGACTCTTAGCACACGATCCATTCGCTGGTGAGGAGTTTGCCCAGTTTGGTACACTAGTCGACCTGGACACTCTGCTCCAGGAGAGTCATATTGTGACTCTACACTGTCCACTAGTCGAGGGCACTCGGCACTTGATCAATGAATCCACATTGGCACGCATGCGACCGGGTGCTATGCTGGTGAACACCTCACGCGGGGGTTTGATTGACAGTGCCGCTGTCATTGAGGTTCTCAAAACATGTCGTCTGGGTGGTCTGGCATTAGATGTTTACGAAGCTGAGGGGGAACTCTTCTATAACGATCACTCCGGCGAAATCATCGACGATGATGTGCTCATGCGCTTAATGAGCTTCCCCAACGTCTTGCTCAGTGGTCACCAGGGGTTTTTCACGCGAGAGGCTCTCACTGAGATCGCAGATGTGACGCTGGCCAATCTCTCTGCCTTTGTGGACGAGCGTCCTTGCCCTAACTCCTTGATCTCCGAGAGAGATATCGTCGTTCGCAGGGAGACAGCCCCAGTGCGCTTATAATGCCTCTTGGACAGTACATCAGAGAAAATCATTTGAATCATATTCGTCATTAGATCGTCTATATAAGTATTCACATTCAATGAGGGTACAGACTCTCAGTTTGGCAATGCCCGCATAAACTGAAATCGCCTCCGCACAGTCTGCCAAGCTCGAGGCAGGAAACGGTGACCATGTATAATTAAAGGCACAACCGATATTAGCCACATCCCATGAACTATGCTGACTGCCAGCGCGAGACAGAAATATTCCACTGCTGATGAAATGACACCAGACCGGACTCGTGACCTTCGGCCTTGCCCTTGAGACTCCTGGTCGACCTCGGTGAGCGCTTGGGAGATTTTCCAGGATGCTCGGAGGTTAATCTTCTCCCAGGTCATGTTTTTCGCAAATTCGCGTGCGGCTTGAGACAATCCAGTCCGTAATTCTGTATTGCCACTAACTTCACGGACTATACGAGTGAATTGTTCCAGATCTTGTGGAGGCACGAGATATCCAGTGCCCTTCTGAATGATATCGTGGGGTCCGCCCTGATCGCGCGCGATTACTGAAATGCCGCTAGCCATGGCCTCCAAAACAACCAGTCCAAAGGTCTCCGTGATGGAGCAATGAAGGAAGATATCAGCCGAGGCATAAATTCGAGCCAGTGAGTTCCCAGTTTGAAACCCAGTGAAAACAACATGGTCTCGGACGCTATCAAACAGCTCCTTCACTTGGTTCTCCACCTCTGGATTTCGATTCCCGCCGACTATCACTAGCTTGAAGGGCACTTTGGTATTGACCAAATCCACAGCTACTTGGGCGAGAAATTGGAATCCCTTTTCTGGGGCAATGCGACACACGCAGATGAGAATTATCTCACCATCTGGTGCGATTTCCCTGCGATAGTCTTCATCGCGCTTCTCCGGTGTAAAAAGGGTTGTATCTACTCCACGGCCTAGCTGGACCAGGCGATCGACAGGAGCTCCTGCTTCCTCGAGATAGCTGCGAATGTCGGAGCAGGGGTAAAAGATTGTACGCACTGCTCGCGCACGGAATAAGAAGCCCTGTACGACGGCCAGGAGCCAGACGCCGAATTTGTCTAGTGGCGAGGGCAACATGATCTCCGCATATGCAGACAGATCTGTTTGGAAATTCAAAATGACGGGTGGTGGTGATCGTAACTGTCTGATCTGAAGCAGCATTTGAAACCCAAGCGAGGCTGGGCTGGCGAGATAGATGATGTCGGGCTCAAATCCCTGGTACGCATCTCTCAGGTGGAATGGATAGACCACAGTCAAATCCGGGTTATAGGGCAAGGCTACACCTGGGAGCCGACGTTCCCAGGGACTGGGTTTAGAGACGTCGCCCTTGAAAGTGGGCGCGACCAGAAGGAGCTCGACACCATGCGCGCGCAGGTATTCAACAAGACTGCGCGTAGTACGACTGACTCCATTTACAGGGCCCCAGGATTCAGTCGCCAGAAGGACTTTCTTTCCCTGGAGGGAACTTGGAAACTCCTCCTCCTTCCCGGGAGAATGTATAGCAGAGAGTAACGGAGAGGTTTCATCCATGATTGAGTAAACAGAGACAGTGCACGAAAAAAACCATTCACAGGGTAAAAGCTTTCGATCTTTAAATTGCGGCAATACTCAATATTCGATGCACGTGGTATTTTGGCTGAATTAAACGTTGTTGGTTTCCAACCACTCACAACCCACATCGGGAACTCGTGTTTTTCGATGCGCTCAGAATTAACGACCCAGTCCACCACCGAAGATAAGAATCATAACACGCCCTTTTTTTCAGGAATTTGGACGTCGCGTGGTCAGGAGGGGCGTGAAGATCAGCTGTATCATAATTATAATTATAATAATGTATTCATTCCGGCGGTCCTCACATGTGCCGCTTCATTTTCACTTTCCCCTTTTCAACTACTGAGCCCTAAGTCTAATATTCTCATTTCTCTGAGAACTTGTTGTGACCATGTCATACGAGGATAGTTCTATGGATACTTCATCGGACAGTGGTTCTTTTTGCTCCACTAATCCGACTACGCCAAGTTCTAGTCCCCTTTTCCGTCCTTCGGAGATCGAAGATCTGAAGTTGGCCCAACTACCACAATCCACAGCTGCGATCGAGTCCGATCCCACAATCGTGAAGAATCTTTGCGTGGTTGGTGCGGGCTATGTAGGTAAGGGATCGTCGTTGATATACCGAGTGGTTGTGCCAGAGAGACACTGACAAATTCATCGTATAGGTGGTCCCACGGCTGCAGTTTTGGCTCTCTACCACCCTTCTCTCACAGTAGAGGTTTTAGATCGTGATTCAAGTCGCATCAAGCGATGGCAGTCACCGCATCTGCCCGTGCATGAGCCAGAGTTGAATAATGTTGTGCGAGTTGCTCGCGATGGCGCGCATGCCAGCCAAGTAGCTATACAGGGTCCACGCGACCAGAACTTGTTCTTCACCTGTGACAGTAATGCTATATCTCGTGCCGATATCATCTTCATGGCAGTGAACACCCCGACCAAGACTTTCGGCGTTGGTGCTGGTTGTGCGACCAACATGACAGCGTTCGATGGAGCAATGCTCGACGTTGCTAAGCTCGCCAAACCTGGTGCGATTATTGTGGAGAAGAGCACAGTGCCTGGGGGCACAGCGGAGAGAGTTCGGAAAACAGTAGGTGCTGCCTAGTTCCAAATGTAGAATATCGCTGATCAGGGTCTAGCTTGCCACATATCGACCGGGAGTGCCGTTTGAGGTACTCTCCAACCCCGAGTTTCTTGCCGAGGGCTCTGCCATTCAGAATCTCACTGTTCCCGACCGTGTGCTTATCGGATGTGCTCCAACTCCGCAAGGGTACCGAGCAGCCGACGCGCTGGCCAACCTTTATAGAGCGTGGGTCCCTGCATCGCGTATTTTGACAACAAATACATGGTCTTCGGAACTTTCTAAGTTGGTGGCCAATGCTATGCTTGCACAACGCATCAGTAGTATCAACTCTATTAGCGCCATATGTGAAAGGACCGGTGCAGAGGTAGACGAAGTGGCTAAGGCCATCGGTATGGATATGCGCATTGGAAATCAGTTCCTCAAGGCTGGTCTAGGCTTTGGTGGCTCCTGTTTTCGCAAAGATATTGCGAGTTTGGCATATTTGGCCGAATATCTGGGACTAGACGATGTGGCACATTATTGGCGACAAGTGAATGTGATTAATGAGCACCAGCGGGACCGTTTTGCCCGCAAGGTCATCGATCGCTTTGAAGGCAACTTGGTTGGGCGCAAGCTGGCAGTGCTCGGATTTGCCTTCAAGAAAAACACCGGCGATACTCGAGAGTCCTTGGCTGTGGGCGTGATTCAGTCAATGCTGGAGGAGAGACCAGCTGAAATTGCCATTTTTGATCCCTACTGTCACGAAGATGACATCCTAAGAGAGCTAGGGCTTGAATCTGCCTTGGGTGGGACGGTCAAAGTCTATAAAGATCCATACCAAGCTTGTTCAGAGGCACACGCTGTTCTCGTTGTCTCCGATTGTGACCAATTCCGCAATACCCCCGGCACTGTCAGCACATTTGAGACTATTGCTCTGCCGTGCCCTGCTAGTTCTGCCTGTGTCCGACCTGAGCAGGAAATGTGGACACATTCCGGAGTATCTTATGAGCTCAGTCCCCAGAATTGCGCTGAAGATTGCTCTGATTGCCGTATGGTTTTGACTCGGTCGATAGCCACCGACGCCATGGAATGGTCGCGCATCGCGTCGAAATTGTGCGAACCCAAGTGGGTTTTTGATGGGCGAAACATACTCAACTGTGAAAAGTTAGCTAACTTGGGTGTTCGCGTGGACACGGTCGGACGTCGGTCTTAGTTTGATTCTTCGTTCTCACGATACCCTGCGAGTGTTCTTTTTGTGTGTTTTGTTTTGCCATTCATTTCATTAATAATAAAATACCTAGATAATATCTGTAGCCCTTGAATCAATTTATTAATATACGTCGGAACATTGCGACATGCTCAATGCCTTCTTCATCCCAGCAGCCCAATGATTTATCCGTTGTAAATCCTAAGTAGTATTAAGCCGTGTTTTATGGACGAGTCTTTTGTGGATCAAGTTACATACCTAGCCTTTCATACATTTTTTCCACTTCCACTTGCGCGTGGATGAGGACCAGACCCTTCCAGCTAGACACTGGATCGGTCCAGTTCAACTCACTAGCCCACTGAGTCGCTGCCTGGTCGATCTCTGCTGCATGTTCTTGAGCCCATGTAAGCGCGATTTCTACCAATCGGCGCCCTAAGCCTAGACCTCGATATTCCGGCATGACCGCTACACGAGTCAATTTGATACATGGCTCATGGGTCCAATCATAAGACAAGGTCATAGTGTCTGGGTGTGTGAGGAGCTCATGTGGTGGATGTGGAAAGGGAACCAGTCTAATCACAGCAGCTGGGGCTCTTGTGGACTTATTATGTATTACGAAGTGCCAGCTGCGGGCATCGTCGCTGTCAATTTCAGCTTCAGCAGTGCAATTCTGCTCGTCGACAAACACCCGCACTCGCACGATCAAAGCGTCGTTGAATATTTGTGGGTTGGTGGCTGCTTGGTTGGGCAGTACCAGCTCTACACCTGGGCCAGGAGGCGGCTGAATCGCTGTCGAGAAATCGGAAGCCATCTTGGAGTTTCGAGGGGATACTGGAACTTTGGGCTGAGAAGACAACGTCAGATCACGTGATTTCAGGGTGCGTTCTAAATTCCAAAATTTACATTTCTTTTAACCGCGATCTTAGAGCACAAAATATAGTAAATCTGGCTAAACAGCCCAATCAGGGCATTTAGTGTATATATGAGCTTTTTAACTTGCTGCCCATTTTTCGATCTGTTATTTGTTCGCTTCTTCTAAATGACCACTTCTGTCATACAGAAAAATATGATGAACTCCTCGAATTGTCCGATTAATTTTATAATGCTATTAAATCTCTCTTTTTGTAGGCGAAGAGAGTACAAGAGAGTACTTTTATTAGTGTTGATAAGTTGATTTGTGTCGGGATACTCAGGTCGTGAGTATCTACAATAGCTTGCTATTGAACTTCAGCTTACGCCGCAAGTGGTCTACCTATGCGTGTAGTACGTGCGGTAGTTGTAAGTTGTAAGAAGTGGTTGATTATCATGAACCTGCTGCTATGGATATGGTACCTGGAAGTCACATGATAAGCATGTGCCTTCCCACCCGATAAGCGGCGAGTGATCCCATGATAAGCATGAGATGATAGTACCAACAATTTGAATTAGTGAAAGGGTAAAATTAGTTTAAGGCTAATAGTCTTAGTATTGCTGGAGCTGGACGGCCATTGCCTTTTAAGAAGACGAACTTTTAGGAAAGTGTTTGGCTAAGCCACGGCCTGGTTTTGGCCCCTCGAAGCTATACCCTGGCGAGACAAACTGAGCCTTGCTCCTTCTGTTGCGACAGCCGAGAAACAAGGCCATCAACAGACGGAAAGTATTTCGGCCGAAAAAGCTTCTGCCAAGACAGTGACTCTGGAACTGGATTAGTATATCACGGCATCCTTGAACAATATGCATTCATCGCAAACAACACCCTTGAGCGATGCGCATTCGCGACAGTAATGTCCCGTCTTCACCGTCTCTTCTGTCTCGGACGAATGTTGACATTCGTCCAGAGCAGAGGGGCGCCCATATACTATAAGTAGCTAGTTCTTTCATCAATGAAAAAGCAGACTTCACAACAACCACAATATTCAGTACTATAGAGACCACTACACTTGGTGGTTTGTCTACGGTGTTGAGTAGTGGTTTGTTGAAGCTCACCAACTCCTTTCTACTGCAGTAAACTCCAATTCCCTTTTACTGCAGTAAGAACTCGAGCACCGTTCTCAGTAACGAGCGACTAGCTAGCTACGCTCGCTAAGCGAGCGACACCTTCCTCGAGTATTTATTCAGCTGACAGTAAACTTGTCTTTCACAACTCATGACTTTGTTAAAGGAATGAAGGACAAGTGAGGATAATGTTATCAAGAACTTTAATGGACGCTGAAATCTATGCCAAATATGAAAATGGGGAATGTTTGAATCAAACCTTAGGTAGGACATTTATAGAGATTAGAAAGCTTTAGGGAGCCATCTAGGTAGGTAATTTGTTAAGATGCCTTGGTAATTGGTAGCTTCAAAGAAAAATTTGTACCTTTGACGCTCTAATGTTCATCCTGAAGAACAGAAGATAATGACTTTGAGAGGCGAGAGATAGCCATAAAATAGAGCTAAATTATCCAGGTGTCTTGCTTCAAGGTAAAGGGGCACACCTAACAGTTGAGTGGAACGGACATAGCTGAGTATTATGTTATCATTACAGTGAGGCTGAAAATCATCAAATAAAAATGCCCGTATGCTGACTAGATATTCAAGATACTTCCAATTTCCCGTCCTCGATATCGGTCGATGTAGCACCGGAATCAAGAAGCAACTTCACCACTTCTGAATGGCTGTTCGCTAATGCCCATGAAAGCGGAGTTCGTTGAAATTCATCCTTTGAATTAACGTCGACATCGGTTCCAAGAAGTAACTTCACTACTTTCGAATGGCCGTTCTCTGATGCCAATGAAAGTGGAGTCCGTTGAAATTCATCCTCTGAATTAACGTCGACATCAGTTCCAAGAAGCAACTTCACCACTTCCGAATGGCCATTCTTTGATGCCCATGAAAGTGGAGTCTGTTGATATCTATCCCCTGAATTAACGTTGACATCGGTTCCAAGAAGTAACTCAACCACTTTCAAACGGCCGTTCTCTGATGCCCATGAAAGTGGAGTCCGTTGAAATTCATCCTCTGAATTAACGTCGATATTGGTTCTAAGAAGTAACTTCACCACTTCTGAATGGCCGTTTTCTGATGCCCATGAAAGTGGAGTCTGTTGATATCTATCCCCTGAATTAACGTTGACATCGGTTCCAAGAAGCAACTTCACCACTTCCGAATGGCCATGCTCTGATGCCAATGAAAGTGGAGTCTGTTGATATTTATCCTCTGAATTAACGTCGGCATCGGCTCCAAGAAGCAACTTCACTACTTCCGAATGGCCGTTCTTTGATGCCAATGAAAGTGGAGTCTGTTGATAATTATCCTTTGAATTAACGTCGACATCGGTTCCAAGAAGTAGCTTCACCACTTTCGTATGGCCGTTATACGATGCCCATGATAAAGGAGTCCGTTGATATCTAGTTTTTGAATCAACGTTGACATCGGTTCCAAGGAGCAACTTCACCACTTCTGAATAGCCTTTCTCTGATGCCCATGATAAAGGAGTTCCCAGCTTTTCAGGATCATGATATTCTAAGTGTAATAAAGAATGATGAAGTAGCAGTAGCTTTTGAACAGACGCCCCAATTCCAAGATAAGACGCTATTAATAAAGATGTCACTTTATTCTGAAACTCAGTAAGTGGCCATTCGCGATGTTTACACCATCTATGAAACTCTGGCGAATCAGAATCACAGAGCTGGAGACATAATTCCACGATGTCCTCATCTTTTTTTTCGCAAGGATAAAGAAACCGAATATGATGATCCCAGTTCATGGATGCATACTTCATAAACACTTGAAGAGTTGGATCTGTTAAATCTGAAAGAAGAAACCAAGTGCATCTTCTCCCAAGGACAGTATGAGACTCATATGTTGCAAATGAAGCTTGCCAATTAGATGCCGTAGATACCCTTGGATCCACAAGAGTATTGTCTAATGAATCTTTTGGGACCAAAAACTCCTTTAAGGTTTGATGGAGTAGATAGACCTTTCCGCCACTGATCGACAGCAATAGACCACATAACTCCCGCACTTTTATTTTGAAATTCTCAGCTGAGTCTTTGTAATTGAAAACCTCAACATCTGAATGGTGTACACCTCGTAATGCATAACAGACAGAGAGTTCCTCTAAAGATAAAGGTCGTGTCGCAGCAAGAACGATATGCAGTAGTAAAGTGGCTTTTTTGACTTCTTCAGGGTCTTGATTTTGGCTTAGTATTTTTTCGTACGCTTGATTCACACTAGCGGGCAGAGATTGTAGGCTGTCCTCAACCTCTCCTCTGTTGAAGCCCTTCATTTTCTTGATGATGTCCAAAGTGAGAGTAACCCAGAGATAAGTTCGGTTGATAGGGTCGGATTCCGGGTGCATCTTCTTGATGAGGAAATCAATCTCACTTGGATCGAGCTTTTTCTTATGACCAATCTCTTTTATCAAACTTCCGACTACAAGCCCAATCTCATCAGATATTTTCTCTGGTATACCCTGAGAATCTTCATCATCACTCAGATGGAATTCTGGAAATTCACTTTCCAGATCAAAAAACTCGGTGCGAATTCTCTCGTATGTGCGACTAGTTATCAAGAATTTGACCCATTTTTGTCGATGTTGTTTTAAACAGTAGTCCGATATCGCTTTAATAAATCGATTCCGATCATCTTCGTCGGAGCATTCATCTAAAGCATCGATAACAAAGACCACTTCACCTGCCTTTGGATCGCTCACGATGCTCTCAAGAATACCCCATAGGTCTTGGAAGGAGCTGGGGAGCTTATCTCCGAGAAGTCTGAACTTCTTCTCGGCTAACTCTGGTAGAGAAGGCAAACCCGAAATAAGTTGATGCAAGAGGCATGAAAGAGCACCGGTAGCTGTGTTTTGGTCCTGCAGATCATCTTTAAAGAAGAAGTAGCAGATCTTTCGATTCGAGCTAGGCAGAATTTCATCAATCAAATACCTCGTAAGTACTGATTTTCCACAACCTGGATTGGTCGACACCCACAAAAGAGGGAACTTGGATTGTTCGTCCCAGTCCTTTTTGAAACGATCTTGGCTAGTGAACCATTCGCAGGTCCCAGGTACGCGCTCGCGATTTAGATCTTTGCGGTCTCCATAAGGGCAGGTATAGAGTATATTCAGGAGAGCCGACCTATCTTTTTCCTTTTCAGCGTGCATTTGCAGTGTATTGCTCTGTTGAATCTGTTCTTGAATGTTTTTTTCTCTAGATTCCAACTTCTCCACAACAACGAAGTTGATAAATTTCGTTGCTTCGCTTTCAGTGCTTTCCAAGTCTTTGGTCAAGCTGTTCCACAAATCCGGATTCAAGATATCTTCAGTCCACTGAGACAATGTTCCTTTTGAGAGGTAGCATAATGCCCGGGCATGTATTTCCAGTACCTTTTTGCAAAGCTCCGTTAAGTATTTCATGAATTGCGGCATAAATCCATCAGCGAGCTTTATCTGAGAATCTAGATATATTTTCTGCATCTGGACAATTCGAGGAAGCAATCCACATATTTTATCAAGGCCTTGCAGGAGAATTTCTTTCTCTTGACTCGCTTTTATGCAAAACTGGTAATGAATAAGTATGCATATACACGAATAAATGTAGCAAAAAACTGGTCTTACCTGTAAGACAACCATAAATCCAGCGCAGGCAATTGCGGCAGGAGAGCTTGCAGATGCGGCTGTAGTAATAATATCTTTGAATGATTGAATGTTTTGGAGAATTTTGTATAAAATCCCTCGTGAAGCAATTTGTTTCTCTAGCACCTGAGATTGATCGTTAAGAGGACTAGAAATCTTTTGGCGCTTTTGTGGGTCATTATCATCAAATTGATAGCCATTGACCCGGAGAATGTTGGCGGCAGTTTTCATGATATTTTTCGTTGCATCATCTTTTTTGAGCAGTTTTTCGGCTTTCACCCACACATCATCGTCTTCAGATATAGAGCTTGCAGGGCTTACACTGATCGGTGCCGAAGCATTGCTGATTTGTAGCAATTGCTTTGGTTCTTCCGGACTCTTGTGCGTGTCCGGTGGTTGCTTCTTTCGACACCTGTATATACAAAAGCGGAATGGCATGGCTTTTCTTTCGGATCCAAAATGTAACAATTCAAGGGCGTTGCTTGAATATAAGAAAAGGAAATCGTTCAAGTGGGTAATCATATATAATTTAAGGCTGGGTGTGAGGGGTTGGCACAGATTCAGCCCACCTCTTATCATTACCCCTAACCTTTTTGATACGCTGCTAGAATAAGAGGCTAAGGGATTTTAGGCATAACAGACCTCTATTTTTAGACCTGCGTAGCCAAAATGGCCTGTAGAATTTTCTTCTTTTGCGCCCACTGTATTAATAGGAAGACATAAAAACCCTGGTCAGGATCTCCTTCATACTAACTCTAGTTAGACTTAATAAAACTTTTGAGCTCAGCAAAAAACTTTTCGATCGGATTCAGGTCCGGCGAGCAAGGAGGCAGATAAACCAACTTCGCCCTAGTATCTGCACATATTTATACAATCCTCTGACAAGGGATCTTCTAATACTAGAGGTTGTGACCATATTCTGGAACTCATCCCATAGGATCCAGCTCATTTAGGCAGAGATCAGGATTCTCAGACAGGTGGTTGCAGAGAACTTCTATCATCAGTGATGTCACTGTTTTTTTTTGACCTACTCGAGTTTGGGGAGCGTAGATGCTTCCAAATTGTCGCAAGTTTCTGCGAATATTGATAATCGTTAGCTTGTTGCATTTAGCTTCTTCGGCCATCTGAGAGGCGAAGGACTGGCTCTCTATCATATCACGAATAAAATGAAGCTTTTAGAGCAGGAAGCCTTGGAGCAATATCGGTTGGATTGAGCCTGTATCAAATCCAAGACGGCGCAATGGTGAATGATAAGCGAGGGATGAGGGGCACAGAGGTACAGAACGTATGGCTGTTTCGTGTAAATTACATTCTTTGACGTTTTTGAGTAGTATTGTAAAAATACGAAAACTATTCAAGAAAGCGGTCTAGAATCAGAGTGGATATCCAATTTCCGTATTAGGGTTAGCGCACTTCGGATTCTTTTTGGGAATTAAGTACTCCGTAAAAAGAGTGTGGAGGTAACTATGAATGTAAAATAGAGAGGAGAAATTATGACAAATATCGCATTAATAGTTATTCCAGGCCGAATTAATAATTCCGGCAGAATAACTGTCTGGCAAAATAATTATTGCTAAAATGGTGCCTAATTACGCCGTAAAAACCTTAGGAATAAGGCATGAGGGGGGGGGGGGGGGGGGGGGGGGGGTAAGATTAGCAAGAGGGGAGTAAGAATATCAATTCCCTATTTTAATCCAGTAAATCTTCGTCTAAATAGTAAACAACTTCTCTTCTCGCCTCCTACTATCTAGGGTCGATAATATTACGAAAAATACCCTAAAATCCAAACTTAATATGCAGCTAATTCTCTTGAGAATGTGATGAATGAAACTCGCTATTCTTGAATGTCTAACATTCATGCCAATCAAGAGCATCCATCAAGTTTAGAAATCAATCTAGATATGTGCCATGGCTACTAGTCGATAAAACTTGGAGCAAAGACTTTCACTTGGGCAGACGCAAATCTCTCTCTAGCAGGTTTGATTTAATGTGACTTTGCACAATTTGAAATTCTAATCCATGCAGGTATGCTTTTGAAAAATCATTGGCAGATCGGCATGTAAAGTAATTGGGGATGGAGCACGAATACAACATTCAAGGGCTCTCCAAGTGACGAAATTACATGATGATTACTTTGGAGCCGAAATTTGATCGATAAGAGATCAACTACTATTAGAGTTTTCTTACTGCATACAGATTGAAAATTGCTAAAGTAAAAGCTGAGTACGGTGCAGCAGAGCAATAGACTATAATGCAGGGGATCCTTTGACATGCATAATATTGCATTAATTCCTGCATTCGAGTATGAATTCTTCAAAAGGCGAACAACACCCAAGCACTGCCTAGATATAGGATGGTTGTTATTACGCCGCATGCAACGGTGAATCTAGAAAATCTAGTACAGAAATTTCAAATAGCTCTTTAGATCAATATCAGTACTCATTGAAATGCATTGCTGAAGTGTTAATTATACAAGATCATCCATCCTTAGTCCATGCACCTCGTTCCCTATGATACGTCATATTTGATGATCTCCAAGCCAATCGCAGTTAACAACGCCAAATCTCACCCTGCATCAAGAAAGTAGATCCTCATGAAAAGCTACATGCCATCCTCAATAGTCTGCTCTTCAAGGTTGCAGATGATCAACAGGGGTTAGACTTGTCTACACAGCAGCGTCAGTCTGTTCAAGTAAATTGAACGAGTAACATGATATCTTTCACAGTCCACAGTGCCAAGTGCGATACTGACCAACTGGAATCCCCGCACATGAGAAAAAGAAACTATTCACGATCGCCACTGGGCAGGGTCCTCCGATTTATTGATTTTCAGCTCGCAATGCATTTGAAATCTCGAATGATGAGGAGATTTACTAAAAAATGAGAGATAAGGAGAAGTATAGACAGAACAAAGCATGATGGGAATGGATATAAAATGACCAGTTATTCCTGCTCTTAACCCGCTTCCTCACCAAGCACATTCATTCATTATCTTGTCTTCTCTCAATCAGACCATTCCAACCAACTTAGTCACTCTTTTGTCTGTAAATCATCTACAAAACATCCATCAAGATGAAGTTCTTCGCCACCGCCCTTCTCTTCGTTTCCGCCGCCATGGCTCTGCCTTCAGCTGTCAGCAGCATTTTCCCAGTGCCCCAGGGAACTACCCTTGACCAGGCGCAGGCCAAGTGTGGAACTGATGCCAAGGTGTCTTGCTGCAACAAGACCACCTTCACCCGCGATATAACCAATGACAATGACGGCATCCTTGCTGGTGTCCTTCAGTCAGCCCTTGGTGGTGGACCTGGTGGTGATGGTAGGTTTCAAATGCCTCACTCGATTGATCATGGGCAATATTAACATAGTTCAGGGCTCGGCTTGTTTGGCCAGTGCAATGACCTCAGCCTTAGTGGTAAGTTTCTATTCCTCAATCAAGTACTATGATCAACTGTCTAATTCTCTTCTCTACAGTGCCCGTTCTGGATGTTCTTGGCCAGCTCACCCAGCTTGACTCTCAGAAGTGCAAGCAGACTGTTGCCTGCTGCCAAAACACCCAGTCCACTGCTGTAAGTTCATATCACTTGTCATTTACTAAAAGGTGGAACTAATCCAAGTAATAGAACGGAGACCTGGTCGGTGTTGCAATCCCCTGTATCGCCCTCGGATCACTCCTGTAAATTCAATCGATCCCACATCATCGGAAACACGATCCATGACTTTGAATCTAGGTCTGGATTTCCGATGAAGATTCAAGGATATACATAGGATAGGAGGACATATTACGCTTGAAGTTCACGGGAAAGGGTCTTGCTTTTTGTGCCGTTAGGAGCTTGAATGATTCTTTCTTGTTTTCATCATGCCCTTTTGGAAGTATCTATCATTTATCTTTCATTTGTTATCACTTTTTGGGACGCTTAATTATGTATCTAGCCCCAGTTTAATACAAGGCCCCTGTGAACTTCACATTCTCAATAGCTGTCGGTACACCTGTACCAAGTGTGGAATAGCTATTCGATAAAGGTGATGAGGCTAACGCCCACTTCTGACACCTATCACAGGTAACGCTTTACGCCCCTATGATATCTTTGTGTCCTCTTGAAGTGGTTGTAAAGTCTGGTTTTCATTCTTAGTTTGCTATCTATTATAAAGTAACAATTTGATCACATGACTACTTTGTTCCATATTCCAACAATAGCTTTTCATCTTCGTTAAATTCCAAGAGCCTCTTTTTCTCCATGTTTTTTTTCATATATAGGCAATTCGCCAGTAAAATCTGAGGTTCTTTCACTCCCAGTTCAATATTTGTATACACGTTTGCAGTAAAAGAATGCTTCTACTTTTGATATCCTTGATCCTGGATCTTGCTATCTTCCAGAACAAAGAATGCCCCGATTACGGCAAAGCCAGAGCCAATGAGGTACCCAGAAGGGTTTTATTATTCGATGACGTAAAAGTTCATACACTCATACCTAGGTTAGTGGGACTTGCATCTATGGATCTATCGAATTGAAATTTCATAGATATGAGATGAGGCTCTACTTGCTTAGATGTAAAATGAAAAACACTCTTTTGGGACCTATTATTGAGAAATATATAATGAACCTCAGAACCTTGAACCCCCAGGTCTTCACATGAACATTATCATAGCATATTCATGTATATACTTCGACCTTGAAAGTAAGATTTTCTCCTATTTCTGCTTTTTGTAAATGATAACCGCTGTGCCATCAGAAAGGTGATCATGTTCTGGGACCAGGTGATATTTTCCAATAGCTGGGAGGACCTTTTGCCAGATAGCCCAGTAAACGACGCCCGACAGAAGAATAGCAATTCCAACGACAGAGGAGAGCCAGTATGGAAGGGAAGTATCTCCAGTTCCTCCTGGTGGTCTGACGAATGGAGCAACCAGCTGGAAGGCCTGCCCAAGCATAAAGAAAAAGGCTACAGGCCACCAAACTTTGAATGGGCGATGAAGCTTGGGAGATTCCCACCGGAGGTAAAACAGTCCCACCACAACCAAGAAGTTGATCACACTAGCCGGATATCCTTCCAGGTCGAGAATGAAATTGTATGCATCTCCAAAGGGAATCGCGATAATGACGATAAAAGATGGGATGAAATGTAGCAGTAGGCCAGCGGATGGAGAACCGAAGGGCCAGCTTGAAGCCCAAAATTTGGGGAATGGAATGACTCCTTCCTTTGCTAGCTCTTGGTTGACACGAGCTTGCGCGAATGTAACGGTCAAGACATTACCGAACGCTGAAACAGCAACCAGGGCACTATTACGAGATTAGAATAAGTAGCTGTTCTGCAGAAGAGGGTGAAAAATTGACTAACCTTACTGCCCTTCCAGCTGCCTCTCCAAACACCTTGGTCATGAAAAAGGCAGCGACCGTAACTCCACTTTCTGAAATCTCCTCTGGAGTGGCCGCAGCGTAGTAAGCAACGTTTGCGAGGATGTATAGGGTTCCGCAGATGGCAAGACCGATCGGACCGGCGATCTTAAGGGTGCGGACAGGATTGCGAACTTCGTTCAGAACATAGGCGGCATTCGACCATCTAAATCAGGTTTTCAAAATTAGTTCTTGTTCGTTCACTGTGAGTGGACTTGAGCACGTACCCAGTATAAGAGTTCAAGACTTTGAATAGTGCAATCGCATAAGGATTGCTTGACTGAACAGAGCCCTTGAATGCGTTGCGGAAGTTGACGTGAGGGTCAGGGATGCTTGCAACTCTTCCGCTCAAAACAACCCAGCCAGTGACAACAATGAAGAGGAGAAGAATGATCTTGTATACACCGATCACGTTCATACCATGCACACCCCATTTGGGTAAGAAGGTATGCAGACATGTGATGGACACGATAACTGCAATTGCGACGCCGCGCTCTTCCCACTCCGAGGCTACTCTTCCAGCTGCCTTCCAAATATACGAGGCAAAGACAACGCATCCGGAAGCTGTGAATCCCAGAAGAACAGCTTGTACAGCGAAAACGACTGTGATCAACAGTTTAGGCCGACGATAGACAGCCTCCAAGTAAACCTTTTCTCCACCACTTCGTGGAATCAAACATCCCAGTTCAATCCAGACGCAAAGACCTGCGCCAGCCAGTAGAAGACCGAGAACCCAGAGCATCAATGCAGCCCCCACGCTACCAACACCATTTGTGACGGACGAAGGAGTTGAGAAAATTCCAGTACCGATGATGCGACCAACACTATTTTTCGCGGTTAGGAAGATGGTATCAGAAGTGGATTAGGGCCATTCATACATCAAGAAGATTGTTGAGAAAACACCTAAATGGCGACCAAGACCTCCTGCGGTAGATTCTTCAAAGTTCAGCTCTCCCGCTTGAGTGTATTCGCCCTCATCTTTGAGATCGACGTCGACAGGTTGAGATTGACTATAGAAGTTCTTTGGAGAGCTTGGCTCTACACCTTCTTGAACCGTTGCCATTCTTTCTTCCCAGCTTCACTGTTTTGGGGTTGAGAAGGTTGAGGATGAAATAGAATATTCTAGGGTGGAATAAAAGACTTTAAATGGAATTCTAATGAATCGAGTGATGTAAGGTTGTCATCAGGATGCTGATGGCGTGATTTGGGGCAACAATTCTGGAACAAAGACGATGAGATTTGCTTATTTTGACACCTCCATTGAACCAATCCGAGTTGTGGTTGCCGATGCGCTTAATCCTCATAAGATGTTAAACTGGAGAAATGTGGTGCAGCCACATTGAAAATCCCTCGTCGGTGAGATCCTTCGCAGCCGCAACCGAAAATGTAGGAATGCGGTCGCCCATTATTAGGTAAATTTTATTACAGCTTCGAATTTGAGTTCTGCGGGGGAAATAATTATATGAATCCATAAAAAGCAGATTACAAAGTACTTAATCTCATTGTGGGTCGGGGCATGCGACAGCAAAGTACTTATTACAGAGTAGCTAGAGCCTAGTATTCTTCGATAAGTCTAAGATTCGTTAAGCTAAGATTTTCAAAGCTTATCGATCTTACGAATGAAACCAAAGTCTGTAGATAAAACCTTACAAGTAGGTAGCTATTTCCCCCACTTCTTCTATCAGTATTCCATGCCTTTCCTACGAACACCTCCAGGGCAATTTCTTTAGCAGGGGCCACCATCGCCCGGCGACTATCTCAAGCTTGGGCCACCCGTGGACTGGGCACTTTTCCTTTACTGTGTAACAGCTTTGTGTATTTATTGAGTTACAAAAGACTTAAAATAGTGGCTGCATCACGTGATAACACTAAGTAGCCCCCACCATTAGGGCTACAGAAACCAGGTTCATCATGCTGCATAGTAGACCTCGACTAACACGTTCATAATATTGGCCAAATCCAGAAGATCTTTTTTCAGAATAACGATTAGAGTATCTCTCTGCTAGCTCCTGAAACAACTCAAATGCATTCATCTAAATTCCCAAATGTTTACCTATGGAATGGCCCCACAATCAACGTGGGTACCAAGCGGGTCTTTCCGTTGCCCGATGATGCGCCGCTTTGAACCTCTGGAGATTCGTCAGAATAGCGGCAATGAGGACATGGTATAGTTCGCCACTTTATGCTAAGCTATTCTGAACTTTGGTTTTACCAACTTTGAGATTTCTCTCAGCAAAGCTTTAGTTGACACCAATAAATAACCTCGACACTATCCGTAGTTGTTGTGTAGGAGTACTTAGTCTTGAAATTAGGTCGACTGATCGAAATTGCATTTGACTTCCAAGAGTCCTACTTCAGATTTGCCACCTTTTTTCTTTCATAGTGATAATGAAGCCCTGCATCCAATCTTGGAAGCTAGCAGATGAAACTAGCCACCTTTAGGTAAAAGCTCATCCTTGCTTCGAAAGTTCTTTTGAGCTTCCCTCCATCGAGGCCCAGAGTCATCTCTCCGTTATGTGTTATTTTCAGTCACAGTTCTAAATTTACTAATATTGAAAGGGAAGTAAGCATTATCACTGGAATTTGATTGGGGGTTGCTAAGTAGCCTAGAGGCTTCCAAGGTTGTTCATGCGGACAGGTGGGTAGCAATACCGAGGGCTACTTTCCATCATAGACATCATAAGCATATTTTTTGCCAGGATGATCGTCTCGTAATCCTTTTTGTCCCTTTCCATAAACTCTCTCACGCATAGTTCCACTTTCATTCTTTGGAGCATAGATTCCTCTTCGCCTTAACTCAGGAATGAGAAACTCGACAACATCTTCAAATGTTCCTGGTGTCTCTACATAACCAATGTTGAACCCATCAATATCTGCTACTCGAACCCACTCCTCGAGGAAGTCGGCAACTGTTGTTGCACTTCCAACCGGAACTGGACCAGCACCACCAATCGAAATATGCTTTCCAATGTTTCTCGGAGTCCATTCTGAAACTTCTGGGCTATGATAGGAAAGGGTGTTGATCGTCGAATGAACTCTAGCATCAACATGGACATCAGATGGCTTTATAGGAGTGTCGAGATCAATTCGACTAAGATCAATGCCGCTGCCCCCAGAAAAGAAGGCCAAACCTGCCTCTTCACTGGCATTTTCCAGTGCTAGGCGATACTTAGCCTGGGCCTTCTCATCTGTTTGGGCAACAATTGGAGTTAAAATGGCGAAAACCTTCACTGAACGTGGGTCACGTCCTGCTTTGGCTGCTTCATCGCGAATAGCTTTGATCCTTGGAGCAAGAATATGCGGTGATGGGGCAGACACAAATATCCCTTCTGCATGTTTTGCGCCAAATGCTATACCTGCAGGAGAAGTTCCCGCTTGAAAAAGGAATGGAGTACGTTGAGGCGATGGATCAAGTATATGTGGGCCGTCCACATTGAAGTTTTCGCCATGATGGTGTACATATTTGATTCGATTAGGATCAGTATATAACCCTGATTTGGCGTCTCCTTTGAGTGCATCGTCTGCCCAACTGCCTTCCCATAGTCTGCCAGAGTGTGACGTGAGCTGATTGTTCTGAAGTGGAAGAATTTAAATAACCACTCACTTGTACAATACGGTCAAATACTCGTCAGCAATCTCATATCGCTTGTCATGATCAATCAGAGGTAAACCCAGCTATGCTTGTCAACTTCATTTCCCCCTTTTTGTTAAAAGTTTGGGGAGACCGGAGGATTCCGAGGTCTACCCTGGAGCAATTCACTTACCGCTTTTGAAGCAGACGCCTTCCATGACGTGACAATATTCCAGCCGAAACGACCGCCAGTGAGATGATCTAATGTGGAAAATCTCTTCGCGACAATGTATGGAGCTTCATATGAGGTAGAAGTCGTGATTGCAAACGCGAGATTCTTAGTGACCGATGCCATAGCGGAAATTGGCTGATATATTAATTATTAGCACGACCATCATAGAGAAAACTGGGCGAATTCACTCACAATTGAGGGGTCACCCATCGGGTATTGAGCTGCATTGCGAATGGCAGGCTCCGCGCTCCCTTTGTACGTATCATACAGGCCATAGGTATCGGCCAGGAACAATGCGTTAAAGTCTCCCTCTTCGAGTATTTTCGCTAAATCCGTCCAGTACGAGAGATCGCGGCGTTTTGTCGCAGATCGGTCTGACGGATTCTTCCATTGACCGAACGACAGATGACCAACGGTGAACATATCAAATCCATTGAGGTAGATCCGTCGCTTCGTTGAAGAGGTTTCGCTTGCCATTTGATTTGACGTCAGCACGATATCTGAGATAATGGGAAAATTGATTATGAAGTTGATTTTTTGAAATAAAAGTCTTTGCTCGGATGTGATGCACTGATATTGTTCCTTTTCTTATGCTATTGAATAGATACCCCCGCTTTGAAATTAGATTCCATCATATGTATAGAAAGCACGAGCCAAGGCCCCTGGCGTATCAAAGCGTAGATATCATGAGTATATGAGCATAATTGACTGCATTGTACTCGTGGGTGATCGCTCGGGTGAACTCCGAATACCCCTCCCCTCTGTAGAATCACGTCATTTGATATCATAACAGAAGGTTATAGGTCACAGATTTTGAACTGTAGTAGAAAAGCTCGTTAATACTGCTAATAATCTCCGGGATGGCGTAGCTATGCTTGCATATACACGCAACATACCACGAATCTGACACCTTCGGCCCGATCAAAATACAATCTTGAAATAACACCATCTGCCCTAAATCTACGCTCACTATTAGTTCAAGAATCTAGGTATTAGGGTGTTCTTATCAAATGTACCTAGGTAGATCGTACATGTATTAAAGGTACAGGATTTAGGTATAGTGATATTAGGTTCTCCAAATACTACCTATCCATCTTTATATACCCAGGCTGCACAGCTCCTTGTTTCTTTCAAGATTTTCATATTATTCAACTAGGAGATGAAAGTTTTCACACGCCTTGAAAACGCGATACGATGGTTTCCACCAGAAATGCCCCTGGCAGAAAGAAAACTTGTCAACAAACTGGACTGGTTGATTTTACCCTACGCGTGTTTATCGTTTTTTGTCAAGTATCTTGACGTGTCAGCATTAAGTATGCAAGATGATTTCAGATGTTATTATTATCTTAAGCTAATATCGAATAGCCAATGCCTACGTTTCGGGGATGAAGCAAGATCTTGATCTTTATGGAAACAGACTGAATTACATCAACGCTGCTTGTAAGTGCCGTCAGGACTTGAGAAGACTTACTCCGGGAACTTCTGCATGTCTTCTCCAATATGTTGCGATTGCTCCTAATATATTAACAGATGAGGTCGGCTATGTTGTTTTCCAAATTCCGAGCAACCTGGTACTTATCAATTACCCGTAAGTAAATATGGGCATGAAAGTCGATCAATCCTTACGATCTCGTATAGGGCACAATATTATCTTCCATTCGCAGAAATATTCTGGGGAATGTTTACTCTTGGGACTGCCTTCGTGAAAACGTATGAGCAGTTAGTGGCGATGAGATTTTTCGTTGGACTAAGTGCAACATCTTGTTATGTGGGTCTCGTTCATGTTGTCAATTCGTAAGTCCGCAAACCAAAACACGTGAGCAAATTGAATACTAAAAAAGAAACAGATGGTATAGAAAGAAGGAATTGGGGCGGAGAAATGCGCTGTTTTGGATCGCAAACCCCCTCGGACAGATGTTTGCGGGATACCTACAAGCAGCAGCGTATACTAATCTAAACAACTCCCACGGGCTACAGGGCTGGAGGTAAGTTTTGAAATATGGATCTGAGAACTTCCATTTGAATATTACTTTGATGCTGAGTTTTTTCCGCGCTGATAAAGGTGGCTTTTCATTATTTGCACAATCATAACGATACCAGTTGCTTTTTTGTAAGATATCCCAACCGGTGAACAAACGATATCTTAACGAGTACTCAGACTGACATTTTTAGGGGCTTTTTCATTTTCCCAGATATGCCAGGTCGTACAAAGTCTCACTGGCTCTCCGAAGACGAAAAGGAGCTTGCCGTAAAGCGACTCAATGAGGAAGGATTCAAACCCTCCACGGGCCTGAGCAAAACCATTGTGAAACGTCTGCTAGGATCATGGCATGCATATGCTTTCATTCTTCTTCTTGTTATATTCTGCAACATGATTTATTCTGATGGGACCCCTTTCATTCTCTGGCTCGACTCACAACCAGATAAGTACTCTGTGGCACTTGTGAACAACATGTCCACGATAACCAATGGAGCGGCCCTCGTCGGAGCGTTGGTCATGAGTTTTTACTCGGATATTCGAGGGTCACGCATTGAACCTATTCTACTCTCGGGGTTTCTCTGTATCCTTGCCAATTTACTCCTTGTAATTTGGAAAATCCCTGACGGTCTGAAGATTTTCGCTTATATTGCGATTGGATGGTCTTCTGGTGCACTTCCTGTGGTTATTACTTGGACAGCAGAAGGGTTGGCAGGTGATCTGGAGGTCAGGGCCATAGCATTGGCAGCCTATAATTGCTTTGGTGAGATCACAGCCTTGGTGGTTCCATTGGTTGCGTGGCCAGTTTCCAAAGCACCAGGGTTCCGAGGCGGATTCATTTGGGTAAGTGTGATTCATCAATTGTTTTTTATTACGTTCTATCGGCTAAATCGCTCTATACAGTGTACTGTTCTGAGTTTTCTCTATCTTCTGAATGTGGCATGGATAATTTTCAAGAAGAGAAGAAGTGAAAAGGGAAATGTGGTGGAGGATAACACAAGGGACGAAAATACAGACTCAGATACACCAGCCGATATAGTTGTCGTAGAACGAAGGGGAAGCAAGGAATAAACTTCTTTTGGGGAGATCCCATATGAGTAAAGAAGATGAAAGAGCCATGTTTTTTCCAGGATGTCTTCATGGAAATCGCAATACCTGATAGAATAATCAATAGATGTAGGCCTTGAATATGTAGAGTTTCTCGACAGCTTGGCATCTCAATTTCCAACTTGTACAGTATCATCTTCTCAAGGGAACTGTGGGTAAGCGCGGTATGTATTGATTTATAATCTACGAATTTATATTCAAGTGCAGTCATGCAGGTTGATTGATAACAACTGCACTGTCGTCCAAGCCTGTTTAAAACCAGCTGCGTGGTTCTCAAGTGCCGGATAACCTAGCTCCTCCCCTTGCTTGAGACATTTTCTACCCTTGACGCACTTGTGTTTAGGTCTCTTACAGATTTTTGCCACTCCACTTGTGCCCTATAGGCTATTATCTCAGGCATCAACAAACCGCACACGTCAAACTGTGTCCTATGCTCTTAACTTTAGTTACATTGGAGGGGTTTGGGTAGGGATGGTAACGGATTGACGGATTGAATCCGTCAACAATTTTTGATTACGTAAAATCCGTCAATCCGTTATCCCTGTGGGGTTGAGAAATGATGTTTGAAGGCATTTTCGAAGGATTACTCCGTAGCTAAGCATAAGTTGGACCCTGCATACGGATTTCTGGAATCCCTTTTAAAGTCAAAGTAACGCGCCGCCCAGGTGGATCTTACGAATGAATCCCCGCAGTGGGTCAACCTTATGGCTTAACTCAGCTTGCTATGATGGTTGGCGAGGACGTACAACATCAGCCTGGCTACATATTTCTACAACCACCAGAGCGCTTCTCATTGCCAGCCTATACGATCAGCTGAAGGGTATATTGGAAGACCTCAGGACGGCTCGTGCTCAGTCACGCAGGATAGAGTTGGTCACATGCAGAATACCTGCTATCAAGGCAGCTGAATCTAAATTACCAAGGCCTTTCACAATATAATTGAAGCATTACAAGGTTGGTTTTTCGATCTTGTTAAATTATCACGGCTGTCATTTTAGAAGAGACTATAGCTCTAGAACGCCAGAATGTCCTATTTTCAATGAAAGTCCAGGTCGAGTCGCGTATATCACATCCGGGTGAGCTACATACAGCCAGCTGGGGTTCTCATTCAATCTACGAAGACAACTTCCGTATGCTTCAGCCCGATCCCTACTCTCCACCTTGAGACGCGCCTCTTTGAATCGACGTTGTAACTCATCGTCGTGATAACCTAGCCACCATGTATTTCGTGACTCACTTGAGATCTTGTCATCCAGGACACGGAAAGTGCTGTTAGGCGTCGAATCAAACAGTGCTAGGTCTCCAATATGCTTACGCAGGCCGATCTGCCGCGCGTACTCTGGTCGATTAGTCTCAAGCTCGACCTCGACGACAAAACCAACGGCCTTGAGCGCTGACGCAACAAAGCGCGAGATACGTTGCGCATGCTCGGGCATGTAAACCGGTGTACGCAGCTTCAGGGTAGGCGTCGCACCCGATCTTAAAGCCTCTGATAGAATTTCACGAGCTCGAGTTGGGTCATAAGGAATTGGTTGCAATGCTGCCTCATTAAAGCCGAGATGATGAGGGCTTACAATGGTAGATGCAGGTGTCGCCAGGTCCTTGTAAACGCTCTTCACAAGTGCCTCGTTATCAATGGCCAGGTTAGCAGCTAGGCGCACCTGGGATGACTGGAAGATACCATTTGTGCAGTTGAGGTAGTACATAACGGACAATGTGCTGTTAATCCTGCCCCAGTTCAGGCTGGGGTCAAAAGTCAGGAGATTGAGATCATCGATGCGCTCGAGGTTCAGCGCAGCATCTACCTTGCCTTCTTGAAGGAGCTTGAGCCGCTTGGCGGCATCAGGCTCATGAGTCGCAATTATGATTTCCGGGCCTTCATGTTTGCTGTGGGGTAGACGATGCAGAACTGCTTTGCCAATTCCTTCTGTTCGCTCAAATTCTGTGACTCGGTACGGGCCTGTGCCGAGCACAGGCTTGCCATCGGCAGCGATACGCGATGGCCAAAAATCACAGAGTATATCCAGTATATCTGCGAAAGCCTCTGGGTTTTCAAATTTGACAATGCGATCACTTTCTGCTGAAACTGTGGCCTGCGCGAAGTATCTGCTGTAGCTCCAGGGCATGTTAAAGTAGTCACGCGAGTTGAAGAACCCAATGATGTAAGCCACTACCTCCTGAGCTGTACATGGCAGCCCATCGTGGAAGATGGCATTGTCGCGGATCTTAAAGCGCCAAGTGCGGCCGTCAGGAGAGTTTTCCCAGCCCACAAACAGGCCAGGTCTCACACGGCCCTGTGGCTGCCACCATATGAGGGGCTCAAAGACGAGACTCTTGAGGGCGACGACACTATTGTCGTCGGTGACCTGCGTGGGTAGGCGAAAATCGACGTTCTCTAGAACGATGCGAACGGTTTCCTGCGTCATCCTATGGAGAAATTCTGAAACGGGTATTTTTCTGAGTTTTTGAAACTTCCTTTTTCAGATATATAAGGGTCCAAAATTATTGGACTATGAAAAGGCAAAGAATAAGAACAAGAAATCGCAAAACTGCACATGTGAGGCATTGGAAGTACCTTTAACTTGATAATCTGTTGCAAAATGACTGTAAATTCGACCTTGACTTTTCTCGCTCTTCCATAAATCCTATCGGGAATAAGCTATAGTGGCCTGGTGTCGTGATTAGTGGCCACAATGTGGAGGCCACTAAAAGTTGCCCGCAAGTCTGACGTTTGGTTGTGGGGATAAGTCGACATGAAATAAAGTAATCACGATATCACCATGTTGACTCCAAAAGTTTATTTGCACTTATTCCTTTGCCATCAGAACTTTTAGTCGATAATCCTGCGGAGAAGATTCCCGGGTTTTGACCTACATCTGGGCAGGCATAAATTAGGCATATCTCTAAAATATCCAAAAGTGGCAATTGTTCTTTAGATAGGACTTTGTATGGCTCATATGGTCCTTATCTGCAGTAATCACATTAAGAATAAAGCGGGGTATATACCGAATTTTTATGGCTGGACCTCAGCAGCTGCATTAGTGGCTCAACTTGGATATCCATATCTTGACTAGTAAATCTAGAATTATGCTAAAGTGCAGGATCAATTTGTCTAGGATCATACCACGGACAAGTTACAGAGCAGTGGAATTTAAAATTGTAACATCATTCGACTCGCTGCTTTGATTGGAGCTAGATTGGACTCCATCTTCAATGGCCAGCTTTTAAACGATCTGTACCTAGTTAGAGCAAAAGGATTTTGTACAATTACCGGTCAGCGGAGTAGTTCCGACAACGAACTAGTATGCGTATATTTACACTTACCTTAAGGTCCCTGCTAGCAGCCACGGTCCAGTCCCTTTCAAGATTGTGGGTCATCGGGTGGTGTCCGAGAATGTGGTAGATAGTATCTAGTTAGACTTGGTACCTAAGATCAACTCCTCTGTTCCAACAACATGGGACTAGTTTAAAAGGGGGCTAGAAATTAAAATCTATCTACCGCCCGATATTGACTAGCTTTGAAGGTATATAAGTCTTGATAAAGGAAGGTTTGCGTGATATGAAGGCTACTTTTGAGTCGCGAATACTAAGGTAACCCAGGTAGAACTTCCTCGATCGAATCATCACCTGGCACTCTATTGTATTGCACAATGGTTGCTATTACGGAAGCTAGTCAGGCTGTCATGTCCAAGTCTGATACTTCCTCCTCCAATGACCACGAATCCATCTCGAAGGAAGTCGTATCAAATGTCAGGGAGGCAAGCTCCGAGAATGATGAAAAACAGATTAGATCTCGGTGGCGCAAAATTGTGGGCTTCGTCTGGGATTCCGTCGAAGGTGATTCAGAATACCGAAAATATGTCTAAAGATTGGATTTAATTTTCTTGTTTGTAGCCCTAACTTCATCGTGGTCGACATATGAGCTGACTGACAATATCGATTCTGTTTAGTCCAACCGTCTGTCTGGGCTATTTTATCAAATATCTCGACCAGACAAATTACAGTATGTGAAAAAATTCCTGCGATTTGTTCATATAAACTAAGACTTATTCAGGTAATGCCTTCGTCAGTGGAATGCAGGAAGACCTCCAACTGTACGGCAACGAGCGTAACTGGTTAAATACATGGTTCAGCTTGGGTATTATGGTTGGCAGTGTACCTGCACAGATGTCACAGGTCAGCTTCATCAGATCATCTTACTTGCTGCCCACTTGTGAGCTCATCTGGTCTGCTTTGGTTATTGGTATGGGTTTCGCCAAGAATATCAAGACGGTAAGCTGGCGTAGCCACCTTCAATATGCGAATGAACTACTCTAATACTATTTACAGATGTATGTGCTGCGATTTTTTATTGGCCTGTTTGAGGCTTGCTCATTCCCTGGCTATATCGCCATGCTTGGTGGTTGGTATGGCCCTAAAGAGTTGACCAAGCGCTTGGCCATTCTGCTCCAGATCGAGTCCATCGCTTCCATGTTCAGTAGCTATCTCCAGGCAGGCTTGTATAGCAGTATGGATGGCCACGCAGGTCTTGCAGGTTGGAGGTGGATGTTTATTTTCGATGCGGTCATCAGTATTCCAGTGGCCATCTGGGGCTTTTTTTGGTCTTCCTGATCTTCCCCATAATACAAAAGCTTTCTACTGGCGTCCTGAGGTGAGTTCACATGTTTTTTTCGCTTCATAACTTTAATGTTGACGTGTGTTCAGGACGTACGCTACGGAATTGAACGAATCGAGAAATTGGGACAGAAAGCTCAGACAAAATTGACTAAAAGCGAGATCAAGCGTATCTTCTTGGGCTGGGAGCTTTGGTCATTTGTGGTACCATACACGTAAGTCAAGACTTTAAATCTGTATTCTGGGTATACTTCAACTAACAACTTCATTATAAAGTATGGTTGCTGCATGCCACTCGGCAACTAGCTACTTCAATCTCTGGTTGAAAGCCGCCGGGTATAGTGTTGTGAAAGTTAATGTCTTACCCACAGGTGGCAGCGCCTTGGATATTGTTGTCACTATCTTGTGGGGTATGATTGCTGATCGATATGGAAAACATTACTGGTTAATCATCAGTATACAACTATTGATGATGCTCTCCAATATCCTGCTTTCCATATGGACAATCCCTAAGGCTGCTCTAATGTTCGCCTTCTACCTCTCATATGCTGGCTCTGCGGCTACTCCAGTTCTCATTGTGAGTCACCCCTTGATACGATTGACCACAAACAGTGCTAACCCAGTGACAATAGGCGTGGGCCAATACGCTCAATGCAGCCGATCCTACTCTACGACATCTTTTAGTTGCCGTCGCCAATGTTGTATCGTACGCGTGGGTGTTGTGGGTACCACTTGTCTTGTTCCCTACTCAGGATGCACCCAAGTACAAGTATGGATACCAGATCTTGATCTTATTTGGTGGTCTGGCGATCATCAGTGTCACTTTCATGGGTTACATGCATAGACGAAAAGCACAAAATGCAGCTTCTCAAAGTACTGCATAGTCTATTTATACAGACTTTGAGGTAACTGTTCCTCTGAATGTTCTGCTGTTTTCTCTAGCTGGTATTATTCTGCTATTTTTCTGATTTAAATTTACATGCTTTGCGATGCTCAGTACTTAGGAGGTCTGTTAGTTAATAAAATGGTTAAACAAGGTTCAATATTTATTATAGGCCGATATGTAAATCCTAGTAATAGGTGTCTAGATCCTCATTTAGAAGACAAGTCTCAATTTAATTTCTAGTTAATGTCTCATTTTCAGAGCCAAAAGATAGATTCCTTCCGCAATATCAGAACTCCAATGATAGCTCACTCAGGTGCCAACTTTAGAACCTTAGAAGGATGATTTTCTACTCCAACTTGATTCTACCCCAAAATCTTGAACTGTTCAACCTTGGAATTTCTACCCCGATAAATCCTTCTCCTTAAAGCCTCTATGATCTCCCCGGGATCAACTGCCCCATTACAGCTAGTTAATAGTGAATCGCAGCAATATGGGGGGGGGGGGGGGGGGGGGGGCAGATTGCGTTTAATGGTAAAGTTTGTAGACTAGGCCGTACCTAGACATTGGACATCTATTCTCGAGCCCTTATTGACATTTCCGTCAATGCAAGTGGAGCTACCAGTACTATAAAGCTATTGAGTTGTATTTCCTATAAGTTGTACTGACGGTAAACCCGAATTATCACGCCATCGGCACTGTTTAGCCCCGGGAATCGCTACTTAAATTAGTCCAGGCAAAGAAAGATTTCTGCAACGGCATTCCATACGCAGATGAGGACCATGAATCTCACTGAGAGATTGCGGTCCGCATCCATTGGTTTTGGTATTGAACCACTGCTACTACTACCGGGCGATCATTTCATAGACCTCGTTCATGGCTACATCCCGCTGCTCGTGGGTTTCACTCACGAAGACAAGGAGGCTAAAGGTCTACGAAAGCGCAAGCCTGGCGAAAAGCCTAAACCGCCCGTCTATTTCTCCGCAATGGAGGTGGTACGCGATGAAAGAATCCTTCTATTGAGTGGGGCAGCGGGAAGTGGCAAGACGAGCTTCGCGAAACACCTGAGTTACTGCCTGGCTAGAGGTGGCTTCAAGTCTCGGCCACTAATACGCAACGAGCTCGGCGAAGTCCACGAGGAGAGTTGGGTCGCAAATATCCTACCAAGTTTTTTCACAATAGATGACTTGGCGACTTGTCGGACGTTGAGCCAAACTACCTTGCCGACGCTGGTGGAGACATGGTTACAGAGCTCTTCTCAGGGCTCTTCAGAAGGGTTATTGATCATTCTTGATGGAGTAGAGAATGCACAATGCCATGAAGGCCATGAGTTGCTCGTTAATATAGTGACGCTTGTTGGTCAATCGGATAGCATACGTCTCCTCCTGCTTGGTCAGACAGAGGCACTTGAAAACTGGATTCTTCCGCCTGGAGTAGTTCGCCATGAACTATTACCACTACTGGTTTCACAGAGGCAGTATGCAATAGAGACACTTAGCCTATTGGAGGCGGCTAAGGCCACAGATCCAAGGAGGATCACTACAGAAACAAGGAAAATACCACCAGGAACAGGATTGGGTACTTCAGCCGCGGTACCTGTGGTTTTTGCGATGGCACTCCAGGCTAGCCGATCTGGGGACAAGGCCGAAGAAACTCTCGATGAATGGCTAGCAGTCGTCTGTCCTACCCCAGAATTGGCCAGCAAACTGTCAACCGAAATCTTCCATCGCGCTACCGCTACATTACCGCTAAGTAATGATACGCCGCTAGCGAATCGGCCAATACGGAGCACGCCATTTCTAGCCTTTTCTAACACCGTTCAACAACTGCTGGTCGCTCGGCACCTGGCAAGCCTCAATCCCAATGTGACAGTAGATCTCTTTTACCGAGCGTCTCTGCAAGGAGATTCAATTCTGCAAGTAGATTCGATTATACGCAGCGTGTTGGTCCGTCTCACAACATCTGGAGAACAGCAGCAACGTGATGCGCTTATCGAAGGTCTGCTAGAAGGCCCAAGCGCGCATCTAAGTGCGCTTCTCATTGCAGATTTCGTTGGTGAAGAGCCTAAGTTTCGTACTCAAGTGACGAAGTATATCCTTGACATCGTCCAGAACGGCCTTCTGTCTATTAATGCGCGCCAGAAAGCTGGTTGCATCCTCTCAACACTAGGCGACCCCCGGGATCTTACAGGTCTAGCAACTGTACCGGCAGGATCTTTTACATTTGGCTCCTACGCGCATCCTAACTCGGAACCTGTGAATCCTGCGAGCTTAAGTAGCTTTCGAATCGGGCTTTACCCGGTGGTTAATCGGGATTACGCGACTTTTATTCAAGAGACGCGACGAGAATGGCTTAGCCCCGATTGCATCATCCCCAAATACCGTAATGCGCCCGCTACAGATCTTACTTGGCACGATGCTCGAGCATACTGCGCGTGGTTAACAAAGCAATGGCGTGCTAATGGTCGAATTGAGCCGACTGAGGAGGTGAGACTACCCACGGAGTTGGAGTGGGAGCGCGCTGCGCGTGGTGATCAGACCGAGACCGGAGAAGATGGAAGAATAATATATCCATGGGGAACAGAGTGGCGGAAGAATGGGGCCAACAGTGAGGAAACTGGGTTTAATCGACCTTGCGCAGTAGGGATTTTTCCACCATCAAAATTCGGTTATGACTTTACTGGGCAGGTTTGGGAGTGGGTAAGCACTTGTTGGGGAGAAAATATGGCCACGCCATTTTTCAAGTATCCATACCGGTCGGAGGACGGTCGTGAGGCGCTTGAGGGTGTTCCCAAAGAGATACGTCGAGTTTTACGCGGTGGATGCTTCTCGAGTACACGAGCCAAGGCCAGCTGCACCTACCGAGGAAGTTTGGAGCCCGCAGGATTCTGGCGAGGTAACGGGTTTCGCATAGCTGTTGCAACTGTTGGAGTTGATAGAGATCACATGATCTAAGAACCCTGTCAGAAAATTGGGCGGAAGGAAATGTTAACGATTGATTGATTGGCTAATTACGTGGGAAATCCACAGAAACTAAAGTCCAAATAACATGCAAACAAAGCAAACAGTAACCGTCTGACAAACCCATATTTTTTTAGCCAATGGATTACGGTTTTCTCTTCTGATATCCATCAATATTAGTTCCGTAGACCTCTATTTCTGAGTTTGAAATCTTATAGAATCGATGTATCTATCACTCGCATTTTATTCCATACATTTGAATACCGCTTATCGGCCTTCAAATGGTTTGCGAATTCAATTCCTTTTTTGTTCTGCGATACGCCGTAGGTAAATGGATGTCAGCAATTTCTTTCTCTGGATTCAAGTGGGTCATCTTTTTCACAGTTGATGTTTTCGATGTTACCACTTTTGTCCTAATTAGCTGATTTTAGTGGACCCGTTACACCCGTGGACGACGATACATATTTAGGCCATATATCCCCCTTTACTTTCTCTTCCATTTTCAATTACTTTCACAACCTTGGAGCCAATTGAAGGGAAAAAATTTCACTGAATTATTCCAACTGTCGACATGCCGGTCATCACTGATTTCGTCTTCCCCAGATCACCAGAGGCTCTTACTCTGCCCCAAAATGAAGAATCTACATTCTTCCTAATTTTCACCACATCAAATGATCCGAAAACCGGACAATCATGGTGTCCTGATGTCAGGGCTGCCCTACCGTATCTGAAAGCCTCATTTGCCTCTCAAGATAGTCCACAGGCTGCCTGGGTTGAGGTTGGTCAAAGAGACCCGTACGTATTTGGTTTCTCGAACATAACAATATCCAATCGCTAATAGGGATGCATTAAACAGGTGGAGAGTCTCGACAAATGTCTACCGCACCAAATGGAATGTTCACAACGTCCCTACCTTGGTGCGCTACCAGCGCATTGATGGGCAGGTAAAAGAGACTGGGCGTTTGGTGGAACGAGAGATTCTGGATTCCAAGAAATTGAAAGACCTGATTAAACCAGAACAACAGATATATTCGGACTAGATATTTCTATTCCTTTTGAGAACAATATGGCTGAGGCCAAAGGCAGGAACAAAACTCAAGGATAAGAGAGAAAGGACTGGCCATATTATTGGAGTCACACAGGTCTGGTGTGTTTGACTTTTGATGACTAGTTATAGATTGGAATAAGTGAGAACTCCCTTGAACAAATTGTCAATATTTGTATATGATGATTGCTTAAAAATATCCATGGATGTCCCAAGATAAGACCCCGATAACTGCTAACTACGTGCTGCGTCGGAAAAGTGCCATGTCAGCCCTATTCACTGCTGCGGCTCTGGTATGCCGCTCTATGTACAGGCCGACCTGCAGCATCATGCTCCTGATCCCATACCTCAACGTTAGCGTTCTGGACCTTGACAAGTTTATGATTGACAGATCCGTCTTCATGCTTCTCAATGGTTTGTCGATAAACATAGCCTTTCCACTTGGGAATCAACACGATCCAGAAAACGTAGTAAATTCCACAAACAACCAACCTGTCAGACTGATTAGTCTAAGAAAAGTTACAAGAGCGGGTTTGAACTTACAGCGCAATTCCAACAACCAAATATGTCCCATACCAAAAGCTAACGTCGCCTCCATTTCTCCCCTCGGTAGGAGGATACCAGGGTGCCACAAGCATGTAAAAGTTCGTCAACAGTGCAAAAGCAATCGCAATGTTCCATGCTTTATACTCCGGTCTCGGGGCATTAAGATTCTTGCGGCGCCAACGAATGATAATGAGGCCTAACACGATGAGGAAATTGAATATATTGCCAGGGTAGTTGGAAAGGTCGACAACTAATGGTAATAAGATGTCAGTCGAGTTACCAACGAAATCAAAGAAGGGCTTCGTACTGAAATTGAATGCATCTCCTGCAGGAGGAGCTAATATCATTATGATAGTAATGGTCCATTGGAGAATATAGGGTCCCAGTGGAGTTCCCCATGGCTTAGTTGAGGTCCAATATCTGGGCCACGGGAGAACACCTTGTCTAAAATTCATGTTAGATGTGAGTCTTTGTTGAGACATACTTCAAGCAAGGAACTTACCTGCCTGTCTCACGGAGCATTCGTGAGTAAGCGATCATGACAGCAAGCAGGTTTCCGAAGGCACTGAGAGAAACGAGCACATTCAAGCCGTGGGCAACACGAGCTGAGCCAAATACCTTCTCGAAAAAAACTGCAGCTGCAGTCTGTTTGGACAAGAGGATTTCTTCTCTGGATGCTGCTGAGAAGTAGGCAACATTGACAAGTATATACAATATAGTCACCAGGATGCTTTTTGAGGAAAAAAAAATTAGTCATTGCTCACGACATGATGAGGAAAAGATATAGATAAGTGGGGTGGGGGAAATTTACAGAGAGCTAGAAGCACTCCAGCGGAGAGTCTTGATAGGATTCTAGAAGATTGATGTCACAGTTAGCGCTCTGCATTTCGCATTCAAGTGTTGAGAATATTCTAACCTTGATTTCATTGACCATACCAAAAGCGTTGGTATATCCCGCATAAGAAAATATCAACTTGATCATAGCATTGGTGGCCCCATAAGCAGATGCATCTGATGTACCTACCCATGGATCGCGCCAATTTAACATCGGGTCTTCAACTCGTGTATGTCCACCGAGGACAACCAGACCCGTGATTGAAATTCTGGGTTGACAAAATAAAGTCAGCATTCATACTCAGAGCTGTCAATCTTGGAATCCCTTAACCATACAATAGCAAAGTCGCAATTTTGATAAATCCAATCCAGAGTACCATCCGCATGCTCAATTTAGTATTGATGCTCACCACTAGAGGATTAGTTAGCCATCAGTAGAAATCGCAAGATTCGGGTATTCATCTCAACAAACCTATGAATGCAACTGTATACCCAGCCACAGCAACACCTTTGAGTTGCCAGTTTGTATATGACAGCCCACCAATACCAAAGATGTACTCCGCTAGCACAATAGCATTACTGCTGGAAAATGAGAAAATAATATGCTTCATGGCGAAAGTCGTCGGGAAGAAGTATTTCGGCTTGGGATATGCCTGTTCAAGATAGACAACCTCGGCTCCGGACCGACTGGGAAAATAGGATGCCAACTCTAAGTACACTGCCAAGGTGGAGTGCGAGAGAAGGTATCCGATAAGCCAATATATCATACTGAGGCCGACTGAGCCTACACCTTTAAGAATTGACGCAGCTAAAAGAGAAAATTGAATTTCAGTACCCCGGACAGAGATTTGTTAGGTATAGCTGGTGAGACTCACGTGTTGAAAAGATACCCGTTCCAATCATCTGGTTGACATTCAAGCACAAGCTGGTCCAGGTACTGATAGAGTATCCCAGTGGTGAGTCTGTCTCTATAGGTGCACCTGATGCATCCTGGTATGTTGCATTTGTAGAATTCATACCAACAGTGACGGTGAATTTAGAACCACCATTATCAATGATACTTTCGGCTGATTCTGTAGCAGATGAAGGTTGAATATTGGCCGATGGCCTTTTTCCTTCTTCATAATCCAGGCTCATTGTCACAATGCCAAGGCCTAAACTTTGTTGTCGTCTATGAGGGTGGAATGCCGGTTGAATAGAGTATTTCCAGCGTTTATCGCCCAGTAATCATGGATAGGAATCCTCTTTAAGTTCAATTCCAAGGTCTGAAGCCAAGGGAATAGACGATGGATATACTTAAGTGAAATCACCCGATCTTCAAGATAGAAGACATAAAAGCACGCCATCCACCAAATGAATTTGAAGGTGAGAGCTTCTATATCCTAGTCTAGAAAAAGGAATATCCCCGTATAAAATGTTACGTAGTCTTCCACTTAGCTATGGCGAAATTTGGTTTCATGCCTGCATCATACCTACCTAGGTATATGCATGGACAGTCCCTCGAAGTACTGTTGTGAGAAACTAGGGATAAAGATACAATGCTACAGGGATGTTTCGTGATTTGAAATACCGATTGATGGTGCGCATAACATACAACTTGATTTATGTAAAGCTTAATATTCGAACATCTCAGTCAGCTTCAGAGCATGTGAATTGTATAAGTATACGGGCCTTGCCTTACATACGTTACAGTTCTTCTTATAGCGACGCCTAAGTGAAATAGTTGTCCGAATTCCCCCTAGCATAACCACTAACAATCGATGAATATATATATGTTTTATCGGAAAATAGCTCTTTCAAGAATAGTATTGGCTATAACTCAAATCTATCCTCGATTAATTAGTATTTTCAGATAGCAATCTTCCGCCATGCCAGCACCGAAGAAGCCGGCCGCGAGGACTGCTAGTTTTAGCACAATTCTCACGATATTAGGCTTGATTGAGTAGTTATAGAAGGGTTCAGGGACTTAGTCATCTGACCTCCTATATATTATTTCTTATGCATTTTGGTAGAGCCATCGATGAAGAGAAATTGTAGGAATTTGATAGCGTCTGTAATGAAGTGTAATTTATGTATGTAAAGCTCAGTCACGTATCAAAACAGAACAATAATCAGGAACCAATCAACTGACTATTATCTGATACTGCATTCCAAGCTTTGACCCCCGCTTTTCAAAAGTCCCAACGTTGCATTTCAGATGAGACTAACGATCACTTGGGTAAAGATTAACGGATTTTTCAAGCTGATCTATCACGAATATTTTCGTCATTTGTTCAAGAAGTGCCAAACAGGCTCGAGAGAATAGCTACCAGGTGGAGTTTAGAATATCTCCCCTCTTATGTTACAGCTTCATATCTGATTGATTTTACCACAACCAATTGACTAATTGGTAGGTACTGAAGTACTTAAGTACTAATGTACTAAAATCACTGTATAATGCATATTTAGATACTCACCGGTGTAGTTTTGCCGTATGACTTAGGAGGCCAATAAGTGGATGCAACTATCAATGCAGTCTCGAGCATTTCCATACTAGAACTGCAGAAAAATCTTGGAAATTTGGAAGGTCCGTCAGTATTCCATACGGTGGTCTCCTTCATAGCCCATATCCATATGATGGATAATATTTGAAAACCGCACCTCCACTGAACGGCAAAATAGATATGAGCTCACCTACCTAGGTAGATAAAGCCTTGAAGGCGGCTGTACCGTGAGAATAGGCGAAGTGGATCAGGACGTATTCTATCTATAGTTAGTTTACGTGGTGGATACGTAGAACACAGGCTCTGATCTAGGCCTGGGCATGTCGAAATGCCCACGGGTCTATAACGTGCCCAAGCCAAGGTTTGTACCATTTTTAAAGGTCTCCATGTACTTACGTGGCTAATGTAGTATCATACCGAGGCATATCGCGGAGATCTATCCTATAAGGGGCGTAATCAGTTAAATTTACATAGCGATCGAACTATGAGATAAACACGCTTGCAGGAAGGCACATAGACTAGTACTAGTATTGCCGAGGTACATACTTTTATCAGCATCTTATAAGTCGATGTTCCAATCTTGGAAAGCTTCCAAGGGTGATGATGTTTACGAGGTCCAAGTTCAAATGATGCTCATTCTTTGTGCCAAGATGGAAGCGATGATTTTAGAAGTATGGATCAGTTGAAGGCTTTTTTTCTTGAAGTTCTACGGTTAGGTAGCTCGTAGCCGACCAACGCAATGCGCAACGCGTGGACTTTAGAGCAGACGTGTAAACCGCTATCTTCTCATCTGGCAGCAGCCTAGTATTGCATCAGATTCCTCCACATCGCGCAACCCAGCTCTGCATTTTCCATGACATAACTATAACCACCTGGGGAATTCTTCCCTATACGTAAGCCGTCCAAGGGGATAGCTAAAAAGGTTCTCCTGGCACTTGAGAGGTGAGACTACTGCACGAAGCCCGGTTTGCCGTCGCTGCTAGCACGGGCGCTTTCGACTTTACGCCCGCATTCGAGGACGCCGTTCTCTGCATCGTCCCCTCGGCCCTCTTTCTGGTTGTGGCCCTACAGCGTCTCTTCTGGCTCGCGAGACAGCCTCGCAAGATTGCCAAAAGCTACCGGCCAATCGTGAAACTGGCAAGTCATAATCATAAATCTTTTCTGGGTCCATTGGGTCCGCAAAAAACAACTACTGATTGGTTCAGTAACTGCAGGGATTGATCGGCGTCTATACGGCTCTACAACTTGCAGTATTGCTGTACTGGGCTCTGAATTCAGAGAAGTGGCATTTTTCTCAGTTGCGGACGTCGGCCGCCGTGCTCGCCTTCGTCGATGGAATTTTGCTCTTGTTCCTGTCTCACACCGAGCACGCGCGCTCGGTGCGACCATTTACCATCATAAATGTTTATTTACTCTTTACTTTGCTCTTTGACTGCGTCATCGCCAGAACCCTGTGGCTTGCCGATCATGACTCCACCATCTCGAGCCTCTTTACCGCAACTGTCGCGATCAAACTCTTTGTCATGACTTCGGAATCTTGGGAAAAAAGACCTATACTCCTGTCCCAGTACCAGTATCTCTCCCCAGAGGCAACCAGTGGCATACTGGCCCGGAGTGTTTTCTGGTGGCTGAATTCGTTGATGCGAACCGGGTTCACCCGCTCCCTCATCGATCATGATCTGCTTCCCATTCATGACAGCCTAGCGGCACGAACACTACCCCCCAAAGCAGGAAACTCGTTTAGTTCATCAAACCAGTCCAACCGCCATGCCTTGGCCTTCTCCACGTTGTGGGCCACCAAGTATATCTTTCTGGCTGGCGTGGCACCCCGGCTTGCATTGGCAGCTTTCAAGTACACGCTGCCCTTTCTCATTACCAGGACGACTCCCTGAGCGGCCGATCCGTCGCAGCCGGATGCAATTGGATGGGGACTGACGGGCGCATGGATGCTGGTCTTCCTTGGGCAAGCGATTTCAAACGGCTTTTATTACCCAGATGACATATCGATTTGTCACTTCGATTCGCGGCAGTCTCTGCAATTTGATCTACACCAAGACATTGGATCTCAGCAGCACGGCTCTCGACGAGTCCGTGGCGGTATCGCTCATGTCCACGGACACCGAGAGTATCTGCCAAAGCGCCGCAACCTTGCACGAGCTTTGGGCCTCGCCGATCGAGTCTGCAGTCGCCATCTTTCTCTTGTACAGGCAGCTTGGCCTTGCCGCGCTGGCCCCGGTCGTTGTAGCAATCATTGACACTACTAGCATGTTACAGCTTGCCCAGTTCATTGGCATGGCTAAGAGGAGATGGATGAGGGGTATCCAAACGCGGGTCGATGTAACGGCTTCTGTCCTCACATCCATGAAGGTTAGCATCTAGCGCGAACACATGGTAATTGATGTCAGGTTACAGTACTAATCGGTTCGTTGCAGGAAGTCAAAATGCTTGGCTTGTCAGATATTGTCGCGAACATGATCCAGAACCTCCGCGTCACAGAGCTGGACTTGTCCAAGCAGTATCGCAGGCTGTTAGCCATACAGACTTTCATTGGTAGGTACCCCAGTTATGAGCCCTTGTTATCCCGCGTTTTCAACGTGTCGTCACGCTGCTACTAACTCCTTTGACTGAGTAGCAATGAATACAGCGACCATCGCTCCTTTGGCGACCTTTGTAACCTTTGTTATTATTTCCAAGAGCACTGGTCAGCCCTTGAACACGGAGTCTGCTTATACTTCCCTCTAGCTGATATACCTGTTGTCGGACCCCATGGTTGTCGTATTTCGTACCATACCATTCGTCAGTGCCGCTCTCGCGTGCTTTTCTCGCATTCAAAACTACTTGTTGTCTGAAAGCTGTACCAATTACAGACTGCCCTTGAGCAAGCGGGATAATCATCCAAGCCAAGACGATGAGAAAGGAGACACGCTTGTGGCAATATCAGGAGCCACTTTTGGCTGGGTTCCCGGAAAGCCAGACATCCTTAACGACACCACCTTTAATATCCGCAGGTCTTGCTTCACCTTCATCTTCGGGCCTGTGGGCTCGGGTAAGAGCACCCTCATGAGAGCCATTTTGGGAGAAGCCCCGCTCCGAGCGGGCTTCATCCATGCCGATCCCGGCAACATTGCTTTTGTTGGTCAGGAGCCCTGGATCCAGAACCTGACGATACGCCAGAATATCCTAGGTCGTGTCAGCTACGACGCGGAATGGTACAGCAAAGTGGTCTACACGTGCGGGTTGGAGCAGGATATTGGCGAGCTTCCAGACGGAGATGCGACGATGGCGGGCAGCGCGGGTTTTTCGTTGAGCGGCGGCAAAAAGCAGCGGCTCGCCTTGGCCCGAGCCGTCTACTCCAGAGAAAAGATAGTTTTGTTAGACGATGTCTTTGCTGGACAGGATACGGCCACCGAGGAGCACGTCTTCCAGAATCTTTTTGCCGAGACGGGTCTTTTCCGGCAGATGAGCATAACTGTGGTCTGTGTCACGAATGCCATCCATAGACTCGCCTATGCCGATCATGTGGTCGCTCTGGATGTGAGCGGCCATATCGTGCACCAAGGCTCATTCGCCCAACTTCAATCCGATACAGATTATTTACATGGGCTGGCAGACGAGCAGAACGGCACAATTGACGCATAGGACACAGCTAAAGCTTCGGTGCAGTATCGCCACAAAACTGTTCCAAAGGGCCGATACGAAAATGATGCTGGTCAGAACAGCGACAACTCTGAATCGGCCGGACAAGTCCTCGGCGAGTTTGCCACATATGCATATTACTTTGGCTCCGTCCCTGTATGGCACACCATACTGTTCGCTTCCCTCATAATTCTGTACGCGGGAGGTGATAAGATGACGGCACTCGTACTCAGCTTCTGGACGGACACTGGGGAAGAACCCGGCCAAGCCACCAATGATTACTACCTTGGGCTCTTCGGAATGCTCACTGGGCTCGCTGTCTTGGGTATCACAGGGACCGCTTATTTCTACCTGGTCGTCATGGTGCCTTTGAGCTCTGAGGTTCTCCACGCTCGGCTTCTACATTCCGTCATGAATGCCCCTGTGGCCTTCTTCTCGCGCACCGACGTCGGAGTCACCACAAATCGCTTCAGCCAGGACATGTCGGTCGTCGACACCGAGCTGCCCTTCGCCTTTGTAGATTTATGCGTCAATTTTTCCCTCATCATCATGTCGGTCATCCTGATGTGTGTCTTTTCTGGGTATTTTGCAGCCACAATTGTACCTTTTGTGGCTTTTTGCTGGTGTAAGTTTTGACAGCCCGCCCCTTCATATGACAAAAAATCATGGCACGAACCCTAAGCTAACTATGCTATACGTCAACAGTGCTGCAAAAGTTCTACGTACGGACGTCTCGGCAGATCCGACTGTTTGATCTCGAAGCCAAATCTCTCCTCTTCACGCAGTTTTTTGACCTTTTCCAGGGCCTGTCCACGGTGCGAGCGTTCGCGTGGGGGCCGCGCTTCATTGAGCGGTACCTGGACCTTCTCGATGCCTCGCAAAGACCCTTTTACTTGCTCTTCTGCATCCAGCGCTGGCTGGGCCTCGTGCTCGATCTAATCTCCGCTGTCTCGTAACCGTTATGATGATCCTAGTCGTGGAGCTACGGGCGCAGCTGTCGGCGCACGGCCACGTCATCATCAAGGATCTTGTGGCCTCATACGATGCGCGCAGCGGCGGCGAGCCCGTCCTGCGCGGCGTTAGCCTCGGCATTCCCGCCGGTGCCAAGGTCGGCATCTGTGGCCGCAGCGGGAGCGGCAAGAGCTCGCTCTTGGGCTGCACTCTGCGCCTCCTCGAAGTCGGCCCCGGCTCGCGCATCACCATCGACGGGGTCGGTATCACGACGCTACCACAGCAGACTGTGCGCGCTGCAGTGGCTGTTGTGCCGCAACACCCTTTCTTCTTGAAGCATACGAGCCTCCGCGACAATCTTATCGTCCTTCACCGACAGCAGCAGCAAACCGACGACGACAAGATCCTCCAAGTCCTGCGCCGGCTCAAGATGGACGATATCGTGGATCGCCTGGGCGGCCTAGACAGCCTACTGGACGCCGATCAGCTCTCGCAGGGCCAGCGCCAGCTCCTGTGCATTGCCCGGGCTATGCTGGCGGACAAACGGATCATCCTAATCGATGAGGCCAGTAGCAACGTCGACGAGCGGTCCGAGCGGCTCATAAGGGATATCATGCGCGAGCAGTTTGCCAGCTGCACCGTCATTGCCGTTGCGCATCGCCTCGGTGCTGTCGTCGACTTCGATCGTGTTGCTGTCATGGGCGGTGGTCGGCTCTTGGAATGGGATAGTCCTCATGCCCTCCTGAAACGGGATAGCGAGTTTAAGAGGCTTTGGCATCTTGGGGGGAGTTAAAGAAGCGGTAAGATATTTAGGTCTTGTGTGTCTGGCCTTCTTTTAAGCTCAGGGCTAAGATCCACATCGCATCGGCGGTATTTTCATAGTATGCTCTATCAACTACCAACGTCGCGCTAGGTGTATATAGGACCTATGTTTATGATCGTGCATATATACCTGCCGTCCAGCAATGCCAGGACCCTGCAAGTCGACATGGGACCGGTGCAGCTCGAGAGGGTCGTTACGTCTCCGAACGCTCTCCCCGCTCTCTACCTTCAAAAATCAACCACCTTGCCGCCCGCAGCTGATATCATCGACCCTTTCTCCCACAATACTTTGGATATGATCTGTTTCTGAATATTTTATAGGGAAAAGGCTATATTAAATTGAATCCAGAATCTATAGATGTCTCACGTCGCCCGGAGTTGAATTACCCCTATAGCGCGTATATCGCGAAAGAGGGCCTCTAGCGAGCAGTGCTATTGTCACCAAGAAACAAATCGGCTTCAGCTTTAGTCCTCTCTCACGCTTTGAACAGTCTTTTCTTTCTAACTCTTACATCATGAGCGACCTACTTAGACGCTTACTATTATTCACGCTAACAAATACTACCTAAAACTTATCCTCCAGCCAAGACTTGAGTAACTACGTGACCCCTAGCGTGATGTAAGCTTTCAGTGATGATTACTCAAAGTTATTACGGATGAATATCCCTATACAATATCTTTATATCAATGTTCATTGTAGGATTGAGATTGAAGTATATAAGTGGAGCTTGCACATTATTTTGTGAGAGCAAAATCATAATGGTCTTTTGTTAGAAGCGTTTAGAAGATAATTGCAAGTATTCCCCTTAACAGAAGCTAGTAGTGTGCTTTCGTAAAGCTTCCAAGGCTTCAAGTTCGTGAAAGGGGTGTAACGCTTGCTCCCTTTCTAGAAGATTGTAGATGCTCTTCCCAAGCTTTTGACTGACCAGATCGTTGAATTATACAATCTTGGCTCGAAATTCACGTCGAGTCCCTAGAATATCGCAAAGTTCTTCCACCAACCTGCTCTTGCCGGACTCAGACAGTCGAGAAAATCTGTAGATTGCCTAGACTGGATGTAATACTAGCTAGAAGGGCGGATTCTTCGTGTTGAACCTATAGGACCATATAGAATATAGTGTTTTCCATGACTTTGTCTAAAAATAAATAGAGAAAAAGTGGGGGAAGTGAATATATTCCATTGGCTCTTTCTCAGCGCCACATCCGCGAGATACTCTATCTATCTATCAAGTTTAGACCTTCGGTCTGAAAAATTGTTACAGCATATACCCTTGTGCGCCCTGATACATATATACATTAGATAATACCCTTGTGCGCTCTGATACATATACATTAGGCATGGCTTTTCAAAATTTCCACTGCGTCTTGGCCTTCTCAGCGATAAATGCCATGCCTGGAACACGGTAGTCGTCGCGCTCGACGTACGAGGTAACATTTGCGTCAAATACAAAGTTCTCACCGACACCCTGGTCATTCAAGGTATACGCAGGCCATACCGGGTACCCTTTCAATCCATGATTATTAGGATCAAGGTCAGTCGCAAAAGAGGCCCAAATGCGGCTCATTAAGGTTGAGACCTCGACGTAAGCCGGCCTGTCAATAAGGCTCCCATTGAAGGGATTCGTAGTGTAGCCGATACCATCGATATTGTTAAAGACCCAGGCAACTTCCTGGTAATGTGTGACGCCAATGGCCGCAGCTTCACCTGCAGGCTTGACATTGAACCGGTAGCTATAGGCTGTGATATTGTTCTTGGCAAATTTTTGAACCACCTCACGCCGGGGGAAGTGCTCGACCATGTCCCCAAAGAAAGCGGCGATGCGCTTCCACTGGGTGCCGTACGTGGCCTCCTCATCGGTAGTCAAGGCATGCTCTGCGGGGATGCCGATCCCAGGTACGTTAGGGTATAAGTACTCGATCATGGTGATGGTCTCGTTATCTGGGCCTCCCTGCGCAACAGCAGCGTGGAACTCCTCGTCCGTGTTCACTCCTGAGGGGCCGATGGACGTTCCCTCATCTGTGTTGGTACCGTAGAGGATTGGTACCTTGACGAATCTACCCTCGGCAATCTGCACGCTCTGGTAGTCTTGCAGGAAGTCACCGTCAATGACAGAGATCCAAGGACCCAAACCGGTGCCAGAGATCCAAGTATCTGTGATATTCAGAGCAGTATTTAGGGAATCGAAAGAAAGCCCCCTGAGACACTCTAGAGGGCTAGTCGCGTTAGCACACCCTGTGCTACTAGTAAGATTGCTGTATAGATCCTCGCTGTAGCCATCCGGGTCGGGCGTCGCATATGGCCATCGCTCAAGTGGGCCGCCGGACTCCATAATTACCGCACGGAAGAGATTGTCATCTCGGCCACCATAGGCAGTAAGGTGGCGGCCAATGGCGATGCCTCCGGCACTCTCACCGAACAAGGTAACTTTGCTAGGATCTCCTCCAAACCCAGCGATATTCTCCTGAATCCAATGGAAGGCAAGGCGCTGATCTCGTAGCCCGTTATTGGCCGTGCCATTTGCCTTGACTTCCTTGCTCCAGAGGAAGCCAAATGCAGACAGACGATAATTCAGAGACACGGCGATGATCGGCTTGCTTGCCTCGACAGACTTTTGCACCAAGCGGGAAAGGTTGTATCGGGGATCAACAGTACCTCCTTCGTAAAATCCACCACTACTCGATGTCAGATTATGGACAAAGATTGCGCTATAGGTATCATAGTAGGGTTAACCTTACCCGTGAATCCAAACCAGGACAGGAAGCGGTTCTGAAGGTATGCCAGCCGGGCGGACAACATTCATGGTAAGACAGTCCTCAGAAGACTCGAAGTAATTAGAGTCCGACTAGACTCGGTGGATAAGATTAGTATATCGAGTGGAATACCTGAGTTAGAATTCTCGGGTTTTACTTACGCCATAACCCACACACTATATGACTCGAAGTTAATAAACTGTATTTAAGAGCGATAGCAGCTAACATGGCATTTCTTACAATAGGCGAGTACTCTGTGGCATTTCGAATTCCCTCCAGGAGGTATTCAGATTGACTGGGGCTCTGAATCTCAGGTCTCCAACAGGCGGTTGCGCATATGGGATACCGAGGAACTGATCTTCGTGATAGTGGGCATTATAAGTGCCCAAGTATGTTCCATTTCGCGTCGTGGCACTCGGCGCATAGCACGAAGTAGCACTAGCAAGAGGCAGCAGTAAGCCAGCGAGCAAAGCTTTGATACCCATTCTTGCGGGTTCACTACAAGTAACAGTCACGTACGTATGTATGCCTGTATGCCTGTATGCCTCTATGTTTAATCGTGGAATGCGAATCTTTATATCATGACAAGTACTATAGGTTTGTCTTATCTGCGGCAGTGTCGGCGCAACTTAAAAGAGTGGAGCACTGATAACGATATTCTGAGTTATTCTCGCCCCCATATTCCCACATCCCGAAGGGAAGATAAGACCCTTACCCGATAAATTCAGCAGGCATTCCAGAGAATCAGGACGGAGGACTTATAGTTCATAGATACAGACATTAAATACAATAAACAGGTGACAAATCCATTTCATAGGATCTGGGACTTCACGATTATATCATCGGTTGATCAATCATTAATTTGTCGCCGACTCGCTTGGTTCCCGACCGCGAGTTCGACTTTTCGGCAGAGGCCCGTAGCCGATATTGATTCCTTGGCAAATAGGAGTCGGCTCGGGGATGGGTCAACCTAACAAATACCCGACCCACGAAAACCTATTACCTATATCAAAAAGTGTTGTGAATGTATCAATTCCTGTTGGAACCAATGGAATCTGGCTTGCTGAAGTGAATGAACTCGGGAAGTGAATGAAACTAGTGGAATCGGGGCATATCCGATTCCATCGCGGGAACTTAGAATGAACACACATCTTACCGCATAACTTATTACACGTACAACGTAGTAGTAATAGTGCGTCGAGATCCCTGTGAACCGACAATTCCCTAAGGCTGCGGAGTATTAATACCGTTCCCTCAAGAACTAGTTTTGATACTAATTCATACGTGTTGTTGTTCTATTCTATCTTCCTATCAGTATATTACCCAATAAAACTGGCAAGACATATACATCAATAGTATTTATATATGATATTTACTTGCAATGGATTCAAGTCAAATTCTCTTTCCGTTTGGGGGTCTATTTGTGTAAAGTCAATCTCCATATGGCCAATTTAAGATGGAGACAGGGAGAGGAATAGAAATTAGCAGATCACAAGCCATAAATCCATGGTGGCTTTCAGAAGAAACGGATGGAAGCGGGATGGTCTGACTGGACGGTAGCTTAGGTATGGAATAGCTAAATCAGTCTTGGGGCCCGATTTATCGAGTCAAAAAGTAGTGCAGTCCCTTTCTCTTCTTTTGCTATTGGCATGCTGTGAAAGCCACTTGGGCAACCACTACCGGAATGAGCTATTATTGGCGAAGTACATTGATAAGGCCTAGGAGCACCAAAAACTTTCTACGCTGGCAGCTTTTGGTCTACAATGCTTCAAGTACCAAGGCATTAGTCTAATAAGATCGCGCTACAAGGTAACTCAACAGACTTTATGCATCCGACGGTAGTTGTATGCAGCTACCAAAGCAACAACATGAAAAGCACCGCCAAGCACAGTAAATATATGCCAAAGCTGATGTGAATGACTCCAAATGTCAAAGGTCCCGGGGCTCAGTCTCTCTGGGAATCGACAGACGAAAACACTCACTCCAGTCAAGAGGGAGAGTGCTTCTGCGAGGTACCACCCAGCCCCAATTTCATTACTCGCCCGCGTCCAACCCAACTCAATCACACCTTGGAGGATAGGCAACATAGCAGAGATAGCGAGTAGTGAGAAGACACCTCCTCGCAGAGTCCTCATTTTGTTGCCTCCACCGCCGGTGTAACGGCGTGGGTTGCAAGAAGGCTGAGAAAGGCAATGGACTCTCTACATAAGCTGGCTGAACCAGCCCAGCGGCCAGGGAAGCAGGGGTTCCCCGGATAAGCTAGTTAGAGATTTGCCACTTCCTGATGTATTTAATTCTCTGAGGTCTTTGGACTCTTGGAGGAGTTCAAGAGTTGTTCTTGTCCCCAATTTACCCTAGTGGAATTGAGCCCTATGGGATACCACACCCACACACCCGTCCTCTGGTAGCCTTCTCATAATAGTTCTTCTCTTGTTTACGGTAGCCCAACCGCATTGGACTCTAACCCTTACAGCCGGTGTCAAACAAAGTGATGGCAGCGCCAATCGCCGAGAAAAGATTGAGCCCCCAATACACCCGCTGGATGAAGGGTCTGCAATAAAACGCGTAATACGTCATGGATGTATTAGCTCCAAGGGCAAGGAAGCAGATTCCGAGGATATCCATTCTGCCCTAGAGATGGTGGATATTGTAAGAGTGGCTTCTTAGGGTGTGAAATCCAGCACTTAGGCCAAAGCAGATGGCTGCCGAGGCTATGAAGGACCCGAAAGCAAATACATCGCCGCGGGCGAAATTAAGGTCTTGAGAGCGCGAGACAGTGATTCAGTGCAAAACCAATAGTAATGAAGGCCATTGATGTAATAGGTTGAATCCTGGTTGTCAAAGGCCCGATTCCATTTACAGTTAGTCTATTTTAGTCAGCATTGGAATCCCACCATTCCTACCATAGTTACACACACACACATACACTTTTCATACGCATACTGCACTCTCATTTGCCCACTAGAATCCACTATTCCTTTGGTAGTCAGACCTCCATTTGACATTACGTAATAGCCACATGATTTCCGGGAATTGATAGGGACACCCCAAAAAATTGATAGGGGCACCCCAATTATTATGTAACAACTTATTATGTAATATTCTCACCCCATCCAAAATTCCTAACGTATTCCCCGCAAATGTGAAGGGCTAAAGCCAATCTTAGTGTCGGTACACCTGTACCAAGTGTGGAATAGCTATTCGATAAAGGTGATGAGGCTAACGCCCACTTCTGACACATATCACAGGTAACGCTTTACGCCCCTATGATATCTTTGTGTCCTCTTGAAGTGGTTGTAAAGGCTGGTTTTCATTCTTAGTTTGCTATCTATTATAAAGTAACAATTTGATCACATGACTGCTTTGTTCCATATTCCAACACTTAGATTCAGAACTAGGTCACAAACTGTGAACAAAATTCTTAAGGGATGTGAAAGAGTCGGCATGGAGTTGAGGATGAAGGGTCCTCAAGTCACGTGATATTTATTGCACCAAAAGTATGCGTAATGGGCAGCCGAAAAACTGTCGCACACGTGATATTTGCCAAGCCTTACTAATCTCAATAGCATTACTAATTCAAATTAAGTTCAATTCTTCTAAGTCCGATTCTAACTACTGTAAATAAACACCTAGTGGATGATCGTGCTTCCGCCAAATTTTAGGCATCGTCCGCATGCTCCGAATAGTTTTAGCTTCATTAATCAGCTTCTGGGTTTGAGCCCTTTGGCTTTTGTCGCTCGCTTGGCGATATTCGAATATCTTGACTAAGAACGGTGAGCTCCAACGAACCGCTACTCAACACTATAGACAATCCACCGATCTGGTAGTGGATTCCTACTAGTTGAATATTGCGATTGTTGTGAAGTCTGCTTTTTCATTGATGAAAGAACTAGCTATTTATAGTATATGGGTGCCCCTCTGCCCTGGACGAATGTCAACATTCGTCCGAGACAGAAGAGACGGTGAAGACGGGACATTACTGTCGCGGATGCACATCGCTCAAGGGTGTCGTTTGCGATGAATGCATATCGTTCAAGGATGTCGTGATATACTAATCTAGTTCCCGAGTCACTGTCTCGGCAGAAGCTTTTTCGGCCGAAATACTTTCCGTCTGTTGATGGCCTTGTTTCTCGGCTGTCGCAACAGCTTTTGATATACTCAAGCCACTTCTTTGCAAACCTTTCTCCTTGATCATCAACCATTGATATAGTATCAAATTGGAATTGGCCCCAAGCTATTAATTGAGCTTGAATATCCTCCTCATCTTCCTCATCCTCCTCTATTTCTTCCTCACTATCTGATGCTGAAGAGGTATCGCTTTCATAATCTGGTAGTGGAGTAGGCTCTTTACCACTGCGTTTGAACTCTGGTTTAAGTTCTAATCGCTCATCCCGCCAAAAAGGACAAGTATCATGGCGGGAAACAGTATTAAAGAATTGAGGAGGTGGCGTCTTAAAACAGTAGATAATATGCTTACAGCATAAGAATCGACTAAGTAAGAAGGCAGGACAGGCACAAACCCATTGATAAGGATCTGTATGATGCTGTTTTATCTGATCTAGACAAACAGTTTTTCTTGCATCCTTTTTCCATTACCTTTTAAAGGCTTCTCTCCATCGTCCTTTAAAGATCCGCTGCTCTCTACCTAATATAGCCTTCATTTGATAGACCATATCAGGGACGAGACGACTTAGTAGAACTGTCGCTCGCTTAGCGAGCGTAGCTAGCTAGTCGCTCGTTACTGAGAATGGTGCTCGAGTTCTTACTGCAGTAAAAGGTAATTGGAGTTTACTGCAGTAGAAAGGAGTTGGTGAGCTTCAACAAACCACTACTCAACACCGTAGACAAACCACCAAGTGTAGTGGTCACTACAGTACTGAATATTGTGGTTGTTGTGAAGTCTGCTTTTTCATTGATGAAAGAACTAGCTACTTATAGTATATGGGCGCCCCTCTGCTCTGGACGAATGTCAACATTCGTCCGAGACAGAAGAGACGGTAAAGACGGGACATTACTGTCGCGAATGCGCATCGCTCAAGGGTGTCGTTTGCGATGAATGCATATCGTTCAAGGATGCCGTGATATACTAATCCAGTTCCGGAGTCGCTGTCTCGGCAGAAGCTTTTTCGGCCGAAATACTTTCCGTCTGTTGATGGCCTTGTTTCTCGGCTGTCGCAACACTTACCTAATGCTGATAAGTTGCCTGCTTTAAAGATCTCTTGGTGGGCCTGATACCTTCCATTCTGGAAATCTGCCTCATTTAGAAGCATTTGAGCTGAGGTAAGAGGATCATCATGGCGTCGCCAGTTCTTTGAGTTTGCCTTATGCCAGATATAATAGACCTGGTGCCTTGACACTTCCTTTCCTTTAGGATGCTCCCTAACCTGGCGGGAAATCTCTGCAGGAGCATGGGTCAAGACAAGGGAGTCAATAAGATCGTGTATGACTTGCGGAACTTGAAGATCTTTATAAGGCGGGTGCCAGTGATGTTGAATAGAAAGACGGAGGGTCCGATCAAGTAAGGATGGCTGTATAATAAGCTTACTTCCACAAGGAAATCGCTCTATACGGCGGCCATCTCTCTGTTTTTCAACTTCTACCTTAGATTGATAGCTTCGGGTATGCGCTTCATCCTGAGAGCAATGATATCTATACCGATGATATTGGGAATCAGTTGAGGTATGGCGGAATCGGAATCCACCTTCCTGCCAGATCAAATCTGAAAGACTATGCATTGCTATTCCCATCTCCTCTTTATCAAACTCAGAGCCAAATTTGATAGGCAAAGCATCAAGATCAAATTCAAAGTCATGATTAAGAGGCTGAGGCTGGGAGAGAAGCATAGTAAATTCATCCCAATCATCGCGCTGAAGAGAACGCTTCTTTGTATGACGATTACAAAGGCTTTTTCGCTTCCCTTGCTTATTAAGATCAAAATCCTCGGTCGGACGGGGATTACGGCATTTCGAGCAAAAAAAGGTAGTGGTATCCATGGTGCAGGGTAATTTTTAATGACGCGTGTATAGATAGGGCGTGTATAGATAGGGATGAACACCTAGACGCGATTGTAAACATTTACGCCAAGACGCTAAGCCTGATAAAAATATCACGTGCGCGACATTTTTCAGGAGCCCAGTCCCCCCATGTTATGTCAAATGGCCAGTCCTATTTTAGTCTAGTGTTCTTTATTAGTCAGCTTCCGTACGCTCTTTACTGTAGTAAGATTTACTACTGCGAATACACACACATATTGGAGATTGTGAAGTCTTCTGATTGGTTCCTATAATCCCACTTCCTCGCCCAAGTTGACATGTTACTTTATAATAGATAGCAAACTAAGAATGAAAACCAGACTTTACAACCACTTCAAAGGACACATAGATATCATAGGGGCGTAAAGCGTTACCTGTGATAGGTGTCAGAAGTGGGCGTTAGCCTCTTATCAACTTTATCGAGTTGCTATACCCACCGGTGTATCGACAGTTTCTTTCGTATCGGTAGCTGAAGGACTTGCTATCGACCCCATTGCTCAGTATCCTGCAGCTGCAGGACCTCTTTCAGGATCCCATCCGAGGTGAATGGTGTTTGCATCCTCTTCTTCAGGACGGAGCATCAGGTGGCTTTCACTACCAAGTAATTGATGCAACTAGATATGAGAGGAACTGCTCAGGTGGCTCATAGATGCTCTGCAGCATCCGAAAATCCGACTCTTTTATTGGTGGTTGCTAGACATGTTCATTGGGTTGGGTAAACCCATACCCAACCCAACCCAACCCACAATGGGCTGGGTATGGGTCAGAAATTTTACCCAAAACCCATATGGGTTGGATATGGGTTTGAAGTAAAACCCACACCCAGCCCATAAACCCATCTTTTTGCCAAGACTTTTATTTCACGTGATATTTGTCACCTAGTTAGTACTAGATTGAGGCAAAAATTAGGCACTAAGGCACTAATTACCCTAATTTAGTTTAGGTTGAGGCGAAAATCAGGCATTAAGGCATCAAAAATACCCATATGGGACCCATACCCAACCCATACCCACGTGGGTTGGGTTGGGTATGGGTATGGGTTTACCTTACCCCTGATGGGTTGGGTATGGGTATGAATTTTGACCCATACCCAACCTATGCACATGTCTAGTGGTTGCCTACCTAGCCATTTGCTATGTGTCTTGGGCACTTAGGTACTTGATATATACTATCAGCAACATAGATCAGATGCCTAGGTGGTTGGGTGACTGACTGTCTTTAACGTCGCTTCGAATTGATGGAGCGTCAATTTAATTGGTTATGAAGGGAAGGATGGAAATGTAATAAACCATCTATCGAGGAGTAAATACAATACAGTTCTAAGGGGATCAAAAATTTCATGGTGTAAACCTTTAGTCATTTCAGGCTCCCAATTTCGGATGAAGGGTGCAGTCAAATTTCAAAGCTAATATAGTCCCCACTCAACTTGCTCGTTCTTGACATCAACTTCACAGCCCATAACCCCCTTGGAACCAACCATGCCGTTACTGGCAAACTTTTCAACCGACGAGGTGATGATGTCAATAATGTCTTGGCCGCCAACATAGAAGTTGGTATTTCCCGTTAAGCCTTTACCCTGAACACCAAACTTAGAAGTGCCAGACTGAGCAATTGGGTACTACTCTTCCACAGCGTTTTCAACTTCATAGTGATATGGGGAAATCTCGTAGGCAGTGCAGTCAGAATGCATAGGTCAATTCAGCACAGAGAAAGAGAAGAACAAACTAAACCAACTGCGAACTGGAAATGTCGTCTAGAGAATGTAGGGGTAGGGTCAGAGAGTTGTGGAAGGATATTGTATTCTGTCAAAGGACCGATTCCAAGTTTAGTTTAGTGCATTATTAGTTAGCTCTCATACGTTCTTTACTGTAGCAAATTTTACTGCAGCGAATACACACACACATATTTTGACTACTCTGTTCCTATTTGCTCGCACGAATCCACTATTCAGTTCTCATTTGACATATTCGTACTATGAAGCTATGGTATATATGGTAGCTGGAACTATACTGCCGAAGCTAGTGATAGACCGCTTGCTTATAATAGTAGGGGGCATACTTCCCCGCTACAATAGGTATTCGGTTCAAGCGCATTTTTGAAGTTGATGGCTATTTGTTGGCAGTCAGTGACCAAGGGTGAGGCGTCGCTGGTCTCGTCCACAAATGTAGAAGTTCTGCAGTCATTGATTTGTGGCTGAGTCGGTCAGATCCGGCTTGCTAGCACCGTTGGCATTGCCGTTCCCTACATATGTATTGAGAGAGCTAGTGATAAGGTCTGACAGAATGACACCGCCAAAGATCAGGCCATCAAGTGTGCTGAGCCCTAGAGACTTTGAGAAGATGCTGTCGTAACATGTTCCATCTTCTATATCGCGGCAGCTGCTAGCTTTTCCCATCGGAATTAACAAGATAGTACAATTGAGAGTCATGAAAAGCCCAGTTGAGTTCATCAAGTCTGTACTCAGGTATATATCCTCAGCATTTTCCAGGTCGATTTCGATATCACAATCGTAGCCTGAGTTGATAATGAAGGCACGTGTCCCTGCAAAGGACCAGATATAAGGAATGGCATAGGCAAAGAGCGCTTTAGAAATGGTGCCCTCAACTGTGTAGATATCAGGTTGTAAGGGTGCTATGACCGCACCACTTGGTCGCATAACCTTAATGAGTTGACCATCCTTAAAGGTGTCGGTCAGTAAATCCAGAGTATAGTCTGAGGTCTTAGCCATTGAAAAGTCTTATGAGACTTATGCTGGTCTAGTTCGCGATGCCGTCAACAAAACTCATCCTGCTTTGCGATGGTCCAGTTTGAGCTGAAAGGTGTTGTATGTTAACAAGAGAAGAAAAAGAGAGGTGGCAAACACAATATAAAGAAAGAGAGGGATTTTTACCTTGATGTGTCCTAGAGGTCTTCAACTAAAGAAACACTGAGGATAACCAGCTCATGGCCCACATCCTTCAAATTGTTGGATGCGATAGTATGGCCTCCCAGTATGGGGCAAATTTGAAGACTAAGGAGATAATTTTGCGTAAGGCACTGGCGTGATATGTGACCTCAGTCGTACGGCTGAGTACCGAGTGCACTCCCAATCGAGATGCAGTTACACTAAGCTCAAGATCGATAGCGTAGTGGGAGATGAAGAAGGAGACCTAGGAGAAGCTCGAAAGAGAAGAAATCTGATGGTCTGATCTCAACTAGTTAGTTGTACACATTGTGCTGAGTCGGGTCACACCACTACACTAGATATCTGTATAGCTAGGCAAAGTCTTAGCGACTGTGCTAGAGAGCTCAATAAGGCCGTCTGCCGGACAGCCGAGGATTGATAAATGGACGATAATTTTTGGGTGGGTTGATAAACATGTAATGCGATTATAGTGCTAAACTCCATTCCTCAATTCTCTTTTTAACCCATAGAAAATACCATCATGACCTTCTGAACCTTTCTAAATCTCCACTATCAAGCTTGGCATTCATTCTTTTCGTCTAAGATCAATGCCCGGGTGATTTTGTAGATCTTGTGGAGTCCCAGTTGGGGTCTGTGTTGAATGATCAAACAAGCGACTTCTGAGTCTCAATCATATAACCTTCGGCCAAGATTCCTTGCATAACCTACTCTTGCTCGTGGCCAGTTGCGCTACAGAAGCCAATGTCGAGCCTCCCAAGATGTCAAACACGGCCATTTCGGCTTGAAGTTCTCGGTAAAACCAGCTCCGAAGCTCCACTGCAACAAGTGAATCTACTCCGTACTGATGCAGCGGCTTGTTGGCATCAATATCAGTCGTAGAAATTGAGAGAGTGTTCGAAAGCTTTAATGCAATAGCCCCGGTGACTAACGCAGTAGCGCTTTCCAGAGATTCTGCCTGTTGAAGAGATGTATTGAAAGAATCCGATGTGCCAATACTACCACTGGCAATATCATGACTCTTAAGCTGCCAAAACATCGGTTTCTTTAGCCACGACGCCTGTGTTGCGCTTGGAGACAGGCCCACGGTGACTTGGCAATCTAAGCTATTATGCAGACTGACTTGAGGATCACAGTAATGGTCCAACATGGCATGGAGTTGAAGCTCAGTCACTGCCTCCAATCCCATATTGGCAATCAATTTTTCGCGCAGCTGAGCATCCTCGGCAACAGCTCCTGCGAATTCGACCACCCCTAGATCAAGGGAAGTCGCTTTCTCGCCAAGCCCCACGCGATGATAAGCTAAGGCGTCTTGAAAGGTGTTTCCAGCCGCATAATTGGCCTGTCCAGTAGTTCCTATGAGTCCAGCGATGGATGATAGCATGATGAAAAAGTCCATTCCAAGGGGGAGAAGTTTGTGGAGGTTCCAGGAACCTTGGACTTTAGGAGAGATTGACTCATGCCATGATTGATAAGAGATATTCTCGAAAAGTGCGTCCTATAGTGGTTAGCAGTGTCTAGATGTTATATCTCAAGAGAAACTCACCCGTAACACCATGGCTGCTTGGATGCATCCTTTGATAGGAGGCATGTGGGACATACAAGCTATTAATGAATTCTGCAAGAGCACTCGGTCTGACACGTCACATTTTGGGGCCATCACTTGTACACCTCTTCCCTTAAGATGATCAATCAGACAACGGCTATTTTCACCTTGTGCCCCTGAACGTGACAATAGTAGCAGATGACGGGCACCTCGATCCGCAAGCCAAGTAACAATATTGCGCCCTATTCCACCTAGTCCTCCGCAAACGACAAATGTGGAATCGGGGTCCAGGAAGTAATTAGTTTTAGTTTTCAGCACAGTCTGCGTCAGAGTCAGCTTTTAAGCCTAAAGTAGTTTTGAGAAGATACCCACAGTCACTTCGTCCTCTGAACGCATTTGAAGCACCATTTTACCCACATGCTGTCCGCCTTGCAATAGACGGAAAGCCTTTTCTATTTCACCCACCCCATACTGATGGATAGGCTGGGATGGGTGCAGCTTACCTTCCTGCACTGATGCAAAAATCTTTTTAAGAGCAGCGGCACACACTTCAGGTCGCTCTACTGTCATAGCAGCGAGGTCGACACCACTGTAGGTAACATTTCGAAGGAACTGCAACATAGGAAGTCCCTGATTAGACAGTATGTCCCTCTTGCCAATTTCGAGAAACCTGCCATATGGCGCCATGCACTCCCAGGATGCTAATAAACTCTCTCCAGCCAGCGAGTTCAGAAGAATATCAACACCCTTGTTGCCTGTGCGATGCTTGATAGCTTGAGTAAAGAAAGTTGTTCGGCTAGAAAAGATGTGTGATTCGGGGATTTGATAGGTATCGATAAGGAATTGCTTCTTATTTTGAGAGCCGACAGTCGCGAAAATAGTTGCTCCAGCATTTTTCGCAATTTGGATTGCCGCTTGGCCAGTACCGCCTGTTCCTGAGTGAATTAAGACGGTTTCGCCAGGCTGAATCCGTGCTATATTATGTAAAGCAATGTACGCAGTAGCATAGTTGACGGGCAAGACTGCTGCCTCCTCAAAAGACATACCAACAGGAATCTTTATAATAGGTCCGTTTTCTTGCATGCGTATTGAGGTGGCGAAGCAGCCGTCTCCTAGTGCGGCAACTGAATCGCCAACCTGGAATCTAGATACGGCATCACCGACTCGGATGACAATGCCTGCGCACTCAGATCCAGTATGACTTGCCTTTAATTGCCCCACTGCAATCAAGACATCACGGAAATTGACTCCTGCACACTTTATTTCGACTTCAACTTCATTTGAATTCAGTGGCCGATCTCCATCCGGTTTCTCGATGAATTTGAACCCGCTTATTAGCCCTGGTGAAGTGGCATCCAGCTGGAGAGGGACCTGGCACTTAAAGCTTTGGATTTTTTCCTGCTGTTTGCTGGATTTTCGAGACACAGTCTCGTTAAGCCAGCTCGGAGTAACTAATCGAGGAATATGGATAATGCCGCCCTGTTCGAGATACTCTGTATCTGCATTATTGTCTGCTTGTGAAGTAATGTGTCGAACTAGCTTTGCAATTTGCTGTGGTGCTGCAGTGAGACCTTCGGTAGGATCAATTGAAAGGAGGTGAAGCTTGCGACGACCATCTTCCTCCATCAGAACGCGTAACAGTCCATCGGCTAGACGAAAATGTGGCTTGGCTGGAAAAATACCTCCTCCTTGGGTGATCCAAAGCCCATGTAGTGTCGAGGAGAGAACCGCTTTAATTGTTTCGAATAGCTCCTTTTGAACATCCGACCAGACAGAACGCTGAAGCTCAAGAATAAACACTTGCATTGTTTCGTCATTTTTCTGGCCTTCAAGAGCCTCATTGACCGAGACGATATAGGTAGGGGAGCATGCAAGAAGCTCGCATTGTTTGACAATGGAATTTGCCAGCGCAAGTTGGTCGGTGTGAGCTGGATCATATACAATTTCGATTCTTGGAAAAAAGATTTCCTGCTTTTCTTCAACAGCAGAACAGATCATCACGCTGCATTCATTCAAAACTTCGATGCTGATATCTGGAAGCTTGATATCGAGGCCGGAGTAGCCAGTGAGTCTCAAGAGCTCATCCAATTGACTCTTATCACGATCTCGCCTGGATTTGCATCGTGATTCAAGATCTGCGCATTCTAATTTAGCTTTCACCGAGAGTAAGAGCGAACTGTCTGACTTACCTTGCCACCATTGCTCGAACACGCCGAAGATCAAACTCGAGCGACCATCTAGTGCAACTCCATCGTGCAAAACAAGTTTACCGCCACTAAGCAATATAGTTAGAAGATTATTGATACAAAACAAATTTTCATCTCACGGTTTCAGAAGCTTGCGTATATTTTGTAATGACGTTTGAAGAGTAGACGGCTGATGTGGGACCTGCACGATATAAGTCTGTGAATGAAAGCTAGATGGGGAGTGTTAATACCAGCGAAGCCACGACCATGTCGTATGTGCCGCAATCAAAGTCCTGTGTTTCTGGATCTTTTTCAATATTCAAAATTTTGAACCTAACTCTCTCTGTTGCAGGAGAAAGTTTTGTTTTGGCTTCCGCGACATTTTCTGGAGACACATCGGTGTAGTCCAGGCATTCGAAGCGCCAGTCGCTTTCATCGCCTCTCAATGCATTTATGAGAACCTTTGTCACTGTTCCGAAGCCTCCACCAACCTCTAATATCTTCATTCTGGGATGACTATGAGAAAGAAGATCGAGGTATTTGCCCAATCCACGAAGACCGTTAGATTGATCAACCTTTGTTATTAGACAAACGAAACATATTCGCGGAATACATCACTTACAAGATCATTGTAGGCCGCGTTTAGCATATCTTCGTCCTTGAATAAGGCTGAAGGGTCAAGCTCACCAGATAGAACTTTTACTATATTTTGAGTAATGAAGTCAAATAAATGGCCTTGTTTGGTTCCTAAGACACGTTTCTCGACTTCACGGAAATAATCAGAATCGGCTATGAGGTTGTCACATCCGTTAGTAGAAAGTCCAATCCAGTGCTCTTCAAGCAGCTTCTGACGATCAATCAGCCAGTTGTAATATCTCTTCAGATGTGGCTGGGGAGCTTGAACCCCCTTTTTTGATGTGTTGGAGAGTGTCTCTTTGATTCGAACTGTGATAAAAAAATCCAACACACTGGAAAAACTATCATGCTCAGCGTTATTGGCAAAATTTGACGTCTTGCACAGCTCCATAATTTCAACATCACTCAGAAGTTTCAGATCTGGCTTCCACACAATTTCATGGCAAAGACTATCTAGAGAATTTTGAGTATTTCCTGCTAGATCTGGCGAATCGACGATATTCATGCGTAAGCCTTGGACAGAAACTAAGGTTTTCTGTAGCGTATCGTCGAGTGCCACGATACCGATGGTTGGACCAAGAAATTGAGATGTATCCATGGAGGAGCCATATATCTTGAAACTCTGAGATGTGACCGCCTGGCTATCCACCCACAGTCTGTCGATGTGAGTAGGAACAGCAGTGGAGATCTTTTTTGTGCCTGAGGGTACCGTCGTCCATATAGAAGTTTGAAAAATGGCGTCTAATGTTGTTGGATGGATCGTCTCATCCGAGGAGGTCGAGAAGTTCCGGACCACAGCTGTCAAAAACTCGGCAGCTTTATCTTGGGATAGCTCCGTAACCAGCTGGAACGCTGGACCGTAGCCATACCCGTTGTTCTGTAAGATCTCATACATCATCTCTCCGCGCATACTCGACTTACAGGATGCCAAAGCAGCTGTATAAGTATGTTGTCGAGATTCCTGGACTTCCAACTCTAGTGCTTTATCAATCTCCTCTTCCTTATCACCATACAAAACCTGGATGGAGCCTGTGCAATTTTCTACCCAAGTTTCGCCATCCAGGGTACAAAGCCTGAAATTGAACCATGATGAGCGTTTTGATTCCAAGCTGTGAGCCGGACGCAGGTGAAAACTGGTCTCGACACCCTGTGAGCTCGATGAGATGCGAATTGCCGCGGGGAATGTCACGTTCTCCACATTGAAACCGGAGATTGGCCTAACTTTATCTGCTGTCTGTTTGGCTGCCTCAATAGCCATGACTATCATACCAGCCCCTGGGTAGAGTATTGTTCCATTAATCTGATAATTGATTAGTTTTAGGAGGGAATAAATATTCGAGAGAAAAGGCTCACCTTATGATCCTGGACCCATGGCATTTCAGATATCCGAATGATATTTCTCCACCTTCCTTCCAGGGGATTCTGGTTAGGATCAGGCAGTCCCAGAAAACCATTCCGAGCAACTTTCCGTAAACGGTAGTTTTTGCTTATCTTGCTCTCGTGCCAATAAGACTGATCGTGATTGAAGGGATACTCTGGCAGATCTGGCAGTGTCTTGCAGCTGTTGTAATGCTTATTGAGCAATGTGAGATTAATCGGATACCCGGCTGCATATAGATCACCAAACACAGAGAAAGCAGTTTCAACAGCGGACATATTTCGCACTAGCAGAGCCAAGTACTTGATAGATTTTCTTCCCTTCAAGATGTCCTTACACGCCCCCTGCAAGACGGAATGTGGCCCAATTTCTAGGATATGGTTGATCTTAGGCCTTCTACGGTGACTGCCATCTAGAGATTTTGTAGGATCTGAAGATGCGGAGCAAAGGGTTGCTAGTCCGTCGGAAAAACGCACAGGGGATATCATATTACGCACCCAGTGAGAAACTTGACAAGGTGCGTCTGGATGAATCCAGTCGCCTGTAATCGAAGAAACCATCTGTGGCCGTGTATGGTATGCAGCACCACTCCCTTCCAATTCACCAAGGGCTGTTAGGTAATCGGCCGCAATCTCTGCCATCTGGGATGAATGGTAGGCCAAATTCACCTTGAGTCTGCGACAAAATATCTTGTCTTTGTCGAGGAGAATCTTCAAAGCATCGAGCTGAATACCTTCGCCGGAGACTGCCACACTTTGAGGGCTATTGATGCATCCAACGGTGAGTCGAGCGACCTCAAACTCGGCACTAGCTGAATTTATGTAAGGCATGATCTCATCCTCTGAGAGTGCTACTGCTAGCATTGATCCTTTCATTTCTGCAGATTTCTCTAGCTGACTGCTCATATTCCCCCTGTAATAGGATACCTTCCAAGCTGAACGTCGAGATATTGCGCCAGAGCAGTATGCGGCTGCAACCTCTCCGGATGAATGGCCGAGGACTGCTGCAGGGACAATATTGAAAGATTGCAGAAGGTCCACCAAAGCTATTTGCAGTATTGTGCACAAAATCTGGCTGTACTCAGTTCGATTGACATTGGTCTCAGCATCAGGTTTCTGGAGCTCATCTACCGGGTTCCATTTGCATCCCAGAGTATAGAGATATTTTCCAGCCTCTTCAACTCCCTGCATAAACGTGGGATATAAGTAGAGGAGATCTCGCCCCATGGCATACCACTGAGCCCCTTGGCCGGAGAAGATCATAGCAATGTTCGGTGATTCAAGCGAGTGACACGCTGGACTGAACCGTTTCACTAGTGATGCCAAGTCGTCTGATGGCCGCGCGATAACAAAAGATTTCCACGGTAGATGTGTCCGTCTAGTACTCAGAGTATGCGCTAGATCTTGAATAAATGATGTTGTATTGTGAATGGGTTTGGTCGACAGGAATGAGCCCCAGACATTCTGTATGCGGGGGATGCCTGCTTCATCTGCTGCTGACCAGACAAGAAGTTTAGGCGCGTCAATATCGGCCACGTCCTTTCTAATATTTGTTTCTGGATGAACTGTAATATTCTGAGTTGTCTGTCCGTTACGAGCTGAGGAAACTGTCGGGATTGTGTTGTGATTTCCATTCAGCTGATGAAGTCGAAGGAAATTGAATGCATCATCCAAGACAATGTGTGTGTTGGAGCCTCCGTATCCAAAAGAGCTGATAGAGGCTCTTCGAAGTCCATTTGTAGGCCATGGTAGAGCCTCTTGGGGGAAATTCAAGTTCCAAAATTCATCATCAATCCTTGGATTAAGGTCATGCAAATTTTCACTGTTTGGTGGAATGACGCCCTTTTCCAAAGCTAATATAACTTTCATTATAGCAGCAATACCACTGGCTCCTTCTAGATGTCCAATATTTGACTTGATGGATCCTACATACAATGGTTCGGCCGGCGAACGATGTAGGCGGAAAACGGAGCCAATGGCCCTGGCTTCAATAGGGTCTCCGACAGCAGTTCCAGTTCCGTGCGCTTCAAAATACCGCGTCATCCCCATATCGAGACCAGTTTGATGATAAGTGTCTCGGATCAATGTTGCTTGCATCTCCGAGCTCGGCTGCGTGATGCCTGGGGTTTTTCCGTCCTGATTAGATGATGCAGCTCTGATAACAGATCGAATCGTGTCGCCATCACGAATTGCATCCTCCAGCAGCTTAATCACTAGCACACCTACACCTTCACCCCGCGAATAGCCATTACTGCGCTCATCAAAACTGTAGCACCGGCTGTCCTTAGACAGGAGACCGAGATTGTTCATCATCAATGTTGGCTCTATGGCCAATAGAAGGTTGCTACCCATCGCGAGTCCCATAGTAGACTGGCCACTCCAGATGGATTGACACGTCAGATCGACCGCAAGCAGACTACTTGAGCAAGCTGTGTCGACGGTTACGCTGGGACCTTTAAGGTCAAAAAACCAACTGACGCGATTTGCCAGCATGTTCGATGTTTGCCCCGTGATGCTGTACTTGTGCTGGTTCAGAGAATCCTTGACTTGTAAAGCCACCCAGTCATTACCAGAAGACCCTGCAAAAACTGCAGTCTTAGATTTGGCGATTTGTGTCAACGGGATTCCAGCATTTTCCAGCGCGTGAAAGGCTGTTTCGAGGAGCAGCCGCTGCGGAGGCTCCATGGCCTCAGCTTCGGTGGCAGTTATGGAGAAAAAAGGGGCATCAAAGTGACCCAGATCATCTTTCAAAAAATTTCCCCCACGAATTGACAGACTGTCCAGTCGGTCACCCTCTGGATGGTAATGTGCATCGATGTTTAATCGGTCTGGGGGGAACTCCATAGTGGTGCAACGGCGTGCTATTATCATTTCCCAGAATTCCTTTGGGCTCACTGCATCCTGAGGAAGACGAAAAGATAACCCAACGATAGCCAGTGGCTTAGGTGATTTGTCTGATGATTCTATCATAATGGTGCTTTTTGATCAGAACTCTCAGATTGAGACTATACAAGAAAAAATCAAAATTTTATCGGGCTGAAAGGCTGCTACTTTTCAGCTTCCCTCTACTATATATGTGTTTTTATAATCTCTCTCGTTCAAGTCAATTCCAGGTTTCTTGCATAATTGGAGTTAGCGCCCAGGTATTGGTTGAGTACGTTTGCTGATTCTTTCCAAGGTTAACATCAGAACATACAAAAACCGAAGAAACCGTCGGTAAGAATTACAGTAGTTGGGCTGCATTTCTGGTAGAAAGAGCTAGAGCGAAGAAACCCTGGAAAGCAAAGTGGATACGGTGGACTGCCTAAACCTGACAGTGTATGTGATACAGAACTTTTTGCATGCTGATTATTGATTCAATGCATGCATAGTACTTGAGAGCTTTTTATTTAATTAGTCCACGTATAAAATGTCTCACAAGTTGACATGCATGGAGAAGTGATGTGATCAGAGGAATTTCAACGAATTTAATACCAAGACACAAATGCCATGTTGATAAAGCGTACTGGCGTGGAGAACTTATTGTTCACTTTTTTGCCCTCTACTTTAAATCTCATTCCCACTCAATCTAGTACAAGAATCAAACAAAGCACACATATCAATTATTCTTGTGACCTTGAGGAGCACTTATACACTATCTTCTACACTTGGTCATACTAATTTCTCGATATGCGTTTTTTATGGTGGGTTATTCTCTATTATTTAAGATTTGATTGCTGATTTCTTCCAGTTTGCATGGAATGGGAAGCAATTCTCGCGTGAGTATACCCAGGCCAATTAGAAAAGACCTAATCTAACTATCGAAAAAATCGACTGTCCAGATATTCAAGCAGCAAACTGGTAAGAGTTCCAAGCTGTGAGAAACTAAATAGAGCTAACAGACTAGCAAGCTGCTCTTCGATATGAACTTGGCGAAGATCATAGCTACGACTTTGTCAACGGACCTATCCCTTGGGAAATGGACAGAGGTGGGCATTAGAAATGTCGCTCGGGCTGAATCATACTAACACCACCACAGAACTAGACCAGTTCGTGATGGGTGAAGAACAGACTTACGCTATGTGCGATCCACTGTCGGCCTTATCCTGTATTCAAGCGATGGAGAACCTCGAAAACTACATCGTAGCCGAGGGTCCTTATGATGGTATCATGGGGTTCAGTCAGGGCGCCAATCTCTCCCTCAGCTGGATGATCAAAAAGCAGCAAGAGGCCAAAAATGGCAAAGAAAAGCAGCTTCCTTTCAAGTTTGGGGTATTCTTTTCGAATCCCTGGGGAGTGTACAATGCTAAGGCACTTGCAGATGGCCAGCTTGTTTATTTGGATAACAGGACCATCGAAGGCCTACTGGATCTACCTACCGCACATATCTGGGGTTTGGCAGACAAGGACCAGGCGCTCGCCCAAATGATCAGTACTACCTGTGTAGAAAGCAAACGGTCAATCTTCGTTCATGATAGAGGGCATGAAATCCCGCCTAAAATTGACACAGTGATATCTATGGCGAAAATAATCAATCGAGCAATCATGCAAGCTCAATCTATGGAATTTTAATACAAAATAATCATTGATCCTTCCATATCGGGCATGTGTGTATCTACAATATTTCCTTTCCATCAGCCGGGAATCGAACAGACCCTGTATAGCTTTCTACACCTCGGGCTAAATCATTTCGCTGGCTCGCTAAATAAGATGTATTCAAATCCGAGTGTAATGGACTCACTGTACGATATCGATAGACCCATTTTTTTCCTGAAGATGCACTGGAGCGAAAAGAATGATGAATGATGGATCAGGAATTATTACCCGAGCCGCAATTTTGGTAAGATAGCTGGATAGATAGTGCCAAAGCCTCAAATGGAAATTCCTCGTCAGAATAAATTCAACCTCTTAGATTCAAGAAAGGGACCTGGTAGCACGGAGTATGAGACATCGACGTATCCATCGTGATGCTGGTGGAGATAGCAGAAGTGGCTGGACGTCGAAATTTCTAAATACCATATTGTAATGCATATCTATGCTTGTCAGCTGACTGCATGCATTAGTGCACACCTGTCAGTAACGTTTTTCATGCATAATGAATGCCCCGAGTACGACCGATACTAGGACGTATCGAAATCAGAGAGTTTGCAATACATCTTACCGTACTTGAAATACGCGAGTGTATTGTAAAATGTGCATAATATACAATATGATGAGTGGATGCATAGGCAGCATCCTTTTAAGAAGAGTGCTCAAGTGAGGTCCTCGAGAATAAAGAACTTTCAAATCATCCCTTGGTCATGCCATCGCGAAGTACTGTCTCCGTGGCCCAATATCTCTTTGCCCGAATCAAAGAGCTTGGCGTTCAATCAGTTCATGGCGTACCAGGTATGGATTGCTCTTCCAACTAATCACAGAATAAGACATCGCTAAGGCTGCTCAGGGGATTACAACTTGGTGTCGCTTGATTATGTTTCTAAAGCTGGACTGCGCTGGGTTGGCAATTGCAACGAGCTCAACGCTGGTAGGTTTCCTGTCCAATACCGACCAAATGAAACTGACGCCTGGCAGGCTATGCAGCGGATGGGTATGCTCGCGTCCATGGGATTTCTGCACTGATGACAGTCGCCGGAGTCGGAGAGCTGTCAGCCTCGAACGCTATTGCGGGGGCATATGCTGAGTACGTCCCGATTGTGCACATTGTAGGGCAGCCAAGCCTGAAATCGCAGCAACAGAAAAAACTACTGCATCATTCGCTAGGCGATGGGAACTTTATGGCGCTTGCCAAGATATCGGAGAGGACAGTAGCCAAGAGCGTACAGATACTCTGTGCAAAACAAGCCCCCGGGATGATTGACGATATCATCACCCAGTGCTGGAATACTAGCAGACCGGTTTCGATCATTCTTCCCACTGACATGGTTCATACTCCAATTTCGGCGGCTAATTTGGCTAGGCCACTACGCCTATCGGGCTCTGAAAACGATAGAACGCATGAGGCCCACGCAGTTGATGATATTCTCGCGGCTCTTCGGGCGGCACAGCAACCAGTGCTTTTGGTTGGGGGCTATAATATGCGATTTACAAGACGAAGAGAGGTGATATCGCTCAGCGAAAGGCTGGGACTTCCAATCTTTTTATCCCCATCTGGGCGAGGTATCATTGACGAGCAACATCCCAACTTCAACGGGCTCTACTTGGGAGATTGTTCTAAGCCACATGTCATAGAGATGGTCCGGTCGGCTGATTTGATCATATCAATTGGTAATATCCATTCCGACTTGAACGTCGCTTCTGTTTCATGGGACTTTGATCCATTGAGGATGGTCGAGGTTCAGAATGAAACAGTCCACATACGAGGCAAAACTTATAGGCGGTTGAACAGTGACGGCCTTTTACAGGCTCTCCTCTCTCGCTCTTCAGAGCTTGTTCCGACAGGAAGTTGTGAAGCAGTGGCTTTGCCATCGACAATTAGCATCCTGGAATCAAGCAATGTTCGCGTGCCGGCTGGTCCCTCCGCACTTATAAGTGCAGAGCCGGTATATGGAGGCGGTTTTATGAAGGGAGTGCTGCGACGGATGTCACATACGCTGAGTAATAGCGAGGACTCTGACCATCTGAGTCATGACTGGCTATGGCCCACATTGAGCGCCTGGCTACTCCCCGAGGACACAATCATAGCCGAGACAGGCACCTCAAACTTTGGGATATGGTCTACCAAATTTCCTCGCGGCGTCACTTTTATCAGCCAGTATGTTTGGGCGAGCATCGGCTACTCTCTAGGCGCTTGCCAGGGAGCTGCTGCAGCTGTCCAAGACTCGATGCATCCTGATCGACGGACTATATTGTTCATCGGTGACGGGAGCTTCCAATTCACTTGTCAGGAGCTAAGTACAATTATCAAGAACAGTCTCACGCCCATCATGTGAGTAGTTCCCCTCAATCCATGATGCGTGGCAGACACATACTGATTAATCTGCGCAGTTTCGTGATCTGCAACAAGGGATACACCGTCGAGCGGCTCATACATGGCATGCATGAATCCTATAATGATATTCAGGAATGGCAGTACCGAAAACTGCTAGAGGTGTTCGGTGCAGAGCGCAAATCCTACCAGACGCATCAGATTCGGACCAAAACTGAATTTTCTGCTCTTCTGAAAGATCCGTCTTTCAATAGTGATCGGGTTCTGCGAGTGAGACTCTTCATCTCTTACAAAGCTTCAATTTCTAATGATTACTTCAATAGTTTATCGAATTGCACATGGATCAGAACGATGCGCCATCTGATCTCAAGACACTCACTGAGCAGCTCATAGTTCGAGACTCACAGAAGTCGAAGATTGACGAAGATGAAGCTACTTAGAGGTATTAATCAATCAAGCAATATATATAAACAGTAAGCAGATTTCATATAGGATGACAATTATGTTTTTGCACGGGCTGTCTCCGCACGAGAAGTCGACAATTGGAAGCTTTAGGTTAATTCAATATTACTCATACCTCATACTTCTGTTGGTAAACACTTGAAGGATGTTTTGGATTACGGTAACATACGTATGTATTACAACTAATACACCAATTCAGCGAGTGTTTTACTCCGTCTTTGATACAGTTTTTGTCTTGCTTCAGGCACTAATGCACCTACCTTTTGTGCTGTCAGCGAGAAGTGTGCGTTCAATGGGACATCGCCAGCCCACTAGGGCTGGTTTGCTACTGAGTAATAAAAAAACTTGATGTATTGTATTGGATAGCTGTTGCAGCTGGGATCCGAGGAAAAACCAACCCCTTTTCTTAAACATCATACACTTGCTCTAGATTAACAGAATCTACGCTTTTGAGTATATTCAATATTATACATCTATCTTGCTAAGACGTTATGGCAGAGCTGTCGATAGTCTATGGGCCAAATGAACCGGCTCTCTGGCCCAAGAAGCTGGGAGATCTGATCGAAGAACAGGCTGACAGATTCGGCGACCGCTGCGCGGTGGTAACCCCATGGCAGGAGAAGAGACTTTCATTCTATGACCTGGCTCAGAACAGTAAGATCCTGGCAAATTCCATGGTCCGTGCCGGATTACGACTTGGTGATTGCGTTGCAGTTATGGCCGGAAACCGATACGAATATATTCAGGTGTTTCTGGCTGGAGGGAGAATCGGGTGCCCAGTACTACCAATTAATAACGCGTACACACCAGTGGAAGTTTTGAGAGCGCTGCAGAAAAGTTGTAAGTTCGTCCATTGCCATGAGCAAGGGTTAACAGTGTTGCTGAAATTGGATCAAACGCAGCGTGCAGATTACTTTTCGTCGCATCAAATATCGGTCCTCGTACTTTGTCCGATCATTTGCAATGTGTTTTCGACTCCAAATCAGATATGGTGCTGCCCGAGTTATCGGGCATTGTTTGTTTCGATGAATCTCACCAGAATATACCCATTCAGGGCTACGAGGAATTTCTGCAATCTGGGGCTATTAATGAAGACAGAAGTGGCATTCTGGATTCAGCTGAACAATTGGTACAGCCTTCCGACAATCTCAGTTACCAATTTACATCTGGCACGAGTGGAGAGCCGAAACTGTCCATGCTTTCACATCGGTACGAGACCTGTGTGTTCGGGGCTATTTATAGGGACGTCTGTTAACTCTTTCAAGGGGCCTGATCAATAACGCGCGTCTCGTCGGCGATGCCATGTGCTTAATCCCGGAAGATATAGTCTGCTGCCCGCCACCATTATTCCATACTTTTGGGTTAGTACTTGGGTTTCTCAATGCATTTACGCATGGCAGCACAATAGTCTTCCCCTCAGATCATTTTGACGCCAATCTAGTGATCCATGCGGTCATACAGGAAAAAGCTACGGCCTTGCTAGGGGTACCGACCATGTTCGTGGCGGAATTGGAAGTCTGCGAAGCCAAACAACTGGAGATCACAACAGTGAGGACTGGACTTGCCGCTGGATCACCCGTATCAGAAACGCTTCTGAGTCGGCTAGAATGCCGGCTTGGTATAAAAGGGATGCTGGTTGCGTACGGGATGACAGAAACTAGTCCCGTTACATTTATGACTTCGCTGGATGATCCCAGGGAGAAGGCAATGACTAGTTTAGGCAAGATTCTCCCACATACCTCAGCAAAGATTGTCGACCACAATGGAGCCATTGTCCGGCGGGGAGAGAGCGGTGAGCTCTGTACCAGTGGATATGGTTTACAGAAGGGATACTTTAAGAACGAATCAAAGACTAGGGAGGTAATGCGCCGGGATGCAGATGGTAGATTGTGGATGCATACCGGAGACCAATGTTACTTTGACCCCGAGGGCTACTGTCACACCAGTGGCCGGATAAAAGATATTATTATCCGAGGTAAGTCTCTTTCCATTCTGTATATCTATCCAGCAGTATTGAAACTGAGAATTTTCAGGCGGCGAAAACCTCTTTCCGCTTGAGATCGAAGAGCGATTGCTGCTTCATCCGGCTATCACTGAGGCTAGTGCTGTGGGAGTTGCTAATCAGAAGTACGGCCATGTTGTGGGGTGTTTCTTAAAGCTGGCTCAGCATCACACCAAGCCTCAGGACCAGGAAGTGAGAGACTGGGTCCGTGCTGAATTAAGCTGGCACAAGGCGCCTCAACATATATTCTGGGTTGGTGAGGGGGAGTCTGTCCCGATTTTCCTAAGACCGCCAGTGGCAAGCACCAGAAACACCTAATGGAGAATATTGCCAACAGAAGTCTCTTTGAGCAAAGCCCCAGAGCCAAGATATCACCCACTCGCATCGGTTGCTCGGTTTTTGGCTTTTCAATGTGTTTGATTCCAGTGCTATTATTGTATCTATCATTATCGACGTAATATCTTTCGATAAACTTCATTACATCTTGTTTACACTCTTTCAGTTGAATCTAATATCGAAACTTTTCGTTTAATGCAATTTGAGGCTGGAGTATGAAATTTGATATGTTAGACTGCATCTACGAGACCACAACAGCACCATTGCTGTCTATGAATTGGATCTGATTGTCTCAGAATTGACTGTTATTGTTGGAATATGGAACAAAGCAGTCATGTGATCAAATTGTTACTATATAATAGATAGCAAACTAAGAATGAAAACCAGACTTTACAACCACTTCAATAGGACACACAGATATCATAGGGGCGTAAAGCGTTACCTATGTTAGGTGTCAGAAGTGGGCTTTAGCCTATTGAATAGCTATTCCACACTTGATACAGGTGTACCGACAGTTATGCAATCGCTCAGATTGAATGATCTTTCATTTATATAATAATCCTAGTTTGATTATAACATAGAGAGTTCGAAGATTATCCAAGTACAGGGGACCTCATGATTTCGTGCGCAACGTCGACCTTCTCACTCGTCAAAGCAAAAAGCGACCACATAACTGCAAAAGACCACACCATCATGAAAGCTAGCCAAGGCTTATTACCTAGGAGATTATTTAGGCTTTGAACAGGACCAGCGAGGTATCCTTTCTTCCAGCTGCTCGGGGTCGAGGCGGCGGAGGGAACTAATGTTCGGTACGAGTTGATACGCCGGTCCAGATCGATCGACAATGGAGTTCGGGCACCTTTCTGCGCTCGCTCACGATAGCGATCCATCAAGGGCACAAAGATGAAGCCTCCCGTAGCGTAGCGGCGCAGGAAGGGAGCACTGGGCTGGAGGTCGAGGAACTCAATACATCGGATGTAGAGCCAGCGCAGTTCACGCTTCAGCTGGGCACGATCGTGGCCGGCAACGGACTCTGTTTTCTCCCCTTGCAGGATACCCATCGCCTCCTTAGCAATGTCCATAGATAGACAATCGCAGATGGCGGCCATCTCGACGGCGGCATCCGTTAGCCCACGAGATCGGGCGCCACGTGCTGCTAGCAGGATGATGGCCACGTTGTGCACGCCCGCGGTCATGACACGGAACTGGGTCATCAGAGTAGTATTTCCCAGGAGCAACGGGCGAAGGCGGCTGTCAACCTTCTCCACGTACTGAATAATGTACTGACGCCAGATTAACATCTCCAGAAGCTGAAGGTCGTCTGGGTGGACGTTCTCGGCGCGCAAGCCAGACAGTACATCAGCCAGTGTGTGGCCCAGCAGGCGGAAAGATCCACTGATCAAGTCCTGCGGCGGTATTACCAGATCGTCTGAAATGGTGCAAAAGGCCAAGTAAATATGTTTCCATTGGTGGTGTTCCAGCGAGCCATGCCATATTGTCCACCACTGCAAAGAGTCCCGCATGGCATATTGACAGACCTCTTCTGCCGTCTGATCAATCTTGCCGCTGTGCAGGCTGTAGTCTTGCGTTTGCTGGTCCGGTGACGTGCGAATAAAGTCATCGATGTGATGGCAAAGCGCATCGATCTTGTCACACGTACATGGGGGTTTACAAGTATCGCCGATGGCAGAGAAGAGTCCCATTACATCTTCAGGGATCTCTACGCCGAAGTCGATATTCTCATTGCGGACTGAAGGCGTTTGAAGTTCACAGTAGTGGATGTGCAGACGGATAGGATTCTCTCCGAAGTAAGTCTTGACGGCTTGCCACATGGATTCCATGATGGAACTTCGGTCAATTGCAGAGGTTTAGGTTGTATATATGGGGTAGGGTATCGCAAAGTCCTAACTGGCACCTGTTGGGAGCGGCAAAATGACCGACTATGTCTACCCCGTCTGAATGAGACTTTATCATCAGGCTGTCCTCCTGGCTGTCCTCCTGCAGCCCATACTTTTGCTCAATGACACAACGTACCAGCTAGAGTGAGGCGCTTTCCGCATCCTCATGGCCAGTATGTGTAAGCAAGCAAGGCCCATTTGCGAGTTTAATGGTATTTTTCGTCCTTTTGCCCTCGTAAAATGGCATTTGGCCAGATATCAAGAGAAAGAATCCTGCTGATATGGCTTATCTTGCTTCCCGAGAATCCTATTGGCTTCGCTTCGGGGTTTGGGTTAAGATGTCCCGTCTTGGCGTCGACGGGTCGAGAAATCATCGGGCCCCGCTGCACTAAAGACAAATCGAGAGCCGTGGCTTGGTACAACGTCGGTAATTATATGATGTATCTCTGGTATTGATGCCGTTTGGATAACTTGCAAATTTCCCGCGCCGTATCAAAAACCTTATTTGCACTCGTTTCGTACTTTGTTTTGTTTGACATCCATCTTTCATGCAGAACAATGGGAAAAATGGAGAAGATCACATATTTTCCGACTGAAGCATGCTGACTGCATGAATACGGTGGTATTCCATCCACTGTGGAAATATGCCTACTGTCAGTTGTTGGCCGGCTTGTTCTTAGGAATGCCTGTTTATGGAAGTTGCTCTCTTCGCCTACATGTCAACCAGCAGGACCCGCAATGTTCTAGACTTCATTGTCTCTCATAAATACCTATACTAGAATGTATGATTAGCAAAATAGACAACTTGATGCATTGAGGTCTCTTACTGCATTACGCTAACGGCTGATACGGCTGGTAATCGCTGTAAGTAACATATCGATGTTGATGGAGGGGGACCCGGGAATTAACCAGGTATCTCTAGGAGCAGAGTATCAGCATAGAGAGGAGGGGTTGACCACTTGTCAGTCTTTTTTCCAAGGGACATATTTTGGCGACTGACTTTTGCTCTAGCCTCCCTTCTCTCATCGGATATGTTCCTTTTTTAAACACTGATTCTGACCTCTCCTCGCCCTGTAGATCATTTTCTCTTCTTTTATCATAGACCTCGACCTTGTTCTACGCTTACAATGCAGTTAATAGTAGTATTCATTCTCAAATTGCTGCTGGTGATATTCATTCCCGTGAGGGCACCTCAATTCATGCGTTTTGGCTAAGCTAACGAGACTAGTATTACTTCATCTCGGCCATTTACAATGCATTCTTTCACCCGCTCAAGCTTTATCCAGGTCCTCGTCTAATGGCTGCCAGTAGAATTCCCATTGTCTATGGAGTCCTCACTGGCAAATCGACGGGGTGGTTGGTGAAGCTGCATGCAAAGTATGGCCCGGTAGTGCGCGTGGCTCCTAATGAACTGAGCTACTCTGATGCAAGTGCCTGGAAGGACATATACGGGAGCCACCCATCGCGCCCAGGAGGCATGCCGCGCGATCTTACCTTTTTCCGGGCAGTCGAGGACGAGAAGGGGATTCACTCGATCCTAACCGCCAACAACGAAGACCATGCGCGAATGCGCCGCCTATTTGCGCAAGCTCTATCCAAACGAGCTCTTGCGGAACAGGAGCCTCTGATCCTGGGCCATGTCCATCACATGATAGATAAACTCAAAATCCAGGCAAAGCAGAGCAAACCCGTTGATATCATTGATATATTCAACTTCACGCTGTTTGACGTCGTCTGTGACCTCCAGTATGGAGAATCTTTGCACTTGCTGGATGATTCAACTTACCACCCGTGGGTGCATAGCCATCTGGGAATCATTCGTAGTGCCTCCCTCATTGCATCGTTGGCGGATTTCCCTGCCCTCCGGTTCCTTTTTCGACTGATCCTTCCAGGGCTGGTTAAGGCAGGGCGTGAGAGTTACTTCCATATGCTAAATGAGCGACTGGATAAGCGCCTGGCTGCTGGTGTTAAGCGCCCGGATATCGTGCACTTCATTATGGAGGCCCGCACCGAGAACGATGGAATCTCTGAGGGAGAGCTGCGCGCAACTGCCCCAATCATCATGCAAGCCGGCAGCGAGACTAGCTCCACTGCGCTTAGTGGCTTCATGGCCCATATTTTGCAAGAGCCGAAGATCTTGCGCCAGGTGCAAGATGAAATCCGCGCAAAGTTTCACTCTCAGGAGGATATCGTGATGAAAACGCTAAAAGACCTCCCTATTCTAGATAAATGCATTAAGGAGACACTGCGCGTATACGCCGCAGTGCCAGGTATCCTCCCTCGGGTTGTACCTGCCCCCGGGGCCACGATCGCGGGGCAATGGGTGCCCTCGGGCATCAGAGTCTACGTCACCTCTTTAGCTGCATTTCGTTCGGCTGCCAACTTCCACGAGCCGGAAATATTTGCGCCGGAACGTTGGGACGCGAATCCAGATGCGAGATTTGCTCATGACAAGCGTGATGCCTGCAAGCCGTTTTCGGTTGGAACTAGGGACTGTGTGGGTCGCGAGTAAGTTTACCTTGAGATAGTGAACCTAATAATCATATTAACGAGTGTAAAAACAGAATGGCGCAGTATATGATGGCCCTGATTCTTTGCAATTTGATATTGAATTTCGACTTTGAGGCCGTGCCCGAGAAAGAACCCTGGTTCGCCAATCAGCGCATCTGGACGATTTGGGATAAGCCACCTCTGATGGTGAAATTGATTCCGGTCCAGAAATCTAATTGATGCAAGAGGTCAAAGGAGGCCGGACGTATACATTCACAAAGTACATGTATACTCGAACATCCACCAATAAGATTTTGGCAATTTTGATCATCCTCCACTAGCAAGCTCTAGTTCCAATTACCCAATAAGATCCCTTACTTATACATGACTCCATTTAATACGATACTGAGAGCTGTAAGCACTTGTAATGGGCAGCATCATCCCACATGGCCGTCAGTCTTGGCATTAATACTTATAATGCTCTACATCTCGAAAACGCATCTGAATTTAACTTCCAATTCTTCTTACCCAGCTGTTGTACAGCTGGTAACCTTGGAAGATGGAGCCTACAATTCCACCCACCTTTGAGCCCTACCTTCTCACCCCCCTGGACTATCTCCCTCCTCCGATGCACATGACTGCCTTTTTAACATTTGTCACAGACGATACTTCTCAGGCTATTCGAGTCTTGACAGCCGGGGTTTCACAATTGGTTGGTCACTTGCCTTTCCTCACTGGAAATGTCTCTCCTTCGACCACCTCTATTCCCGGCCGGCAGAACGTCCGCGAAGTCCAGCCATCGACAGCGGCAATTTTGGAGCAATACCCCATGTTGTCAACCAAGAACCACCACCAAAAATACACCTCTGTGATAGGATATGGGCAAAAAGTCTGCTACGATGATATCTTCACAGAGGAATATCTACCATTGCCACTACATATGGCCACTGCTACTGCCAGCCCAGTGTTCCGATTTCAAGCCAACATCCTTGAAGATGGGATCATCCTCTGCGCCAGTGCCCATCACATGGCTCTTGATGGGATTGGCCAATGTCTTGTTCTTGAAGCGTTGGCCTCCTGTTGTCGAGCCATTGGGGGCGATCTGTCCTCTAAGGACTTGCTCACTACACCTACTGCTGAGAAAGGCACCCGTAAGTTAATTCTGCAGGCGGCAACGTCCATTAACCCACAGAAGGGAAACTCTGGGGTCGGCCAAACTTGGGGAAAGCCCCTGCCTGGGGGGATGCAGGACCCGGTTAGCCGCAAGTTTGTTCTGTCGCCTGACCGTGTGTCGCAGCTTAAAAGCTTATGTTCTTCCCATCTCCTGCAAGACATCAACTCCGATAAAATCCTCTCGCGGAACGATCTCGTTCTGGCACTGATTTGGTTGTGCGTTATACGCGCTCGTACTTTGCTTGCCGGCCCTGGCAACCACATGGCACAATCCAGCCTGAGCACAGCAATTGATGTGCGTACGGCGCTGCGCCCACAACTGCCGCGTACCTACCTTGGTAACGCAGTGATGACCATTCCGCTTATAAGCCCCTTTTCCAATGCCGAGACGGTGGATTTCGATGATTCATCGCTTATCAAGGAGCTTTTGGGTTCCACTTCGGGAACCTCAGCCGTCGGACCCCGTCTGTCAGTCAATGCGACTCATCTGTCGCACTTAGCGCAGCTCGCTCTGCTCATTCATCGTGGGAACGCCTCTGTTGACAATGAATACCTGCGTCACCATCTCGCACAGATCCAATCTTCGCCTGACTGGTCCATCTCGGCGGCATCACGGCCAGCCGAGTTCGGACTAAGTAGTTTGCGCACGATCGGCACCTATCGATTGGACTTTGGGGCTGTGTTGGGCCAGGTGAAGGATTTTGATGTGCCAGATCCCCGGTTCCGGAGCGCAGCGTGGATCCTCCCAGCACGGTTCAAGGATGCGCCTTGGGATATCCGTTTGGTGCTGGAGCCCAAAACTTTAGATCTCGTGAAACGGGATCCAATGTTTCGGTGGGTACAGGGCGAAGAGAAATCAAAGTTGTAAATGCAAATCTTCCAAAAGTCGAATTAGTGGAAATGAAAGACTTGTTCTTCGAATATTCCTCCACGTGACTGATTGATGAATCTTCTCTACATTTACCAAAGATTTCATTGAAATCTGGCCGACACCGTTAACTGATTTACTTAGCTCTCTGTCATCTACTTGGGTTTCTATGTTTCATGCAATTCTTATAGTTTTAAATCAACCAATAAATTCATGATCCGATGACCTCAATGCTCATCTAGTAGATAAGTAAACACCAAGGAATCATTATTTACTTGACACGTCATTTAACCGCACCATCAATGCTGGTTTGTGCCAAATGAAATATGAATGCTGATCGTTCCACTTCGCGCTCTGTGGACAAAGCTCCAAATCGAAGTTGAAAACCAACTTAGCTAGTGTCAGTCGCATCTCAAGGTATGCCAGACTAATTAAAACCTGTTAGCAATGCGATATACCTGCTAGGTTAAGACTCAGCAATAGGAACAACTCACTTTTTCCCTAAACAATTCCGAGCTCCCATAGAAAATGGTTGCAAAGTGTCTCTCTGGTCGGCTTCAAATTGTGGGTCGGATTGTAACCATCGCTCTGGGAGGAATTCTTTGGCGCGGAGAAAGTTTGAATCACTCATGTATGATGCGTAGTGCGGAACGTGAACATTGGTCTATCTAAGTAAGTCATAGTCCCTCAGCTAGTATGATGAGATAGACACCCACATTCGCAGGCAAAAAATTGCCAGCAACCGTCGCGCCCCCAGGAGGGACCACTCGGGGCAAGTGAGCAGCCATGGGCGAATACAGTCGTAGGGACTCGTCAATGACGGCATCCACATATGGTAAACTGGCGCATTTGGCGTTTGTGATGTCTGAGTCACGAGAAAATGTCTTCCGTACGAGCTGAGATAGCTGTGCTAGTGCATCGCGGTTGATGCAGAGGTAGTAGATGCAGCCGGAAAGGGCCGTGGCGGTAGTTTCGCTCCCCGCAAGAATGATACTACACATACTATCGTTAGCTCAATTACCAATATTTGCATCCGAAGCGAAACTGACAAGGTTGCATTGGCGTGGATCTCATGACGAGACATTTGGACTACATGCTTCTCTTCCAGTCTTAACTGTGGTGAGCTTTTTTCATCCGCGAGTCCATTCTTTAGCATAGCCGACATAAAGTCTGACCGAGTCGTTCCTTGCTCCATTCGGCGATCAGATCTTTCTGCACTAAGAGCAAAGTTTTGTTTCAGCTGTCGACGGAACCAGGAAGGGGTGCAGACTTCCTGCAGTGCAGCGAGGATGGGGAAATGGCGTATAGCGCTGAGAATAGTGGTTCCCATTATACTATCGAAGATGAACTCAATCCACGGATGGAGCTGGCTGTCATAAAGGCAGTCAAAGGTTTCGCCGAACATCAAATCCCCCGTAATATCGAAGGCGGCGAACTCAAGCCACGCCTTGATGTCTACGGCCTTGTGCTGGTGCGCCTGGCTGCGTAGGCGGGAGATGAACATATCAATGAAAACAGTGAGTCGTGGCTCCAGGTCACGAATCGCTCGGTCAGAGAAACCGTGCGCTAGTATTCGCCGCTGCCTGCTATGATCTTTATTGCTGAGAAACCCACCAACTGCATCTCGGGTAGGCATCAGTGAAGAGCCATAGACCTTGGGGTCTTTAGGGAACTGTGACACTCCTGGGCGAAATCCGTAGATGTCTCGGAACCCTTGCGCAGTATTGAACGACAGAGTAGTGGGTCCGGTTCTAACAACAGAACCGTAGCGATCATGAAGGGCAAGCATTTTCAAGTGATGGCGTCCTCGCATCAAGCTGAGCTGAGAGGGAAGATAAGAAAGGGCCCATAGCCTCGGACCAGGATACTGCGCAAGCGGAGACAACAATAACTCGTATACTAGCACATATGATACCCATAACAGAATCTAAGTCCATCAGCTCAGTTCGTATCATTTTTCCAGCATCAAATAACACTTACTGTAATGGAAATCGCAAGAGTCCCCGACCAAGAAAATAATATTTTCGTTGCTATTTCCACAATATAAACCATTATGCTTGCTACTATTCTGAGAATGCGGCTGTAGGGCTATGGTGTAAACCAAAGTGTTTGACTTAACAGATGAGGGGCAACTTATACATTCACGAAGTCCAAGACTTACAGTGCCTTTTATCTCTCACATCAGCTCGACCTGCATATTGGAGAAATTTTGACGTGTATCCGTTTGAAAATTTCCGAAAATACTTGTATATTTCACCACTTGAAAATTTTTATTACACGAGCCTGTTTAGGGTTAGGACAGATATTTTTAGACGGGAATTCTTGCTACACCTTCTAGATGAGGGTACCTTAGTCTAATGCTGTCAAAGGAAGTGGTTTGGGACCTACTTTTAGGTGTGTATTTAAGCCAGATTACGTTCAGTCTGTAAACAACGCAAACATAGACCCACATTAATAATTTAGCAAATCATGGTATTTTTACCATGCTTATTTGACAGGTGGGTCCCAGGAGAGTCCCATTGGAGATCTTCCTTCCAGCGAATTATCTCCTCTTCCCCGGTCGAGCTTTTAGGCACTTCTTTCCTAGTGCGCCCCATCACCTTTTAGTGGGCGAGTCGAAGCAGGACTAAGTACCAGTCCCGAAGCGTACACCCAATAAAATTTGGGTCTTGCTCAAGAGGGGGAGATGGATAACACGGCAGAGCATGCATGCTCCACGTTTTTGGCGTTCTTATATTAAAAAGGTAGAGGCGTCGCTTCAGGGGCTTTTCAACTTTCCAGGGTTCTTGTGAGCCATCATCATCTTTGCCTTCTCGTTCACACAACAAAAGCAATACTCATACGAAAAAATCATGGAGTCGGACTCGGTGACAATATCCACTTTTCGCATCAAGGATAGCGCAATCCTCCTTATATATGCACTTTTGACGGCTTTGCCCGTTTGGTATTTGACAGCGTATCTGGTTTCTCCCCTTCGCCGCGTTCCTGGTCCTTTCCTGGCAGGTAAGCCTCTAAGTACCTCCTTGCCTCTGAGTGGACTTTTGGCTCCGTTTGATTCATCGTCATCAACTGACTTCTCTTCCAATTCTAGGATGGTCTAATTTGTGGCGAATTTTTCATGTGCGGCGGGGAAAATACCACCTCGTTATTGCAGATCTTCACAAACAGTACGGCCCGGTGGTTCGTATCGCTCCAAACGTGGTGGATCTTGATTTCCCGGAGTTGACAAAGACTGTATACAACACGAAGCAGAATTATGTCAAGGTACACGTCCTATACTGAGTATAAAGGTTATCAATATTGACTTCATTAGACTAAATTCTACCATGGAAGCAGTGCCAGAAATAGTAGAAAAATCATTTATAATCTTTTCAGTGAATGCAAGCCAGAAATTCACGCCCGCGAGAAGCGACCTATTGCCCAGCACTATTCGATGACTGATATACTATCGCTGGAGCCACATATCGATCAGATGATTAGCTACCTATGTGAGCGCCTGGAGGAGAATTTCATGAATGGATCTAGCTCCAGTAAAACCTGTGATATCGGCGAATGGATCGCTTTCTGTGCGTCAATTACCTCGATAAAACTTCTCTACTACCATGCTGATATCAACAGATACCTGGGACGTTGTGGGAAAAGCTACATTCAGTCAGCCCATTGGTTACTTAGAGAAGGGCCACGACTTTGATGGCACCATCAAAACGGCCGATCTCGCTATGGACTAATTCAGCATGGTGGGCCAGATTCCTATCCTGGATCACCTGATGGATAAGAACCCAATTTACCGGATCGGCCCCCCAGCCTTCGGAAGCATTACGAATATCTCCATCCAACATCTTGTGGATCGACTCCAGGGAAAGGACGGCCATTTCAACGACCCACAGAAGCCTGACTTTCTTGATAAGTTCATCGAGGCCAAGGGAAAGTTCCCGGATATTGTAGACGATATGCAGATCATTTCATACTTGATGATCAACATGATTGCAGGAGCTGATACAACAGGCATTGCTCTCAATGCAGCTTTATATTTCTCTATGAAGAATCCTCGTGTGTGGAATCGTCTGAGAAGTGAAATCCCGGCATACAATCCAACTTCTGCAACCTCTGTTGTGCCCTTCAAAGTCGCTAAGGAATGCAAATATCTTGAAGTAGTGGTACGTGAATCTATGAGATGCCATCCTGCGGTCGGAATGCTTCTTGAGCGGTACGTTCCAGAAGGTGGTCTTAGTCTCCCGACCGGACAATATATTCCCGCCGGCTATGTTGTGGGTATAAACCCCTACGTCTTGGGGCGAAACCAGTCTGTTTGGGGTAAAGACGCCGATGAATTCCGGCCCGAACGATGGCTTCGGGATGAATCCCAGGAGACCGAGGAGCAGTTTCAGGACCGTCTACGCGCAATGAACAACGCTGATTTGGCGTTCGGTGCAGGCAGCCGTGTGTGTATTGGCAAGAATTTGGCCAACTTGGAGATTTATAAACTTCTTGCCACACTGATCTCACTATATGACATGAATCTCGCCCATGCTGAGAAAGAATGGGTCACCCATAACAGCTTCTTTGTTCGCCAACATGGTATTGAGGTCAAAATTTCTCGTCGTACCTAAGGATATATGCAGATACATGATTTTTTAGCGATTGGGGACATCTTATTCCGGCCGCCGCTGCTTTAAGTAGATCAGGAGAAGAGTGTCAATGGCGGAACATATGTTGGAGAAAATGGTTACATTATGTAAAAGTCGGATGGTTGAGATCTCCCTATCGCCTATCAGTTGCAAAAAGTGGTAAAAATTGATGTTCATTCTTAAATGAACCTCACTTATCTATAGAGATGTTAAGCGATCTGCGGTCAGATCGCAGATCGCAAATTTATTATATTGTCAAATGGAGGTCTGACTACCAAAGGAATAGTGGATTCTAGTGGGCAAATGAGAGTGCAGTATGCGTATGAAAAGTGTATGTGTGTGTGTGTAACTATGGTAGAAATCCCATGGTGGGATTCCAACATGGAAGCCAATTTCGAATATTGCTGTAATTTTCAATCGCTTGCAGGATTAGTGTAGTTTCTCTCGCTGGTTAAGTGTGGGTCTTGTAGTCCTGAATAGCGGGGGGCTAGCATTAGTGTATGATTTCCAATGTTTTGAGCCGAAACCCCCCTTCTCCAACTACCAAGTCTCTTCCACTTTCCAGCCCCATCCCTATTCGCGGAGCTATTCATTCCAAATGTCTTTCACGAGTCTGCCTCTAGAGATCTTGTCTCATATTTGTGAAGATCTGGAACCTCAGGAGTGGGGTGCGCTCAGAATCACTTGCCACCAAATACATAGCAGTACACTGGAAGCCTATGCAACGCGCTACTTCAAGGTTTTGCCACTTCTTCTCACTCGTGAAGGCCTTGACGATCTGGAGGATGTTGCAGCAAGTGAAACTTTACGAGGCTGGGTTCGAGAAATTCGGATCATCCCAAACCTGTTCGAGGGGTGGCCAGAATATGATAAGGAACGTTTCAAAGAGCCAGGATTGTCGCATCGGAAAGTGCAGAGGATGTTCCGAAAAATACGCGGTGAAAAGGAAGAATCAACATCGAACAATGATGAGGCTGAGCTTGACGCTCTATTTGCCTCTTATCAAGCTGCACTAGAAGGACATCGTGCTATTATTGACTCGGAACTTGCTGTAGTTCTTGAAAAATGCCTGCCGCGCCTCAAAAACGTCACCACAGTCTGCTTATGGTGTTACCCTTTTGAATTCCTCATAAAAGCCAACCCTCGATTATTTCGCTGCCTTGGCTTGCGTGAAATAAAGAACCGTTTCAACATCGATGAGATGAGTGGTAATATAGACTTCTGGGGCTTCAAGCAGAATATGTTATCCATGCCTCTAGGCTTAGCATTTTCACAAGTGGCCCAGGCTATAATCAAATCTAGCCACAAGGTCCGCGCCCTCCACACGTGCGGCAATATGGAATGTGGCATAAAGTTGGGGTCTATAAAACTATCAGAGTCGCAGTATCAATCACTGCTACCGCTCTTGACCGACCTGACTACTCTACATATGTGCATTCGCATTAAAGATAACGAGAACGACATATTTGATGAGAGCGCCTTCAAACATCTTCTCAGTATGCTGGTCACAGTCGCACCCAAGTTGAAGGTTCTGACCTTCGCTTAATGGAGTCCCTTGGAAGAATTGTCTCCTCTCTATTTTCAGGATCTCTCCCAGAACATCCAGTTTTCCCAGCTAGAAGAACTTCATCTTCATTCCGTCGAGCTGACTGTGGAAAATCTCAAGCGCTTTCTTCGGACAGCAGCGCCAACCTTGAGGCGGCTAAGTATGAAGAACGTCAGCCTGACAGATACGATAATCGGAGCACGAGATCCAGGCCCTCTCACAGAAGAGAGGAGTAGTTGGGGTTCTTCGCTATCTCTCGAAGTCATCGACAAGATCCAGGAACTCTGGAAACAAAGCTTCGAGTTTTTGGCAGATAGCCCCAAGTTGCAGTTTGTCCAATTGTCCAGTATTGGTTACCGTGGAAGAGAGATCATTTTGCATGATGACCTGTATCTGGAACGCGGGCAGCCGGATGCGCAGCCGGTTTCAAATGCGAAGCATCCGGTCATCTGGTCAGAGATCTATTCCGATCCTACCAGGGGTCGTTCATTGAACATAGCTTTCAGTTTCAATGCTGAAACGGCGAATATATCACTCAAAGGATGGATCATGCAGCTGAGGATGGAGATGTGCAATCCAGCAGGCCGTATAGTTACCAGACTTCCGGGGACTAGCGGTTTGAGCTTCAACCAAGAAGGTGTTAGGTCCGAGTCCTCTACTACGCTCCCACCGCGGGGACCGGGAGACCCCAGACCGATGACTTTCGTTCATATGCGACAATAGACTCCTCTTTATTATCCATCAAATGCATCCCTTCCACAGCAAACTCTAAGCTCCAATCCATCCCATAATGATGTCTTTCTGGTGGAAGGCCATTTTAAAGGAAACAGAAGGGAAACAGAAGGGAAAGAAAACAAACATTTGATGGAAACGTATGAATAATCCTGCCTAAAAGGGTAAAGCACTTAATGTCGACTAAAGTCAACACTACAGTGATTTTAGCAAGAAAGGGAGTGATTGTAGTAATTCCCAAAAAGAAATGAAATATCATCGGGGCTAGATGACATCGAGTGTGAAGGGCTAAAGCTAATCTTAGATTCAGAACTAGCTAGGCATATGCTGTTTACAAAATCCTTGAAGAACGTAAACAATTCGGGGTGGAATCGTGAGGTATGCGGTTTATCAAAGGGCCGATATTAAGGGGTGTGCTGCGTATGTCAGCAGGACCCATAATGTAACGTGCGTCACGGTTGACCGAGCGTCCCGGTTGATCGAGCGACGCATTTGGAACTTAAAAAATCTAAGATTTTCAACATCAACTTTTAACACCAAAACATGAATTAATTATCTATTTAACGCGTGTAGGACACTAGGTATATATATGGCCTTTGGTTCCACAACCTGAACAGGTGACGAGTCGCCTAATAGTAGGTAAAGTAGGCAATGGAACATCTTCTATAGGTTGTCCAGGAGCATCCTCTAGGGATATATATTCAACTCTACCATTCTCCTGAGCAACCACGCTTTGCTGCAATTCCTCCAAACTCCGAAGACTCCCTTCATGGCCTCTGTGCTTCTTGCTAGCCGCTCTCTTTTTTATCTTTCTCTTCGCAGTATTCTCCAATCGCTGAATACGGTCTTCCATCATCATCATCCGAATCGCCATCTGAGTATGCGCATCTTGCGACCGATAAATTTGTCGTTTTAGAGGTGAAGTTAAAGCTCCTGAGGAAGATTCGAGTTCTTTCTTGATAGCAGAATTCGATTTTTGGACTTTTGAGTAGCTCCAAGGCCGATTTGAGTCACTGCTGCTTGAAGAAGTAGGGCGTTGAGGGTGGTCGTGAGGGGGGTCTTGAGGGGGGTCTTAAGGGTGGTTTTCGACCATGATATTCAGCTTTTCTAAAACATGATTAGCATCCAGGGGTACTAAACCAGCGCCCCTGAAGCTATTCACTATAGTAGATGCTTTAAATGTTGCTTTGCGTGTATAAGGATAGATTTGGAGGAAATCATCCTTATCAATAGAATCCACTCCATTCTATATTTCAGCACTAATCAGGCCTCCATATACCTTTTTAAGCACCAAAAAACATCCTACATCAAGAGGTTGTAATAGATGGGATGAATGAGCTGGCATACATAGACAAATAATATCGTTGTCCGCGCATAGTTGGTCGAATTCTGGCGTACGATGCGAAGAATGACCATCTAAAACCAACAGAATATATCTCCCTTTCTGGACCAAATTAGGTATAAAGTGGCTTTTCAGCCAATCTAGACCTATTAGATTTGTAGTCCAACCAGTTGGGCTAGTATTTAGTGACCATTTAGGGGGTAGATGGTCAAACCAACGCTCCATAAAATGTTTCCCTTTTAGGATGATATAGGGCGGAAGCGCAACACCTTGGGCGTTGATAGTCTCAATAACAGTAACCCACTCTCGATTTCCAGCTTGAAGAAGCCTTCGTTTACCATGGTAATCTGAGGAGCATATAATATACTCTGAAGATATAACACCTATCGCAAATCCAGTCTCATCGAAGTTATAGATATCCTCTGAAAGGATACCATATTTTGTGACTATATTCTGGACGAGATTAAACCACCCTTGGATGACTTATGGATCTTCTGTCTGCGCCCTCTGGATATCAAGCGCCCGAGATTTTCGCGTATGAAGAGATTCGGTGCGTTAAAGGAATCCTGTCACCCAGTTTTTGCCAACTTTAGGGGGTGTGTCGGAGGGGACAATTTCGCGGGCGCGGAGGAGCAGATTCGCCATATTTCGGCACATTTCATGCGAAAAAGCGAATCCTCTAGCGTCCATATCAAGGAGCCATTTTTCCATCGATTTCTCCTCACCTTTAGAGAATTTATGGCGAGAATGGCGAGTTATGGCCTTCGATTTGCGACCTTGGATTCGCGCTTTCAAAGTTGAGACAGGAACTGAAAAGGCGCGAGCAGCGGCAGCAGCAGAGGAGTATCGTTCATCTTTAATAACCTGAATTGCTAATAAGACTTTACTCTCCTGCTGCTCCAAATCTTTCGATTTTTGAGTGCGAATTAGAGGCATTGTTGGTGTTAGAAAAAGGAGGGTCGATTTCGGGGTAAATATTTTGAGGTGTCGCTCGGCCAACCGGGACGCTCGGTCAACCGTGACGCACGTTAGGGATGTTAGGCAGATGGCAGATAGTATCTGCCATCTGCCAACTCTGCCACCCCTTTTTAGTATAGCAGATAAAATGGCAGATATTAGTCATCTCCGCCATCTGCATCTGCCATCCAAAAAATGGCAGATATATCTGCCATGCCAAGCGGCAGATATGGTAGATATGGCAGATGTATCTGCCAATTATCATACGATATCATGTGATTATAATATCGCTAGACAATTTTCTTCTACCCTAGTATAAACTTGTAACGGCGTGGGTTGCAAGAAGGCTGAGAGAGGCAATGGACTCTCTACATAAGCTGGCTGAACCAGCTGTCAGGGAAGCAGGGGTTCCCCGGATAAGCTAGTTAGAGATTTGCTGTGAAGGGCTAAAGCTAATCTTGAATTCAGAACTAGCTAGGCACATGCTATTTACAAAATCCTTGAAGAACGTGAACAATTCGGGGTGGAATCGTGAGGTATGCGGTTGGTGGGTCACGTGGTACAACCACGTGATCTGTGTCATGTGCACACCCGACTCGTTTTTTACGAGTCGGGTGTGCACATGACACAGATACAGCTAGAATACTAAAAATACAGCATATTTTTCATAAATTATGTAAAAAAGGTGTCTCCACTTTCGTGGGCCTAATGGGCTTTTCGTGGGCTTTTTGGGCTTGGGCCGGCTAACCAAAGCCCACGTGGGCCGGCCCAATGGGCTTGCAGAAGCCTATAGGGAGGATGGGGCGGGTTCGGGTGCGGGTTTCTGCGGGTTACGGCATAGCCTACGCCTGGATAAGGGGCTATGCTGTTATAATAGAACTGGAGAAACGTATTTATAATCAGGCGAAAAGCGCCGGCCAGTTAATCGAACGTACATGATTGTGATAAGACTCTTCCATGACTGACGCTAATAGGCAGATCCCCACAGTACACGTACGCGCCGGAGTCGACGAATTATTTTACTGGATTGCTTCGTGACCATTTCCTGCAGGTGGGGGCGCACGGACCGTCTATAGTTCTGCCACTTCACACCGTGGACACAGGGATTCATAAATTTAGCACAGCGACGTCTGTTGTATTCTTAGACAAAGATATCCACAATCTCTGGCAGATTTAGAGCCAAAGTGGTGTCATGGTTGTTAAGAGTTGAGGGAGAATGAAGTTGATCTAGATGGAAAGTGTAGATTCAATGTTCCAAGGTTGTTAAAATAACATTTGAATGCAATTAAAGCACTTGACCGCAAGTCGATCCATAGCCCAGTTGCGGAAACTCCTTATTTCTGCGACGCAGTATACAGCTTATGAAACTCAGAGTCGCGCCCTAACAAGGCCTCGGGGGTATCGAACTCCACCACTGTCCCCTGCCGCAGAAGCGCCACGCTGTCGAAGCGCCTAATATGCCGCAACCGATGCACAACGGCAATAACCGTCTGTCCCACGCACTCCTGCTCAATTATATCCAGCATTCGGGCTTCGGTTTCCCAGTCAACATTGCTAGTCGCTTCGTCCAAGATGAGAAGCGGGCTCGGGTTCATCAAGGCCCGGGCCAATGCTAGCAGCTGCTTCTCGCCGTATGACCAGTCCAGCTCGTCAAGAGTCGCGTCTAGCCCCCCTTTCCGGTGATCGATTCCCAGAGGCCAACTATCTTTATTGCTATGACAATCCGCTCCTCTGACAACTTGCCCGTGGGGTTGAAGCTGTCGCGTATTGTGCCAGGGAGAAAAAAGGGGTCCTGCGGGATAACGGTGACCTTTGTGCGGAGTGAGGCTGGGTGGATGGTAGATATATCCACACCATCAATGGTAATGCGGCCCTTGGAGACTTCGAGCATACGCAAGAGGGCCATGATGAGGGAGGTCTTGCCGCTGCCGGAAGGACCACAGATAGCAATCTTATGACCAGACGGGATGTTCAATGAGAGACCTGAGAGAATAGGGGTTGCGTGTAAACTAAATCACAGAATCGTTGTTAGCATTTGTTAGTGAATCACCCTTCGTCTTTACATACCCATATCTTACATCCACACTATCAAAGCAAATCTCTGCGCGTGATAGCCAACCTGTTTCCACTCCCTCCGACGCCTCGATAGGCGTCTCTATCATAAATTCTTGTACGCGCGCTACCGCCCCAAGTGAGATCTCCATCTGGGTCCACGACTCGATGGCCTGGTTTAGGTTCTGACTGATAGAAATGATCAGAGTCAGGGCCACTCCGATATCACCAGCGCTAAATTGGTCCTTGAGTGTGGTTACAATCGCGACAAGGATAACTGCAAAAATCATGACTAGCAGATCCAACACCAACTTAAGGCCCTGCTGTATGCAGAATAGCATATAGAACGGCTTCTGGGTCACGTCAAGTTTGGAAAGACATAGCTTGTGGAACTGTGGCTGCCACTGCATGCTTTGGATAACCAAAAGTCCACTGACAGTCTCTTGGAATTGGGAGAAGAGAAGTGCTTTGGCTTCGATATCTAATAGGCGGACTTGGCGGGATGTCCGGAGGTAGCCATACTGTAGAACCCAGATCGCGAGTAGCATAAATGGGAGTGCGATAGTGATGTATTTGCCAACCACGCAGAGGATTACCAAGCTAACGATGCAGAGACTGAGGGCTAGATAAATGGTGTCAAAATAAAGACATTGGTCGTCTGTATTTAGTGCCGACTTACCTTCCGTGAAATTCAATGCAGTGACCGGGAGCGAAAAGTCGATGAGCTGCATATCTTGACTAAAGCGGTTCATAATGGTTCCGCTATCGGTCTTCTGGAAGAAACTAAACGGGGCACTAGAAGTCATTCAGTAAATAAAGAGCCTCAATAACTGATTTTTGGTTAAGGTACCTTAGAACAGATTGTAATAGGTCTGAATGCAAAGCAAGCGAGGTGTTGCCGACGATCTCGACGATCAACATCCTAAATCAAATAAGCAATCCTTTACAAATCTCAGCGGGAGAAAATAAGAACCTACCAGCACCCAGCTCCGAGGGAGAGAACTGCTAACAGAGTAATGACTGTATAAACCCCGAGGTATTTTCCCAGATCAGAATTCGGATCAGTTTTATTTGCATTGGACCACCATTCTAACCAGATTGCTAGAAAGAACCATTCATGAGCTTTATTACTCGAGACCAGACATAGCAGCAACTTACAGGAGAATTGAGTCGTGAAGCCATACGAAATTGAGAGCGCAATAAAGAGGCCGACTTGCAGAAGCCCTGCTTTGCGCCCGTAGTAGCTGTAGACGGACCAGCTACCGTTTCGCCTTGCCAGGTTGTGCTTCAACAAGGTTGATTCAGAATCGCTCTCATCGCTCTCTTCGCTACTTGACTGCCTGGACAGTGGCTTTGTTTCCGTTGCTTCATTGGGGTCTTGGCCGCACACTTCGTCATGTTTGTCATTTTTATCAGGTTTCTCATCAAGGTCAGACTGTGTATACTCGGGTAGCTGGTCTATCAATTCCGGGTACGTGCATTGCAGAACCTTGTGACCATTGTCGAGAAGAATAACTTCATCGGCATACGGAAGGAGTGACCCTAAAACTTCCACATTAACAGCAATAAAACAAGAGCTTTGAGGTATACTCACGGGTATGAGTCGCAAGAATCACAGTTGTACTCGTCCGTCGGAAAATACCATTTTGACCAAACAGCTTCTCGCCTACCAGCCGGGTATTTTGCGAGTCTAGTCCACTGAATGCGTCATCCAGAACCACATTTGGGAGACGAGAGTAAACTGCGCGCGCAAGAGCCTGGATTCGATCAGCACTTGTTAGGGAATATATGTGCTGAAGTTCCTCTCACCACTCGCTGTTTTTGTCCTCCGCTGAGAGATATTCCACCGCTACCAGCCATGTGCATACTTCCCTTGGGGAATTTACTGATATCGTCCACGAGTCCACATGCTACGATGCTAGCATTATACCACTTCTGATCCAATGCTGTCCACCCGGTGATGTTATCCTGGATAGAGGCGTTCATAATCCAAGGGCTCTGTGGACAGTAGGCTATATTTGCCGGAGCAAGATGCATAGTGCCACTTGCAATTTGGGTTTGGCCCATAATTGTCTCCAAAAGAGTGGACTTTCCACAACCAATAGAGCCCATGACCATAATGATCTTACCTGTGGGAATGGAGAGAGTTAGGTCGTGAAGAACGGGGGTACTTTCTGCTGTCCAAGATATGGATGCGTTCTGGAATGATAAGAACTTATCGCATGGAATCGTCATAATGGGGGATTTGACAGCCATAGAAACCCTGGAAAGTTCGATATTGTCATCCATTGGCAGTGAGTCGGTTTGTGCTAGGAGAAAATCCCTTGATCTTTCTAGCAGGCAATACTCCTGAATCCGATCGAAGCAGCCAATAGACTGTGCTAGTGTGGGGAGCGACTGAATGAATGTCATCAGAGGACTTGTTAAAATGGAGATGAGAGATAAGGTCGTGAATGCCTGCGTGGTGAGGATCTGGGTATCATGTTTGACCACAGCGATAATCGAGTATAGTAGAAAAACCGTATACGGTGCAAGGTCCACAGAAACAGACGCTGCCCGAAACAGAATTAAAAGATGTTAGTGCTTTGCTCAATTGATTCTGTCATTTAATCAATCCCCTCCACACAAGCGGATTGAGGAGCTTGTCAATATGATCTGACAGGTAGGAAGCCCACGTGGCGGAAAGTAAAGAGGAAGGAAAGGAATTTGCTCTTATAAGAAGGGGAATCAACCTCGACTTACATAGCATGACAACTCCCACAATAAGCTTTCGGAATCGTTTGGAGGCACTGAGTTCAACCTTCCGGTACTTATTAATAATGTCAAACAAGACAATTTCCAATCCAAGCATCTTGACAGCTTTGATATCCCCAAGCATCGCAGTAGTAACTGCCAAACGTTCCTGGATATGTCCTACCCATTTCTTTTGGGCCTCTCCACATCGAGCGGATACCGGGGTAGTGGCAAGAATACATACCACGGCAATAATAGCCGGGAGAATACAGGCTACATACACTTGTATCTCTAATAGCCAGATGGCAATGATTATAGACAGGAGAGAGGCCCAGATCTCATGCAGTGACCGCATACTGGATGTAATACGCGTCGTGTCCGTTCCCATTAGGGCAACCGCATCTCCAGCCTTTGAGCCGGTGCTTTGCAGCGCCAGTGTCTGCTCATGAATCATGGCGATAAGACCTGAGCGGACGGCAGTCGCGAGCCGACTGGCCTCGCGATAGTATGTTGCTGTAGAGACAGCAACACCAGTATAGACAAGTGCGTACGCTCCAACTAACGCATTTCCGTATCGCTGTGTCTCCGCTGTCGTCGGATCGGCCATCCAATTAATGGTGGCTGATAACAGAAAAGGCTGACAGAAAGTGAACCCCGCGAGTAGAATACGGGGGATAATCGCAGAGAGAAGGGGCCGGTAGTATGCTCGAAAAGTCGCTTTGATCAGTCGATATTTGCCGTGGGATGTGGACCAAGTCTGTGCCAGACGCGCCTCTGCGCAATCTCCCAGTAACTTGGAATCAATATCCGGTAGATCTTGTAGGGAGATAATGGAGTGATAGGCGTTTCGGAATAGCGGGAGGACCCATACGAAGAGGTTGCGTCCCCAGAAACCATGGAACATTTCAACCGAAACATTTCTCTGGAGCGGTTGGAGGAAACTGACTTTCCGAGCAGATTCCAGGATGGTAATCAGAACAACAATAATATAGATGGCCGTGAAAAGCCCTCGGGGAATAGGAATTGAGGGGATGAGCCATAGGGTCCGCACGTGCGGTATAATGAGAATAGACAAGGCCGAAAAATATATGACGAGTGTGTCAGAAGGCCGGATTGTTCGTTGATCCTCAAGAAATGACAAAATTATTGCTGCGAGGGTGGTGGCTAAATTAAGTGCTGCTGCTGGAGTTGAAACTTTGGTGTGTAAAGCTTTGGTCTGCACTTGGTATACCGTAAAGATGATTTGCAAGACAAGAAGGACCGTCAAGAGCAACTAAAATTTGGTAGACACTAAATAGATGGACTTCATGGTCATGGAAAAAGAAAAAAAGCATACATACCGATTTGTAGATAGCAAGTTTAAAGGATTTCGACTTCACTGGCGAACGTTGCAAAATCGCGAGTCGAGGCATAAGCCATAGTAAGAAAATAATGGACGGCAGAATACTGAAAAGAATCTCCTCAAAGACAAGAGTAAAGTCGAATGCTCGACAATTGGCATCAACTCGAACTTCGAATAGATTATCACTATTGACCGGGCAAAGGTTCGACGCCATCCTTACCCGAATGTTGTAATTGTATCTCAAGGCTCGAGTGACAGTCTCAAACTTTTCTAGTTATGGCGGGGAAATGGCGAGTTTTTAGTGCTCTGAGGGAGATAAGATAATACGACCAATCACAATGCACTGAGCTAGTAGCTTAAAGGAGGCGGCTTTGACCCGTCGGACCTCCGGTTTAGTTTACCAACAGAAGAGCATTCTCAAATCTCATTTTTACAGAATCAATTTTCATATCTAGCTTACAGCAATTCGCTTTCATCTGGGATGATTAACGGGTGCATTCAGTTGATTTTTTTTTTTTTAGAAATTGAACAAGGTAGATCAGCCCGCCCCGCTTACAGTGGAGACCAGGCGAGTGGGGTACTCTTGTGGATCAAGCTATACATTGTCTCTGCGAAGGGCTAATACTAATCTTGAATGCAGAACTAGTGATGCCGACAAACTGTCTTTATTAAGCTTGAAGAGAAGAGTGTCATAGGTTAAAAGAATACCTTGACAAATGATGTTTAGTGTAGGATCAAGAGTGGCACTATATAAGTAGAACCTGCGTATGATTTCTTGAGAGCGAAATCATTATAGTCTTTTGGCTCAGTGGGATGGACGTGGACGCAGGCACGATCCCTTCACAAAGAGAGAGAGACTAGCTATGGACATGTGGCAATATAAGGGATGCGGGTGCGGGTGGCACGTGACGAGCATGAGTGGCACAGGCATGAATGCTAAAGCAGGCACCAGCCTGGATTTAGATCTTCGATTGGTCCTAGAGATTTCCAAATGGTTAGTAAAAAGGATGTTTCGAATAATATGTCTTATAACACACCATAACAATATCCTAGACATGTGCATGGGTTGGGTATGGGTCAAAATTCATACCCATACCCAACTCATCAGGGGTAAGGTAAACCCATACCCATACCCAACCTAACCCACGTGGGTATGGGTTGGGTATGGGTCCCATATGGGTATTTTTGATGCCTTAATGCCTGATTTTCGCCTCAACCTAAACTAAATTAGGGTAATTAGTGCCTTAGTGCCTAATTTTTGCCTCAATCTAGTACTAACTGTAACAGGTTGAATCCTGGTTGTCAAATGGAGGTCGACTACCAAGGAATAGTGGATTCTAGTGGGCAAATGAGAACGCAGTATGCGTACTAAAGTGTGTATGTGTATCGATTGTAGAATGGAGGAATCCCATTGTGGGATTCCAATGCTGACTAAAATAGACTAACTGTAAATGGAATCGGGCCTTTGACACACCCCTTCAGTTTTCACCCCTCCAAGGTGTAAACTGGCCTTAAACACAGGGCCGATTTGGGCTGTTGAATCGCCTCAATTCCCTCTAAAAACACAGTCTATATCCTGATTTAGGCAGTTGATGCTCTAAATCCTCTGAATCTAGGGGTAAGACCCTAGATTAGAGCAGTTCACTTATATCTTCCAAATTGAGAAGACGAATCCAGGCGTCAAATCTCTGTTTTGGCAAGATTTTCGTGAAGCCATCTGCCACCATAAGCTTTGTTGGGACCCATCTGATCTTAATACGTCCTTCCTGCACCTCCTGGCGTAGCCAGCTGCGGTGTATGTCTATGTGACGTAGCTTGGTCTCAAATGCTCCCTCTTTAGTGAGCAGATCAACTGTTCTCTGGTTGTCGCAGTCGAGAGTTATATTATCGTATTCCATTTCTAGTCCAACATGGACTAGTACTCTCTTCCACCATACCAGTGTTTTGGCTGCGTCCGATAAACCAAGCAATTCTGCTTCGGTAGTGGACGTCGTCACCGTCTTTTGTTTAGACGCCTTCTAATCTATAGGGCCGCCGAAGAGCATGTATATCATGCCTACAGAGCTCTTACGGTCTTTATGGTCACCATAAGATGCGTCACTAGCGATGGTTAGTGCCGATGTGCCTATAGATTGGTGGGTTGCGTCGTTGGTCTAATCCTTATTTCGGCCGAAATCAGGGTTAGAGGTGTCATCAGAATGGTGTCCTAAACCATATCTGAGTGCTCTGTTCTTGGTGTGGAACAGATAAGTGATTATCCTGTCTGCCGCAGCAGAATGCTGCGGACCTGGGTTCTGCAGGAATTGGGCCAGTTTAGTGGCTGGTTTAGCTACATCAGGCCTGGTTATAGTAGCTGCATACTATATTAAACCAATCTTTTCCTGGTAGAGTTTGATCGCATCAGGCGATGTAGTTCCTTTATATAGTAAGAGTTCTTCAATTGGCATTGGTATAGCCATTGATGGTCGGTTATTTAGGCCGAAACTGTAACAGGTTGAATCCTGGTGAACTATCACGTGGTTGTACCACGTGACCCACCAACCGCATACCTCACGATTCCACCCCGAATTGTTCACGTTCTTCAAGGATTTTGTAAATAGCATGTGCCTAGCTAGTTCTGAATTCAAGATTAGCTTTAGCCCTTCACATATGAGATATAGTCTGGTTTATAGTAAACACCATATTTCTTGCTGGGTCCTAGTCTATATTTCGTTTAGGGAGGGTTCGTTGATCGTCTAGGCGGTTATTTTATAGGGTTTATATGTATGAACTTCCTTTCTATAAAGTTTATTATAGGGAGTTCCTCTATCTAGAATATAGATAGGTTGTTGGTGGTAGGCTCCTTATATTTTCTCTTATTTTCCTAGGTAGTTATCGATATCTATATTCCGTTGATGAATCCTAGGAGGTTTAGTAGTAGATATACTAGGGTCATTCGGCATACTTTAACTCCTTTATATACTGAAATCAATTTTTTGTATAAGTATTCATCTATTCGCCATAAGGGATTGATTATATATTAGAGCTTATAGAGCTTATTAAGTAGTATCTTGAAGTATTGGTGGAGGCTCTTATTAGGGTTCTTTTGGATGGTTGTTCTAAGGTTTTAGCTGTCCTATAGTTATTTCTGCCTTCTATAGAACTCTGGTCCTTCGAAGAATTCCCTAAGTTTCTCGCACGACTCCGCGAAGGTTCTCTCCTATAGGGAGTTCGTGAAGTAAAACTCTAATGCCGGTCTGTCGGTTGACTAGGTTATTACCGAAGCAGACAGCTATTGATATCGTTTCTGTACGTATATAATAGGTGTATGCATATTGGGTAAAAGTGAAGTGTCATTCTAAAATGCTCAGATGAAAGAAGATATAGTAGCTGCCATGCCAAGATCACATGATCTTGGTATGTCAGCTGATATTCGTTCCAACACTTTCTTTATTAACTATACTAATAATATAGAGATATCTACGAATCGTGGTATAAATATCTAATAGAAGTTAGCGAATCTAATAAAACCACATACTTCTCGGATATTAGTAGATGCTTCCTATAACTTAATAGCTTCAACTTTCTTCGGGTGTGAAGGGCTAAAGCTAATCTTGAATTCAGAACTAGCTAGGCACATGCTATTTACAAAATCCTTGAAGAACGTGAACAATTCGGGGTGGAATCGTGAGGTATGCGGTTGGTGGGTCACGTGGTACAACCACGTGATAGTTCACCAGGATTCAACCTGTTACATCGGGTCTATATATAGACCTTCTCTAGCTTATATAATAAACCCTAGGTATTTCATAGAGCTCTATTTAAATTCAGATTTCTCGATATTATATTAAAGTCTAGTATCTCTTAGCTTCTAGAGCACCTCGCGTACTTTTCGTCTATAATCTATGATCGATCTATTAGAGTAAATAATAATATTATCTATGTAAAGGGCTAAAGCTAATCTTGAATTCAGAACTAGCTAGGCACATGCTATTTACAAAATCCTTGAAGAACGTGAACAATTCGGGGTGGAATCGTGAGGTATGCGGTTGGTGGGTCACGTGGTACAACCACGTGATAGTTCACCAGGATTCAACCTGTTACATCGGGTCTATATATAGACCTTCTCTAGCTTATATAATAAACCCTAGGTATTTCATAGAGCTCTATTTAAATTCAGATTTCTCGATATTATATTAAAGTCTAGTATCTCTTAGCTTCTAGAGCACCTCGCGTACTTTTCGTCTATAATCTATGATCGATCTATTAGAGTAAATAATGATATTATCTATGTAAAGGGCTAAAGCTAATCTTGAATTCAGAACTAGCTAGGCACATGCTATTTACAAAATCCTTGAAGAACGTGAACAATTCGGGGTGGAATCGTGAGGTATGCGGTTGGTGGGTCACGTGGTACAACCACGTGATAGTTCACCAGGATTCAACCTGTTACAATACCCCCTCCTATTCTCCTGTTTTCCGGGGTCCATTCGAAGTCGTAATTGGTCCGTATCGTAGTTCAAAGGTGTCGAGAGCTGTGCAGTTTTCCACTGCGTCGATAGGTTCCTATGTCAGTTCTGCGTATCCTCGCCATTTCACTAATGCTTCCCTCCGCGATCCACGTCCAATTTTTCGTGTCCTTGCTTATAGGATCTCTTCAATTTCGTATTCCAGATCTCCTTCGACTAATAGCGGAGGCGGTTGCGAATCGTCCACGATTTGTGACGGTAACGGGTCCGTTGCCGCGGGTCTTATTAACTTAATATGGAAGATAGGATGTATGCCGCTTAGCACATCCAGCTTCACTGTATGAGAGGATGGCACTTCTAGAACTATGTATTTGGCGTGAAGCCAGTCTAGTTTCTTTGAAGGCCGTATCGTGCGTATATTCCGTAGGTTTAGCCATACTTTATCGTTGATATTATAGACTGGAGCGGCTCGTCTTGAATGATTCGCTTGTTCCTGTTGATGTTCTTGGGCGATAGCCATCGCTGCATTTGCCCAATCGGTGGCGTCTTGTAGCTGGTTCGTGAACGTTTCCGCTACGATCTCTGGTCCTCTCTCTGCTTAGACTTCTATTACTTCGACTGGATCGATATGGTATCTATGTGTGAAGAAGAATGGAGATAGTCTAGTAGAGGTTACATCTCGGTTATTGATCGCTATAGCTACGATAGGTAATAAACTTGCCTAGTCGTCCTATGTGTATATAGTAAAGGCGCGTAGAATTTGTTC